ATACATTATATCTTGAACGTTCCTTCTTGTCATCATGATCATCTTCTCCAAAAGCAATAACCTATCCCTCTGAGAGACAGGACTCCCCACGTGTCCATTCTCGGCGTAGTTTCGTAAACCTCTTCCCTTAGTAGCTGATAAATACTTGAAATATGCCTCAGTTGCCCATGATTACAATGTTGATATACGATGGATTGCGCTTTTAAAGACTCTTATTATATACCCTGCTGCTGTCCTAGATCCCCATGTTAAGACTGAGCTTTTGAAGATTTATCTCAGAGACAATGCTGCTGATGTGATTAATAATTTATGAGCTCATTTTAATAAGCTATTTCCCGGACCAGATTCTACTTTTCCTTCCAATTGCCAGAACTCCACCTCTTCATCTTTAATGCCTACAATTCATTTTGTAGGCCGCACCCATGCTCTATAAGTTAAATTAAATCAACAACGCATGCTCAGGGAAATACAAAGAAGGCACTATTTGACCTTTGTAACTTCTGAAATTAATAAGATAAATGACTAGCCCGATTCCCCTCCAATTCAAGAGCCTGTACCTAATAATATGACAGGATATCACCTAGTTCACGTAGACGCCTGCCTGGGTGCCATAGTGGGACTAGCCCGTTCTAGGCGAGGTGTTGATATCAACCCTCGACCTCACCACTTAGCTAGAGCACATATGACATCTTCTATGGCCTCATCATAATATGACCACAGAACAGGACATTAAATAGCTCATAGCATGGTGGGGGACAAATTGATTTAAATATCCACGAATGGCTAAGATTGCTTGTCAATATCTCTCTATCCCTGCATGAGAGGTCAGTGTAGAGCGTCTTATTTTTTTTCTCGTAGCCGCGATCTCCTAGGTTTACGCCGATATGCCCTTCATCCAGTGACTATTAAGATGCTAGCAGTATTAAAATCTTTCCTCAAGATAACAAGTGTTGGCTTGAAGCTATAGAGCAAATTCAGGAAGGGGTCTTGGAAGATGATATTGATTTAGGAGTTATAGTCATGCAAAGTGATTAATAAGTCCTATATTTAGCATAGATCTACCGTTATCATTGTGTTAGATAGCTATTAAATAGATATAAATACGCTGATTTAGACGTTACATAGCATCACAAATTATGAGTACCAATTGGTCTAACCAATGATAGCGCTTCTATTACTATTATATAAGAAATATATTAGTTAACAGGATTGCAGGACTTGGGATTTTTCTTTACGACGCGAGAATTAATCATGATTAAATAATAATCTTTGGCGTGCCCTAAACTGTATATACACATACACGTAGCACAAGGCTGTCACAGTCACGCTTGACAACCTTGGAAGCCACAACCGCCAGTCGTGGGTCCTCGTCAGGATCACAGTACGGGGTTTGTCGTTTTGAATTGATGATACCGTGTACGTGTACGCCATACAATATTCGAGCAGGGTGCGCGCTCCAAAAGGGTGGATTTACACCGTATTTCGGGCCCAGGTAACTGATCCTTGACTTTACCTAGTGCCTGACGTCGTTCGATCAAGGATAGATGTAAACTAGTGCTAGCATGATGAAACTACCACTCGCATAGTTCAGTCTTTGACTCGTACAAATGCAGTGTAATGTCTCATTTAATCATGTATAAGTTCATTCTTACAGTCCCAGAGTGTACGTGTAATCATTTCGGCTAGCAGTATGCTTATGGCTGACTCTCAGTTCTAATCTTGATGTATCTTGTAATAAACGAAAGGAAATAAGTTCTTATGGAATGACCAATGGTAAATTCCCAGATTCAGACCTGGAGAGAGCGTGATCGTGACGCTTTTAACGAACCATAGCCACGCCATCAACACTGGAATTGCACTGTAATTGCCATAAGTAATCAAGCAAGGCTGCCAAACTCCGAGACTTCTCTAGAATAGCCATGACTTACAATGCATACCGTTCGACCAAAAACGGAGCCCATTAAGGTGTTGGTAATTTACGTGGTTTTTGTAGGCCATGTCCGACTGCCAGTAAATGCGCCAATCTCAAACACCCGAAAGTCGTGAGGCTAGAGTAGTGGTCAAGCCACACAATGATGCTTCGTTGAATGGTAACAAATAAACGGTAATGCGTTGTTCTTGGCTTAGTCAATATAGAAATTTCAAGATGCCTCAGTCCCGTCAGTCTTCTGATATTGCATTGCCTATTCATACCTAGGTAACTACGCCTGGGTAGATACTTTGGACAAACTATAAAATTTTTCATTGGACTGGCCTTCTCAGGCAAAATATTCTCGTTGTATGCTGGTAACTCTCAGTTCGTGCTGTCAACTGTCGTTCCATGTTTGTAAGTGTCTGCCCGGGCCATCTCGTTGCTTTTTCCTGTAACTCCCAATGTAGTAATCATTGATCTTCAACATTATTCGATCTGAAAGGACAGAACCAAAAACAGTAAATAATCCATAGATAAATTCTGAGGTTTCCCAGGGTTTAATATAAGAGCTCTCTCTCTCTCTCTCTCTCTCTCTCTCTTATACACGAATCACTTACTTCGCCTGACTTTACGTTTCTCGAGCACTACTTGCTATATTCACTCACCATAACAGTATTTTGACATACAATTTAAGCACAAGTAGTCTGGTTTCTTGTTGACTCGTGGATACTTGAAGTCTTGTTCTTCAAAATGCCGGCAACAGAAGATACTAGCACCGACTGCTATATATGGGGCCAGTCAGTCTCTCCTTCAGTCTGACTGTCCGATTTTTCTTGTTCTTCACAGTTCTCTGTCATGGAAATGACTCATGTGTTTCTTTTTTTCCCCCTCGTATTCTGCGATATTTGGTTTCCAGGTGCTGATGCTAATTCTACATCCAGATCCGATAACGGTCCCATCACAGATGGTCAGAATCAGCCGACGGAAACTCAAGCGGCCGACCTGCAGAATATTGGAGCTTGTATCATGTCTGATCCCGCAATGTACGAAGGCGAAATACTTATCGATGATCTTGGCGCGCACGCTGCACAAGAACGCCACAAACCTCAGCCGATGGAAGATGCCATCAGTCAAGGCGTCAACCATTAGACTGCATTCATGACGCCCAAAACCTATCCAATACAAGATCACCGAGAGAAATCCTAAAGAATTTTACCAATCCGCCTCTTCTGGCCGAACATCAATCGATGGATTGGATGTGGTAGAATTTATGGCTTGTTAGCAACATCTGGGTTGAAGCTCCCAAGCTAAAATCCCTGGTCGACAAAATAAGGCTTATTTATAGACTCTTCTGAGTGATCTTGTATATTTCCTTTCGTTTGTAGCCGCTAATTAGATTGGAGTTAGGGTTATTTCATAATGTAGTTTCCAACCTTGGAAGTCGGCATTTGGCGCATCTGCTGTCCTTGCTTTGGTGTTTTCTAAACCCCGCTGTTTGAGTAAAACAGTTTCTACCGAGACGGTGGATGATAATTATCACTTCCATCATCCTTTTGAGGTGGGAGAATGACAAGGCCAAGTTCTTAGTCCCGAAACCAAGGGGAAGGTGGCATGATGGAACGCAACAAGATCACCACAGAACTCAACGGACTGAGTACACTGTAACACGAGAGAGACTCTGATATATGCGTCCCAACGACTTTTTCTTTGGTACGTAATCAAACCTACGTATTCTCTTAGGAAGCGGGGTACACTTCGCAACCGCACACCGACAAGGCTGTAACTACATAAGTCAGTAACCTATCAAACCCATTGAAAAAAGACTTCCATGCTACTGCAGCTATCGATCTGGGAATTCCTGAAACATGAGGGATAAACAGCCTCGTACTAGAGACAGGAAAAGCAGTCAATTCGGCATATAGATAGTTGAAGCCCTGTGGCTTTGACGATGGGGAAAAGCCAGTGGCCAGCTGAGAAATTCCGGACGGAGACAAGAACAGATGTCGATGAAACTGGCACGTGAATATCAGAGAATGAAGTGAGGTCTAGAAAGCGCCTTTCAAACCAGAAAACTTTAAATATAGGATGTAACAATGAAAACAAAAACACGAAAAAAGAGATATCCCTGTGCGATTCGCTTCTTTGCTGTGTATTCGAGCTTACTAAGCCCAGGGCAGTCGGTATCAAAATCGACGAGCCAACCACGTTCAAATGCATTAGGAATTGTAATACAAGCTTGTTTCACCATGTCTTAGACGAGGGCTCTCTCGAGACCTTTTTGTTCCATTGCCAGCTTGGTTGAGTGGAGGTAATCTGGGCTCCATGGATGTTTCTATCAGGCTGTACCATGTTTGGTAGAACAGTACCCCCTGGTACCGGTTAGGGAAGTGGATAACAACAGAGTAATCACAGTCGGAGACTTTTTCTAGAAGCTACTAGAGTATCCGTTCATAGCAACCGAAACGTCGGAAATATCCTGGACTTTAACGAACTATAATACGGGATATATACTCTGCTGCGAAAGACCTCGCCTCACGTTGCTCTCCTAGCTTCCGAAAAGGGATCAGATACTCATGGGAGGGTAACAAGAGCGTGACATGAGAATTTAACTTCTGTGGTGAATGAATCGAAACGCCACCAGTCCAGTTTCCAAGTAACTACTTGTAATTGTAGCTAAGATCTCAGCAATTGAGCATAATTAGTGGGCAATTAGTAATAAGGGCAATTCTTTCTATTTTCGCAAGAGCATTCCCCAACGTACTCCGTCTTGTTAACCTATATGCTGCTTTTGGCGGTCTGTACCATACCTACTTTCCTGCAGTTCAATTTGGAATAAAACTAAGTAAGTGGTAATACAATGTATCTGCTGAGCGTCACTTAAGTTCAGATTTGGGTTGAGGTTTGAGTCTTGAGAAAAATATGTTTCTGGATGTTAGGTCTCATGGTCTTGAGGCCCTAACTCCCGAAAATTTCCTAACATAGTAATTATTCAACATTCAGATTGAGATGATGTCGCAACTGATTCATACAACAAAACAGTGCTATAAATGGAAAAAGTATACAATAAATATTAGCAGGCCGTTCTCCATTATTGCAATGTGACAACATCGTTGGCCTCGGAAATTGAAGCAGCGAATAATGCGCGTCCACCTGAGATGTCTTGTCCATTGAGGTTTGCGTGGAACAAAATTTTCGTGCCATCTGTGGAGAAATCAGCACCCCCGGGAGCGCTCAATGAGCCATCGTTGCTGGTACCTGTTCCAGTAACTAGCAGGGGGGCGTAAGGAGCGGATTGCTTGGTCCAAGGACCAGTAATCGACGTCGCATAGGCGTATGAAGTGTCATAGTACTCAGTGTTATACCAGTTTGAAGAGAAACTGAGATAAAAAATGCCATTGGAGAGAAGCAAACTGGGGGCCTCGATCAAAGGTCCATCGAGATCGGAGCGGTCGATGAGTTGGACCGGGTCGCCAGTTGGAGTTGTTCCATCTGACTCCAATTTCTGGAGCATGATAGGGGTAGAATGTGTTGTACCATCGCCATCAAGGCTGTTTCCATCGACCTTGTATACGACATATATCGTGCCGTCGCTGTCAATAAATCCGTTAGCGTCAATGGCACCTCCTTGGTCCAGTGGGCAGGCTAGAACGCTATCAACCGGGGCATAAGGGCCTTCCGGTGAGGTTGCGGTTGCAGCACCAACGCAGTGCTTGCCCGAGTCGCTCGCCGCTGCTGCTGAAAAGTACATGACATAGCTTCCATCACCCTGTTTGATAACAACAAACAACAGTAAGTAATCCAACCAAGATCTTCATATAAACTTGAATCTTGGGTTTGGACGTACCAAGACCAGGACATCGGGTGCCCAAACGGTTGGAGAAGAAGCTACCCATGAAGGGAATGGCCCTGGTAGAGCATCTGTGCCGGAAAGCAGCGTCCAGGTATTGAAATCGGGCGAAGTAGCGACCTGAGCATTAACACCGTTGCCGCTTGTACCAAATGCATAGTATCCACTGGAAGTTTCTATGAGACTGGGATCGGGAAAGTCGCTGTTGAGAGCCAAAAATGGCTCGGCCATAGCGATGCCGACGAGGGCGAAAGCTGAGTAGGGAAGAAAGCTGCGACTCATGGCCTCAGTCCAGAGATTATTGTCCTAAAGCTCTGTGCACAGACTGAATTAGGGTTATGGTTGTTAGAGATTTTGTCCACGGGTACATACAGACCATGCGATGGAAAGGAAGCTGAACCGGTTTATATAGCCACTAATGGATCATCCTAGAAATAACACCTTTTAGACGTATCATATTGTGATGCAGGTGAGATTTGTGAATGGGCCCAAATTGCGCAGCTACCGGATGTTACGCTGATTCTGACCAAAAAGCAAGATGACCCATGCAGATAATGACTCGAAATAGTACTCGATGATAGATAGGAACTTGAGCCAAGCAACCATCCATCTTTCCCACATCCACTATGTAAGATTTAAGTATTCCTTAAGGTTACTTTGACCCTTACGGCGCTGGTGAATGCCTAGGCTCACACCCACATGCAGAGCTGCAAGAAGTTCAGGGCTCTCAAAGCATCGAAGCGCGTGATGGAGAAGAATGAAAATCCCAAAAGGATAGGTATTTGACTTCTTTTCTTTTCACTTACCAACATTCATTATGCGGCTTCGCATTGTGATCGAATGATTAAGCTTGATTTTTAGTGGTTGATTGGGGCTCACTACATACGTGGGAACCTGCCCCCTAAGTTCGGCCCCATCTCAGCTTGATCTCAAATGCAATGGATCGTGGCTGAGTACCGATGAAGGCAGCCAGTTTTAACGCGTATAATTGGCTGAGGAGCGCAACCCACCAATTAATGGGAATACTTTGATGTGCATATTTCTTTAGACCTATTGTAGTTGTGGTAAAGCACCTAAAAGTCGTTGACAGGCCGAATCTTCCGGCCCAGAGGCTTGTTTCGTGGCGTTCTCGATTGCAACCGCCAACGGTAAAAGACATTAATTGTGTTTGATATATTGACTGGGGCGTTTCTAATCGACCTAGGCCAGCTAGTATTGAGGTTAAAGCAATTGCTATTTCAGAATTCATCGCATAACAATATGGTGATTATCAGCAATTCGGAAGCGAAATCTAGAAATCTTGCTGGGATAAACTCAGGAAGATTCAGCGGCTAGCTTCTCCGAACTGTTGAAATCTAAGAGGCTTTGGTAGTGATCAGCGCTGTGGATGCAAGGGGGCATTCTTAGCAGTGTTTTAGGCTCTTTAGGTGGCTTCGCTAGCCCTAACGGCACCTGGGAGCCTTTCCTCAAAAAAGTATCCAGTTCAGTCATCAAGATGCGACGTTGTACGGACCTGATCTTTACATTTATAGGTCATCAGCAGAAAAGTGAGCAATTTATTCTTACTTTGATTTTTCTCATCTTGGTGGATGCATTTTGAGTAACCTAATCATGCACTTGTTCGCCATTACAATCGAGGCCTGCAAAGTGTGGTAGTACAAAGGATGTTGGTCGAGGACTAAGCGCTCTCACTTCCTAATATATAAACTAAGGATTGGACAAATCTTGCTTCAGATGACCCCTGTCGAAGGACTTTGGGAGTCAAAAAAAAATACTGGTGAACCGTAGCATTTCATGGTTTGATATCTAAGCAGCCTTCCATTTCGATAGGAGTAAATACTAAATACGTAGGAGTAATTTGGTTCTTAACTAGAGCCAAAATAGGATGTAATATGGGTGAAACGAGCTCACTTCGACTGCCTCGGATTTAGCGACCGAATTCTTAAACGGTCAATACGTATCTAGGGACGTCCGTCGTCCAGGGGCCGTAAGCCTAAAATAGCGCTTAATGGTAGCTAATCTGTGAGAACCAGCCGACCCACACTGTTTACCACTGTCCATTCATTGCCAGCATTTCATCAGGATCATATAATTCGCAATATGTGCTCAGAAGCAGCTGGTATTAAGAATTCTCTTCAGCGTCTATAGGATCAGCGGTGTGAATTGGATTTACAAGGTTACATTTGTGTTGACCTCTTGGCCCATAGAAGTAGTACCTTAGTTAGGTAGTCATGCCATAGATTCTAAAGCGCGCAGAAATTCACAATTTTGAGCTTCTGCGAGCAATGTCTTGCATGGAGGACGGGGAGTTGTGCTTTGAATTAAATAATTCGTTACCTATTAGCTAACTCAACTCTAGGGATGCAATATGTTATTTCTATGTACCTATATACATGAGATACCGCAGCTCTCGCTCCATATATACTATGACTTCTAGCGATTGGAGACATGATATGGAAATGCGCATCACTGGCTATCAGCAAAGGCCGCGAAACAAGAATTGGTCTCATCTGCCGCACTCCAACCAACGCACTTGTAACAACTCAACAACCCCTTCGGATCATATTTATTCTTGATCGCCAACAATGAGGCATAGTTCTCTGCTCCCCACCAGGCCTCTTGCCAATCACCGGTGAATGGACTTGCTTCATTCTGATAGGCCCCTCCACCTGGTGTGAGCTGTTCGACAAGACTCGTCAAATTGTTCAACTTGGCTACTGCTGCCTGTCGTTGGGATAGAGTACTATTCCATGCCCATGAAGCACCTGCACCTAACTCCCAAAGCGCCTCTCGCCAAGCGGGAGTTGCGGAAGTCGAGTTGGTCGTGTAATTGTATAATACTGGGCCGACAACTGGAATGTATGGGCTCGATCCTTGAGCGTGGATTGCCTGTATGTACTGCATCAACTGCGAGCGGCCGGTCTCGGTCTCAAATAGTGATTGTGGGATTAAGCGGCTTCCTGCAATATGAACATTGCCGACACCGAGCTCATTGGCGCCGACGTATTTCAGATAGAAAGGATAGTAAGATGGGTACTCCTCGAAGACGACAGAGCCGTTGTTCGCCTCGGCAAAAGCTACAGCAGGTGCCATGGATTCCTTTGCCTCGTCCAAAGTCAGCAGCGGGTTGACGTCGATGAGGCTGCTCGGGGTAATGTGACCACCCCAGCCTTGCTGACTCCACGTCAGGGAATTGTTGACCATGATCTCGAACCAAGGCGTGAAAGTCGTCGCCGTAGCTGGGATGGTGATGGCTGCCACGACTAGCGGTATCAAAGGCTCAACGCGATGGCTAGTTTCAAGCACGACGCCGAAGCTACCACCGCCGCCTCCGCGGAGGGCCCAGAAGAGATCCTGGTTCTGACATGCATTAGCTGTGCGGTAAACACCATCTGGCGTGACGATTTTGAATTCGAGTACGCGATCAATCCCAAGGCCGTAGACAGGGGACAATACGGAATGACCGCCTGCTTGCACCCATCCGCCGGATACACCGACGGTCGCAGCGTATGCGCCGATAAATGTCATGTCATGTTGTTCGGCAAATGCGAATGCCTGGTCCATGTTCACGCCAGCGCCAGCGGTAATGGCATTGTTGGTCTCACTTGCAGGACACCCTTCGGGAACAAATGCGTTGTTGTAGCTGAGCTGTTGCATGCTACGCATCCATAGCAATAGGCGGTCCACTCCACTGCTGCGAGTCAGATAATCATGTCCACTATTTTTGATCGCAATTTTCGTTCCCGTGCAATTGGCGAACTCGAACGCAGCAATAACATCCTCGGGACTGCGGACTTCCAGATATACGGGCGGAATCATTCCCTGGTTGCATACAGCTCCATTCGCAAAAGCAAGGGGATCGGTAGGTTTGGTATTATCCAGCAGACACTGATTTAAGGGAACAGACGAACACATCTCGTCCTGATTGTTCATCCATGCATTGGGGAGATTGGCGCGGTAATTCGCCGACGTGTAGTTGGCCTGGATAGCTGCGCATGCTGCTTCATCTGGCTTGACTGAAGTACCATTATAATTCGAAAAGCACGGCAGTGGTAACGGAGTAATGTATCTCAGCGCACCCGAGGTCGTTTTGTTGAGCAACTGCCATTTCGAATAGCTCGACGAGGCGTAACTCCAGTCACTGCAGAGAGTCACCACCGCTACCGCCACCAGTTTATAAAGCCCGAAGGGATTTGGTCCTGAAGGAGCCATGGAATTCGACAGGGATTGCTCGTGGCGTCGTCAGAAATCCCTGTTATAATTTTGTTTTCTTCAGTCGCTCTCCAATGGACAGCTTTAGAAGATGGAAATCTCCGAAACTCTGAGAAATCTTTTTGCCGAACCCAGTCAGTCCGATGGCCATTTTTATTTTAGCGGGAAAGTGAAATGAAACAGCACACACCACTGCACAGAATCCATTCTATGGGCACTAATCCCATACCAAGTGCTGTCGGTCCACCTCGTTAGTGGCTATTGTTGAACTTGTAATTTCATCTAACGTTAACGGTAGAAACGCTTACGGTAGCCAGCTAGCTATTACTTGACTGAGTAGTCCCATTCTGACAAGTTTGAAATAAGGATGGCGACTCAACGTCTTGTAATACGTACCAAGGACTACTAGTTCCCACGGGTTCTAATTATTCGAGTATATCTTCAATTCCTAATCCTCCAAAGGCTGTGTGCCATGTGTGAAGTTTTTATTACATACAGTGAAACGCTCGAACGGGGTTTAGGGTGTAAGCAACACACAGAATTAGACTGCAGAGTCCGGAAACGTCTAAGCAAGCACGAAGGCCGAAATACATCCAACTTAAATTTGCTTCCGCGCATTCCGGATGTGACAGAGTACTCTACACTGTAGTTGACTACAATACATAGTACGTCTTTCCTTTCCTCACAGAGTCTGAAGGTATCCAGTTTAATAACTATGAAGGATTATTTGCATTAGCATTTCTGCCAATTCTCGTCGTATGAACTACATAGCAGAGATAACTTACCGGAAAATGGGATCCTAGTGAGAAATATCAGTGGCCAGCTCAGGCCGCGCAGTTGGGCCTGGCCACTCGCAGAAAAAAGTTAAATCTGTGAGACTTATCCAATTAAATATGCGCAAGTAAAGATCAAGCTTTGACTTCTCAGTTAGCTGATTCAGAATGCTTCCATATCCAGTTAAAAGTAGCTAATTCTCCACACCGATAACCCGCTCTGTACGGAGTAGGGAAGTACGTACTTCGAAAGCTCTGGCAGACTGCGTATTTGGTTTTTATGCGAGTGTCTGATCACTTTTATAAGGTTCCGCGGTCCTAGCAGATGCCATGAAAAGGGAAAATGGAGAAAGATCAAAGCAAAGTATTTTGCATACAGTACGTAATTCCGACCATATCGAGAGGGAAACCATGAGAAAAATAGGGGTTTGTGGTCCGTGGTTCCCCAGGCTCTAGAACATGTAATAAATCATGACTTGCACGACCCATCGAAGCAAACATCGATGCCATAAGTGATCGTTTGTATGAATGATGCGATTCTGAATAGTGAAGGACAAATTCTATGATGGAAAACACCACAGAGATCTGTATATGCTGATCGGCCTTTTCTTTTCCCTTTTCTGTCTCGTCCCATTCTAGCATAGAGTCCTCTTTTGATTTCTGTCTCTCTGCCTTTACCCCTGTGGTCCATCCAATCCGATATACGAACCAGCCGCAGATCGACGTGGTAGATGTATCCTTCCATGACAAGCTGCACGTCAAACCACCATGTCATCGTCCCACGCCGGCATCGGGAAATGGGGCGAGGTGCTCACGATTGTTCCTATCGTGGCCGCCGGATTTGCAACCATAGTTTATCTTCTTCGTCTCTATAGTCGTCGCCTTGGCGGGACTGGTCTCGCGACGGAGGATTTCCTGATGGGCATCGGGCTTTTGCTTTCATATGGCGCTACAGTATTTGTCGTTTACAGTATGTCTGTCTCTTCTCTTGAATACATGGTGGAGTAGCAATATCTGATCCGTCCCAGCTGCTTTCAACGGGGTTGGAATGCCCAGCTCCAGTCTTCCTAAATGGAAAGAGACAAACTTGCGATTCGTAAGTACAAGATGACTACATACAAGATTACCTCCGACTCTCGCGATATACTAACGCATGTACCAAATCTGATCAACAGGGTTCATGGATGATCCAAAAATTCTGGGCCCCGAGCATGGCTTTCATCAAAATATCGATCGTAGTGTTCCTTCAGCGCATCATGGGACCCATCGGCATCTTTCGAAACATTTGCACGGCTCTTATCGTTTTCATCGTCGCATGGGCCGTAACTGCTCTGATGGGGAACATCTTCCAATGTTGGCCGGTCACCTATTATTATAAGCCTTATGGAAAGGGACATTGTATGAGCCATCAGACCTCATTCTTTGAGACGATGGGTGCACTATCGCTGATTGTGGATGTGTGTATTCTGTGCCTTCCAATGCCATGGGTTCTGCGATTGCACGTTGATTTGAAAAAGAAAATTGCCGTCGTTTGTATTTTTTCGATGGGAGCGCTGTAAGCCAAGTCTAAAATTCCCCTTTGACTTTCGTTATAGTCCCCGAGCTGACTTTTACCAGTGTCTGCATTTTCAGTCTTCTTCGACTCGTGCAATTTCGATATTTTCTAACAACCAATTTAGCCTGTATGAAATTTCAAATCACTCTTCTGTCTGCATGACTTTGTCTGGAGGTGAATGAACCACTAACATGACTATTACTTCTAGCATCCAGCGCTCTTGAATCCATCTGGACGATTCTTGAAATGGACATGGCCGTAATCTGCGGCTGCATGCCCTTACTCACCCCTCTATTCCGGAAATGTGTTGACCGTGTCCGCACTACGACATCCAAATCCACTCCTCACTCTAATTCCCATTCCGCATCTAGATTATATGCTCGGTCAGGATCAAATCCATCTCCACACTGGGCAAAATTCGAAAGACTCGGTGGCGTCGACTCAAAAACACCCCCGCATTCTGAGGCTAGTGGTAGCAGAAACAGACAGGATCCGTTATCAAGGCAAGGCCATAATGGTGATGAGTTGGATGACGATTCGTCGATTGAGTTACAAGGTATTGCGGTGCACACTGTCGTTTCGCTGTCAGTTGAGAGTCACAAGTCCGCCAAAGATCTTTTGGAGAAAGGCTCGGCAGTAGAGCCAGCTAAGTAGTAAGGTGGATGCTAGTCTATATTCTCCTATAGGATGATACAACATCCCCAGAAGTCGTCACAGCAATAACCGTCATACTTTTGAGCCTTTTCTTCATCCGATGACCTATGTTCTACATAGCCACTGCGGCCGTACCAAATCCCCTGCCGTACGCGTCCCGGCCTTTGCAGGTATCCGAAAGACTTATATATGGCCATGATTTGATTGCAGATGACAAGGGCATTCGTTACTGCATCATAATTACACACGGATTTGGTAGCTTGGAGTATCTGCCACAGGTGATTCTGTGGCCGTCGTAAAAATATGCCTCGCTTCATTTAGCGGCGCAAGCCCAGTGCTTGATCCCAGCCCATTTCCAGGTTGGATCTGGAAGATTCGATTACGTTGAAGGCAAGAGTCGTTCTTTCAAGCAAGAGGCACGAAAAAGTAGTCTCTGGCTGCTTCTCTGCCCTCAGTCATCTGAGAAAAAGTCTAATTGTGTACCCTCGCCTTTGTTCTCGGCATTACAATTGAATGAACGACGGACAACCGATCTTGTGGTACACCTCGGTCGAAATTCTGGCCATTCTGGCAATACCACATCAGGAATACGCCTATGGAAAGCTGTCTCAGCAGCTTTCTTTGTCCGTTGTTCCATCTGATATACTTCCTCAAGTTGTCAAAGCATATAGTGACCTATAAACGACATTACTCTTGCCCAGGCCCTCGGCAAGTCTGATATTATTTTGACTCACGTGTTCTCCGATTGCACAGTGTCGAGGATGAGAGAAGTTTTCGGCCGATTCCATGCTGCTTTTCCAGATTTCTATTGTAATGATGTAAATATATTTTCGGTTTACCGTTTTATGTTACAGACCTTATGAATGCTATTACCACGTCATTCCCCATCTAATCTTAGATGCTAAATTATTGGTTGTGTTGGTTGCTTCGTGCAATCGAGATGCCTGGCACTGGTATGCAGCAAGGAGAGGTCACGTATGGCTTACACGTGACCTCGTCAAGCAAGGACTATATAGACCGCGTCAGGGCCTCATTAAGACAGATAGACACAACAGAACACAGAACCCAAGAATCACCTATTGAGATTGACTCAAGTGCTTCGTACGTACGCATATGCACCTTAGTGCACCCACAGGTTGGATTATTTCTGGGTAATCCCTTACCCCAGTCTCTTATAAGCCATACACACAACTTAAAATTCAAACCCTCAGTCATATTTAATAATTTATGTATTCCATAATATCTTTAAAGTAATACTATGATGCGTGCAGGCCCGTAGATGCTGAGACTTGATGGCATTCATTTTTGGACGGCCATTCCCTTACTAAAACTGCTGTATTAGGGCTTTGTTAACAAACCTTTTATGGGATTCTTAGTCTTAGGTAGGCCAACTGAATTTAGATGGCGGCGTTATGTATCAACGCCTTTTGTCCCTGATAATCATTATATGAGATTCCCCAGACAACTCCTCTATAGGGTCATGTGAGAGTCCTTTTATATGAACCTGATGCCTTCCTAAGATGGCTGTCTACTCCTCCGTGCCCAGGCAGTCCATTTGTCGACACGCCACTGATAATCAGTACCCAGTGTTAGCCAGGACCAAACAAGCTTGGGATACCATCATACCGTTCCTCTCCACATTCAGTCATTTGTCCTTTCCAACGATCAATTTTGCGCTGTCTGAGCATCTTCATACCTTGCAAGATGACTCGCGTGTGTGCCCGTTGTCAACAGGAGCTCCCCAAGTCGTCCTTCACAGCGTACCAATACTCCTTGGGTCGTGGCGTCTCGTGTTGCGTGTCTTGTGATAATGGTTATCATTCTGTCACCCTGTACGCAGGGAGGTCTTACAGCGGGAGATATAATGAATCTGGATATGCCACCGTTGACATCCGCGCGCTGAGGAATCCTTTTGCTCAGGGCACTTTTCGATGGGTGGCCATGGGGGAATACATTTCAGGTCCTCGCGTAAGCCACCCATGCATTATAAAATGGCTCAAGGAAGGTCGCGCTCTCTCGGAAGACTATTTTACTCTCGATATCAAAGCAGTCGACAAAGCCTTAGAGATAATCGATCAGTTCAATCGGTTGAGATTCATGGACAAAGTCATCAAAGTCAACATACCCCAAGTGTGGGAATTCGCATATGGACTGGAGGAATTTACTGGACAGTTATTTCTTTGCGAGCCTTTTATCGACAACTATCAAAAATTTAACAGCAATAGTGGATGGAAGGACGATAGTACGTCTTGGGCACGAGCGATGCAGGCTCTTAGTCATTTCAGCTACCACCTCTCTGGTGGGAATCATGTTCTCTGTGATCTTCAAGGAGGTATTCGTGGAGATGAAGTTATCCTCACGGACCCTGCTATCTTATCTCGGAACGGTGAATATGGTATTACCGATACTGGTCCTGAAGGTATGGTGTCGTTCTTCAGCACGCATGTCTGCAACGAATTCTGTCGTCCACACTGGATTAGACCGAATGCTCCCAAACAACATTTCTCTCCGGTACCTGGTACCATGATGATTCCACGTCGATAATGTGACAAGAGCTTCTGATACGGCCTAGCGACAAGTATCTTAAGATTCTGGGGTGGTTTGTATGAGAATGGTTTTGGAGGAGTCAGTAAGACGGAAAGTTATGTTGATTGTATTATTGGGTATTATCTGGCGTGCGGAGTAAAAGAGTGGGATGGGCAAATACTATCATCAGCTTCATAATCTATTGCTTCTGCCTCGGCACTTTTGTGCGTTTAGCATCGGTCAGGAAGATCCTGATTCTAATACATAAAAGGTTGTCAATGTGACGGTTGCCCAGCTAACAATTTCTTATTGTAGGTGCAGTATCGACGAAGCAAACTAAGCATGGAGATAGGAATAGGTCTAGGGATTAGAGCTCTACCATAGTGGATGTCATATGCTTGAGCTTCCTAAAAGGTCATGGTAAAGGAGATCTAAAACGGCCTGTATGATATCGTGGGATTATACGCCACCTAGTCATGAGAATACTAACTTGAAAAAGGCCGGAGGGTTTGGGAGAGAATAAGGCAATTGTGGCCCTAATAGACACTTGGAACTCATCTCATTAAGCTCCTAAGTACTCGCGGGTTAATCACGATAGACCCATGTCTGCTTAACTGAGGGAGCATCTTGGCTTCCTTGCAACCGTAGCAGGTGGCACACATACAGAGACACTTTTGACTTTCCAGACACAGGACTCTCTCCATTAACTTACTATGCCAGTCCGAATCAAATAATTGTCAAGCTTGCCAACGTTCATAATGGCATTTCAAAGCAGGGGATATCTAGAGCGCGAAAGCTAAAACCACAGCAAACCCTAACACCTACGCAGAGGATAGCTCCAGACAGTCTAAAATGAATGCCTTACTATTTAGTACTTCTCAAGCTTCTAAGTTATATTCCCAGAATTTAGTAAGAAATCGGATGTTAAGAATCTACTGTTATTCGATTACTAAGTCGGGCTGCTGCACTAGTTCCAAATTCCAAGGTTGTGTTCAGACGCAACGCGCAAGGCCATTTGTCTCCTAACAGAACAATCATCCGTCCCTAACGGCAGTCATCTGTCCGTCACTGGGAACCTACCTCAAAATCCACAATGACAAATAAAGACGATCAGAAAATGACCGATTGAATCTCGGAAAAGAAAAGCCGCAGCACCTATGGGCTTTTCCAAACCAGACACAACCATACGCAAGCGGCAGAAAGGCGACTATAATTATAATCAATCAAATCGAGTGCAGAGAATGAAGCGTTTTCCTTCCAACAACTTGCAGAATATCCCAGGAGTGTTCTCACTAGCGCGCTAAACCAACCACTCGATGTTTTCATGTTTGGGATAAATTATGGTGGTAAACTTGGTTTGGGCGACGCGACCAAGAAACTAGAGTTACCAGGCCCTGTCCTAAACCAAAATTTGTCCACTGAAGCGGTTGGAGTTGTTCAACTTGCAGCTGGGGAAGTTCATTCTGCTGCTTTAACCCACAGCAATCGAATCCTCACATGGGCCGCTAATGACGAAGGAACGCTAGGTAGAGACACAATTGTTGAAAGTAAAAAGACCCCTATAGATGCTACTAGCGATAATGGAGAGGAAGACGATGACGATGACGACGATGAGGTGGAACTCAATCTGAAGGAAGCTACTCCGCTGCCTGTGGACTCTTCGCATGTTCCCGAAGATGGCACTGTTTTCACCCAGTTGGTCACAACCGACAGTGCAACCTTTGCTCTTACAAATAAGGGTTTGGTTTACAGTTGGGGTACATTCAGAGTGTGTTGTTTCTTTTTACTTTTCTCTATTTGCGCTAAAGTGACATGGGATAGGACAACAATGGTACAGCTCGCTTCTCGCCCAAGTCCACGATCCAACGAGCACCTGCCTTAATACCTGATTTGAAGGACGTTGTAAAACTTGTCGCAGGAGCGCAGCACGTTTCAGCCCCGATTTCAAATGACACCGTTTTTTCTTGGGGTAACCACGAGCAAAATTAACTTGGAGGGCACATGATCAGTCGCCTTCATGATTTGCCATGGCTTGTTCTTGGAAACTGCTCACTCCTGCATGGAATTATCGATTTCGGCAGGAATTTATCATTCATTCTCCATCCGTAAGACTGGCCACCTGTACGCTTGGGGATCTAACAACTTCGGACAGACCGGAGTTTTCCAGAGCGCGGGTCAAAGCGACGCCGTCATATCGTATCCTACTCCAGTTCCAAGTCTAGAAAAAGGATCAGGGATTGTCAGCGTTACTGGTGGAAAGGATCACAGCTTGGTTGTAACTGAGCAGGGGCAATGTCTTGTCTGGGGTCGCATAGATAATAACGCCCTTGATATTATTGGTCAGGACATCCCAACCTCTGATATAATATTTGACACCTATAACAAGCCTCGGATTCTCAAAGTGCCTACACCTATAAGTAGTGTTGACGGAAAGGTTGTCTTTACCGCCGCGGGAACAGATCATTCTTTCGCCATTATCCAGGATGGTAGAGCATACAGCTGGGGCTTCAACGCACAACGTCAGGTCGGTCACAGAAATGAGGAAGAGGATGAAGTTGAGCTGCCCACACAACTCAAAAACAGACATGTGTCCGGCAAAATGCTTGTATCCGTCGCCGCTGGTGGTCAGTTCAGCATTTTCCTGCGTCTGCACGAACCCCAAGCGAAGGGTAACACTGATGGGTCTGCCCGCCCCTCTGTCTGAGGCCGTTGCGCCATCAGCAAAAACGCTCCAAGAAGAATTGCGCCATTATGAAGAGATGATGGTATTATCGATGTATGATTAGGCCCATCTAATCAACACCAAGATCGAATCTATCCAGCACTAAGAAACTACCACCGCCAGGAGTCTTATTCCGAGAGAGATCGCCGAGATAATTACCGCGGTCCTTTCTTGACCCAGATCGCTAGTATGGCTTGATAGGAATCAAATGTGGTTGAGGATCTGTGTAACTTTGTTTTAAGAAGGGAATCACAAAGGAGGTCTGCTTTAGATAAAACCGCATGTTTGTATATTAAGCAGCGAGGTATGCCCAGGTGGCTTTTGAAGGGAAATCTTGTAGTCTCTTACTTAGTATATACGTATGTAGGAATCCACATGTTTGTGTAAAACACACTAGAACCGTGGCACATACAAAACTTGAATCATTTCGAGATTTTTATTGAAACTATCTAGTAAACAGTGCTGGCGATTTAACATCAAGAGGCCAGATGAAAGTGAACGTTTTTCATTAATCCTTGAAGGTATGATTGGTTAACTTTGCCATCAAATAAGCCACTGAACCAAAAACTGCGGTACCGGCCTCTTAAATAGTCACGCTGATAGCTCCTAGAGCAGAACTCGCACTCTGGAGAGTTGCAAATCTGCTACCCGCAGCGACATTTCCAATGGTGGAATGAGCAATGGCAGCGAGAGAGCCTGTGCTTTAAATTAACTCGAATGCTCTTAATCTCTGTTTAGTATAGATAGCTGCCGATGTAACTCCCGGAGCAGCGACTAGAGCGACTCCACCAACTGCAGCCACAGTGCAGATCGCTATAGCTGAGTTTTGCTGAGCTCGCTTGGAGACTTCCTGAAGAGCAGTTAGTGAATACCAAACAGAAAATTATTACGGCAGATAACATACTTTAAAAGCCCCTTTGAACGCGTCTTTAGCTACACTGCTGTAATAACCCATATTTGGCATATTGGAAAGATGATTCAATGATTGACGAATATCTGGCTTTGAGGACGGCTTCTTTTAAAGTGTTGATCATGTGAAAAGTTTCTGCCCTACTATACAATTAACTCTTGTTTCGGTACTAGCCGCGCCCAGACTATCCAAACGTCTTTGTTCATGTGGAAAGACAATGCATTAACTCGACCGGGACTTACCGAAAGAAAATGTTTGTTTCTAAGGGATGTCCCGCCAGTGAATTGACAAATTGGACAAATTGATGCATAAACTCTGGACTGCTTCCCTGGCAATCCACAAATACAGCAGAGTCATCAATGTGATACAATTATAGATCGGATTAAGGTCGGACCCGCCGCCACGGGAACGGATGACGAGCCGCTCAGCCGTTAGACTCGAAGCTTATCGGTCGGCTATCTGCCCCACATGTTAAAACAGCGTGGGGTTAGGGTTATCGATTGGTGGTACATAGATGACTTCGACCCAATGTCGGGAATTGCTTGAATGTAGCAACGATTTCAATTTGTAATGTTTCTTTACTAACCGTGTCAGTAAACTGCAAAAAATTCAAACCGGTTATTATTCGTCTTCACGCCTACTCTTTTGCCCATTGTCCTCCGGGGGTTCTTGATTTTCTCCTTCGCCTCACTTCCTCTGCCCAATCATGGACCAACCCGGTTTCATTCGTGAAACACTGATAGGAACCGGCATTGCTGGCCATCACCCTTAGCGTCTGCCCATCTGGCGACGACATAAGCTAGGTCGTTGGACGTTCGGGCTTGCTTTAGCCTCTCTAGTCACAATTACATGCCTCCCTAATATATCGGACTTGGTACTAGTAATAAATCTCAATTTTTGTGTTCATAATATGACGAAGAGTTGCACTGCCTCAGTTTGAACTCCGTCGGTGACGAGTATGCGGACCTGACACAATACCAATTGCTCAATTCAATGACTCTTGCAATGGAACTGCCGCTAGTACGGAGTACGGGCATGACAATTATTAGCTCAACAGCGAATAAAGCCAGACTTCAATGTAGCCTCAGCGCATCATTACATACAAAGGACCCAAACTCGTGTGGGACACGGATCGAATATAGGCTGTGCTCTGCGATTATCACTACTGATCACAATCTCATATAACCGGTGAAATCTTCTAACCCAAGTGAGCATATATATTCATAAACACAAAGCAATCTTTCAGGTCCCTGTCTGTAGATTTGAAAACGTAATTTTCTAGGTCTAACTTGACCAATAATGGAAATATTGATCTAGCCTCAGCCCAAATCATAATAGCGGTGACTGTCGGGCTCAGGGTAGGTTTTAGTGTTTTAGCGAGGTGCCAATTGACCCAACAGCCATAGCCCTGATAAATAATGAGAAAATGGAAGATATATTCTTCACTTTTTATAACTTACATTCGAGTAAACCAATGATGACTAGCAAAAAATAGGGTTAGGGCTAATAAGCTCCAATCCATCCATGACCCACATTACCCTATATAAAACCCGCTTCTTCAAAGTTCATAAGAGTCCCGTCAGCAATCATTCGCTATCTATTTGACTCACTAGAGTATGAAAATTTTTCTTCGTCTTCCCTTTCCTGATGCCCTGCATATTTTGCCCGGGTAAAGCCAGTTGCCCGGAGGTGACTCGCCCTCCCCCACTAAGCACAAATGACTCTTTCCTAAATGAGCTCCGCCTGCACTGCCGCTTTCTTACCATATAACCTGTCTCTTTCCCCAATACTCTTTTTCTCCTCCATCGTCTTCTATCCTCACGCAGGATGCATTGCATCTTAGCTGGCATCATAACTGTCTATATAAGTATGTATCGAGATTCCTGCATCCTTGCCTAGAATCTACTTTCCTCTTGCAAGTTGTCTTTCCTTCCTCGTGCTTGATCCTACCGGTACTCGTCCTCGAACATCTAGTTGCGTTATATATAGAGCCTCGAAGACACGCCTTAGGCTTGGAAGCTCCTCTTCACTCAAGCTATCTGCGCGTCAGTGGGTTGTACCCAGGTGCTGCTGGTACATTTACAACCATCGAAAGCTATAATGGACTGGCGGCCTCCCAACAATTTCCTGACTCCAGGAAGCTATAACCAGAGTCGTCGGACTAGTGATTCCAGGTCATCGGTGTCAAGTAATAACATGCAGCGGGGTCTTTCTCAGTCATCATATGTGGACGGGTCATCACGGACCACCAGTGACATACACTCAAACATCGGTGACTCAATCTTGGCCTTTTCTAATCCCATTCCTCAGTATATACAGGGCGAGTCTGATACATTCCTCTGGAGCCGGCCTCAGATTGAGGTGGGAGATCAGAGTGCTTTCGCTGCTGCTGATCATCCCCTGCTACCCCCAGACACTCCGTTGCTCCAGCCCACACCCGACATCAACGATCCACTACATAACATTGAGAGTGGTATAAATAACCCAGACGCATTGTTCGAGCTCGTTCTTGACAGGCTTCGAGAAGAATATGCCACACATCCCAATCAGGCAACGTATGCATTAAGTCTGGCTCAGAGGAATCTAGGGACCAATGCCATCAGGGGACTCATTACACCGAGAATACAACTTCCGACAACACCACAACGGCCTGCGACACCATCTCCTATAAGTCCTCGTCCTGGTAACGGCGCACCACAACGATACCTGTGTAAACTATGTCCAATACCTGTGCACATCACTTCAAGAGGCGCCTTCAAACGGCATGTCAACGAGAGGCACCAGGCGAAATCTTGGTTTCTGTGTATGTGTTGTAATGACTGGAGAAGTACTCGCAAGGATAAGCTCCGACATCATCTAAGGATCAAGCATCCCAATGTTTCTCTGCAAAACCTCGACCAAAGGGAATATGCGATGCCCGAACCCAACAACTGCCAGTTATGTGAAAGTGACAGGTTTATGAATCATATGCCGCCATTTGCATCATGGGATGCATGGTTTATAGGAATAGAGGCTCATTGCCGTCTCGATGAGAATACCGATAATGAATTGAATACACAGGCGGATGGTCGTTCAGACCAGGGTGATGGAAATGCAGGCGGAGCTGGTGGTTTCTTGTTCCCTAACCTACCGTTCAACCATTCACCGAGTTCTGGAAGCGCATCTTTTTCTCAGGGGTCCAACCTGGCTCCTGGCTCGATGTTTTCTGGCTGGACATTCAGCAACCCGCAGACGCATGAGCTGAGGGTCAACAAAGATACGAATCGCAGACCACACGTTATAAAGAACTTTTCTGACGAGGTTCTTGAACTAAACGATATATCAAAGAGCCCGTCTGTTTTATCCTTAAATAGCCGGCTGTCAAGACCCAGGACTTGCTCGTCTTGGGACATAGCTGCACAACGGAATCCAAGCAAGATACTTGCGATATCAGACATTATACAAAGCCTTGAGACAGCAACTCTTGTCTTCTCAATCAACAAAATATCTCTTCAGTTAACTGAAAATCTGCAACGCATAAAGTGCGAGAATCCCCACAAAATCTCAGTTGATCCTTTGAAACATGGGGAGATGACCCTTTGTCGCATTCATCGCGATCATCCTATCTTGCATCGTGTTTTGTCGCGCCAATTGAACCGCTGTCATATTTCGTTGAGTGCAATCCAATGGGAGTTGTCATCATCTTCGACGATCCCTGCTTCGCCTACTAAATCAACGGAGAAATGCTATCGGCGTAAGCGACTCTCGTCGCTTTGGGCACGGTTGAGGGCAGTTAGCTTCGTTCTCTCGCTTCAAAAGGAAGTAGTCACAAATGAGGGATATGTTGCACACCCCTGCAGCACTAAAGACAAACCCATTTCACCTAAAACCGACTGTCCAAAGGCTGCTATGTCATCTTATACTTCAGAGGCGTTGAAATATCTATATACACTGGCGCAAAAGCACCTTGCAGTTGACTCGGGCAACAACATATTCGACGATAGCAAGACCAATACTCTGAAGTCCTACACAAAATCACCCATTGTTGAGAGTCCTTTGGGTGTATTCGGTTTTCTGCAAGGTCTTACAGCTGCCATATCCAACCCTAAACCGTCTGTGGTAGAGCCGTATGATATGACTGACTTGTATGGTTTACTACACCATTCGATGACCAATATATCCACGAGATCTTTTTGATCATGATTGGAACAAACAGATGAACGCGAGAAACTTATATAAACGACAGCTCCAGTGAACCAGCCATTTTCAGCATTTACTTCTCCGAGCGAGGAAGCCATCGCTCGATGATATGCGAGATGCAAACAAGCAATAAACAGCAACCATTCGCTACAATGCAGAGATGATGACCGCTCAAATATTGATGACATATTATCTTGGCCTCTTCTTTTCATGTTTTTCGTTATTGCGTTTTCTTTTATATGTATCTCTGTTCATTTCATACTGCGTGATTTTCTTCAAATTACCACTGAGGCCGAATACTTATTTCGAGTCCTCTTCATGACTTCATGAAACCTGATTTCTTGTTTACTGGCATACCTCTGTGGATGGAAACTTGGAGTCTTAAGGGAAAAAGGGGCATAGGCTATACACGGATTTTCACGAAGTGAAGGGTCTTATTTGCGGATGTATGGTGTCTGGGATAGTGAATTAGAAAGGCTGGGAATTTAGGCAATACCGCACGTTACTTTCTATTTTTGCTTATGTTTTCTGTCTCCAGTTGATATTATCGTCGTTCATCTGTTATAGAATTGGGGGCAGAAGAGTAAATTTGACTCCATTCGACACATATGAGATCCAATTTATTCAATACACACACATACCTACATGCAACGAAGTAGAAAGGGAAAAAAAAAACTAACCCCAGGTACAATAGCAATGGAAAAATCGAGAGAAAAATTTTCTTCTAAACACCATTGGAAAGGTAAAACAGGATAAAAGCAAAGAACGCCAAATAGTTATGATTCTGATAGAGAGACCCAGAGCAAAGAAAAAATTCGCCGCTATTCTTAGTAAGGAAGATAGAAAGGGAAGGGACGAAAAGAGGGTTTAAGAGGTTGCGATGTTTATAATGGGCTTGTATGCTGATTTGAAGAGACGGCTTAAGAGTGAGGCGGCGATTCGATATTTGGAATCTTGATCACTCCTGTCTCGTTCTTTTTGCTCCGTGCGGGTTCCATGCTCCTTGATCATTGCCCATTTGAGGGTTACCCTGAAAACCGCCGCCGAAATTAGGGTTGAAGTTTCCAGCTTGAAAACCTGATCATATATCATTTACTGTCAGATTGGAGATACAAAATACAGGGAAATACGGGGAAGAGAGACTAACCCATGCCCATGTTGCCCATCATAGGATTCATACCGCCAGTCATGGCAGGATTCATACCCATCCCGCCCATCGGGTTCATGCCCATACCCATCATATTCGGTGCACCACCCATATTGGGTCCACCACCACGGCCACGCATATTGGGGCCACCACGCATACCGCCACCCATCATGTTTCCGCCGCGGTTGAAGCCACCGCCGTAATTACTCATGCCACCTCCCATTGGGTTATTGAAGCCACCACCACCCATGGGCCCGCCAGCACCTTGGAAACCGGTGTTCATACCTCCAGAGAAGTTGCGATTGTTGTAACCCATTCCCCCGCGGTTGAACCCTCCACGTCCACGGAAGCCGCCCCCGGTTCCGCCGGCTACATTGTTCATGCCGTAGCCCATATTCTGGGTTCCAGGTTGATTGAACGGTCTGCTATTGCGATCATCTTTACGAGCGGGTGCGTCCTTGGGTAGGGTGCGGAATGGGTTCTGGTGGGGATTTGTATAGTTGGCGTTGTGTTTACGACCGGGTTGGCCGGTATTGGCGTAATGCTCGATTAAGTGTTTGACTGCAGTTGCGGCCTGTGGTGTGGTGAATTCCACGTAGGCTTGACTAAACACTATGTTAGTTTAATCTTCGGAGGGACATGAGTATCACCAACCTCTTGCTCTTTCCGTTGACTTTGTGTTCGCTGAAAGTGACATCCTTCAACTCGTTCTCAGCGTTAGCCTCGTTGACCCAGCCGCGAATATCGTCGTCAGTCGTCCACCAGAATAGTTCCGAAATGAAAAGCGCAGTGGTAGCATCTGGATCGGTGGGCCGATCCTCAGACGAGGAAGTCATTTCTTTGCGCTTCTGGCCTTGTTGCACAGGCGGCTGTTGCTGTGGCTGTGGCTGATTCGAGCTCTGATTTTGATGTGACGCGTCTTGCCCGTTGGTCGACTGTGCATTATCGTTGTTACCATACTGAGTTTCCCCGCCTTCATGACCGTTCGTCTCGGGCGCATCGAGAATCAACTCTGGTCCCTCCTGGCCATTGTAACCACCATCTCCGTAAATATCCAGATCAAAGTTATCCTCCTCAGCCATTGCGACGGATTATGTGACTTGTTCTGTAGAGCGGGAGACCGATCGAGAAGTAAGAACAACTTTCAATCTTATTTTTCTTTTTCTTGTTTTGGTTATGCACAAGCCTGTATGATGTCTTTCTTCCGACGAATCAATATGAATACATGTCTGTTTATTGCAACACATTAGCATGGAGATAGGGAAGGACACGACCTCATAGTGGTAAGCAGAGAAAGTAGTTGACTCAAGGGATAATAATTCCATCGAGAAAACGCAAAACAAGCAACAGAGAGAAACATGAAGAAAGAAAAGGTACGTACAAGCTTGAGCGCTAGTATTCTTTGGAAACAAACAGGGCACCACCAAAGTGAACAGAGTAAGGTAAGCTCTGAATCAATATTCTCTTCTGAGACCCGACTGTCCTTGATGACAAGTGCGGGTTTGCTTTTTTCTGACAGGATTTGTATTTGTCTGTGACCAAGACGAATAAGTCTATCCACACAAAGATGTAGCAAACTGCCACAGACCAGCAGGATATCAAGAGCAAGTGAAGTTAGTTCTAAGAAGACGGTTTGCGACCGTTCAAGAAGCCAAGAAATGATAGCAGAGATAGAGGTGGAAGACTGTCGGGAATTGGATGATTTGAGGTATGAAAGAGGGTGGACAGGACGATGGAGGTACGAGGCTGATCGCGGTGTAACGGTGTCGACTGACTCTTGCTCCGGGAAAGTGATATCTAGGACACGTTGTCAATACTTGATTCGAATGACTCACAGCTTCCTCGAGATCGGGACGGGGTCGAATAAACAAACAAGAAATTGAACGGACAAGAGACGAGACGCGAGAGCTGAGGTTGGAGGTAGACTCGTCGAGCTTTGGCAAGGATGGAGAGAGTGGAGCCATTGGAAAGTGGTGATTGGCTCGGAGCTGTAGAATGTTTCTCCGCTGTTGCCAAGTTAACTAAACCTATATGAGACTAGTGCATCTTGCCATGAGGCCAGCTGGATTCATCGCGGAGATCCAACTGCTTCTTGACTGTCTGGACATTCTATCGATTCTCTTCTCTTCTTCAATTTTACACTTCATTCGCTTCACTCCTTGAACTACCTTTCTCTTCTCGATTAGACTGTTTAATCAAGCGAACAATCACAATGTCTGACACTTTCCAAGAACTCGCCGATATCCCCAAGGTATGTCTGGCATCTCACATGCTGCCATTGAATATCCCAAATCGATCGCTACTTATTAATTGGAGCTCTTATTGACTTGCTCTCTCATAGGACTTCATCCGCGATGGCATGCAGTTCGTTAACCGCTGCACTAAGCGTCAGTCTCCCCTACTTGCTATTCCCCCTGATTCTGTCCCAGGTTCACAAGATCTATATTCTAACAACCTCTGCAGCTGACAAGAGGGAGTTTTTGAAGATTTCTCAAGCAGTTGGTACGTAATCTTCAATCCTGGTTGCGATTTATACCTCTTGGGATGTTTGTCACTAATTCAACGTCGCAACAGGTGTCGGCTTCGTGATCATGGTACGTCTCGGGAAGACAATTGCATGGAAACCGTCGAGAACGGAGCATATACTAACAGAACCTTGTTCAGGGTGCTATTGGATACTTTGTTAAATTGAGTCAGTGCCCTTTTCACATTTAGTTGTCTTCGTCGCTGGACTAACCACTTGTGTCGCACAGTCCACATCCCCGTCAACAACGTCTTGGTCGGCTAGACGCACAACGATATGATGTTAAATAATTCGAAGGGGAAAGCGCACGGAGGGCAGAGATTGGAATAATCGATTTATCATGCGTGCTCGATTCAACCCGATATGAATCCGACAGCCACACCATACACACCATACAACCCGCATACTCACAAAATAACCTTACACACGCGCCGACACATGCATTCAAACAGTTCAGGAGTTCTTATCTTAATAGGGTGATGGGCAAAGGCAGTTTCTTATATACCTACACAGTCGAACTTTTTTAATGCGAATCTTATTGAATGGAATGGCCATCCATTTCCGTCGCTGTACCGCGACTGATGCATGAAGAGTATGTATGTATAATAATCGAAAAGCTAAAAACATTTCAAAGAGCATTCTCTAGTTCCCCTCGACCGTCTATACAGAACAAAAAGCGAGGATTCGTCAGTAGTTTGCGCTCGGCGACCGTATGTATCATAAACAAGTGTATCATGCATCCGACTAGGGAATAGCAGCATCTAAAAAAGTAAATCAATCAGAGTCGTATACAAATCTATGACCGCCAGACGACCTGTTTGATCTACGTGATGGTTTGAGTTTTTCGTCATAACTCAAGCCCATGGGCGGATATCCCTCGTCTTCAGGGGCTGAATCATTCCATGAGTGGACGGTGCATGTTCCTGAGGATGCTCCGTAGCCATTCCAGGATGTTGCTGAAACATGTAGGTTAGATGAGATTGCTTTGAGCATATGGGTAATAAGACATACCGGCTAATACAGGTGCTGATGGATGCCAGCTTGCATCACGTACAACGTTCCTCCAAGCATTATCAGACATTCCCCATCCCCAGTGGGCGAGATCTTCTAATTCACGGGGTTCTCTATGAGTTGATGTAATGGCGCCAACATCAATGACTGCCGCTAGCGTTGCGTCTATATTGTATATATACACTTTACCGTCGGCGCTTCCGGTATAGACATATCGAGAGTTTGTACTAGATGGCGGAGAAAAGTGGCATCTAATCAGCGTCTGTAATACTTGATGTCCTCGATAAGTCACAACGGAGCAATCGTGGGGGTGCGGCGTATAATCCTCGTCATGGTAAGGCATGTATCGGTAGTCGAATCCAGTGGTGTAATGAGTAATGTTAATTTTATCGAATTGCTCGGTGGTTACCATCTTCCGCAAATCCCATAACTTCATCGTCTGGTCTTTGCCGTTTGATAGAACGTAACGACCGTCACCTTTGCTGTCGACGTAGGTTAAGCCTTCGGTATGACCTACAAAAGCCCCAGCTTCGCGACTGTCGTTCATGGAACGTCGATCCCAGACGCGGATTGTGGTGTCGTCTGAGCCGGAATAGAGAATATGCGGTGATAACGAGTCTCCGTAACAGACTGCATTCACGTCATCGTCATGTTTTCGCAATCGAAGTATACCCTGTTGTGTCTCGATGTCATATACAACCACGGATTTATCGGATGTACCAGCGACGATCTCCCGTCCGTCACCGGAAAAGCGGAGAGACCATATCTGACAAGATGGATTAGCATGAAACCAATGAAGACCAAAAGGAAGGCATACTCCAAAACCACCCCAATCTTCTCCCCGATTTGCGGAAAAATCGAGTAGCATAGGTTCGGACTTGTCATTAGGATCCGTGGCTGCTAGCGTGACTTGTCTCTGGATCGAGCTTGCCGCAAGATATCTGTTGTCGGGACTAAGTGTGGCGTCTGTGATTGTCCATTGTCCTCCTATAAATCGCACGGTTTTGTAGTATTTCCAATCATGGGGATTAGCGGTATCGTACATGCGCACTCTGAAGTCCTGTCCGCAATTAAAGAAGAAATTCCCGTCGTCCGAAAATTGGCCAGAGTAACATCGCGCATTATAGTAGATGATCTTTTCTGCCGTGGTTGATGGTATCAAGTCCTGTACAATGCAAATTAACTTCTGTCTCGACTTTTCACTCTACGATGCTGAGCCAGGATCATACCTGAAACACCAAGCCTGAATCTCGTTTTCTTTCTCCTGGTGATCCAATACCGAGCTCACGCCACATAATTCTCGTAGCCAATTTCTTCTTGCGTCTCTTCGCTTCATCCACATAATTGGGATTATTGCCGTACAATCCAGAATTCATCAATGCTATTCCATTCTCGCTGGGGACATTCGGATACGCGTGACGCGCCGTACGGTTTCGTCTCCGCCGACGAAAACGAAGAGATGAATAACCACCAAAGTCATCGTCATCGTTCTCATCATCCTCTTCATCGACAACGAAAGCACCGCCGCCAAAAACCCCGCGAGACTGAAGGAGACGCCGAAAGCCTCCGCCGCCGAGAAGTCGTATCACTTGGGCTGTAGTTGCTATACCAGATTAGAAATCAGTAATCGGTTTCAGACGCAAGATACTGTGGGCAGTAAATACCTCTTGCTTGTCGAGACCGCTGCTCGTCATCTCCCGTCTGCTCATCACCCATCGGACCCACGGTCAACTCGATTTGTATGTTTCCTTCTGCATCGCCTGCATCAAAGCCCATATTAGCATTTTCACTAAATCCTACATACCGATCACCTCCAATGACTTCAATGACTCACGGTAAACTCTGTTTTCACCATGCCCTTCGTCCTCTTCCTCGTCATCATCCTCGCTTTCCTCAGGCTCTTCCTCTTCATAATTTTCATCGTCATCGTCGTTGACGTCCTCTTCAGCAAGATCGAAAAACAAGTGTTCTAGACCCCTTGGTGGTTCGTAGTCCATGTCATCGTTGTCGTCATATTCGTCGTTGTTGAAGTATTCGAATGCTGGATGGAATTCATCTGATAAGTCGTCAGAGCCGGAACGATGGCTGGGCGGGGAGCTCCGGTCGGCCATTCAGCGTGACAATCTGGGAAGAGAATAATCGCGTAGAAGTGATCTTGTTGGAGAAGGGTACAAAAAGAATCCCGAAGAGTGTAACCGTTGAAGTCAACAATTGTAGTCGTGAAAGAATGGAGAGTAGTCGACGTAAAGCGGAGTGGATGGTGAGCGCTTATCGATAACTAATCCGCGGTCCCGTTATCTCCGGTGTCTGTTACTTTCTCCGATCTTTGAACAAGATTTCTCTATAATTCTTTGAAAGGATCACTCTGATCATTGGATAAGAGATCACGCCACGAATACGTCTACGGAAAGACGAAAGATGGAGAATGCAGCCCTCGGTACTTGGTATCTAACTCCCCATATGCCACTCATTTTCTTCATGTTCCTGCATCTTTCGTCGCTTATTAGGTGGTTCATCAATCAGCTCATCCTCGACTGGCCCATTCGGTGTATCCATCAGCGAGGCATTCTGGGTATGAGATTCAAAAAAACCTTTTCCAACTCCCATCCATCGCCTCTGAGTCGTTGCCATGTAGACCTATGTGATACGCCTGTTTCATGGAATCTATGCAGATTTGACGCTGCTTGTCGAAATCAAAAATTGGTTTCGAATAGGTCTTTATGCCATCTTCAGTATCATATGTCCCATCGTCTGTAACACGGCATCCCCATGTTTTTTTGATCTTTTATTGGAGCACGCCATGGTTCGTATATGTATTTCTTGTCGTAATCCTTCAGCTCTGGACAGTATCGGCGAACGAAATCACCATTCGGATCCCACCTTCTACCAAAGGCTATCGGTGAATAGCATCGGTAGTATTGGCTAAAGAAGGCTGTACATGACAGCCACATCCAATTGCCAACATTGGATGCTTCTTCATCTAAATGATAGGTTAGATACGCCTCAGAAGGAATGTTCGTACATGCGATCAATTAGCCATTCCTGAAACACTTCCACACCTTGCTCCCAACTAACGTAACAGCCTCCACGAGTCAAGAAACACACTCCATTGACGAAACCATGCTGCGGCTTCTTCTGAATCGACGGCATACGTGTTATCTCGAATGAACTTTCCGTTTGATGACTCTGAATGAGTAGATTGCAGCCGCCATGGAATGAATGGGCGATCTTGTTTCCAAATGTCTGCGAAGACGTGTGTCCCAAGGCGGCTTGAGCACTAAAAAACATTTCCCCGAACAAAAGCTGACCTAGCAGCAGATTGTAGCCATATCTGCAGTTGATTGCTTCTTTTCATGCCACTTATCCGTCACAGATTTTACATCCCACCAGAACTTGCGAACAACAGCGAAATCCTTCTCGGGCCCCATTACCTCTTTCTATTGACTGCTCCCATTATCAAGACTCTGGTAAGGTGCATTAAGATCTGGCACTGACTCGGGCATATTATGTTCCAGGCTGTCTAGATTCATTTTCGCATCTTCCCAAGGGTCGGGCACAGATTCCGGTGTACCAAGTGGTTTGTCTGGAATATCACTGTCCATATTTTCCGAAGCCTTGAGCAACTTGTTTATGCTTAATGTCGGCTCCCCGTTGTTTTTTCTCACAATATAATCTGGATTGAAGAGAGGCCTCCCATTGCTGACTAAAATCTCGGTCCCAGCATTTTCTACAAGTTTGATGATTTGCTCGTCGCGGTGCTTCGCATACGCGTCTGTATCTTTTTCAAAGACCAAATGTGTAATTCCCCATGCTTTCCATAGCTTTGTGAGATCAGATTGCGGTGCTTCGCGCACAACTCACAGTTTCTGCCTTGCATTGATAGAGGTATATGCCTTGGAAAAGCCCTGTTGACACTCAATCAAGAATATTCGGCGGTTGGGATTAACTCGAGTATGGTATACGTAGTGAGGGTCCCATGTCCCATACTGAAATGAAGACTGAGGGCTGCAGGGCCAGTGCAGCTTGTAGTGTTGGGGAATCGTGCAGTCGCAGATCTGTACGGTGTCAGGATAGCACTACGACACGTGAGTCTTTAGGAGGCATTTCGACCAGTTCGAAGGTGTTGGACGTAAAGAAGAAACAGAACGGGTGAGTTATACCTAGGTACGTGTTTACGATGACGCCCCGACGGAATTTGGGATGAGCGATCGATCATGCCTTCCGCCGCACAGCAAGGACGCATCGCTCATCGGGAGGCCCCTTTTGCCCACATACTGGTCAGTGAAAGGACTATACAGAGAGCATAGCCTCTACATTTAATCATTTAATGGGTTATTGCGGATGTGCTTTTCATCAGCGGAAATCACACTTGTGCCTGTCAGCCCAGGACGTGTCCATCAATATGCACTTCGCAATAGCTCTATGAGGAGAGCGAGAAATCGGCTGATTGTGCAAGTGCGTTCTCCCTCCATGCCTACATTTACCAGGGCATTCCAGAGCTACTTCAGTCCGAGGCACAGAATTGACCGATGGTTCTTGAAAGCGGTGGTTATTGTTTATCAAAAGAGAGGCCTTGACGTTTCTGCGTTCGCTGGAGTGTTTTTTCATACAATACGGCAACCGTTATTCGGTATCTGCCACACTCTTTAAGCATAAAACATTGGAGGCGTTTGAATCAAATGGATCAGGAAGCTATTGAAGATCTCTCTCTTCATGTCGAATTGGGACTACTTCACAATCTTGCCAGACGAACCGCGGATGGATACTCCTGGTCAGGGAAAACATCAGGAATTGGAAAATTTCGGAAGGCACAACGATATATCGGTCATCATTTCATTGAGCCAGAAAGGAGCATTGGGAAAAGAGCCTCTGGCGTTTGGGGATAGCTTAGTCTGAGCTGTGATCTCTGAAATCGAGGATTGTGAATCCGACACAATGGCTACATTGTTTTCCTCTGGAATACCCTTAAAGATGGCGACGAACTAACTAGACGTTACAAGCAAACTTAAGATCAACTCCTGGGGTACGAACCCATGACACACCCAATGAGACCTCTTCTGTAGCATGCCTTGCCTTCGCGGACGAGTTCAAATGGTGATTGATTAGCATGGTCTTGTTACGGCAACAATTCGCGAACCTTGTATATGGATTGACTAATTGCTATTCTTCCAATAGGATACTTCTATGCATAGGCGATGTTTCGACTACGAACTTTCACTTGGGGCAAGTCTTATCTACCAGGAGCCGTTCTGACAGACCTAGAATTGTGTCCGTATCGGTAATCCAGGCTCTAAACCCAGTCGAATCATCAGACGAATGCACAGTTTCGTCCTTCTAAGCTGAATCGCAATGGTAGCCAAAGGTCTGGTGTATCGCCAAGGATCAATTTGTTTCGCAATCGATATGGTCATTGGTGGCCATCTGAGCACACGGATTAAGAAATGACGAGCATGATAATGGTAGACTCTGCTGAGAGGCTTGTGGATATATGCCGAAAATGCTGGGAGTCATGATTGGAGATCAGTTTTTAATCCAGTCGCCTATGCCTCAATAGGGGTACCGGTAGACTTTGATCACGATTGTCGCCGAACTGGGTGATTGTCTGCGTTAGTCGTCGCTCTGGTGTACGAGCTTGAGTGGTGTTAATCGTGCCATCTCGGCCCAGCGGACAAGTTAGATTCATCGGAGCTCGCATCATCCTGAGAGTTCTTGCCGTCTGTACAGACGGACCCAGATTGGTTCAACTCCACGCGGTTCATGACGATCTAAGCACTGCGAAAAGATGTGCTTGTGATTCAAGTCGGACAGAGTCCGCGATTCAGGCACCGTCTTGTCAACGAGAAATTCTGCCAATCGAGTACTTTCGAAGTCATAAATTCTCGACACTCTCACTTTATGGGATGGTGACATTGCAACTTCCACCTACTGTCATGCATATCTATAATGCTGCACATGGCCGGGCGCCACCACATACTGCGTTCGGAGAGTTCCCCAGAAAATTGTAGGGATAAGAAGGCGTCCACCCGGCCAACGCTAAGGCAAGTATTTGGCGGCGGTGGCTTCTGAGGCTTGGATAGTGCCCTGCATAGTGGATTTTTCTGTGAGTTCAAGGGCTGAGCACTGCTATCGCAAGTATGTCCCACGTAGCGACATGTACTAAGTGAGTTTGCTGGGTCGCTTTATCCCGCCGTGAACCGTAGTCTGTAGTACACCGAGATCTTGCGAGATCTGTAACCCAAGTCTATGAATGCAGGCCTACCACGTCAATAGGTAATCCCTCAAAGGTAAATTTAGGCCATTCTTTACTCCAGTGTAATCATCTTGTTCTCTTAAAAGTGACCTGTATTGGTATTTGACCCCCTACTCGCAACAATTAGAGCTCAGCGCTGAAGGAAGGCGTCCTGCGGTTATTAGTGATATCAACTTTCGAGAGACGATCAAAAGCAGAAACCAAGATACCCGTATTCATATCGTGGCTCAGGGACAGTAGACTACTAACTATCGTAGGTACGGATCTACCAGTTCCGCAGAAAAATCGAAAAAGTCCCTGTATGGCCGTATTGATTGTTACTAAATCTCCTTAAAAAGTAGATTTTTGCCGCAGAGATCTAATCGTTGATCAATCCTTCCACTGCTGTGAATTAGGCTTCTCACTAAAAGAAATTAGTGCGTATGTAGAAAGAAAGATGGTTCATCACAATGTTGAGCCGAAAGGTAGGAAAAAAGTGCGCCGTGCCGGAAGTGGTGTGGTACTTTGAATCCATGCTTTGGCTCCTATCATCGAAACACATGCATGTTACGGAGATACATTTCCGTATCTATCGTATTTAAGTACTCGTACAGAGAGTTTCTCTCATATTGTAAACCTTGCATATGGGTATATCTTGACTACACAGGTAGGTGCCGGATGGTGGAAAGTGAAGCATGCGACGTTTGTCAAGTATAGAATCCAATAATCGAGATATTATGGATTAATGATCCCTCTTTTCAGCACGGTCTTCAACACGAAAACATGATGTCGTTATTCGAGCCATGGCACTCGTCATAGGGAGTAGGAGAAGTAGATCATATTCTGTGTTGTTATTTGCCCTAATTGCAGGCACCTAGCAGCGGGATAACCGGTATGTAGTCTAAGAAAATACGATGAGCAACATATTAAGATCGCCAGCACTACAAAGTAAATTAATCTCAAGGACCTGTTCTATTTACAAACTAGTAGTATCCTCTAACATTGCTTTTGCGCCATGTGGACTCTTGTGGAGTCTAGCTTTTAAGCTTGTCGATCCTTACATCGCGAACCAAGTGCTCGGATGGACCTTGATGGTTGCCAATTGGCTACTTATTACCACATATGGCATTATTTCTGATTTCCAGAGCGGATTTTCCAGTGAGCTGGACCCGGCAGAGTGGGGGATACAGCTTGGGGGTTATCAATGGTTCAACCAGGCCCTAGATCCATGCATCTGAAGAGGCCTGGAGAGAGAACGTGGTGGTTAAGCATTTGATTTCATGGGTACTGCTTTGTAAGGTACCTAGTACTTCAGCTCATCTAGATAGGTAGTCTTATGCAATTTGAAACCTAGAGTCAGCCAGAAAAGGTAACAAGGTCATCAAATAATCTTCCTAGACTCATCCGGGATGCAGGATAACAGTAAAAAAAGTAGGCCACTCAAAAGCCAATCGTTGCAAGGAAATGATTTTCATACGGATAATTAGTACGCATAATTGATGAGCCTCTTCTCCTTAAGTCCTATGCTATACTTTCTAGTTGTGTACTAGCCGGACAGAAGAGTCAACTTTGATCGACCTGATTTTATGCTTAGTGCCTCTTAACACGCCTGGGATTGGAGTCGCCTCCCGAATTCACTAATTCAGTTCAATATCCGTGGGTCTTCGTCAGCTTAGCCATTCCACTCATCTTGTCGCTAGAGAGTTAGATCCATTATTAAAGCCCACTCACGTTCGTGCCCATGTGCTGTATTTGCGTAGGAGGCTTTGATTTGACAAGTGGAATCCTCCTAGACCCTAGTAAACTATATCAGAGTAGCTTACAATCTCATTTTCGCCGAACTTGGTAATCCAGTATTGATTTCACGGATGATAGGGGACTTGGATGGACGATCAACCATCTCTGATGCTCATATAAAAGGACGATTTCCCTCTACACCTGATGTCCGTCTCGATCTTCCTTTCATTCACTCATTATCAAACCTACCTGCATTCTAATCTTCTAATTTGACCCAAGTCTCTCCTTCACTTTCTTTACAACCATAGTTAATAGGACATTCAAAATGAAGTTCGCTCTTGCTGCTCTCGCCCTCTTTGCGGCTCCCATCTTCGCCGCCCCAGCTAACCCCCCTAACACCGGTGAAATTGTCACTGATCTCGGCCCAGAGGTCAAGGACATCCTCACCGTCACCGGCACTGACTCAAAGGAGCTTCTTATCCAGCTCTCTCCCGAGGTCGCCACCCTCGTTTCCAGCCTTGGTCTACCCAGCGTTGGTGTTCCCCTCGGCTCCGTCGTCGCCACTGCCTCTAGTGTCGGTGATCTCCTCAAGGAATTGGGCCCCAACACCGAGGGTGCCGTCGTCGTCACTGGCGAAGACGCCAAGATCCTCCTTGTCCAACTCAGCCCATCTGTCGCCTCTCTCGTTGCTGGTCTTCTCCCTCCTCTCGCCGTCCCCGTTGGCCAAGTCGTCAACACTCTCGGAGATCACGTGAAGCGTGCTACTGGGACTGGCAAGCTCCTCGCCGACCTTGGTACCCAGGTTGATGGTGCTCTTACCATTGCTGGCCCTGCTACCTCCACCCTCCTTGTCCAACTTTCTCCTGAACTCACTGCTCTCGTCAGCGGTCTCGGTCTTCCTCCCGTCGGTACCCTCGTCGGTTCCGTCGTTGCATCTGCTAGCTCCGTTGGTGCTCTTGTCACTGAACTCGGTCCCGGTCTTGATGGTCTTCTCATTGTCGTTGAGCACGGCGCTGAGTATCTTCTCATCCAGCTCTCCCCTGTTGTCTCTGGTCTCCTTTCCGGCCTCGGTCTCCCTGCCCTCGGCGTTCCTCTCGGTGTCGTCGTTGACGAGGTTGCTTACCACCTTTAAATCAATCCCAAGAAATCTACTGCTGTGGATGTGATGGTGTTTTAATGGATGTTATTTCTCTTGTCGTTTCTTGCGACATGTTAATATACCCATATACATAGACCTTCTTTTTGCTTAGCGAGATACGAAACAAGATCTGTCATATAGGTATAGCATATTCAGTATATGATACTAATATTTGTTGTTAGACAACTATTTTATGGTAAACCAGAATTAAACGGGTTATGTTGTATCCTAGATAAGTTTTCATCTATAGTAGATAGCGTATATGTGTTATACTGCTGCTTAAAAGACTCCAATCAAGATTACCAGCGGTGTATATAGGCGCATTAATTACTAATCTGAAAGGGTGACAGTATGGGAAACTAAGATAAGTTCTGTTAATTAATTGTCAATCACCTGGAATATTCCCTAGCTGATATCTATGGCGTCCATCCCAGAAGATCTCGAACAGAAATATCCGCCAATTAGGACTCAGACAACAGTAAGAAATACATAACAAGCATCGATAAGCTTCGAAGAGCAATGCTGATGTGTAAAATAGGTACGTCTCAAGCTTAGAAGACCATACCCTTGACCTGAGGTTTCTTTGCGAGGTTGATGTTCTTGAACAGAAATATCCAAATAAATCCCAGCGCCATAATCCCAGTGCCAGCAGCAAGCATTCTGGTCTGCGCATAACCATAAGCTTGCTGAATGGCGAGTCTAATCGGATCTCCTACCGGGTAACTCAGCTGCGTATCTAGATTTTCGTAAATATCATCGAAATCCGCTAAGGCCGAATTAGGAAGATATCGCGCAAGAGCATCTGGGAACGTATGTGACCATATTGAGCCACAGACAGTAGAACCTATAGCACCACCAACGGTGCCGACTACATTCAGTAGCGCGAGAACAGCGGCGACATGTTGATGGTCAACAGCGGCCTCGATTGCGATTTGTTGGACAATGATAAAGATACTGCCGCCGATTGAGATGAAGATTTGACACATAACGAGATAACCCACAGACTGGTTAGGGCGGCGGAAGTAAATCATCAATCCCTGAGTGAAGACGTAGAGAGGCACAGCAATGTACAAGAGCCATTTGAAGCGACCGGTTCGTCTGATGAGGTAGCCGACAAGCAGCAAGAGAAGTCCGGAAACAACGTTGAAGGTGTTGTTGACGTATCCGGCAGTGTCAATAGACAGATCATTGACAACCTGCAGGAAGGACGTGAAGTAGTTGTTCCAGCAGTAGTAGGAGATTTGGTAAGTGGCATCCAAGAGACATGCACCAATAACGGTTCGATCGGCCAGGAAGGAAAAATTGAACATTGGTTTGGGAGCAAGCAGCCACTCGTAAAACGCAAAAATGATGAGCAAAACTAATCCCACTACAATCATGGCAATGATATATCCAGATGACCAGCCATCGGGTGCGTAGCTCGAAAGGTCGAATGGAAGGAAGAAGACTGTGAGGCCGGCAGAGAAAAGAATAACTCCAAGTACTTTTAACGAGATATCGTTAGCTATTCACGTTGTCGAAAAAGGATACTGTCGACTCACCATCGAATTCCACAATATAATACCAGATGCTCTGCAACCACGTGCGGCCACTATTCTCCCTAGGCAAGAGGCCGCGTTTCTGAGCATTGCGAAGAGATCTTTTCAGAACAAAGTATATAGGAGCAGCCACAACAGGGAAAATTATTGAGAAGCAACCAAAGCCCCATCGCCAGCTGATTTTATAGTAGAAATCGTTGGATGCTTTCGGGCCAGCAAAGGCGGTGATAATGTAAGGTGAAGACGTGAAAGCATACGCCAATCCACGATTTTTCAATTTGGATGCATCAGCCGTGATCACGTCGACGCAATATGTTACGCCTGAGAAGCCAATGGTGTAAAAGACCTAGTAGGTATTCAAGAGTAAGCAAGCAGAAGATGTAATAGGCTTGACAGGGGTAGCTGCTGACTTACATATGCAGCGCAAAACGTGGACAGGTCGTTGCATGAGGCCATAAGAACTAGACCCAAAGTACAGCAAACAGTCATGATCAGAAAGCCTTCGGCTCGACCCCAAACGTCCAAAATCTTTGCCAATGGAATGAAGACTGCGGCTGACATGGCATCACCGACGATGTAGATGACATTTAAAAGAGAGTGAGAAGAGAACGCACTCGTGACGAAAGGAATCAAACTAGCCAGAATAGAGGACTGGAATGCATTCACAAAGTAAAGCAACCAAATACTATTGAAATAGGAGCATTAGTACAGCAATCGCACCAACATAGTAATAATTATGTAAAACATACTTAATAAAAATGGCAATCAGTGAAGCTTTAGACCAGGACAATGTAATGGCTTCAACACTCTTAACACCATGCTGGAGATTTTCACCCGGAACTTCCGTTTGAAGTTCTCCGGCCTCCTTATTCGCAGCAGCATTGTCTACGGTAGTAGGATCAGTCTTGCTTTCGTCGGTTGTAGTCATTGAAGCCTGATTGATTGTATCATCGGTCGTGGCTCGACGAAACGTGGCTTGTATATTGGGAAGCTTTCCCATCGCGAATATCCTAGGCTTGGAGATGGAAAAGACAATGGCAAGCACGAAGATCAACCTGCCAAGAAGATGGACAGAAACGCAGATAGCTTACGGAAGCATGCGCGTGTTTGTCTTTTAAAACAATTGACTTATTTCTTGCTACCTCGTGCAGATCGAGTCACCAATACGAAGGCCCCGAAGTCGGCTAGCTGGCAGGCATTCAACTTTGTCTGGGAACATGTACTACTCCATGATTTCGTACAGTAGCCAACAGAACTCCACCGCAAGGGGTACGTAGCATGATCCGGGTAAATCAGGAATGAAAATCTAATCAGATAATCTAATCAATCAATAGCATCAACCTCGGGCAACCGGAAGACCCAATGAAAGATCGTATTGTTACCTAACTGCTCTCTAGGATCCATAATAGATTGAATGTGATAGCCATGTAAATGCTAGACATGTATCCAACCAATGAAAAATTTTCGTCCAAGATTTGGGAGATTTTATCAGATCGTTTTGAGTTTTGTGGTGTTTTCTAGCTTGTTGTCATGCGTTGTCATGCATGTTCGGAACATTACTATTACTGTAACTATAATTACAGCTAAGAACCAATACCGTATTGATACATCAAAGAATACCCAGCCGTATTCCGAAACTGACATAGCAAATCTAATGATATTGTGGGTTGGCTTATAAAGCCAATAAAACAATGTACGTACGTCCGTACACGCGCTTCAGGTGGTACTCCAAGTACTATGGTCAAATGTATTCAATCGTCTGTGTTCTCTTAATGAGGCCCCGACGCGGTCTATATAGTCCTTGCTTGACGAGGTCACGTGTACCTTCACGTGACCTCTCCTTGGTTCGTGTCGGTGCTAGGAATCTCGATTGCACATATAAACCAACAGATATAGTAGCACTGTAAAAGAAACATTGATGATGACATACCATAAATATCGAGATAGCAAGCTGTCTAGTTCCAGACCCATATGACTCAGCGACTTGGGAAAATAACTAGTTCTGCGACTCGTAGTCTGTAGTATTTTTAGTATGTTTCAGCAGTACAATAATACATATATTACTGCTAATTGTAATATACACTGCCGTACAAAATTTATCAATCTTATCTGATAATCTTAAATGATCTATTGTGAGGCCTCGGCTGAGCCTTCTGTTTTAATCCAAATACTTTACAAATTGTTTCTCATACGCAGTGATAACTCATGGCGCAGAAAAGCATGTCATCAGTACCAAATCAAGGAAAAGGATTCTGTCCGATCAAAAAAGCATAAACCTTCAAAGCTTTGAATTTATCCAAGCAGGAGGTCTTTTGTCCACAAAGGCCTCGATGCCCTCGGCAAAGTTGGGGCCAGCAACCAAGCTAGGATACGACTCAGCGGCTAGGGCCGACACAGCTTCCTCGACGCTGCCAATTTCCCAACTCATTCGTATCCCCTGTCGAGCAATGATCAATGCATCTGGACTGTTTTTGCACATTTCTTGAGCCACTTGGACTGCAGCTTTCACGACATCTGAATCTGAATCGATAACTCGGGACACAAGGCCCCATTCATAGAGCGTTCGGGCCGTTACATTTCTGCCGGTGAGGACAAGATCCATGGTTCGTTGTAGGCCAATAGTGCGAGTCAGTCGTGGTAGGCATCCGGCCACAGGGACTATTCCGCGTTTCACTTCTGGCAGAGAAAAGACGGCTGTGGAGGAGGCTAGCACCATGTCGCAGTTGGCTATCATTTCGAATCCACCTCCCATGCAAATGCCGTTTACGGCGGCGATAATCGGCTTTCTGCCAGATCGGCGTGGAATGCCAGCTAGGCCTGGCGCGTCCATGCTACTCACCACTCCTGCCTTGTTCATTTCATTCCACTCTGATTATATTAATCGCGGTTAGCTTTCAGCTTTGGACCAAATCTTTTTGGGTATTGTACCTCGTAAATCTGCACCGGTACAGAACGCTCTCCCGGAGCCTGTGATAATGCCAACCCATAGACTCTCATCTTTATCAAAATAGTCCCATATCTTTTGAATTTCAAGGCTTGTGGCCTTGTTTATACAATTCAACTTCTCCGGTCGATTCAAGGTGATCTGCAGGACGTTTCCTTGTGGGAACGAGACGTAAAAGTTGTCATATTGTAGAGTTTTTGATCTGTCGGGAAAGTATATAGACATTGTGCCTGTCTATACGTTCACTTTGATATGAATCGCAGGTGATAATGGCAAAATCTCCATTTGCGCGCGTATTATATTCTACATCTATCTTCTCATGTCAAAGCCGGGGCATTACACGTGCATCCTTGGCACATCTAGTCCCTTTTCATTGCAGACCCATTTTGGTAATTTTGCGTCTTGTTCATGGAGCAATGTCCACAAAAACTAATGGAACGCGATATCGGGGGCTAGAAATACCTAGGTACAATTATGACCAAAGTTTAAATCGAAAAAAATCTCAGTACTAATTTCAACCGACTAGAAATAAAACTACCTCAAGAAAAAAAATGTCTGAGTCAGTGCTAGTCTGGAGTATGACCTTGTTTAGCTACTTTACCTCATCGTTGAAGCCACCAAAGGGACGAGCTGAATTTATTCTTGTCGTTTCCATATCCCCTACATCCATGCACATTGGCGGGCGATGGCATTGGTACCCTGGCACCCCCAGCCCTTAGAAATACCAGAAGATACTGGATGCAAAACAATGATATCGAATTTAGTGTCCCACCAATACCCTCTGGTGAAGCTTCCACATCCATTTCTCACCGCATACAGAGTGGAAGCTATAGGCGAAAAGTCACACACCCGATTCAAATTGTGTTTTGACGAGCAACCATGGGCAGGAAAACCTTTGGCACAGCCACTGCACAACGATTCTCTATCGTGGGTAGATCTATCCTTCCTACCGAACAATGAGCGGCCGCCTGTTTCGAATAACAGTTCTTGGGCAAGAGCACGACGAAGCCCTCAAACTACCTTCGAATGGACAGGAAATAAAGCGCCGTCACTGGGCCAAATCTGGAACGTGGTTCATGCAATCTACCTCGCTCACCCCATCTACGAATATTTTAGACTTTCATTAGTCGGTGCAGAAAGTGAGATAGTAAAGCAGGAACTACTTTCTACAGGACTAGGAATCGAGCACTCAAAACCGTGGCGGCTAAATGATGACCGAACTTTCACAACAGAGGAGGTTCTAATTCTCAGGAGCTCATTTTGGCAAGGCGCAGCTTCACCAATGGGTCCTCGTCCGATATGGGTAGTTGGAGATGGAACAGATGGTGTTATGCGTCAACATCTGGCCCAATTCCCGGTTATGCCTGAAAGTTATCATTTCACAATGAAGTTCCCGGAAGAACCTATTTATACACGGCACCCAATACGTCGTCCTAAGCCACATCCTGGATCGATTGTCTACAGTCGCTACATTCCTGACCTTGATGAACACTTTTCCCTTGAGGTGGTTAATTGGAAGGATGCTGAGCATCTGAAACTATTCAACAAATGGCAGAATGATCCGCGGGTCGCTCAGGGCTGGAACGAGACTGGGACACTGGAGCAGCATCGCGAATATCTGCGGAAACTGCACTTTGATCCACATGTTCTCTGTTTATTTGGACGGTTCAATGAAACAAGATTCGCTTACTTTGAACTTTACTGGGCAAAGGTGAGGTCATCCCACAAAATTTTCCCTTTCTACTAAGTCAACAATACTAATCTTGGGTGTTTCCACAGGAGGACCATTACGGAGCTCATTACGCAGCCGGCGACTACGATCGAGGACGCCATTCCCTTGTTGGCAATGCATTATTCAGGGGCTCTCAACGAGTGAACGTATGGTACTCTAGTTGTATCCATTACTGCTTCTTGGACGATCCGCGCACGGCAAATGTAGTGGGCGAGCCGAAAGCCACGGGTGACACTATTCTGTCGTACGAGAACGCGCAAGGCCTTGTCATTGACAAGTACGTTGATCTTGGCCATAAACGGTCGGTTCACTCAATTGCCAGTAGAGAGAAGTGGTTTCAACTATGTCCCTTGTTCTGGGATGGAAGAGAACGACCCTTGGAGTCGGCGGATCGGGCAGCGTGGAATGCGAAGCTGTAACCTAGTATATGTATATCTGTAATGTTTAAGTAAAATTTGATTCTTCATACTGCAGTCCTATTACCCTGAAAACCACAACCAGAAGATTATTAGATAGTCGACCATGTTCGCCAGAATCTATATCGCGATTACCGCCGAGACTCATTCGACACGATCCGATATAGGCAATGAGGGGTTCAAATGAGCAATCCACTCCTCCATGTTTTCTCACCTTCATTCAAGAAGGTGGCATGATTCGGATTCTTGAATCGACTTTAGTAGCAGGGTGGAGAGATTTATTTGGTATGTATTGCACCGTCGTAATTAATACTGCATTACAATACCCCTAATATGGTGGTAATTTACTTGCCCACATCTTAACGGGTTTAATTACGTCCCGCTCTTTACCTGACAGCGATGTCTTATTGTTCGCGATGTGAAGAGGCACAGACTAAGATGAATAGTCTTGGTTCTTAAACATGGTGTGGGATTTATTCTATATTCGGCTCTTGAAGCTGTAGATCACAACCGATGTCGGCAAAGCTTCAATTTATTTTCGCTCTCATGGTGTGTAGCTTACGGATATCCAACTTTGCTCTACCGGCGAGACATTGTCGTTAGCTACCTCCGAACGCGTATATCGACAAACTAATAGCGTTAAACAAATATTGACTTGGCTATGCAACAAGTCGACCTACCTTACTTGCGGTCATGAAGTTCGTCCAAAACCTGGCAGGTTATCCTCGCCTGCTTCTGGCTGGTAACCCCTCGAGCAAAGACTTGGCCACACTGTTGGTTGCCATTGTATCTGCAATAGCCTCTGGAGTACCATTTCCATTGATTGGAATTATATTCGGTCAATTACTCAATGATTTTAACTCAGTGACCTGCAAGGAATCGTCCGATAGCTCAGCTTCCAATTCTGAAAGCCAACACGACATCAACAAGAGAATATTGTTGATTGTTTATCTTGCCATTGCTCAGTTTGTCTTGATATATACGCACCTATCGTGTTGGAGTCTCTATGGTGCTCGACTGGCGCAGCGACTACGGGAAAGATATCTACAAAATTTGCTTCAGCAAGAACCATCATACTTCGACAATCTACCTCCAGGAGAAGTTGCGTCTCGACTAAGCAGTGACATTCAAAGTATTCGTTCAGGAACATCAGAAAAAGTGGGAATTTGTCTCGCTAGTGTATCGTTCTTCGTTACGGCATATATCGTGGCTTTCATCAAAGATTATATACTCGCAGCGGAATTAATCTCTTTGATCCCAGCATATTTTCTGATGTCGTTTGTGGGTAGCCACTATATTGAGAAATATTCCGGGTTGATGTCGGATTATGCTGCTACAGCTGCTTCTATTGCCTCAGAAGCTCTGTCCAATATTCTCGTCGTACAAGCGTTTGGTGCAAATCGGCGACTGGAAAGCAAATTCGCCAATGATCTCAAATCATCGGAACGTGAAGGGTTAAAGAAAGCTACAGCAGTTGGTATACAGTCTGGTGCACTGTACTTTATTGCTTATTCCGCGAATGGTTTGGCCTTTTGGCAGGGAAGTAAACGAATTGCCGACGCAGTGCGTGATGGTTCGACTGGAGCCACCGTTGGTTCTACGTTCACGGTGATTTTTATTCTCATTGAAGGTTAGCGAATATTCTCCAACTCTAGGAAGTAGATCATAAGTACTGACCTAATGAGTAGCTACATTGCTCCTAAGTCAAGTAGCTCCATTCCTCCACCTATTTGGGGCAGCTGTTGCCTCTTTCCAAAAGTTGCGTGAAGATATGGATCGTCAGTCTTTGATCAATGGAACCAGCAATTCTGGGGTGCGTCTATCGCAAGCGCAAGGCGGCTTCGAGTTTAAGAACGTTTCATTTACGTACCCTGCCAGACCAGAGATTACGGTTCTTGATGGGATCAATCTGACCATTCCCCCTAATAAAAATACTGCTATTGTTGGACTCTCTGGTAGTGGCAAGTCAACCATCGCCGGATTGGTTACAAGACTCTATGACCCGACTGATGGCCAAATATTCTTTGACGGAAAAGATGCACGCGATATAAATGTTCGAGATCTTCGAGGTTTCCTCAGTCTCGTGCAGCAAGAACCCTCTCTCCTCAACCGCTCTCTTCTAGAGAATATCGCACATGGATTGGTAAATTCTAGCGACCCCAAATACACACACTTGAAACAGAAACTACTGGGCTCTGAACTCGCAGAATTGGCAAAAGAGATTAGAGAAGGGAGAGATTTGCAAGCTGCGGCAGAAGAACGAGGCGCAGATGTTGTTGAGATTGTTCGCTTGGTGAAGCATGCTGCGGTACTTGCCGATGCAGACTCTTTCATCACTGCATTACAACAGGGCTACGGCACGACTGTAGGCGCCAGTGGCCGTCTCATTAGTGGTGGCCAGAAGCAGCGAGTTGCACTTGCTAGAGCTCTAGTGAAAGATCCTGCGGTTTTGATTCTAGATGAAGCTACAGCATCCCTGGACTCGCAGAGTGAGCAACGCATACAAAGGGCAATCAATAACATCTCCAGCGGTAGGACAATGATAACAATTGCCCATCGGCTATCAACTATTACCACTGCCGACAATATTGTTGTCATGCAGAAGGGACGTATATTGGAGCAGGGAACACATTCTGAGTTGATGGCCAAGAACGGAGCGTACGCGGACCTTGTCAGACTGCAAACCCTTGGATCATCTTCTCGAAGACAGGATGAGAAGACAGTCAGGACTGAAATTGACGAAGTATCTGGACGAAATTCTTTGACATCTACCACATATGAAAATGACTCAAACGGTGAGAACGAGAAGACCGAGACAAAGATCGCATCTACGACCGAAGGCCAAGTTACCGACAGCTCATTAGCAGATGAACAAGAAGAACCAGAGAGCCCTTCCAAGTCTTTGTGGGCACTTGTTCGAGGATATGCACCCGCTGGAAGACCTCACCTACTTATTGTGCTCTTTGCCCTTGTTGGCTCGAGTATTGTCGGTGGAGCGTTCTCTGGCGAAGCTGTGATCTTCGGAAATACTGTAGGAAGTCTAAATCCCTGCAAGAGTCCCAATAGCATAGACTCCCGTGGTAACTTCTTTGGTCTCATGTTTTTTGTCCTTGCAATTATTGAGTTCTTTGCAAACTTGGTTAGTTGGTCAGGGTTCGGCTGGGTCTCGGAACACATGGTGTACACTGTACGCGTGTTGTCGTTCCGATCACTTTTTGAGCAAGACCTTGAATGGCATCAGTCAAAAGGACGGACACCTGCTGTACTTCTCTCTTATATCACTAGCGACGGTAATGCGCTAGCTGGTTTGAGTGGCTCTGTCATCGGGACATTGTTATCAATCACAATTAACCTCATTGCGGCGATTATCTTAACTCACATCATTGCTTGGAGAATAGCCCTTGTTTGTCTGTCTCTCGTGCCACTACTACTTGGAGCCGGGCTGATGGAACTTCGCGTTCTTGGAAAATTCGAGGAACGGCACGAAAATGCCTACACAACTTCGGTCGATATAGGCGTTGAGGCTATTACGTCTATTAAAACCATTGCTTCTCTTTCTCTGGAAGAAGAGACGCTGAGTACATACCGAAAGTCCCTGAAAGGACCCCGCAAAGAGACGCTCACAGTCACCTTGCAAGCAAGTCTTTGGCAAGCAATGACATATTTCCTCGGTAACTGTGTGAATGCACTTGCGTATTGGTGGGGTGCGAAACAGATCATAGCAGGCAACTACACTCAGACCCAGTTCTTGATTGTAGTATTCTCCCTTCTTGTCAGCGCGCTTCTTTGGAGTCAAATGTTTGCTCTCGCACCAGAGCTGTCTAACGCCAGAGCGGCAATGACTAGGATCCTAGGACTCATTGAGCTAGGATCTGACAAGATGCAAGGTCCCATACCTGAATATTCGTTCACCGTGCCTTCTTCAGAAACCCCAGCAGAGAAAGATATCGAAGCAATCGCAGCATCAAGATTATCATCGCCATCGGGAGGCGAGGCGGCAAGTGTGCAGCTTCGCGACGTTCACTTTTCATATCCCGCAAGGCCAGATATCAAAGTGTTGAACGGTTTGAGCGTTGATATACAACCTGGGAAATTCTGTGCACTTGTTGGTCCAAGTGGCGCCGGAAAATCAACCGTCATCTCCTTGATTGAACGACTATATGCTCCTCAGTCCGGGTCGATCATCGTCGATGGTGTTGACGTATCAAAAACGCGAGACTTTACCTTCCGAGATACGATAGCCTTGGTACCTCAAGAAAGCGTACTCTTCGAAGGGAGCATCGAGTTCAACATCGGTCTGGGCGCTAAGCCAGGACATCAAGCGACCCTAGATGAAATTATAGAAGCATGTAAACTTGCCAATATCCACGATACCATTGAAGCATTACCAAATGGCTACCAAACTCTCTGCGGCCAGAATGGAAGTCAATTCTCCGGAGGCCAAAAGCAACGATTATCCATTGCCCGAGCACTAGTCCGGAAACCCAGATTATTGATTCTAGATGAGTCCACGAGTGCATTAGACGCGGAATCGGAGAAGTTGCTTCAGGACGGACTGGAGAAGGCTGCAAGAGGGATTACTGTCATTGCGATTGCGCATCGTTTACACACTATACGGAAAGCTGATATCATCTTCTTGATTGAGGCAGGGAAATGTGTTGATCGCGGATCGCATGATGAATTACTCCAGCGGTCTGAGAGTTATAGGTTGAATGTTATGCATCAGACAGTAGGAGAGTGATGTGACTACAGACTAAAATTAATCAGATATTTTGTTATTTGAGTTAATAGCAGTTAGATATAGTGATAGCCCTGTTTGTATAAGATCAAACTGTACATAGGTTAGAAAATAGTCTAAATTAATCACTCATGACTTTCAGAGAGTATTCCATGCCCAAAAGTTAACTGAAATTACATTTGGAAAAAGAGACATAAGTAGACTATCATCTGTATGACGGGAGCCGATCTCTGTACCGAAATCAGCAGGCAGACGAAGAGTCAAGGAATATATGCGCAGACCCACGAACCACCAGTTCTTCAGCAGCCTTCGCCAATTCCTTCAGAAGTGTATCCACAAACTCAAGATCATGTTCACTGCCAACAATCCCAACATGCAACTTACCTTCCTGGACAAATGATACGACTTTCAATGGATCAGCAGAATCTCCATGAGGGCTAAGTATGTCAACTTTGCAATTTCCGCCAGCAAATGGCATTGTATCAAAGTCCTCAAAGTCTTGGTGATGAACCACAGAGTCGAAGAACAGCCTTCTTTCTGGAGATGCGGATGCCCACTGCGTGCACGTCTTAGATATTTTCTCAAACCCAAGGAAGTCGTGCGCAGCCGACTCTGAGTTCTGCTTCTGAACGAATTTCAGAAGATCCATTCCCGTCCACTGGCGCTCGAATCGGATACGAATTGGGGTGAATTGGTAACAGGGACCGACGACATTCTCCACGTTTTCGAGATCATTAACGCGTCCTGAAGTGACGCCCCCAAATGTAATGTCCGTTATTTTGAGATGACGAGCTAACACCAACGCCCATGCAGCAGTGAGCAAACTCGCCGTCGTAATGTCTTCTAAGGGTAAAGACACGGTTTCAACAATTTTGGTGCGGAAAATTGACTTCGTAACAGGAAGCTGCGACTTTCCTTGAAGTACAGATAACGACGATTCATTTAGGACATTTTTCCAGTAGTCGATGGCTTTGTCTTGGGCATTCCCATCAAGTATACATGCCACGTAAGCAGGGAAGGGCTTGAAGCCAGTAATCTTGTCTCCAATGTAGAGCTTTTCGAGATCACGAAACATTCTAGGCAGGGATATCCCATCATATTGTGCATGGGATAGACGGATAACAAGGCAATGCTGGCCAGCAGGGCCTTCGACGTGCAACCATTTGAAGAAAGGGCATCCAAGTTCAAACTGTGACTCAATATCCTCAGTGCACAAGCTTGCAATGTGTTTTTCAAGTTCCAGATCGGTCTTGCACGTCTCTATAGTGGTAGTAAGATTATCCAATATGACTTGAAAATAGCTACAGTGGTGTTCAACGAAGACAGTGCGCAGGATATCGTGAGTTTTGACCAGGTTATTACAAGCGTCCAGCAATCTCTCCAGATCAATGTCGTTTTTGAAGTACAACATAGTGTATTGTACGGATGTTCGGGGTGCTTGGACAGTTCCTCGGATGTCGAGTGCTTGGGAATCCGTGACAGGAGTAATGTCTTGAATAGACCACTGCGAATTCTTCAACTTTGGTCGAACAATATCAGAGAGAAATTTCTCCGTGTCTACATTGACTAAGGTCGAGAATGGTTTGTAGGCTTGTGTTTCCTCTCTCTTCAGGTCGTGGTTGACTTTCAACACCTTGGCCGCATCACCAAGACGCATGTGCTGGAAAATATCGGCTACAGTCAAACTGTGTCCTCGTGCTCGAATGTTTGATACTAGCTTCATTGCTAGGACAGAATCACCACCGAGGCGGAAGAAATTGTCGTCAACATCAATTTTCTCTGGGGGAGTACCCAGTATATTGGCCCAAGATGATCGTAGAATTTCTTCACAAGCAGTGAGCTGTGTCTGAGACAAACTTTTTGCCCACACGTTCGTGAAACCTTCTCTAACTTGCGTGAATACATGGCTGGGAATGTTGGATCCTAATTTTCTGAGCAATTCGTGATCAATCCGTCCCATTGTACTCGGCAGTTGCTCAACAATAATATAAGCAGTCGGTGTCATGTAGGAAGAAAGAGAGTCCTGAGCAAATTTGTTGAATTTCTGCAAAGCAGCCGCTAGACTATTGGTGACCGTGTTACAAATTGTCGCCTCGAAGATATCTGAGCCTGAGACTTCGCAATTCACTCTATGTTGCATCCACATAAGTTCGACACTATCTTCCCAGGAGTTTGGTTGCTGCTCTATGAACACAACTAGCTCCTGTTCTACTGGTTGTGAGGAGGATTCCATCGAGGGAATGAATGTCACAGCGGCAGCTCGAATTTCTGACGGAAGATATCTCGAAAGATAAGCTTCAAGATCACTGATATTTACGGCATGTCCTTGGCTCACCACAGTGTTCTCCTTTCGACCAACATAGATCAAGCTTCCATCTTCTTGTAATTGGACAATATCTCCTGTAGGGTGGACTCTTCCACTGCGGCCATTGATTCCAGAACTTCCGGCAATAAGCCAGGCGGGTGACTCAATAATGTTTTCGGAGAGAACATCACCTTCTAACCATAACTCTCCCATGCAGCCTATTGGTGATAGAAGAGATGGGTTACGCGGATCGCATACCCAAGGCACCATAGGCGGCGGATATGCAGAGCCCTGTCTTATACTCACACCTGCTCGCAATTGTCCTGCCGAGATGTCAAAGGAACATGGTGGAACTTGATTCCAGTGCCAAATCTGATCCAATTCCGCCTCAGGAAGACAAGAGATATCTCCCAATTTTCGAGATGTATTTATGGCCAGCTGAGCATAAGCAACTTCAAACTGTTTGAGTATGCGTTTCATTTGACTGACGTCGATAAGGCTGCTATCAAAATTTGCGCAGACTCGGAAACCGTCCTTCCGTATTCCACAGGCAATCATGAGAGGGTAAGGGTTGAAATGAAGCGCTTCATGCACAACATCCCCTTGGACGAATCCAAGCTCGTCGCCGGTATATTCAGGTTCAGGTTGAATTACCAACCCTGTACTCGCCTCGCATGCATGTTGAGCGTCACGGCTGACCTTTCTGATGTTCTGCATACCCATGTGCTGATATCTTGTACGGCCCCTCATGCTTTGCTGTATAGTTTGTAAATAAACTTCAACAGAGCTGGCTCGGTGAACGTATACTCGGACCGGTACAGTGGCGATCAATGGTCCTACGATCTCTTCCACTCCAGCAAGTGCTATATCGCGACCTGTAAGTGTTTCACCAAACACGATATCATCACTTCTCGTGTATTGTGATGCCACTAACGCCCATGTACCACGAATTAACGTGGCCATAGTAAACTGTGAGCCCTTGCTTCTTGTATCAATTGGAATATAATGCTCAACCATGGCATCCGGAGTTGGCACATAGTCCCTTGAAGGTAGTTGTGGGAACTGAGGGCCGACTGCGTCTTTCAACTCGCTTCGCCAATATTCCTGCATTGCAACTTCATCCGTATCGCGCACATACTTAATGAATTCTCTAATTTGTGTCCGAAATTTAACGTCTTGACCTTTTAACGCATCGCTCACTTTCTGGAGTGCAATCGGTTCCGACCATCCATCATAGAGAACGTGATGGATCGTCCAGACCATATATCTCTTCCCATCCTTGGAATCATCAATAATGGTGTACCGGGCTAGAGGCTGCCCGAGGTCCATTCTATGTTCTTTGTCATGGCTGAGGTATTGATCAAGATCAGTTGAATAATTCCAAGAAATCCCCTGTTTCAACACAAGCTGCAGAAGGCCACGTTCTTGGAGCTGAGCTAACCGGGTGCGCAAGATAGGGCTGGCTGCCACGACAGCTTCCCACGCCTTCTTCCAGGACTCTAAGCTGATAGAAGGAGGGATGCACGCCACTCTTTGAGCAATATAAGGCTCAACGGATTTTAGAGAGAACGTAAACAAAGACTCTTGGGTAGGGGTGCATGGGTAGATATCTTCGATGGAAGCCCTGTCGAATCCGTAAAGTTCATTTGCCTCGAGGTATAGACTATTAGCGTCATGAGACAACATAGAGAAGGGTTGCGCTTCCACTCGAGTCTGTGAATTGTGGACGCGGATGACGCTGGTCATTGCGGCGAGTGTCGGATAATCGAAAGTGTTGGCGACTGTAAGATCAAGTTCCTGTTCACGACAGACTGACACCAGTCTCATTGCCGCTAGAGAGTCACCACCTAAGACAAAGAAGTTATCTTCGAGTCTTATTGTTTCGGCATCGACTTTCAATATCTGCCCCCAAGCCTGCCGTAAGCGCTGCTCAAAGTCATTTAGCTCACGCTCAGGTTTATCTTCCTTGTTCTGATCTAGGTTTCGCAATTCTATGGTGGCACCAAATTGGCGAAGTCGTCTCCGATCTGTCTTACCGGATATCAACACTGGGATATAGTTGACTGGTATGTATGCAGTTGGGACCATGTATCGTGGCAGAACTTTCGTCAGCTCGGTGTTGGCTTGAGAGAGCGCAGTTTGCATTTCGTTGGAAAGCGACACGGAGCTGATATCAGCGGCCGCGCCAGACGCCTTTGTCGATTGAGAAACGAATGCAACCAAGGTAGCTTGATTGCCAGGACGCTGCGGCACAATCACTTCTGCAATTACATTCGTGTTCAATGGTAGCCTAGCTTTCAACTGACTTTCAATTTCACCCAGCTCGACACGTTGTCCACGTAGCTTGACTTGAGTATCCTTCCTTCCAGCAAATACAATACCTCCGGAGCCATCAGGATCATATTTTCCAAGATCTCCGGTCTTATATAAACGACCTCGACGACCTGCATAATTGCCGTGCCCTACTAGAAGCCATTTGGGACCTTCAATAAAAGCAGCTGCTGTCTTTTCCGGGTCGTTCAGGTAGCCTTGACCTACAATTGGTCCTTCAATTAGCAACTCGCCTACTGCGCCTACCGGCATAAGCTTCTCATGGTTGTTTGGGTCGACGATCCAAATCGCAGCTCCATTGCCTGTCCCAATAGAGATGTAATCTCTTCCGGTAGCTGCACTACTGTTCACCGTGCATCCTATCGTACACTCGCAGGGACCGTAACCGATAATGATTCTGGTTTCTTGTCCCCAAATCATGACGTCTCTAGCTGAGGCTGCCTCTCCTCCAAGTCCCAGACCACTGAGAGATGCTATGACATCTGACTCTAGGATCCGGGCAACTGATGGAGTTATACCTGCGTAGTTCACGCGCATCTTGCGTATTACTCCGTTAATATCATTCATCCGGTCTTCATCGGATGGAATACAAAGGCAGCCGCCATTTGCTAATGTCAACAGCATGCTGTCAATACTGACATCAAATGCGTAAGATGCAAAGTCAAGAACCCTAGAATCTTCCGTGTACCCGACTGCTTTGGCCCGGGGAATAGCACTACTTGTATAGGTTTCGTGGGATATCTTGACTCCTTTGGGAGTTCCCGTGCTTCCGGATGTGAAAATAATATACATTAAGGTGTCGGAGGATACAGGTGGCAATTCTGGAACTGCCTCCTGATTTGTGACTTGGACGAATGTGTCTTCTTCTACCACAAGAGGTTTTCCTTCTGATATGATAGAAGTTGACAGGCGATGCTGCTTGCGAGATGAGAGCATTGTCTTCGCGCCTACTTGTTCCCTCATATTTCGAAGACGAGCAAGTGGAATCGTGGGGTCCATCATCACGAATGTTCTGCCAGCTTTCATCACTGCAAGAACAGCAACTATTGTCCACCTTGACTTTTCAAAGCACAGAGGGATGAATTCATGCAGTTGGCCACTCATGTCCTTCAGGATCTTTGCCAGAAATGATGAATATCGGTCAATTTGGCCGTATGTCAAGCTGCCGTCCCAGGAATCAATTGCTACTTTGTCGGGAGTTGTTCGAGCTCGTTTGGAAATTAAATCTTGCATGCAAAATTGGTACGATGGTGGTAACTGATGGTTCCACCGCCATATCTCGTCTAGATCGTGTGCGGTCGGACCAATACAGTCTTCAATTGGGCTGTTTGGTTTAGAGATGCATATTTTGATTGTATCAATCAAAGCATTGATGTATCGTGTAACGGTGAATGGCGATACATTTGCCGTGCTCCATATGGGAGATATTTCGAGAGAGCCATTGATGAAGTGGAGTTCGAGATGGAGTGTTTCCTTCTAGTGACACGTAAGATTATGATGTTGTAAAAGTATGTAAAGAACCATCCACTCACTTCAAAGTCAACTTCGCTATTTGTTTCAGTTAAAAGATTGGTGCTTAATACCAGAGATGCGGGACCGGAAGCAAGGGTATTCTGATCCCATGACTTTATGTTGATAACACGCACTATCCCCGAGGCAGCTTTTTCAAGCCTACACTTTAGGGTAGGAATAACCTCTGCAGTGCTTAATGACTGGACATTCAAATTCTTTGATTTTCCCCTATATGCCCATTCAAACGAGACCTGGCCGTCTTCACTAGTCCGGAGAAGTACCATGCACCAGGATAACAACACAAGCCCATCTCTCATACCCGTTGGAGATAGATTCTCCTTTGCCGCAAGATTATCCAGCTTAAATGATCTGAAACCCTTCGGCTCATTCTCAGTTTCCAGTTCCATAACTGAATCCTTGGCTTGCTTCGAGTGTTGCCCATCTGGCCCGGGAGAAAGATGGACGTCCTGTACGGACCCCATTCTGGCGGCAGTTTGATTATATCTTCCCGGAAATGACTTTCCTAAGAATCAGCATCGCATTCCACAAAATTCTGCACTAAAGATATTGAATCAGCACTGGATTGTTAGATATGTCAATTTTCAATCGGGCTATGTACATACAACAAAGCACGGATTCTCAAGTAGCTAGAGTCAAGACGCGAATCAACTATCTATTCTTCACGAATAAGACACAGCAATCCACCACAGACACACGCCTTGACCGAGATCGGCCATTTTCGGGCTTCAGTGGAGCTGACTCAGATAGCAAACCATATGCCACGCAGGGTGTGGGATGGTCATTTTCGGGTCTCATTTTGCGTAAAATTTCCAATAATTCCGCATATATGCACGGTCTGCAAGTTCAATCATGTGGAAAACACGAGAGTGCATGAAGTGGATGCGAACAAGGAGCGGGACGTTACATCACTTTCGTTTACACGGTTGACCACTAGGTAAAGTTATCTGATCCGAGAGCAAATTTTATCTGATCCGTGATTTAGCGCGATGGGTCCGTATCGTATGTATGTATTTGTATTTCACTCAGATTACAGTAAGATTACCTGAACATGCCTACAGCGTCATGAATACAGCACATTCCACAATTAATATCAACAATTGCCTCGGTGAGACATATCTGGCGAAAAATGCCTTTAACCTTCATTTTAATGACGAATGTATTGACATCAAACTTGTGATTCCGTGGCTTGGAACGGGTACGTTACGCGTTTTTGAGATTGTGGGGCATACCACGTATTTCAGTACGTGTATCAGTACAGTATGGTATTGTACGGTATACGTATCATCTAGTCACATCTTTCAGTGTCAACGTAATTTCCAAAGCTAATGGACTCTTAAACAGGATCAGAGTCATGCTTGCTTGGTTTGGTAAGCACTCTATGTACGACGCTAAAGATTTAGTGCTGAGAGAGTCATGGAGAGGTAATTCTGTGTCCAGAATTTGCATTTTGAAGCCGACCTCGGAAATCAGCTCTAGCACTGAATTCCAGGTGCAGTCTTGGAGGGGAATACCGAGGCATACTTGAAGAGTGGCTGAAGTGGGAAAATTAACTCTTGGCCAGAAAATTATCCCACTGTTCTTTGAATCTACCCTTGGACCCATCCTTTTCATTCTTTCAGCGCCAACATGTACTCAAAATTCTGGCCCAAGGGCGGACTCCCAGGTATTCTTCATCATTATGTATGACTTCTTTTCTAACTACGGCTTAATCATGTTAAGCATCAGCTAACGTATACTTATGAGCTTACAGACAGAAACTCTCGTGACATTTGAATTTACATCCAATGCCGTCCAACAACCTTACAGTATTCTCTTTGTCGGAGGGCTGGGAGACGGTCTTGCAACAACATCATACACCTCCGATCTCGTTCGCGCGTTACAACCCACAAAATGGTCTCTATTTACATTAAACTTTACATCATCCTATCAGTCATGGGGCCTTGGGCATTTGGATAGAGACACAAACGAGATCGCGCAGTGTCTACAATATATAAGCGAATACAAAGCCAGCAAATTTGGTCATGATAACAGCAAGATTGTTCTCATGGGACATTCCACGGGAAGTCAATGCGTGTTGCATTACTTATATCGCCCGAACCCGCACACAACCACGCCTGTTTTTGACTCGGACCTTCAGCATATTAAACGCCGGGTACTAGATGGTGCCATCATGCAAGCACCAGTGTCTGATCGTGAGGCAATTCTCTGGGTGTTGACGGAAGGGATTGGCGGTAAAACACCCAGCGAAGTGCGAGAAGTCTATGAAAAAGTAGAAAAAATTGCAAAAGAAGCGGATCGACAGAACAGAGAAACGAATTCCCGGTTCGACACTCTCTTGCCAATATCATTGACATCCCAGACTGGATACCCAGTCAACACTCCGCTTAGCGCACGAAGATTTCTGAGTCTCGTGAGCCCCGAAAGTCCACAGTCACCACGAGAAGATGATCTATTTAGCTCCGATATTGGTGAGGAGCAATTAGCAAAGACATTCGGAATGATCAAACAGCAGGGTCTACTGAAGAACAAGTTGCTGGTCTTGTATTCCGGAAAAGATCAATCGGTCCCGGATTGGGTTGATAAGGAAAAACTATTGTCCAAATGGAGGAACGCCACGGATCGGAATGGGAAATATGAAGTCTGGGATCAAGAATATAGCGGGATTATACCGGGAGCTTCTCATGCATTGAGCAATGATGATCAGGCGGAGCCACGGAGAGATTTAGTTAGGAGGGTTATGGGATATTTGCAAAAACTAGAGAACGCATGACACGTGAGCTGATACTATTCAAATGGGAATAGCATGTATTGCAGGATAATTATCATTTCCAAAGTTGAAAGCAGCTACCAATGACAGAGCCTATTGTGGGACTGTGGGCATAATGACTACCTCGAAATCCAGGGTTAGGGCAACACAACAAGCATCTTACCCAAACAGGAGATCAATCTCTCATTGGTTGTATTGATCCACTTTCGTTAGCCTCTTCACCCAAATAGGAATCCAATCTCTCATTCGCTGCTTCGAAGTAGATGAGGATCATTTTGGTGGAAAGGAGTTTCACAGAGGTACCAGTGCAAAGCTGTACGAAATATCTACAAGTTCTTCGGTTTTACTAGTTTATGTCCGCTATCTCCAGGATGAAGCCTACACTGAGGAACAGGGAGTTATGTCTGGTGCTCCAAGGCGTGACTGTCTATGATGAGGACGTCCAAGGACCAGATATGAAGGGTATAAATAGCCCGACATCTCACAGAGCAAAGTTATTTCTTGATCGTCAAACAAATTCAATAGTTCCGATCTATCTTTGAATTGTTCGAATTCTCCTTCGCGGTTAGAGGGAAGAAACTCTCTTCGAAACGAAATGCCTGCTACAACGCATCCCGAATACAATGACTCTACTGAAGCCCTGGAGGTTGCTCAAGCTTTTGCTGGGAACATCCGCGGCAGGACAGTTGTAATAACAGGTGTAAACCGTGGTGGAATCGGATATGCGACAGCCGAAGCATTCGTTAGTACTTTCCATTAAAGCGTGCTTCTACGTATCTAACGTCTATGCCTACCGGTAAACAGGCATCTCAAGCTCCTACCCATCTCATAGTGATAGGCCGAACGATGTCAAAACTTGAAGAGAGCATCGACGCTATGAAGGTCAAGTATCCCGACGTTGACTATCGCGCGCTTCATATCGACCTATCTAGCCAACAATCCGTCCGCTCAGCCGCAGCCAAGCTCCTCTCATGGACCGACGTGCCCACAATTGACTTCATCATTAACAGCGCAGGTATCGCCCTTCTCCCAGAGCGTACCTTTAGCGTCGACGGAATCGAAATGGTGTTTGCAACGAACCATATCGGGCATTTTTTATTCACCTGTCTACTCATGCCCAAACTCATCAAAGCTGCCGAAAAGTCTCCAAAGGGAGCTACCAGAATCGTCAATGTCAGTTCTGGCTCGCCGACTGTAGCACGTATGCGTTGGAGTGATATGAAATATGAAAAGCTCAACAAGGACCTACCGGAGCAAGAGCAGCCATTCTACGATCTGCAAAAGGCATGGGGGATTGATGACCCCGAGAACAAGTCGTATACGCCACTGGAAGCTTACAACGTAAGCAAAGTTGCAAATGTTCTATTTGGAATTGGCATTACCAAGAGGCTGTACGAAAAGCATGGAATCTTGGGTTTGGCACTGCATCCAGGTATTATCGAAACGGAACTTGGCAGAAATGCCGAGCCAAAAATTAAGGATGCTGTTAATTCTTTGCGCGAAAAGGGAGTCTACTCTTACCGACCTTTGGGCGCAGGAGCTTCGACAAGTATGGTTGCAGCGCTAGACCCAAAACTTGGGCCAGGGGAAACCAAGGACGGTAAAGAGAATTATGGTTCGTTCTTGTCTGATTGTCAGATCAGCAGCAATGCTCAGCCATTAGCTGTTTCGAGTAGTGAGGCTGAAAAGTTGTGGAAGTTGTCCGAGGAGATGGTCAATCAGAAGTTCGAATGGTAAGAAAACTGAAATGATTCCGGGGTTATGTGATATGAGAGTGCCGGTAGATAGCTGGCAATGCAATCTTATTCTTGGTTCTACCATATTCATGTAGGCGCTGTACGGATATAGATTTATGATTATGGCAGAAGTTTCCGGTCTCCTACTCTCGACAGCTCATAGACGGAGTCCCAAAGCGCAACACCCGGCCCATTGTGCAAACTTTTGATCCACGGAAAAACACTAATCACAGGGTAAATTTCTTCCCAGCTGTCAAGTCCCATTGACCGAGTCAGCTTTCTTATCTTCGTATAAAGCCAGGAGTCATCAGGGCCATTCCTGATCCATATACCGCCAATAAATAGCATCCACAGTACCAGATCAGTATCAAGCTCAGCAAGATTACGACGCAAGATAGTGCGTAGCCGTTCGAACACTGCCTCACATCGGAGGAGTCTTTGATCGTCAAATTTCATGAATAAAGTCATCATAAAGACCGTCAGTGCCATATGATAAACGTCTTCTAAATCGGAAAGTGATGAAGGCTCATGAAGCGGTTGAAACTTGATTAAGCGATAGCAGATAGAGTGTACGAGTTCTGCAAAGGTAATGTAGTTCAACCGTGTAGTCGGAGGGATCCGATTGAAAAGGACGGACACATTTATCACGTCCAGCAGTATTTCACGAAGACAAGAATTCAATTTATGTGGAGGGGCCACAGATTCAGCCAGAGACAGGTCGAACGGAAGTCCTTCAGATTCTAGCCTTGCCCTAGCTTCGGGCATGCAATCTCGAAAGAAAGATATTGGCCGGCCATACTGCCAAGCATATATATTGTCCATTCTTATAGCAGGGGTTAATATCTGCCATACCCCGGGGTGCAGTACAAATACTCACTTGCATATCTTCAATAGCAATGTGGGACTTTGCTCCAGTTGAGAGATACCGCCTCGTATCTCTATCATTTTTCTCAATCCTTCGTAATGAATGTGAGCTTCGGGAACTCCTCTTCTAATTTGCTCCTGCACTATCATCATAACCACAAGACTTATCGTAGAATCAGACAGAGCATCATCGCCCGCTAACCTCTCGGTGACTAAGGTAAGTGTTCGAGAGCGATGATAGAGGGCTTCGCGTGTGCTGGCACCTCCGCCACGGAAGAAATGAATGCACGCATCGGTGACGGCAATCATACAATGATATGCTATATCAATTCAGTGTTCTACCTCTTGAATTGGAGAAAAGACCAACCGGCCTCGTCTGCGAGTGAAAGTTGGAGCCACCAATACTTGGCATCGTCGGGTGAGATACCAAGGTGGCACGGGTAGAACTTGTTAATGACATGAGAGAAGACTGGGATATCTTGAATTAGGTACGGATTCTCCAATAAATTGGAACTTGAGACGATTACTTACATTCATTGAAAATATCCAACGAGTAAGAAGTAGGTTCCACAGGATATGACAGAGTACGGAATGGGTCTCCAAGAATTCGGCTGTTTGTAAGGGGGCATGGAAGACCCTGACTCATGCCGGATTCCCTGTCTACGTTGTGAGAGTCGCATTGTTCAGAAGTTCTGTACCTTCGGTAGTAAGGAGTTGAGGGCATCAGGCCGAGTCTTGAGCGTCGATGCACCTTCTTGCCAGCATTCTTGCCGTTCATAACATGGCTCCGTATTCGTTGCCTTGCAGCCTTTCCGGTTTCGAAACCATCCACAAAGAGAAAGGTTTGATCCATGGCAGCAGCAAGTCTTTGGTTGATGATGCACAGTACGGAACTCTTCGACGTCGAAGCTGAGTGAAGGCTGAATAAACCGGAGATAAGACGGGTCTAAGCGGATATCGGACACGCCAAGCCATTTAGGGTTACTAATATAGGGTTGATACAGGTCAAAGAATTGCAATTAGGGTTATCGACTGTTGGTTTGCTATAATCATCTAGACCATGAATTGAGACAAAATTAAATTCAGAACGTGTGACCAGAAAATGACCAGAAAATGGACAGTAATATCCAACTCTCCTTGTAGGATTCCAATGAGAAACCAGAGGGACATATCCCACTGCCCACCTGCTCCCCTCAAGGCCCTTACTGTTGAAGGCCAGGGCCGCTTCCTCCGAATGCTGGAGGCCCAAAAATAGATCCTGGTGGAGCTGGTGGAGCTGGTGATACTGGTCTGCCGAAAAGATTCCGATTTTGCAGTAGAGTTGTCGAGGCTGAAGAACTGCTGAGCGAGGAAAGCCCGTTAGATGCAGAAAAACTGCCGAATCCAGAAAAACTGTTGGGTCCAGGATCCGGGGACCAAGGTGCAACTGAAGCAGGATTGTTATACTTCAACATAGCTAGGCTGAGAGATGGTGCTTCTTCCACCACTTTCTGAAATTCGCTTACTACTCTCAGCTCGCTCAGACAGAATGATGCATAATTTCCCAGCCAGGTCAAGAGTCTGTCACCTCGATGGATCTTTTTGAAAGCAAGATCCATTAGAGATATTACCTGCAGTTTCACCTTTCCATCTTTTGGTTTATTTATTGCTCTAAGGCGGTCTGTGATACGGTCATACGCCACTAATCCAAGACGCGATATTCCATACACATGAGCGAAAATGTACACCTGTATATGGCAGCTCAACGGATCTTCGGCAGTCGTTGTATCATTATCGGAACTGGATGATGCTAGCGTGGGATTGGTACTTGCTAAGCTGGGTTTCGCGATGTTTTCGGGATAGTCGCCTCTGTATGCCCATTCTATAAAACGCAAAAGTGTGTTGTCGGAAGTGTCCTGGAAACGATATATGTTTTCTGTACCTTCCTTAAATTTATCTAGCCTGCCAAAAACCCCTTTGGTCTTCGATTCAAGTAAAGCTCTGTGGATCTTGAATGTTCGTTCTGAATTCTCTGTGGCCAGTGTTATGATATCTGAACTGAGAAATCTGCACGTGATATTAGACCCTGAATAGTTAATTTCGGCTCCGATAGGACATACTCAGAATACAGTATATCTGAATTCAGACGAAAATCTGAACTTAGACGAGACATGCTTGTCGCCACGATGAGATGTCCTGAAGTTGTCAATTATTTGGAGAATGAAGACGTTTATTACGCCCGGAGGGACTAACCCCATAGGGCACTAGTGCGCTAGTTACATAATCCATTTCTCTCAGATCTGTTAGAAATAGGGTCGGTTATCAACCGCTAGATCAAGCACGTTAGCCAGAAGTGACTCACGGAGGCCAAGCTGTGTTCCAACAAGTAGATTCTCTAACAACTAGCTAGCAACTGTACTTCATACATCGTGCTACTCTTGCCTGGAACACGACGCTAAGTGTACAGTGGGATAAAAAAAGTGTTGGCACCCCCCAATATCGGTAACACCCGCACAAGGGTGTCAACACTTTTTTCGTGGTACCGTAAGTAGCGCCATCCCAGCACTGCCACACTGTACACTATCTACTCCGTACAGTACATAGAGGGTAAGGTAAACTACATCACATAAACGAGCGTGGCATCACAACCAATATGCTTGTTGTTAGGCATTATTGGTGAAGTACACAGCGCAGTGAGGCCCAACTGACCTACCGATCATGAAGGAACACGTATTAAAGCGAGGAGTTTTGATTCTTCATTATAGAGGACAACTCCCTGTTTGATCCAAGCATTAAACTGAGGAATATAGTATCATCTAGCTTCTACCAATTTTATGAGAATGAGGGCAAATATACTCCGATAAATCCAAGACAGTAGACTTGTTTTGCAATGTGCCGAACCGATTCACAACAGGTTTCTGCGATTTGGATCGGCTCAATTAATCCAAATGCACACTCAACAACTTGCTGGAAAACTACCTCATAATATCTAAAGAAGTACCATTGTATAGACCTTGCTTGAGTCTCTATTTCTCAACCCGTTTTGAGCTTACGTCTTGTAGTTTCGATTTTGGGCGTGTCTGTCTGGGTAGAGTCTCGGGACGCTCTACGCATCAGGGCTGTTGTCAGGACGGCTCCATTGTGGATAAAACCACGGCTTACCAGCGGGGTAGTGATGGTGGGTCTCGATATTCCCAGTATTATGGCCAACCTGTAGCCCATAGTTGAGCGAGGACGAGAACGTGGAGTCTTTCCACCATTTCCTACTGTTAGTTAACTAGTTATTATTTTTCATAAGTTAGTGTTATCAAACTTAACTCAAACCAACAGACCTCAAACAAATTGTCCCGCTAGATTTTTCTCGTTTCATTTAAAAAGCACTGGTGGGACTTTTTGATTTTCCTAATTCCTACCTTCCTATACTTATTCTCCATCTTTGTTGTAATGGATTGAATATTGTTACGGGCTAGTCCCGCCTAATGCTCACTATAAGAGCATATTCGAATAGAAAACGTAACATGAGGAAAGGAAAGAGAAAGAAAACAACAAGTTTTTCACGCGCGTACAATCTTATATAGGCCGAACAATAATCTAGCGAAACTGTGGGTTGGCTTATAAAGCCAATAAAACAATGTACGTACGTCCGTACACGCGCTTCAGGTGGTACTCCAAGTACTATGGTCAAATGTATTCAATCGTCTGTTCTCTTCTCTTAATGAGGCCCCGACGCGGTCTATATAGTCCTTGCTTGACGAGGTCACGTGTACCTTCGCGTGACCTCTCCTTGGTTCGCGTCGGTGCCAGGAATCTCGATTGCACCTATAAACCAACAGAAACTCTATATGTCAATATCCGTGAGGGCTTCGCCCGAACATGGTCATGAGGTCAGCTCATAACAAATATGGATATTCTTGTCGTCTACGCGATAGCCACAGGCAGTCCTCTAGCACTTCTACTGGTGCTTAAGGCTCTGTCATTCACTTCTCTGTGGACTAATATTTTGGCTCGAGTTCTGGCTTAACATTTCAGCTATCCTTATTTTTTGTGCCGTCATCAGCTTCTTAGACTATGGACTTGGGCTGGCCTGCTCCTCCATGTTCTCTATATAGCCTTAAATATCTTTCTGACGCTTTCTCGCACTGCGTCCGTCGCTGCTGCTAGAAAACAAGCCGGTGCGCTTTCTTTAATTAATATGATCTTTTTGTTTTTATCCTGTATTTGAGTTATCTATCTGACTTGCTAGGGATACCACTGTGGTTGTGCCACTAAACCTATCAGGCTATGAGCTGGACTGTGGCCGCTCTACTTCTGTTCCAGATACTAACGGCACTATTCTCCCAAAAGGCCGATTTCTCGATGCGACAGTCCAGTGATCTCGTCACACTAATTGTAAGTTCCTTGGCCCTTTCAGGAGACTGGCAATGACTATTCATAGAGAGTCGTCTGTTTCGCTGTGCTCCTCTTGTCGTGTTTACCGCTCTTTAGAGGCCTATTATATGGCACTTTCCTTTGCTGCCATCAGGGGCTAACAGGTGCTGGCTTGTATAGAATTTAGCAATGACATCTATCATAAAATTCTTCAATATGCTTTATCAAAATAAACTTTTTACTGGTTGGGGTTCTTCCCAGTGCCATTGTGTCTTGTGATACCGGTGCCAGCTCTACAATAAGAGTGTGCATCCTGCTACCCCGACCTATCCGGGTGCAAGCTGGCCAATGGATCAATCTTTGGATGCCAACCCTCTCTTGGTGGTCCTGGATACAGACTTATCCGTTTATTGTCATATTCATTTCGCCGAGCAAACAAGGCTCTCTTGATTTGCTGGTACAGCCTCGTAGCGTTACCTCCACCATGCTGCTTCATCGAGCGCGTACTGAGAAATTGAACGTGGTTTCTCTACGAGCATTATTTGGTGGTCCGCATGGAATCAGTGAGACTGTAGCACATAATGAAATAATACTGGTTGTCGCTAGTGGCAACGGTGTTGTCGCAGTAGTACTGTATATAAAAAAGATCATCCACGGTTATAACACCTCCACGACCCAGGCAGGTCGGCTATATTTCGTGTGGCAGGTAGAAACACTTAGTAAGCATCTTCAAGCAATGGCAAAGAAGCTCAACTGATCCTTTAGATATTGCGCCGGGGGGAGCAAGATCTTCCTAATGACCTACAGGACGATATACTGGGCAATGGCTATGTTCGTTTCGTATTTGCCCCTGTCAATATGCAAGCTCTGATAAGCCTCATTACTAGATTCTTTTAATTTCAATCTACGTGACAAAGGACAAGCTCGTCCAGGATCAACTGCCATTTAGTAATCACAAAAGGGCGATTCTCTATCATGGATCCCCCGACATTTGAGAACTTATCTCTCGGGAGGCGTCCAGTGAACAAATCGAAAGACTTCTATATATTGAAGATAAGATAAGGCAGATGCTCGTGCTAGGTGAGGGAACCCAAAAACGATTAAGCCCGTGGTAGCTGATAGATAATGCTTAATCTCTGCATCTAACGTCTTACGTGACCGTTTGTAAGATATTGTTCGAAACTTTATACATCATAACGTGCGAATCATATACCTGGACTATCAAACAAAATAGAAGAAGTGTCGACCCGTTCTTGATACTAGAGGATTGGTAGGTTTATTCCAGTCCAATCCTGAATAGTGGTTTACTGGGATGAGAAAAGAAGAAGTGACTAGCAAGATTGTGTGTATTCCGTTTCTTCTCTCTGTCTGTTCCAATACATCAAGTTTTAATGCCAGGTCTTTATAGACACTTTTGGCGGGGGTGATTTGTGAGTCGTCAAGAGGGGTAAATTTTGGGGGCTATAAGATTGAGCTTCTGATTGTTCACCTCGTTTTACTGCTTCCGGACATCCCAATTATCTGACAGATACTAGAGATCAAATCCTTACTTTTCTGGCTTCGGACACCTTTCTAGCTTAGCTTTGCTCCGAGAAATTCCCCACTATCGACGCTTTAGAAACGCAATGTGGCTCAACGTCGCTTGATGCAGCCAATGAGATAGATAGGTGTACTAACAGCTTACTATATCCTTGGACATGGCAAGTAGTCGGCATGCACAGTATCAGTATTCTGCTCCATCGCCTAGGACTACGATCCACTCAGGAAAGATCATCACTTGCCGCAAAATGCAAACCTGAAATAGCGAATAACGGAAGGTCAGGATACAAATGCTGGGTTGCGAATCGGGCCACTTCTAGAGAACTCTGACAGGTTGTCACATATTGATGGTAAAGAAGTCGTTGCAAAACTGGACAAGGGTGCCGGAACCGAAGAGCTTAGCCAAGTTGGAGTTTACAATTTGATGAAGATGGTCGGCACACTGAAACCTAAACTGGAAGGTTGGTGATATGTTTCCTTAGCGTTGCATTCTTACATCTTCAAGAGCGGTATTTTAACACTATTCACAGGTATGAAGGACTGGCCGATTCCTCCGGCAAAACTAGAGGAGTTAAGACCACAAATCGTAGAGGAGGCAAAGAGCACTGGAGTTGCCAAGGCATATTATGCCGCTTGGGGAAAGAGGATATCCTAAGTTTGTAGAGTCTACTTGACTGGTGACAAATTTCTTGTCGGCGATCTATTGAATCAAATTTATCTTTAGCATGTTTCAGAAGACTCGTTATCATATTATAGAACATATGATTCCGCCCTGCTTCAGCTTGTTGTTCAAGGCCTCTTACACCTCTTCCTAGTGCTAATCAACTAGGTATTGATCATTGCTTCCTATGAACACGAAGCTGTTCATATCCATCAGTAGACAGCTTACTCCATAATGCAGTATCACAATTTGAGCCGATCCGAGGATTCGATGTCATAACATCGGCAACAGTGATATTGAGCAGTTCAGGAAATCTCGAGCAGTTAAAAATTTCTATTTATTTAAGAATCAATGGGCAATGCCTTTACGCGATCGCAAGTAGGGCTGAACTTTGGTCAACTGCTCGTAATTGGATATAGTAATCACAATCTGACGGCTGGACAGAGGTGAATGGTATCAGAGTAGTGTTTGGTCGATTGCACCAGTCGTAGAAGACAGGTACCGGCGGAGCTAGTAATATGATGTGTTATTAATTTGAATTGTTCGATGAGCTGAATGAAGTGAATATGAATATCTCACCAGGAGGAACACTGGAGTCCAAACAGTAGCTGTACCCTGCCTGTAGAGAACAATTCGTTGTAGACAGACTAGGGTTCCAGCTTATCAAGCTGGCTACTTCAATTTTGTAGTCTGATGCCCAGTTCTCACATGAATTGAGAATTTCGGAATCCATATCGTTGAATGCATTCTTGTACAAAGTACACTTTGTGAGAGTTCCGGGCGCATGTGGATTCAAAGGACGCGGGTTATAGGAGCTGGTGTAAAGGTGGGAACCGGTGGCTTGGTGAATGTATACGATGCGGTTGATGTTGGATATCCAGAATAGGTCTTAATGTCACCCACGGCTCGGACACAATATGAAGCATTCAGCCACAAATTAGTGCAGTTAGTGTTCACTTGTGGGTTAGAAAAATGGAAATCGTCCAGGGATATTTTGAATTTGACTGAGATGGACGCACAGTAGTCTCCAGATTGGACCTTAACATTGATCGGTTAGGGTAATGATGTCTACAAAGAAGTAGAGAATCTCAAGCGTATATATGCCTCATACCACTGGCTGCAATACTTGTTGGATTGGGCTTGGGCATCTTCAGGTACCGGTGCTGGTGTTGTAGAACTGTTGCCCACTTTGTCCCAGTCATCGAGCTATGAGAAGCAGAACAACAGAGTTCCCTTCTGCTGGCGACCAATTGCACGTTCCTTACCTGGCACAAATATACCAGCCTCTCCATGAAGCGAGATTCAAGCAACCGAAATAACCATCGGATTCCAAGCTAGAAGTTGGGCTTTTGTAATGTTCAAGTCTCTTCCTAAAGAGCTGCAGGTGTCGTTCAATTGCAGCTGGTACATCGTGCAAGACGGTGGAAGATAAAGCGTCCGATTCTCATACAATCCAAATCAACTAATGTCCAAGTTATTCTCCTGGATTAAGAAAAGAGTTGAGACATTGTTCGCTCCCGAAATGCCCACGCAAGTATCGCTAGCCTGAATATTGTAAGAGGATAAAGTGCATGTTGGGGTAGCCGATGCTGTAGTGGTCGTCGCATTGGGCCCGTATGAAGCTGGTATTTCTGAATCCTCTGTTTTACGTCTTTTGAAGTTCAATAAATTTAGCAAATGCAAGCCAGCTGTGAAACCTGGTCTGACAGAAGAGATGAGACGAAGAAGATACGAATTCGCTATCCAACACCGCCACTGGACCCTAGAGGACGTCAAAAGTATTATTGGACGGATGAGACCTCTGTTATCCTAGGCCACCAAAGAGGCTCTAACCGGGTTTGGCGCAGGGTTTTTGAATGTTATGATCATATCGTTATTCGCAGGCGTTATAAGAACGCTTCTGGATTTATGTTTTGGGGCTGTTTTTCATACAATGCCAAGGGGCCCTGTCATATATATGAATCGGAGAACAAATTGGCAGCAAAAAAAGCCGAGAAAGAGTTATAACTTGTGAATCGAGAGCGTGAGAGGAAGGCCGGGGAAGAATGGGAGCTAAATCAAGCTTTTCGGAATCTGCAGCTATGCCTTCGTAAAGGAAGGAAACCAGCGTTTAAATTTACTGCGAAAAATGGAAAGCTAATTCGAAACGGCAAGGGTGGCATTGATTGATATAGATATCAAACGGTATAGGGATTCACTATATAAACGTGATATCGAAGCTAACTTTATGTTAGAAAGTTCTTGTGTCTAAACTCCTTCCTTTTGCCCAGGAATGTAAGCGCACTCGGCCGGATACAATAGTAATGGAAGATAACGCCCCGTCGCATGCCCATTTCCATCAAAAAGGGATTTACTCCTTCCATGAGGTCAATCAACTCCTTTGGCCTGGCAATTCCTCCAGATTTGAATGCTATCGAACCGACGTGGTTTTGGCTTAAAAGGCGTACAACTCTCCAAGGCGCAGCAGGGGATAGAAAAACAGCTAAAGAATTATGGGAGAATGCTTGGGCGGGACTCCCACAGCATCGTATACAAGCCTGGATTGAGAGGATTCCTTTTCATATACCAGAAATTATACGCCTAGAAGGTGGGAATGAATATCCGGAGGGCAGACCTCGAGGTGACGTGCGTAAACGTTGCCGGCGTAAAGGTGAGCTCTCGTTCCGGGCATATATAGAGGATGAGAGGGGATTAGGGGGGTTGGGGGGACTATCTATAGCTTCAAAAGGCTTAATGAGGCATCTAGAAAGGTGGACGTCTCTAGATTAACCCCATATACATATCTAGTTTTTTCTGCTCTCATAGATTGATATGGTAATTTTGGTGTATGGCTATGTGATGACAAAACACACTAATAGCCACCGATCTCTCTTGTTATTTCCATCACTTTTGACTCCCACCTCCGTAGTACGATGTCCCGGAATATCCCTCCGTCCAGCTGACTGGCGGCTGATGTTGGAGCTTGGTTACGCTAGGATGAATACGGAATATAGGCAAATAATAAGAACTTAGAGTTGAGAATTTCTATGTATTGATGCACACTCCCTAATACAAAACTTGTCAGGAATGTTGACCTCTTTTATATGTGAGGTCCTGTACAAACTAGATCATGAGATGACGTCCAGTCGAACCTTGTAGACATAGGCATATAAAGCTGATTGGATGTCTATATCTCGTCAGTATGTAAATCTAGTTCTCGAAATTTCTTCATGTTAGTATTGTGATGGATTCCTAATTAGGGATAGCGTATTGCGTTCCAACAACTGACCCGAGCGGGTGGTCAGCCAGGTCTTCGACACCAATGCTACATTACAGCACCAGATTGACAGATCTAAGAATATAGATCACGATGCCTATCACTTGTGAGTTGACACTACTTTTCTATAATGATCTTGGCCTGACACCATCTCAGTTGAATCAGCCGAGTTTCAATGCAGCATCACAAGACCAGACATACCGTTTACAATTTACGTTGGTGACAGCTACATGCTCCTTGTTCCCCGAGAAGTTACCAACATCCACCGAAACTTTCCCACCGTGCAATACTCTCCTCAACGTTTCAGATTACAACTATCAGACTACTGGGTCGATGAATACAAGAGAAAATTCAATCAAGAACCAAAATTTTCTGCCAAGTACGTCGACTTTGGATTAGAAGACGACGAAGTCGTGGTTGCTGCTCTACTGGATGGTAGTAACTTTATCGCATATTGGGAGTTCCGCACTCTGTTGGATGGTGACAACTCTCACCATATGGACATGTCTTCGGATGCCAAAGCTAGCTTTGGAATGATGAAATGGGACCTGGCACTAGGCTCCTAATATGCTCTACTTGTGATTGCTACCTTACTACTCTGTTTGGGCTTCGATTTCTTTGAATTTGGGTTAGTTCGACTCGTACGGGGCATTAGTGTAGCTAGGAAATCTTTTTTGAAACTGTAAATCTGCTTTCTTGGCTAGTTCTTGCTCAAGTTTTTCGCGTTACAGGACTCTATTCAAATAATGTAATCAATGCAGTCTCAGCTTGGTCAGATATTATCTGGCCAGGTCTCCTTTATCGTACGAGTCAACGGTTCAAATCAAGTCTCTCGATCTACTGTTGCCACAGATGCGGGAACTACCTCGTCTTTATCGAATGATAAATCTGCTCAGCCAGGGCCCTCAGATGAAATGCAGGAGCAGGAACAACCGCTGACACAGCCAGAGCCTCAGACTAGGAATTTTCCTATATCCCCTCTATTTTATCGATTGTCTCGTACGATTCAGACAGTGTGAGAGGTCTGGGATGAGTGATCGAAAGAAAGAATGGAAGCGTTGTTGCTAATCTTGAAACAATACATATAAAACAGAATGGAAAATACCGCATCGAATATGAAGCAGAATCCTCGAAGTCGAAGAGGCCAAAGTGAGCGAGCTCCGAGTGGGCATGAGGGGCAAGACGATGATCGGGCTTGGCCATTAATATAACCGTGGACGCTTCAAGCTTTGCTTTCAAGGCTACTTTAGATTAGTGAGTAGGATGATTATTGACACCTACAATTCTTCTTTTTTCCTGAATCACACCTCGTATGTGTAATACTAGGGACTATGCTCTAACTCCGAGCTGGGAGGGGGGAGGTAAAGAAGCCGGGCATTCAGTAGAGCTTCAAACAGGAATACTGAACAATGGAGAAGAGCCTATCTAATAGATAATGTTCACCGAATTGATGTAGGTACAGCTGTTTCTGTTCTATTAACCATATGAACATATTAGCCTAATCGCCTATATCCTCTGTGGCGGTGTAGGAACCAACATACCTGTCCAATTTCTTAGGGGTTAGGGTTAGTTTGATGTGAGAACAGAGAGCGGCAAAGGTGTGGATATTTCATCTGGTCATGATCAAGATCAAGGTTCAGCTGGCTATGGTTAACAATGTATTGCCACGAAACGACATGAATGTCTTTTATATAGAATCCATGCTGCGGAAGCAGAAGAGATAGGTTTCAGTACATTGACATTCCATACCCCTCCCTTATGTACTTCGCCCTTAAGTAATCCCTCTCGAACGTGACTATACATATTCCTCGTAACACTGTTACAGAAGGGCAATTTGACGAATGCATTGGCAATGTACTTTCATGCGGCTTTTAGGAGAATAGGGCGGAAACACACGAATTGCATATAATTAGCGCACTATGATAGTGCCCTATAGGATAAACCCCTCCAGGAGTAATAAACATCATTTATTCATTCATACAAGGCGCGCCTAACGTCATTCGTGTAATGTCAAGTAAGAGGATGGATGCCTAAGGATTCTCTGTTGACCCTGGCCCCGCGGTCCTGTTGGCAGTATCTATTCCGCCCTCAATGACTTCGTTCTTTTACTCCTATAACTATTTAGCTTCAACATCATCCTAATCCTCCATCAACAACCCTGTGAATTTATCTCTCCTAAAACTCCTTGTCGATCATGGCGAGTATGAATAACATTTTCACTCTGACGCGATACAAATCGCCTCTTCCTCCAAACGTCATAATCGCCGAAACAAAGCTTGGATTCGCCAAACTCCAACACTCCAATTTGGGCGCGCTCGTCGGCCCTGAAAACGGCGGGTATTATCTCAAGTATCCAGAGGGCAAGGTCGTAGCCGTCGCTAATGACAGGCTATGTTCCGTTATCGACGAAAAGTTTATGTCGCTAATTTTCTATCTCGAGAGAGAAGCTCTGCACGAAGAGGCTAACGAAACTATGGAGGATTTACGGAAAGCTGGGATTGACGCTGATAGGCTTAAGGCAGAAGCGAGCGATGAGATCAAGAGCGGTGCCTGCGTTCGAGATGGTGATTTTGAAGAAGACGCCTGTGATGATTGTCAACAACCAAAAGCTGAGTCTTAACAGATGTCCGCTATTTTACCAGAGTATATGTGTAAACTTCTTATCTCTAGGTGCAGTTTAACTTATTATAGGCATACGCATTGGTATCTATTACTTTTTGAAGCTATGGCAATACAGGATGCATATCCCTGAACCCAAGCGTGTGAATGGATATTCATCAAGTATCCTGACTAGAAACGAATTTATGATATACAATGCTATTTAAAATTATTTCGTCATAAGCGTGAAAGGAGGATAAGTACATTAAAGCATAATTATAAAACGACTCGAGCTTCAAGACTATATCCCATGCCAGCTTGAGCAACGAAACAAATGACTAGAACTTCGAAGCAGGAAAATCTTCCTAATACTATAAGTCCCATGCCCTCTTTTATCAGATGCATCTCTGGCGATGTGAACAGTAATGACAGCCTGTGTAGTAGGGGCATTTCCCCGGTCCACCAGTAAAGACGCAAAAAGGATGACTGCATCCCCTCTGAACGCAACCAGATCCTCCGCAGTTCCAATCTTCCATTAGCTTTTGCAAATCAGCTCCATTCTCTTGTAGTTCCCGGAGTACATCGGCAGCCTCTTCGTGGTTCCCTTCTTCCTTTAGCGTGCGATAAAAAGACATGTACCGCTGGTCCAGTTCGATGGTCAAGTTGTCAGATGAAGCCGCCACAACTTTACCGCTATCTGGATACTTGAGAAACCAACCACCGTTTTCGGGACCGACCAGTGCGCCAGGGTTCGCGTCTTGAAATTCGCGGAGTTTAGGCTTCGTGTCGGCTATTTGGACATTCGGTGGAAGTGGTCGCTTATAACGCGAGAGGGTATCATCGGCAGTAGCAGTTTCCCACAGGAATGCTAGAAAGAGGAGAACAATTGAGAAGTTTGAAGTGGTTTTCATGGTTACTAACTGTAACACGCTGGGAGGTTATGGATAAGGTGTTATCACAAGACAAGTGCTATCTAATAAACAGTCTGGAGGGACGAGAAGCCCCCTTTTATAGCGAAACGGTCCCTCGAGACGAAGCCTCTCAGTCTTTTGAAATATGAGCCCATATGTTTTGATGCAGATAACAATGTAACCAGGCTTTCTCTCTTGCCCCTGACGAATTGGCTAGAGAATGGGGCAAAGAGGTCATCCGGATTTCCCGTTACCGTTGCCTTATTCTAGACCAGCAGGTTACAAGGTAACTGCATTGATCATCCATGCACTATCAACCGTCGTCGATGCAACCGGCCAGCCTGGCTTTCATCCTTATTGCTCATTTTAGAAAATATGTAGATGTTTAATTAGCATACATGACAAGGGATATAATTCCTCGCTGTTTACCACGGACTTCACTGACCTTGAATCAAAATAAAAGACTTGATACAGAAACTATAAAGGCTACTGCGCGGGCTTCACAGGGATTCTACAGAATAGAAGTGATGTCGGGAAAAATCCTGTTCGGCAAAGAGCTCGGAATGAATCTCAGGTACTATCTAGCGACATCCAGCCCTAGATAGCAGATATTATTTGTAGGATTGGCCGTATGTTGGCCATATGTTACATCACATAGCTCTATTTCTAAGATTGTGCTTGTACAGGTTGCTACATGTACTACGCCGCATATGCTAATGTACTACGGTACGGCTCGCAAATAATATTAGTAACCTCCACTAGGTATCTTACCTATTTAGTATACGGAGTAGACTAGCTATAGTTGTATTTTGGATGTCGCATGTACTACGCTGTATATTTTAGAGTGGAGAAAGTGATGTGAATACATCCGCAGCAGATTCTTATAACGATAGCCCCAAGTCCATGAGGCTAGAAATCATGTAATGAATGGACACTGTACATGATATCGTCTCGTTGCTTGATGCTGATATCTATGTATAGTTTACATGGGGCTATTTCTGTTGTTGAAGACATCAATATCTGCATCAGTACATGATCCTTTTTGGATTAGTATTCCATGCTTGAAATTTTCCAGTATTGTCTGTATGGGTACTAGATATTGGAAGTAAGACTTTCCCTTTTCAAACAGAGGAGGAATCTTGCAACAACTATGTCGATAGAAGTAAAGATACAGCTGACGTCACAAACATTAAGTGGTCGTCTACAGCTGGAGATCCAGCCTCAGTAAGGTCTCCAGAAAAAGCACCCTCTCTCATTGTGCGGACAACGAGCAACACGGTAGTACTTTTCGTGAGAGTCCAATATGGGGAATACCGCCGGATGTTGCAAGTAAAATGACGGTTGCAGTTAAGCCGCCTTGTATATCAACCAGTACCGCCGTCACCATGCCAACTTCTAAGGCGCGTCTCAGCAATCCGACTGTCACTGTGCTCGGGGACGATAATAATCAGCCCACTGTACACCAAACCTCTGCAACCAATAAAATTAGCCAAGAATGCTCGGTCTACGGAGGTTGAAAAGAGTCCGAGACACTGGAAAATAGTTGTATAAAAAGATATCATAAATTATTTAAATGGTCTTACTTACTTCTACATTATGATATTACCTTCTACCTGCAGGTTGGGTTAGTCTCCAATTTCCCTCAATCCTAGAGCGGATTCAACTTCAAAACCCTGCTCGCATTCAAACTAGACGTAGATTATATTCCATGTATACTAGATCCCCGCTGTGTAGACTGTGAGGACCCAAGCAATATCATATTGGAAGCTATGAACGAGAAAACTAAGTATGGAGGGAGAAAGAAGAATCTATCAACATGAAGCTATCTCAGGTGCTTGATATGTTGTCGTTGATGTGTTGGTTGTTGTTATTGGTTATCTAAGCTAACTACAGCAGCGCTGACCCCTTTATGTGTGTGTGTGTGTGTTGTGTTTCTATTTAACGGCCGTGGTCCGTGACTCACACACTTCCCACCGTTCTCTGTTGGGACAAAGGCCGCCGAGGGGTAAACCTCGAGCTTCAAGATCTATCTCAAATTTATATATACGGATAAGAGACTCTTTGGCGCATTTCCGTACTGCCGTGGTCATACAGGAAGGCCCCCTTCTAAGTGAGCTTTGCGTATTTGCCAGCTGTAATGGTCCACCTACGCTCCATGACCCGAACAGTAAATTTTACAAAGAGAGAAGGAGAAAAGAGAAGAGAATAAAAAAAAGTGTTGGTTGCTTCGTGCAATCGAGATGTCTGGCACCGGTACGCAGCAAGTGTTGGATATTTGATACGCTAATCCCAATCCGGATGTACTTACTAATCTTTGAATCCTCGGAAAAGCAACATATCCGCGAGAACAAGAGCGCCAAAAAGCAGACTACATTTTGTACATAAAGAGGATCAGGGATGTGTATCTAGAGGGGATTTGCACACTCTCTAAAAATACTGCTAGCTACGCATCTTGATCCTCTTTATATACACAATATAGTGGCAAAATAGCAATCCTGAATCCAAAAGTAGGCTGTCGATATTGTGCCAAACCTGGGATCGGCAATTGTGTTTTTCCGGGGATTCACCGATTAGTAAGGTCGTCCAGAATGGGATTAGCGTATCAGATATCCAACAGCAAGGAGAGGTCACGTGTGGCTTACACGTGACCTCGTCAAGCAAGGACTATATGACACCGCGTCGGTGCCTCATTGAGAGAGAGAGGAAGGACCGAATAATTACCTATTGAAGTTGACTCTATTGCTTCGTATGTACGTACACGCACCTTAGTGCACCCACAAAAAGAGAAATATCAAGGAAAAAATATAGCTGTCTTAGCTAGGTGCTGAGGACAGATATCGGCAAGGGGGCAGATATCCTCAAAGAAGCGGGTCTCTGCTAACCATATAGCTAGCTTTTACGCTTCTTTCGCAGTGCCTAAAAGAAAAGAGATGGCCTTAGAAGAGGGCCTAGGAGGTCGAGGGACTTGTCTCTTAGCTATATGACAGAAGAAGAAGTGTAGAGGTTTCGTGCTCCATATTGGCAGAGAAGATTAGCATCATTATGGTTGAATTATGTTGAATTATTAATGGTAGTCTACGAAGTCTCCATAGCCAGTATGGGCCGCGATGATATGACTGAGGTCAAGTCAGGTGAGTTGAAGCTCACCTGGGCACTTAGGAGATGTAGTGATTCCTAGGTCTTGGTATGTCTGAGATGCCACGCTCTACCATAGTGTTTGAGCAGCAGAAAGGCTCGAGCCTCGGCATATCCCTTTAGCGAGGCATATGAGGATCTGTGTGGAGGAGGAGAGATAGAGGCAGCGCCCTCTTTGGTAGCAATATCAGCCGCCTCATTCTTAGGGATTTTCGCGTGTCTAGGGACCCATCGAATTCGGATAGAGCCACTTTTGGTATGAGGAAGCCTTTCGCGGAGTGGCCAGGCGGCTGCAAGTATGCAAAAGATTTCAAAGACTACCGTTAATGGTGTTGCTCCTGGTGGTACTGTGACGGACATGTTCCATGCCGTGTCACATCACTACATCCCTAATGGAGAGAAGTTTTTGGCTGAGGAGCGTCAGCAGATGGCTGCTCATGCGTCGCCATTGCATCGGAATGGCTTCCCTGAGGATGTTGCTCGGGTGGTTGGATTCTTGGTTAGCAAGGAAGGGGAGTGAGTTAATGGCAAAGTCATTACCCTAGATGGTGGCGCGGCGTGATGATTACGATTATAATTGTAGTAGTTTGGAAAGTAAGTACCTAGTCTAGAAAGAAAAGCTAACTTACGAGACCAAAAATATTCATGTTTTTCTCGTGCAGTTCAGATATATTGGAATTACAATCTCATGAGATGTCGATATGATCTTTGCCAATTTCACGTGTACTTTTCTACTGTAGGCGGAATCGGTGGTAGAGACACGGTAGAGACATTTAACTGATATGACATCCGAGGTACTATAGCTCAAGAAGATTTCCCTACGTGTATACTATTGTGAAGAAAAAGAAAAATCATAGAAAATGTGTTGAACGCAGCATGCTAACAACTCGTAACCTTCAATGATCAGACCCTCAGCCCGGTCCTGTATTCAAAGGGAGATAAGGATGTAAAAGGGGGAGAATATGTCTCAACAGCCCCAATGCGATATGCATTGGCGTACCCGTTGGAAACTTGGCCGCTCCATTTGTATTAATCACACTCATGTTTTTCAAATCGTAGCTCCCATTCTCATCGTCTGCTGCCTCAATCATTGCAGCCGCCAAATCTAAGTAGGACACGGGACTTTGCTCGTCGGTCAAGCTCAGCGCATGGCCTCTTTGTACATCGACCGAGAGCGCACCAGGCTTAATGAAGATAGTTTTCAGCCAGTCTTCTTCTGCGTGAAGCATCTTTTCCGTTTCAATCGGGTCGATATAGACGTAAAAAGCCGAGCGGAGCAGAATCAGGCGCAGCAGATAGGGGAGATGACGGAGGAAGTGATCATCAATAGTTGCCGACGACAGTAGGACAAGCTTAGACACCTTTCTTGGAGCAGTATTCGTGTTTTCGCTCCTTGATTGATACTACTTTGGAGCATTTGAATCACAGCCGCAGCCGTATCTTGTGCTACACGGCATCCCGGAATATTGTCATTAGTGGAAACAACCAGAAACACCGTGTGGCAACCACGCAGACACGAGGCCAGAAGGTCAATGTCGTGGATGCTTCCTTCAATATCTCAACTTCGCCGCCTTCCTTGATGTCCGGCAGAAGTCGCAGAAGCTTGGTACGATCACGACAGTATGCGTGGATGCGAGCGTCGGGCTTACTGTCGAGGAGGGTTTGGATGAGTGCCCTACCGCACCTCCCCGTGGACCCTAGGACAGTGTAAGTACTGGAGGAAGTCATGTCTTTTGTCTCAGGTAACTGCATACTTAGATACTCAGAATCATTACTTGAACGTTGACTTTATGTTCGTTTCTAATACATTGGTTGGAGGGAGGGGGGCGGATTAGGCGGGTGCTATATATCCCGATTACGTCGGGCTACGATTTGTACCGTAGAAAATTTCAGGCTCGGACGATTGACATGAATTGTTTGATTGAACTCGAATGTGATATTGTTATCATCTGATGTCGATCTTACATGCAACGTTAACATGGAGCGTGTCTGCCTAGTATATTTCATTTGACTCTTTGGCAAGATAAGATTTCTACAATGCAGAGTTCATATTTGTAAAAACTCTAATTAATAAACTACCTGCTACTGAAGAGCCCCCGATTCGATCAGCCACTTCTGGAAAATAGGGAAGAAACGCTGATAGAATGCCGAGTCCACCATCTCCTCCAACTTCTTAACCTTCAACCCATCTTCCGTCAGTGTCATAAAAATAGAGAATTCATTCGTCCATTTTTCCTCTGGAATAGGCGTATCTGCAGAGGACGTCGCATACACAGCGGCCGTGCTCTTGTCCGCGTCGTGGACTATGTGCTTGATGCCCACCTAGCTGTGCATTAAATCCGATCCAACCAATTTCATAGTATGCGAAATCCTTTGAAACTAACCTTCCAGTTTGCCAAATTATTGACGAGCTTCGGATAGAAGAATTCGGCATGCTCTCGCCGTCGTACTGGCTGCTGTAGCGAAAATGGGAGCAATCGCTGCTCAAAATCGTCAGACCAGAGGTTTATGGTGTCTTGCGCTTTGCTGTTTCCCCATGTGTCTAGAAATTTGTCAATTGTCTCTTTTTGCACGTGTGCTGGAGCAGGAATGTTGATACACTGTGATGGTTTGTGCGATTTTTCTGAACAATAGGAAGTTCTTGGTGTGATAACCTTGAGAAGGCAAGCGGTCTAGAAGTCGGGATATATATATTTGTACCTTGGTAGGTATATACTGATGCGGGTGACAACTCGGACCATACTCGTCGGAAATCATCTCCATTATTTTAATCTTAATTCGCAATAGCTCTTGTGTTTGCTCTGTTAAGACCTTTTTAACCGTAAGTATACGACGACCTCATCCTGATGCAGAGGACTGTATGAGGCGTGGGTAACATTAATAAACGAGGAAAACGATGTATCCTTTCGATCGATGTACATTGCGTATATGTATCTACAATTCATTCACGCTTATCAGTGACAGAGCTTTCTGTCAGATTAGGGTTATTACGTCCTGTGTTAGGGCGTTTTCCGCGTCGCCCTAAATCTGTCTTCAGTTACCATGGTACGGGACAGCATGTAATTCGTGATAGATTCGGGAGTGTGAGATCCATAAAACGCATACTGTAGACCAACTAGAGAAGAAGAATATGGCGTATCTTCTTGTTCGTAATCATTGGCAGGTTTCACCGATGCTGTAGCTCTATCCCGCGCTCAAAGATGCCTAAATAAATGGCCCGAGCAGCTTCACCTGAGAGCCACAATATCCCGACAAGTGAAAACACTTGTGTATCGTGCTTCTACTAGTCATTTCTGACGCAGTGAATTGTTCCTCTGATCCGAGAGATACCGGATCAAAAATGAGCTATACAGGTAGTTAGACGATTGGGGCACTTACCTGCGGTCAGATTTCTCTCAGAGAAGACCCCCTTCATGATGTCCGATGACTTGTTGGAAAAGTTTTGTAGAATACTAAATAAATTAGACTGAAAGACACCCATAACGTGCAGCGTACCCTTTTGGCTTTTGTTTGTGTCTATCACGTCTCAGTCGTATCTTAGTCATGGCCACCCTGGCAACACCAGCACCAGCAGCACTCCAGTCTGCCATGGGGACATCTGGCAAGATTTTTGCGCAGGACGACAAATTCTGGAAAAACTACTCAAGAGGTCGCCCAAAAGTCCCAGGCGCCTTCTGGGATCGCGTCTTCGGCTACCACCAGAGCAAAGGCGGCCTTTTTGGCACCGTCCACGATATCGGCGCTGGTAACGGGCCTTATGCCCAGAGACTACACTCTCGCTTCGCCCACGTCATAGTATCGGACATTGTAGCTGAGAATATCACTCTTGCGAGCGACCGACTTAGGGACCGGGAAGGATTCAGCTTCCGCATCGCTGCGTTGGAGGAAGCCGACGACATCACGGATGGCAGTGTGGACATGGTATTTTCCGCAAACGTGATGCACTTCGCAGAGCCCCAAGAAGATGCCATGGCAACTATCGCATGCCAGCTACGTCCCGGTGGCACATTTGTGGCCTCGCTGTTTGGTCCGGCACGCTTTCGTGACGCGGAACTGCAGGATCTTTGGGAGCGAATCAGCCACCAGGGTGGCAGGGAGCTGCTCCAAGTGTCTGATGATCCGGACCAGATCATAAAGGTCATGGTGCGGACACAGGGCCTGTATAATGTTGCACCACTTGATCGGGCACTTTTTGGTGATAACCTTCGGATACATATTAACATGGAGCATGTGAGCACTTTAGCTCGTTCCCGTTTATTTCACGGTTTCCTGACGCTTTCACGGACTCGTATGAGGAGTTGGACGAGCTGCTCGCTGATGGGAAGACTGTTGAAGGTTATTTCCCCGTCACGATAATTTTGGCGACAGAAATTAGACAATTATCTGTTCTTTATGTATTCTCCCTGTGTTTCTCTGATACAGCGAACTACATTGTAGGCGATTACTAGGTTGAGTTCAACATCTTAAAGGATTAAAGCTTTAAGGCTCCAGAATCAATAATACTGCTATATTAATTTCACTAAAGTTCTCGCTCCAATCTGAACTGCTAACATGCTCATAGTTTTGTCATCTGCAGTTGATTTTCTTGCAATTTGAGAGCCTTCGAGTTCAGTTGCTCACGGATGCTGCCTGCGGGGAGGTAAAAGAGATAGAGTTGTAGCAGTTGTAGGTCACGCTATATTATCTGCCTGTCATACTGATGTATAGTACTGGAATCTGAAGAGCTATTCTAATGTGAAGTAGGTAAGAGGTTTCACGTAAAACACTTTGGAAGGAAGAGGGAAAGGGGAGAAAAGAAAACCCGGTAGAAAATATTGTTCAAATGAAATTTGTGAGAATATTATCTAGCCATTTTATCACAAGGGACGGCATATTTGAAGTGTGATTTCCAGAACACGAGTGCTGGAAACGATATAATCATCCGAAATATTGTATAGAACTCAACAACCCGCCAGGATGCCATTTGATTGAGACTTCAGCTCATCTAATTGTAATATTCACCCAACCATTCCCGTAGATCTCCAATTGTCTCGTAGTCTAAGAATAGGCTGCCGTTGACCTTGATATTCAGCTCAGTTCTGAACTTTTCCGCGATTACCAGCGACATTAAACTGTCAATGTCTAAGTCCCCGAAACCGGCATCATCCGTCATTTCAGAGAGATCCAGGCCTGTTTCGTTGGCAATGAGCAGGATTGCCTTAGCAGTGATACTGCCAGACTCCGCGGCATCCTTGATGGATGGAGATTCGGCTGCGGCTGCAACTCCCTTTGACGGAGCTGGCGCCGAAGTGGGAGGGCTAATATTCTCATCATCGCTTCCGAGACTAGTGTCATGTCGAAGGAGTACCGGTTTGGCATCGGGGTGGCAGATCTTGATTTTATTGTTATAGCTTGAGCAGCAGCAGGTTTTGGCTTATCGTCGATAGCAGCCATTTTATCCGGGGGAGAGAGAAAACGGCTGAGTAGAATACGCGGATAGCGACGAAATTGGATACCATTGACAACGCCGATGATGATATTGTCTTGCATACCATACACATCACCAAAGTAAATCGGGTCCTCAACAGTCGGAACCATCTTGACGTAGGAATGGTACTTGCCCCCCGGGACCAGGGGCTTCGCGAATCGCATTGAGTCCCAACCCGGAGTGACACAGTAATTGCTTTGCGTGTCTATGGCATCGGAGCAGTTCATGGTGAACCCGGCCAAGTGTGCCACGCTGTCAATAAAGTAAGGAGGAACAGCCCAGATTCCACTCTCCTTGGTAGTAAGCTCCACATCGGCGAATCCTTCTAGTTCATGCATGACCACAGACTGCATGCCGCGGTACTTATCGGCGTAGGTTACCAGGTTGCTGCTGAAGAGGGTGTATGCATGTTGCGTGTAAAGCAGCTTGCCTGACCTTGTGCGGCAAGGTGTTTGAGTGCTTCAATTCTGCTCTGGATGAGGTGGGCAATTGCCAAGAAGACAGCCACTTAGATGCATCTTCGTAGCAAATGTTGGCGGTAGCGAATGGCTCCTCGGGACCTCCATCATTGTCCACATTCTGCCAGGCCAACTCGACTAGACCTGAGCCAACATCGGCAGTGGTAGCAGTTACACGGAAAAGCTGGGGTGTCTTCTTATTTGTTTGAGCAACAAGACCCTTTGTAACGACTAGATTGCCAGTATTCATGTGGACTTCTTTGGACTTCGGGTTCAACTTGCGGTACAGATAATTCCCAAGGGTGTATGCAATATCGGCATGGATGGACTAGAATTAGGGTTAGCAAGGTCTGACCGAATACCCTCGTACAAGGAAGAAGCCTTACCGATGTAACAACACCACAGTTGTTCATGCTATGCCCATGGGTGGCAGCCAGTAGATCTTCCTGCATAAGATCTGACTACATGACTACTGTACCGGCGGAGCCATTGAATGACTCCTCAATAATCTGCTGGACAGTGGTAGTTTGAATCTCGCTAACTAGCAGTGCTTTTGGTGCCGTCTCGGCTCTCTTCGTATAGAAGGTATTACCTTTGTCAAACACCAGTCGACAGTATACTGAATCCAGTGGTTCTTTTCATTCCATGCATATGCTGGAAGATCCAATAGGCGTAGCCTACGCTCGAGTGGGCTGTGGAACTCATTCCAGCCAACTTCAACACCACAAATATGCAAAGTAGCCATGCTCTCGGTTATGGTCTTCCAGTTATCATCGCCACGGCGCATTGATGGGACAGCGAGCCGTGTGGACGGAATGGTGGTTTTGATAAAGTTTGTACAAACAGGATGTGGCCCAATTTCGATCCAGACAGTCTCATCGCTAATAGTATGAATCTTCTGGGCCTGCTCTAGAGCAGCCACAAAGTCGACGGTTTGTCTTGTGACCCGGCGGACGTAGCTTGCATTCATTGTCTTACCATCAAAAATGACTTTGCCGAGCAGAGGCGAGATAACTGGCACTTTTGGCTCCTGAAAGATGACACCCGCCATTGCAATTTCCTCAAAGTCGTCTAAAATAGGGTTCAACTGATCCGAGTGGAAAGCAAAAGCAACATCCAACTTGATACAGCGGTAGCCAGCCTTCTCAAGCGAGGCTGCCACGTCATCCATCTGTTCCTTTGTACCGCTGAGTACAGTGTCTGAAGGGCTGTTTATACAAGCAATCGTATATAGCTTACCCTCTTAGCTCTCTACTATCTCTGCAACGGAAGCGCGAACAGCCATCATAATATAGCTACCAACCTTGCACTTCTCCTCCAGCATCTGAGCCCGGCGCCCAACCATGAATATAGCATCACTAGCAGTGATAACACCGGCTGTGTGTATTGCAGCATACTCGCCTAAGCTATGGCCTAAAACAACGTCTGGTTTAACTCCGAGAGTAGCCCAGTGTTTAGCAAGAGCAATCTCAGTACAGACTAGGGCAAGCTGAGTAATGACAGCAGAGTGAGCATGCTCGTTAGGATAGGATGCGTCAAGAGCAGCAATAAAAGAAGGGAATCCTTGGCCTTGACCAAGAGATTCAAGATATTGTATATGCTTTCGAAAGGTGGGCACACCCCGATACAATTCTAAACTCATTGACTTGTAAGAAGCGCCTTGACCAGTGAAGCTAAACGCGACCAGAGGGGGCCCAGACATTCCAACAGGGTTGATCAAATCAACCTTATCTAAGGAGGAACTCAGTTGCCTCTTCAAATGGGCCACATCAGACGTAGCAATGGCTACGCGATGCGTATGATGGTAGCGGCGGGCAGTCGTCGTGTACGAAAGATCCGCCGAGTTGGTATTTGGATGTGAATCTAAATACCCAATCAACCGGTCAATATTTCCAGTCAAAGAAGTCTTCACCTTGGCTGAGATAGCGATGATGTGAGTTTTACGCGGATCTATCTCGAACTTCGGGTTGATCTCTGTCTTAATGCCGATGTGCGGCGGGACGGCGTTCTTTTGGAGCATTAAGAGCACTTTGATTAACGCTGTTGTCCCTGCAATAGACCCTCCATGACCAACATTTGCTTTTACGGCGCCAATATTTTAAGGGCTGGTCCTTGCTACGACGCCTGGTGAGAGGAGCATAGACGTCCATAATACCCTGCATCTCCTCATGGTCTCCGGCTTGAATACCAGTGCCGTGGATCTCGATGTAAGATACATCCAAAGGGTCTACGCCAGCCTGTCGAAGCACCTGACGGGAAAGATAAGCTTGGTGGCCGGCATGGGGGTGAGTGATAGAGACTGCTTCTGCAGAATGGTTTGTGCCAGCACCAAGAATGACACCTAAGATATTGTCATTGTCTGCTTCGGCATCTTCGAGTCTCTTGATGGCGAGAGAACCAATGCCGTCTGCGCGGCAGTAACCATCAGTGGTAGTATCCCACGTCTTGCAAGCATTATATCCTTTAGTGAGAAAGTGACCGTTACACAGTCCAGAAAAGCCGTCCGGGTTGGTCAGTACGTTAACACCCCCTGTGACGGCAGTATCAACTTCACCATTCCAAAGAGCCTGGCAGGTGACCTAAGATTATTCATTAGCAACTAGGAAGGCTGAGGTATACGTGACAGAAAACGTACCTCAATTGCTGCGAGTCCCGAAGAGCATGCAGTATCAATACTGTAACTGGGACCCGCGAACTTGAAGAAGTAGTTGATTCGCCCAGGACCAAGGACTCCACAACCACCTGGAATATAGTAGGTGCTAACCTCTTGACCTTGATTGATTTCACGGTAGTCGTCAGCTGCTTGGCCATAGAATGTACCAATACGCTGCAACTGTGTGGAAGCAGTACAATTACCAATATAACCAGCACGCTCAAGAGCCTCGTACGCCGTGATAAGAACCAAGCGCATCTGTGAATCGGTGACCTGGGATTCACGTGGAGATATGTTGAAGAAGGGCGCATCGAACAAGCCGGGCTCACCGATGAAACAGCCATACTGCGTCATAGTCTTGTTGAGTTCCTTTTCGGCTGGGTCGTAGTGCGTCTCAATGTCAAAACGATCAGCTGGGATTTTACGAGAGACATCCAAACCCCTTTCTAGGATTTCCTAGAACTTCTCGGTATTAGTCGCGCCTCCAGGAAGTCTGCAAGACATGCCGACAATGGCGAGCTTGGACTGTGAAGTACTGCGTGGCGTGGTATCTTTTGGCGCTACTTGGGTGACAAATGTTGTGAGATTACTGATCGAGACGTTTGAATGAGTAATGCTACTCTTCAAGGCCGAGTTCAGGTCATTGAGAGGGATGGAGTTGCCAAAACTGTACAAAGCTACTTCTGAGGTAACAGTGGTTTTCACTCTCTCAACCACACCAGATATGACGCGGTCCCAGTAGATTGCCTGGGTAAGAATCTCAGATATTACGCTTTCGAAGAGTTCTGTATCCTTCTTAGCCGGGTATGTTACGCTAGTGCTGGTAGAGTAAATTGGTGCTCCTGGCCACGACTTTGTCCGGACCGTGAGCAACGAATTTTGATCCACGATGCTCTGCGTATCATGCATGTCGTAAATATGTGGTGCGTGACACAAGCCGCCATATACCGGAAGTGCAATAAATGTTGACTCGCGGAAAAAGTCAGACTTATTGAAGAGTGCTTTTAACCTAGCTGGTGGTCCGCTCACTGTGACAGAAGTCCGGCTGACAGCGCTTACAAAGATTTTTCCAGTGCCAGGAATCTCATCTCGAAGATATAATGTGTCAAGCTCCTTCCTAACAATATCTGGGTCAATATTATGAACGACGTATGCCCATGTATCTGGGCTCTCTGACAAATCTCGGGCTTCCAAGTTTTCTGAGACATCCAGGACATGGATTCCTAGGCGGAATGCCAACCGTACAGCATCAGCACCTGCGAGTGGCAAGTCGGCTAACGTCGAGGACAGTGAAACGGCAGTAGATGCCAAAAGGCCAATTCCCAGGCCAGCAAGGTTCAGGTTTGGAAAGTCAGTCAGCTCTTCAGGGCTGTTCTCTGCATAGCTGGAAACGGAAAATCAGCAATTAGATTTTAGATTGTAAGCCAATTCAAATACCCACCCAATATACGTTGCTATTTGCACGACAACAAGCAGCACCCCATCTACGGCGCCACAAATCAAGCCTTCCCGAATTTCTGTGTTTTCTGACCAACTGACTAGGGTCTTAAATGGTGGAATGAGCTTTTTCAGCTCTGTCGGTAAGTTTCGAGCTTCTTCTTTGATGGCCCAAGTGGCCTCGCATATAAATTGGGCTAGGTGTGAGTGATGTTTGTCATTGCTGTGATTGTGCAGGCAGCGGAACAAGGGAACAAGTTCTGCAAATCGTCCCTGGGGAACTCATTGCTAAAGTAGACGAGCTTCATCTTGCGTGAATCCAAGTCGGAATCCGAAGTTGTGGTTGGGGTAAATATCAGCATCAGGGTGAATGATTAGTGGTAGAAAGAGGGAAGGTAAGAGTTTGAATCCGATAGAAGCTATCTAACACGAGTCACGTTATGGGCCAGCTCAATGCAAATGGGTGAGACTTTTCAGAGACTAAGTGTGTTGAAAAGAAGAAGTACTCCAGCCGGTTTATGCTGTTGAATTGCTGCTAATAAGCCATATCTCCGCATAGTCGCTTCAGGACCAATATTGAAGGATGTTACTCAACCTTGGCTTAATATTAGTTATCTCGCCCCGACTGACTCATCCCTAAATGACCGTGGCCACCCCGACAACTACTATCCGAGAGTCATTAGTAGGTTAATGCTTGGCAGTTGTCAAGCTTGAATGACCGACGATGCTAGTTAGCGTGTGAAGATAGGTGAGGTTACACTTGAGTAAGCTCGGTATATTGTTTCTGATACTCATTTATTTACTAAAACGACGACATCTTGCTTTAAACTCCTGAGACTTGAACTCTCTTCATGGGGACCCATTCCGTATACATCGATGCGTAGCTATAAGCTAGGGCTACGATAAAGCACGGTGTAGGTGACAGATAGCAATAGTCTGCTAGCAGTGTAAATCATTGCAATTCTATGCATAAGATGACCACAGAAAAGCCATGTCCCAAAAAGTCCAACTTGAGTCTAACCTTAATCGCGTCATATATAATGATCATGCTTATGGCCAAAGCTGTGTCTTCTTTGCTTTAACCATCCCTGAACCACTTATGGGTAGAGTGTAACAACCAGCAGGCTCGGGGGTCTCACTATTCTAAGAAATGCACCCATGACGTCTCAAGTTGGGTTTCAGCTACACCAGGAGAAGATTTATATGTTCGAGGATGGTTTCAGCTCCACCTCGACTGTTGGAGCTATTCGGAGAAGGGAGATTTGGTATAAGTTATGTCTATAAAGATAGCAGACGCTCAAGGATAGCGGAAAGATAGGTTTCAGTACATTGACTTTCCATACCCTACCTTGTGTGCTTTACCTTCAGTGATTCCTCTCGAATGTATTATACATATCCCTCGTAACGTTGTTACATAGAGATAAGGGGATTCCATATGCCTTTTTGTTTATAGCTGTGGGTAAGGTGCCCATTTATAGCAGACGACTTGAATTACACTGCGTGATCCTATGCCACATGGGATGCGTATATCTTTACTCGTTAGCTTTAACTGGTGAAGTCCTCAAACCTTAAAGGTAATATGAGGATCCAAATATTATAAAACCTAGGAAGATTTAGGTGAGACTAACATGCGTACGTTTGATGCGAGTTTCGGGCGATTCGGTGCAATTCCAGAAGTTTCAAATACGAGACCGCAGTCCTCCGGGCCCCGTTAGGGTTTAGGGCTAGGGCTAAGGTAGTGAGGAGCTACACACATCTACTTCGGCGCCCATGACGCCAAAAGTCATAGGATAGATGTTTAATACTTAGTTATTACTTGATTGTGGCTTGCCAGTATTCTGTGGCCTGTAAAATGCGCGCACTACAGAGTGGTCAATCCTAAGCGCAACAGTAAGCTCGATGTGCAACTAAGCCATTGTGGTGTTCAGAACTAACATCCATACATTGTAGGAAACTCCTTAATTTAGACATTAAGTCACCCAAACTGATAATTCTCATCGACTTTTAATTGCTAGTCTGAAATATAACTAGCAACTAATTTATGGTAGATATGAGATTGGACGTGCTTGAGTTGTTCTGTCCCGTGAAATATAGCAAGAGAAGGACGACACCTCCATGAAGAACTTCGTATATTCGTAGGCAAAAGTCCTGGAAAATTCATTCTTTGTTCAGACCCAGGTCATCGAAGAATCAATCCCTGAAAACATATTATTCCAATCCAAACTTGCCACATCAACTCCCTGGTCAAAGCTCTGTGCCAAATCATGAAAATAAGTCGATAAATCTTCACCATTCGCATACATATCATCCCCCAATGTAGCCTCGTCTCCCCTCAGTATAGCTGGTGTTGGCAGTAATAATTCGCTATACGATTGGACACCAGTAGCAGTAGCAGCACCGTCAGGCGTTATAGGTAGCCTGTCTGCCCGCTTTGGCGCCGGTGAAACTTCGTGCTTGCGAAGTACATGTGTGAGGGAGTTGAGGAATTTAGCTGCCGTTTGAGATTCGTATTTTGCCTCTTCAAGAATTTGGATTGCTTCAGTTAGCTTTCCGCGGTCTTCCGCGTGATGAGAAGAGGTTTTATGATAACATAATTGTATGACTAGTACAATGCTTGCCATGAAAACCGGGACCAGGAACCCGAGAAATCTGTAGCGTGTTGCTGATACGCCCGACTTTCCCAAGTGTGATTCTGTTTGAATGACGAGGCGGGCAGATTGTAGGCATATTTGACTAGAGGAGGCGTAAGCAGGTTCTGCGAGGCCACGGGTAAAGTATGGGATGTGAAGTGTGCACCGCTGCGCATAGAGGAGCGAACAAAACAAGTAGCCTTGGTGGGCGATTTTTGTAGCACGTGAACGGTCAAGGGAGTAATTTGCGATCAGTTCATCTACTGACATGGAGAAGAAGGGCGGAGTGTCATTTAAGAGTATTTGGAGCTCGGTATCGATACCCATTAGAACGTCGTGGTTGGGGACGCCGGTGAGGCCCATTACGAGAGGACTGCGGTCAACCATGTTGTGCGAGATTTCTGAGAGACGAAGTTGTAGTAACTGGAAGGACATTGTGGTTGGTTGGGATAACGGTTGTTCAGTGCATCGCATTCCATCTGTTACATCCTCGTCGTTGATATTTAGAGGTTTTCTGACTAGCATGTGACGTGGATGGCAGTGATAAATGTTTTGTGAGCCGCAATTAAATCTCCTTGAAGGGAGTGACCTAGGAAATCCATCAGTAACAGCTTACTATCATTAAGATACTGGGGACGCAATACCAGTCAGCCGCAACAAGAAACCACCATACTCTTCTTCCGATTTCTGTTTGTACCGAGTTCGCCGAATTCGCATTAGACGGCTGGTCTAAAGAATGCAGCCCAATCTCCCGTGCTAGCATAAACGCCATATTAAACAAAGATTTGCATCTTCGAGAGAATCCTTCCATGTTCAAAAGTGCAAAAGTTGTTATGCTGATTCCCTGTATGCCCTCTATCGATACCGATGATATTCGATGGAGGATATCGAGCATATCCTCCACCGCTTTCACCCATAATTGTGCCTGAGCGTTGGCTTCCTGCCACGTAGGAAACAACCCACGAGCATTATCGCGGTGTACCCAGGCGTGGGTTGAGCTTGCAAATATGCCCAGAAGGAGTAGTATGTTCCCAGGATCTTCCCAACTTTGCTGGCTCAGACATGCATAGACCTCATCCAATATAGCTGGAAGTGAAGGGGTATGGATTATATGATGAACATGGTCAATGTCATCAAAAAACTTCTGGAGAAGTATCTTAGCTTCTGCGTACTGTGGAAGCCAGACACATCTCATAGGCTCGAAGCGTGAAGGCGAGAGGTGCCCATTCCGGCTAATATAATATTGCGCGTGTGGGATTTGCTGGATTGGGCAAACCCGGAAGGCGATCTTATTTGAGAGAGCGTTATCCTGACAAGATTAGATCCGAATCTGGGCATAAGTTAATGAAAGGCACTAACTAACCGAGGCAATCTGCACGGTATAGATTCTTTTCAGCCAACCAACATCATCATCTAGGTGCTCGATATCGGGCGAGAGAGTGGACCGGCTTGTACGGGTCAGCAGGCTATGAGGGGTGTCAGGACTAGTCTCAGCCGTCTGTTTTGTGTTTTGAGCTGAGTTCCCATTATTGGCCACAAGCTCCTCCAGCCTTCGAATGCGTTCAAGGAGCTCGAAGTCCCCAGAGCCAGACCGAATAGCGGTATTTTTCACTGGTAGCTCGCAAACAATGCCGCGGGAGACACAGTTGGAGCATGGCGCCTCTCTGCTGCAGAGCAGCTTACGAGACCTGCAGAAACGGCAGGAGACTGGCCTTTCTAACCTTTGGCGGGCTCCTTGGATTTCCCTATCTTTTGGCATTGATGTTGCCACATATAGAACAGACGAAGATTGCAAGGAGAGGATGACGGGCGGGTTTTCCACGGAGCCTGGTGAAGAGGAACTACGCGTAATATGTAGCTTATACCGTGAGTTTAGTGGAGCGGGGCAAGCGGAGTTTCCGCGGAGCCGCTGGGGACGGTAATGAACCCTGAAAGAAACCCCTTGGAATGGAGGCTTGACCTCGCCACAGATCGGACGAACATTAGGCCGTCCATTCTTCCCAACTTATTATTTACTAGTTAATAATTATATGCAGTCAACAGATGCCGTAATATGCATGCAGTCTTAGTGAATAGGCTCGTAATTGCCTTTATAGTTGTGTAAATCCTTGTTTGAAGTTCTTTTCCTTCACCCAATCCATTATATTATTGCGATGAATTTATTAGAAGGGCACTCAGCGTCATACAGATTGTAAAGGACAGCATGTGCTTTCCTACGCCCTGTCTCTGCGGGTGATCGTAAAGAACCTTGGAATCCGCGATCCCAGCCCCGAATCCCCAACACACGAGAAATATTCCCAGCAGCTTTCTCTCGCCCAGATAAGTCATGATCAACACAAAGCATCCTGCTCCAAGATTTCGGCCTGTCGCGCAAGGGAAAAGAACAGCTTGTTCTGCTGTTGCTGTGGGGAGACCAAAACCTCTGACCCCTAGGCATGGCGTCGTCTGTCAGCAAGAGCCCCGGAGATAGGTACATTGTAGAAAATATGAACTTATCTATAAGAACTTACAGCCAAGGGGATCGATGTATGCTCCCACAACCCCGGAATAAATAAGCAGTGAGCTCACCCCATATGTAGCAACATCGAGGATGTTCGGGTAGGACAGCAGGGTGCCTAATCCTGACATGACGTTTTGTGTTCAAATTGAAGGTTGACGGGAAAGGGCAAAATGTCAATAGCTTCTGTGTTATCTTTTCTTGGTCAGGTAGGATTGTAGCTATTTAGACAAACTTTAGGACAGTTGTCATCAACACGCGATAATTAACATAAAAGGACCGAAGTAGTTATATGATTGGGACTTTGGGCTCGGGATGATTATATCGCTACCTGAACCATATAACTAGTAGGGACTGTTGCATATACATTTGTAACTATAGTCTGGGGCAGTATCTGTAACTGTCCGTACAAATGGTAATTATAGTGTGTATAATTTAGCTCTCACAAGTCGTCCAACGGGCAAAAGATGTGGTTTTTCCGACTTACAGTATAGTACTTTTCAGGATATTACTTCTATTAATTTTGCATTCACACTCCAACCAACATGAGCAAGACTATAGAACGCTACTAGGGCCCTATGAAGACAGCACAGCTCTTCTTACGTTAACACTTGCCGAACACCACCCCACTTATCCAGCCTTTAGGTATTGTTATTAAGTAGCCAAGATATTGATCTTCTACATGTATCTCATCTGTGAGGTAGCGTAATATCTCGTCTGATTCAGGGTACAATCTATCCCAGTATTATTTCGTCAGAAGTTCCCTAAGTATCTTTTGGCCCACATTTACCCTCGCTCTCTGTTCAAGAGCTTTCAATTTCCGTCCGGACTTATGATTAAGTCTAAACAGTCTCCTCCTTCTCATCTTCGCTTTTCTCTTTAGCAGATGCGTCTTCAACGGGAGGCATCTTCTTAAAAGGAACCACAAGAGCCAAGACTGCAGTGAATGCTGCACCGGCCAAGGACCAGGCGAACACGTCTTTTACCCCAGCCATGTAGCCTGCTAGTATGGCGGTTAGATCTTGGCCTTTAAAGACCCCACGAAGCTGAGTTGCACCTGTGGCCAGGACCAGGCCTGGATTAATACTAGGTGCACTAACAGCAAGTGATTCAAGGAGACGATTGTCGAAAACGGATTCGGCTGCTGTAACAAAATATCCACCGCTAAGAGAATTCATCACTGGAAATCTGGGTTAGTGGCAATAGCTTCGCTTAAAGGGGCTTTTGTATGTGATAATCTTACTAACTATGATACCCGTAACGGACGCAACGTCCTCAGGGCTAGTAAAGCTTTGGAGCGCCATCAATGGAACCTGGCAACCAAGACCAATGCCAAAGCCAAAAATAACCTGGGAACCAAGATACCGAGCCTTGGAAGATTTGAGTTCAACAGTGTAAAGTAAAGCCGCGCCAACAGTGGCTAGTAATCCACCAGCTAACAAGAAAGGTTGAAAGATGCGCGTCTTTCCGATGATACCACCACTCATCATCGACCCCAAGGCAAAGAAGGCTATAAATGGAAGGGTATTGACGCCACTCGCAATAGCGGACTGACCGTGGACAGACTGGAAATAGATGGGCAGATAAAACAAAACCTGAAATTCTGCACAGTTGACCCTAGATAAACAGCGCATCAGCACTCTTCCAGACAGAATCTTCAAGTCTATGTACTTACATCATGGCATACAAGGTGTTAGTCCATTGCAAACGAGTCTTCAGCAGTCGTAGTGGCATCATAGCACGCTCGCCTTGGAAATACTCGACAACGAAGAAACCAATTGTCAGGACGACCCACATGACCAATGTAGCGATGACATTTCCATCACTCCACGGCTTAGTCAAACCACCCCATTGCAAAGCAATGGTGTAGCAAACAAGCGAAGTGAAGATAAAGGCAAAGCCCGGAAGATCAAGCTGTAGGATAATTTCCTTCCACGTGGCCTTCGAGTACTTTACGTGCTTTGGCACGTGGAAGAAGAGGATCACAGCAACGAGAACTGGACCTCCAACTGGCAGATTGATCCAGAAACACCATCGCCATGTAACATGGGAGGTGAATGCGCCGCCAATCAATGGACCGATAATGGTTGAGATCATATAAACAGTTGCCCAAAGACCAATCAGCATTGGTTGCTTCGCGGGATGTGCCACATAGTTGATCATGAGAACAGAACCGCCTATGCTGCCGGAACATCCTAAGCCTTGAAGGGCACGGGCGATGATAAAGGGAATACTGCTCTTTGCGGTTGCCGCTACAATGCTGCCCACCAGAAAGATCACGATGGAGACAAGATAGACGTATCGCGCTGAGACATATTTGTACAGTTTACCCCATACCGGCGAGGCAGTGCTGAGCGTGAGGAAAATGGTGCCTCCATACCACCCAACATAATTCAATTGGAGGAATTCATCTGTGATGGCAGGGATTGCCGTAGCGATGATACCCTGCAAACAAACGTACGAGTTAGAGATCTTACTTTTTTTCTAGAGTATATTTTCAGTAAATGTGCAGAACAAGGTATTACTTACGACGTCCAATGCTGCGAGCAGAGTGTTCAGATAGAGAGTGCCCATGATAGCCCACAGTCTCCAGCCCTCCAGGTAAAAGAACTCTGTTTTTTCTTCGCCATCAAAGGCTGCAATGGTATCGTTCTTCTCCATAACTTGATTGTCGCCGTTACTGATTGAAGCGGTCGAAAACTGGCCCGCATCGACTTCCGCCTTGGACGTTGTCGTTGTCTCGGTCTCCGTCTCTATCGACATCTCTGACTTCAATTGATGAGGGATGATAGACCTAAAACGGACTGAAGATGAAAAGGTTCGGTATTTCGAAGGAGAAAACTGTATCGAGCGTGGATATCTATGGGCTTCGTGTATTTAACTAAAAGGGGAGGAGAACACACAATTCTATTGGACCGCGATGATCTACAATTTTCCGTAGAAAAATACTACCTTTAAGGGAAAAGCTTCAGCATTCAGCCTGTAGGATCTGGCAACGCACCCCTGTCGCCGCGGCGAGTTGACCCCGAATATGCCACTGTCTTCCACTCCAAAGTCGCCGCGGAAAGTCCGTCGCCAATCCGCCACCAGGTAGGGAACAGCAACGCGAGATAGCCCGTAAATTCAAATCGGGTAAAGAAACACCCGCTAATTTTTTCATCCAAGTGAGTACTAATTCTTTTGCTATATTATTTGCGCCTTGGGGTTTAATCTATAGTATATATACGATGTTCTTTTTGTTCAGCCTTCACTGAGTGCTAAGCGCCCGACCTACCCGTACTATAACTCATGTATCTTCTTTTTCTAATTACGGTGTATACGTATCTTCTATATCACAGACTAGCACAAAGCTGCATCGATTCTCCTCTTTCTAGCCTTCCGGATTCGGATATAGCTCTAGGCCATAACGTCTCGTCTTACGGTCCGGATCCTTTTATGTTCCGACCTATAGCATGCAAGATGACCAACTTCAACATCGAAATAGTCAGTGACCCAGTGTGCCCCTGGTGCTATATCGGCAAAAAGAAGCTGGACAAAGCCATCGAGATCTACCAGCCTTCACACCCAGATGACACTTTTACTAAGACATGGAAGCCCTTTTACGTCAAACCTCATTCCCCCGAGAAAGATGAGTAAAACCACCATCTAACTTTACATTCTACTTGCTGTCAGTTAGGCTGACTAATACGTCCGTCTATCTAGGAGTGCCCGTACTTCCAAATTTCAGGAAGCAGTACGGAACCATGATGGCGGACATGATGACCGAAAGAGTGAGGTCAATTGGCGCCGAAGTGGGTATCAACTTCAAATTCCAGGGTAAGACGGGCAGAACACGTGATGCCCATCGGCTTATCCAGCTTGGGAAAACAAAATCTCCGGAGATGCAGACCCGAGTTGTGGAAGAACTTTTCGCGGCCTATTGGGAAGGAGAGGCAGATATTACTAGTCATGAGGATCTCACAAAGGCTGGTGTAAAGGCAGGGCTTGACGAGGTGGAAGTGAAGGAGTGGCTGGCAGATGATAAGGGAGGTCAAGAAGTTGATGCTGAGGCTCGGTCGGCACATGTTTATGGGGTACCCAACTACATAGTGGGAAAGTACACAGTTGGGGGTGCTCAAGATCCGGGAGCCTTTTTGAAGATATTCAACAAGATTAAGGTAATCGAGAATGGGGAGCCTGAAGGATGGGGTTCATGTGTGGGCCAGTAATTAAGAGAAAGGAGAATGAAGTATTTCCAGATCGTTCGATGTAGGAGTAGGTAGAAAGTGGAAAACGTGGTTTGAAACATGGAGTTAATGTAACTTTCTAAAGGGTGACTGTCTTAATACGCTTGAAAAGTATATTCGAATAGTATACATTGTGTCCTACAGTGACAATTCCTATTGCTACTACTATTTCAACATTTCCGGGGACACCTGGCTCTCGTTCGGAGTAGGGATATTTATTGACTATATCTTCATATTAAAATCTAGAACCATAAACATCCCGCTATGGAGCCTATCGGGACAGTATGAATGGTAAAGGAGGCAGATTTAAGCCGAAGAATTAGCGGCATTTCGTGCTCGAGACCACTCCACTTCCTCAAAAATCAACATGGCATCTTTGACCTGCATTTCCTGGTCATAGTTCCACATCCAGTCCTGGCGACCGTCCATCCTCTTGCTCATATCTGCTGCTTTCATTGAAACGCCAGGCTCAGCACCAGTTAGAATTCTACCAGTTTCGGAGCTAGTCGTCTGAAACTTTTGGCTTCGATGACGGCGTACTGTGCCAAAAGCTTGGAAAATAAGATGTGTAGTCTCGACGGTGTCGAGAGCGTGCACTTTTTCCCTTTCAGGGTCGAAATATTTTCCAAGCAGCCGTTCCATAACGAGTGAATCTTCGATTGTCTGACCTGCACCGGCATCTTGATAGGAAGTTGAAGCATGAGCTGCATCCCCCATGATTGCCACTCGTCCCTTGTAGTAGGTCGGAGCTGGAGGCATTTCCCAGATCGACCAGCCAAGAGTTGTGCCATGGTCAGGTACCAGCTCTACTTGTTTCCGAACTTAACTATCCCAATCCGTGAAACGCTCCTGGAAACCACTAAGATCCGGCTTCACCATCCATTGGTCAGGTTGAACGGGACCGTTTTTGAAGGTCGTGACTCCAATATAATAAAGAGTCCCGTTGGCCACAGGAAAGCCGTACCAATAACCAAGTCAGCCTCCGCTGTAGTACCATCCTTGAAATTTAGAATGATTGGGTTATCGTCGCCATTTTCACTAATTTTGGTCACGCTCTTGCCAAAATGAGCGTGGTTGGGTTCGATAAGCTCAGCCAACTCATCAAGGAAATGCGCTCGGTGAATAGTAGAGCCTCTGATCTCATGATTCCACTGCATAACCGGCTCACCAATGTCCAGCGACTGACCCTTAGTCATCGTCATCCATGGAAAGATGCCATTCTCATCAGGCGGATCTACGCCAAAAGCCGCTCGTCGCTGAAAACCTTCAAATATACGAGGGTCAATCAATTGCATCGCACGCTGAGAGTTGGGGCTGAGAACAGCACCAGCACCAAGTTCTGAAAACTTGGTAGCACCCCGAGAAAGTTCTCCCTGGCACATGCCCTGCCCTAATGTCGTATAACAATCCCCCGAGCACTATCTTTTATTACTCAAAAGACTTTAGGGCCAAGACGTTTTCCTCGGTCCTATTACTAGGTTATAATCGGTATGGGTAATTTAGGATCTCTGTGTGAAAGGATATTCCTTCGATTAGTTGACTTTTCGTTTCCAAGTCTATTCTTTCGAGCAAATACGGGGCTCACACGGGTCATACTCATCGGGAGTCGGAACTTTCCAATCGGTCTGTTCCTATATACCATAGTTTAGAGCGTAGCAGCGTTATAACAAGGTATTTTACCTGGCTTACTACAATATGATCATCGAATAACTTTCTTATATCAATTCCGCCTTTCCATGGTCTTATAGTCTAATCTCTTCCGCACCCAAGTAGATCCTGTTGAGTTATTTGAGTTTTGAGACAACTGTGATTCATACAATATGTCCGTGCCTACTCAGACATCTGTCCTGGTGGTTGGTGGTAGCCCAGCTGGGTCGTACGCTACTTCCGTACTGGCCCGAGAAGGTGTCGATGTCGTACTTCTTGAAGCCGACGAGTTCCCCAGGTATTTCTCTACTGTCTTTCGAAGTGTGAGATCCGAGCGAGGCTGACTGGGCTGTCGTGACAAGATATCACGTGGGAGAGAGTATGCTTGCATCCATGCGATTTTTCCTGAGATTTATCGGCCTCGAGAAGACATTCGATGAACATGGGTTTGAGAAGAAGGTGTGTGCTGGTACTAATGCTAGTACATGTGTACACCTTGTTTGTACTAAAAATATGCGATTTCTAGTTCGGAGCAACGTTTAAAATCACCACCAAGAAGGAAGCCTGTGCATGTGCTTTCATTAAACAGGAAGAAGTCCACCACTAACTACCTCGTTTTTACTAGATACTGACTTCGCCGCTTCCCTCGGCAAAGGAGGGCACTCATGGAATGTGGTCCGTTCCGAGTCAGACGAGCTATTGTTCAAACATGCCGGAAAGAGCGGTGCCAAAACCTTCGACAAAACCAAAGTAGATTCTATCGAGTTCGAGCCATACTTACACGATGGCTTTGTTGCAGAGGATCGCCTGGCCAACCCAGGACGTCCTGTATCTGCAGCTTGGTCTCGCAAGGATGGCACCAGTGGAACCATTAACTTCGACTATCTCATTGATGGTAGCGGCCGTAATGGTATTATTTCTACAAAGTATTTGAAGAACCGTCGATTTAACGAGGGCCTGAAAAATATCGCCATCTGGAGTTACTGGAAGGGTGCAAAGCGCTACAAGCAGAGGCAGGAAAACAGAACTCCCCTTTCTTCGAGGCTCTGAGCGGTAAGACACACATAAAAAGAAGCACTTAAGATAACCTTCACTTATGATAGGCTTAACAGATGTCAGTGGCTGGGTGTGGGCCATACCTCTCCACAACCGCACACTCTCGGTAGGCGTTGCAGCTCGCCAGGATTTCTTCGCGAGGAAGAAAGCCTCTCAGTTTGAAGGAAAAGAGTTCTATAGAGACTATCTCAACCCTGTGCCGGGCATCAGGTCTTTGCTGGAGGATGCTGAGATCGCCGCGGACCTTAAGCAAGCATCCGACTGGTCTTACAGCGCCTCTGCCTATGCCAATCCTTACTTCCGTGTGATCGGCGATGCTGGCTGCTTCGTAGATCCATACTTCTCCTCCGGTGTCCATCTGGCTCTGACGTCTGGACTTTCCGCAGCTATTTCCATTCAAGCTGCTCGACAGGGTCAAGCTGATGAGCGTAGCGCTGCTAAATGGCACACTACCAAGGTCTCCGAAGGCTATACACGTTTCTTGTTGTTGGTCATGACTGTCTTGCGCCAGTTGAGAATGAAGGAGGCACAACTAATTACTACGGAGGAGGAAGAAGGCTTTGATATGGCCTTTAAGAAGATTCAACAGGTTATTCAAGGTGTCGCCGATACCGAAACAAATGATGCATGAGTCCAGAAGAATGCAGCTAAGGCCGTTGACTTTTCGCTTGAGTCTTTTGAGGTCACTCCCGAGATGCAGCGTGCTGTAATTGACAAGATTGAAAAATCCCAGGCAGCACCTGAAACACGCGAAAAGCTCACGCCTGAGGAGGTACACATTTTGAGTGGTATAGTGACCCGAACTTTTGCGCGTGAGAAGGATGAGCTGAATTTAACTAGCTTCACTGGGGATGTCATTGAGGGGATCTCGGCAAATCTAGTGCATGGTGACTTGGGGCTCATTAGACCAGAGGCGAAGGAAACTATCCCTGAAACTAGTACCATCATGGGCGCGCCTGTTATTGAAAATATCAAGACGATGGCGTAAAGACAGAGTCTTCTTCCCAGGTATCATTTACGATCTCTTTTTTTTTTCAGTCAGAATGACAACAACTGAAGAGAATTATGGTTTGATATAGTTGAATTTGCTTTCACTGTAGAAGCCTAGGTAAGAAACCACAGACCGCAGAGAGTCTGTTACAGTCGCACCAGAAATTTCCCTCCCAAGCAAGTATACATAGATCGATTTTGTCAACTAATAGGCACGCTAGCTAGAGACAACCAGCAACATTACTGATGCCACGATTATTCTTCCCTAGTGTCAGCAAGCGTTCCATCACCAGCAAACTCGGGGTACCTTCCACCTGCAACACCTGTATCCTTTATCAACTTTCTGATCTCTGCCTCTTCCTCATCTGTCAATTGCACATGAAGAGAGCCCCAATTCTCTTCCAGGTAACGGATCTTCTTCGTTCCAGGAATCGGGATGATATTGTCACCCTGTTTCAACAGCCATGCAATAGCCAATTGAGCGAGCGTGCAATTCTTCTTATCGGCGATGGATTTCAGTTTCTCAACAAGTTTCAGGTTCTTTTCAAAGTTCGTTTCCGAGTACATCGGATACCATTCAGCACGTTTATCGCCTTCGGCTGAGATGGTGTTCTTCGTATAGGCACCGGTGAGAATTCCACGGCCTAGAGGCGAATAAGCGACAACCGCGACGCCGAGTTCACGGGCTGTTGCAAGCAGGTTGGTCCCTCTAGATTCCTCTATATGCGTCACAAAGGCCGAGTATTCGACTTGTACGGCGTCTATATGCGCCACTTTACAAGCACGACGCAGTGTTGTGGAACTGACTTCCGAGAGACCTATGTATTTTATCTTGCCCTCACTGCGAGATGAATAATATTAGTATCTTCTCTGATATGTGAATGGAGAGTTCTTTCGTACGCTTTTAGCTCGGCCATGGCACGAACAGTCTCTTCAATAGGCGTATTCGGGTTGGCACGATGCATGTAGTACAGGTCGATATGATCAATACCCAACACTCTCAAACTCTCAGCGCACGCCTTTTTGCAATATGCCGCAGAGCTATCGACTTCAAAGGTAGGAGATCCTTTCACGAGACCGAATTTACTAGCTAGAAAGATCTGGTCACGTTTTCCGGTTCTCGTGAACCACTTGCCCAGTAACTCTTCGCAGTCTCCGTATAAACTGAACGCGTGTTAGTCTAAACGTCTTCGTGGGCTAGGGTTAGAGCTATGATACTCACTCGGACGTGTCCCAATTTGTAGCACCTATTTCTACCGCTCGATCGAGTACAGCAAACCGTTCTTCATCACTTGGTGGTAGGCCGTAGAGCATGGACATGCCCATAAGACCAAGGCCCAACGCTGGAACTAGGGGTCCATTCTTGCCGAGTTTGCGGAGAGGTACCTTTGTGTCAGGCATGACGATTGGTTTTTTGATATACTATGCTTGTGTTCAACGGATGTACCGAATTGAAGGATATTAACTAAGGGCGCGCTTTCAGGTATTTATACTTCTCCTCACGCTCTCCTGAAGCCGTGATCCATCAGGGGCGAGGTCTTCATACTTGCTGTAGACGGACATTGACGGCGTTAATTAATTCTGTCATGTACGTAAATTGGCGGAAAGCTCCTGTATAAATTTTATAATAACTTCAAACCTTCCAATAAACCCATTTTCTAAATATTCGCATAGGTCATTCTCTTCGGAGTTAGAATCTTAACTCCATAAATTTTCGTCCGTCATGCATTTCTTTCGTCCGAAGATTTGAGTCTCAAAAAAGAATATAAAAAAGCTACACAATAAGTATGAGGACACCGGAAGGCTATTTTAATGATTACTCAACAATCGAATCCTGCTGGACCATAGCTGGCCTATATGAGTGATATGTGTGACGAATAATGTGAAGCAAAAACACTTGATATCATACATGTTGGAACCGCGGTGAACCCCAATGACGATTGTTGGCATGACACCCCATGGAGATTTGACGGAGAGCAACGTCGAATTAAGCTCAATGGGGGAGACTCAGCAAACGGTTTGACGGCATGATCCGGGCCTTGTTTGGCGTAAGGTTTTGAGCCTCATAGTATTTAGATAGTTTATTTTCACCCCTTGGAGTCTTCCTGGGGCAACGAATTTGAACCCATTTTTTGACTCCATATTAGTGCTCCCTTCGTGCAGAGCAGTCTCTTCGTGAGACCATGGTTTGGGGATTGGTCTTCGTGTTCCTTCCCTATAAACCAGCAATACGACATTTCGATAATGCACCGAGGTAGCGACAGCGACTCGGTAATTCTCTATTCATATGACTATAGCATCTCAAGTAACGAATCTGTCGATCAAAAGTCACAAGTCACAACAATGGTTCAGATGTTGGGGGAATAATGACTGCTTTGTGTGTGCGCTTCTGCACATGTGCACACAAGTAGCTTAGTAACCAGTTGGTAAAGTCATATTATTCTGATTGTCTGTCTCTTGTAGATATTCGACCTCGACGCGGTAGATCATCCCTTCGTGTAGTGTTGGAACTAAACTGCGCTATTCCTTTTTGGGAACATGATCCAGAGAATTGTATGAATATTGATCAACAGGAAATTTCGAGAATCAGATTCTATACCGACTTCGCATATCAACACAAGATTGTCACAAGATTGATATTACAAATCAGCCTAACAACCTATATCTAGAAAGTTCGATTGAGCACAGATTGTGGTATTTAGTGATGTCATTTTTACTGAGAATGTGAGTATAAAAAGGATCAAGATTGTCAGATAGTGAAGTTTTAGAGAGTGTGCACAAATATCAGAAGGAATCCCTACTCTAAGAAACTTCTTTGGTTGGCCTAACCTAGTTAGAACTAGTACGGTAAAGTTCCAATAGTTATGAGCCTGGGATCTCTGTGAAATACTTGAAGCTATTCACAGAATCAATCCTCATCGCGGAAACCGATACTAGACGCATCGAACCCATCTCAGCGAGACAGATCTGATTTTGAAGCGGTTTTGGACTGGTCCATAAGAGGCTATCAAATAGAAGCAATGGACGCCAAAAAGAACACCGTTATCTTGAAGACATCAGACGACTGGAGAAAGTGGATCGAGCAGTTGAGAACAGAGGCGACAAAGGAGAATGTATGGGATTACATTGATCCTGATCCGAATCGAATGATGCTTGAGCCCGCACCAGCTAAGCCCAAAGAACCAGTTGCGCCAGAAATCGACCTCAGCAAACCAAGTGAAGCGCAGCTATTATTGCAAAAATACCAGATTGAAGCCAATATATATGATCGACAACTCAATCGGTACGAAAAACACCAAAAACGCATGAAACAGATACGGTCGTATATTCTCGACACCGTGTATATCGAACATAAGCCTTTGATTCGAGACCTCAGCGAAGTTTCCGAGATATTGAAAAAGCTCAAGGAGAAATTAGCTCCAAAAGAAAATCGGGAAAAGATTTCACTATTAAAGCGACATCGAGAACTTACAATTCCGAAAAAAGGAATGAAGCCGAAGGAATTAGCCAAAAAATGGAGAGAATTGAGAATGGATATGAATCTAGCCAAGTTCGACGGCATATCATCTGAACAGTTAGCAAGAGACTTTATTGACTCGACTGAGGGAGTTCTACCCAAATTCCATGACACATGGACAACCACCTTGCTTCAATTCGACCTAGGCTCTGGCATGAATACATTGGAAAAGGAACCGACAATTGATCAAGTTTTGGACGAATTCGACTCATGGACTGAGGCATTTGCAAAGAAGGATTCAAGTTTGAAAAATGATATTGTCATGGCAACACTTGGTAACAAATCGGATCAACCTGAAAAGAAGAATGATCGGTCAGCAACGACAAGCCCAAGACAGATAATATGCGAAGATGGGGAGCCACACGGATTCGAGGACTGTCCATATATCAACCCAGAAAAACGTACCGCCACATGGAAGCCAGATCCCGATATTATGAAGAAATTCGAAGCTCTTGAGAAGGATAGGAGCCATCCAAAGGCAAGGAAACTGAGATGGATCAAGAAACAACTCGAACAAAAGAATAAGGGCAAAAAAGAAAACGACTCATTAGCCAACGCTAAGAAAAAGGATGAGAAACAAGAACAATCGAACTTCTCATATGATTCTGACGAATACTGCGGCACGGTTCTGGAAATGGCACTGACAGCCTCAACAACAAGCGCAAATATGAAGGACGAGTGGATTCTTGATAGCGGGTCAACAATTCACATAACAAACAATCGGGACAGGATAAGAGATCTAGGATCAGAAGTACGCTGGATACTTGTTGGTAACACCAAGATCAAGATGATTGGACCAGGGGAAGCAACCTTATTTCCAACTGAGCCTATAAACGATGTCGTTAGACAGAAAGGAATCAGGCTCAAGGAGGTCTGGTTTGTTGAAGGAATGCACACCAACGTTGTATCTCTAGGGCGTCTTCAGATGAACGGCATAATGTTTGATGGAAAGAATGAGTGCCTCTGGAGCAAGAGAACGAACAAGGATTTATGCAATGTCAAATGTGAAGGAAAACTTTTCTTGCTTGAATGGCCGAAAAACCCAATACAAAAGAACAACCTAGCTTTTGAGCTAGCCATGAGTTCATTTGAGAAACAAACGTTGAAGGACACCGCACTGGTATGGCACAAGCGATTTGGGCATGTGTCAACCAAGGCTATTGAGAAACTTGAGCAGGTCACAGAAGGGGCAGTCGTCACTTCCAAGAAAGTTCTCGAACAAAATCAAGAAGGATTCAAGGAAAAATGCGAGACTTGCGAGATAAGCCAAGCTCATAGGAAAATCAGCAGGGTCCCGATGACAACGCCGACAAGACCATTCCAAGTGCTATTTGTGGATATTATTGTCATGAATATGGCAATAAACCAGGACACGTATGCATTGCACGGATTCGATCCATACAGTAAATTTCACTGTATTGTGACCACAAGAACAAAGTCAGTGAATTTTGATCTTGAAAGAATGATTGAAGAAGTTGAACATACATTTAAGACGGCAATTGAAGAAATCCATACAGATGGAGAGTCTTCAATAAATGGACAAAGCTTCAAACAATACTGTCAGGCAAGAAAGAAACGACTGACAGTAACGATTCCGAATACACCAGAACAGAATGGACCTGCTGAGAAAGCTGGAGCAATCATCAGCTTGAGGGCACGGAGCTTGATTCAGGAGGCCAACTTACGTGAAGGATTGTGGCCAGAAGCCATGAAGGCAGCAGTTTGGATTATGAACCGAACTCCAGTCAAATCATTAGGATATAAGACACCATATGAAATAGTGCACGGAGTCAAACCGTATGTTGGGAATTTGTTCCTATTCGGATCAAAAGCATACGTTCGAATCGACACCAAGAAAAGTGAGAAAATGGCTCCGCGTGCTCAGATTGGATATCTAGTGGGATATGAAGCGCATAATATATGGCGCATTTGGACAATAGGACCAAATGGAACGAAGGTCATACGTGCACGAGACGTGGTTTTCGACGAGACGAAAAAATATGACCCTGATCATCCATTTGCAAAGGAAATTATCAGAGAAGGCGTGATAAGATATGTTGACAACATCGATATACCGAACATTGACGAAGCAGATCCAGACATTGTGTTTGACTCAGTTGACGATGACTTGAGGCTACAACAAAGCTCCATCTACCTAGGACCACCAATGGCAGGAGGTAGCGCGTCACCCCATGAACATACGGAAAGTGAGCAACCAGCTCAGTCCTTGGATAAGCCACAAGATATGGAAATTGACAGTCCACCGACCGAGTCAGTTGGACCAACTCAGCCTCCGCAGGCCATGGAAATTGATGATTCAAATGAGCCAGGAAGCATGGAAATCGATAAAAATGGGAGAAATGAAGTTCAAGATGAGAAATCCATGACGGAAATTGGCTCAGCTGGGGGGGTGAAGGATAAAAATAAGGATAAAGTTGAAATCGAGAAAGAAGTTGATGAGGATATTCCCAGATCAGATGACGGAAAAACAAATAGTCCGATTGATCAGCTTCGCCAATTACCAAATCCCGTGACTTCAGAGAAGGATTCTACCAATCAGAACGCCTCAAATCAGACAGACAATGACGACATTGGAACAAACAAACTGATTACACCGCCAAACACACCGCCAAGTAACGAGCCAATCAGAGGCCAGGGGAATCAGCAACTCCAGGTTGCACCTAGAAACCAAGAAATCAGTGCAGATTTCTCAGAGACCAACATTATATCTGGATCAAGGATTCGAAAAGCCTCAAAACGAGCACTTAGTCCAGAGAGTCTGCCTTTATCGAATAAACGAAGGAGAAAGCAAGAAAGAGCATTTTTTGCACGACAAAAGTTACTACAAGATTCAAGCCTAGCAAAAGCCTTTTTTGCCGCTACAGAAAAGCTTGAGATTGAACCTACAGCCAGATACCTTCCTCCAGAACCCAAGAACTGGACAGGCGTACTACGGCACAAATACAGAAATCAGTTCATACAAGCTGCAAAGGAGGAATTTGAAACGTTGAAAAGAAAAGGCACATTCGAGTTTGTACCAAGACCTCAGAACACTCAGATTCTACCGCTGACATGGATTTTCAAATACAAATTCGATAAGTTTGGAAAGATCTCCAAGTTCAAAGCTCGAATCTGTGTGAGAGGTGATTTGCAAACTCCAAATGAACTGGAAACACGCGCAGCAACGCTTGCAGCCCGAGTTTTTAGGCTTATGATGGCACTTGCTGCAGTTTTTGACCTCGAGATAGTGCAATACGATGCCGTCAATGCATTTGTCAATAGTGCGTTAGATGAGGAAGTTTATACTTATTTTCCAGATGGATTCAAGAAAGAAGGATTGGTTATAAAGCTTAGGCGAGCTTTATATGGACTACGGAGAAGTCCCAGATTGTGGCAAAAAGAACTGACAAAGACGCTACTAAACTTGGGATTTACACAAGTTCCTGACGAAGAATGTCTATTCATCAAGAATGGTGTTATTCTGCTGTTCTTTGTTGATGATATTCTCGTGTTCTACGACAAGGCTACGAAACAACGTGCTTTTGAAGAAATTGAGAAAGGCCTCACGAACAGATATGAACTTCGGAAGATGGACAAATTTGAATGGTTTCTAAACATCAGGATCATTCGAGATCGTGTCCAAAGGAAGATATGGCTCTGTCAAGATGCTTACATTAGCAAGATAGCTGAGCGTTTTGAGCTCAACACCAAGATGAGTGTCAAAACCCCTATCTCGTCAGATATTGAGATTTCGAGTGATACAGCAACCAATCAGGAAATCCACGCATATCAAGAACTTGTTGGATCAGCACTATATGCAGCCGTTATGACACGTATTGACGTTATCAAGGCAATCAGTGAACTTTCAAAGCATACAAAGAACCCGTCGAAAGCTCATTTTCAACAAATCCGACGTGTCATACAATATCTTTACAGTACCCGATTTCTAGCTATCGAATACGCACCACCAGAGGAGTCGAATATGGATGCTTTTGTATGTGCTTCAGACGCTTCCTTCGGAGACAATGTCGATCGTACTAGCTCTGAGGGATACTTAGTACAACTTTATGGAGGACCTATTGACTGGAAAGCTACAAAGCAACGATTTATTACAACATCAACTACCGAGGCCGAACTTCGAGCAGCCACCGAGGCAGCTAAAAGACTTCAGGTTTGGAAAAGAGTTTTTAAAGCAATTGACTACAAACCTGATCGCGAGCTTTCTATTAAGTGTGACAACAAGCAAACAGTGTCACTACTAATTAGTGAGGAACCTCAGTTCCGAACTAATCTCAAACATATTGATATCTATCATCATTGGCTTAGACAAGAAGTTCGGGCAAAGCGACTACAGATTGACTGGGTCGATACAAAAAGCATGGTAGCCGATGGGCTTACCAAGGTCCTACGAGGTCAACGATTCCTAGATTGGCGTCAACACCAAGGATTGGTCGATATAAGCCATCTAATGCAGGAATAAAAGCTTCAAAGCTTCTATTCCTGGGGGGGTGTGTTGGAACTAAACTGCGCTATTCCTTTTTGGGAACATGATCCAGAGAATTGTATGAATATTGATCAACAGGAAATTTCGAGAATCAGATTCTATACCGACTTCGCATATCAACACAAGATTGTCACAAGATTGATATTACAAATCAGCCTAACAACCTATATCTAGAAAGTTCGATTGAGCACAGATTGTGGTATTTAGTGATGTCATTTTTACTGAGAATGTGAGTATAAAAAGGATCAAGATTGTCAGATAGTGAAGTTTTAGAGAGTGTGCACAAATATCAGAAGGAATCCCTACTCTAAGAAACTTCTTTGGTTGGCCTAACCTAGTTAGAACTAGTACGGTAAAGTTCCAATATGTAGCCTGCGTCACGTGAATGATATCACGTGACCCGGCTCTCGACTGCACCCGCACATCCAACAGCTTGTTTTTTTTGGTATGAAGTTGAATGGATAGCTCTTCATTTCAGAAGAAGCCTGTTGACTCTAGGCCTGTCTAAATCAGAGAGAATGATGTCACCGAACTCCGAGATCGTCTCTACAGCTCGGCCCACGGTTGCTGTTGAATCACCCCTTGGAATACAAGAGAGTATTACTTCATGCTGGAGGATCTCGGAAACGCTGCTCAGTGTCTGTATAACCCCTTTTAAGAAAGTTGTAAACGCAAATACCAATAGTTAGAGCTTTCCAGAAATGTTGTAGAAGTGGTTCCCAACATGCTTCTTAAGAATCTCCTTATTCGGAAAGGAGTGGGTAGGAAAATACAATTCTAAACTGAAATTGATCCTGTTCCCTCGGATGGTAGACCACGCAGGTCATTTACCTCTTCACATAGCCGTCGTCAGAAACAGTCTTATGCAGATACTATCAAATGAAGACTTGGTGTCCCTTGCCTCTTGGGACTCTCATGACCGGCATGCTTTGTATTTCGCAGCAGCATCAGGATCGTTTCAAATCTGCGGGACGATACTTGAGAAACATGAAAGTCTGTCAATGATGTTGATTCAGATGGCTGGACACTGCTTCACTGGGCTTGCCGGCAAGTTGATGATGGAGTTATTGCGCTCCAACTCTAGCACCATGCAAACATGACAACAACCGCCGTTCGAAGCTGGAAGCCTGTCGATTTGCAATTTACTTTCATGACATAGATGACTTTCAGCAGATTAAGGAGTTAGTTCATGTAGGTGGTGGCCTTAAAGTCGGAGAGAATCAAGATCTGGATGAACACTCTGACAAGAATCTAGGCCTTGGTTCAGGGTCGAGACAAAATCAAGACCATTCGGTTGAGGTGACGGAGGATAGAATTTCACTTTCAAACCCTCCCGATCCCGAGGAAAACGAGGAGAATCCAGGTAACATAGGTGTTGAATAGAAGGCTGACTGGATATATTCCGGATGCAATTTATGTTATTGTATAAGTAGCATCAGGTTATCAAGCTGGAGTGCAGATGCTAACATTCCGTAGGAAATGCGAGCCCCAAGATACCACAGCGAGGTGTGCATTGGTTTTAGCGCTTGCATCAAGTGCTTACGCTATATGGGAGTAAGCCACTATAAGAGACATTATATTTCAAGTATGTAAAATTATGAGAAGAGGGTAGGGTGATCAATCCTGGGAGCTGACTTATGATCCATCCATTCAAGCAAGCTTTTTCTGGTGATTGAATTTCGAGGATGGGCGCCAGTGATAGCATCTTGCGAAGATGTCGAGATAGGATCTGGATAGGGTGTGGAAATGGGCCTACCGCGGCGGTTGACATAGTTTCGACAGATTGTAGTGAGCATCAATGAGTTGACAGAAGTGTTGAGGTCAAAAAGCAAGATATCGTAGCATGGTCCGTGCGAATCTGGTGTGCGCCGTGATTGGACGCTGCCCCGCCAGGCTACGATATGACAGTGACGACTCTCGCAGCTTCCATCGCAATAATTCAGCTCATCAATCGCTTCATTATTTGCGGCTTATACCCTCTGTCGCAGCAAGCATTCGCCCATAATATCAATCGTCAAGCGAACCACGAAATAGACAGTCGACTCTTGTCAAGATAAGGATTGATCGGCCTGTGAGGCAGTCAACCACATTCGTCATCCGGTTGCCCACTGAATATAGCACAGTATCGGCACGCGATCGCTCAAGGCCGCCTCAAGTCCGGGTTCTTTTGGGCATCTGCAGTTGCATATCAGTTGGGCATCATATTCATTCATCCACGGACACATTCGATAGCCAAAATGCAGTCCATCCCAGATGCGCGCCATCAGACCTTTGAGGAAATCTACGGTCCACCAGAGAATTTCCTCGAGATAGAGGTATACACCCACTCCAGTCTTTCAACATCAACAACACAAATCTAATTACAGGAACGAAAAATAGGTCCGCAACCCCCAAACCCACGGAACATCCCGCTCAATGTACACATCCTACGAAATCGTCTGCCGAACCAACATCCCCGCCTTCAAACTCAAACAATCCATCGTCCGTCGACGATATTCCGACTTTGAATACTTCCGCGATATACTAGAACGCGAATCTTCGCGCGTGACCATTCCACCATTACCGGGAAAAGTGTTTACAAATCGGTTTAGTGATGAGGTGATTGAGCATAGGAGGGAAGGGTTGCAGCGGTTCTTGCAGATTGTGGCTGGGCATCCGTTGTTGCAGACGGGGAGTAAAGTGTTGGCTAGTTTTATTCAGGGTAAGTTCTTTTTTTTTGGCCTCTTCCTATAGAGTTTGGGCTTTGGTTCAAGGCTAATTCAGTGCTGGTAGATCCGAACTGGGATCGGAATGCGTGGTAAATGGATGATTCAAAGTCTGACACGATACTCTGCAATGCCTACACATGTCAACCATTTCTAGCAAGTAATTGAGATGTAATTACGTGCTTTTCATCTTGGTGGCTTTCCTCCTTTTTTATGTCTTGTTAAATACCTGTTCTTGTTATGTTCAATGCGACTCTTCACTTTTTTTCTCCGTGTTTTTCAGGCTGTTTTATTTTAGCGAATGTCTACCATCTATAAATTGATTTTTGTCGAGACTGATAAATAGCAGAAGTGTCAATATTCGGTTCATATTTCTTTGTTCACGATCCTCTGATATCTCCAGGAGAAAAGTCAAGAGACCATGGCAATGTATTCCTTCGAGAATAAGAGTTCATGCAAAATTCTCATCTAATCATAACAAAAAGAATTATCAGACAAAATACCCGGTTAATTGATGTCATCATTCCAATTAAAGGGCGGAAGTGTATTATCCTCCCACGAACTTATGACTGCATTGCTCGCCGAAGACACGGAGGTGAAACTAGCGCTATGGTTGCCCATCCCCGAGCTCGAAGGAAATGACAAGGACGACATCATTCCTTGTCCACCTCCACTCGAAGAGTCAAGTATCATACTCGACTGAGTCAACTGGGGCAGGGGCGGTAACAGTGAGCTTATAGACGTCAGATTGGCAGAATCGGGTAAATGTGGGTTCCGCTTCTTGTCAGGTGAATTGGCATCGCTGGTCACTGGTGGTGACATTAACGGCGGCGGTAGTGATAATGACTGCGGAGGTTCTTTTAGTCTCTTGGATGATCGCGTTGCGGTCTTGTCCTTCGCATTGTTATCGAGAGTCGGTGTAATCTCATTACTGTATTCTCGTTGTTGTAATGATCCAATACTTCCGCCGCTAACGCTGCCACCCTCACGGTAGGCATTTGGAAATTTGGTTCTGAATCTATCTCTCAGATCTGTTGCGCGTCGATGTGAAAGATTGAGGTGTTTATCTTGCTGTATCAGTGTCCATTGGAATCCGTGGACTGCATAGCCTTTGAGAAGAGCTTCATCTTCAGCCGGCGTAAATGGCCGGCGCGACCGGCGCTTAGATTTGATTGTGAAGTACGGTTCTGCTATGCCTAATGATGAGAGGGTTGACTTGGACTTTGTCGATTGAGTAGGTGCAGATTTTGCCGGTACTAAAGACTCTTGAGATCCGGATCCAGATACCGTGGCAGGTGTAGGAGACAGCTGGTTCGACCGAGAAGCTGAGGACGCCGATAATTGCTCACCTAGCTTGGAAGAAGTTTCAACTAACTCGGTAGAAATTGTCGCGCTGTCCTTGGGTCTAGGATCAGGCAATAGAATCTTGCCGCCAACCCCAGATGTCAAAGACTCCGCATTCATCAATGCACTCGCAAGAGTATCTTGTATTTCCTTCGTCGCTTCATTTGGGTCGGCCGCTCCATATGCCCATGGACAACAGACTCTAAATCGGTCTTTAAGATTAGCAGCACTGCGCTTGTTGAATTTCAACTCCGGTTGTTGTAAAATAGCCGTCCAGTTTCCGATGCCGCATTTGACTACGCCTCTTAGCAGGTCAGTTGTCTCTTGTTCAGTCCATCGTCGGAGATTCTTGCGTGAACGGCCACGGGTTTTAGGGGACATCGGCTCGTTTGCATCAATTGGCTTTTCTGATGGATTGCCATTGCCGTCAGCTGGATTTTGACTAGTGGTTCGATTCTCATCATTTGCTGGCAGCTGATCAAGCTTCGGCTCCTCGAGATGATCAATATTAGATCTATCCAAACTGTTCGGATCGAGAATCTCCTCCAGTCGTAGCTCTCGTTTATCCCCTTGTTTCTCAGCATGCTTCTCGGAAAAGACCAGTTCCGAGTCAATCGTTGGCCTCGTCAAGATCGATGGTAAAGAACCCGGTTCAATAGGCGGGAACAATGCTGCATTCGGAGGAGGTTCATTCAATCCATTCAAGATAGCAAACGGACCGAAAGGTGGTGGCTTCTTCTCGTTTTGTGCCTGCGGGACGGGAAGTTGAAGATGCTCACTAGAAAAGTAATCACTGTGTCCATCTATACGGCGACGTTTCGATGAAATGGTCTCCTCAAACAAATACGGCAGCTTTTCCACGGTCTGAAGGTTGATGAAATCCGGTAGAATCGTCTTTGGGGGGGGCGGTGCATTCGGGTTGAGGTGGTTATCACTTAGACTGGCATCCGACGTACGAGCAGCGTTGACAAATTCTTCCAGTGTAGGAAGCCTTTCAGGAAGGTTAGCTCCAACGTGCGGAGTCGTCGTTGAGCCTCCATTTGTGACTGTCCTTTTCCCCGAATGAGCTGCTATCTCGGGATTGAGAGGGAAAGGGGTATTCCACAGTCGGCGAGACACGGGCTGGCGCAATGGCGCAATGCGCAGTCCCGGTAGTTGAGAATGCACATCGCGTATTTGAGGTAAAGACGCATCATCGGAAGGAGACGAGGACAGATTATTATTATTATTATTATCCCCGGTTTTTCGCATCTCTGGGAGTGGGGGGTTAGGATTCTAGACCGCGGCAATCGCTTTTGCTGAGTGACAGGCTGGACATTGGGATTGAAGAGCAGAGGCAAATATGCGGACCTCTGAGAGCGGAAATTGAGTCGAGATTGAAGTGATGAAAGAAGCAACGAAGATTGCCTTCCATCGAAGTGCTTCTTCGTAAAAGAACCTGGCTGGATGTCGTGTTGCTTGAGTTGTGTTGGAGAAGGAGGTTTGACTTTGCCTCGTGAGTCAGCAAATACATGGTTGCCTGAGGGCCAGAATTTCTATTGGGCGGACGGGCCGCCTAGAAGAGCCTCAATTCTCCCCTTAAGACTTGGGACTCTCCTCCTATTTCATTATTTGCATCTACCATGGTAAAATTGATATTTAGATCTTTCAACTACGCATGCACGAAAAGACGTAATATGGCTCGATAGTGCTTGTCAGCGGAGCGATTGGCGGGTTATGGCAAATCCTTCTCGGTATACCTGTCGGAGATGCCGCATTGATCAACTCCGAACCTTAGCCCTAACCCTATACTCAGAATGACCAGATCTCAACTGTTTATAGACTTGTACAGAATATCACCAATCAGTGACTTGTAGAGTAGCATCAAATTTACTATGATGGTAATCAAGAAACTAGTCGAGGGAACGTGTGTCGTAGGAAGCAGAATTGTGATAACCCTCAAACTGTATCCCCTAAAAAAAACGGGAGTATATTATTCCGGCACTTGGTATGATATGGACTCGGGATTACGGTGAAACATCAACACGACGTTTACCTAGTGGATACCTAGGTATATATCTTTAGTCCTCGGTCGCAAAAGCTCACAGCATGCACGACGACTGTAGTCAGGATCCTGACTTTCATACAATTTGAGATACCCATTGTACATACTAACGCTTAAATGCCTATTTTCAGTACTCTATTTCCGACATGGCCCTTCATCCTCTTTGGGGTCTTGGAGCCCCTCACCATGTGCGTTGTTAATGATGCCTTTCCTACCTGAGCCTGAAATATTGAGATGCCTCAGCAAAATCCACGATTTATGTTGCGAGTGCTGACTTACTGCAAGGGTTGCCGGTGCTCTCGCCCCGATCATCGATACAAATAACTTCATCGCCGGCCAAACCTCCCTAGCATCGCCCCCTACGCTACCACACCACCCCAGTGTTCTTGCATTGAACTACCAGTTGGCAAACATATATGGTCTTGTCGGCATGCTTGGCGTTGGACTCATATACGGTACCTCTGAGATCCACGTGTTGCGCAATGCTGTCGTGGCTTTGTCGATCGCAGACTTAGGCCATCTGTATGCGACCTACGCTGCTATGGGTCCGGATACGTTCTTTGATGTAGCGTCGTGGTCTCTGGTTAGTTGGGGTAATATTGGCTTCACGGCTTTTCTGTTCGTGAACCGTATCGCGTATCTCTTGGGGTTGTTTGGGTCCAAGACTTCCAAGTCGAAAAAGAGAAATTGAGCGCGAATCTGGTCGACGTTTGACGTACCCATGTATATACATGGGTATGAGGCACTGTTTCTCGGTCTTTGGGTTCTCACGCGGAGTTCGTTTGTAAATATGCACTACAGGAGTCATGTCTATGGGAAGATTCATGCCTCAGGACTTGTAGCAGATACACAACACTTCAAATCTAACTCTGTCCATGAGCCTGTTCAGTCTATAGATACTACTTATGTATATAGAAAGATCTGCACCATGCGAAATTTGAGTTGATATCTAGATGGTGTGGCGGGCCTCGTGACATGTGAATATGTCTTCATCTTCATCTTCAACCGGGGAGATTGATAATTTCTATCATAGATCAAATTCAACAAATCCACCACCATCTCCGAAGTGTCATCTGTCAGCATCTCAAATCATGAGATAAGTTATAAAAGCAGCATGATTTTACGAGAGGCTGGATTACGCGACACTAAAGACGTCTAAGCTCTCTTTCGCGGGGGGTTTTGCGACGATGATTGGCAACGGAACGCCATGCTCACTACACTTATGCACGTTGCTGGGGCCGGCATTCAGCTCGAGGTTTTAGCCTCTTTTCGTGTCGGTTATAGCCATGTTAATTTAATTTTGTTTTCTATTTCCTCACTCTTTTGTTTTGATTTTGACTGCCTGCGAAATATGAGTTAAGATACGAAAGAGGTCGCTGTCATGGATCCTCTAAGCATTTCAGCGAGCATCGCAGGAGTTGCTACAGCGGCCTTCCAGATTATAGGTTATTTGAGTTCAGTTGCATCAGGAGGAAAAGACCGTCTGTCCTTGTTGAATGAGATCACTCATTTATGGTTGACTATCACCGCCCTCCAAACTCAACTCGCCGACACTCAGGGACAGGATGCGATCCCTCAAGAACTGCAATCATTATTCGCCGTCGACAATGGAATTATCAAAGAAATCGAAGATCTCGTTAATGAGCTCAACACCAAGCTCAAATCCAGGTCCGGATATGGAAAAATCAAGCAGACGCTTATATGGCCACTCACGGAAGCGGATGTATTGAAAGTCGTTGAGAAGATTCACCGAATGCAGCAAACTATACAGTTTGCATTGTCGCAGATCAATCATTCTATGACTCGGGACATCTTACAAACCACCCTGGCGGTAAAGGACATAGTCGATGAAACTCAACTGAAGGAGATGATTGATTGGCTCTCTTCATTGAACTTTATTGCAAAGCAACAACTGCTTTTTAGGGAACACCACGAGGGCACCTGTAAATGGTTTCTTGATCACGAGGACTTCCGTGAATGGATTGAGCATGAGAATGGCGTCCTGCTCTGTCCAGGGATTCCTGGTGCTGGAAAGACTTTTCTGTCGTCGATCGTAATAGATGAGCTGGATAATATGCGTCGAAGCAACACAGAACCAGTAAAAGATGCTGCAATTCTGATGCTCTATTGCAAATGGGACGATGCGCAATCACAGTGGATAGATTCATTGCTCGGGAGTCTACTCAAGCAAATTGCTCAACGATACGGTGTGAAGTCGAAGGATACGCTCAAGATGTTCAAAAAACACAGCGGCGCACGAACTAAACCCAGCCGCGAGGAATTGATAACGGTGCTGTGCCAGGAGTTGAAGAATTTCCCACGGTCGTTTATCGTCATTGATGGGCTGGATGAATTGCGGGAAGAGGATAAACGCTTGACGTTGATCGAAATTCTAACCTCACTGGAAGCTAAAGTCAATTTAATGATTACGTCACGACCTTTGGAGAATATAGTCCGACATTTTGTCCATGTGGATCGCGGGATCTATTGCGACCAGTGTAATGCACGAGACCTTCCCTATCAATATCACTGCTACGAGTGCGACGACTCCAACTATGATATCTGTCAGAAATGCATCGACGACGGCAAACAATGCAGCGGTCAAGCGCATTCCCTTATCAAGCAATTCACCAGCTTCCGGATAGAAGTCGCTGCCGTCGAGGAAGATTTACTTACCTACGTGGAATGGCGTATCACGACTTCCGCATTTTTGCAGAAATGTATTGCCCTAAAAGAAGGATTGAGAGAGAAGATTATAAGTACGGTTGTGAATGAAAATGATGGAATGTTCCTTCTCGCTAAATTCAACATGGATACATTAACTTCAAAACTAAGGCCCGGAGACGTCATAGCGGCTCTGGAGGTGCTGCCAAATGAGCTTGATGGAACATTTACGGACGCGATGGGGCGAATCTCCGATCTATCTTCGAATCATAGAGAAGTGGCAATGGACTTTTTAAGATGGGTAGTCTTTGCTGAGGAGCCATTGCACGTTGGTGCTATCGAGCATGCAATTGCTGTGACGGAAATGGACGAAGACATCAATCAAGATTTCATCATTCAGGCTCCAGTTCTTGCGTCGATGTGTGCCGGCCTGGTACAGTTCGATGAATCAGACTGTGTTCGACTAGTTCATTATTCAGCACAGGACTTTTTCCGGCGCAATTGGCAACAATATTTCCCCGAAGGGCGTGATAAGCTGGTGTCCGTCTGCTTGACATATCTTTTATTTGATCCATTTAAGAATGGAGCATGCTCTGGACCCACCGAGCTGACTGACTTTGATGAACGAGTTGAAAAATATCCATTGTTGGGATATGCGGCCAAGAACTGGGGTAAGCTTATTTCTCAAACTTCCCGGGATGACCTTTGGGAGCGCGCTCGAAGATTGCTCCATGATCAAGGCTGTTTCGCATCATTGACGCAAGCCTTGTGGTACCTGGACGATGAAGACCATTCAAGTTGGGCTGGGAAAGATGGTAGTTCTGCCTTACATCTTGCTTCTCATTTGGGCCTAACCAAACTGGTGGCCGAGTTTGTTAAAGAAGGCGTCAATCCAGATGTCAAAGATGCGAATGGCGTAACACCTCTCATGCTCGCAGCAGACCATGGCAATGTGGACGTTGCAAAGGTCCTTATTGAGGCCGGTGCCTCTGTCAGTAGCGTCGATAATACTGGACGCTCTCTGCTTTATAAGGCTACGGAACTAAATGAAGTTGCGTTTGTGGAATTACTTATCAAACAGAAGGGTATTGATGTGAATATCACGCATCCAAGACAAAGTGACTTGACTCCCTTGATCCTTGCAGCCATGAATGGCTGTGCTGAGATTGTCCAGTTATTGGTGTCTGTGCCACAGCTTGAAATCAACAAATCCTGCTCCGATCCTCCAGGCGCAACTGCTCTAGTTCATGCAGCCAGTGCTGGTATGATTGACTGTGTCAAGATTCTCCTCGAGCAGCCAGGAATCGATATCGATTTGCAGGATGAGAGAGGCTCAACCGCTCTCTTATATGCATCGAAAAACGGGTATACGGATGTCGTCGAAGCGTTACTGGAGAGAAACGCCGACACCGAAGCTTTGCAATACGGCACAGAAGGGACAGCACTCATGCGAGCAATTGACTGGAATGCCATTCCGGTCGTTGAATTATTACTCAAAAAGGGTGCAAATGTACATGCCAGGGACTGTTTTGGTCGAGGTACACTTCATAGCGCAGCGTGCAATGGTCGCTCCGAAATCATCAAAATTCTACTGGAGTTCGATCCCACATTGGACGTAAACATGCAGGATGTAAATGGTAAAACGACATTACACGATGCGGCTCGACTCGGGCTCGACGACACAGCTCGAGTACTGTTGGATTATGGTGCTGATCCAACAATCAAAGACAAGTTTGGCCGGACACCAATTCGTGTTGCACGTGAGATGAACGAGAATGGTATCTTGCAAATGCTTCGAAGCGCCAGACGACAGCGGGAAGAAGAAATGAAAGTTAGTGAGGATGTGCTTGATTTAAGTTCACCCAAACGGACTGATACCGGTACAATAATTCAACCTCCGCACCGGACGAATACGGAAGTATCCGTTGACAGCGAACCTCTTGCCCTCTGGGCGCTGGCCAGCGCCAATCTCACCGACGAGGTAACCGAACGTTTGTCCGAAGAGTTAGATGAAGATATCAATGGCAAAGACCCAGATATAGGCGAAACAGCTCTCCACTACGCCGTCACTAACAATAACGAAGAAATGACGCGCCAATTAATATCCCGCGGTGCTGATGTCAATGTTACAAACAACTACGGACGGACACCATTGCATCTGGCAGCATTGTATGCCAACTACGAAGCGGGAGAAATCCTTCTGGATGCCGGTGCCAATATCAACGCACTCGATCAATGGGGTGCTACGGCGCTGGAAATATGTCGCGCAGGATCTCAAAGGTCCCTCAGCATCTTACTGATTGAGCATGGTGCGAAATTGACCGATGACACACTTACTCTTAACGCGTTCCTGGAGTTGGCCGTGATTCACGGCAGTGCTGAGGCAGTTAGTCGGCTTGTGGCTGCCGGAGCAGAGCTGTGGAAAAAGGATTGGTATGGTAGGACTCCGTTCATGATAGCTAGGAGTTATGAACGTGAAGATATTGCGGCTTTGCTATTGGAGTTAGGAAAAACGATTGCTGTGTCAAATGCTTCTTTGAAGTCTGCATCAACGGATGACAGTTCTTTGACGGATATGACTGGTGATACCGACCAGACATCTCTGATGGATGCTGAAGATGATTCTGTCAAATCGGAGTTTAAAGCCAACGAGGATAGCCCAACGTCTGAGCAGACAGAGGCAGCTGAACCAATTTCATCGGAAGTCAAGATCGGCGAAGTGGTACCCGAAGTGGTACCCGCAGCGTTGACAACAAATTCGAAGGGTGTCTCACTGCAAACATATATTCCTACAATTGCTTCTGCCGTTTTTGTTCTGGTTGTTGCTTTCTTTGTGGCCCTGATGAGACGCCATCAAGATATTTAAACATTATTCACACATGCATATACCCGCATATACCCAATGCCTTCGATACCCATCCTTTCCATGTACATAACCTGATTCACCTACTACGATACTATTAGATTTGTATGTTGGAAGTTATTGGTCATGATAAGTGAAACTGTGAAATATTATTCGTTTTATTTTCGCACCTATCAACAAAGAGACTGGTTTATTTCCATCTCTTCCGTAGGGACTCTTTCTGTAAAGGCCCAAGCAATATCATATTGGAAGCTATGAACAAGAGCACTAAGCATGAAGGGAGAAAGAAGAAGCCATAAACATGAAGCTATCTCAGGGGCTTGATATGTTGTGGCTTGGCCACGTGGCCAAGCTTTACTATCGGAACTTGCTGTGCACTAGCACAGACTCAGTTAAGCTCAATACTCAAAGATGTCTTTATAGTGGGAAATATTGATATTGACCTAATTCTGCGCACACTCTTCTATCTACATCTTGATGGGATTGTTAGACACTATTTATGCTTGAGAATCCCATATAGAAGATATCCAGACAATCTCAATAGGAGATTCTCGACACAGAGCTGTAAAATTGATTCGTAGATTCAATCTTGTGACTTCAATTCTCGAATTTTCCTGGTATCAATGTTGTAGGCTTTCCTTGATTAGGTTTAGCTGACCTAATCCTCGACATTTACCCTCTTCCCGAAGTTCCCGTAACCCTATTGGGGAACAACGTTCCTCCGGATCCGTTGCTTCAGGAATATCAAATCGGACGTGCTTCTAAATGACATCCTGCTCAGCTGCCACACCTTCCATGTACGAAAAGCTATTAATGCCATCATCTACAAATGAACGAATCCTGATAACTTGAGCAGGTCCGAATCCTTGATATCTGTTCTTGGTGAAAGTCTGGTAATATTTACCAAGCCAATCATCACGCGAGTTGAGAGATTTTATAAGGGTCTGGGAGTCAAGACGGGTCGGAGTCATGGAAATACCTTAAAGTGTTAAGCTTCGCGGCTCGCTATCTAATTCCCTTTCCACTGTCTGGGAAAGCGAATCATAGGCCTCAATGTCAACAGTGCGTCCGGATGTATTATGACATCGGAACTCCGAATAGAATGGACCCAAGCAAGCCTCCCAAAAATGTATATCTAGAAGGATACCCATCTTTCAAATAATTTCGAGTCGATTTTTTCTTCTTAATATGCCCAGTCTTAGCAACTATACCAGGAGAATTCCCCAAATCGCTTCTCACGCTCGAGAAACCTTGATCACCCTGTTCAGGTGGCCTTGTAGTCGAGATATCCTGTCCTGGATTCGATTTTGTGGCCAACTGCACGGACAACGGCCCGGTTGTGTTTCATGCGGATCCAGATGTGGTGCGTTCAATAAAGTCTACTACTCTTTAGACGTATATTGACATTTATATCAATTGTGTATAGGCCGGAAAGGGTGTAGGTCAATTCGACAATACAATGCAACCACTGATCGTCCCTCTAATATACGGCCGCAGGTCATATTAGCATTTTTAATCTCTGCATGGACTACGTACCTCTTCGTTCTCATTGCATTTTTCTTCATGGAGCGTTTCGACGGCACCACCTGTGACGGCTCAGCCCTAGCTTCCGGCTTGATGTCATTTATTGATTGGGAATCCTTTGAATAAAGGTCCCCATCAATAATTGCGATATCGACCGCATTGGCATTTGTTATTAATACGCACTGATTCCCTATTGAGATGCCGACACGGCAATAGAGGCTTGTATGAGGTGGACACTACCGTCAATGAGTGAATATGGATGGAGGTCTAAATACGGACTGTCTCCCCTCGATAGATAGTTTCCCTCTTCATACTCAGTTTATCGTCAACGCTGGCACCCTAGATAGTGGATGTCACTTATTTGGACTGGTCGTATGTTACACCACCAATGAACACCAATGAACTCGATAAAGTAGTGGTTGAGCAGAGCAGAAACCTGAAGAACAAGATCACAAATCTCATACGAAAACGACTAGGGCTTTTCGATAGCGATCGTCAACGCCACCATCCAATATTCTCTGCTGATACCATCGAAAAGATTGCTTTCACTCTTAGCGATCAGCAACTCATCACTGGAGTGTCTATCATCATCGTGGGGTTTCAGAGGCACTGCGTCATGACGCAGTATCATTTCTATATTGTATACCTCCTCGAAGTTTTCAGCTTCGCTACTCACCAGCCCACCATGATGATTCTGAGGAAGAAGCTAAGTAGGCGGCCATGGGTGAGATGGTGGCGACTAGCAGCGATCTTCTGCATTTTCTTATTCAGTTTCCTTTCGAATATTCTGGTTTATAATGAATACTTTCTTGAAGAGCTTGGAGTTGTTGTGCAATGTATTTGGGCCGACCTTCCTCAGTACTATAATGGCTCAGAAGTTGCATTTACAATCGTAACATCGGTGTTCTTGTTTTGGGGGTTTGCAGCTGTTAGCAAGGAGCTCTGTCCACCTGACTATGATTCATTTAAAGGACATGCCATGAGATTCTTTACACCTAGGTGGTGGCATGACTTGACAAGCCAGAAGTTTGAAGAATTGCACCTCATACAACCTTTTGTGTCCCTATGTCATGGAAGAGATCGTGATCATACGCGAGGATCTTTCCGTTTCATTCTCGATAGCACCCTCTTCATAACCTATCTTCTCGGTTTCACCCTCATACAGATTTTTGCATCACGTACATTCGATCTCTATCGTGTCTGGGCAACGCTATTCTACGCTACTTTTGCGATCACAGGCATAAAAGACGCGGCGATTTCAGCAATGACGCTAGAAAATACACCAGTAATGAATGGAGATGAAAATTCTTGGGGATTCGGCCAGGTACTGCCTATGCTCCTTTTGGCTCTCCCTACTTCCCAGGTCTGGGAGATGATTTGGGGTAAGATCCACGCCCTAACCGGCTGAAGTTGAACATATGTGCTGACAAACGGGCTTCCTCCAGAGGATGTTGTGAAGAATCGTTCTTCGAAGAACGAGAACGATCTACCTTTGGTTACTTTCACGCATGACGAGTCAAGAAGTGAAACTAACGGACGACATAATCCACTGCCAAATGAGTCGCAAAATGTCCTGCGAGCGTAAGACTCAGAAGGTAGTAGTTCAATAACGGGGCCCAACATACCCGTGCAGAATCTGTATGACACCCGATGGCTACCACTATGGATGTCATTTTGGATTGGATTGCTTTTCTGTTTGACTACCTGGAACGCGGTTGAGGGGATTGTGATATGAATTGAGGTCTCTCATCCTATAACCTTTCGTTCTTATTATGGATCAGGATATTGGATGTAACCTATATCATTTCACACTCCAATCCACGCACAAATTGTTGATATAGGGTGGGCTACCGAGGCTACCCCTTGAGTACTTTGTCCCAGCAATGAATTAAACTGTATCTTTTTATAGCATAAATGCCGGATTTTGTTTATATCGCTCATCTTTTCCAGGTAATAGATAACCATCGACTTCAAAAAGCTTGTTAACGGACTCTAACAGCTGGACCGTTTCCTAGCCCAGGCCCTGTGGAATAAGTAATTTTCTACTGTCTTCTACTTCTATCGACTTCCCCCAGGTGTCCTAGGTGAAATCTCAACAAATACTAAGACCAGGAAGAAGTTGGGGATAGTGTACCATACAACATTTTCCAGTCTCTTCTCGCACACTGGCTAGGGCAATGGAGATTGCAACACTCTCCACTGTGTTAGATTTGAGTCCCGACTTCCTCCATTGATCGGCTACAAAATCAGCTACAAAAATACGAAGAGTAGAAGTGAAACGTACTGTTAACTGTTCCTTTGATATTGGCATGGATTACACGAAATCTTTCCGCGGACTGGCGTAATTCTCCCTGCTCGTCAACATCACTAATGTCAAAAAGCTTCTGGCTCTCCATGATCCCGGCATTGGCTACAACAATTTCTACTTTGCTGAAGTGCTTCATGCATTGAGTAAATAGCATTTTTCATTTCTCTCCAAACGAGGATATTCACGCCCACAAAGAGAGTACAGCTAGGATATTGTAAAGATAGTATCAATGTCTCAGCATTAGGGCGAGTACATTCCAGGTCAGCAACCTCGGTGTTTGCTCCTTGCACATTGATAAGAGGCACAGCATCTGTCCCTACGCCGTTTACACCTCCTGTAATTATAACAGTCTTGCCTGAAGACGCTCTAGTGCGTCGAGGCCCGTATTCTTCATGCCGTCAATCTTCTGTTTCAGGCGGAGTTATTCTCTTCAAGATCATTATTCGCCGCGATGTTGAGAAATTTGTTTCTAAAGAGCTTTGGATACCACTAAGTGCAGTATCCGCGGATTTGGTTGCGTATCATTTCCAAGATTATCTGTGTTTCGTGGCTCGGCTTATTCGGACTGGCAAGTTAAACAATCGGCCATCGTGTCTACAGGAATATCGATTCACTAAAAATCTTAGGTGAAGTTCACTTAATATAGCGGTCACCGTAACGAGAGGTTCATTCGTTTCATTACAGATGTGAGTCTCTCCCCACATATAATCTGTTATAGGCCTGGGTGCTGTAAATGACAGACAAATCCAGTCTCTTCAAACCATTTCGGCTATTCAATGGTCCGATAAGATCTGGGGAATCTATAAAGCGTGAAATTTTCTTGAAGATTGAGGAGGAAAGTATCTAGAAGATAACATGGAGTTTGACTTTATTTTCGCGATGCTATAACTATCTCCATCAACCCTGGATAGTAACGGTATTTATAAGATCTGCCAACTCATCTGGGTCGCTCATGTTGGGAAAATGTCTAGAATTGCAAAGAAGAGTGGTTACTTCTTTACCGCCATTTGCAGAAATCATGTCAATGACGGATCTCTGAAATTCAGGGGTTACAGAAATATCACGTTCACACATGATATACGTGACAGGAGTATTCAGATACCCTGCGTAATGAAGTGGACCTGAAAAGCTCTCTGCTGAATGTGCCTTCATCTGCCCTGCATGTTGGATCGAGTCGGCGTATGGGAGATCCGAGATATTGATGCTTGCGTAGCCTTCAGGATCAGAGGTCAGGTAGCCACCCCGTAGAAACCTTTTGTTATTGGCGTACTTGAAGATTATCTTGTCTTCGCCTATCTCGAGTTTCATGAAGGGCGACAGCTTTTCATCCATAATCATCATCATGGACCCGCCGACTTCAGGAGCCGGAGAGCCAATGTAGACAAGATGCATAATACCTCCTAGTTTCCCGACAGCATGCTTTCGGCTTTAGACACTCTCTTCGTGCTTTCGGTACCACATATCCCAACATAGGAGTGCATTACCGAAATGATATCACAGCCTTCATCAGCTAGTCTCGTCGTCGCCGACTTGATATGCTCGGCATCGTCCATTATTGATGCAGGGGGAAGCGGATCACGAAGTCCGACATATGGGAGGTCAAGGACTGTTGCATTAAAATCATATTTGAGCTGTTGCACGAATTCCGAGTATAGCAACGGTGGGGCAAAGGAGGCGGGAAGCCCTAAGATACCACCGCGTGAAGAAGCATGGGGCTCAGGTTTGCAGCGGGTCGCTTTGACTGTCATTGATCTACTTGAGTTTACTGTTTCAGCTAGACACGAAACCTTCCATCTTTTGTTTCATCCAATAAGCAGGTAATCCTTATCTGGACCAACACCTCAATGGGCAAGCCCCAGGACAGTGGAGGGCTACTCATCGAGGGCCTTGTCGTCTGCTTTACAGCCCTTGATCTATGCGTGTTGCTGCTATATTCTAGCTACGTCCACAAGACTTGGTCGCCTACATTCGGTCTTTGGCGTATCTTTTTCCTCAGCATGTTCTCCTTCATTCCCTTTCTAATACTGGCAGTGGCCTTGTCCAAGTTTCAAGACATCTTAACAAATGTGATCTCTCACAGCCGATAATTCCGTTTTGGCCTGTGTAATCTCGCCTGGCTTCGGATCGTCGAAAGTGGCAGCGAAATAACACAAAGAAGCCGAGATTGGCCATGAAAAATGTGCGATTCGGCTGCTCTGTTCATGAGGTACCGCAGTAGTAAAGACGACAACCAATGCTGTCGCGACAAAACCGAGCTTCTGCCGTGACCGCAGCCCAGCCGGGGAAGAAAATGTCATGGAGAATGCAAAGGCGATCGCAATAAATATTGTATTTATCAAATCAATATACCAAATGGTATTTTGGCTGTACGAAACGGAGACACCAAAGCACAAAATAATCCTACTACACCACCAGAAGCTAAAGTTAGTTGAATGTCTTCGGAAGATGCTATCAGGGCACTTGTTAGAGCAGACTCTTGCTGGCTGACAAGTAGTGTCAAAAACCATCATCACGCTGCGAGACTGAATTAACATCAGGCTTTGTAATCCCGGGATAGAGTCTCTTGGTGTCGCAAAAGGGGGACGAAGAACGAAAATGGAGATAATTAGTGCAATACCAGCAGAACGGTTGGGCATCAACGGGGAAATCATAACCGAGAACATTCGAAACAACAAATAAAGATAACACAAATAAGGATGCCTTTTTGTTTTCCAGCCTTTCACGCAGCCTAGAACCTTTCCATTCAATTTGAAACACAATGGGAATGCCTACTACATAGGTCAAACTCAATACGAGAGCTACCATATCACCACTAATCACCATGCCGGCGTATATCGGCAGCAATAGAGATAGGATACGCACGAGAGATTTTTGTACAGAACTCGTACTAGGCTATGAGTCGGTGACGTTCTGAAGACTTCACTGCCAACTGAGAGTATTATGGCAGAGGCCAACACCAAAGCTCTCCACCATACTGTGTCAACTGCTGTTTCTGGAGAATGGGTCTTCAGGAATTTTTGCTTCGCCGCTGCAGTCTTCAGCATTCGCCATACTTTGTGGGAGGTCGGGGTAGTGTATTGCCTCATGTACCATGATAGAAGCGACCACGGAATTCCAGTTAAAATACCTGTAGTAATCTCATAGCTGTGCAGAGTTTCAGTAACGCATTACCACTCACAAGGGTCAGGTCTCACTGACCTTATGGGTATATTGTCGGAGCTTTGAAAGGGCATGGTGTAAGCATCGGAAGTTTTTGTTCCTGAGATCGGGAGTTTTCTGAGCTCTCTACTTTGCGCCTACCACCGAGTGGGAATGGGAGTGGTTATGGTTTGAGATTAGGCTAGGCCAATGGCTCGGACACGAGGGCCTCTATGTGGATGCTTCGTCTATGCTCACTCTTAGTGAAGTGCCCCCCCGGTCTTTGGCAGATAAGTTATAGGACCCTTCCACAAGTCTCCGAATCCACATTTTCTAAAGTTAAGGTCATATTTGGTTTATTGGTGATGTTATTTCCCTATGAATTCATCAGCGTTTTCCGCATGACCCAGTGCAAATTTGATGTTGTAAGCTCACAGATTTCAGTACCATGTCGTATTCAAGGGCCCTATCTGCCCTGTTTCTCTCGCAGAGTGGCTGCAATGGTCCTTGAGCCACGGTCGAGCGCCCTGCCAGACCCTGAGTCAGCCGTGTATTGGTTAAATCACTCGGTAGTGTGAAAGGGAAGCTCCTAGTCTTGACTGTCCCTAAATTTGACGGGAATGCGTCAAGTGCGCTGTCCTGCGCGTCAGATTGGCGAGGCCAATCGTGCGGGGGTGCATGGCATATTGAATCCGACACCCATTGGAATTTGTGCTTCATTGAGCGCCCCGACCCCACTGGACGTAAAATTTCTGGTACCGCAATGGGGAGACGGTAACATGGGGTCTTTGCATCGTAGTCTTTCTTTGCCATTAGCATTTATGATATGCCATGGTTACTCGATGAAGTCGTACTCAGAGAGTTGAAGATGTAAAGAAATTAAATGACCACAGGGTCAGCAAGTTGCCTGACCACCCTGATTCCATCCTTGGCCAAATTGGCATATAGTCTACATGACCGGAATACTGTCAACATTTTCTGCAGCTAGTTACCTCAGAACCGAAGGCCAGACAGGGTAATCTCTAGCATCAAATCATTTTGTAGTCGAGACAAAGACAAAGACAAAGAATGCAACATGATAATAAATACACCACTCCGACCTTCGGAGTATGGGATTGTAGTTCTTCCCAGGTCACCGTTAGGCGCCCACGCTTGGGGTTTACACAGCATCGAGTTTGAGTCACTATTCCCATGCGCAGTCGGATACGGATATAACCATGTCTCCCAATTGGCGGGCAGGCAATCGTTGTCACAAGCAGAAGTTATGCGGATGTGAAAGAGGGAATATGCTGGCGGCAGCAGTAGATTTTGCGCAGGGCTTCTCACAATCAATGCCGTTGTAGTTGATCTAAATCTCATTGAAACCGACAACCATCTCGTAATCAATTCCTTTTCCATAAATGATACTATCATTGACAACCGTGAATGAAACTTTTCCCCGGTGGCGCGGATAATTGCAATCGAGCGATACATGGACGCTGGACATGAAGACTGCTCATGCAGCAATGAAATAGGCGATGGCAAAGGAAGATGGCGTAAGCCTAACCAATAAAACTACCCTATCTATTTATGCTTAGGGTCATTTGGGGGTAAGTCGCTGTCCCGGACTTTTTCCGTCACAGGTTACGCGTAATCCAAAAGCTCTATATGTATTAGGTGGTTTGTATAGATACGGAGTTACAGACACTAGGATGTAAAGATCTACCTAGAAAGTGAATAGATTAACGAGCCATAATAGGGAACCGGGAGCAAGAGAGCAAACGAGATTGCTGATTTCCCAGATGGGCTGGATGGGCAGGATGAGCACCTTATAAGCTTCAATTATACAGCTTCCAAATTAGCATAGCAGGTACCGTAGAGCACAAGGAAACGGTGAGGGAGTGCTCGTACAAAGATGCAAAGAATAACAAAGAACTGTTCACAAAGCGTATCTATTTCGAGTGTCGAGATCTGTAGGGTCGGCACGAGAGCGAACCCTAACACTTATTAATTGTACAGGCTTGGGTGTACTGTCATACAGGACACGGATCGCTCTAAACTATGATAGATAGTCATTCCCGAGATCGGTTTGACCAACAAACATTGAAGATCCTTTCTGCCAAGGCCTTACCTAGTCTGAAATTTTTCTTGAGTCCCCTATTTTTAATCGAGGGCTGTAAGTTTCCAGGTTATAGACCATGAAATATATATAGTATTGTATATGTATTACAGTATTAACTTTTTATCCTACTCAGTAATATAAGTATGTGTTTTTATTTTACCGTATCAGGAGATCTTCTTAGAAGAAGATCGCATTGAACTGCTACAAACGGTTAGTGAAACGATCTACACTTAGAGTCTGTAGATTTTCAGAAGCTTCTGTATCAAGTCTCCACGTAACTACTATGACTTGAACGTTTCCTCGAGCGGTGGACAGACCATCAACGGTTTTCGGTGCCCCTTTTCATTGGAAATTGCTCCACAACCCAGATGCAATCATGATAATGTAACTGCCAGCCTCACGAAGCTATGTTTCTCATGGTCAACCTTGTGCCACAGCGTCAGCCCCAGTGATTGCGACGATACTCATCTCATCGCATCCAGTCTGTTCAGCAGCAATCAAGAAGTCTTGAACAGTGAGCTCCAGCCCTCGCTCACTTAAGAGATCCTCCCCTTCACCGAGTACTCCTCGGAATAAGGGTCCATTCATCCCTCCATTCAACTCCCAGACTTTCCCATCCTTGTGCACGAAGGCCAAGAAATGGTGTTGATTATCCTCTCGAGGTGAGGGGACATTCGAAGATCCACGCGATGCCGCATCCATGTGCGCCTCTTCAAGAAAACTGGAGTCATACAGCAACTGGGCTCGCTCTGTGGGCCCAAGAAGAATAGCTTGCTGACGGAGTGCGTCTATTGCCGTGCCAGGGCGCACATATCGACCACCTTCTAGGTTGAAGACCACGTGCAGGAGAGCCATCAGCCCACAAGCATGGCCGATAGTCTGTTTCATCCATATAACTGGTTCATTGGGACCTGAACCTTTGTACTCTGATATCGTTGGCTCAACTGCTGAGCGGGCAGCTTGATATATAGACCGGTGCGCGAGGACAATAATCGCGTGACAAGGTCGGAAATAACACTCTTGAAGGAATGCTGGAGAGGTTGAGATAATGTCATGAAAGTCGAGATCCAATGAGATCTGGAGATTCTCACAAAGAAGTTTTAGGATATCAGGATTGTTCTCTGAGACGTTTATCAGTTGTGCTCTTTACATAAACGAGGATAAATTTGTACCGAGTGGAATGAAGGTCTTAATGCCATCAATGATTTCTACCCGAGGCGGTGCAGGCATTTCGAAGGGATTATAATGTGATGAACTTCTGTGGAGTTTAGTTCAATCAGAAGGAAATTGGTGGATGGGTGTCTGCCCTAGGGGGAAAGATGGATCGTGGGCGGGGTAGCTCCTCTTCGTCTTACTGGCTTTCACCGCCCAAGGCATGACCCTTGATGCACGATTTTGCTTCATATCGCGAAAAATCACGTACTATGTATGTACTTACTACTTCCACTCAATGTAAATCATTTCGCTAGCTGTTTGGAGTAGTTAACGTAATGCGACATCCTTCTTTTGAGGAAACCTGTGGATGGACTAAAATAGACGTATGCATAAGTTAGGTACTGCAATATAAATGTGATACTGTGTAAATTTCATGTTCAATACAACCAGCAACTTTGCAGCAGCCCTCTTGAAACAGGTGACTCATTAATCCACTTAGGCTAATGCCTTTGCAGTGCGGCTAGAAGAAAACTATCATATGTTTGTCAGTCAAACCGGTTCCGAGAATGGCTGTATTACAATTATTCTCTCTTTGGATTGATAGCTATGACTTGGACTCTTTAGTCATCTTTGTTAGCAGAATACCATTGAACCTAGCTCAGTGAGGAGTAACTTACTCTGATCTCAGATCAGTGATCGGCGAGCATAGGTATACGATACACGATACACGTTCATGTGTGCCATGAGATATATGCTTGCCCTCCCCTGTTTTCGCAACGCATCTGGGCACCAATCAATTAAGATGGGAACGAGTGTAGTAATGAATAACGTCTGGGCAGGTTGACGGCTGCTATTTCAACAGGTATCAGTGAAGTATCTCCCAATGCGGAATACTCTGAAGTGTGTACATTCAGAGCCCTCCGTCAATCCCAACTCTCGCCCTTGCTTCCGGAGTTTGCTTATTCCGACAGACCAGACTCATAGTTGATTGGCACAACTTTGGGTATTCGATACTGTCACTAAAACTAGGCGATCAGCATCCCTTGGTTATGATTTCAAAATAGTACGAGAAATTCTTTTGTGAATGAGCAACTGCGCATTTCGTCTCACGAATGCCACGGCTCGTACATTGCAGGAGGGCTTTAGAATCACAAATGCTCCGATTTTAACACTACAGGACCGACCAGCTAGTCACTTCAAGACTATCTTGGACGAGGAGGAACGAACACAGTTTATGGTGTCGTAAAAAGAGGTTGCAGCCACTAGAACTGAGCTAGTAAGTGGAGGTGTGCGCGTTCTTGTCAGTTCAACATCTTGGACTCTCGATGAAGACTTTTCGGTATTGATAGACGCCCTCTGTCGGTATTCTAAAATTGCAACGACTGAAGACACTACATTGCCGATGATTCTGCAATAATTACGGGCAAAGGTCCACAGAAACAGATGTATCTGAATGAAATATCTGCTCGCCGGAAAGCTGGCAAGTGGATATCAAAACTGGTTGGCTCAGCACACTCGACTACGCAAAACTCTTGGGTCGTGCATCATTGGGCGTCAGCTTACACACCAGCAGCAGCGGTGTTTATCTACCCATGAAGGTGGTGGATATGTTTCACGCTGGTTTGCCGGTTGTCGGATGGAATCGATTCGAGGCTTGGCCGGAGTTAGTCACAGAAGGTGTCAACGGACGAGGATTCGGTAGCCCAGAAGAACTGGCGAGTCATTTCACAGACTTGTTTGGACATGCATCAAAGTTGGGAAATCTGCGACGTGGTGCCCAAAAGGAAAGCCTACGTAGATGGGATTAGGAATGGGGTCCTATTGCAGGACGACTACTGGAAGTGGTTCAGCCTTAAGAATGAAGCTTTCTTCGCTGTACAGCTATCTTAGTAATGTTTGGGATCTAGAGCATGCTGGTCGGCTGACGAAAGGAAACCTGATATCAATAGAACGTTATACATTGCATAGCATGACAAGTGCCTATGAAAGAAAAGAGATATGCAACTTCTACGACACTATGCAACCTGGTCCAGTCTTTGAACCACCACAGCTGTTGCGGCTCCGCCACCATTACAAATTGCAGCCACACCATACTCCCCTGGTTGTAGCTGATGGAGCAAAGTGGTCAAGATCCGAGAACCTGAACTGCCAAGAGGATGGCTGAGCGAAATGGCGCCGCCGAGGGCAGGAATTTTCAAGACCGAGAATCTGTTCCTGATGAGCATAAAATTCGTGAGAAGAAAATGATGGGACAAATATACCTGTTCATTAGCCTTGATGACGGCTGCAAAAGCTTCATTGAACTCCCACACAGCAACTTGGTCCTTGGTGACCCTATCGGTGCCGTATTAGGAAATCATCTTGACATCAGATGTCGGAGATGGATATGGTAAGGTGACTCGCGTAGAGCGCACACAAAGGCTGGCTACGCAGCTGGAGCAGAGCTCTTTCTTCCTTCCTTTCCTCATGTTCAATATTTTCGTCGATACGCACCCCTTGTATGTAGGATAGTTAGTTTTCCAATACACAGGATTGGCACCATCACAGGTCAGGGTTACTTGGGGGCACTGTTAAATGATCCGGGGTTTTTCACTGCTATTATGAACAAGTATATTTCGTACCAGGTGAATCCAAAATTTTCCCTATCAAGCATTTTGCTGCTTGATCTTGAAATCCCAGTTGACTTCCCATTTCACATCTACACATTTGCCCCCCCTTACCTTGCGGTGACTCAGAGTTGTAAGGTCTGAATTTAAGCAGCAAATCAGATTTTACCGCATACACAGAGTCGGAGTCCTAGATAAGAATCATCCCCAGGGAACACTTGTGTGATCAAACGATGATAAGAATCACTCATTACCATAAAGTGAATGTGAGCCGCTCGATAAGGGTGGCGGTCTATCAGTTTGAGAATATCGCCGGCTTGCCCATCGTAGGGAACGAGATAAGGAATCGGCTTTATACAGTGGAACGCGTACCGGCCATATCCGTATTGGAGGTGAACATACCACGCATGTCCCCTGATGGTTGGTCGGGGTCTTGTTGGTCATATAACCCGTTGACAGCGCATTGCCATATATTCAGAGAAAGCCCTAGGGACTTCCAGCAACATGTTAGACTAGAATTGAGTTGTGTACTAAACGTACCTGCAACCGGCAAATTGCTATCTGCATCCAAAATTCGACCATGGAAGAATGCCACTTCGCCGCCTAGGTGTTTCTGAATAGTGCTGTCGCCGTTCTCGTAACGTGGAGGGTCAGCCGTATAGAATGGGCCGAGAACGCAGGAATTGGTGGGGTTGGTGTTGTCCTCTAGAGCTTTCTGTGTCTGAGCATCGACCAACCCAGGTGCAAAGTTAAATCATGCAGAGGGAAATGGTTGGTTCGATATATGCCTCCACGACCAAGCAATCTGCTCTCAATAACGTCTCATTGCGTTCAGGGATACTCATCCGGCCAGATCGGTTCAGGGCTTCGATGGCAATGTGAAGTTCCTTTGTAGTGATATTCACATCGTGACAAAATGCATGAAGATATCGTACTAAGCCTGCGAGGATTTCTCGAGCTCTAGGTGAGCTATTGGACCCGAATGGAGAACAGAAATTGTCAGTTGGTGGAGTTCAGAAAGATCTATTTTGAATGATTCCGATGAGATTGCTCCTGGTCTTTGTTTAAATTTGTGACACCCTAGATGACCTCCTGGGTAGCCTTTCTGCGTGGCCCTGGTTTTTATTTAACTGTCTAAGGGCTCATGCCTTGCACCCTTTGAGTCTCCGCATGGCAAGCATTGATGATATCCCCGGCTTTTGCTAAATAAAACCTAAGCCGCACCCCAAGAAATGCATAACGTGCATATACATCCATTTAGCAGACCCCCGAGTGGACAGAATTTGCAGTGAGCCAAACTCTCAATTTGCCGAAATTGCCGAGCCCGAAATTGCCGAATCAACGAAATCGGATGTCTCAAGCATAAAAACTTTCAGTTCGGCAATATCTTCCCTCAACCTGTGGATAATGCGAGAATCAAACTCGAAGGTAACAACGAACTCTGTGCCAATGAGCTCACAGCGTGTGATTAAGCCAGGAATCAAGAGGAGACGTCCACCATTGGCTTGTATCCAGTGCTATCAGCGTAAGCTGAAATGTGGACGTGAATTTCCATGCTGCAGCCGTTGCGTGAAGACAGGAAACGCAAACAGATGCACCTACCGTAACAAGTCAGCAAATACTTCCTCATTGGATGGATTCTCTCTAGATGGCCATCAGGGCAGCGGCGCTGGTGCTATGACAATGCCCCTGCATACCCCAGTCTCCTTGACAGAAACCCCGGAAAGACCGCCGGCCTCTTCCAACTGGAATGGAAAAACAACGCATCTAAAGGGAGAAGAAAATATCACCAAATTCTATGGGTGTAGTTATCCCCTGAACTTTTACCAACAGGTACGTCAATACCTCCTCTTCCTTTTTACAATGGGGCGCATTTTCTCAGGAGTCGTAGTTTACCGAACTGCGATCCTACATCATCCAAGTAAAAACAAAAAACCCAGCAATCAACGCCATACGTGACGAGATTTATCCCCTTGCCAATGACGGCTATCGGATTTCTCCTTTGGCACATAAAGCCGTGACTGCGGACACTTTGAGGGAACTGATTCCCAAGAAGCCGGTAGCGGACACATTGGTGCAGACGTATATTGACCGATTCGAGGTCTTACACCGAGTACTCGATAAATCCACTTTTATAGCAGAGTACAATCGCCATTGGTCCAATCCGCTGTGCACGCCGACTTCCTTCGTGGTGCAGCTCCTTTTGGTTACAGCTGCAGCTGCAATCTTTCACCCGGAAATCTACATCGATGCTGCGACCCAACAAACCGTCTATGACCATGCAATTGGTTGGCTGGGAGCCGCGGATTCATGGCTCAATTCCCCAGCTAATCAGCCTCCTCAGTCCTGGGACATTTTAGCAGGTCATTGTCTCCTGCTCATTGCAAAGCGTGCAAACTATATCCAAGAGGCCTCCTTCTGGATGTATACTGGAGGACTCGTTCGCTGGGCCATGGCAGCAGGATACCACCGTGAAGCTTCTCCAGCAGCGAGGATATCGCCTTACCACCGGGAGATGCGTCGGCGGCTATGGGCGACAATCGTTGAGCTCGACCTCCAGGCCGCGGTAGAGCGAGGCATGCCCCCAAATATCGGAATAGAAGACTTTAACGCAATATCTCCTCTTAACATTGATGACAACAAGCTCCAGGAAATACAGGAGTCAGGTCACAATTTACCGGAAGGCATGCCACGCGACATATTGACAGACACATCGTTTCAGGTCCTGCTTTACAGTTCTTTAACTGTCAGATTGGAAATATGTGCGCTGGTGAATGGATGCCGCGAGCAAGACGACTTCCAGCGTGTCTTGGCCCTTGGAGAGAAGCTAGAAGTAGAACTCCAGAATATCCCTGAATGGAACAATCCTCGAAACAGTCCACGACAGCAGCAAACTACAATGTACGTGAAGAGAGTACTGAACATCCATCTGTACCAGTACATACTCTTGTTGTATTTCCAATTCGCAGTTCAAGCTTCACCTTCATTCAAGTCTAAGATATGTCGACGTGCGAGGTTGGAGGCGTCGTTGAAAGTACTTGATCATTATCAAAAGCTTATAGTTGATGAAAAGGTACCGGAACAAGCTTGCAGGACGGGATTGGTTCTTGCAGCGTTGAATGTTTGTCATGAGATATACAATGAAATTGGACCGCTCAGTAAGTAATCGCCAGCTATTCATTTCGAAAGGCGAGGGAAGCAGAATCACTAACTTCGAATCAACCAGTCACTGTGGCAGTATTTCCCCAGGTCTCACCATTTCTCATAGCCACAGCTGAGAAGGGCCTTTATATCCTTGAAAAGAGAGTCAATGTGACCCTTCAGGGATTAAATGAGTACTACATACTCAGCATGATACTCGGTCTAGTCAAGTCTCGGTTGTGGCCAGAATCACGCGTAACATCCGATCAAGAAGCAGCGGATAGAGTGATTCGCGTATGCACAATGTTGCAGATGCGGCAGGCTGTCATTCAGCCAGATTACTTTTTGCCAGGTTCAGTGTAAGTATTCCTATTTCGATGCAGGATCAAACCTATATTGATTAGTTGTAATGATAGCAGCAGTCCACGCCGGCTTGACTTCCAAGAAAAAGCAAGCTCGATGCTTTCGAACGGTACAACTGACTTGCTCAATTCAATCGTAAGTGATATTTCTCTAGATCTTGGATTATCTTGCATGTGATGAGCTAAGATTGAGCAGTTTTCGGAGGACTTTGAATTCATCAATGATAGTAACGGTTACACCTTTTTGTAGGCCATTTGAGTCAGATGTTCTACCATTGCATTCTTTAATGTCAAGCCTCTCTTCTCATAATAGTTCAAAGAGTCAAGTCGCAGCCTTGGGAAACCAACAGTCATTCGTAAACATACAATCCTTCACTTCTGGTGAGCGGAACTCAACTTTAATACACTATATCCTCAATCTTCGCAACAGTATGCCCTCTCACCGTGCTGGCTTATCACCTTAACCTTGATCAAGTGTGCTAACATAGAAAAGCAGGGAATTTTTGAAAGATCTATCTAAGTAACATCAATGATGATATATATGTATATCAAATTAGTCATACAGCTCGAATCAAACACCGTTCGAGATCGAGATACGATCACATAACTGCCAGAACCTTTCCCTGTAGATACAACCTCGCCACAACGACAAGGACAACTCCGGCCAACATCACCACACCGCTGAAAATCGCGGGCTGTGTATACACTCCGTACCTCTCAAGCAAAGCACCGCATATCGGAGTTCCAGTCAGACCGGCAATACCAACGACTGCCATGGACATGCCAAGATGAGCGCCAATCTGGTCCGGACTTGGGGTCACTTGGGCGATGCAAGGAGACATGAGAGAAACAATTCCGCCAGAAAAGAAGCCATACAGAACTGCAAATACAATGATTGATGTGTTTGAAGTGATCCCGATCCAACACAAAAGTAGAACCCCCGTACAAAGACTGTTGAGGATCAGGATGTTGAACCGACCGATCTCATCTGCAACCAGACCCGGCAGGATTCTGCCAAAGACCGAGGCGGCATTAAGAATAGACAAAAGATAAGAAGAAAGCTGCGAATCCATGCCGTGAGAATGCGCATTTTGCGGGAGATAGAAGAACGGAGTGAAAAGCCCCCACATCATGAACGAAATCCCAAGCGTGACAAGAGTGTAAGGAGCGCGAGTAAAAGCTGATGGTAAGAGGACTTTACCCTGGCGAGGGGGAAGTCGTTCTCGTACGGTTGCCATTGCTATCAATAACATGAACAAGATAATGAATCCCACAATGCGGACGGACCAGCCGAATCCTAGGGATTCGTTTGCCAGCATTTTGCTCAAGGCAATAGGGAATATGACTCCGCCGATGGATGACCCGGATACCGTCATGCCGAGAGCTGCAGCACGTCGTTTATGAAAGTAGTGGCTCACACATGTCATGACAGGAGCGAATAACATGCCAGAAGCGATTCCACCTAAGATTCCCTGGACAAACATGAATTGGTAGTATCTCTTGCACAAGGATGTCGTCATCACCGACAATACGACAGCGATCGCAGGGACATGAATGATCTATAGAGCAAAATTAGTAAATGGCCGTGGAAGGCATCCAAGGTCCTTACCGAAGCACCGTAGCGGTCGAACAATGGCCCACCAATAAGGCTACCAGAAAACAGAAAGCAGATCTGAACAGACCCAATCCAAGAAATATTGGATGAAGTTTCGTTGGACAGGTAGTGTTTGGCGTAGTAATCTTGGTAGACCCTGTGCCAATGCATCATTTAGATTCCTGGCAAAGATTTTAGGCGTCTAGGTAGAACGTACCCAAAAGCGTTCATGTATCCGAAAGTTGAAAATGACACACAGAATGCACCCAAAACCACCATCCAAGCTCGAGCGCCACCTTCAGGGAATTCAGCGGAGGGCTTTTCGCGTTCGAGCCTATTCGACCCATTCTCAGAGGTATCTGGTCTAACCTGACCAAGCGATACATCTGGAGTAGACATCCTGAAAGTTGACTGAGTGAGCAGAGATATTTCCGAGAATGGCTCGCTCTCGACTTGAACCACGAACGATTTATATTCTTTCTGCAACTCCCTTCACAGTCCACATTCCTCATATACTGGGAGTGCAGGTCTACATTTTCGGGATGCCGGATCAGCTGCTCGGTCTATTCAATGCCTATCATCATAGCCCGAAAAGGCCGAGCTTCAGATGGAGGACCGTATTCTGCAGTCATATTGTCAATGTTGAGAATGAGTTCTTCTTCCCGATATCTTGACTTCCTGCCAGTATGCTATTATTTCCGCGTCTGGCCGATTCCAGCCTTCATCTACCAGACCGAGATGGTCGAGTACCTCGAGTCTTGGCTGTGAATTCAGGGGAATATCCTAGGGAGCGTATGAAATAGCACTTGCTTCTTTCTGGGACTCATTTGGCAGAGGTGCCTTCCATTAATTTTTATTTCGTTCATAGCAAGTAGTCTTTCCAAAATGCAAGTGAAATTTCAAACTGGCTTATCAACCCCTATCCGATTCTGACTTTTGAGTATCCGGATCCTTCGAACTTCTTAGGGTTAGGGCTATCGACGCACCATCGGAACGGGATAACTAGTTTATCCGCGTACTAGCGCCCAGCAAAGAATATGTGAGACTCTACCTTGGAGGAAAGATATAGTCTAATCCTGAGTGATAGTGACTAGATATCAAAGTAGTACGAACAACAATCAGATATGCAATATCAATAGGAAGACTCAACACAGAACAGGAACAAGAAACAAGTCAATCACAGCAAAGCCAGCATTAACCAACTATTCCTACCCTCACATATGATAGATACTGCTGCAGTTGCTAAGGATAGGACGCTGCACACTTAAAGAAGACAGCCTTTAAGCCGGTCTATCAATTCTTTTTAATACATAAGAAGTTGGAAACCACAGGCCAAGAAGGCCTTAAGTTCAGATACCAAGATAAACACGTTGAAGCAGAAAAAGCAGGGGCTTGTAGGAGGAGAGGTCGGAAACACATGAGTTGTATATATCTAGCGCGCTAGTGCCCTATAGGGTTAGTCCCTCCGGGCGTAATAAATCATCATCTCACTCTGAACTAGGAATCAGCTATATTACCAGGCTCACTGGCTTGATTGGAATAGCCTAACTAATTATTCCTGCGTTTCGTGATCCAGGACGTAGTTAAACCAACACTTGCCAAAATGGCTCCAAAGGAGAAACAAGACTAGCAGCTAATACCACCACCAGCATCGTTAGTGTAAGGCCCTGTTCGACATTCATTCTCGAACCTCTGCCATCTTCTCTGCGTCTGGGCCGCTTTCTGAGTTCTGACTCTATCGACATACGAATGGAACTACTGATGGAAAATACTGAGTCTGCTCAGTAGTAGGGTCAACGTTGCTCACTCAAGTTGTGGGCGAGAAAGATACGACGGTATGAACTATGTCAATTTTGAAAGGAGTGAGAGCAAGAATACATGGTAAGTGGCATTATTTCCCATGGTGAGCTAAGACTTATTATTAATTGTTAGATGCCTCTCGAAAATCTTGTGGAGGCTAAACTTCCGAACATCGTGCTATGCATAAGTTCAAACAGGAGCTGCGCGAATACCAGGATGGAAATGGCCCTAAGCCCGGTCAATTCTGTTTTAAGGCTGTACCAGGCGTCACATCTGAGAAATCGGAAATTAGTCCATTCGATCAAAAATGAGGCCCGTTATGGGGTTGGCAATTTGAGTGATTTATTAGACATACTATGGCTGGCAACATCTATACAGCGGTTATTTTAGCTATTGCCAGCGACGCACTCAAAACACGATCTTTAAGGGCTCGTACATACAGACTCATCCCCAAGAATCTTCCGTCACGTATTTCTTGCGCGAGACGCTCGTCTCTCAAGATCGCTCTTCACCAGCGCTCCCGTTTGGGAGAGTGATGGATTCACTTATATGTTGGATTCGAATGTGTGTCAAATTTTATAGCACATTAATCAGTTCTGCTTGTAAACTAACTCGATGATACAGAGCCAAATTTGCGAGAATACTGTGCACATTAACGGATACCTTCGTACTCGACGAAGGAGATGTGCAATCTACGTCCATAGCTTGATTGGAGAGAGACCAAAACTGCAGATTTCAAAAAGCAGAACTTCATTCTTGAAGGGATTTGATTTCTAGCTATACACATTGTTGATGTGTATCTCGAGTCAAATAAAACAGGTCAAGACAAAACCCGATTAATTGCTGCAGTCGCGTTGTGGACTGCGGCCAAATATACGACACAAGATGCTCCACCTGTCGGCGAGTTCGTGTCTGAATCGCAGTCCCACCGGAGAGGAAAGGTGCCATTTTACGCCTCTGATATACTAGATATGGAAGTGAGGCTAATAAAGGTCATCAATTAGTCTTATGGGTGGCTGGGGACCTCTACCTTTTCTGGATAGCTGTGCTCCGCGCAAGACCTTTCATATCTCGGAGTTATCAACAAAGATACAAAGTTCAACCTGAATGGTACCGGATTCTGTGACGCTGCAAATGCTACCAGGAAGTACGAGAACGCTCTAGCAGCTATTGCGAAGTATCACCCGACTTCTGAGACTGCTACAGCACTCGACTTTGCTGTCAAAGCACAGCCGCATGCTGCACACAGTATCCCGGGAGCACGCGCAAATTCTATTGATGACGATATCACTGGCAATTTAGAAATTGGGGAGGATCCAGAGCATTTTGTGGTTCATCTCGTTAGTATGCACAAAAGCGAATCAGGACAATCTCGCAAGGAATGGATCGAGGAGCTTAAGAAGATCGCGAACGACAAACTCAAAGAAGCTTCGCGTGTCAAAGCTTTGCTTAAGATAATCCGTTACGCAATGAAACCTATTCAGGTGAAAAGATTGTCGTCCACAGCTGCTTCCTACGATTTATGAACTTGACGAACAGCTGCCCGGCCGTCTGGATAACCTCTACCACTTAAAATCCTCATCCTAAGGTTGCATAACCAGATCCGCGAAGAAGATGCTTGCCAATTCGAAGCCATGCTTCCGAGTCTTCCCGTTCAAATGAAGGCCAGACGCCAAATATCCTATCTAGGAGCTACGCTACCCGCATCGATGGCGATGATCGAATTAAAAAACAAGCCGACCGGGCATGGATACCAGCATGGCAAGAAGGACAAGTTCCAACGGTAGCGCTGGAAGCCGGTTATGCAACCAGCTGCAAAGCTGGAACATTATCTAGCAAACTATCAAGAATGAGTTTCAAATCAATCGCCTGCGTTACGATGGTATACAAAAGACCTTCTCAGAGGCTACAACTCCGTCTATCTTGTTCATCCCTAGTGGAGCTGGAAGCATTTTCCTCAGTCTTCAGCGCTTCCATTGTGATTCAGACAGAAATGTGGTGGAATCACAACGTGGAGCGTCGAGCTTATACCAGATGTATACGGTATGGCCAGACAGAGAAGTCAAAGTGTTTCGGATGTTGGGGAGCGATGGCGCCATTGATAAAACCATGGATACTTTCAATGGTGGTCCGAGGAAAGTCTTTGGGGACACTCAATTCCTCCGGACTATCACCTCCCGCCATGTGATCCTCGCTCCTAACTATATATTACTATACGAGGTCGTCTAGTATTCGCGCAGCTTTTTGGTCTGGTTGGCTAGCCCAACAAAATCCGGTATATAATAGGAATCAGCATCTAGACAGGAAATACAATCGATTCATCGCCACAAGCAAGGAATGAGTAAGCCAACCGTCAATTAAGGGGGCCAAAGGACTCTTCTTCGACGAGTCAAAATGAAAAATTTGTCTTGGCACATACTGTAAATAACGTGGCGGGAGATTATCAATGAGAGGTCAATTTTCTGGGGGAGGGAATGTGAGCTATCACTTTTTAATTAAGAATTCTTTGCCTCGTTGTGACCACGAGTACTCATGACTACGTAGTGATTGAGCATATGGCCATAAGCGTCTCACTACTTGCGATACCTCCATAGTTGATAGATATCGTACGAAGTTGACCAACCTTCCAACTAGTCAGTTAGATAATCAACAGGTACTGATGTTGTCCGGTTCGATTCGACTAAAACTCCAAACTGATAATGCACCATGTAGCTAACTTCTGACGATCCCCGCAAATCAATTAACATATCACTCAAATCAACGCCCAAAATCCCAATGATACGGTTCAGGCTCAGATGTCAAGGGGCTCGGACGGGGTATGAATCTATCCGGAGTATTTAAAAGGTGAGCGCTTTGATCTCCTAGATGTTGGGGTCGGATTCCCAGTAACCGAGTTCCTGGGAACAGACTAACCTAGTTAGCTGAAGATGGCACAATAATAGTGACAGTACGTAGGATCTCGGCTCTGTTAGAGTTTGAGGCAAGGTAATGAATTGTATTGTTGATACGATATACTATGAAGTCATATGAGACTGATCTATAGAATGGTGACTGTAATGTATTCAGTCCACTGTTGGTAATGAGGCAATTAGTCGAGATGGAATGTTGCAATTACTACGTATTAATCTTATCTATTTCAAACAACAATACCGAGGCATCTCCGGATTGTTGTACGTAGTGATTTGGCTGTGGAGAAGGGACAGCATGATCAACTGCCGAGAAAGTTGGCACGCAACTATATCCAACTACTCGCTTTGTTTATGTTGGAATACTTGGCCCTTTTGGGCAGTACGAGTACATAGTAGGGAGCGCTATATATAGCATTAAAGGCCATTGCAGAGACTGAGTAGCCCTAGCTAGGATCGTACTCTTTATGCTTGGTTTGAAGATCTTTGTTGAGCGATTGTCGTATGTAGACATGGTCATCACATGCTAAACAGACATAGACAAGAAAACGTCGTAATCTCAGTCGTCATCCCTGGAAATATGGCATCTCCAATTGTGGGCATCAAAGGAACGGAGAGAGCTGAAATGTGGCTCTACTGCCTGCCTACCTATATGATTGACTGTTAATTTGCCTCATACTCCATGAAAAGTCAACTGTCCATGAAATTCCAGCCGCTTTCCAACTTTATATTTTTTCCCAAATAAAGTAACAATCGGGAAGCTTTGAAAGGGGAGAGTAATTTGTGGCTGATTCGGCGACATGCTAAGTTGCCAGTGACCGTCCTCGCCACCCGCTAAGCCTGTTCCTGAGTTGACGCGTATTTTGCATTGATTGGGCCTTGGAAGATGAGTCTCGCTGACTCAGAAAGGTTAATGATAAACTCAGTTTTCTGTATATTATTTCAGCTGGAATGGGAGTTACCTATGTTACCTAAATATGGGTCTATGACTGGATGGCTGCTTACTTTTTGCCATCAATTGTATTAATCGGCTCCATCGTGTATTGAATCTTGCATTTGATGGAGCTGTTTACCTATCAATGATTCATTTATTTCATTCCAAGACCCGGTCTAGTACCAACCAGGCAATAAAATCGGTACGATACGGTATGGTACACGGCACCGAGCGGCTAACGACGGACCGTTCCTACGGTACCAAACTCGGGTATCTTGCATGTTTCCAAATCTTGACGATGAGATGAAAAACGTGGCAAGATAGTTAATTATTTTGTTTCATGAGTCAGACCGATTTCAACTTATATCTCGATAAATACCATAGGCATAGCCCGTATATGTGCTGTGCCGTTCTTAGGATAGAGAACATACCTTATCTGGCTTCCTCATCCGGTAAGAGTAGCGCTCTAAAGACGGAACGTTTACCTGTGATCGACAAATCCTGCTCGACTTGCTTAACCACACTTTTCTATTGAAAATGGTGTTGTTTCATAGATTGTCCATCTTATACTTTCTATACCCAACTGACAGGAGTATCATACTCGCAACTCCACACGTGCTGATGAATCTTATTACGATTGATTTCCCATCCGGATCCAACCGACAAGGCTCATACCCGACTCTCTGGAGTTGGGACGGGTAACTCGCCGATTTCCTACCCCTCCCCCCGCCCCTATTTACTCGGCAGCCTACTAAAGTTAGTAGAAGGAATAATGAAACAGAAACTCTAAAACGCAAAACTCAAAAAAAGAAAAAGAGGAAAATGCTGAAAGACTCAGACGAATGCACAAGCAAAGTAGGAAGGTCTCTAAGAACCAATTCGGGGATTTCGAGGCGGTACTTAACAAATACCATACATGTGTAGTAGTACCCTAATGCAGGATAATCAATCGGTATCGCAATATTAAATCTTCATCGTTATGCGTTTAATATATGAATCGGACACAACTCAATTCCAGACGAATCAGACCTTACTCTGGCCGTCAGGCCGTCAAGGCAGGGAGGGTTACAAATACCACTTTTTTCAGTTTAGACAAACTCAAACCCTTCACAGGTTTTAAGATAGACCCGATGATCAGCAACTATTATGGAAATATTTAATATGTTTGGGCAGCAGACCTGTCATTTGGGAGTTTTCGAGGGAGTTTGTTGTCGCAATCAATAATAATCGCACAAACCAGTTGTACGTATAAATCATGAAAACTGGAGAATGGATAGCCACGTGCTTTAGATAAAGAAAGATGTGGAAGAAAAGAAAAGAAAAATACTGCGCAGTAAGAACGTCCGTCCACTACATACATGTACTGGTAAATTTTTGTACGGGTGGGAACATGGAGCAGCCACATCCGCTGAGAAGATTAATTGATTTCTTCGTAAGTTTGTAAGGCATCATCGGATCTTGTATTGATTGTATGATATACTCCGTGCATAATCTTCAAACAATCATGGGGTAAAAGAGACAAAGAAGGTGATATAGATCATCCTGTACAAATACAATGAATCTACATCATCAGAGCCAGGACATGGCTAGTATGACGACAACCTTCGATTCAATGCGTTCACCGGTTCTTCATTCGATTCTCTTGTGCAAGGTTCCTTGCCCTTGATAGAACAGTTGTTCAGTCATCTCGCCTCTCACAATGGCGGTCTGCTGTCATGAGGATTATGCACATCTGTTGCTCAACTCACCTGCAAGCTGGCTACGTATTTATTGCTTGACCGCCTCTCTCCACCTCTGAACGTTCACGGTCGCATTTCTTTTTTCCTGTTTTCTTTTAAATTACATGGTGGGCGACGACAGGCCGTTTTTTGACCTACTCGGGTTTATGCAGGTCCGGTTCTAAGGGCTACAAACTGAGCAAAAGAATTCGAATAGATAATGGACGCTAAGAAATAAAGTAGGAAGTAGTACTCGAGATTTGATAAAAACAAGCGGTCCAATCGCAAATTTACCAGCGGTATAAGGATGTAAGTCCATTACTGATTCAAACAAGGGCGTTTCAAACTAGCGAACAGCGACCGTCTGAGCTAATGTACTTACGAGGATAAAAATACTTGCCAAGATCATAAAAGGCGGGTCAGTCAGGCGGTAGTACGGAGTTGTTGCACTACAAAGGTACGGATTCCTCGCAGACTCGGCGTAATCAAGTATCGAGACGTACGATGACATACCATAGTCGACTGCTTACTTGGTTGGCAAAGTATTCCATCTGCCCGTTATCAAATCTCTACTGATCTTGGGTATTGATAAACATCAGATTAAGTCATGAATAAAGATGGGTGGGTCAAAAACAAGAGATTTCGGAACCAGCGACTCGGGTCATACGTATCTTACCGTACAATACCATACCGGTATATCATAGTTAGTCTACCAAGGATAACTACTTCCTGCGATCTCTGGCAAACCGCGTGACAAGTCTTCGATATACACTCTAGGCTTAGTCCAGTTGATCCAGAAACCGGGATCCATACCTTACGTCAATACTAGCCCTAAAACTGGGTGTTAGTCCCGTACATATACCGAAGCTGCCCTACTGTACCTAGTACCCACCGAGGAGAAAAAATGTCCCTCTCTCTCGGGCCTGATTTTCTTACTTTTTAGTCTACTTTACCCTCCCAGGACGGTCTCTCCGAATGGGAATGTTCATCGCCTAGTTCTATGACTCAATTGGAGCTCACGCTGAGGTACTGCCGTTTAGTGGAGCTTACACTCGGCAGATAAGGTGCGCGTCCACCCCTCCAACCATTTAGCATATGGTATGCTCTTGGATCTAAGTGGCTTAAGAGGAGAAACAAGAAAAAAACCTCTTGCTGTTCGCCTTCGTCAGAACCCAGAACTACGCGTGGCGAACAAATACTATTGCTCTGCCTGTAGCTTTCTTTTGCATTCGTCCACTTGACTACATATTCCAAAGTACGGACAGCCGGTACCTCCGGTGTATACCACCTGTTGTGCGAGGTCTACCAGCTGTTCCGCAGATTCTAGTCCTCTTTCGCCAGGTCTCTATATACATGCAGCTGGCTGCACCGCCCCTGGTAACGAATAGGTAACTCACTTCATATCATTTCAAAGGCAGCGAGTTGTCTAGACCTTGGCCGCCACCACTACTGCGCAAGTGCACAACGCATCTCTCTCAAGACTCTCACCGGTTCGTTGGCCAAAACTCTGAGCACTGCCGCTAGACAGCAATACATACATACATCAACATTTGAAATCCAACCGGCACGCGAAGATTACCGTTTTTTTCTCAGCTACGTACTAGCAAATTTTGATCAAAACCAAGCCCGGTCTGTCATGCCTCGAACTAGACCAATGGTGACGCAATGTCTTGACTCCTGAAATCGTCCACCGTCAGACAAAGCTGCCATTTGCCGAGACCCTCTCGATTAGGGAAACGCTCCTTTTCAACGGTTTGCGTATTTCTTTTTCATCAGAGTAATCGATTGGTGGTGTGTGCAAGTATAATGACGGCAACTCCAGATGATTCGTGGGCTTTTCATCCAATGTCGATCCCGACTTCGACTTCAGCAGATTTAGGGGATATTGCTTCTCAGATTTATTCTCCTGGTTCTTCTGGGTTAGTTCCTGATTTATCTGGGAATTATATCACAGTTACCACTACACCAGCTGCAAGTCACTACGAAGCTTCTTTTAATGCTGCTGGAGCATCATCAACAAATCAAGAGGGTGGAAATGAAAGCGAAACGACCATGAATATGAATAATCAACTACAAACTTACCCGTTACTATTCAACGCCATATCCGAAACTCCCAGCGTGCAACATCTTCACCAGCGCTGGTGGGAAGGTGATGCTGAAACAGTGCTATGGAGTTTCGATGTGCGCCAAATCAGTCTAGTCATTCGATTCGGCTTCTTCCACGACAACAATCAACCGCGCCAGATACTTCTACGACGGAGTTATAGTGTTCTCGATACGTTTCTGACCTCTTTATTACCACCATATGAATCACAGTTCATCCCTGGCTTGACGCAGAATCAAAAAGTGGAGGAGATTCTGCGACGATGTCAGCCAACGACCATATCTATGAATTTGCAGTGGAGTTGGTATCCATCGCAAGTTCTTCGAGGGCCGGGACCGGCTGCTATTGCGGAGGAGATTGAGGTTGAGAGTCAAATGCATTTCAAAGCCGTGCCATTTGAAGCGTGGGTGAGATGCTCGTTGGGGTTTCCGGCGGCTGAGGCAGATTGGTTCTTTCTGCAGCATAATGCGTTGTATATTATTCTTTTGAATCATTTACAGGCTTATCGATATGAGATCCCCAAGTATCGGGAAGTCGAGAAGGTAACCCCCCCCCCCCCCCTGCCCCTGCCCCTGCCCCTGAGGATACTTTGTACTGACGATCTCAGCTCCTTCGGCAAAAAAGCCCCTTTGCCCACAAGGCTGTTGTGCAATGTCTTAGTCATTTCCCAGACGCAAAAGGAGAAACCCCCAAATTATCCAACAAGTCCAGTCTTGACTTCATTGCCGGCCCTATACAAGACTTGTTTCAGAAATATCCCGCCAATCTGGTCTCTATTCTGAAAAAGCTCAGTGTCATCGCTATCCGATTTCGACAGACGTACATCCATGTCCCCAAGGTGGACTGGAACAAGAGACTGGACACACGAGCAAAATATCTAGATGAGTTATTGAAGGCTTTGTCACCCACAGACTTGGCAAGGTCTTTGACGAGGGCTGATAATCAGCTGTTTGGGCAGTTGTCGCGCGAAGCGCTCACGGATGATCAGAATACAATCCCTGATATGCTCCATGCGCGATGGGGTGATTTGGTCATGGCTGTTAGGGAGTGTTGTACTGCCATGCCGGATTTTGTACAGTTTATACAGGAATGCATTCAGGTGAGTACTACCTTACCTTATACACAAAGCTCAGCTAACAGGATAGATCCTCCATAACATGCGAAATTATAACTCGACTCTAGCTCTAATCCAAGGCCTCCAACACATCAGCATAAACTTCCTCTGGGTCAATCCAACCACTACCACCACTTCCACCACCACTACCACCACCACCACCACCACTCAGCCCGAAATTCAAACAGTCAACATCTACTCTCTCACACCACCGAATGTATCCTACATAGCAGACCCATCCAATAACTACGCCTCATACCGACATGCAATGAAAGTTACACCGGGCATACCATTCCTCTTACCACACATAGTCGAATATCGACAACACGGCGTGACGGCTCTTGATGAGTTGTTTGGCACTACATAGGTGTCTACCTAACCTACCTAACCACCCAATCGTTTCCTTTTCGGTCTATTCTTCTCTTCTTATAATGTATAATCATACAACTCATTTGAACACAACTAGCTTGATCCGTGATCGCTTTCCAACCTGTCTGATACTATCCGAATGTTGTTTTAGGTGTTCCGTGCATTTCCAATCTGGCTGATTACAACTGACACATGTTTTGGGCTTGAATTTAATTTTTCACGGGTGTTTTTTGCTCTACTAGTCGTCTGAATTGCGTCGTTTATAATCATTGCCTGGGGGTGTTGCTTAAACCATTCATTTATATAGAGAGGATCAAGATGCGAATCACGATATGGTAGATTGTTTGCCGTTTTTGTTCGAGTTAGTTGCTTACTTGTTTATGCGCTTGGGTGCTTATGGCGTTGAGTCTGATTATATTATAGATATCCCTGCGCAATTGTGCAGTTGTTCGTGTTGGTGGTTGTCTTGGTATATTAGATACATGCAGCGATGCGGTCGTTTTGAGTCATCTTTTGATACTTAGTTGCTTATTTGAGTACTTCAGAATTGGGTTTGAACACCTTGGATCCATGGATGTCCAGTCAGAATGTATACATCTTCTGCTGAATGCCGCTATAAGCGCCAGCAGGTCATTGATCATCATACCCGATCACTGAACCTGGACACAGATGCAATATACCCAGTTTACGCCATACAGCATGAGACCTAGTCAATGGATATATCTGTGTGTTAGTGTATCTACATTTCAACCTGTCAGACATATTCCAAGTCCATCAGTCCCTCTCGCAGAGCCATCAGGCACTCCTGCCTGCATCTCTATCAAATACAAATAGCATACCCAAACGCGAATCCGGAAACTAATCAACTAATCAACCCAGTTCACACAGCCGGGCACATTCACTGGAATACATTTTCCAGCCCTGTCATTCACATTTCAAAACCATTGGCTACTATCAAGACGGTGATTCAGATCGATTGGGAATTGGGGTATTGATCGGGTAGGTATTCTAATGGAATGGATGTAATTGATTGGTTGAATGTATCCTATGAACTTTTTGTGATATGTAGATGTATGTATGTGTTTTAAAGGCTGACAGGGATCTACGGAGTAGGGGTGCGTTACGGATTGGTCTAGATCGTAGGTACATAGAATCCAGGTAGTTCCTGGTGGGCCAATGGTATTACTCGGGATAATGTAAGGAGATGATAGTGAATTAGATGAATCTGTTGTAGTGTGTTCATCTTTATCATGATATGGGTTATATGTGCTGTATTGGCTTGGTATTAGCGTACATATGGACCTCGGAAACGACCTGATCAGCTCCTTGATCGTAACGTCTTGTAATCTTCGGAGTAGCAGTCAGTCAGCCGCAATTTGAAGATATCCAACTGCTCCGATGTACATTCCAGCGGAGATATTAATGTCATTCGAACTGACATGGCTATCATTGAAGTCACATTCTCACGTAGCTTAAACCGCCGACGAAATCCGTCGGCATTGCGACCTTCATTACGAATCGGTCGGTCATACCTATCTACACGAAGAATTGGAGGTCAAGTTCAGATCTTATTGTCTTGGGAGTCTGCTGGATGGACTGCAACTAATACATTGTCCCAGGCGGAAGATGAATTATAGTTCATTTAGAGCCTCATACCTCTCGTACCTTGTATGCAATCATATCGTGCAGACTATTACTGCAAAAGGTCTGGTTGGAACTTGCTTAGTCAAGGAGAACACTGCTACAGACATGGTCAAATACCAATCCACCTGCTCACAGAACTCAGAGTTGGGACCAAATCAATCCGACGGATGTCTAAATTCCATGCCCTGGTTTATCACTCTATCCTCCAACTTCTCAAGTGCTGCAGTCCTCCCCATCCGTTCCAACCAGACCCTCAAATCAAACCGACCCTCCCTAAGACTGTCAAAGTCTCCAACAAACTTAAACGTAAACCATCTCTCGCGCCGGCTCTCCATCCATATACTCAATCCAGCAGTTCTCTAGCCTATAATTACTCGTTTCATAAGCAGCCGGTTTCTTCGCGTCCTCAGCTGTGGAAACATGATAAACTGCCCCTTTGACAATCGAGTCAGGCGCGGCATCGAGGAGAGCAGGATACTGACCCCATAGTTTGCATTTGTAGCCAACAATATAAGCCGGGCGGAAGGCAGGTTCGTGATCTAATCCCAGGATCTCCGAGACCAGGTACGGGTCAGTTAATGTGCCATAGAAGAAGTATGGACCTGTGGGTGCGGGGAGAGATTCGGTTAATGGTGGCGATTTACGTGGTTTATGATACCAGTCTGGTGGTGTGGTTCGTAGTTTCAGGGTGAGAGGGAAGGTTTTAGAGTGAATCTCCGGAGGAGGAACTGCCATGCATGCCGTTGTCCTCCTCTTCAAAGGATCAGGTTTCGCTGAGGTATTCTAATTCAAGCAGTAGCTCATGTACGAATTACCCCTCCGTCCTAACTCTTAGTGGTTTCATTAATCCCTGACTGACGGACAGGGGCATCGCTTTGGCACACTCTACTCCAGATCTGTAGGATTGGGGGACATCGTATAATATATATGATGTTCAAAGCTGGAGACAATATCACGTTATTAGACTCTCCATTCATGACAGAAGGTCAACTCATACCATAGCATGTAATTCCTAACTATTTTCAGTGGAACCAACATAGACATCCTTGGACCCCCGAGACTGACCTTCTAATGTAATACAGTAGGGATAAGTTAAGAAGTTAGTTATATGCACCAATCCCGATTGCCAGGTTCTGTTGGGTTAGCTAAGCTGATCCAGCCAATCATATAGATGTAATCTATCGGCCAATCAGAGCGAGCCACACGGAGAGGGATCCACCGAATAGGGGGTGAAAGACATCACCTGTACTGTACTTAGAACACAACAACAAGGATCAAGGATTCAATATATTTTGCATATATACTTTGATACGTTGAGACATACCGCTAAAGTTTGTTACATACAATCCAACAGGTTCATCAGGAACCAAAGTCGCATTAATCCACGGATGATGACTATAACAATAGTATTGTTCGTGTATGCGAGATGACTACATGAAACACGTATTCAGTCAACATTTAAACCCTCACTCACTCACCTACTTGAATAGGTAGTTTAGAATATTGTCATATGCCTGAGGCAACCAAGCCGAACCATAGAAACAAACCTAAAGAATGACAATGAAGCTATTCCCATGTTGTAAGGAACTGAGTTGGGAACGTAGACAGATTAGCAAAAACTAACTAAAACTAGAAAGTTGAAAGTCGAAAGAAGCACGCGAAAGAAGAAAAAGAGGACTGCTGATCCCTAGGAAGAACTGGATGGGCGGGATGAGCTCCTTATAAGCTTCATCCAGCACATCGTAGGGCTTCCAAACTGGCATAACAGATACCGTCGAACAAAGAACAGTGAGGCTGTGCTCGTTCAATGTAACAAGGAAACAATGGAAATAAGGCACTACATGTAGCAAGTAAGAAAGAACAGAGAACAATAAGAAGTTATTCCCGAGCGGCAAGTTCCAAGTTAGGGTTGGAGCGAAAGCGATCCTTAACACATGTCTACAAAAAGGCTTTGTCAATGAAGTTCATATATTCCATGGATGGTCCCTATCTTAGGGGCAATGATACCGGCCCTTCCGTCTAAATAGACCTATCAATTTTATCAATTCCGCTCCCTACGTTCAACTCCTATCCATTTCTCGGCTCTTTGTATGAGGAGTCTACTCCGTATTCTTTGTCTCTCTATCAGTCTATCTCCTCGCATGGGACACAATCCTGTGTCATCTCAAAAACCCATCTTTTCTTGCATGTGAACAGAGCACTTACTAGGCTTCTACAACCCACCCATCCATATCCCGCTCAGTTGACCACCCGCAAAGCCTAACCACTCTAAACCGAAGAGCACCACAAAAATGGTCTACACAATGAAAATCTACGTCGACGGCGGCTGCAGAGGCAACGGCCAACCAGGCTCCATCGCCGCCGCAGCAGCCTGCATCCAACACCGCTCAGGGAACTACAACTGCTTCACGCGGGTCGTCAACGAAAGCCCCGACGGCGATCCACCCACCAACCAACGCGCCGAAATCACCGCCATCATCATAGCACTCGAAATCGCAGTCGAGAAATACCGCGAACTCGACGGGAACCCCTACCTTGAACTGGAAATATTCTCAGATTCGAAATATGCGGTCAATTGTATGAATGAGTGGATCTATAAGTGGGAAAGAAATGGGTATATTAATTCGGCTGGCAATCCGGTTGCGAATCAGGATTTGATTAGGGAGGCGTCGGGATTGGATGATGATCTTAACGAGGAAGGGAGGGTTACTTATACGTGGATACCGCGGGAGAGGAATGAGGTGGCTGATAAATGGTGTAATAAGGAGTTGGACGAGATCGAGGAGCAGAGAAAGTACGCGTATGAGTCTTCTTCTGATGATGGATGGTAATGACAGCAGGGATCTTACGTGAGAGCAGATAGGGTACAGACTTACATACCATGTAACTACAACATCAAACTACTCAGAACATACAGAAGAGAGATGAACAGATGGAAGGAATAATTAGCATTGTCACGCTACAACAGTTCGCAACGTGACTGTCTCGGTTGGGGGGGTCATTAACTCGTCAATTCGATCGATTTCTCTATTTCTCAAGAAAAACAAATCTTCCTGAACCGACTTGACATACACTCGTCAGTGACAGGTGGCAGTCCCTTTTTTCTCGAATCTTGGAAAAGTAATGGTATCATCCAAGTTCGTTCCTCATTCTATTTTTGTTTTTATACTCGAGCACAGTAGTTTAAACACCCTGAGCAAGAGCATAGGCACGGCGGCGGTCACGCTCCTCGGCAATAGAGAGCTTGACACCCTTACCCTTGGGAAGGGAGATCCAGGGCTTCTCCTGTCCAATAACGAAGACGTTGGATTCACGAGTAGCGAAGGTGTTGTCAACGGCATCCTTGATGTGGACAATGTTGAAACCACCATCGTGTCGCTCACGGTGGGTGATGACACCAACACGACCCATGTTACGACCACCGGTAACCATGGCGATCACACCAGTATCGAACTTGATGAAGTCGGTGATCTTGCCGGTAGCGAGGTCAATCTTGACGGTATCGTTGACCTTGATCAAGGGGTCAGGGTAACGGATGCTATAAAAGCCCAAAATTAGCAAACCTTGTCCGGTAGCGTGCAAATCTTACAAGTTCTTTGTATCATCCTCCGCCGATCAACCAAAACTTGGTCCAACGACTGAATGACGCAGAGAACTTTTTTTGGAGTAAAAAACTCACGTTCTCGCATCGTGCGTAACCAAGAATGGGATCCCGCCCTTGCCAAGCTGAACACGCTTGACCTTGCCGAGCTTGTATTCAGCCTCTTCGGCCTGGATGCGGTGCACAGTGAAGCGGCCCTTGGTATCGTAGATGAGACGGAAGTTCTCGCCGGTCTTTTCGATGGAGATGACGTCCATGAAACCGGCGGGGAAAGTAGGATCGGTGCGGACCTTTCCGTCGACCTGGACAAGACGCTGCATGAGGATGGCCTTGGTTTCACGGCCGTTGAGGGCGTACTTGAGACTGCGAAAATCAGTTTATGTCTCCGGCTAGAAGTCACTTGACGAAATCTTGATGGATTGAGACGCACCGGTTGCGGATGAACACGATCAAGGGAAGGCAGTCACGGAGCTTGTGAGGACCAGCAGAGGCGCGAGGAGCATAGGTTCCGGACATCTTGTCCAAGAGCCAGTGCGCCGGGGCGCTCAAGCGCTTTTGGTGCTTCTTACTGTAGAGAGTCAGTCATCACGTATTTCGATAATTCGATATCGACGATGAAATTGATGCAGTCAATTCCAATCGATAATGACAATAATAAGACAGAGACTTACGGTCCACGAGGCATCTTGACGGTTGTCGACTTTACCGTTGAATGTTGTCGAAGAGTCTGGTCGTGGTAGAAAAGAAGCTGAAAATTGTTGGACTAAAGTCGGAGAGTCTTCGCTAAGCGAGTGGGCTGCTCTAGCCCGATTGGGACAATTAGGGTGCGTGTCAGTCACGTGCTGTTCCTTACATTTACTGCCGTCTTACTGCCGCCTACTGCCGCCTTAGACCTCACTGACTCGGTTTAACAGCTTTTTGCTATATAGTAACTATGTATTATTTACATCTAAAGGTATCCCTTGATGATAGCGACCTCCGCATTCAGAATAGACGATCCCGCCGCCCCAATGACTGTATTGTGCGACAAACAAGCGAACCGAATATCAAAGTGACCCCCCGGTGCTCCCTCACGAACACGTCCAACACTAACCGCATAACCCCCGGAAATGTTACGATCAAGTCTTGGTTGAGGACGATCCGGTTCATCAAATACGACAATCGCCTGTTCAGGTGCAGAGTGCGCACCTAGTTTCTGAGCCTCGGACTGATATTCTCGTAGCGCTTGCTTAACCTGCTCCGCACTCGGGACGGAATCCCTATTCTTAAACCGTAGCGAGACAAATGCCATATGTCCATCTGTGACCCCGACGCGAGTACAAGTAGCTCCCACACGTAGACCGGATTGTTCCTGGAAGGCAGTTGCATCGCTGTTAAGTCCGCCGAGAATCTTTTGCGCTTCGTTTTCGAGTTTATCCTCTTCTCCACTGATGAATGGGATCACATTGTCCACGATATCCATTGAGGGGACACCGGGATACCCTGCACCGGACACGGCTTGTTCTGTGAAAATCTCGACTTCTTCAACGGGGCCGAATTTGGCTTGTAGTGCGGCAAAGGGTATGACAATTCCGATGACGGCGCAGTTGGAGTTGCACACTAGGAACCCCTTTTTCAGGCCGAATTCTTTGCGTTGGTGTGGGATGAGTTCGAGATGGGTTGGGTTGACGGTGGGGACGACGAGGGGGACGAGGGGGTGTTTGCGGTAGTTTTTCGCGTTGGAGAAGATTGGGATTTCGGCTTTGATGAATTGCATTTCTGTAGTTGTCAGGTACTTGCATCAAGAATAGAGGGAAAAGTACTTTTAAAGAGTGGCGGTACATACCAACATCGCCAGCAATATCACTATCCAATCCAGAAAACACAAGATCACAATCCTGAAAGTTGTCCGCCGTGCAATCCTGAACAATCAATTCACTGAGCTCCTTGGACATGGGCGCGGCCTGCTTCCATTTCACGGCATCTTTGTATTTCTTTCCGGCGGAACGAGACGAGGCACCGACTTTGTGCAGGACCAGGTGTGGGTGGTCAGCCAGAAGAAGGATGAACCGCTGGCCTACAGAGCCTGTGGCTCCGAGGACACCGCATTTCTTTTTTGTGACTGTGGCTGACATTGTTTCGGTCTGCTCTTGTCTGATTTTCGCGATTATGAAGTTTGTCTAATTTGAAATACTATGTTAGTTTCAATGTATCTCTGAGAATTGGTCGGTCAATGTGGTGAATATCAGGAGTGGCGAGACTCGATCGTCTTTATCTGCGATCTGGTTTCGGCATGCAAAAAAGACAGACTCTATGCAAGGAGAGAGGAAATCAGATAGGGCATCCTTGTTCATGCTTACAGGTTCAAATATCTCGCAAAATATATCGCGCCGACAAGCAATTGCACAAAGTGTAGAGTATACAGACAATTGATGGAAATTTTTGATGTTGAGTGATTGCGATATCGCATCTGCGGGGAGTCACTTCCCCACTCCGTTGACTCATTTTTGGCTACCTCAGTTAACAGCTAACTAACCCCCAACAAACATGCAACTTTGGAAAATAACTTGATGCGACAAAATGGCACACTCTAGAAATGCTGCAAATATATTGGCGTATGTACATGCTACGTAACGCTCAAGTTCTAAATTTTCAACACAGAGTCCAGCACCGCAATGATAGAACACTTTTCTTAATTCTTCTTCTCTGCTCCAACTAACCGTGCAGACTCAATATCCGCCGTGCCAACCGGTTTACTGTCACGAGAGTACTCAAAAATCTTGCCTGGATTCATCAACCAGTGTGGATCAAGGGACCGTTTGATGCTTCGCATGATATCAATGGTGTCGGGGCCGAGCTCTTTGACGAGAGATTCTTTCTTGCCTAGACCGATGCCGTGTTCACCCTACCATGCATTAGTTTATTGCTCATATTGAGGAGATGGATTCCGAAGACGTACGGTGCAAGAACCCTCCATTTCAATAGCACGATCAACCATGTCGTGAACCACCTTCTCGACACGTTCTGTCTCTTCGCGGTTTTTGCGGCTGTACAAGATGCTGCTGTGGAAGTTGCCGTCGCCGATGTGTCCTAGGATACTAGCAAAGACTTTCAGGTCTTTGAGTTGTTCCTTGGATTTTTCTACTTCGGTCAGTAAATGAAAGAATATCTTATCAGGTGGGAAGAAACGCACCGATGATGTCTGGGAGTCTAGACAAAGGGACTGCCACATCAGTAGACCAGACTTCACCTTCCTCCGGACGCAAGGCCAGATTACTCCACAAAGACTCCTTGCGTGCCGACCAGAGTGCATGCGCTTCTTGATCATCTTTAGCGAACTCAAAGGAAGTGGACTTGTTGTCTTGCGCAATTTTCTTGGTGTTCTGGATACTGTCCGCTACCTGAGCCGTGGTGCCAGAAAACTTGAAGAATAGCGTCGGTTCCTCTCGCCATGTTCGTCCTGTACCTCCGGCACGGTTGATGACATTCATTTGCACCTCGTCCATAATTTCCATTGCCTGTACGGGGATAGACTTGCGGATCACCTGCATGGCAGCGGCAGCGGCATCACGAACAGTAGGGAAAGTCACAACTCCGACACGCAGTTCGTCCGGAATTGGGGCGAGTTTGAGTGTAATCTCCGTCACAATACCCAGCGTACCCTCTGATCCCACAAACATGCCAGTCAAGTTATACCCTGCAGAAGTCTTGCGAGGTCGTCTCCTGGTCTTTATGATGCGTCCATCTGCCAGTACCACAGTCAAGTTGATCACCCAATCTTTCATGGTACCGTAGCGAACTGCATTGGTACCACTACAATTAGTTCCAACCATACCACCGATCTTGGCTGATGGACCTGGGTCCACAGGGAAGAAGAGACCAGTGCTGGCCAAATCACTATTGAGCTGCATCCAGGGGATGGAGGGCTGTACCACGACATCCATATCATCCGCATGCACTTCTAAGATCTTGTCCATAAACGCAAAGTCAATAGTCATGCCGCCATACGGGGCAGAGAAATTGGCCTCCAGACTAGAGCCTCCGGAGTACGGGACCATGGGCATTCGGTATTTATGGCAGACCTTGGCGATTTTGGAAACCTCTTCGGTGGATTTGGGATATGCGATGGCGACTGGTAGTCGCTCGGCGTTGACGGTTGACCATTCTGAATAGCCGTGTGCATGTAGATCATCGTTGTCGGTGCTGATGGCGTCTTCGCCTAATTCGGCTCGAAGTTCAGCAATCGCCTTAGTATATGTTAGCCTTGCAGACATGAATTGACAGACAGAGTCTCAGTACCTTCTCAAATTGTCTAATATCTCCATAAGTCGGTTCTTTCGCAGTGGCTGCCGCGGTTTTTGTAACCGCCACAGCTGACGCTGACGAACGTGAAGCTGACGAACGTGAAGCTGACGAACGTGAAGCAGCGGCATAAGCTCCAGCGCCGACAACTGTTGCCAGAACCAAAGCCCGACTGGTTGTCCAAAATGCATTCCCGGAAGAAGTACTACTATTCCATCTCCTCGAGGATTGTGTCGTCTGCGTATTCTTCGCGCGGAGAGACTTGGTGGGCGTGGGGCGGACCTGGCTGCGACAAGATGCGGAGAAACTCCTGAGGGGAAGAGTGGCCTTCATGTTGCTGCCAATCAATGTGGATATGCAAGCAAGAGTCCTGTAGAAGGACAAAAGAGAATGAATTGAGTTGTTCTTATAGAAGAGAAATCGAAGCAAAATAACAGTTTGAAGGAGAGACTGGGGACTTATATTCTCCCCCCAAGCTGTATTCAGCGTGGGATACATTCAAGAAGCTCGGCCGAGACGCCGTTCGAGCAGTTTTAACCCTAAGACTTTCTCGTTGCATAATTTGCAGGATCAATTATATCATTCAGCTTAAGTCAGATGGAGTAAAGCGTCGGTTAGCAAAGGGGCCATTCTTCTGCCAATCATTGTACTCATTTTGAGGTTTTTAGCTACCCCGCAAAGAGTATACTGTATTGGCCATTTGCATGCTCGGCATTTGCTCCGAGGCGGAGAACATCATAACTCCAGCTGTATATACCAATGTTCTGCAGCAGGAAAGTGTTTTTGTGTCATGACAGATACTTTTAAGAAGAGAGTTGTCTTTCAGTATGGAAGTTTCTGATACTGACGGACTTCTCAATCTTTGTAAGATTGATGCCTAAGGTGTCCACCCGGTTGACAGGGCAACCGCGAGGGGAACAAGAAAGGGCTCATCCTCTCACCACCACCACCACCACCACAAAGACTACAATACCACCGTCTCAGACTCTCTGCTCACGCATTTACTGAATTAATCTCGGATCCGATTAACAAACTTTCGAATTGAACCTGCTCAATGGCCCCAGCACATTTCTAGACCGGAGTACTGCTTGTTTACTCCGATATATCGGCTAAGCACGTTCATTTGACCGACTTCACACTATCCATCGAGTTTTGATCTCGGCCGACAGCAATGCAGACTGATTTTCATTTTATCGTCAGGGAGATAGAGCATGTTGTTACCGCGCCGTACACCCCTGGTCTATACGTACGTAATTTGTTGAGAGAGATCAGGTGGATAAACATAGTACTGATGGCAGTAGAGCCTCGAGCGGCATGTAGAGTACGCGACAGACGGCACCCTTCGCCAATGGATAGACTGCAAACCTTGTCAGATTTCAATTTTTGCAGCAGTGCTCCTTGAGCAGAGGCCATCTTCGAATAAGCTGCTGGCAAGATTCGGTATGCTCTGCTTGGAATAACCATGTGCGAGACTAACTGGTAGCTGAGGTTATATTGAGACGGTACGCGATGCTTTACTTGATCGTGAACCGGCTCTGCTAGATCAATCGCTTCGCCATGCCATTGACAATGGAGATGAGGAGGCAAGTCAACAACAATATCTTAATACCAGCCTACTGACCTAATTAGAGTATCAATATTTGCGTGTCCATGCTTTCGAATCCCTTGCCTCAAAGCATTGCCGTACCAGCACGTGTTCCTGTCTTCTTAACGAAATTGCTCAACGATGTTTCGCAAAGCCCGTGTGCGGCCAAAATCAAGCGGTTATCCGACGTGATGCAAGGACTCCTCAGCAACGCGGAGCTAATTCAGCTTCTTCCAAATGACTTGATGGAATCGTTCCAGCGTGAGGGATCCAAGATTCTAAGAAATCTGAATGATCCTTTAGGGACATTGCTGTCCTTGGCTACATTCATACGCATACGCAAACTGTGGAAACCCAGAGATAGCACGCAAAAGCAACCGCAATGGCTGGCAAATATTTGTCAGATCTTTGGCGCGAAGAGTTCCAACAAGACACTCGACTTGGTTATTATATCAGCTGTGATGACGTGTTCTACTTCGTCCAATGGGTACACACCCGAGGAGCGTACTATGCTAGTGAGACTAGCAATAGAGATCTGTCATGAGATTGACGAGGATCTCAAAAAGACCTGGCTGAGTGCTAATTCATCAAAGCTAGCGAAGCTGTGCGAAAAACTAAAACGACCGGATATAGATGCTGAGCTACAAGTGACGGTAAGTTAGGCCAATCCAAGCCCAAGAGCATACTGACCAAAGGCAGGGCTTGATTTTACTCATAACATTTTCACAGTGGTTGGCTTTGCCACAAGAGGTCTACCAGTCAATGCGAGGTCAACTTTTCGCCCAAACCACATATAATATAATGCATGCTATACCAGAAACAGTGAGGGACATACTCCTTGAGCGATTAGCACTTCATTGCGAAAAGGAATATCTAGATTTCTGCTTGACGGGTATTAACGGGTTACAACCGACTAACGCCGTTTTATCCAAAAGCTTGACAAATATCAAAATTGACCAGCTGCTTGTTTCGACATTGAGAAAATCTAAACAGGGTTCGAATATTCGCCGGTCCTTCGTGAAAACGCTGTCCGAATCTCAGGTTAGTATGGGAATTTTACATGATTATGCTCAAGATTTCTCAACTCGCAATGAGTCGTCTCACTGTAGTGGGTCGCACGTATGCTGCACTGCTACATTGTCGGGAACAGATGAGCTTTTCCTCGAATTGTTGAATTGCATTTACTCTTCAATAACTACCGATGGTGTAGAGAGTCGACAGATATCTTCTTGTTATCATGGACTTCTCGACTCCTTTTTGAAGCCTCTCAAAAAGAACGCAGCAACATCCACCCCATGTCTCTTTTCTCAACTGAAACAACCCGAGAGGAACTCGGTCTTCCCTCACAAACCGGGAAAACTGAGGGCAATAGAGGATATTGACGGCACAAGTCATGAATGGAGGTCCAAGATTGCCAATCTCCTTATGGAAAATGCCAAAAATTCACACGAAACAATTATCCAACAGATGGAAGCGATGTTACAAGATTTTGAGAATCGCTGCAGCAACGTTGAAGCCCCGCTAGCAGCTGCGGTTCGAGAACGTGAAGAACTCAAACAACAACTAGAGAGCACGAACCGGTTAAATCAGCAGCTGGAAGAGCAAATCAGACAGTCGGCCGAACTAGTGAGCTCTCTGAGAAAACAACTCGACGAATCTGTTGCTCAGGTCAGGGACTATTCGTTCCAAGTCGTACATTTGACCGACCAAGTCGATGCATTACAGACAGAACTTGACACTGCCCGCAAGGAAGCGCAAGACGGGGTCGAGATGGTACACTCAAAGGCGCGTAATCGTGAATTGGATCTTATGGCTACAGTTGCCGAGAGAGATGACTTGCTGGAAGAGCAGCAGATGGAGATAGATGCCATGTCCAAGGAAAGAGCACAGCTCCAGGAGGCTATTCATAACAGCGAAGAACGTCATCAAGTTGTCTCTCGCGAATACAACGATCTACGTCGGAATATAGAGCAACTGCAGAAAGATGCTGCTCAAGATTGTGACGTGCTTCGACATGAAATCACCAAATTGCAGCAAGTCATGGAGATACGTGAATCAACAAACGCCGAGAAGGATAATCGGATTATGACACTAGGCGAGACCAACAAAGATCTCTATAACGAGAATCAGATGCTAAAGGACAGGGTAAGTAATTCCATGTACGCTGTTCGGCGATCTCTAACTCGTTATCAGCTGGAGCAGGCACGGACAAATTGCGAAAAATCCATGACAGCTCATGAGGATGCGCGTCAGAAATTCAAGAGTTCTATAGCGGAAATGGTGACAAAATGCAATGAGCAGGTGGCTGAAGCTCAGAAAAAAGTATGTAGCATGGATTTTTCTATCGTCTAGAGAAGTAAACTGACTTGTTTTAGGCACAGCAGTTGGTCGATCGGCTTCGGCTTGAAGTTTCTACTCTACGACACGAGATGGCCAATACTTCTGCCAAAGCTGAGAAAGAACTTCGCACCAAAGAAAAGAGAATACAGTATTTGGAGAAAAAGGTAATATTTCACTCGCGTACTCCATATATACTTCGATGCTAATGACTTTGTATAGGTGGAATCTCTTCGAAACGAACGCGCAGCGAAAGCTCGTGAGTTCAGCGAAGCTCAAGAACATATCAGTCGCTTGATGAGCGTGATGGGCTTCGACAACAGCAAAAAACGAGCAGCAGCAGGTCCGAAAGCCAAAGAAGGAGTTCGCAGATCAACCCGTTTGAGTGTATTACAGGCTCAATCCTGTCCTCCTTCTCAAGTTGATTTGACGACTATGCAATCACAATACTCAAATCCGGCTATTCCTCCAAGTACAGAATCGTTCTTTGGTCAAAACACGAGGACTACAACACGCAGGCACAGTCAGCGTTTATCAGGAGCGACTAGTTTCGCCAACGATGATATTACTTGCTACTTTTCTGGTCCGCAAAGAGGATCGATAGAAGGGGGGGGTAGACGACAACCGCTTGGTGATCTTGACAGGAATAATCCTAGCAAATCTCCGCATTCAAGCAATCCAAAGAATTCTGGGCATGATAAACTTGGCCAGGATACCCAGATGGGATCTCAGACACATATCAACATTACAGATTTGGGAGACTTGGACTTAAATTTTGATGACGAAGAACTTTTGACGAGTACTATGGCACGATGAGCAGTTGGAGTGATGATTGATGACTACTCTGAATGATGATACCCAATGGTTTCCCCCAAATTCTGCATAGCGCTCAGATTGATTGGATTGCTTCACCAAGATACAATAACACTTGATTGATTTCTCTTTTTCCGCTGACTGATATACCTAATACTTGCATGGTCGTTTGCTTCAGACGCAGCTGAACAAAGCTCTTTATTAATCTGATAAATATCAAACACCCTGCTACGAAACTAGACAATAATAAATATGAGACAAAGATATCCCATAATCTAATCATATCCCGTCATAAAACACCTCTTTGTCATTGTCCACTGCTATAAATGATGAATCACTTCGGTCTAAACACACAGTGTTTGATCCTTTACATAAGTCTAAATGAAAACTAAGAAAAGAAAAGGAGCAGTCTGCGCCCAGTACATTTTATTATCAAGTCCATTGATTGATTATCCACCTGGTATGGTCATTATTGCTAAACTCATAAATTAGATGGACAAACCCGGGTTCGATCTGGATTGCCCCATTTGGGGTATGAATGGATATGACTGATCATGAAAGAATCAATATTCATTCTTGATCATGTTTTCTCTTCTTCTTCTTCTTCTTCTTTGATGAGTGGTTCTGTGTTCTGGCAGAATACTCATCGAGCATACACTTCTCATCTCCCTCATCGAAATCCTGGTGAGTTTGATCTCACTCTGACTTTTTACTTCTGTCTCACTTGAGGTTTAAGTGAGTTCATTCTTCTCTCTTCCTTCTCACCAAATACTCATTTCCTTACTTTCGACTAGGATATCTCGAGAAAATTAGGGATAGACAACTCACCTGACCTGGGGGTCACTCCTTCCATCATGACAACTCTTCACACAGCAGAAGGGGCGCCAACTCCGAATATTTTCCCTCGTCGACTTCCTTTCCATGCGAAAAAATATCCTTCGCCAAAGAATACTCCCTCATCAAAGAGTGCTCTCACACCAAAGAACTATCTCTCCCCAAACAAACGCAAGAACTCTCCCAGAGGGAGCAAGAAAGCCTCACCCATGGCAATCAAAATAAGAGATAACCAGGCCCATCGAGGCATAAAACCCATCTGGCAGACATGGGACTCCTTCGCGGTCAATCTAGCTGGTGTCCCCGATGAAGCGAATACATTCACCATTTGGTCCACTTTCAATCGGCAGGGGAGCATATTCTCGATTGATTTGTATGAGGATGATACTGGGAAACGGAATGGAAGGGGAAGGATACGGTTTAGGTATATCGTTCTCTTCTTTTGATCTCGATTCTTGATTCAGGGGTTGAGGACTGACGTTGTGTAGACCACCTCCACAGACAGACTTTTGGAAAGATGCTCTTTGGCAACTTCACTTGTCCGGGGGACGGAAAGCGAGGATTAGAGTCAAGCCTGTTTTCGAGCAAAAAGATAATCGGATTCAGAGTCCTGTGAATCCAGATGAGTTTTATCCTGCTGAATTTGTATGTCTCTTCAAGGGCTGAAATGAACTATTGCTGATATGACTAGGACATCCCTGTTGCAACACTCGACTTCGGCCCCATGATAGGACCAAATTCCATGCTTCTCTTGCGCCATCTGCAAAAGACTTCGGAGGAAACTTGCAGATTGACGGTGGATCTCAAAAATCGACAGTTACTGGTCTTCTTCCAGCTTCCACTGCAATCAACCCAAAGGGTGACGGCTATCTCGCAGTATCGTTTGCAAGTACCCTTTGCTCAGTTGACGACTCTCTACCAACAGAGCCATAGCGACGAGTCTGCAAACACCGTCTCACATATCATTCGATTCGATAGTCCTCCGTTGTATCACCGTCATTTGTACAATGTGGAGTCCAGCTTCAGTGGTCTCGACTCGGCGAATTCATGGAGAGCAATGGACTGTTGGTATCGTCAGACGGATATCGTTCATCGACATGGGGATTGGGCAGGACTTCCAATTAGCCTGCGCAAGAAAAATCCCATCATTGATATTGGACGGTGGAACGCGGTCCGAATCACCTATGGACAAGATTCGATTCATGCAAAGTCGTATAGACTGCTTTGCAAGGCCCTGAGTGATTTCAATATTGAGATCAAGATCGACGACGAGTTCAGCACAGAAGGTCCACGCACTTTGCCAGTTCCTGTCGTTTGGGATATTTGCGATGAGCCTGAGAGCTTGGGATATTCCACGTTTGACGACTTGTTCGGAAAACCATACATCCATCTGCCTTTTGCGATTCGTTATCAGCTCGAGGTGTGCATCTCTCATGGTTATATCAGCGAGTACACTGCTGCCAAACCCGAGTTCATTCAGAGACTCAAAGACATGGAAGAAAGAAAAGCCCTTGCCTTGTTGGAGCATGTGGCGATGGACAAGAAAGTTTATTGGGATGCCATGAACATATTTGACATCCTGTTTCCCAGGGGGACAACCAGAAGGAATATCCCAAGTTACTGCTGCATGGTTCGCACAGCTACCGTGACTCCTTCAATGATTTACTGGAATACCCCTTCAATGGAAATTACGAACCGCGTTCTTCGCCGATATTCCGAGCATGCGGATCGTTTCTTGCGCGTACGATTCAAGGACGAAAAGTTCGAAGGCCGAATCAATTCTACCCACCATGACACGATGGATGAGATTTTCAGTCGCATCAAGCGCACTATGACCAACGGCATCGTACTGGGTGACCGCAAGTACGAGTTCCTTGCATTTGGAAACTCCCAATTTCGGGAACATGGTGCATATTTCTTTGCATCCGACGCACATGTGACCGCCTCCAATATTCGCGCATGGATGGGCGAGTTTTCGGATATCAAGAACGTTGCCAAATATGCTGCAAGATTAGGTCAATGTTTCTCGACTACACGAGCTATCAACACCTGTCGGGTTGAGTTGAAACGCATACCCGATGTGGAACGAGGACCATATACCTTCTCCGATGGCGTGGGCAGGATCTCCAGATTTTTGGCTCAGATGACTCAACAAGAGCTAAATATTAGGACTGCGGACCAAGAGCCTCCATCAGCCTACCAGTTCCGCCTAGGAGGGTGCAAGGGTATGCTAGTTCTATCAGATGAACCGCGTGGGCGAGAAATTGAAATCCGTCCAAGTCAGGAGAAGTTTCCTGCTAATCATCAGGGTCTGGAAATCATTCGTTGGTCGCAATTCTCCTCGGCCACTTTGAACAGACAGTTGATTGCAGTTCTATCGTCACTTGGGATTGAGGACAAAGTATTTCATGGCAAACTTCAAAGGATGGTCTCCAACCTAGAGGAGGCTACCCATTACGATAGAGCTGCGATGCATCTACTCCAGAAATACATCGATCCTAATGAAATGACCCTTGTTATATCAAAGATTGTTTCTGACGGGTTTCTTCAAGCAAGAGATCCGTTCATAACCTCAGTCATTACACTGTGGAAAGCGTGGCAGATCAAGTATTTGAAGGAAAAGGCAAAGATCACCATTGAAGATGGAGCATGTGTGCTTGGTGTTATGGACGAGACTGCCACTCTAAAGGGATTTTCGTATGAGAACGTGGAAAAGGTGCATTTGTCCCGGGATTCCAAACTTGATGCACTGCCGGAAATCTTTCTCCAAGTGTATCGCGCCGATGAGAAGAAGTATGGAGTGGTGGAAGGTGTATGCATACTAGCTCGCAACCCGTCACTGCATCCGGGTGACATCCGAGTAGTGAGAGCCGTCAATCGCTCAGAACTCGCTCATCTCAAAGACGTCGTCGTGCTTCCACAGGTTGGAGATCGAGATATTGCCAGTATGTGTTCTGGAGGAGATTTGGATGGCGACGATTACCTGGTGATCTGGGATCAGGACCTTATTCCAAGCCAATGGTTCCGAACACCCATGGACTACACCGCTATCAAAGGCGTCAATCTGAACAGAGCTGTCACCGTCAATGACATCACCACATTCTTCGTGAACTATATGAAGAACGATTCTCTGCCCAAGATTGCCCATGCGCACATGGCCTGGGCTGACTACCTGGAGGACGGGGTGGAGTCAGCAAAATGCATACGCTTAGCTCAATTGCATTCGAATGCTGTCGACTACAACAAAACGGGTGAGCCGGCATACCTCCCTCGTGATCTGCGTCCAAGGAAATGGCCACACTTCATGGAGAAGAATTACAAACCAAAGGATCAAATCTATCATTCAGAGAAGATTCTGGGCCAACTTTATGATGCTGTGGATCGAGTTGACTTTCATCCTGATTTTGACAGACCTTTCGACAAACGTGTGCTGGAAGCCGGCATTGAAGTGACCGACGAGATATTGCAGTTCGTCAAGGAGCTGAAAGTCGACTATGATCTTTCCCTGAAGCGAATCATGGCACAGCACGAAATCCGAACCGAATTTGAGATCTGGTCCACATTTGTTCTCGGTCATGCGAATCTGAGCAAAGATTACAAATTCCACGAAGAACTCGGCGGTATCACAAAGGCTATCAAAGACCGGTTCCAAGGCGAATGTTATGCAAAGGTTGGAGGTCGTGACTTTGACCGGATTGCTCCGGTTGCAGTCGCGATATACCGTGTCACCAGTGACGAAGTCGTTACAGCGATGGGGGAATTTCGTAAGAAAAATCCTGAGGCCAAGCCAAACCCAGAGAATCTCCCTATGATTAGCTTTGCATGGCTGTTTCCTGATGTTCTGGGACGGGTCGCCCTCCGTTACTTTGACGATTCCCCTGAAGGCGACAAAGCTACTGCTGCTGTTACTACCATGGTCACTACTCAAGAAAATAAGCAGGAAATTGAAGGACCAATGACTCCGGAATCTGAGAAAGAAAATACGGACACAACAGATCGGTACTCAAGCTCGAACAAAGACGTCGATGAAGAAGAAATCACGGATGAGTCCGAGATTGAAGAAGTTGAGATTATCGAAGACCAAGCCCAGATCAAGCCGTGTGCTCTTGACATTTTGAAGGATATGCTTTTCGATTCGGAGGATGATATCTACTAGTTCTTCTCCTGTATCCTCGAACTTCGTGTCCTCAAACTTTACATGATAGATAGTTTCATGAATATGAATGAAAATTGTTTTTTTTTTGACGCGTCGCGTGTGTACTTACAGCTACCCCGCAAACGGACCAATGAAGTCCCCGCCGAAACTTTTTTTTCTCTATAGACAACGTCATTTTTTACAGCTACAACTTCGACGATATACCGAACAAATCAACAAACTACAACTTGACGAAGAAGAGGGAAAACATGCCCTCCCAACCCCCAATTCCGCACATCCTATCCCCTTATCTAACACACTCCACCCGCTCCGCTCAATCACTAACATTGATCACATCCGTTCTCGCGGCGACATCAAATTGGTTATTATTACGATATTTACATTCCGTTTTATCTGCCACGGCTTTATCCGAAGAAGATGGGTATAATGAGACGATAGAATCAGGTCCGGGACGCCAAAAAAGGAGGAGAAGGGCGAGAAGAGTTGTGCTTGTGAGCTTTTTGAGGGAGTGGATGTTTTGGAGGGGGGAGGGGAAGAGATTGGTTCGTTCCTTTTTCTTTCAGGGTGTTTATATGGCTGACTGATTGTTGGGGGAATTGGTAGGGATTGGATTTGCAGCGTTTTGTGGATGGGGATAGATTCAGGTATGTGGATGGGTTGAGTGGGTTGTTTGATAGGCCACAGCAGGAGCAAGGATCTGTAAGACCTATGACGGGTGGTGTGATGGGCTCTGGACGATCGATACCTATGCGCGGAGCGATTGATTCTACTCGTCCTACTACATCATCGATACCAACATCTCCGCAGTCGAAGAATCCTACTCCGCAACAGAAACAGAAACAATTACTCCTCTCGGGCCAGGGTATCACTGCACTGAACCAGCTGGAGAACGATATCCTAGCCGTAATAAAATCAATCACAAAATCGGATATTATGAGCGGAAATGAAGAACATGCGGAGGACGACATACTGTTAATACTCGATCAACCAGATCTCATCCTCGCCACGACGCCAGATATTAATGAAAACGATATATCCGAATGGATTATGGGGTTACAACAAGTTCGTCTTCCTTCTCACCTCTCTTTCAAAAATCATACGAGCTTACATAGAACAGCACGTCCATTCAACAGTAATAACCACCTCCGCCGACTCCCCTCTCATCCACAATGCAAATACATATACACCCGACGCTGGTAATATCGTCACTCCGCTCGAAAAAAACCACTCTGCTTTTGTGGTAGGATTGGCGCATCGCGCATCTATGGTTCTACAGTTACGGACCTTGGATACCGGGGCTGCGAAGGATGTAAGTGGTGTCTTGAGGATGAGTAGAGGTGGTGGATACGAGACTCAAAGAGCGGAGGAAGATGAGGATGATGTGACTGAGAAGGAGGTTTTGTATTTTGTGCAGAGGGATGGAGGGGTGAGGGTTTTTGGGAGGGGGGAGGTATAATATATTTCCTCTACTGCCGATTGTCCTGAATTTCGGCTCCTAGATAGAAATAAGAGAATAGAATACCCCGAGTCAACTGTTTCAAATTTCTCAGTTCATTTCTGAAGATCGTCGAAATTCCATAATTTGTTTTGGATTGACATGAATAAATCCCATTCCTCGTCGGTCTAAGAGCTAACCAACGCAAATAAAAGGATCATAGAACTGAGCAACCATCTCAAGGCCGACAGTTTCAGTCATGACAGATAGAAAAAACCTGCCATGTTCGGACATACACCCATCCCTCCATATCCTTAACAAAATCCAGATATAGCACCACGGGAATCCCTTTCCTTTTTTTCCGTCACAGAATGATGAAATATCTTTTCCACTTTTTATTCTTTTGCCCAACTCCGTTAAACTCGCGAAATAATAAAAAGTCCATGGCGTATGTAAAACCGAGTTGAAGTGTAGAAGAAAAAAAGGTAATTTCATTAAGCGAAACAACAACTAAACACTCAAACTATCCGTCTTTCTTTTCGTTCATGTCAAATAGTTTAAGCAGTCGTAGGGCCACGGGCACCCTTGGGAGTACCGGTTTGGAATCCATTGTGGAATTTGCGGTCGACGGTCTTGAGGTATCGCATGCGACCGGTACCGGTGGTCTTGCGGCGCTTGGCTTTTTCGCTCCAGTTGTCTATCCAGATTGTTAAGATATGGTAAATAAATAACACAAGTGATTCAAATGATTCGTACACTTTCTGGTCTTAGCAGCTGGGTAGCCGCAGTTGGCACAGGTGCTCTTCTGGATGTGGAAAGAACGCTTTCCTATTGTCAAGAAAACACGTTAGTATGTCTCTTCCAAACTTCCTTGACAATTCGTGAAAAGTCCTTCTCCGTCTCGTCTGCGAGGATATCCAGGCCATTCCCTTCTTCCCTTCGTGTTCATTTCCATTGATATCCCCTCAGACCCCGACTTGAAGTTGACTCCGCAGTTGCCTTCGAATATCTTATAAAAAGGATCAAGATGTACTAACCGCATCGTCGGCAGAGCGTGTGCGTCTTGTTGTGACGCTTACCAAAGCTGGAGGTACCCTTCGCTATAACAAATTGTCAGTCTCGTCTTTTTTTACGATCGTCGTCAAAGTCGAGCGGAGAAGTGTTCGTGACGTACTCATTTTGAATCAAGGGGTCTGATGAAAGGTAAATAAATAAATCAGTATACACTTTTACATAGAATGACAAAAAAGCAAAGAAGACATACCTGGATTCCACTGAAGGGTGTTTGTCGATGTCGTCGTCGTTCAGTCGTCGCAGCAATCGCAAAGTTGGACTTGCCGCAGCAATTTGGTCGCTTAGCGTCGTGCGGTACTAGGGCCAGGTTTAGCCCTACTTTGTGGCTTTGTTTGGTTAGCGTGTCTATCTATGTGGAGACTCAATATTTATCCAGTTTGATTGGCTGCTTATTCTACTTTTTGAAGTGAAGCAATTCAAGAAATTTTATGAAGAGTGATGAATGATCGACAACTTGTCTAATGCTGAGAATCTACACTTGGTATGGTACAATTGGACTGTCACGGAGACTAACAATGATGTCAGGTTCATGCGAAATAAGTTGTCATTGAGACAGTACAGCTAAATGTAGTCTGGAAGCTGGACGCAACAAGCCCACCACTGAGGAATGCCTAACTGATGGTCACAATGTCAGTGAATCTAGCAGTGACAGTGGAAATCTTGGTAGTTGTTATGGATGCTGTGGCATCAGTGGTGACAGTGGCGGTTACTGTGGCAGTGACATCAACCTCTTGATCGAAGGTGACAGCTGAAGCAACCTGGACTGTCGTCGTGGAGGTGGCCGTGATGGTATACACTTCTATAACAACAGAAGTAACATCCACAGTGGCCGTTCCGGTTATCTTTGCAGTTGCATCGACTGTCTCCGTGATGGTATGAGTCACGTCTATCGCTGTTCCAAGCACAACGGTACTGGTCCTGGTAGCAGTGGGAAGGGCGACTGTCTCGGAAACTGTTGCAGTCTCAAGGCACCAGCATGCGTCGCGCAATTCGCTTGCAGGATATGATGCGAGCAAACCAGGAACGTCATCTCGCTTCTTAAAGACCAGCATCGTAGCTGTGACAGTCACCGTGGTTGTTTCCAGGTCCGTTGCGGTTTTAGTGCTAGTGATGGTCGCAGTGTTGGTTTGAGTCGAAGTCACAGTTTTGGTGCTCAGTCGAATGGCCGTGGAAGGGATGGTCTGGAGAGCTGTTGCAGGCACAGTGACCCTTACAGACTGGACAGCACTAGAAGAGAAGCGGTTGGTGACGACGGCTTGGGAGGACTGGGTGACGGTTCTAGTGACCAAGGAAGTAATTTCCACAGGGTTTGTCACTGTCTGGAAAATCGTAGTTGTAGTCGAGGCCTGTGGGCTGTCGGTGACGGTAACAGTAGCAGGACCAAGTGCTTCGGGATCTAACTGCTGGCATATGTGTGTCACATCAGAGATTCCAAGCAGTATATTGACCAGTGGTTGGACCTGTGAGCACACTTCCCAGTCAGGGAGACAGACATCGCCGGAGTCAAAATTATCTTGATAGATGGCCACAACAGCACCGAGGCCGAGGGTAAACGAGAGGACGGCAGAGAAACGCATGGGAATGAGTGGGCCACGCAGTTTCTGCTATGAATGTGAAAGATGAGAATACAACCGCCTTCAATATGATTTACCTATACCTAGGTATATAAATATACTACCCAACTCATTGAGAAGCTCCCCTAAATCCTGCTCTATTGAGCCTATCCCTGACTAGTGGCGCATTTTGTCTCCCGGATTGAAAAGCTTCGGCTAAAGTAGCCAGTGTCTATACAAACTTCCTGAAGAAATTGCCGACTACGTATTACAGCAGCAGATGTTGACTCCGCTTTATCGTCCCAGTTATAAAGTTAAAATGTCAAACTTCTGTGCAAACAGCCGACGCTAAGTCAGAATCCGACAAAAGACTCAACTACATAGTAGATGCAAGCAGAGAATCCTCGTAGTAGTCCGTGTATATACAGGATAGTAGCTTGATATGTAACTCATAATCACGACCTGCTCGTCTCAATCACATCTCCCAACAAAGCAATACTCAACTTCGACCTTTCCAAAAACTTCTCCTCATCAGCCGCAATCTGAGCCGCAGCTTCAGGCGCTTGAACTTTTGCGACAAATTTCTGAAAGGACTCTTGACTGGCAAATATCAGTTCGGCATAGGCATCAAAATCGAAATCCGCCTGTTGGCCAGCGAGAACAGTAGCTGGTGTGGTAGCGTTGCGGGCAGTTCCGTTGTCAGCGGTTTGACCGTCGCTCAGGACGTTGCGCGCAATGTAGCTGCGTTTGTGGGATAAAGGGAAGTCGTCTCCGGAGAGATGCTTGAGGAAATTAATGTGTTCTTCGTAATGTGTTTTGAAGTCCTCGAGGGATAGGCCTGGTTTTCTGTAGGCGTAGATCAGGGCTCGGACAGTCATTGTAAATCGAGCAATAACCTTGCAAATCGCACAGATTGGTGACCGGGGTACAGAAATAATTGATACCTGGATAATTTGAGATGATCTTCGTAAATGAATTTGAGAATTATCAATAGCAATTTGAGGATTTATAACATTTGTCCAGGTTTCCAAAGATATGTGGTAGTAATGAAATGCTCTAAGGACGGCTGAGTATGAAGCTATATAAATATCGAATGAGAATCCGATTTCAAGTAGCTTTGTTGGTTTTAGCCCCAACGCATTGCAAGAATAGGCAAATAAAATTTAGGTATCTCTTGTTGTTAGAACACTAAAAGACTTCGAGCTGAATGTTATTAGGTCCTAACTAGTGAAAATCCTAAGCTTGGGAAGAAAGAGGAAAAGAAGGGAAGGTCTAAGCTACAGACAAGTTGATACGATCTCGCAATTCTGCCATCCTAGACTGCTTTCCTCATAAGGCCTTCATCCCATGACACTTGTGACTGTGATAGCGACTTATATACAAGTACTAAATTAGGTAGAATGATAATAATCAAATTCACTGTTCGGGTATATGTCAAAACGCCGCCTAATGCTGTTATATATGCCTCGAAATCCATCCTAATATTCCGACAGTCTGTTAAAGTCAGAAACTACTGTATCAACTCGTCCTTCCCTAAGAATGCAGCCATAGGATCTGCTGCTGCCAAACGACTTCGCTTATACGACTCGAGCTCCTCTTCGTCAACTCCCTGCTGTAGCGCGTGAAGATCGCGCTTCTTTTTGTCAATATCCACACGTCTAGTTTCTTCCTCCTGTTTGGAAGGTTCGTCTTCACGTTTCTCCTCTTCGTTATCCTGTTTCAATGTATCGAGAATAGCAAACTTTCGAGCATTCTCAAATGCCTTCTTGCCGTCCTCGCCTGTGCAGTAACTGTTTTTAACCGTAGAGTGACAACATGCGTAGCCCCATTGGAAGTTATACCACCAACTGCCCCATACTGATTTGTGGTTATTGATAAGTATATCTTCGGGATATTTCGACTTGACTGCTTTCTTGGGCGTCCCTTTGATTGCGCCGGTCTCATCGTACTCGACAAATCGCTCGTTCTCGATGACTGCAGCTTCACGCAAGGGTGCTGGTTTCATGTGCTCTTCGCCACCGTACTTTTCTAGTAGTGCTTTTCGTTGCGCTTCCCGTTTTGCTTCCATCTCGGCTTGTTCCCTTTTCCGGAGAATCTCACCGGAAGTAGGGTTGGCCTGAAGATGAATTTGTTTGTCGCCTCTTTCCTGTGATTCCCATGCATATTTTTGAGCTCTCTCGAATTCTGCAGCGTCCCCGGAAGCGCGTATGAAATTCTCCTCGGCGACCAGAGCTGAGGTCTGATCTGCCTGAGCGCCTAAACCAATCATCGAACGTGTTTTCGGGTCGTATTTTGCTGAGTCAAGGTCCAAGTTCAAAAGGTATTTCGCCGTGTCTTCACGGATACGAAGGTTCCTCGTCGCCGTACTCTGTTTCCGACCCATATCCGACTCTTCAGCATATCGCGCTTCTTCTTGGTCTGCCTCCTCATCATCCTCATCATCGCCGCCAGTGGCCTTCTTTGCACTCTTCTTCAGGTTCTCAAGTTCTTCGTATTCCTCCACCACATTTCGATATTCGCTCGCATCGTAACCATTCCAGCGATCTCGCTTAGCGTCCCAGCCGAGATCAACATCCTGGACAACCTCATCTGCCTGAATATCCTTTCCAGTCCATTTCGCACCGAGTTTCCGAGGCCGGCTGAGGCATTCTTTGGTTTTATGTGTCATCGCGCCACAGTTTTCACATGCGCCTTTTCGATACTTGGTGGCGGCCGGTCCAGCGCGCTTTCCTCGTTCGTACCATTTCGAGTCTGCGGCTTGTTTTTGTAGGCGCTGATGCTCTAGATAATCAGCGTCGGTGGATTCGTCGTCGATATAGAATGGTTTTTTGGCGATGAAGGATGGGATGTACTCGTTGCGCTCTTTTGACGCTACGTCGGTAGGTTTTCGAGACATGGTGACTGTAGTACTTGAAGGCTACAGTAGATATAGCAGGCAAGAAATATACAAACAACAAGAAGGTGAAGAGTGAGGGTATCTCTCGTCGTACGGAAAGTTCGCAGAGAATCAGATGGCCGTCGATTTAGCGTTATTGGCCTCAGGTGTCAACCGAACTATGGATGGTGTCTAACCCAACATAGCCTAGTGCATATTTTTACAGCCTCAGGCATCGACTAATGCACGTCATCCGCGATTGTTAACTCTCGCGGAATGTTTCAATTTTCACGCGTCTTGGATGACTCCAAGATGATTGACTTGTATGACTTGCTATTTCTCTATTGCCGAATCTAAAGCGCACAATCATGGTTCGCGCAAAGTTCGTGTACTGTTTGCTCACATACGATGGACACCTTTCGCGTCCGATTAAACTGCATCGATGATTATCAGGCCGTCCCTACTGAATTCGATCCACCAGTTCCTTTTGCGGCTGGAGCTTCACAACGGACAGCCAGACCGAAGGTACCAGTAATTCGAGCTTTTGGTGCAACAGAAACTGGCCAGAAGGTCTGTGTACATATTCACGGAGCTTTTCCATACCTATATATCGAGTATAGAGGCGGTCTTGGACAGGATGAAGGTACGTACTAGATTCACCGGATCGCGAGGTCAGAGGCTTACAATTCTGTTATAGTAAATGATGCTATACGCAATCTACACAAATCCATCGACCACGCTTTGGCGAACAGTTATCGCCATAATGCATACGATGGAAGAGTGGCGTATGTCGCTCATATCTCTCTGGTCAAGGGAATCCCATTCTATGGATATCATGTCGGCTATCGGTATTACTTAAAAATTTATCTATTGAATCCCTTGAACATTATTCGGCTTGCCGATCTTTTACGCCAAGGAGCTGTGATGAAATACCCACTACAACCTTATGAAAGTCACCTCCAATTTATCCCGCAATGGATGTGCGATTACAACTTGTACGGTTGTGCATATATGGACTGCGCGAAAGCAAAGTTCCGGTCTCCGGTCCCAGAATACCTTGAGCTGTCTAATTTGGATCATCGGTGGCACGATCGAACCATACCGCCGGAGTACATCACTAGTGAGGCAGTTTTACCGAAGCAGAGTCATTGCACATTAGAAGTCGATGTTTGTGTACAAGATATTCTTAATCGAAAGGTAATCAAGGAACGACCGCTTCATCACGATTTTATCGAACGCAAGCATCCCATATCGGCAGAAGAAAAACTCGTTCACAGTATGGCTGGACTATGGCAGGACGAGACGCACAGGCGCAAGAAAAGACTGGGAATCAAGGATCCCAGTAGTAGCCCTTTTGCAGTTGAAGAACTTGTTTCTATGTCGGCTAGTCCTCGTGATCAGAATAAGGCTGCCTGGATCCACGAAGAGGAATTTCGTGACCATTTACTCAGAATTGTCGAGGAGGAGAAAAACGGCAGGAACGAAACAATATCTTTTGATAATTACGTGAAGCATGATACTATGGAAGACATGGTTCAATCAGCGCTCGAAAGCGTGGAGGACCTTTATCCACAAAAGCTGGAACCATTGATGACTCAAGTTGCGCAATCGGACGGTGACCAAGCGGCTGTTACGAATGCTTATCATACCACGATTTTTTCAGATGGATTTCAGGTTGATGATGAATGGGAGAATGAATACTCTAATCCGGAAGATGGATATGATAAAGAAGATGGTCTATCTAGTAGCTCCTTTCAGATCGACGATGAACTGCTGGATGCTTTCGCCGAGGAAATTAACGGAATTGATGATACGAGAAGAAAATACGAGAAGGGAAAGATAGATTCAGAAGACTCGCGTTTAGGTTATTCGGCCTCCAAACGGGGACAAGCTGATGATACCATCTCTCCAGAAGAAAGGGTCAGAAAGCGCCCGAAAAATGAATATGGCGATAGCTCAAAGGATGAGTCAAAATCCAAACGAGCGGATGATAGCTTCTCCTCATTCGATGTAGCGTCAATCTTACAGGAAAAAGATGAAGAATGTGAACGTGGCGGGCCAAATGAGACTCCGCCCGATCATCCACAAATCGGACTTGATTCTTCTCAAAAGGCCGTGTGGGCTGGCCAGAATCAACGGCTCTCATTCCCTGTGGTCAAAGATCCAAATGATCCGATGACTGTTTCACGATTCAGTCAGAGAAGCGGACTGTCCAAAGAACATTCACAACTATCTCAGGTCTCGGTGGATTTCGATATTAGGGAAAGTAATGGTGTGGAAAAACCCTTCTCGGAGCCGACCTTGGAAAGCAGCAGTAATAGCACGGTGGCACACACCCATATGCCTAGCAATATGACTGGTGTCTATCAAGCTTTCGATATCCCTGCTAACCGCAAAATCCTCTTCTATCGTTTCCCATGTCCAACAGCAAGAGACGTCAAGGCCAGTATCGAAGACGAGGGACGACCTGCAGTGGTTTATCAAAAACCATTTTACAGTGACGACAACGACGTTCCAGAACGGTCACGCGAATATGCTGGACGTGAATTCCGCTTAGTTAGTGACTCAATACGATATTTGCCTCATTTCGAGCTAAAAGGTACAAACACCCATCTTTTTGCTGAAAATTTGCCGCCCATCCCAAGTCCTGATGAACAACGAAAGGAAGATCGAAGACTTCGGGAATTGTCCTTGGCACAAATCTGGGAGTTTGCTCAGCTTCCTCCCACTCGCAACGAAGTTGTTGAATGGTTTGAAAAAGAAGAGAAAGCTCAAGAAAAGGAAGCAGTAACCCCACGAATTCGGTTACAGTTAACAAAGTCAAATGTCATGTCACAGATTGAGGGAGCGACGCAAAAGAATCCGTACGGGTTTAAATACTCTCAGAAGCAACAGTCTACTAGCGTCGTGCATCAGACGCAGTACATGAGCGTAATGAGCTTGGAAGTTCATGTGAATACTCGCGAAAGTTTGGCTCCAAATCCAGAGGAGGATGAAATAAGTTGCGTGTTTTGGAGTCTCCGATCGGATGACGAGGATGTGGACGTCAATAGCCATTTGGAAGGCGTGCACTTGGGTATTTTGGCACAACCAGCGGATGTGTTAGTCCCAGTTGCTGCATCCTTGTCTATTGAAGTTCAGACGGAAGCTTCTGAGCTAGACCTGATTACGAGTCTGGTCGATATTGTGCGGTCCCATGATCCGGACATCATCACAGGCTACGAAGTCCACAATTCGTCCTGGGGATATCTCATCGAAAGAGCTCGAGTAAAGTACGAATATGATTTATGCAATGAGCTATCGCGAGTCAAGACTTCGGCACACGGGAGATTTGGCAAGGACAGTGATAGATGGGGATTCAATCATACTTCCTCCATTTCCGTGACTGGACGCCACATGATCAACATCTGGCGAGCTATGAGGAGCGAATTGACTCTGCTGGGTTACACCATGGAGAATGTGGTATTTCATCTACTGCATAGACGGATTCCTCATTACCCATTCCGGGAGTTGACTCGTTGGTTTACCGGAAGCAAGCCTCGCGATATGATGAAAGTCATGGAGTATTATCTTTCACGCGTCCAGTTGGATCTGGAAATCCTGGACACAAACGAACTGATACCACGGACTAGTGAACAAGCTCGATTGCTTGGAGTGGACTTTTTCTCGGTGTTTTCGCGCGGGTCACAATTCAAGGTGGAATCGTTGATGTTTCGAATCGCCAAACCTGAGAATTTTATGCTGGTAACTCCTAGTCGAAAACAAGTCGGTCAACAGAATGCTCTTGAGTGCCTGCCGCTTGTAATGGAACCTCAAAGCGACTTTTATACAAGCCCGTTACTCGTTTTAGACTTTCAGTCTTTATATCCAAGCATCATCATCGCATACAATTACTGCTACTCAACATTCCTTGGAAGACTTGACAACTGGCGAGGACGAGGCAAAATGGGCTTCATGGAATATGAACGACAGGAACGAATCCTTGAACTGCTAAAAGACCACGTTAATATTGCGCCTAACGGTATGATTTATGCCAAACCCGAGATTCGGAAATCTCTACTTGCGCGCATGTTGAGCGAAATTCTGGAAACTCGAGTGATGGTGAAGAGTGGGATGAAAGCGGACAAAGACGACAAGACGCTGCAGCAGTTACTTAATCATCGTCAGTTGGCGCTGAAGATGATTGCCAACGTTACTTATGGTTATACATCGGCATCTTTCTCTGGCCGAATGCCTTGTTCTGAAATTGCAGATAGTATTGTTCAGACGGCGCGGGAAACTCTGGAGAGGACAATTGCTTTCATTCACTCGGTCGATCAATGGGATGCTGAGGTAGTATACGGCGACACGGATAGCCTGTTCATTTCTCTGAAGGGTCGAACACGTGATGAAGCTTTTACAATTGGCGAGGAGATCTCCAAAGCAGTGACGAAGATGAACCCACGTCCAGTCAAACTAAAGTTTGAAAAGCTCTATCATCCCTGCGTGCTACTCGCCAAAAAGCGGTACGTTGGTTTTAAATACGAGCATCGAGATCAAGTCGAACCTGAATTCGATGCCAAGGGAATCGAAACGGTTCGTCGTGACGGCACACCTGCAGAGCAAAAGATTGAGGAGAAGGCACTGAAGATCCTGTTCCGGACTGCAGACTTGAGTAGAGTCAAGAGTTACTTTCAGAAACAGTGCCTTAAGATTATGCAAGGCAGAATTTCAGTCCAGGATTTCTGTTTTGCGCGTGAAGTCAGACTGGGGACGTATAGTGAGAAAGGCACACTTCCTGCAGGAGCGTTGATTAGCACGAAAAAGATGTTGGAGGACCCACGTCTGGAGCCACAATACGGCGAACGCGTTCCATATGTTGTGGTCACTGGTGCACCTGGAGCAAGACTTATTGATCGCTGCGTGGCTCCCGAAGTGTTACTTAACAACGCTCATCTCGAGTTGGACGCCGAGTACTACATTACGAAAAACCTCATTCCCCCACTAGAGCGAATCTTCAACCTTGTCGGCGCAAATGTTCGCCAGTGGTATGACGAAATGCCCAAAATACAACGAATTCGCCGCATTGAAGGGGCATTCACAGGACAAGGCGACAACAACAACAGCAGCAACACAACAATATCCAAGAAAACTCTCGAATCATACATGAAATCCTCAATATGTCTCATCTGCAAAAATAAACTCACAGACAAAAACAGCGATCTCCCGCTCTGCAACAACTGTACCAGTCAAAGTCACGTCTCTTTATTCAAGTTGACATCACAACTCCAACAAGCCGAGCGACGGACGAGTAATCTTCTCAAGATCTGTCGGTCGTGTATGGTCGTGCCCTTTGGGGATGATGTTATTTGTGATAGTAAAGATTGTCCAGTTTTTTACTCTAGGACGCGCGAAATGAGTAATTGGAAGAGCTCAACGTCAGTTTTGGAGCCTGTTGTTAGGGAATTGGAACGGCGTGATGGGCAGGCATTGGATTGGTAGATGGATCTGTTTGGGTGGCATGTTGATTATATACCCTTGTATTACTTGACTTTGTATATTATCTTCTTTGACTAATCGACTTATTTGCGCAAGGTAACACTTATGATGAGGATAGACCATAGTCCATCTCAAACCGACCAGAAAAGATCGACGTTGTCTTACGGGACATTCTCCGATATCACCAACACCCGGGGAAACCTCCGATAGACAAGATACACGATACACAAAACAAAAACACCAAGAAATTACAAAGTAAGTCCCCACGTCTTACAAGTATGTACGTACAACTCTCAAGTCTAACTCTCGTCTCGGAGCACAGCTAGCCTACCTTATTGCGTAGTACGTATAACCTCATACGGTTAAGGTGGATCTGAGTTCTCCACAAACTCCCCTTTTTCTTCCAAAGTTGATTTTCCCCGCCTTTTGATATATCGGAGTACTGTTGTCCGATGTATTCAGCTTCTTGGTTGGGGTTGTGGAGAGAGAGAAGATGGAGAGAAGCAAGGAGGAGTGAGTAAATCCGATTGTTGGTTTGAGGCAAAGCTCATTCCGGGTTAGTTAATACATAAGATGGTGACTCGTCCTGGTGCAGAGACTGCATATGATCTTCGATATCAATTTCTTGTTCATCCTGAGTGAAGATTCTTTGCATCAGCAGACACTGAGTGACCATACACCATGACTCCAACAAGCCAGACAAATGGCGAACCGCTATCGGACGGCGGCTTCAAATATCTAGTCAAGAATCCCTATCTTTTCGGTGTTGCTTTGGTATGTCGCCCTTCTCTCATAGCTCGAAAAATGTATCCATGCTCACAAGATGTAGTTCTCAACCCTCGGCGGACTCCTCTTCGGATATGACCAAGGCGTTATTTCTGGCATTCTGACCATGGAGTCATTCGGAGCTCGATTCCCTCGAATCTATACCGATAGTAACTTTAAAGGATGGTTCGTTTCTACGCTTTTACTCGGTACGTCGTCCTTTTCTCTCGGGTAAGGAAAGAGATGATAAACTGATATTAAACAGCGGCATGGTTTGGTTCTCTCTGCAACGGCCCTGTTGGAGATCGATTAGGCCGTAAGGCTTCAATGTTGATTGCAGTGGTAATCTTCATCGTGGGTTCGACGGTACAATGCGGTGCTATGAATATTCCAATGTTGTTTGCAGGGAGAGCTGTGGCTGGGCTTGCTATTGGACAGTTGACGCAGATTGTGCCTTTGTTTATTTCTGAGGTGAGTCCACCAGAACCAGACAGGACGAGTATTGACTGAGATTGTAGATCTCCGTGCCCGAGGTCAGAGGAAGTCTCGTCGTGCTGCAGCAACGTATGCCCTCTTCCCTCCAACCTTGTTAGCTTCAACTAACAAACCAGTATCAATCACAATCGGCATCCTAATCAGTTTTTGGATCGACTACGGCTCAAACTACATCGGCGGCACACGCTGTGCCCCTTCAATCCCTTACACAGGCGGTCCACCATCCAAACGAACCTTCAATCCCTACACCGACATCCCCGCGAATAAGAAATGCACAAACCAATCCGAAGCAAGTTGGCGTCTCCCCTTTGCACTTCAAATTATCCCCGCTCTCGCGCTCGGGGTGGGAATGCTCTTTTTCCCGGATTCGCCTCGTTGGTTACTCATGCATGAACGTGACGACGACGCAATCGAGACATTGTGTAAACTGCGTCGTCGAGCCTCAAGGGATGATCCGGAGGTGATTAAGGAATATCTCGAAATCAAAGCGCAGATTATGCTTGAGAATTCTTTTGCGAGAGATAAATGGCCGAATTTGTCTGGGTTGAGACTTGAGGTTGCGCAGTATATCTCGTTGGTGAGTACGTGGGCGCGCTTTAAGAGGTTGGCAATTGGGTGTGTGGTGATGTTTTTTCAGCAGTTTATGGGCTGTAACGGTTTGTTCCCTTTTCATTCACTATTCTTGCGACTGAGCAGATGCTGATGGTTAAAAGCAATGATATACTACGCACCAACCATATTCTCCCAACTCGGTCTCGATGGAAACACAACCTCCCTCCTGGCCACAGGCGTATACGGCATAATAAACTCCCTCAGCACCCTTCCCGCCTTGATATTCATAGACAAAGTCGGTCGTCGCCCATTACTCATGTGCGGCGCAATCGGTACTTGTATTTCGCTCGTGATTGTGGCTGGTATTATTGGTGCTTATGGATCTGCGCTTGTAAATCAAAAGAGCGCGGGTTGGGCGGGGATTGCGTTTATTTATATTTATGATGTTAATTTCTCCTATTCGTTTGGTCTGTCCTCTCTCCTTCTGTTCTGCTGGTTGGGTAATGGATGGCTGATGGTGTTGTAGCACCCATTGGATGGGTTTTGCCTTCGGAGATTTTTAATCTTTCGATTCGATCAAAGGCGATTTCGATCACGACATCGGCTACTTGGATGTGTAACTTGTGCGTTCTACGATCAATGGACTTGAAGAAGGGATACTAACGAGTCCTACTAGTATCATCGGCTTGGTTACGCCAGATATGCTTTCGTCCATTACTTGGGGGACATATCTCTTCTTCGCGGTGTTTTGTCTGATTGCTTTTGCATTCACGTACTTTGTGATTCCAGAAACAAGAGGAAAGGTATGTACATTTTTATGAGTTAAGTTATAGAGACCGTGGATACTAACTGGCATGTCTCATAGACTCTCGAAGATATGGACCTCATCTTTGGCGATACGGCGGCTCATGAAGAAAAGGAACGTATTGTTCATATCGAGGCTCAGTTACGCGGAGTACCGCTTGTCAGTGAGGAAGTGCTCAAGTATGATATTGTGCAACAGGAACATGTCCATGGTCTGAACTAGGGTCTTGGTATCCATTTGGCGACTGGACGCGCATCAAGAGAGAAGGTTGCTTTCGTCAGGTATATCGGCCATGAACAGACGCTTTCGGGCCAGAATTGTTATGACTCTGCAAATTCCGGATGCCGAGAGGCACATACCCAATCGTAAAAACGAGCAGATATTCACTACATAAATGCCTCCTAGTAACTCTCGTCGTATTGCTTGGAATGTGAGGCAACTTATGAATAATGTTCTTGACCCGGATAATTCACCCATTCAGCAAAATCCACCCCAGCAGTAGGCGGTGCAATCCCAACTGCACCCGGGTTACCCAGCTCAGTCTGAAAGATTCCAAAACCGGTGTCGTTAAATAAGTGGCCCTGCGATTGCATTATAAATTGGTTCTGCACACTAGACTGGCTTTCGGCCAGTGAGCCAGGCGAGCATAGGCGGGTAATCACGTCAAGGCAACGGAGAGCTACCCAGTTATTGCTCAATGTTGGATGACTCAATATAGTTTTTGTTGTCTCTACATCTTGATACCAGGATGCAACGTCTGGTGAAGTAGGGTCGGTCATGAGAAAGATGATGGGGATAAGGACGGCTTGGAAAAGAAAGTACAAGATGTACCAGGCGCCGAGTCGTGTGCACATGTGTGTTTCCATATATTCCATCATACATGAAATGGTGGCTCGGGCAAACTGTAAACAGTGCAGTCTACATTCCCTTTCCGCTTCGTCTTCCGGTTCAACTGTGTTTTCTGTGGCCTTCCAGCGTTCCGAAGCCCAGCGAAGAACAATAGGCCGATAGATTAGCATTCTCATGTTCATGTCTCGCCACATTAATCGATTTCGCATCAGCGCCAACCAGTCTGGTTCGTCTGGAATAGCACTCTTCAGATAGTAAGGCAGTTCACTGTGCCATTCCTCCATAGGCTTCTGTAATTCCTGGGCCTCTGCAGTGGTGATGCTTGGGCTAGAGACGAGTAGTTGCTGGTAAACGTGATTGGTCTTCAAATGAAAATTCGCCTGTGCAATCAGACCAGAATATATGGTTGGTCCGTTGACTTCAGGTGGTAATGTCGTTGTGGCTGGTGTGAGTGATTCCTCATGGATATTCAGAACATGATGGGCATCCATTATGGATTCGTCTGGAAGAAGAATTGGACGTCCAAAAGTCTTTGCTGCGCCACTATCGAACATGAAGACTCCCCACCATAGCCGCCGGCGAATTTCCCGTTGTAGCAGGCTAATCTTCCAGCCTGGAAACTCTTTATGTATCCCGAGACTCATCGACATTCGTACAGCCAGCCCTAAATAATTCCAGCCCGTATTGGGCTTGTTGCGCTTTTGTGTGTAGTTGCTGAGAAGCACCAAGGCTTGCACTAGAGTGATGTTGCCCATTTCAAATACAGACATCTGTTGCAGGTAGCTTCTGGCTTCCTGATAGAAGGTTATATCCAGGTCTGAACTGTCATCGCCAATACACCATGCACCAAGAGCAAGAATCGTATTGAGAAGAATATGCCATACTGGCCCATGAGGTCGGGGTATCTGCTCGTGATATTGAGCCCTAAAGGTACTTTCGTGGACAAAAGGGTAACTGCTGTGATAGTTTAAGAAATAGGAGTCAATAAACGCTTGCTCCACCAATCCCGACGGAGCTGAACTGATTAACTGTGATTTAAGTGGTGCCGTTCTGTGATAACCGGATCCGCTGGGCGATGGAATATTCAGGTCAAAGCCATGCTCTGTGATGGCCCGCAGTGGAACAACGCTAGACGACGCTCCAAAGTAACCAGCTCCTTCAGGTCTGATAGACAAGGCGGCCATGCCATCAGAGAGATCCCCGAGTGAGATTTCTCGCTCCGCCCAATCGAAGCCATCGGCTTGTTGTGGGACTGCTTCTGCAGCTGGTTCGGAATGCTTGCTCTCAGGTCGAGGACGCGGAGAGTCTTTTGAAGAGACGGACGGCGACACAGATTTCCTACTGTGAGGGTCCTGATCCTGGAGCAGAGAGCTCACAACACTATCCAAATCACCGCCAGGGAATAGTTTGCTCAATGCCGTCTCAACTGCACTTAGCCGGTCTTCCACATATGTGAGATGTCTGCACAGTGTTAAATCTGGATGTTTCTAATAGCGAGAGTTCGTGCTTACTGTCGCGTCAAAGGACTTCGAACAACCTTTGGACTGTAGACACATTCCTTGCCGAGTTTCAAGCACTGGAGACACTTTGGCTTTCCTTTGGAGCACTTTCCGAAAGTTAGTCAACTCTGACTGTCTAATATATGCATCGGGTTATTACCCTTGACTTCCTCGCTCTGCATTCATCACACTGATATGATGTCAGCGATAAACATAAGAAATGGTCGATGTACGAAGCATACTGCAAAGTTCTGCGCATCACGGGCGCTGCTCATCTTGGAATATTCGGCCCGCAAAGCAAGCCGAAGGAAATAACTTTCGTATAGTCAAGATCATCTGTAAGTATCTACAAGAGTTAGTCCACTGGTATAGAACTATTCATTTCAAGCGACGATCAATAACGAATTTGAGGCATTGCAAGTTTCCTCATTGTCATTGCCACAGAAATACAAATACAGAAGAGGGGTTTGGATTTTCCGGGGAAACAAAAAGCTTCTTCGGGGGATCATATGCTCTCGCCAATCGAACAGCGTAAATCCGAAGAAACGGAGAGGGTTGGCAATAGACTCACTGTTTTGTAGACCAAAAGAACGGGCAATAAATGGCTCCATGTAAGCATCCGATGTTATCCGAATGCTTACCTCGACCGCTTGACACAATATCAACGTCCATTCAGGCCATTGTCATGTTGAAGTCTCGAGGCGAAGAAGAACCTCCTCCAATTAATCGGTTCAGGAACCACGTGATGGATGGGGTGGACGAATCAGAGTGTGTGTTCTCCTTACATTACCGAATGAGCCCCACTTTCCGTTGCTACCACCCCGCGTAACGGAACAATATAAATCCGTGATACTTGCAGCTTAATTGTCGTAATTACGGTGTATGTAATATTACCATCTCTTTCCTAATCTGGTAACATGTGTAAATCCTTCCCCTCTTGCAGTTCCTCTCTTTCCGAGCACTCATTCCGAAACCAATTCCAATTCCTCCAAGTCTCTCTTTCTAAATAGATTATATCCTACTTATGACAATTGCAGTGACATGCAGTCTCGCACTCATGCTAGAGCGGCATTGTCCACCGTCACCCGGCTCGGTGTTCCTGATGTTTTACGTGCATGATCTAGTATGTAGCAATCTTGACGGAATGACGGTCCGCCTTAGTTGAAACCTCTATATAGCATGACCAGCTGCACTGTTGACGGACAAGATGTGAAAACACTCATTACCTGATCCATTGTACTATACAAGAGAACAATATGTCCAGAGAACTCAGAGTCGGCGTCCTCTTTGCCGGCATAATCCAACTCCTCGATTTGGCTGCCGTCGACCTCTTCGGCATGACTACACCAGAATACCTCACCATCTGCAGTCTTCCTCGAATATCGTCGACTTGGCTTGGCCATTGAGGGTATTCTACAATGGCTGTCCAACAGCTACCGCACAACAAACCACTGGCAAGAACAACACTTCGAGTATAGTACAGGCCACATCCACGGCCGGCGTCTGTCTCACGCATACCATCGGAGATAACGAAGTCAGTCCCCGAAACCTCGGTATCCTAGCCATTCCGGGCCCCGAACCAACCACCATTCCAGACGAGAAAACTTAGGGGTTTGTGCGAGGGCATAACGAGAACAAAACGACGTTTCTAGTGATTTGTAGCCGTGCATTCGTCGCGGCACGTTCAGGGATATATAAAGGTCGACATGTGACGGGACCGAGGGCATTTTGCCTGTTCTGAAAAAGGAGTTACCCGCTGCTGAATGGGATGATTCAGTGAGAGTGGTGCAAGATGGGCCTATTTGTGCTGGCAATATGCCATCGATCCCTTCCGTTCGGAATCTTTTCACCCTTGATGATGTTTGACGCTGATCTGGGAAATGTCATTGTAGGAGGCATCACGAATGGTATCGATCTCGTGGCTGCATGTTTGAGAGCGACTTCCCGAGTGCCGTGGCGGAGACAGTATATTCTCTGGCAGAGGTTGGCGATAGAACTTTGAAATATGCTGCAAGTGTGAAATAGAATATTGTATTCGGAAAGCTTCCTGCATGTATATGCATCGAGATGATGCGAAGAGAGCAGAGTATCGGACTGCAGATCGTACAACTATGTAAAGAGTGCGTCAACATATATATAACCAATGATCCTCAACGTAAACATTCTCAATCAGCCTCCCAATTATAATCTCTTACCGAGACAAATCAACCGGCCAAATACTGTTATAACCGACGGACTACTCCATAAACCAATAGTAAACTTGAACACATTGACAGGAAACCATTCCTTTCATTGATCTAAGTTACATACAAAGGAAAGAACTTTGAATGACAGCAAAGCACAACGATGAGGACTATATAGAGCCATCAACTTTGAATTGGGGTCGGTCCGGTTTTATTTGATATTCAAGCCGGTCCCCGGTTCAGGCCAGTTACAGAAGTTTGTCTGAGATCACTGGCATGTCAGAAGGTATTCTCTCAGACGGTCAGTCAGTAGAAGACATTTAACCGGTCTTGTCGGGGTTGTGGTAGTTGACAGCGGAGTTCCAGCTGTTTAAATAGAGATTAGTATCCATGAAAACGGTTGTAGTGTTGAATGCAATCTGCATCAATTGATGGTCTGACTTACAAGATAGTCTGAAGACAAGGTTAGTCAGATGCTTTAATCAATATATAGGTGTACGACGTACCTTGTCACCGTCACCCCATGGGAAGTTCTTGGTGCGGATGTTCTGGTAGGAGTACTCGGTGCGCTCCTCAAGAGGGGGCAAATGGTTCCAGTGCTCCCAGTGCTCGTTCCACAAGTTATAGGCGTTGATGCTGCCACCAATGAGGCAAGGGATAACACCACTGACGAAGTATATCAGCAAACAAGTAGCAAATGTCATACGACGGATCGATCGGGTACATACAAGATGGAAAGTCTCAACCAGAGCTCTGTAGGCGATTGTATTAGCAATTGGACATTCGAAACATCTGCAAAGAAACCGGAAACAAGTTCTCGGCGCAATTAGAAGAACATACTGCTGGTAGAAGCGGCATGATGCTTGACAGCTTCACGCTCCCGGTTGAACGCGTTGTCGACAATCCAATCGGGCTTGTTAACCTGGGTGCTGTTGAAACGGCGCTGGACGACGTTGCGAGCAGGAGTCGAACGGGTCTGCTTGACCATACGGAGGCCGAGGCGCTGCATATTGTGTTGAGGAAGCATGGTTCGATACAAAGCAATTGGGCGAGTTTGCTGCTCTTGTTCAAGATTGAAGTGTGATGAAGGTTCGGGTGGTCTGACGAAATCCGTTAGTTTGGCCCCGTGATTCGCCGGAGTGCCGGAGCCGAGCTTCATGCGGCCACGCCAAGACATCGAGCTGCTTATGTCAGCTGCCAAGCCGTGACATCACTTGGGGTTTAGCGGCCTGAGGCAGGGACGCGATGGTGCGCTCCTTCCTGAAGTCACGGGATTTCCGACATGTCGAATACGCTGATTCAGCAGACAAGTATACCGTCTCAACTAGCATGTGGGACAAGTCGCCATGGGCTTCCGGATAACGACATGGAACGGTAAGTTGTGGATGTCTGATTCTGTTTGTCGCATAACTAATACATCTGACAGTCAACGGAATACGGCAAGTATAGATGTATACATGATATCTCCTGGATTGATGCTCATGCTGTCTTCTATAGAAATCCCTTTGGATACCAGCCATGGAGGGATAATCGATCATTCAATGTGAGCACTCTACTGCGCTGTTCTGGTGATGGAATACTTATTCTTGTCTAAGGCCATGTTCGATATCCTAGAAGCGGATATTGTTATCTTTCAGGAAACAAAAATTCAACGAAAGGATCTCCGAGATGACATGGTCCTTGTGCCAGGTTGGGACTGCTATTTCAGTCTCCCCCGGCATAAGAAAGGTACGTTTACCGAACATTGCGCTAGCGTCCATAACCTTACCGTGTATAGGATACTCTGGTGTGGTGATTTATACACGGAATGAAACGTGTACTCCAATTCGGGCAGAAGAAGGTATCACCGGCCTGTTGTGTTCTCCAAACTCTACAACGCCATACCGCCATTTACCGGATGATCAGCAAATTGGAGGGTATCCATCCATGGAGCAGCTTTCCGACCTGCAGGTTGACCCGGCAGTTCTCGACTGTGAAGGACGATGTGTCATTCTGGAATTCCCGGCCTTTGTTCTCTTAGGGCTGTACTGTCCGGCTGCCCGTGATGAGACGCGAGACGACTTTCGCCAGGGATTTATTAATCTACTGGACGCTCGCATACGGAACCTTGTTTCCATGGGTAAAAGGGTCATTGTTACCGGTGATCTCAACATTTCCGTTGGAGAAATAGACTCTGCCCACTTGACGGAGGCTATACGCAAGGGAACTGGAAGCGAGGATGAATTTGTCTCAAGCCCTGTGCGACGAGTCTTCAACCAGTTAGTCGAAGGCGCCAAAGTAGTAGGCCAGCGTGACCCCGCGAGAGAAGTTCCTGTTCTACATGATATCTGTCGTTCATTTCACCCCGGTCGAAGAGGAATGTATACATGCTGGGAAACGAGGGTGAATGCACGGCCGGGAAACTATGGAGCGAGAATAGACTACATATTAAGCAGTTTGGATATGAAAGACTGGTGGAGCGAAGCTAACATACAAGAGGGTCTAATGGTATGTCTCTTCAGAGTAAACTCAATGCCGTATTAACTTACGCAGGGCTCTGATCATTGTCCTGTATATGCGACCTTCAAGGACAAGATTTCTTTAGAGGGCAATGAGATTGATATCAAAGATATTATGAATCCTCCGGGTGTTTTCAAGAATGGAATTCGGCAGCGTGAATACTCAACAAAGGATCTTTTGCCTCTATCTGGTCGTCTCATTCCGGAGTTTACTCAGCGACGAAGTATTAAGGATATGTTTACTCGCAAGCCATCTTCATCTCTCAAGGATAGTGTTACGCCGATAACCAATGTTGTAGACGAAGAATCTGCACCGACTCCACCAGAATCTACTATTACGAACAGCGCTGAACCTTTCCAGAGTCCGTCCAAACCCGGACTGTACAAAACGCAGTCTAATGCGTCCAATGCTTCATCAAATGGCCTTTCTAAACGAACACGGAAAGAAAGTGCACCTGCACCACCTCCCAAGCGCAGTAAGTCTAGAGGCAAGTTGGATACAAACACGACAAGCAAGGGACAGCAAAGTCTTATAGGCTTCTTCAAACCCAAGAAAACGCAGGATAACCAGGATACAAATACCACTCAAGAAATTAGTGACCGTGGACTGGATGGCGCTTTCACGATCAGCCCTACAAAGTCTATATCACAGGTATTACCTTCGCCACATAAACCTACTCCAACTTCTCAGACAACGGCTCAAGACGACGGTTCGACGACAGAATCCACGGATGAGACTGTGATTGATCCAATAGTCAGCAAGGAATCATGGTCAAAGCTATTCACCAAGAAAGCAACACCAAAATGCGAAGAACATCAGGAGCCTTGTATCATGCTCACGACGAAGAAACCAGGCATCAACTGTGGTCGAGCTTTCTGGATGTGCTCACGACCTCTAGGTCCGACTGGTCAGAAGGAAAAGGGGACGCAATGGCGATGTAAGACATTCATCTGGGCGAGTGATTGGAATGGACAGGAATGAGCTACAGGAAGCAAGGGTTGGAACAGAAGGACTGTATTGAAGCCATCGCGATATCACAAACGTACAGCACATCTCTGGGATCTGAGCATTGAAAATCATGAATCTGTATCTCTACATTCTCATTGGCAGATAGACGAGTAGGACCAACACTCTCTGACACGTGACATCACATTCTCTCTCATGTTCATCAAGCGTCTTCGTTGCGGTGGCAGGGGACTGGGAAGATGTCCAACCTGGACGCTAATATCAGGCAATCGATATGGCGGTGGTGTCCGATATTAGAGAAACTTCTTCCAGACCACGTGCCTCAATTTTGTCGCCTTTCCCCGGCCACCTCGAAGCAGATCAGCCTCTTCTTTTCTCTTGAACGTCATCCTCGTCACCTGGGCAATGGACAAAAAAAAATTTTTTTTCACTGCTCGACAAACGATTTTGAGTCTGTGGCCACCTGACCCTCTCATGTTTCTGTTTCCTGGCCAGCCTCTTCTATGGCCCAACAACAGATCCCCAGCAACAGACTTTTGCAGGGCAACAGGATAATCGTCTAAACAACCAGCATTCAGATTTTCAGTCTCCCAGCAACACATCCGTTGCTGGCTGCTGACTCGTCACGGCAACCAGCCTCCTCTGATCCTAGGGACTTCTTCCCCTTCCCAACCACCCCCAAGATGAAATTATGTTATCAGCCTTGTGGATCTCTTCAGCAAAAACCGTGAAGGTAGCTGGCAATCCCCGTGGGGTCCCAGTCTGCAGGTTTAGAGAAAATTCTTCATGTCTTGTTTCAAGATGTCTTATATACGGGCTCGTAGCGCTGTCACCCAAGCCATTTTTTATTTCTGTGGGCCATCAGAATTCTCTTTCCAACCCCTGGATTTCGATACTTTCTGGCTCTTCAGGAGCTCTACATAGCTTGAAGGAATCGATACACAGGGTGCGAAACTCTCGTGGACAACGCTCTCAAAAGAGGAGTCTGCGAGCTCGAAACGACTAAGTCAGTCCGTCGAGTATGCACCTTATTTTTCAGGCATCCCATATATCTTTATGGTAACAACATCTACATAGAAAGACAAGAGCACAGCAAAGCCATTTTCTGAATTTACCATTCCATTCCACTATCTTCAGCTAAAAAACTATCTCCCCCAAGCAATCTCCCCTTTTCCTGGTCCCCCACCACCCATTGGACATAGGCACATAAGCCGTAAATATCTCTCCTCCATTGCAATCATCTCCATCAAGGCTCGTAAGAAAAAGAAAAGGCATCTCCTGAAAAGCAAATCTCTCCTCCATATCTCTCCCCCCCCTTCCTTCCATCCAACTTCCGCTAGTCACCTTGGTCACCCCCCTATCGTTCCTCTCCCACATCCCCAAATCACAGTCTTGTCATTATCATCGTAGCAAGTATCATCCTTCTCCCGTTGAATTGTTATAAGAAATGATCCAGGTTCGTAACGATCGTCGTAGATAAGAAGGAAATCGTAAGTCCCATAAGAATAAGAAAAAGTGTGTGCCCGGCATAACAAGCGTATTAAGGGGTTGAAAGCTATTAAAACAGACATAACGGCATAACATAGCATAACGAAACGAAACGAACGAACTAAGAAACTCGAGTCAGCAAAGGAAATGAAATGCATGTTGTGACTGAGAACTAGTTTATAATCAGGAATTGGGTGTGTGCTCATTCAACTCTTTGACGGCACAAACCCAGCGACTATCAAATGAAAAAGTTACTAGGATGGCGGACTGATGGTGTGTCACTTGGATGGACTGAAACAAGCATGCCACGAGTCCGAGGATCGTCAAAGTCGAGATCCATGGATCCCTCAAGGTTTCCTAAATGATGATTAGCCTTTCGTTCAATTGGCGTCACTTGCAGAGATACCTAAGAATTTTTCGAGTGCCGGCAACATATCAGGGGGAAACACTCTTTCGCGACTGCCTCGAGGTTGCCACAAGTTGGGGCGAAAATTGAACTATAGATGTAAGCAACAGAAGATCCAAGTGCCCCATGTATACTCACTGTGGTTGTCTGGTAACTGTAAAGCATTGGTTCCAATTTATTCAATTCCCTGTTGAACTTTGGGTTGGGCTACGTTGCAATCAGAAGAGTGAAGGAAATAGTGAAGAAAATGAGCTCCTCGATACTCACAGTCTCAATGCCATCAGATCGCATAGAGGGTGGAACCACTGTCTGTATTGTATTTGTTAATCGGTTTCCTCCAATTTTACGTAAGATTGCGGACTTACTCGATAGATTTTCTTTTCGATCTCCAGAAAGTGATCAACCCAGGTCCTCCAGAGTGCCCATCCACCAGGGGGAACTATGTGAAAGTTGCCTTGAAGCACTGATTCAGAAGGTTCATAAGGGCTGTTGCCATAGACATCCTTGAGAAACTTGGTTTTGACGTTTATTCCAGTACCAGGCGCTTCATCGTTCAAGAACTGGTTCCAGGGCTTCAGGTCGTACTGATAGGTGGGATGATTCAACCACAGCTCGATCAAATACTCGGATTTCTGAAGCCTAGCCCAGCAAGCTTTAGAAGATGACTCCCCTATAACGCGTGCCCATTTATCGTGGTTGGCGGACAGTTTAGATAATATGGCAGATTGGCATGTCTGCAGTAAAGACTCATCACGGCAGAGCCTTGGGTAGCGCTGTAGACGACGAACCTCCCTCGCGATCTCCACAAAAAAGAAGGCAACATCATTGACGGTTTGACAAAACTCGTCAGAATCAATAACACAGGTACTAAAAGATTGTTAAAACTTCTGTGGGCCTAAGAATCCTCACCCATTGTCTTTTGCAAGTTCTGGCACCTACCGGTTAGAGCATGAGACGAGATGCTTGAGAATAGAATGATAGCCTCGATCCAGCTTTGTCACGAGTTCGATGAGAAAGCGAGTGTCACAGGGCACAACGACATCTCCGCGTACTAAAACATGTCAGTAGTTGCCATGAGTCCAGAATTGTCAGACGTACTGTCGACAAGGCCTTTACTGAACTCCCATTGTTCAGCACTACCCACGTATAACGGGGCATCAGGGTTGTCTGGTGACTCGCGTTGGTTCATTCTCAGACTGTTAGACTGTTGTTATGTCAATATCTTGACGTTAGAGAAAAGCAATATGAGTTTAGAAAGTCTTCGATGGGGAGGTCGGGGCGAATTATAGATATTATGTGATAGCCAATGTAAATAATGAAAACAAACGCTAGGAGGATAGTTTCTGAAACGAGCAAACAGTGACAAATCCGAGACTAGTCCGCAAGTGTTTGCGTCGAAGATTTCTCTGTTTGCATTAGAAGAGACACCCAGCCCCCCATTGCCCAACCCTTCATCCATGCCAGCCGTCCACTGTCAACCTCCCAAGAGAGCCTGACTATTTATTTGCTCCCTCTCCCCTTCTTCATCTTATCCCTTCGTTCTATCCTTCTCTCTCAACTCTCTTTACATCTCAAAGACTTATTATCACCAATATTTCTACTGCAACAACTCCAAGCTTGTATCTTTGACTCTCTTCATTCACTCGTGCAATTTATCAAAATCGCCTTCTCAAATGGCGACTGGTACGATTGAAATGGATTCCTTGCAGAGGGCCTTCAACCTTTTCATCCTGGGCCTTCCTAGCAATGACCTGGAAAGTCTCCTTACCTCCCTCCGCGATGATGGATCTCGTACTGGGTTTGAAACCGAGTTCCTGAGACTCACAAATGAAGTCCTTACTACCGTCTCTACCAAGGAGGCGCCTGGTAGCCCAAATTCCTCTGATAGAAACACCGGCTCCAGCAGCAGCAAAAAGTCGACGGACAAGAAGTTACGTCCTTTGAATAGTTTCATTGCCTACCGAAGTACGTGTGAGCAGTTCTCGTTGACGAACTCACTTTAGAAGTACATGCTAACAAGATTATTAGGCTTTTACTCGGCTATTTTTCCAGACATAACTCAGAAAACCAAGTCTGGTATCATCAAAGACCTGTGGCAAGCCGATCCCTACAAGGCTAAATGGGCTATTTTAGCAAAGGTTTACTCGACGCTCCGTGATGATCATGGACGAAATGTCACTCTGGAGACTTTCTTGAACTTGACTGTTCCGTTTATTGGTCTGATTCAGCCTAATGAATACCTGGCAGCCATGGGCTGCCGAGTCGCGTTCACTGATGAGCAAAACTACATAATCGAAACCATCTCATCACCCAGGACTGATATCTCCGAGGCAACAAACTACTCTGTTGCTGATGTTGTCGACTTCTGCTACACGACCGGCTATGTTCATGCTGATGGTACCCAACACGCTAATCAGTCCGCGACAACTTCTCAGCTTTCATTTGCCGCACATTCAAATGGCAATATTCGAACCGACCAGGCAGCCATTGTATTGGACAATGTCAATCGTGTCATGCCTCACAATGGACAAATTGTTGCGACACAGACTCAGGCCACTACCAGTGAATTGCTCAGAGTTCGTTACCCCATGCAGACTCAAGATGAAATGGTCGAGAACATCAGAGCTAAGATCGAAGAGCTGAGCCAATACAATGGTGGTGATCCAGACATGTATGCAGTTTTCAATCCCGCAGTGCAAGGATTCCCCGTTTACGATCCTTTCGCTCACGACCCATTTGATGCTTACGACATCACTGAGATGCCACTTTGATTCCGACTCCTACACACTGGAACTTCTTGAATTGAGTCCAAATCATCTCTCGGATCAGCGGTATAGTCTATCACTTCATTGAAGACAAAAAAAATTCGATTTCCAAATGGTCTCCATGTAAGACAAAGGCCAGGGTCAATACTGATGAGCTTCTCAGGATCTCTCCTTTGATGTTTTCTTCTTCATCATCATACATATCATTGGTTTTCTTCTTTGTATTGCATTCTGGTGTTTTTTCTTTCTATTTTTTTTATCATTGCTTTTTCTCTTCGATGGCATGTCCTTTTCTAGCGGATAGCAAAGACGCTATCGACTCAACACAAAAGGAAAAAGAAAAAAGGAAGAAAGAAAGGGGAAAAAAAACTGGGAAGAAAAGAAAAATAATCACAAAAAAAAGAAAACAAAATTTGGGGGAGGCAAGTCATTGCATGCATGGCGAAACGAATCATGATTCTTACGACGGTCAGATACCAGGCGGCGCATGCTTAGGCGTGGGTTTACAAGTAATGGCATTCAATCAAGGATGCAGTAATGGGTGGATGTGGAAAAGGGGGGATGGTGGAAACGCGCTCTCTATGGAGGAGGCTAAGATGTCTTTCTTTTTTTTTTTAGTTTTTCTTCCTATGTTACTACTTGCATGCAGTCATCGACGATCAATACTTGACTGTGACAGCAATGTCAAATTAGCTCGCTTTAGGTAGAAAATGGAATGAAAATTGGTCACTCTTTCTTCTTGGTAGAAACGATGCAGACTAAGGTAGTCGAGTCTGCAGCTGTCTCGATTCATCCCGTTTCTTTGCTGTCGATATACAACTTTTTTCTTTCCCCTCTTTCACCTCCTCCATCCTCGCCGTCAGCCAACGCCTAGGTACATAATTGCGGTGCATTGCTAGTCATGGCTGGGTCTTTCTGCACAGGACACGTCAGTTGGGGCTCGAAATAGACCTCGATCGAAAGAAAGTGTCCGTGAACACTCGATGTTGAAAGCCGGAAAGAAGCTAATTATATTTGCATGTATGGATCTTTATGGAGCACGGATTACCATCAACGAGAAGTAGTTCAGCTTCTGTTTAGGCAGACCGGTCTCGATAATCGTTACCAAGAGGAGGAAACGCCTGATTGCTCCTCAGCCAAGTACGAACACATATGAGCTGGAAGGTCGGAGTAAATCGAGGACTGGAACACCCCTTCCTTTTCTTTGCCTTTTCCTTTGTGGTCAACATCGCTTGCCAATTGGTGGTTCGGGGAAAGAGAACAAAGCACCCCTATATGACCGGGATTTACTTGATATGGATACTAGTATCGCAAAGCCACGCGAGAGCTGCAGGAGGGAAAAGGGACGGACGGACCGAGAACGCATCTCCAATAGACGGTCTGCCTGTATCTGCAGGTCGATTTAGGCCCTGCAGTTTTCTCTCTTGAGCTATGGACAAGCTGTGATCCTCGCCGTCAATGATTTTCTAGCACTTCCCAGCTTGAAATCGGCCGGCGAGACTCGATGGTCTGCTCCGTGGATGTGGACATACCCACTTAATATATGCATCAAGGATTGTGCGTCGTGCATACATATCATCGCTATAAATCGTTGTCACTTAGAGCGAACGGATGCAACCCACTTGGCCCGGTTTTGGATTCTTCAATGATCTGGTGATACGACGGTTTAGAGGCTCTTGACGTGTTCGAACACGGCTAGAAGAGACGCGGAAGGCCATGAAGAGAACAAAGAACGTCGCGATAAAGTTGCCGGGTAAATTGGCCGTGCGTCGGATTGAAAATGGATGGCTGCAGGCGGAGACTGAAATACATGCACCCAGTCGGTTGACACCATTCGACGTGAGTATATAAAAGAGTGCGGCAAAATTATGTGACATGGATTAACCAAGAAGGCTCTCGTTAGTAGTGTTACTCTGCATACCTTCAACCTGGACCGGATCGAAATCGTCCAAGTTCCCCGGAAAAAGCAAACCAAGCCACTTTGATCCTCGACGAACGAACTCTCGTTCCAACGGACTGGAAACTATAGCCGCCGTGCAGATGACAGGCCAAGATGCTCGTGCCGAAGCACATACACTCATATAGCTCATACGGGGACAGAATTCAGACCAGGCTATGATGATCGACATACTCGATTCTGAATGTTGCATAAGGCACGATTCCTGCATGGGTCTCGTTTAGTTGAGGGAGGCTTCAAAAAAAGAAAAAGCACACACACACACACACACACACACACGACCACGTCTATGAAACTAGACACCGGCGTGGCAGGCTCTGCATCCGATTCGACGGAATTTGAATATGTTCTTGATTACTCTGTACTATCCCTGCAGTTGCAGATCTATAGTCTGAAGCTTGTTATATGAGTTCATCTTCCTGCAACTCCCCCCTCCCCCCCCCTGTTAACACCGAGTCTGCGGATTGCTGCAACCTGCCATGCAACTCAAGAGGGACCGGGCCGGCTAGGAATAAGAATGAGTATGTATCTGAATCTTGATCCGTGCGAGGTTGCTTCTGTCTGACTAGTTAGTAGATAGTGCGTAGAGGCGTTGTGAAGAATGTTGTCGAGATCGAGACGGGGCCGATACGATCATCACCGAGGATTGGATTTGGAGTTGAATGTGTTGGTACGGACGTGAGATGCCTGGGGAGGTCCCTTCGTAGTAGTTACTTAGACTGTTAGGTGTAAGGCCGGGACAACCCTGTTATGCAAATCTGGCCGAAATCAGTATACTGTGCCTACCTACCTACCTACCTACATACGTAGGTAGACGACAGTCTACTTGAGACATACCTACGAGATAAATATTCCGAAGAATGAAGACAAATAGATTGAACTACATACGCCATGACAACATTTTAGCAAAATCCGACAAAAGAGAATCGAGAAGACAAATATAAGAAAAAGTACAAAAGGTATGTTTACTGTAAACTTTCTCACGCAGTGATAGGGGTAGTGAATGGGTAGTTTCATATTCAACTCAAGAAACGTATAATATAATAAAAAGATTTTGATAATAAGCAGTAGATTATTCCTTTACAGAAAAAAAAAAAGAAAGAAAAGGGAAAAAAAAAAAGAATGTCCGAGTAGAAGGAATGATTCCGTATGAGGAAGAGAAGATTACTCTTCCTGATAAGATATCTTACGCATTTCTCCCAATCTCGTTCTTGCGCGTGAAAGTGCGTTTTCGAGTTGAAGGATTTCGACCTGTAATTCCCAAGCATTAGAAATATCATAACAAATCGAAGGGAAGAAGGAGGGGAAAAGGGGAGTACCTGTTGCTCCATCTCGCGAACTTTGAATTCATGACCACTCAATTTCGAATAATCAACCGATTCACCTTCATCCTTATTCTTCTCTGCAATGATAGCCTGTACTTGGCGTACAAGACTCCTACAAGCTGCGCCCACGGCTTTACTGGCTGTCTCGAGACGTTCCTGTGTCTTGCTCATGAAAGTCGCTTTCACGCGTGATGCAGCGACCAATTGGGCCGTGCTGGCAGCGACATCGTTAGAAGCCACGATGAGTTGTTCGGGGGAGTTACGGCCTGAAATAACGCCGTCTGCAGTCTCGATCAGGCGGTTTGTGGACGTGGCTACTGCCTTGGCGGCGGATATCAAGCCTTCGGTCCAGCGGTTATTCTTTTTGTAGAATGCTGTGCGCGATGAAGAGCCTCGGCCTTCGCGGACGATTTCTTGTTGGGATTCGGTGGCGGCTTTGATCAGTTCGGCGATCGCGTTGGTGATGGCTAATGCGGCTTCGAGGATGGTGTCGTTGACGCGTAGTTCGTAGGTGGTGTAGCCGTCGCGAGGCTTCTTGCGGAGTTTGGCGAGGCGTGCGACGGCGGCATCGATGGCGTTGGCGGCCTTTTCGAGTTCTTGGTCAACGAGATCTCCCAAGTCGCCTGAAATGCTGAGCTTGGTGCCCTTTGGTGCGAATGTGTCGACGAATTTGGAGAGGGTTTGGAGATCGCGCTGGACTTCGAGGTTGTTGTTGATTACAACGTCGGTCTTTTGTAGTGGCTCAAGACCCTCGAGACGGAATGACTGTAGACCCCGGAGGAATCGGATGGTGGCTTGGGCAGGCTTGCGGGCAGCGTTGATCAGTTGATCAGAGTTCTTGTCATCGGTTGCGAAACGCGTAAGACCCTTGGTGTTGCTCAAGACATCAGCAATCGAGCCGGCAAATACAGACACTGTACGAATAATCTCCGCGTGCGAACTGTTCGGTCCGTCGGCGATGAAGTTGTTGAAAGCAGTGGAGAACTCTGTAGCAGAGGCAGAAGCCTTTTCGACTTGGGAAAGCACGTATGCAGGAGAAGCGTTCTGGTTACCGGCCTGCATTGAAGATTCCAGTTCGTACAAGGCCTCGTCCACACGTTGGACACCGCTTTGCAGCACAGAGTCGATAATATCGTTAATCTTGGCAACCGTTCCATGAAGGACTTCGTCGATTTGGGAGTCGAGAGCGTGATCCACATCTCCTTGGTTCTACAAATATTAGTTTACTCGTAGCCCATAACCTCCTTCGTGATACATACCAATTTAAGCTCCTCAAGTTCCATCAAAGCCTGCTCCATGCCAGACTTGTACACTTCAATCTCCTCATCCTTCTCTCGCAGAGCAAGTTCGTGATCTTCATTAAGCTCACCGCGCTTGGAGGTATATTCTTCCAGAGCACGAGTTTTTTGCTACACCAGTTAGCATGCAACCTATAAGTCAGAATGAAATAACATACGCGTAATGCCTCCTCGAGATCCGCCATCTCCCGGTTATACTTGGACAACATAGAGGAAATCTCCGTTCCCTTTTGTCTCTCTGCATTCTCTGCACGCTCAAGAGCAAGCCGCAGCTCACGCTTCAACTTCTCCAACTCCTCCTTATTCGTACCAGTCAAACGGTCACGCTCATGTAAGGCACGGTCACGCTCCCTGATCATATCCGCAAGCTCCAGGTTCTTCGTCTTCATTTCACGCTCGAGTTTCTCGCGCTTGTCGATTGCTTCCTGAGCAGATGCAGCCTTGAGTTTGAGGGCTTTGGTGGTCTGCAGCAGATCAAGATGTTCTTGTCGAAGTTGTGAGTACAACTTGGCCAGAGCCTCGTACTTGGAGCGCCAGGTGTTGACCTGCTCCTGGAGTGCTTTGATCTGCTCGTCCTTGGAGTTCATTTGGAGGTTGAAGTTGCTATTGAAGTTGTTCAGCTGCTCCTCGAGGTCCTTCATCCGCTTATCATACTGCTGAAGCAGAAGCTGATCACGCTCGTATTGTGCACGAGCATTGAGATTCTCTTGCTCCAGCTCCGCCATCCGACCTTGTGTCTGCTGCGCATATTGATCACGGAGCAGCGCCTCCTGGGCGAGCCGTTGTTGTTCCGCTTGAAGTCTCTGCTGTTCCTCGAAGTCGCGCTGCGCCTGCTGTTGAGCCAGCATTTGTTGACGCTGTTGTTCTTCCCATTGCTGCTGTAATCGTCGCTGCTCTGCTTCAAACTCTTCCTGCTGGCGTCTCGCTTCGTTGTTCCAAAAGTCGTTAATGGGCTCTGGTTCTGGAGCTGTTGGTTTGGGAGGCGGTGAAGGTTCGCGCTCAACTTCCTTTGTTGGCCGCTTCGGGAGAGCCGGTCGTGTGTCATCGTCTTCAGCCAGCAGACTAGGAGGATCTTGCGGGAGCTTGGGAACGGTGATTAAGCTTGTAAGATATCGCAGATTGGAACACTCGTAGTAGAATCGGACAAGTCGGTAGTGTTGAGCATCATAGCGGCTGCGGAGCGGCTCAAGCGCCTCGTCATCACCGGTTGCTTGGTCCATCAGTCTTCATCCGTACCACTCGGAAAGGTAAAAACTTACTCGTGTGCATTGCGCGCAGCATACTGGTAATAAACTTGTAGATTCCATAGCTCTCCTGGACCAGAGGCACCAGAGCGGATATCCTACACTCATTGTTCGTTCCATGTTGGAAATGCGAGAAGATCAGTTTCTGAAAGGAGTCGATCTGGTCTTGTAGGTTCATAAGGTCCATAATGGCCTCGTAGCTTTAACCGGTCAGTCTAGCTATCGACGCGATGGGACAGCTCTACATACCCTTCGTTCGGATCGTTGATAGTCTTCAAACTAATGTACTCCTCGTATTCAAAGAGGCCTGTTCCAATCGTCACTTAGCATATCATAACAACCAGACATCGTCAGAACTAACCATTGAACTCGGGATGATTGCGATGAAAATGGAGCTTCGACTCCAGGAACATAACATAGTCATGAATCAAAGGACCGTATCCTTACCCCATCAATGTCAGCATAACACAAACCCAAAAAATCTCGCTTATAGAAGCAACACACCTCGCAAACCCTCCCCGCTCACGCCTCTCATCAAACTATCAAGCCAATTGACATGACTCTGCGCTTCACGGATCGCAATCGGATGACCTTCCTGAAGGACTTTGTGTATCGTAATAAGGGCTTTGAAAGTCTGCACTTCGTCCGCAAGAATGGGTTGTCTGCGCGATTTTGAATGTAAGCTTTGTTTCAAACTCCATTTCCATATACGGGACGTACACTTTCATACCCGCCCAAAAGGCAGTTGAAGATTTGTGGTCCCATGTATACACAATACAGCTTCGGACATGTTTTCCTAATCATCACGATCGAGTCAGATGTTATCAGCGCACAAGGACCGGACAAGACGGAATAGAATCGGGGGGGGGGGGAAGAGGAATACTCTTCGGTGCAGTTTCCTCTGTCAATCACTTTGTTAGCACATATTTTCGTCTTTACTTCCAGTGAAAGAACTATCAAAAGCAGACCGAGGAAGGCAACATACCAATACTCGTAGCTTTGCGAATATTAACCGCAAGATCCGCCTCGGTCCTGGACGAACGATAAGGGTCAGCAATTGTTCGCACCGCAAATCACAACCTTACTACCTTCAAAGAGAAAGAAAATCATACCTGCTCATCTTGAATACTCAATCCTCAACACCCGATCAAGAGAACAAGGAACGAAAGGAGTTGAAGGGCGGGGTTGTTGTTGTTATGGTAGTTCCGGGAGAGCAAATGAAGCTTGCTTGCTCCAAGATAGAACGAGTCTAGGTCCTCTGCCGCCGCCACAGCGACCGTAACCTCCTGAATACCTTTCTCAAAAGAACAGCGATAGAAACGTCGCGAGAATGCAACACGAAATAAAGAAAGACAACTGATGTGGTCAAACACAACACAATTGATATACTGATACAGAGAAAGACAGGCAGACAGATTCCCCCAGCATAAATGACGTTCCTGGCTTGCCGTTGTTCCGCTCTCGGGCCAATCAGGTTACAGTCTGCGGGTCTTGGCATGGGCTATGCTTGACTGAGATACATCGAGATATCAGAATATTAAAGATATTATGTTGGTAATATGTTGATAGAATCGATTCATTGGTTTATATGAGATAATAGAGAAGATAAATAAGCATACAAACGCCGCCGGATCTCTTCCTCCCACCCAAAACGCCCGCTTGCAGATGGCCGGATCTGCAGTGCCTGAATTTCGATGAATGCTAAAGAAAAGATATAGTAAAGTATAGCATGTGTACGACGTGGTTATCGGTTATAAGAGAAGGTCCTCCTGCGATGGCGTCCAACCGGTGTTGTGTTTGGCTGTGGTCTCTGCTTCAACAAGAGGAGAGGAGGCGGGTTTAGTCTTGGCCTTGGATGCTGTCGATGAAGTATCAATATCCTCTGAAGACCCGGATATCTGCTCAAATCCCGAGTCCCACGGAGTATCATCGTCTTCATCAATGTGGTTATCACTCGTCTTCCTTTGAATATCAACTGGGGCAGTCTCTTCTGGCTTCGAAGATGATAGAGTCACATCGGATACAAGATTCGTCGACATATTCGGCGGCAGTGGCGGCGCAACAGCTACTGCAGGACTATTCGGTTCCGAATCTGGAGGCGCTTCGACGACAAGTATCTCGTCAGTGAAAATGACGTTATTGGTATCTCTCAAAGGTACAGTCTTTCGTTTCGGTAGAGGTGGCGACGGTACAGGCCGTTTATCCTCCTTCTTCTCTTCTGACGATTGACCTGGAGCTGGTGGGACGGGTTTCCTTCGCGGCATACTAATCGAATTCGACATGAATCCGTTACGCTCTGGAGGTGGTAGCGGTGTTCCTGGAGGAGGAAGTGGTCTGCCGCGTCCGATGGGATGTTCTGGTGTGCCAGGTTTGAAACTTGCGTCTCCTGGTTGTCTTCGCTGGTCGGACTTGTTCAAGACATTCCATCCCCATTTCTTTGCTGCTGCAGTAGCTGTTCCAATGGCGGCGATGGTTGTAGATCGTTTGTCAGATGATATCGAGGTAAATGACCGGTTGTTGCTCTCGAATTTGCCTTTGAAGTTATTTCCGTCGCTGGCAGTGGTGGAAGAAGTCAAAGAAACGTTACTAGCCATAGCGTCGGAATTGGAGGAGCTCGGCCGTTGTGATTTTCCACGTTCGTGATTTAATAATACATCGTTGAACATTGTATCTGCTGAGTCACTGGATGCAGCGTTTTCCAAAATACTTCCTTCTGGTGGTGATCCATACGGCGTACTTGACACCGAATTTGAGTGTGAGCGGGTTTTAATCTCCATCATTGAAGATGTCGCATCTCGTTTCGATCTATTCCGTCTGTGAGCCTTGGGAGAGTCGCCCTCTGTTTTCTCCGCTTTCCCATGGTCGGCTGTAACAACAGGTTCCGCAACGTTTGAAAACGTCCGTGTTCGAATGGTCTCTAATGGCGATGTGTTGCTCCGTTTATCCACAGACGAAGAAGTAGCACCTTCATCAATCGGAGAGTCGACGGTCATAGACTTGAAACTCTTACTAGATCTAAGAGACGGAGGATTCGATTTGGCAAAATCAGGCGTACTCCAGCTACGCTCATCCTTTGTCTTTAGCGCATCGACCGGAATCGCATCTGCTGTCTCTTCAGATTCCGTACGCGCTTCCGACTCATCGGGAATCTCAACTCCATCCTGATACTTCGGTATATCTCGTTGCCAGACACCACCCCGGAACGCGAATGACGCCGTATCCAAGAAAGGAACATCGTCCCAGTAAGGATACACCAACGTCTCCTCGACCACTTCACGGATCCGACTTTCAATCCCTCGGAGGATAATGCCGTACGTGATTTGTCTGGTGCTAACAACCGGTTCGATGGACATGGTCATGTCAGGTTTCGTAGCGAAGCAAAACCAAACTCGATTGCTTGGTGACGGTTTGAAGCGTATTAGCATATGACCAGTCAATCTTTTTAGTACCACTGCGAGAACCAGATCAACCGATCTAGCTTTGATCCGAGGACCTAGTTCGATACGAGCGGTTGCTGAGATTTCGATGCGAAAGTTGCCGCTGTAGCTCACATCGGTCTCTACGGTACAGTCTCCGTCGACGGTCAAATCTTTTAGTCGTGGGTTAGTGATCGAGGGTGCACCCTGGCCCATGTCGATTTTCCGTAGTGCAATGTTGGATATGAAGTTCGGTTTCGGAACTCGTGAGATCTTCTTCGTAATCTTTGTTTGCACAAATTCATACATCTCTGGAGTCTTGTACATGGCAAGGAACCACCTTCCAATTAATGCATTAATCCATCGAGTCTGTAGATGGTCTTCGGAAGCATGAAGATCCTGCACCAACTTAACGATATCCTTGGGGTCGTAGAGTTGCGGTGACGGCGGAGAATTGGGTGAATTGGGAATCTTTTCCTGGGTCTTCAATAATGCATGGTAAAAGTCCTCCTTGGCGGATTGGCTCTGGCAAAACAGATAGAACGGCGGAGTCAGTCCTCGCAGATCGGCAATCGAATCCTCCCTTCGACTCAGACAGATGGCATTGCGTTTTGCATATAGTTCGCCTTCAGGAATATCCTCTCCGCCGCCGTATATCGTAACATCATGATGAGCAAGGGAAATGACATGTCGGACTTCAATCTGTTGTTCGTCGTCGTACAGCATCAAATGGCCATGTCTGTGACTGTCAGCTTAACCCTCCTCCAGAAAGAGGGAGTCCATCAGCAAACCTAAGAACAATATAAAACACGTTTCTCGCCTTCCTAAAATTCCGGCCTCCATTATTATGATTCCCCGGCTCAATACTCGCAGAAGCCGTCTTCCGCTCAAAGATACTCCGATACATGCTCTGGTAAACACTAGGACTCTGGTTCTCTGTCCCCACCACCTCGCCAGCCGGCGTTGTTCTCTCGGGTGGTTTCCCATTTACGCCTCCGGGAACATATTCACGACAAACCGCAAAATAGCCCGCCGCAGCAACATCGGATTCGTGGGCACGGTGAAACTTTTCGGCGAGGACGTCGGTGCCGCTTTTGAGGCTGAATTGGTCATCGTTTGGTCGTAAGAGACTCGATCTTCTCGCGAGTGATCTATTATTCTCATCGTGAATGCTATTACCGTTGTTATCGCTTGTGTTGTTGTTTCCGGATTGCTGATTAGATACCGAACCAGTCGTAGCCGCACAGGAAGCTGAAGATGATGACTCGTCGTGTCTCACGGGCGGCTTGAGTGTGAGATATGCATGAAGAAATAGTAGGGCGACGATGAGAGGGAGAAAAGTAACGCCGCCGAGAACGTAGATGATAACATAGCCGGTGAATGAACCCATCTCCCTTTCACAGCATCGATAATGGCAGACCACGGGTATGATGCAATGACGACTCCATGGAGGAGAATAGACTCGAACACGACACGACGAACAGACGCGAGTGTTGTTGTTGCTGTTGTTGTGGTTGTTGCAAGAACGGAAGAATGAATGAGGAAGAAGACAGATGATGGTTGACTGACAGAAGTATTGTTAGTTGGTAAGTAACGGTAATGTCATGATGTCTCGGGGCGGGAATGTATCTACATGTAACGCGATGACGCCGTCACGGTGCTCAAAGGGAGCCCCGCCATTCGCTGAGCCATTACTAACTCAAACTGCTTATTTTATACGAAACGCTGTATTTACCATCTCTATGCTCAAAACTATGTACGAAGTCGATAATCTCGTATACATCGCTCAACAATGATACGTCGAAAACAAATATGTATCCATGCAGAAAAACAATCATGTAGCCGCTCTCGACTCTTCAATAGACGGTCGCTCGATCCTCTTCGCCGTCGAAGGCACATCATCCATATCCGCATACTCCGCACTCTCGGTGTCAATCACCAGCCTAAGACCTCCAAAATTCTTCCTTACAGGCGACGTATTACTCGATTGACGTTGATGTTGCATCTGTCGTTGCTCGACATCCCTACTCTTGACAGGAGATGACATTGGAGACCCCAACATTCGAGTCCCGCCCGCCCTGGATTCATCCGGCGGAGTCGCAATCGGCCGTGTTGCAGCCGTATTAAGCTTTAGAGGCTGCTGTTGCTGTTGTTGATCCGACGTCTCCAACTCATTTGCCAGACTCTGGAAATACTGCGCCGCCTGTTTCGTAACCGAATAATCAATCGGTGTAAAATTCGCTTTATTCGGAGACAACGGCGGTGTCCCTGCGGCAAGTAGAGCACGAACAGCTTTCAAATTTCCCCAAGCAGATGCATAATGTAGCGCCGTATTTCCCGCGATATCCGTCGCCGTCACTGAAGCGTTGTATGAAAGTAGTATAGTAATAGTAGCGATATCTTCAGAGGCTATTGACGAATTCGTAGAGACTGCGCGGGGCCGACGACCGGTCGGAGGGGGGATGTGGGAAGAGCTATTGGCAGTGACCGGGGCATGACTGGGATTCGAGTTTTGTGCAGCTAGCATTAGCGGTGTTCGACCTTCATTGTCTTTCCAGTCGACTGTATGTGGGAATGTGCGACAGAGTAAGTCGACACAGTCCGGGTGGGAGTTGGCAGCGGCGAGATGGAGGGCAGTAGAACCATCGATGTTGAGACTGATGCCGGGCGCAGAATCATATCCTGTACGATCAATATTGGGAGTGCACGAATCATGTCCGAGCGATAATAGAAGTTTCTTCATAAGCCAGCGTCAATCAAATCATCGGTCCTCTATCTTGGAAAAGAGACGTAACAAACCACAATCTCCAAATGCCCCTTAATAGCCGCCAAATGCAATGAAGTATTACTCCGATCCTCAAAATCTGGATTCTCCAAATACGTCGGATTATTCTTTATGATGCGCTTGACCAGCAAGACATCATTCTGCAGAATTGCGCGTCGGAGACGTGCTGGGACTTCGATCTCAATCCTGCAACAACAGAAATGTAAACAATGACGCAAAAGAGGACGGGAGTTGCGGGGGTTTAACTTAATGGTCGTACATTTCATCGCAGCTTCATATCTTCCGGGACAGAGTAGGTGGGATCACACGCAGTCCATAGTTAGACTGTAGACTGTATTTGAGTATGTAGAATTTGCAAAGGATGTAGTTAATGGTGTAAGATGATGGTATGTTTGTAGCAAAAGGAGAGAATCACATGCTGTTGAGGCTGCGTAAGCTTAGGAGTAGCTGATTGGCTCTAGTGGGCCTCAAGCATTTCTCCACTATTCTTCTTGAACTGTATGAAGCTCTCCTTAAAGATGAACAGCATCCTCAGAAATAAAAATATTATTATATCATAGAGAAAGAGAAGCAGGTCATATCGATCGCGGAAAGGACATAAGCCACCGATGATTCATATTCCGATCAAGATGCAATTTCATAAACATGAATCATAAAGTAAAATGATAGCGATTGTCAATGACATAGGAGAAAAACTCAGAAAAGGGGCAATGAGGATAGTACATCTTACAATACTAACTGAATGATCTCTCAATTGGCTGCAAAAGTGAAGAAAGCAGAATAAAAAAAATGCTGAAGCGCTATCACATGAAATCCAAAGCATGATTCGTTCCGTTCGTCGTAGGTATAAAAGTCATTGAAGATAGAGCACCCAGGTAACTGCTTTCGAGTAGAAAGACGATTATTGCGTCTTGGTGGTCGTTTGAGTTTCCGCTGGTGACATTACTATATCCCCCTTTTGTTTTCTCTATTCCGTTTTCCCCGAGATCAAAGCATATAATGTCGTCTATTTCCGTCCCTCATTCGGTTCCCAATGAATAGGCTCAAAATCCGAGTTGAGGAAATGAGCCTGGTTGTATGGTGAGCTGATAATATGTCAGTAATATATCAACAAGTACATGATGTGCAAGACGTACTTTTTGAATGGAGTAGTCACCGGAAGCGAATGACTCAGGTTCGGTTTCATCACCAACGGATTGAGACGAATTTGCGGTCCATCAGATGATTTCGTCGTAGGCAGACTAAGCGGTAACGAAGGAGGAGCAGGAGATGACACCGTAGACGGTATCGGCGGGCTGATAGATGGAGAGTAGAATTCCTGCTGGGAAGGAGATGGGATGAATTGAGGCGGTTGAGGAGATGCCATCATTGGACTGGATACTGCAGGGAATGCAGATGGATCCATCATGAGACCTGGTATTGCCATCAAGTGCGGGTTTGCATCGAATGCGAGAGCGCTGCTGTCCCAAGGATTGAAGTCCGTCGACATCCCATATTGAAGGTTGACTATGGGTGTCATGTTGAAAGTCGGTTCAGCCGAGTAGAGGATATCATAATGGCCACTACACATTAATTATCAGTAAAACCCTCTCGAAGTTCACTGCATCGGACATAGCACACTCACGGGCGATATAAAAGTCTAATAGTGGCTAAGCTCTGTCTGTTCGGCGTTAGAAGGTGTGGAGTAACCGCATCACCCTGACTTCGGTCGAGATAGAGAATCTCAACGGCGATATCAGAACCCTCAATAACACTGTCCACCAGCGCTTGCAGTCCCACTTCGTCAATTTCAGTTTTAGCGGGCTCGATCCGTGTGGCGCAATATTGGTCGACTGGCGTGGATAGGAACGCTTGATAACGCACTTGATTCAGTTTCATCCATGCACCAGTAAGAAGCTGCGGGCTGTTAGTAGAACTTTCCTTAGGTCACGAAAGATAAACCTCACCCTGAAATGGGTGATTATCGACATGGATTGACTGTAGTCATTGAAAATTTCCACTAGAAAACTTTCATCTGGCACACCCTTCTGTATCGCATCAATCACCTGCCCGAACGTCTCTTCTGTTGCATCAACGAACGTCTCGTATAGATATTCTTGATGGCCAACCTGATCGAGCAGACTGTTCATAGACTTTATCCGCCCTAACTCGGACTGAACTTTTATCGTATCGCGAAGGAAGAAGAGGTTCTCAAAGTATCCGAAAGCAACCGCTAGACAAAACACACATTAGAACGACTTATCCAGCTTACATACGAGAATACTAACATACCCCGCCATCCACAATTCCCATCACCTTTCATAATTCGTGTAAATGGATGCGTCACAGCGAGAGCCTACAAACATAAATCAGGTCAGTCAACGGACGCCGCGAGGAAATCATGGTACGTACATTGGTCTTAGTGACAAAAGCTGGATCTGCATTTGAATACTCGGCGGAGATGATTTGACTGGACTGCTTTGGCGATACTAGTGGTCCCTGCGGTTACCAAACATTGTCAACAGCAGGCAACAGCAGGCAACAGCAAGTAAGATCGCCCAACTAACCTGTACTTCGGGTTCATAGTCGTTTGATAACTTCTGGAAACGTTCCAGTTCTTCCCGGGACAGCGGCTCCATGGCGTAGGTCTGCGGGTTGGAGTAAACAGGAATGTTGAAGAAAGGGTACGAGACGGAACTGTACCCGGTGTTGTATGTCGAGGTGTTGATTGACTGTTCCACGAAAGATGCTTTATATCCTCCACGGAAAAGTTGACTGTCTAAACTATTTCGAGCAAAAGAAGTGTCAGAAAGTTGCATCGCATTAATACCGGTCTCGTCCTTTATCGGCCACGGTGATCTGAATCGAGGAGTGACTACAAACGACATGATGCTCTATCAGATAAGTTTTTTCTTACATTGTGAGAACAAGAACATAGTGGGGAAATACGGACCTCAAATAAGCATCATCAGATTCCAGGCGTCTTGACATTCAAAAACAATAAATACGCACCGGTGTGGGACTGGACCGGACCGTGTGCGGAGGGGATGGACGAGTAGAATCTAGAACTGCTAATCAAACCAACAATTTCAAAGGACCTTTATTCATGTAGCTAGCCGGTCCATCAAATGGATATCCTCTGCTAGGTGGCAGCTTCAAAGCCCCAGACTTGCAGCGGCGGCACTCGGCACCTGGTCGGACTGGATTGGATTGTCGTGGCCACACTAAAAGATTTCGTGCAGCGACACAAATCACTGTTGTAATAACCAATTTATTTTCTCGGGTTTCAATTCGACCCAATTGACACAAACCGTGTTCGTCGTATTTGTATGATCTGATCGTTGGATGATCCCCGTATTTCCACCGCGAATAGATCGTCGCCGAGTCAGAAGTAACATCCGCCGTGATGAGGGTACTTTTTGTTTCTGTTTTGAGATTCTGCAATAATAGACTCAATTATTAGTCGGCGGATCTGTGTGGTCTGTTTTCCAACGTCTTCCTAACTGTTGACAACAGAATAATCAAAATGTTGTGCAGGTATCCGCAAGCTGGACGATGTTCTTCCCCACAACTTCGTCGATGAGACGATACACAAGTGTGACGCAGTGAGCAGGTAGATGCAGAGAAGAGACACAATATCGAAATAGACAAGGCTGGACAGACAACTTGACGTAGCTAGCTCCGTGCCGTGTGTCGGAGTGGACAGGAACAGTAAAATTGGAGACCGTAAGAGACAGTTTAGACCCGCGATAAGTGCGGGGTGTAAGATGTTGACAGTTGACAGCAAGTATAGGCGGTTGAAGACAAAACAAAAGGAAAAGAAAAAGAAAAAGGATGGAAGAAGCTACTTACTTGATGGATATCGTTGCTTTTCTCCCCAGTCCCAGTCAGCAAGAAGCAAACACGCAGTCAAGCAGCTCGGACGCAGGCTGAGATACACGCACGAAGGTCAGTGCTACAGGTACTGGTGCTCAAGATAGATGTCGGATGCTGCCAACCGCGTTCGTATCGGGATACGTACGGTGTATCGGTAGATGCTGTTCTGGCTGTCTAGGCTAGGATGAAAAGAATTTGCAACCCGAACGGCCCTGAGTGACTGCAAGGAAGAGAAGAAGGAAAATCGGGATGTTTGACACTTCATCTGAGGGGAAGAAAGGAATCCACGGCGGGGAACCCATTTGGCCGTTACGCCGTAATTACGAGGCATATCAGAACTGCGGCGAGACTGCCGAGTAAATTTACGTTCTATTCGATACGTTCATTACAACATAAAATACAGTTGTATTGTTATTATTTTCTCTCATCTCCAGAGACGCGAGAATCAACTTATGATCATGCTCCCTCTTATCAGGGGGCACGCTGTATCACAATTCAGCCTGCATGAGCATGTAGTCTGCAATCTCCAAGCTCACCGATAAAAGGCAGTAACAACTGGCCAGAGTCATAGCTCCTGCTGGTCCTCTCGTTACATACGGGATATATACACCCTGCAAATAACGTCTTCACGATCTTCGAGCCTGGAGGTTGCACTCCCGGCATTTGACAATTCTCATGCCGACATTTGCCTACGCGCCAGAATGGTGATTTTCATGATACCTATCTGATCCTAAGTTTAGACTTTATCGACTGTCGCAGCCTCGCTATGACCACGGATGACTAAAATATTGTCACATATTTCCCCAGCCTTTTGTAGCTGAGACAAGAAACTACAAGATTCGTACTACCGTGGTGGTCATACCTCATGAAATGAGCAAAGGCCATTCCTCAAGATGATTAATCGGTCCTACCGCGGTTGCACATGATACTTATACAAACCAATTCCTTTATTCATGACCCTGAACTTGATGTAAATATTGATCTGAGATGGCCCGGATCGTAATTTAAAATCAACAACCACGGTGAATGCCAGCTGGAGAGCATTCCGCGTATGGATTTCAGATTTGTCCAGGCCGAATATAAAAGAAACCTGGATCAAAACGTACCTAGGTAAGACCACATCAGGTGGCCTATCTGAGTCCAGGCCAAGAAGTATCTTATAGAAACTATCAAGCTTATTGCAATGCAAAGTATGCCTAAGTATCGGAACGTAAGGTCAACTGTTCCCATTCGATAATTTCAAACCGGACTACATGATTCACGTGATATATGTCCGGAGTGACTGAAATAGGGCAAATATATATATATTAGACCTCTCTCATTTTCTACCAGGAATAACTGGGTAGGTTCCGGGCGTTTCCCTCTTCTACATAGCACACAGGTACGAATTTACCGAAGTCATATATTAGTTAGTTGATCTTTCAAATAAAACTCTTACCAGCTCCCGAGGTCCCTTTCCGGGTGGATATATCTAGAAGAATGAACTTATGATAAATGCAACACTAGAATAAATAGGTAGGGAAAAATTTGGATGTTGTCTAGCTAGGTATTTGTATACAATGATAGAGGAAGACGCTAATTTAACATTTTGAGCTTCATTCCTGACTCTTAAATGTACACTGACGGCTTAAGGGTTAGGGTTAATATCTCCTGAAAGTGTATAAAACGGACGAACTCGATCTACATCCGCCCTATGTTTGGCGCTTCAACTGCCAGCACTGGATGATGATTGCGGTACCTGTCATGTACTATAAAATCAACATAGCCTCGCGAAACTCGATGAGAACTGTTGACTGCCTCGCGAACAATCAAGGGTCTCGGTGGTGGTATCAGTCTGCTCACAGAAACAGTTGTCAAGAATCTCGTCCCACCGCGAGAATGAGGCAAGTATAAGTCGGCCATGTTGATGTTTGGGACCGTACGAGCGGCAGTAGGTTTGTTATTAGGAGGTTTGATAGCAAGCCATTCTACCTGGATCCTGGCGTTGGACCTTCTATATCAACGTTTCTATTGGAGGAGGCATGTTCGTTGCAAGAACACATCTTCGGTCTTACATAGTTAATCAACCTCTAGCAGCCACCTCATTGCCTCGCAAGATCGTCTCTAACTGCACCTCGTCAGCTGTTCTCATCTTGACCTTCCTGCACTCTACCGTCACCCACTGGAATCATCCTGCCCGTTGTCCAAGCGCCCCTGGATGAAAGTGATATGGCTACCGCAACCGGCCTGGGGAGCTTCATCTTTGGGTTTGGGGCGATCTGAGATGTCGCTATCTCAGCTGCGGTGTTTGACAATGAATGATCCAAACACGCCTCCGTGGTGAGCAACGCTGGAGTGGCACAGAAGCTGGGATGTACTTGTCCGCCATCGAAGGCAACGCTGTAAGCCCGCCAGCGTGAAAAGTTGGGACTGGTATTATTGTCTTATATCTTTATATCAACCCATCTGCCTCTATTTTAGAGCAAAATTTGTAAGGGTTTTTGCTAAGGCCCCAGAACGTTATCGGACTCAGTCAATTGTCATGTCTAATATTGTTATAATAGATTGAACGGGGTATAAAGCAGTCCGACCTAGGTAGACCTTCATCTTGTTTACCTAGGTACTTCATTAGCCCGACCATAGCCACTGCATACCAGCATGTATGTACGTGACAACCAAATAATCCCATGCATATATCCCGAATCTTGTTTCCATACCCATCTATGTCCAAAGAAAAAGTCTGTCAAAGCTAAAAAAAAAGACTATGTGAAGTGACATGTATATGTACTGCTACGCCGTCCAGCCACGTCAGCCAACTAAGTCAACTAGGGCTAAGACATGTAGTGTAGTTACATGCGCATCATGTACATGTACGTACCTGCTACATGCGAAGTAGAGTTGTCATCGAGATTAATTTCCCGAAATTCACAGACTCGGTGTATGTACATACAATTATTGCTTAAGGTTATAGAGTACGTAGTAGTTGAGAATACGAGTTGTCGAGATGTTCGGGATTTCAAGGCGGAATACTGCGCTGTATGCATTAAGTTAGGGCTTTTGTCAGGATTACTTCGTGAAGTTTTTGAGGGTAATGAACATATTCAAAGGGTAAGCGAGAAGGAAAAATCAAGTACGATACTATTTACGCTTAGTGTCTAATTGTTGCATCCGCTTGGAAAAGTGATGCGATGTATATCTACCTGACGAGACTAATGCAAACTGGTGTAAAGCTTGTGTAGGGTTGTAGTAGTTACTTCGTAACCTACCCGGACCGGTCGATAGGGTGGAGGATTCGAGTAGTATTTCCGATTCTACGTACTGCTACTCGACACTGCATATGCTGAAAGGTGTATGCTCATACGCAAGTAGTGCCATTCATTATTCATCTATCATGCTTTCATCAACGCGTATCATCGCACGTAGCAGGAAAACCGAGTTCTACTAAGCTGCCACTCTGCCATGAAATCCTGCCCTACCCCTCCATCCTCGCCCTTTACCCACTGAGTGAGTTTCATCGCCGAATCCTGCTGCTGCCGCGGCCTGAAATGAAGAGTGCATGGGTCCCATTTGTGAGAGGGACGATTCATCAACCCTGAACCCTTCGCCGTCGTTCAGCGCTGAGCGCCAGAGGACCTTCAACGATGAGGACCATTCACGGACTGCCTGGAGACGTTCGGAGTCGCTGGCGCTTTCGACTAGGACTGTTCCATTCTCTTGGTCGATTTTGGCGTTTAGTTTTTTGTCCATGATCAAAAATCCTAGAATCTCTTGCACTTCAGAGACGGAAATCTTGATCTGTCTTGATATGAAGCTCAGCGTGAATCGGGTGTAGGGTGCGATGAGTTTGATGACAGCCTTTGTGCGCATGTTGCGACTGACTTCGTCAATATTCTCGGCAATGAACGGATCAGCCAATACATCCTGGTTCTTCCGTAGAATATCTTCGTATGTATGTATGTCATCTCGTTGATACGCATCAACAAGGTCTGTCATTGCCGATATCCGTGGATCGTTCTTGTATGGTTTGGTCTCTTGAGAATCGAAGGGGTTGATGTCTGATTTCATAAGCATCGTAGTCAACACTAGGTATTTCAAAACCTGGATTCGTTGCATGGATCCCGCTTCGTCGTAGTTACGGAACGATTCGAAGAAATCACTCTGTGCTTGTTCCCAGTTCTCCTCGCTCATATGCATTTTGCCGCCACATTCGCGAATGATACCCATGATCTTCGGATGTGGAACAGCAGATCGTACGCGCAATGCTCGCTCGTAGAGTGCTTTGAGTCGTTTATTATTTTTCGTTTCCGCGTACATCTGGATCTCGAGAGCGTAGACTTCAAGCGAATAAGTTCCCTTGCTGGGATCGTCCGTACCGTCTTCACGTTGACATGCTCGATGTAATTCGCGTAGCTTCTTGGTGAGTTGTGTAAATTCTCTGCGTTCCAGCCACAGCCTCGCCAATTTGATATTTGTCTTGAGCCAAAGACGTTCGTTGTTTGTGTTTTGAAATGTCTTGAGTGTCAATCGATAGAACTCCTCCATACAATGATATGCTTTTTCATCATCTGAGCCTTTCTCTATAAAATCAAGCATGTTGTTGATCGACTTTTCCGAGTAGTTTCGCGTGACGGCCGATTTAACATACGTCAAGAGCTCGCGGTAGTGTTCGATTGCCTGCGAAAACGAGGTTGTTAGCAGTCGTCATATATGGACTTTGAAAAACTCACATCATCGTATCGACCAAGCTTGAATTCGAGTTTGATCGCTTGTTTTAGACCCTTGAAGCCCCTAATCAACCTCTGTTAACATATTACACAGCCATAGCCGAAAACGTCCACAGCCTACCAGTCACCTTTATCTTGCTCCAAAGCTGGAACACCCAAGAACTCATCGATAGCTTCTTCGGGATTATCTGCTTTTATCTGTTTTGCGTTGTAATATTTATTCTCAATGCCAATATCGCCAGAATCGTCATCGTCTGAGCCCTCGTATTCGAAGTCATAGCTGTCTGGTTAGCTGTGGTTGTTAACAGTGGAGTCGCGAGCTTACTCCTCATCCCCAGAGTCCTGCATGAAATCATCGTCGTCCGACATATTGGGACAGGTGGAAGATAGCCACTTGTAGTGTCGGAATAGAGTCTCCTCTGCTGATAAGGTGGATGGACAAAATGTTGTAATTGTGAGGAGTGAAGGGAGCTTCGACTTTCAACAATGACAGCATTTATTGGCAAGCGCGGAGTACTCCCGCGGGTCAGCGCACGGGCCATATTCAATGCCTCAGGTTGACAGACCCGACTGTTTATTCTATGTGCGTAGTAACTTAGTTACTATCTTACTAAAACAGCTTTAACTATTTACTTAAAAAAAAAAGAGAAACTAACTAGGAAATGAAATATGGCTGAGGGATATCGTTATCTTCCGTCCGATCCAGAGCAAGCGCCTGCTCTGTCGGTCCCTCCGCAATCCTTACAGGATTGTTGAGCATGCGAAGGCTTCTCTCGACTGGAGCGCCCTGACGAAGGTTAAGTTAGGTTCAGTATCGACTTCGTCATCCTTGTAGAACGCGAATTTGACGACAACACTAATTCCCAGTAGCGATCTCTGAGCGAGCCCTGCTAACTGATCTATACTCAACTCTATGGAGTGTCGCGGCGTTTCAGCTGTGCATGACTCAACAAAGGACTGGATAGTATCATAGAGTAGTCCGAAGCAAAGACCATTCTCCTCAGAAGTACCTGGGAGTGATATGATGTGAGCAAAGCGAGATTGAATGCTCCCTCCAACTATATCCGATTAACAAACAGTGTAGTCCCAACTGCGTAGGTCGCTTTTCAATGATTCTTAGTACCGAAGGCGGGGGAGGCTGTGAAACCAACATACGTCGCCAACTGGCACGCTCGTATGTGAAGGACTTGTGTAATTCGGTTCTCGCTTCCTTGTCTCGCTCTCCAGGCTCGGAGAAGACCTTGCCAAGGTACTCCAGTAGCAGTGGGTTGGAATCGACGAGAATTCTGTTCCGACTGGGGGTGTTGACTTCATTAAGGTATTTCCCTAATATCAATTTTGAACCTTCAGGGACCACACTTGGTTCGAAAAAGAGAACCTGCTGAAACTTCTTCGATGTGCGCACAGCTTCGTTCCAACTATTCCTTATGCGAGGGGCCACACACAGAAGGAATTTCATATCAGTATATGAAAGGATTTCCGCAACGATCTTAGTGTTGTCGAGTGCTGTGTAACTTGGTATGTTGGTTTTGTTTTGTTTTTCTCGACCGAAGCATATTGACTTGACCTATACAACACTAAAAATATCCCATGTAGAATGGGGTATTTATTTGCGAGTTTATCATGACCCATCGATACTTGCCCACCAGGCTGATTCGTCAGTCCGTTGTCAGGAAGCTCGTTCGTATGACCGACGACAATCATAGTCAACATGGCTGTTATTAGCCTCGAAGCATCTCTTGCTATCATTGCCATGGCCCATGATGAGTTCGTGAGTATCCAAAACGGATACAACGTTCAATCCACGTTACTCCATGTATGTAGAAATTTCGGAGGCTGATTCAAACTCCAAATCGCCAAGTAAATATGCTTATGTAATATGCACTAATCGTATATGGACTAGCTGTTACTTGATATCTCCGCCCCAAGCCATCAACATTTACGCCACTCAACTTTCCATCAAGAAAGTCGAAACGGAGACAAAACTTCATACGGCAGCAACTCAAACCTCATCACCATCCCGATACAAATCACAAAGTTTTCACCATGGGTGGCGATCTCAACTTGAAAAAGAGCTGGAACCCCGTTCTGCAAAAGAACCAGGAGAGAACATGGCTCGCCGAAAAGAAAGCGCTCGAAGAGCGCAAACGCATCGACCAAATGATGCGCGAGCGACAGGAAGAACGACAAATGCTCGAAATCCAACAACTACAAGAAGCCGCCGGCGGCAAAAAACGTCTTAATCGGGTGGATTGGATGTATTCGGGCCCCTCCAGCGGTCAACTTGGAACAACCGAGGAAATGGAAGGGTATCTATTGGGTAAACGACGAATTGATGGGCTGATTAAGGGATCGGAGAATCAGAAACTGGAAAAGTCAGCCGCGGAGGACTCGTTTATGGCTGTTCAGAAAGCGAATACGGCGAGAGATACAGCGGCGAAGATTAGGGAAGATCCTATGTTGGCTATTAAGAAACAAGAGCAGGCCGCATATGAAGCGATGATGAACGATCCGGTGCGAAGGAGACAGTTGATGCAGGCCGCAGGAAAGGATAGTGGATCTGCAGAAAAGGAGCGCAGACATCATCGTCATAGACATCGACACCGAGATGATGAAGAAAGACATTCACGACATCGTTCAGGAAGACACGACTATGATGATGACGATCGCAAGCATAGGCGACGACGCGACGATAGAGTATCTGGGCCTCGGTCTCAGTCGCCTGTTAGACATTCTCGATCTCGAAGATCTCCCTCTCCATCTAGACACACATCTCGTCGTTCGCGATCGCCTTATCGTCGCGATCACCGTGAACACCGCGAAAGGTCATATTCCCCACGATCGCGCCGTCGCGATTGCTCTCCCCGGCAGGACTGGGACAAAGATCATGATCGAAACGATAGGCGACAGACATGGCACCACAATCCACGCCCTGCACCTCCACCACGACGCGAAACACAAGCCTCATCCAAATCTGCTGAAGAAGAGCGAGCAGCCAAATTAGCGGCAATGCAAGAGAATGCGAACGAATTAGACAAAATGCGAGCAGAACGGATAGCAGCTGCCGATGCGCGTGAAAAAGCTGAGCGTGAAGCTGACGAGGCAGCCCGCGCTCGAACGAGCAAAGATGGTGGGAAGGGAGCTTTCTTGTCGAGTATTAACAAACGGGCTGGAGAATTGGATCTATCTGAGCGGCTTCAACGGGGACGACGAAATGTTGAGAAAGAGCAGGAAGCTTATTAATAGTTAGTAGTTCGAATTTATACTTGCAGTCAATCATAAATTATCCTAATCTTCTTCGATCTCTATGTACGTAAAGTGAAGCTATTCAGCCGCGGCAGTCCCACTTAGCGTGAGGCGCAAAGACATTGTATGTTGGTCGCGCCTTACCCGTTCAGGAATAGACGATGACATCGACATCTGTCTTCTATGTCGACCATTCCCAGTCAAGTCTAGTCTTTCGATACAACCTCAAGCTCTCCTCCTTGAAAGTCTCTTCCCTGTTTGCACTGTTGACTGGAAGAGTCCGATCGACAGGGAAACTGTTCTTCTGGCGTGCGTCGACACATATATCTCATTCGAGTATATATATCGATTGTTCTATCAAGACCGAAGTTTTAGCATTCTCTTCCTGCCACAGGCCGTGTTTTGACACCCCCTGGTTCCCGTACATACCGGTGGTGGCACCGCCAACCTACGATCGATCGCAGCACTAGATCCTTGTATCATCTGATTGCTCTTCTTTACACCGACCTGTTTTGCGCTTGACAGAGATCCATCTCAACTCGAGCGTCCAATACTTTCCGATCCGATCTGATATTATCCGAGATCTCGGCGCGACTATTGTTAGAGGGTTATCGCATACACTGTGAAGATGAATCTGTGTGGTCGGCAAAAGGTTGTTCAGCGGAAGATGGTGCTACTGTGAGTTGGCCAGTTGGAAATCGAACAATCCCTATGTCTAACAATGTGGGATTCATAGTGGGGATGGAGCTTGCGGCAAGACATCGGCATTGAATGTGTTTACTCGGGGGTTTGTGTTTCTTTGTCTGTTGTTGGTCGAAAGGTACTGACAAAGTGAATTTTTTGCAGGTTCTTTCCTACTGTCTAGTATGTGGAATTGCCGCATCTGTTTAGTGATCCTTATACTAACATGTGATCAATCAAGCGAACCGACGGTTTTTGGTAAGTGGCCTTGCTAAATCGGAAGTAGATAGCCATTCAGCTAACATCCTACTATAGAAAACTACGTCCATGGTATTTATAGCTGCCACGAGTTGAATTCGCGCGCTGACATACTTTAAGATATCTTCGTCGATAACACGCATATGGAACTATCACTATGGGATACAGCGGGACAAGAAGAATTTGACCGTCTGCGCGCGCTTTCATATGAAGATACACATGTGATTATGCTCTGTTTTAGCGTATGCTATTTCCTTTCCGACTACTAGACTGTTTACTCATACGGAACAGGTCGACAACCGAGATTCCTTTGAAAATATATCTACCAAATGGATGGCAGAAATCCACGAAAACTGTCCCGGTGTGAAACTTGTTCTGACGGCACTCAAATGTGATTTGCGAAAGGATGAGGAACAGAATGAGAATCCAGATGCAGTTACGTTTGATGAAGGACTTGCAAAGGCGAAGGAAGTTGGTGCTGTCAAGTATTTAGGTATTTCTCTCGACCTCTCTAAAAGGAATACGTCTGCTGATATAAGAAAGAATGCTCGGCTGTCCAGAATCGCGGAATCCGCGAGACGTTTTATGAAGCTGCCAAGGTGGCACTGGAAGTCAAGCCAGCCGGTGGTAGTACGAATAGCGGCTGCAGCATCCTTTAACTTGACCTGCTTCAATTCTATATACCATTCGACACGATTCAATTTGCGATCGACCTTTGACTATCTATTCGTGCATATTTTTTTTCTTTCAACCTTCGACCCTCCCTCTACCGTGTGACTGTTAGAGGCTTACCCATTTCACGGAGTTTCAGTTGGCATTGATAAACGGCGTTGTCCTTGTTGCGAATACGTACGATGCAGCCTGCAGCGAAGCTATGCAATGCAGTGCGACTATCCCAGAACTTACCGCATACCGTTCTGAGTATCTACTCGGGTATTCGATTCATTTGGCTTGGTGATCTTCTTTCGACGAGATGATTTATTTACCTTTTATATTAATATTCTAATTCTCTTCTTGTCTACTTGTTCCTTTTCTATTGTTATGATCGATTAGGCGTGTCATGATTCTCTTTACCTTGCTATAATACAATCTACATCTATTTCATTATCACACTCAATCAAGTCCGACATCCTCGATCCCAATCTTATAAACCGACTCAACACCATCCCTCCTCCCACCCTTCCCAACCGGAAAATCACCCTCCAACCTCCTCACAAACGAATCCACAAACCCATCCGCAACCTCACTCATAACCTCCTCTTCCATCTTTTCGCTCGGAAACGTTACCCCCTCCCCTTCAAGACTAGTAGCCTCCTTCCCTTCCAATCCACACGCCACAATCTGTTTAAAGAACCACATCGGTTCCTGAGTAACATTGAGCCCAATACCGTATGAACTTATATGACGCCGTAAATGTACCCCTACAGCCGTAATCTTTCTCGCCTCCCCATCATCCTTGGACGCAACCCATACGCCCGGGTCAGACGTCGTAAACCCTCGTACCCTGTACCTGTCCAAAAGATCGATTACGCTTCGTTCAAGAAGACTTATGTGACATCTCGGCGAGAGACCTAATCTTCTCAAGTCGAGGATTGTGTATGCTACTAATTGCCCAGGGCCGTGATAGGTTGTTTGTCCGCCGCGGAGAGTGGGGTGATATTCCGCCTTTCTCGTCTGTTGACCGGAAGAAGAAGAAGAAGAAGAAGAAGGGGAGGGTTGGGTGGGATCGAGTAAATGTCGAATCGGCTCTAGGGATGGTGGAAGCGATAATTCGAGGGATGGGGTGGGATCAGAGGGGGAGGAAGTATTTGATGGTGGGAGGTCGCGGCGTCCGGTTGTGTAGACGGGGTTGGGCGTGAAGGTTATTATTGTTGGGTCTGGTGGTATTGTCGATGTTGAGGTTGGTGTAGAGACGGCTTTTTTGTAGGCGAGATGGCGTAAGGTGAGGGTTTGTTGGATTTGGGAGACGGTGTTGAAGGGTGTTATGTTTGGGAGGTGGAGGTGGGCGAGACGCATGATCAATATGAGCGGTGCAAACTCTTTTTGTATATTTGTCGAGTCATACAATTGAGTGTCGGAGAAGTTGGAGATCGAACTGCGGCTCCGCATTGTGACGACATTAGCTTGAGCTTCAAGCCTCGACACGTGATCTCATTTTATACGTATTTGATGTTGGGATAAGGAAAAGAAAAAAGAGGAAAAAAAAAGGGCAACAATCGCAATACAAGACTTGTGATAATATCAATTGATTAAAGATGATTATACACCATTAATTTGAGGACCATCCCTAACCAACTGCCAATCCCTCACACCACCCTTCCAATCCGCAATCCTCCCCTCCCGGACCTGCACTATAACCACACGACTATTATCATCAATCATAGGCGTCTCCGCAACTCCACTCCCTCGTCGCTGCTGACCGAACGGCATCTCCTCATTAGGCGCAGCTACAAATGTATTATTCTCCAAATGCTGATTTTTGCACCATTTTTCTTCCTCGGACCCGACTTCCAGAAATCGCGCTGTGCCTGTGATGGTAGTTGATATACTTGATAATGCGCTCGTGTTTAGATTGAGTAGTAAGCTAGCCAGGGAAGAACGCGTTGCTGCTGGCGGTGGGGAGCCGTCACGACCGTTTGGAGCGCGGGTCGGAGGGCGATGAGAGACCCAGTCGTGAACGAGCAATGAAACTCGCGGATTCGCTTCTAGGTTCAGGGTCTTCTTCGAGGATGGGTTGGTGGTCATGATGATTACGGGGTAGGCGTCGAAGGGTGTTTCGGAGAGGTAGGTGTATGACATGAGGGAGACGTGAGGGGTGAGACCGTCACATGTTGCTAAATGGAGCTGTGATTGTTAGCTGATTGTGCAATTGTCGTAAGATTATAGATAGAATGCAGGGGTTGGTTTGAGAAGACGTACATATCGAGAGTTCTTGAGACAGGCAACTACTTCTGGGAGCAAGGATGAGCCGACGTGAGGATGGGTGGTGGTGGCCGAGGGCTCGTAGCTTAGTGGGGGATTCGGTCTGTCTGCCATGCTGCATATATCTTGGACTTGTAGATGTTGAATATCAGTTCTCAATTCTCAATTCTCAATTTGTGGGCTATTATTGTTCTTTGTCGAGTCAGACAGTGTCAGGTCAAGTACTCTGTCCTACGATGATAAAGATGATAAAAGTTATCCGATAGAGTTATCATCAGTCGATGGCGGACATCGGATAAAAGTGGGAGGCTCAACGACCAATCAGAGCTCCCGCAGCTCTCGGATAGAGTAAGTTACCGTAAGCGGCTAGCTCTGTCCTGATTAGGCGATAGCATCACATGACCCGCTCCAGCTTCTTTAACGGGCGCACTACCGTGGAAAAATGATGAATATGATTGGTCTCTATCTAGGTCTCCGGGGACCAGTAACTAACTAAGTTGTGTCACGTGACAGCTTCCCCGGTTTTACGACGTCATTACTAGGATCTTGTCTGTCTGAATCAAAAAACAGCCAGTCAGTCATGGGATGAACAATAATATTTCAATATTTATATTTATGTTCATATAGTATGATCAAGTCTCAGCTTGTCTAAGAAGAATGGAATATCGGAGAACGGTACAGAGTATTACGTACGCATACGCTCCGTAGTGCCAACCCCCGCATGGCTATGGACGCTAACAGTCTGGTCTGAGACCATAACTAGTTAATGCACCCCTTCTCTCTTTCTCCTCTTCTCATCTCGCCTAAACTCCCGACCGTTGCAACCACACACACCTTTTAGATATCATTGACTCTATAGATTCAGTCAACACCATTGGCCAAAGCTTGTCTGCTCCCATTGGATCAGAGCAGCTGGATTATCCAATCCAGAGCGGGCTGCTGTTACCCCGGACTTTGCTTAGTGGTACCTTCCACCACTCGCGGCTCTCTCTCTGTCTCTCTCTTTCGGTCTCTCTCTTTCGCTCTATCTCCCTCGACTGATTCATTCCGTTGACATCTCTCTACTTTTACAACCTCTCCATCTCCCCCATCATAGCAATACTCCCTTTTCGACGTCTCCTCTGTTTTCCGTTTATTCTTCTCCATCCCTGCATGCTCCCTCATAGCATTGACAATCACTAACACACACAACACACAACATCACCGTCACTATGCAACCCTCCAAGGTGCTCCGCGCCTCCCCCGCATTTTCTGCCCTTCGCTCCTTTAGCACCTCGTCCATCCATAATCGTGCCCCTTCCATTCGTGACATCACCCCCACCAATGCTGCTGAGTTTGACGCGCGCCAGAAGGAATTTCGCGAGAGTCTAGAGCAGGCTCGAAAGAAGAGACTAGAGCAAGAGAGTCAGTCTGTCGCAAACACCCTCCGTGATCGTGCCCGTGAGTTTGTCTGGACTCCCACTGCTCCGTTTGTGAGCAATGCGAGTGCGTGTACTTCATTTGACACGACGTGCTCATTACCTAGATATACGAGGGCCTGTTGCTGACTGTGATGCTTATGCTTTTAGGAGAGCAAGAACAATTAGATAGCGCTGCGGAGAATGGCACAAAGCGAGGACCGCTGTCGTCGCTGATCTACGGAACCCGAGAAGGCCAGCATTTCGATAAGAGCATTGAGCGGTCGTTCTCGCAGGTTATTGCGCGTGGCAAGTATGTACATTCGATTGTATTTCATGACGTCAAGCCCGACAAGGTCGATGAGTACGTGGACCTAGTCGGTAAATGGTATCCTCGCATGGCGTCGTTGGAAGAGAACAAGGTGAATCTTGTTGGTAGCTGGCGCACTCAGGTTGGAGATAATGACACATTTGGTAAGCAGCTCGCTAGAATTCCGGGGTTAAACTAACTTCGCGGTAAAGTGCATATCTGGGAATACCAGCGCTACACGGGCTACCACGAATCACTCCATACGATTTCCCAGCATCTCGATTTCCGAGAGTTTGATAAGCAGCTAAAGTCTTTGATCAAAAGCAAGGAGACCTCCCTGATGCAAGAATTCTCGTTCTGGCCCACAACGCCCCCTCGACGACTCGGTGGTCTGTTTGAGCTGCGATCTTACACGCTTCACCCCGGAAATCTCTTGGAGTGGGAAACACACTGGCGGCAGGGGCTCAAGGCTCGCCGCGAGGTTATGGAAGGCGTGGGTGCTTGGTTTGTGCAGATTGGCGATCTCAATACCGTGCATCATCTTTGGCAATTCGCCAATCTGGAGGAACGCAAGATCCGTCGCGAACAGTCTTGGGGCATTGAGGGCTGGGCCGATACTGTTCATCGGACCGTTCCTCTTATCCAGTCCATGAAAAGCAGGATCTTGATTCCCATGCCCTGGAGTCCTGTGGGTTGAGCTGATATTTCCTGATCGTCTCAGTGCAGAGACAACCTGTCATCTCGAGATTTCGGCTCACGTGCCAACCGTTTATAGCGTTTATACCTGAGGATATGACAGAGCCTTATCATCTCAAAAATTATTTATTGTCCAAACAGGTAGCTAGAGACACAATCATACTTCAGCCATCATGTGTAGAGTAACTCAGACCCCATACCCCACGTGCATGAAATGACGTCGCACGGCCATCTGTCCAAACTCGGCGCGTCTCCACACCAACCAAAAAAAAAAGTTGCCAAATCATCGGCCGCGACCAGACGTCAATTTAAATGGCACACCATTCTAGCTGATTCTCCTTTCGACTTGTATTAGCCATTTGGCTGTGTTAATTCTTCTATTTTTCTATTTTTCTATTTTTCTATTCTTCTGTTCTTCTGTTCTTCTGTTCTTCTGTTCTCCTGTTTCTTCTGATCTCCTAAAACGTTTCAACCTCACTCTGTCTTTTTTTCCCCCTCCTGGAAATCAAACAATCATGACCTGGATACGGCAATATGACCTTCCCGCGTTACGCGAGTACAAATACTCTGGTGTTGACCATTCGCTGGTTAGTCGATACATCATGAAGCCGTTTTATAGTAATGTGGTGATTCATTTGTTTCCGATGAACATGGCGTGAGTTCCCTGCTATCTCCTTATTCTACCATCTACTGATTTCTGGACTGTTAGGCCGAACCTCGTGAGTCCACCCCTTTTCCGGTCTGACAAGAATGGTTTTGTTGAGAAGACGAATAGATTACTTTGACCGGCTTCAGTTTTGTGGTGATCAATTTCTTGACGCTGTTATACTATAATCCGACCTTGGATACGGATTGTCCGGCATGGGTATATCTTAGTTGGGCTATTGGGTTGTTTTTGTATCAGACTTTTGACGCTGTGGATGGGATGCAGGCGTATGTTTGTTTCCTCTGTCAGCGTTTGAAGGGCAGTATGCTGATGGTATATGCAGTCGCAGGACGAGACAGAGTGGCCCGCTTGGGGAATTGTTTGATCATGGTATGTTTTGCATTGGAGTTGTGTGGATGGAGCAAAGCTGAGATTGTAGGTGTCGACGCTTGCAATACGGTCCTGGGCGTGTTTATCTTTGCCGGTACGATGAATCTCGGTCAATCGTGGGCTACAGTTTTGACGCTGTGGGGTGCCGTTATGACTTTCTACGTCCAGACCTGGGACGAATACTTTACTCATGTCCTCACGCTCGGCATCATCTCCGGCCCTGTGGAAGGTATTCTGACTCTGTGCGCCGTCTTCTCGTTTACTGCATACATGGGCGGAGGCAGTTTCTGGCATCGTCCCATGCTCGCGACACTCGGTGTCTCGCAACCTTCTTTCCTCCCAGTTACCGTGTACGAATTACCGTTCACTTCATGGTACATGATCTACGGGGCATTCATGCTCTTCTTCGCAACAGGCAGCAGCATCATCAACGTCATGAAAGCTCGCCGCGCTCGAATGGAGAACCCCATCACCCCTTTATTCGGCCTCTTACCGTTCATATACATGTGGATTTTGACACCCGTGTATCTGTTCCTGCAACCGAATATCCGCCAAAACCATCTACTCCCGTTTTTGATCTACGTCGGTATCGTTAATGCCTATTCAGTTGGTCAAATGATTGTTGCGCATTTGCTCAAGACTTCATTCCCGCGAAGCAACGCTTTGATTTGGCCGCTTGCTGTGGCTGTGGTTGATAGTCTTGGCCCGTTTACGGGTCTGTGGCCCAGCGTCTTGGGAGATGATATTTATCAGGTTGCGTTTGTTTTCACGGCGCTTGGGCTTGCGGTTGGTGTGTATGCTAGTTTTGTGGTAAGTCTTACATCTCGAGCTGCTTGAAGGTCTTGTCTAACTGTATAGCACACTGTGATTGTCACGATTTGCGATTACCTTGATATTTGGTGCTTGACTATTAAGCATCCGTATGTCGAGGGGGAAGAGCAACTCAACGGAAATGGCAAGAAGACGTTATGATAGCAGATATTTCGATCAGGGGAGTAGCTGGAGGGAGATAGATGACAATGGTTCGGGGTCCATTTGACGAATGATCTCAATAGCATAATAGCATAATGCGAATATCCCACTAGTTAGTTTACCATAGCGTATACAAATAATACTGATTCACGATGAGTCGAGATGACTCTATACTGTCCGATAATCTGATTGGCGGCATCTCGGCCCGGAAAAACACCGCCTCCGAGTGCAGGGACAGTGGCAAAGCTAAGCGAGACCACACATAATCTGCCGGTCCCCAATCAGGAAGTTGTGCGCTTGGCATTTTGACTAACCAAAGGAAGATTCCACAAACTCCTCAATCTTCTTACTTTCCCTTCGCTTCATCGACCATCGTCGCCAATTTTCGTTTCCATCGTTCAATCAACCAGACAAGATATTTATCGCTGATTGCATTGGAAATTAGTCAAGATGGTATGTCTTTTCTTCCGCTCGATGATGAGGTTTTTTTTGAAGGGGGATATTTGATGAATCGTTGATGATGAAGGAAAACCCTGACTGACAACCTTTCGTATTGCAGGTTCTCGCGGTCGATCTCCTCAACCCTACCCCTCAGTCTGAGGCTCGCAAGCACAAGCTCAAGGTACGAAAAATCGATGAATACCACCCTCAATACAACTGCGAAAGAAAACGAAGGACAGAACTGACGGATAAATAGACCCTCGTGCCTGCCCCCCGCTCCTTCTTCATGGACGTCAAGTGCCCAGGCTGCTTCACAATCACCACCGTCTTCTCACACGCCCAGACCGTCGTTATCTGCGCCGGTTGTTCGACTGTTCTCTGCCAACCTACCGGTGGTAAGGCCCGTCTTACCGAGGGCTGCTCTTTCCGACGCAAGTAGACGATTCGACCGAATGAAAAAAGAAAACTGGGACGAAAATATGAAACGATAGGAAGTCGAAAATTTGTTTATTTTCTCGCCGATTACGACAACCCTTTTTCCTTCATCAGTGGGGTTGATCACTGAATGAGGTCTTACTTCTTCTTTGGATTGGCTATCAGAAATGATACCGACCGGAAAGATGGCCTGATTCATTGATTGATTTTCAAAATGGTGGCGTTTCTCGAACTCCGTTCTATTCGCTTTTTTTTTATCGTGTCCTGTTCGTCAGCGTCAGCGTCAACAATCACCGCGACTCGGTCATATCATATCGATTTGGATGAAATGGAAATGAAATATGATTGATTGTTTTCATGACTTTGTTTTCTTCCTTTATTTACTTTTTTCTTTGCTCTTCGGACACAAAAAAAGAACAGATAGAAGATGGACTCTTGGTTTCGCCTCCAATTTCTCACACCATACGACACCTTTATACCACTGAAAACCCGCCCCCGTTTTTTTTATACAAAAAAATCTCTTACAAATACAAAAAATGTTAAAAAAAAAAAGAGCCGTCCTTGCGAAGCACATACTATATTACATTTTTGGAGCGGAGTTCCGGATATCTGGTCTATTTCTACTATCGTTCTGTCGATCGTGAGGTTGATTGATAGGTAGGATAGGATTATGCATCTATGAGCATGTTGTTTTGTTCAATTCTCCGGGTTCTGATCCGTATGCGACGTAGTAAGTAACATATTCATGTCTTATCCTCTTAAAGCGTCTGGGTCTAGATGCGAATTCATGCTGTAGTCTGTAGACCTGAGTAAGCGTGATCGATATCAGGCTTTTGATAGAGAACAAGCTTTTGATTCGTGTTATACAGTCTAATACAGATAAAAGAGTGACAAATCGCAGAATATCCAAACGTGCTAATCAACCCATCCATCGTACATCCTCCTCGTCATAGCATACCATTACCATAATTCATAATTCATAAACCTCCCTCATATCCCAGATTGGGCAGACCTAAGACTCTCAATCCCTTCCCACCAACCTAGCAATCCCTTCCTTAATCTCACTCCCAAAACCCACCGGATTCCCAGGATCCCCACCAGTCAACACGGCCAATCTCCCCGTCGAATCATTGATCAATGCATTCGCAAACCCGTTTCGGCCCATGACATCGACGACTTGTTTTTTGGTTTCCGAGTCCCCTTCGCGGAGTTTGTTGATGTCGATTGACCTCAATTCTTTGCGGGTGTTGCGGATGAAGTCGAAGATGAAGAAGAGGGTTGGATGGGTGTCTGGGGGTTGCATTAGGGGGTGGGATTCGAAGGAACTGTTAATATCATCAGCAAATCAGATCATGTCAGAATGGACTGAGTACGGTTTTGGGAAGGGCGTACTCGAGTAATTCACCCATTTGATCGTCCATCTTCTTAGCGTTGAAGTCTAGGAGATCTTCTTTGTCTTCTGTTGCCATTGTATCTGGTCTGTTTTCTGCGTCTAATAGCAACGGAACGAGTTTGTAGAAAGAAATCAATTGAATCTTCAGAAAACTCCCTAAGGGATTCGTCGACACTTCACATGTAAATATAAATAATCAACAGCAAATGACTTCCAGTGACGTCGTCTAGGAAAAAGGTACCAAGGTAGTAGGAAATTCTTGATTGGATGATGAAGACGTTCCTGAACAGAAAGGAATTGATCAATCGTGTGGCAGTTGGTTATACGTCCAGATCGGTTCAGAAGAAAAGAAGTTGAAGGATAAAAAGTTGGCAACGATTCAATCATGACGTTGATAATTTAACCCTAGGGTACAATGTGGTATGGTAATGCGATTACGGTATGTATGTATGTATGTAACTATGGCATGTGGTCTCCGGTTATCTTATCTGCTATCTTACTCTTGAGTGCCATGAGTCTTTGAAATTATAGGTTTCTTTTCTACAGACTTCATATCGAAGAAGATAAAGTCCAACCGCATCTCGCACAACATATAGATAAACATGGCATCAACCAAACCCCCCCTCAAAATCCTCATGCTCCACGGCTTCACTCAATCCGGTCCCCTCTTCCGCGCCAAAACCGGCGCACTCACAAAATCAATCGCAAAAGCATTCCCTTTACACATCGTCTCTTTTTCGTATCCCACGGGACCCTTACGACTCAATCCTTCTGACGTTCCGGGGTATAATGTCGATGATGCCGCTGACGGAAAAGACGAGAAATTCGAGATAGAAGCGTACGGCTGGTGGAGGAGACCAAGTACGACTCCGCCAACTTATAAAGGTATCGAAGATGGATTGGCCAGTGTTGCCGCCGTGCTGCGGGATGAAGGGCCGTTTGATGGCGTAATTGGGTTTTCGCAGGGTGCTTGTCTTGCGTTTATGGTTGCCAGTCTATTAGAAGCCAACAGGAACGAATCGTTCAATGCAGCGGCGGCTGAGGATGGTGTACAATTCCCTGAGGCTTTTTCTGCAAATAATGTCGGGAATCATCCTCCGCTCAAATTCGCGATTGTCTATAGTGGGTTCAAACTTGCGGATCCGCGATGGAAGGCTTTATATGACGCTCAAAAACCGGTTACGACGCCCGTGTTGCATGTTTTGGGGACGTTGGATGCGCTGGTTACGGAGGAGATGTCTAGAGGATTGATAGAGGCTTGTGCGGGTGACCCAGAAAAGGATGGGAAAGTTGTGTTCCATCCTGGAGGACATTTTGTGCCAAGTCAAAAGACATATCTCGAAATTGCTGTGGGGTTTATCAGGAGGGCACTGGAAGGGGATAAGAAGAAAGAGGAAGAGGATGAAAGAGTTGAGGATATGGATGTGCCGTTTTAACCTTGTGACTTGGCATAGATAGATCATAATAGATAGACTTATTACTGTATAATAGAGGTACATTTCTGTCTGATGTACTATACATATCTAACTACCATCATGCCTTCACCTTCTCAGACTTGGTCGGCTGGATACGAGCCATCATCTCCTCCTTTGTGATCAGATGGTCGATTCTCTCCAGCAAACCCAGCAGACTCCTCATGTTGCTGCTCCATTCATTCAAGACGTCGTCTGCATCCCGGGGCTTCGCAAAGTTGATGACACGAGCAGGACGGTCAATCTTTGCATAGATGGTCTTGGACGTGACCAGGTCGCTGATGTATTTCTCCGTCTCTTCCTCGTTCAAGTCTAGCAATTGCGTCAACCGGCTCGTCTGGATACGAGTGTAGTACTTGGCGATAACGCGCACATTGTGCTCAATTACTCGCTTTCGCAGATCTTGCCATCGAGTATGGGCGTCTGGATCGTTCGGGTTCTGCTCCTTGTCAAAGACATCAGTGCTGGTGAGATGAGGGCCAAAGGTTTCTGCAATCTCGGGCCAGCGCATTAATTCATGCACTGTAAACAATTTCAATAGACGCGCTTCGGTTGGAACTTGCGACAAGCGGCTATCTTGTTGTATACGGTGAAGCAGATCAGATTGCTCGTTGTCGTATGGAGCAAGAACAACGTAGTAGACAATTCGGGCAAGTACCTAGAATCATGAGTTAATTTTTATCTTGAACTATCACATTAGAATACTCACAGCTCGGAGACGCTCAGGTTCCTCTTCCACCGACTCAGTATCGAGAACATCCCGGTAGTGCTTGCAGGTATCGAGATAGTTATGGTCATGTTTCGAGAGAATAATCTGCTGCTCGTAATAACGAAGCTTCAAATCCTCAACAGATTCATCCTTCTCTGGCATAGGCTCATCAGAAGCGCGCGTCTTCACCCGCTCCTCATATTCCTTCTGCTCCTTCTCCAACTGTTCAGGTGTCTTCTTCGGTTTGCGTGCAAAGTAGCGCTTATTGATCTTCCGGCTCAGAATAGCCGCCTGAGTCCAATCGCCCTTCTCAATACACAAAGCGACCTGTTCGAGAATGAACTCGGTCTTTTCCCTCCTGGTCATTGAGCCGAATGTCTCAACCTGAAGCTCGCAAAGGATATCGGTGGCCGAGTTGAGGTCTCCTTGGGATTTCTTGATGTGTGATAAATAACGGGTAATACGGGCTCGTTCGACTTCGACAAAGATCTACCACTGTCAGTACGCTTCGTTTCATTAGAAACATTTCAACGCACCTTTCCTTCTGTCACGGTTCGCAGAGTCTCAATTACTGACAGCTTCGTTTCGACATCAGGAGTATCCTCAAGAAATTCCATGACTTTCTGGACCATTTTCGTCGTCGCCTGCTTGAGCTGGCCATGTTTCTTAGATAGCAAAAGCACCTGGTCGTTCAGTAGACTCCAGTCGCCGGACTCCTTGCTAATCAAGACGATGGTTACGATGACTCGGGAGGTGGTTGCGAGGTCAGATGCCTATAACAATCAGTATAATGCTTGCATAATGCTGGCCCACGAGATCTTACCTGACGAGCATGCTTCTCCAGCAAGGACAGCTTATCGATGGCCGCTTGAACATTGCTCTATCATCGAGTTAGGAAATCGACATATATTCGAGCTCAAGACGTCAAACCTTGGCAAGTTCTTGGGCTTCTGGAATTATCTTGTCTGCATCCTTGCTGAAATCTTTCTCTGGCTTGAGGAGTTCTCCGGACATGATGGCGACTGACGCACCGCCGTCGTCTGAAATTTATCGGCTGGTATATCGAGAAAGTGCAATATCGACTATTTATTATCCCCTCCGCATTTATGGATTCGGCAGCGTAATAAGGTGGACAAGAGTGTGAGATGTGGATCGTGAGATGGTGAAGCTGTCTTGCTGGGCAAGCTATGGAAGCTGTGCTGGACGGCAACATCATGCTTACTCACGTGATCAAATCGCTTCCGCTTGTTTACTTAGCTCCGTTATTTGCACACATCATTCGAAGACTATGCCAAATTCCACTCTCTATGACAAATAAGCTATATAAGATACCCTACTTTTGTTTACTATCTATGACGGCATCTCTACCGGCAAAAATCGAGCGAGAAGCCCATGAAGCCGGCCAAGCAAATGACTCGTCAATATCCTGAAGGTCGTCGCCTGAGGCGAGATGATCGACTACGGCAATGAAAATATAAGCGCCAATACCAGTACAAATATGCCACCTGTTTGTTTCACTATCAGTCGCCTGGGGCTCTTCGAGGAGATTAAAAACGTACCAGCCGTGAAGTTCCAATAAAAACGCCCAAGGAAGACCGATTTTCTCTCTTGCGCTTCTCAAGAATCCGCATGCCCATCCATCGAGCAGCCAGACTATGTATCCGGCGTTGAAGATTACTTGTCCCGGGATTAGCATACAATTGAAAGCTCAAGAGATATCGAACCTACCGGCACCGAATATCACTATACCCCAAATCTTCCTCCGAGTAACTGAGTCTGGCTCTGTCCGGAGTTTGATTAATTGCATTGTACGTATCCCAATGACAGTGACCGATAGAACGAAACTCGCAGAGTGGAGTATCAATTCATCGATGACGACATGGAATATGGCGAAAGATACGAGCAGAGTTCCGAGCAGAAATGCCAAGATTGCGGATTGTTTTTGGCTTGAATTGACGCTCAGGACACGGTGCAGAACTGGCACTGTCGTGAGTTGCATGGAGAGGTCGTCCACTGCTCGACGCCGATACGGTGAGTTGAGCAATGATGATTTTTACCGGGAGAAGACATGCTCACTCATTTGAGTATGATACTTGAGACTCCCATGGAAAGCAGCGGAGCATATTCCTACACCCATCAAGCCCCAGTATGGGATAACACGAAAGGCGCTCGCATTCATTTTCTGTCTAAAGCTGCGAATGCCATAAATTGCGTAGACGACTATATTGATTATCTTTGGTTGATCGGCCAAACGACTGGAGATACGTTTCTTACCATAGACGAGGTTGGTCAAGGTATTGACGAATTCTCCGATGTATCTTGTCATCGCGTAGTCCTACAAGACGACAATGCCATAGATCAGCTTATGCTTAGGCAAGCATTTCTTGATCGACTTGAATCTACCTCTTCGCAAAAACTATCAAAATGTCAGCTCGAGCTTTATTTGGTTCCAGATAATATACCGACATACTTAAATTTGCATGTTGGCGGACCCCAGAAAGGGACTAATGAATGTGAGACCATTGCGATTGCTAGGTTGGCAATAGTTGCCAGATTTGATAAACAACACGATATATGATCCTCTGAGACGAATTGAACTTATATACTCTGAGTTATGGTGTACAGGAATCCTGCAGCCTTCGCAACCTCGCAACGCCATAAACGGTCATCAACCAGTAAGCTTAGCAGTAACACACACACAGCTTTACGGGGCGTCTCTCGTAACAGTTTTACACGAGGAAATGAGTTATACACTCAGTCATGTGTCAAAACATTGTTTTCAGGACGGCAGTGACTTGAATGAACGTTCCGAGTATGACGGAGAGAGTAATTAGGGCTAAATCCGCCTAGACCGTTTCCAGATTGGTCGATTGCCTATAGATTGGGAAAGACACCAGTTACACTTCAACTGTATGCACAATGCCAAAACGAAATATTTTCTACTAAATTTTTAGAGCATAACAAATCGGCCAAATGATCCCTTCAACACCACGTTTCTTGTCGTAGTGCTTACTGCTGAGACACCATAGTTGGGTATACGTTGTTGACAAACCACGCAAACGAAGCCAACCACCAACAATGTTTGCATTCCGTCTGATTGGCTAACCTCCTGTGACGAACATTAGATGCAAACATCAAAAACTAGACAAATACTAGATAACCTATGCAAGACAAACTGTGCAATCGCAACAACAAAATCTAAAGACAGGGTACCATGTCGTGTCAGGATGAGTATAAAACCTGTCTTGATCCGCGAGATGGATCGATATATTTTCATTGCCAACATCCCATACACTAGTATATTTACTGCCTATTCAGATCCGACCGATTGAGCTTCAGTCACAGTATATAAACTAGACAATTTTCTCATCATATCGCCGTTACTCGCAATCGAATTGTATATACCGTCACAATGGCAGCAAAGGTAGTACCCGGCGCAAACTACGGAAGCAAATTCGCCAACTTCAACATCCTACAAAACAACTACAAAGTCGTGGATGGACATGAGATCCGTGCCGACCTGATCATACCAAAGTCTCTCCCAGCGGGGAAGGCACCTGTCATTGCCCGATTCCATGGTGGTGGTCTCGTAAGTGCACTGCGACTACGCTGCTGTTACACATACTAATTCAGCTGTAGGTGCGAGGAGATTCTATTTATGAAGACTGGTTTCCGCGCTGGTTGCTCGAACTCGCAGAAAGGTATAATGCAGTCATCGTTTCCGGCAATTATCGCTTTTTACCCGAAGTCACCGGTCTCGATATCTTGGATGATGTCGACGATTTTTGGACATGGTTGCACTCAAAAGATCTCGCGACTCTTCTACAGAGACAGCACGAGCTGAAATTAGAACTTGACCTCGATCGAATCATCACGGCAGGCGACTCGGCTGGAGGGTTGTTGAGCATTTACCTTGTCTTGTCTCATCCGGATGAGATCCGCGCTGGAACAGCCGCATATCCGGCTATTGGATGGGACAACCCTCCCCTATTGCCCACGAAATCAAGTGCATTTTTCCCTTCGGTACCAAAATCATTCATCAACGAGTACGTCGCAAACATTAAACCAGGGCAAGTATCCTCGTCGGATTTGGACCTTCAACGTGTGAAGATATCGCAAGCCATCAGCGCGAATCAAGAGGGATTCGGGTTCTACATCAAAGATTCAAAGAAATCGCCCACTCGCGATAGGTTATATCAGCTTGCCAGACTCGAGAAGCCAGACGCGAGACTGCCCCGTGGTGGATTGGTGATTTTTCATGGTGTTGATGATGACGCTGTCCTGATCCAGGCCAGTGAGCGATTTGTGGACAAGGCTAGGGAGGTCTTGAAGGGTAAACAAGGGGGTGATAATATTGTGTTGGCTTCGCGGCCTGGTCCACATGGGTTTGATGTTGATGCATCTATTAAAGAGGAGTGGATGAAAGATGCGCTGAAGACTGCTGTCCAGACATGGTTGGAGTAGTTGATATCTCTTGGTATTTTAATGTCATGGTGATACTAACTAGTTAACTAAGTTAGTTAACTAATACACACGTTATCTAACTAGTGGATATATGGGTTATATACTACGTACCCTGTACGGAGATGACTCCGCGGAACAGAGCTTATCGTTATCTTATCGGCGATTGGCAGCTGATAAGATAAGGCGAGCACGCCATTTGGCACCAGTAAAAATTAGTCTTTCTATAATCATTTCTCATCTTTAACCTCACCTTTGATATTTTTGGTTTAGTTATAATATGATAGACTCACGTTTCTCTTCATGATCGTGTGAGCGTCCTTGCTTGGACCTTTATTGCATTTACGGAGTGATTGAAGAATATAACCCATACAAATACCCCGCCAAAAAGTTTACCCACGCATGATATGAGCTTTCATTGACCTCAATTCGACCTTTACACGGAACCACAGCTTGGTCAAGCAGCTTGACAAAATGCACGACTTAACGAGTACGATACCAATGCTTATAGCCATAAACGCAACCTCGCAAATCCATCTTATCATCGGCACAAACTCGCTGGCGGCTGCGCGCTGCACCAAGAGTTTACAGTCCGGCGCACGGCCCATACTTATTGCTCCAGAGACTGAGGATGTTCATTTTTCGCTCAAAGATTGCATAGAGCAAGGTCAACTTCAATGGATAAAACGGGAGTTCCAAGACGAAGATTTAAAGACGTTGGGTAGGGAGGAGGTTGATCGTGTTGTGGATGTGGTTTTTGTTACGTTGGGAGGGGGTAATTCGATAAGTATGTATTAAGTATTCGGTAGATCTTGAGTCAACGAAACTGACTAGTATAGGCGAACATATATCCCAACTGTGCAAACGAATGCGAATACCAGTCAACGTAACAGATGCGCCTGATCTGTGCTCCTTCACATTACTTTCTACATACTCCGACGGGCCACTACACATTGGAATCACGACTTCCGGCCGAGGATGCAAACTGGCCTCCCGTCTAAGAAGAGAGATTTCTTCTTCGTTACCCGCCAATCTCGGACAAGCAATTGACCGATTGGGGACTCTCAGGCGACGATTATGGGAAGAAGATCATCCACAACAGTCCGAGGCCGAGCAGAAGTTGGAAGTCGAAGACGAGGATGTCGCAACTCAGAGTTATACATTTAATAAATTGATTACGACTGAGGACGAGCAAACATCAAAAACAAGGAGGATGAGATGGTTAGCGCAGATTTGCGAGTACTGGCCTTTGCAACGATTAGCGTCGATATCGGAGCCGGATATTGATGCTATTTTTACAGCGTACTCGCGTGATCGAGCCAATGACTCTGATTCAATGTTATTGAATGGTGACTCGCAAGATCTTTGCAAGAAAAAGGGCAAAATAGTCCTCGCAGGATCAGGACCAGGACACCCCGACATGCTCACCCGCGCAACATACAATGCAATCAAAAATGCAGATATAATCCTAGCCGATAAACTCGTCCCAGCACCGGTATTAGACCTAATCCCTCGACGGACAGAAGTCCACATCGCACGCAAATTTCCCGGAAACGCAGACCAGGCACAAGAAGAGTTTCTACAGATGGCATTGAGGTCCCTTCGAGAAGGGAAATACGTCTTGAGATTAAAACAAGGAGATCCTTATCTGTATGGTCGTGGCGGCGAAGAGTATTCTTTCTTCCGAGAAAAGGGATATATACCCACTGTTTTACCTGGTATAACTAGTGCGTTAAGTGCGCCACTATTTGCTGATATTCCGGCTACGCATCGTGGCGTTGCGGATCAGGTTCTTGTTTGTACTGGGACGGGCCGAAAGGGTGCTGCGCCTGAGCCACCGACTTATGTTTCTACACAGACTGTGGTGTTTTTGATGGCGTTGCATAGACTTGGTGATTTGATTAAGAGTTTGACAGATCCATCAACAACTGAAGCAGAAGGGAAGGTTAACAGAATCATGTGGCCGAAAAGTACACCATGCGCCGTTGTGGAGCGAGCATCCTGTCCCGATCAGAGGATTATTCGTACAACATTGGAGCATGTCTGTCAGGCCGTGGAGTGTGAAGGATCTAGACCTCCTGGCCTATTGATCGTAGGCGCAAGTTGTCATGTCTTGCATTCGCCAGAGGAACAGAAATGGATTGTCGAAGATGGGTTTAGAGGGTTGGACGATCTGGGTGTTGAGGGCGACTTTCTCAGTGATGAACTTCAGAAGTGAGATCAATACATTCTAGGTATTAGGTTTTGTATATAGATTGCATGGATGGCGTATTGATTGCCCAGATGATTGAGATACCAAGTTGAATTTTCTCTTTATGTATGATCGAATTAGGACTTATATTTAGGGCTTGCGAGGAGTCTCCACTTTTGTCTTTGACGCGGCTTTAGAGTAACATCCTACACTCTTCAACACATAACAAAAGCACAGACAGTGATTCGATTCCAGAAGATACTTGACAAGCTGTGTAGCTAAAAATCGAAAATTGCAAAACGCAGAATTCAAGGAAAGCAATGGAAAAGAAGAGACCCAGAGATGATTCATCGGCTGCCCCCCGATCCAAGGCTTTCAAGTTCAATGCTCACACCCTGAGGAAGCTACAGGCTGCGGTCGACGAGAACCCAGTGGTCGACTTCGTTACAAAGTTGCCTATTGATTACTCCGTGCGGCTTAAACAGATGTGGAAATTCTCGCAGATCAGGTTGAGTAAGCTAACTATCGTTCAATGCATTACTAACTAGTAGTTCCTCATGTTAGCGAAAACCATCCGTGGCAGTAAACTCACCGCGGATATTAGTGAAGGCGCTACGAAGGAAGGGACATGACTTTACTGAATACACGACTTTGCAATGTCTGCAACAGCATAGACCAAGCATACCAGCCCCCAGAGCAGTGGGATTTGTGCAAATGAGTGGGACATCGCTCATTTTCATGACCCATATGCCGTCAAGGACTCTTAGGGAAGTGTAGAACCAATTAGATGTGAGTCAGAAACTATCGATCAGAGAGCAACTGGCCAAGATCCTTAGAGATCTGAGATCTGTTCCGTTCAGCCCTGGTCTGCTACTTGGTGGAACCGCTGGTGACAGTTGACACTATTGATGACAATCGGTATACTGTGTCTGGACTCATCGATTGGGAATACGGTGGCTTTTATCCCGAGTATTATAAAGCCGTTAAATTCACAAATTGCCTCTCGCCGTATGGAGAGGATGATTGGTATTTATACTTACATTTATCTCACCCAAACGTCATGCTCATTGGTGGCTGCTTGATCGAGTTCGAGAGGCGAGGGTTGTGTGAATGGAAATTACTGATTATCAATCTTAGTATGAGATGTTTCAATTCTGAGTCAACTATTGCATCGTCACTGAGGAGTTGCTATCCCATCTCACCACATTCTCGGGACGAAGTCTTATCTGTGAGAAATGGATTGACGTGTTATCCCGAGAACCTACATGGCAGTTTACACTTCCTGGCTGAAATTATCTGCTGGTTCTTGAAGCCGGCCACCCACAGAAGCCCAGCTTCTTCATCAAGCGTAGTTTGTCAAAATAAAAGAGCGTGGCCGAGGGAATCGGCACATCGATCTCATGACGGAGCATGCTTGTACCCTGACTCACAAGGAGAATCGTCGCATATAAGAAGAGACAAATGTATGTATGAGTGCCATGCAATATTCGAGTAGCCTATTCCAAAGCCGTCTTCACAATAATGTGAGCCACCCTGTGATCCATTCCCTGACATTAAGCGTTTATTCCAAGTCTCGTTTCATCACAGGACGACTTTAACATTTCCTTATTGAACCCAAACCAACCATACCGCAAATCATACAATGAACAAAAGGAACTTGAACAGCAGCAAGATGATCTCTAGGGAGGAAGCATTGCAGAATTGTATCCAACTCTAAGTTTTTCGACGACGTGGATGACAGCCGGGTCGAGAAAGATGGACGACGCATAGAATTGCCCGACGACTTCTGGGAGCAGAGGCATCAACCATGGCTGAGTGATGAAAAGAGCAAATCATACAGAGTATGGGTTAGCGCAATTGGTGGCAAAGGAACGAAAGAATGTGCGCTAGAAGCCGGGTCCAGATTCCTTTGGGGTGCGATACGTAAGCCGGCTTTGATATCTCATACTTGTGAGGTACCGCAGCTTGCAGGCGATGACTTCCTAGGGAAACCACATGAAGTAGGTATGCTGGTGATGGTTTATGGCCTTATTCAGCAACTGTTGAAACTGGGTAATTATGTGAGATGTGACGACGTCCTGTTAGATGTCAATGAGCTTAGGGGATTGGACGAGAATATCGCGCACTGGAAAACAGCATTGGCGATTCTCAGGAAGATACTTGAAAAGACACGGCCAACTATGCTATACTGCTGTATTTCCTGTTTATCTGATTTGGAAGTAGCTGAAGACAAATGCAAGGAGTTCCTAAATGTCCTCTTTGATACTACCGAGTCTGAGAAGACATGGTTCATATTTGTCACGAATAGCCAGTCTCGCCTTCTACTTGAATATGTTGGCAAACAATGGCAGTTACCATAGAGTCAAGGGTGGCTCTGGAAAATGGAAAGAAGATCTACACTTGGCTCAAGTGATTAAGCCTCCATTTTTTGACCGAACAGTGTGCCCTGTATGATAAACCAGATAGTCTCCAGGAGACTAGATTCGATATTCTGCTAAGACTTTCCAGAGTGTTAATTAAGAGTTGAGAATACTTCCATAAATTTTCTATGATCTTTATCAGTCACTGTACCAGTCATGGGTTGATTAATAGTATTGTTAGCCACTGCTCAAGTCCCTTTCATAGGTATCCGATCTCGATATCAACCTGCTAACATCTCTTTCTTTACTTCTTTCTTCCTTCGTTCCTCTCTCAATTTCTCTCTCTATCTATCTATTCCTATCTAAATTTCTTTCTTTTCCCATCATTATCCATCATGATACTTAACATTGTTTCAGTTGCTTTGCTTCATTGAAAGCTCTCGAGTTCTTTCTCGAGTCGAATGCCCTCCACCCGGTCATGCTGTTCAAGGCATTGTCAAGATGAGACATCATCATGGTACGTGTTACAACACTCTTTGCTCATTGAATAATTAATGTTATTGTCTCAATAGATTCTATACTCGATTGTCTGTCTATTTAGAGCGCAGTAGACTCTCGGAAATGAAAAGGCAGAACCTCCATTCGAAAATTCGGTATATCTATTCAAAACCAACTGTACAAGACATGGTAAAATGGGTTCAAGATACCCAATCTACGATGAGCTGACCAAATACCAAGCCCTAAGGTATTGCAGAGACATCGAACAGTTCGTCGCTCGGTATGGTGATCGTACCGATACACCGGGGATACCTCCATCCATTGACCAGCAAGGTCTGCTCACCAGACGAGAGCGGGTGGCAACTCAAGCTGGGATATACATTTTTACAGATTTTTTGAGAGAATACCAGGACCAACCCCTGGAAAATGACCTGCGGGAATCCCTGGCAGCCAACGAAGCACCCCAGGAAGAGTCCGAGGAAGAACCCGAGGAACGAACAGGCGAAAGAACAGACTCCAATTTTGGACCCGAGTTTGGACCAGAAGAAGAACCGAGAACAGCTGCCCGTGTTGATGTACTCGCTTTAATAGAGGGCCTCAGACGATCAGGCAAGCCTTACATCTCGCACTTTTGTAAGATACCACAGGGCGCAAGTATTCCCAACTTTCACGGAACAGATATTCAAACTGGAAAAATGTTGATGATGTACGACCTGATCATACAGCAACTAAAACTCGGTTCTTGTAACGATGTGGTTGCAATAAGCAAAACTGACTGTGAAAATCTATGGACTGGACAACACCGTGCTGGTCATTGGGGCGCTGCTAAAGACGTTCTGGAGAAGTTACTACCACAATCTGACCAGGAGCGAATTTAGTACTGCATCATCCATGGGATGAGCTACCTTTCTCAAGGCTGTCAACAAACTTTCGAAGCTGCAGATCGCTGGATCAAGTGCGAAGAATTTGTAAAGTTCTTGATTCATTTCACCCAATTACGGCCAGTATTTGTCACTTCCAATCCTTGCTCCTATATGCTATGGACGGTACGACTGCACAACCATATCCAGTTATTTGTTCCATATGAAGATTTGGAACAAGGAGCACCCCAAGAAGAACACATGATGAGCCATGCCATTCCGAATGATTTTTCTGCTCCAGATTTGGACGAAACAGATTAAGACGAATGAGGTTCTGCACTGGACCAAGTTTAACTATTAGAGAATTTGGTCCATATCTCCTATGTACCTCTATATGCACTTAGAGCCTAGGTAGCATGCAGCCAATCTAATCCAAACCCCTTACCTCTCCTCAAGGACGCAAATAATTGACGGAAAGGTGCATATGCATATAGAAATCTACGCATATATAATTCGTGCACAAGTATAATCCCTCTAGTCACATTCGAGTCATGCAAGAGAAGGAATGGAAGACGCATGGAAAAAGGGGTTGTTGACCTGTAACCGTTGACCTCGAAACGGGCGTATCCACGGCGCCGTAAGTGCATATCAATGACTAACGATTGAGTGAATTTCATTGAATTATGATAAGACGTCGAACCTTAGAAAAACAAGAAAATCAGTACTCCCCTCCAATCGGCGTCGACACATTCGGTCTCAATGCATTCCCGGTCAACTCCCTCACAATCTTCACCCCAGCACTAGCCCCAATCCTATCAGCACCAGCTTTGAGCATCTCAACCGCTTCTTCGGCTGACCTCACACCTCCGGAAGCTTTCACTTTACATCCGTTCGCCAACATATCCACTACTTCCCTCATGAGTCGCACATTCTCAATAGTAGCGCCGGTACCATTAAACCCCGTCGATGTCTTGACGTAGTTTGCGCCGGCCATATCACTTATCGCGCTACCCGCAATGATCTCATCGCGAGAGAGTTGGGATGTTTCCAGTATCACTTTCAACTTCGTCTTCGGAGCTGGTGCAGCGCGACGCACAGCAAGGATATCGTTGTATACATCCGTATACTTCCCCTGTTTCAGTAATGGCCAATTGAGAACCATATCCAGTTCCGTAGCACCTTCTGCCACAGCTTTGGTGGCTTCTTCCACTTTTTCGGCGGTTGGATACGTCCCCTCGTGAAATCCCACGACGCAGGCTATGCCGACTTCATTTTTGATATCTGCTAGATTGTGCGCTGCTCGTGATACAAAAGGCAGACGGACGCAGACGGTCGCAAATTTGTGTTCGCGGGCTTCACTGCATAGGTTGTCTATGTCGCTGCTTGTTGCTGAGGGGGAGAGTTGGGTGTGGTCGATTGTGTGGGCTACGGCATGGGGGAGAGGGGTGTGGTAGACTGTGTGGGTGTCGGGGAGATCGTCTTTGATGGTGGAGATGAATGCGGCCCATTCAATGTCTGTGTTTGGTGTTTCGAGTTTTGTTGCCATCTTCGTTTTCTTTTATTGTCCTTTAAGGTCAAGGTAGTGTTTGAGAATGTTGCTTGGAGCTATGTTTTGCGGCTCAAAGAGCTACCCGCGTTGTAGTGTACGTGTAGTATTCACGAAATCTGCCAGTTGGGCTAAAGAGGATACTTCGATTGAAAGTTGAGATTATTTTGTGTTTATGGACATTGAAGTAAAGTGCCATCAGTGTGACTTCATGGAGGAGAGCTGGTCCAGCTTGTGATTGGAGTACCCCACGTTTACTGAGAGCTGTCCACCTGTCCACTCCATTTGTGCCACGTGATTGAATATCAATACATATTCAATAGTAGACATAACTAAGACAACTATTCGAACAATTAATAAGAAAAATAGAGTATAAACATTCCATCCGCATAATTGCGTTCGAATCCCCAAATCCCACGTAGAGCTGCAACATATGTACCTGGGTGATATCCACCCCCAGAACAGTTTCCACCTTCACAACTCTGCAAGACCGTCTGCCAATGCTTACACCGTAGTCTATTCTCGACAGCAACCGGTCCTATACACAGGAGACTGGTAGTCATTAAGCCGATGGACCCTTCTTGCACCAAATCCACTACCATCATCATCCGGTCGCCCACCACTACCACCACCGCCACCACCACTGAACCAGCCGTTGTTTCGTCGGTCTGTGCTACCGCCCCAGCGAGGTTTTGTCCAGGGATGGTTTCGGGACGAGGCGATGTTGAATTGGGATTTATCTGCGGCGGCGTAGGAATCGAGCTGTTGACATTTTGATTAGTTATCTGTTAACGCAAGTTGAATGCTGTGGGAAGTATTAATGACTGATCATGCATGACAGCTCATGACAGAACATTTGAATGTGAGAAAGTTCTAAGACGGAAGACTTACCGCAAACAAAGTTACGAGATAAAGACCAAAAAACATGTAAATACTATCAATCCATCGAACAATACGAGTCGACAAAGGAGGCCTGAATAGATAAAGCGTTAGCAAATCCAGTTCGTAACAGATTTCCTTCTTGAATATCGACAAATCCAAAGAAATCATACAGTCAAGAAAGAACAGTCCGAACAGCATGGAAGGAAAGAGATAGTCTTACTTCTGGAGCATATGCCCGCTAGAAATAAACGGTGTCTTGGGTTTGGTTGAGTCAGACATCTTGATGGATTTGATTGTTTGACTGGTGATGCTGGATAGAGTTGGTGGTGGAGGGTGAAGTTAAAGTTGTTGGTTCAATCTGGATCGGATGAGGCTCTACCGGTAAGTGGGGCTGGTATTATTACGGTAATTAGGATCATTTCAGTAGGAGTCTAATTCAAACAATACGCGTCTAAACAGTGATAGCTATGCCTTTTTATGACACACATCTTAAACAAAGAGTGAAATGATCCAAATACGACATATGATGTTGTGATATAGCACTTAGTTATCCCACGACTTGGACCACTGGTACATTCCAATGCTGAATCGCGCTCACCTGCGAGAATGCGATGTCGATACTAATTTATGCTCAGAATAGTTACAGATACATAGTAAATATCACATGGTTACAACCATACCAAGAAACACCAAAAATGAATTACATGCCCAGACGCCGGTATATGAAATATTTTTTCCGACAACAACCATCAACCGTCAACGCCGGTCTATATTATACGTAGCTTGTACAGCACAAAAATCATTCACCCATCTCATCCAAGTCTCTATAGGCTGCTCGAGCTTCTCGCAAAACCCCATCGCCATTCACACCGGCCTTTTCACTTTCAAACCAAGCTTTGCGCTGTTCAAGATCACGGTCCTCCTTTTCTGCAAGTGCAACAACTTTGAGTTGCTCGTATTTCGCTTGTAAATGTTGGTATCGTTTGTTTGAGTCTTGTAGTTCACGGATACTGGTTTTGAGTTTCACGGTCTCCTCGGCGTCTGCGCGTCGTGCGGCTTCGTTGATCGAGAGTTGTTTCTTGAGGGTCGTGATTTCCTCTTCCATGGCGGCGAGTTGGGAGGATTCAACCGCAGCAGCTGTTGAGTGACCATTTGATATGGTAACTTCTAGTACATCCTGGTTATCATTAAGTGCTGCCAACTCCGCGAGGCCTTCTTCCAATAGAGATGTTGGAAAGACAGGATGTGTGAGGGCTTCACTGAAAACATCCGTTTTTGATGCCGGTGACACAAGTTGGACATTCAGGGCGTAGTTAAATGGAATAATGCCATCCCCAAGAGACTTGTCTGGTATATTCTGTTCGTATCGAGGTTTGACAATGGTTGGAATTGTGAATCGAGAGGAATCATGATTCGATTTGGCAGGGAATCCTACAGGTGGAAGCATATGTAGGTTGGTTACCGGGCTCATGTAGTCTGCTATCGTAGTCGAGAATTTCCCTCGTGCTATATCCCATGATAGAACGGAGCCGTTCGGATGTCCTGAATACAAAGTCATGCCATCATAAGACAAGGCCAAGGCCGTCGTGGCACCCTTATCCGCCGACGGAACAGTCCATTGTTGATCATCATTCAACTGAGATGGCGTATTCTGAAGTCTTTGGTCATATAGAGGGTGCTGAGCGGACATCGTTTCATAAAAGCCGATGCGCTGGACGTTGCCGGACTCGTAGCCAACATAACAAGCTCGATCCGCCGGATCAACTGTGATAGATATTGCCACGGAAGGTAACAAAAATGTTCGGAGTACCTTTCCTGTCGCGTATTCCCACACTACTGCCGTACTATCTTGGGCTGCAGATATGGCAATGTTACTGCGACCCGAGCCATGTCCGATGGCGAGAGCCGTAATTGGTGTTCGATGATTGCCGAATGTTCGTATAGGCGAGTTGAGTGCCTTTTGGTCTTGTCCTGTCGAGACCGGTCTCGAAAAAGATAATAGTTGTGGGATGGACCATATATGGACGTTGGCATCGGCCGAGCCAGATAGGATGATGTTCGACGTAGGGTCGACGACGAGTGAGGTCACCGGTCGAAGATGGGAAGGAGTAGTAGAGACTTGTCGACCGGTGCACGTCTATAAAATACAATTAGTCCCACCTCCAACATGTTGCCAGTAAGAGAAGATGAAGCATACCTCCCATAAAATCAAGCGCCCACCCTCTGTGCCCAAAATCAGAATTTCACCATTGTGGCCCCCTGCTACGGCCAAACTTCGAATTCGTTCCGGAAATGGCACTGTAGCTTCTTGATTGCCTTTCAGTCGGCTATATACATGAACCACAGATTTATCAATTTGCGCAGCGAATATATGAGTCGAAGTGACAGCAAGTCCATTGGGAGGAGTGGAGCTCTTCTTGAAGGTCGCGCGGAGAGCGGAAGTAGGCAGCAAATCTTGCACACATATTCCGGCGTCTCTGAGCGTAGACGACGTTTGTGTTTTTGATGAGCCTAACAAAGAGGCTATAAGCGTCACCGAGAGCATTGCTGATTTCGATGCAGCTGCAATGTCTACAGTCTAGTGTCGAGACCAAAATCTCGGCATAATTTTTTTTGAGGCATGGCGATAAGATACCTACGATAACGGGGTGTTTGCACTGTTTGTTCATTTGGTGCCTCAGCCCTCAGGTACCCACTCCTCTCCCTTATCTTGAATTCGCCAATCAAAACCTCAACTTCAACTCATCTTCTCAACTTTTTTGATGTATCCCAAAATTTACTCGATCAACCCAAAACTCAAAGTCGACCCACATCGCCGGATGCATGATATACATGCGTAGCTTCAGGCTAGCTCGAGGCTTAAGCAGGAGTATTTAGACGGAGCCTTTTAGATTCTCTACAGGTCGCCAGCTTGTCATCGGAGGATGCAAAAGCACAGCCAACAACTAAAGACTGCCCCACTGATACTTTATACTTGGATCTGGATTGGTGGTTATTGCGTTCTTGTATATTAATAGTGCGCTAATATAATTTATCTTGTTCGTTTCTCGTCTTCCGGACTTCCATCGATCTATCGAGATCTCACGAACTGTGGGTTCTACTCAGCCCCGGTCAAAGCACCACACATCTCCCTTCAAAACAAACAATTGATATGTTCGATATGGTTGATAATGCTGTGATAGTCGATTCGTTGTATCATTTGTACTATCTTTAAAGAATAAATGTCTTCTGAGAGACCAATATGCATACATTCACCACGTTGGCCGACAGACATTGACACGTCCGCCGCAAAATGGTACTTGTCGTCTGTCTGGTATATGTCCAATCTGCAGGCACATACGACAGCACTGCCTTCAGTCTATTAGCTACCACAAACAAGCATGATGGTTGAAGCCGGGCAGCGATGCAAGGGATGGGTCTAGCAGTTCTGCCCGCGCCTCCTCATTTGCTCCAATGCATCCCTTCCTTCACTGAGACGCTTACATTGGTCTTTGTGCCGTCATTTATGCTCTCTGACTATTAGCAGTATTACTAACCGACATACTTGAACTCCCAATTTGAAACTTTTGACTCTGTAACTGCCACTGTATGACGGTTGGCCCCGCTTGACTCTTCCCTACGGCCAATGACCGGCTCGATGCTTCGTCGAACTTTCTGCGAAATATGCAAGGAAATTATGATTCAATCACTCTGGAGATACTGTTCTTCTGCTCGTTGTCCAGAGAGCATGGCATCCCACCTGCAACCAATGGTTCCAAGCCCGGCCTTTTTTCCACAGGGACGGGACAGTCAAGGGGGAGGCGTCCCTGGCAAAGTATAAGGGCATTTGATATCCCTCTTTCTTCCCCTTCGTGAAGGAATTTGAGTTACATTTTTGCCCCAGGCTGGATTATTCACCCGAAGTCACTCTTTTTGCTTGCGAACTACTGACTCGCTTACTGTCATTTCTTCTTATTGTTGTTGTGTCACCTGTCTCGATTCTGAACATGTCCTCTGTGGAGGTCGAGCTGCCCATCATGGGTAATTCATTGCTCGCTCATCCTCACAGTTATGGCCATGGAAACATAAACTTCAGTCAGACTTACATCCCTGACGGTGTTTCTCCCCTCTCTCCTTCATCAGTGTATTCACAACCACCATCTCGGCCCAGGCGTTCTCACGGGTCGTTGTCATTCCTTTCTTCCGGAATGAGTCGGCCTGAATCTAACGAACAATTATATGTGCCGTCTCGACGAGGCCTAGAAAAGGTCTCTGTTACTGTGTCGCCGTTCCGGTCCGTTCGACAGATGAAAGAGCCCTTCCAACTCAAGCTTCCTCGTTCACCGTCCTTTGAAAACAATCTGATGTCCAGTTCGCTCCCGAATCGAGAAGTCAAGGAAAAAAAATCACAACCACGAGGTCTTCAGTCACCTATTGGTCTCCGCCCTTTGCGCACCTGTCGATCAGACCAGAACCTGGTTGCGGGTGCTTTGGAGACATTCGGACTGCTACCTAGTCCTACTCTATCAGAATCTCGACTGACATCGGAACTCAATACCACACGAAGGGATTTTACTTTTCAGAAAGACAAGCCTCTTCCTGTCCCTAAACGCTCGTGCCATATGACAACCCAAAGATGTAAAGTCTGCCTAGTTGACAGCTGCCAAGTCACGGATTGCGAAGCGGCGCCGCCTGCGGATGCTGCGTCGGGAACTTTCTACCAGAGTGAAATACCAGAGGAGGCTCCGAAGCAGATGCTGGCACCTAGCTTTTCTTCCCAGGAAGTGCGAAACCCAACATCCACGCCGCAAATGCAACAGCTCACTGAGATTAAATCTCCGGCAACCTCCTCTGCTAAGAACCATAAACGGTCAAGAACGACAACTGTATCGAGTGCAGCCAGCTGGGTTCCAGAGAATTTGACATATTGCGAAGATTGGCTTCAGAGGGTTCCCCTTGAAACTCCGGAACGTCAAGATGGAAGAGGACGAGAAATCAACAGGCGCAAATTCCAGATAGTGCAACAAACCGATGATCCTTTTCCAATAAGCCGGCCGAGTCATCGGACTCGCAAACCTGCAGATTTGAGCATTGATACAGAGGCGGCTAATAATCCAGTGGTATGTTTTTCACTCTTAGAGCGACTTCTACACAAAGTTGTACTGACCTTGATCAAGATGCTCGCTGTAGCTAGCAAGACCAAGCCAAAGCTTGTTGATATATCTCGACCTTCCTCATCCGGGACAACATTTTCCGTTCCCATACATCCGCCACCATCGTGGAGACGACCATCCACACCAGAACAACGAAGCATGAATGAAATATCTGCTTTTAGTCCGGACACTCCTCAGGACATCCCGGACAGTGGCTACGTTACACAGCAATCCAACCGGTCGTCGGACGAGAGTCACGAGTTCCGAGACGATGACTATGTTGATACCGCGTTTGATATCGCGCCAACGACAGCATCGTCAGAGCCACATTGCGACATCTCCTTCGTGACTAGTATCTTCAGCGATCAAAAGCCTAAGCATCGATATTACATGTCGTCTTACAATAGACACAAACCTTCCACTGGCCATAAGAAAGATGAAACCCCACGAACACCACCAGCCGTGTCTCCGAAGACCGTCGATCAAGAAACCTTGGTGAAGTACTGGGACTACGAGTGGACATTGGATCAACTCGAAGATTCCGTCAAGGAGTTTCCCAAATATGCCCTGCGGCTCACATCGCCGGTCATTATCCTGATTCGACAGAATCACGAAAACACGATAGTTCGGCCATTCAAGAAGATTTTCGTCAATGCCCAGGATAATATGATCGACTATCTATGTGCAGCATTGATTGCAAGGAATTATCTCGTCTCCACGGCATCAACACACCATCGCCTGAACAACCCTCTCACACCCCCTTCTCAGTCCATTGCCAAATTTCACAATCATGGTAACAACACCAACAGCAATCTATCGAAACTGGACAGTGTACCTGAAAAGGCAAGGGCAACACTCGGTATCGCCTTGCCGATCAACCCGGGCAACAATAATAAATTGAATTTGAACATTCCGAACCAGTCGATGGGTGCTCGGAGCGCGGAGCTACAGAAGGGTCTTGATCGGATTGTTGATAAATTGCTCTTCACGATCTGTGGTCGACATGATGAGACGCTCAAGGCGTCGGTGACTGTGTTGATGCAGGTTCTGGAGTCGAAAGAATCAAAGGCTTGATTCATATCATTTCCAACAGTCATTCTGCTACCCTCCCCTTTTCGCTTTTTCTTTTCTTGATACCATCCACTGTCCCTTATTCATCTGGCCAACATACAATCCTTCTTACAATTCCCTTATCTCTCCTTGTAATGAACTTTATAATCACCCTTTTCTTCCTAGCACCATCCACTCTTTCTTTCTGCCTGAGCTTCAACCTACCATATTGCATACATCTAATGTCTATCTCTTGATTCCCTATTTGCTTTTTCGTCTCGTGTTAATTCAGATTGATATTCCCTCCTTCCGAACTCGTCCTTTCGGCTTGAATATATCTCAGAAAAGTACAGTGTCTACCATCTCCATTCCTTGAATTTTCTTTTTATTGTCTTCTGATTTGATTTCAGTTGCATTACTAGCGATCTTTTCTCTGACTTTTGGCTTCTGGTTCCTGAAGTCATTGTCTCCGTATGGTTATTGAATTTAGCAGCTGTTCGTGTTTTTGTTGTATCTATGTGATATCGCACTTCGGATAGTTGCTTAAAAGGTATTTATCATATTCGACCTTTATCCATTTGAGTGTAGCATGTAAAATATGTAACTTATGTATAGATGAATGAATTAATAATGCAATGGTAGTCATTGAAGGAGGATAACATCGGCAAACCCAGAAAGTCAACGACCGGTCCGCGGCGAACCTTGCGCTAGACCAAGATAGGCTTAGACTGTCTATCGGTATTTCTAATGGTTCTCCATTCTCGAAATTCCCGACATCAACAACACAATCGCCATCATTACAACACACGCCGGTCGTTTTGTTGTTGCTGCCGCTATTGGCTTAATTTCGAGTATAATTGCAAAGCCATGGCAGCCTCATCGACCCGACTACGATGTCTATACGCATCATCAGCACCAGCATGGAAAAAATCACCATCTCAATCGATAATCTCCCTCTCTCGCCACTATGCTACAACCAGCTCTACAACACCATCTCTGAATCCTGATGAATCCTCTTCGTCTTCATCATCAACAATCCCGAAACGACGCAAAACAACCACATTTAGAGACAAACTGAACGCCGGCCCATCATTCGCCGACTTTGTCACCGGCGGCAATGGCAATAACGCTAGCCTCGACCCCGAAGAAGCCTACGCCCTCGAAAAAGTCATGATCCCCGGTCCAGCAGGTCGTAAGAAGGAACATACCCGTCTCCCCTCATGGCTCAAGACTCCCATCCCGGACTCGACGAATTACAAACGCATTAAGAAGGATCTCCGCGGGTTGGATCTACATACCGTCTGCGAAGAAGCCCGTTGTCCGAATATATCTGATTGCTGGGGTGGAAGCGACAAATCTGCTGCGACGGCAACGATTATGTTGATGGGTGATACCTGTACGAGGGGGTGTAGGTTTTGTAGTGTCAAGACTCTACGGACGCCGGGACCGTTGGATCCGCATGAACCAGAGAATACGGCTGAGGCGTTGTCGCGTTGGGGGTTGGGGTATGTTGTGCTTACGAGCGTGGATAGGGATGATCTCCCCGATGGAGGGGCACATCATTTCGCTGAGACTGTGATTAAGATCAAACAGAAAGCTCCGGGCATTCTTGTTGAGTGTCTCACGGGTGATTTCGCGGGTGATTTGGATATGGTTTCGCTAGTTGCCAAGTCCGGGTTGGATGTTTATGCGCACAATGTTGAGACTGTGGAAGCTTTGACGCCGCATGTTCGAGATCGTCGGGCGACATTCAAGCAGTCTCTTCGCGTACTCGAGGCTGCGAAACGCGCAAAGCCATCTCTTATCACAAAGACGTCTATGATGTTGGGCTTCGGTGAAACAGAGGATCAATTATGGGACGCGCTACGTCAACTGCGCGCCTCGAATGTGGACGTGGTCACCTTTGGGCAGTACATGCGTCCGACAAAGAGACACATGGCCGTACACGAATACGTGACCCCGGATAAATTCGAATTGTGGAGACAGCGGGCCCTCGAAATGGGATTTTTGTATGTTGCGTCGGGCCCCTTGGTGAGGAGTAGTTACAAGGCTGGTGAAGCTTTTATTGAGAATGTGTTGAAGAAGAGGAGGGGTGTTGGGAATACGCCTGGTGCTGAGGTTGCGTCGGCCAAGGATGTGCCGGTTGATGTTTTGGGTAAATAATGGTTATAGATTGGCATTGTTAGGATATAGGACATCATTAGGGAGTTTGTATTTTTATTGTAATGCGCATGGAATTGACTACTCGTGAGCTCTTTTTGGTTATAATGTGGGTATTTATGGGTATCGTAGCCCAGTACTAACTAATCGAATTAATCATAGATACATGCATCGCTTCATCTCATCCCGTGTCATAGCAGGTATATCCATGGATTTCCACACTTATCCGCCCCCAAATAAACAGTCGACAAAGAACACATTCAGAAAAAGCAAGCAACCAGAAATCCCTCAACATCCCTTCTATGTACTCGCTTACGAGTAAATAGCCTTCAACTCCTTAATATCCTCATCCCCCAATCCCAACAAATACAAAATATCCGTCAACGTCTCCCCATTCAATCGTGCGGGAGCTTCGAGTTGCACTTTACTCTTTGCGCGCCATGCAACACCCAACTCTGCTTCGTGCAGCATCGGGAGATCATTTGCTCCATCACCGATGGCAATGGTCTGTGTGAGGGGGATGTTGTTATCAGCTGCGATTTTGCGGAGAAGAAAGCGTTTTTGGTTGGCGTCGATGATGGGTTTGCCTTCGACTAGTTTGCCGGTTAGGGTTTGGGTTGTTTCATCGACGGCGAGCTATTATTATTAGCGATGGAGCTTGTATTGATATTTAGCAAGGGAACGTACATGGTTGGCAAATGCATAGTCTATGCCGAGTTCTTTGGCAAGCCAATTGGCCAAGGGTTGGAAACCGCCGCTGAGAACTGCAATTTTGTATCCCAACGCTTTTAGCGCTTTGCATAGCTCGCGAGCACCCGGAGAAATGGTGACGATGTTTTGGAGCTTGTCAAATACGTCAGCGGGGACACCTTTCAAAAGGCTGACACGGGCTTTTAGTGATGAGGTGAAATCAAGTTCGCCATTCATAGCTCTCTCGGTGATAGCCTAAAAATAGCCCGTCAGTATTCAGTATCCCTCTTCTTAGGTAGAATAACATACCGAAACTTCCTTCTCTACACCGACGAACCTAGCAATCTCATCAATGGTCTCTTCCTGAATCAGGGTGCTGTCCATGTCGAAAATGGCCAAGCGCTTGTACCGCCTGAAAACACTTTCCTTCTGCAGCACGACTTCGACATTCCATTCCCGCTCAAATCGCCAAATACTTTCGTGCTTACGCAAATCATCAAACGACAGATACTCAGGATTGGGTAGTGGTGAAACAGTCACTTCCACCACCCGAGGCTGATCTTCCTGGTCCAAACAACGATGCGACGTGTTCATGCGCTGATATGGAGTGTGCAGACCCTCCAAGATTTGCAAGAAGTGGGTAAGACATAATTGTGACACAAACGGGCCGTAGAGATGATCTAAGGGCTCTGGCTCTGGCGCCGGAGGCTCGCGGGGTAGCTTCTCAATATCAACTGTTGGAGCAGACCCAATGGGGACCGACGGAGACGGGAGTACACCGCCTTCGGCGCTGAAGGTATTGGCATGAGGATGAGCAGTCGCCGTTTTGTAGTAGATAGTCGCCACAAGCTTGGTAGTCCCTGCCGGGAGCGGATTTGGCGATCTGGGAAAAATACTATGGACGATGCCGCTCTCGGTCACCTTTTCAGGATCTGGGCTGATAGGGTTCGTATTGTAGAAGAGAGAGTTTTTGTTGGTTTCGCCTGCCGTCAGAAGGACATCGGTTATGTTTTGGGTGATTGGCGGTGTGGGCTTGTACTGTTGGTGGTCTTGGATGAAGGAACCACCCGACATTGAGCTGTGTCGTAGTGAGGGTCTCTCAGACCGCATGGCGAGCTTGGTGGTTTCGGTCATAATGCAACGAAGCACTCAATTGCTGACCGAAGAATCGGACGCCGTGGACAAATTATTAGTCCTGTCAAATGAATGCCCGGTTACCCCGTGAACTTGCACCGAGCCCTAGGTTCTTTTTTTTTGTTTTCCTTCTTCTTCTTCTTCTTTTTGTATTTGCAGACTGTGCAGAGATATGACAAAAGGAAGAAATGAACAGGTGTGCGACAGAGTCACAGAAATCAAAAAGATCAGAGGATCATCTTTCCAACGCCGAATCCCAGAGAGGCTTAGGGCGGACCACGTGATGGTGGGACTGGGTTTAGTTCCTGGACTTTTTACTTATCGCAACCAATCAGAGCGCATCATGTGCCAAATGAGCAGGATTGTCAGTTTGGTTCCCCTCAGTTTTCCTGGATAAGAACGACTGTGGCTGTGACCATTGGCTGGGGATATATTCGCAGACTGCTTTTGTTACGCGGATTATGTACTTAGACCTTGATCAGAGAGCCGATTATGTACTATAGTATTCATGAACATCATGGATTGGATTGACGTCTGGTTCCTAAGCTCCTTTGCCTTTTTTGCCGCGGGGTTTTCTGTCACTGTATGACATCATCTACTTAGGAGAACAGTCTGCTGTGACTTCTCCCCTACTTCACCATAGCCCTGACACAAGTGATTTGTAGTGAATAGAAGACGAGTCATTGCTAGAACTAAGCTCAAATGCCAGGCTGATCTCAATAAGCGTAAAGACTAAGCAGTCTGACTCCAGCTTCCAAGGAATATTATGTACGGTGGGGATGTTTGCACTGTTTGACAGATTGCCGCACATGATCCGCTTGCCCTAAAATCACGTGACACAAATAGGGCTGAAGACGCATTTGTCATCTGCTACGGCCCTTACGGGTAGCTCTAGGTACCAGCTGTGCAACTATTGCGTGATTTCTCTCAGGGTCCGATTTGCCGAAAAGAGAAAAACTGAAGATGGCGTGCTCAAGATTTCCCCTTTGGGATGGCCCACCAGGGCGCCAGGCAGTGGAAGATGGCTATGATGCTGTGCTTAATAATTTCTTTCTTGCCATGGCTTGTCATCACTAGTCGTTCATTGTCGATTCCATTCCTCTTCTCTTTGCTTCGTCATTGTTGTCTCTGAGCCATATAAACAGACATAATCACAACCAGTGTCGGCTTGAGACCAGTTCATCCAATATCACATCTTCAAAGCATCACCACAATGCCTGCTAAAATCCCTTCACACTACCCCTTGGACCAAGAGGTCAACGAGACCGAATCTGGCTATGCAAGTGCCTCCTCTAGTGAAGCCAGCCTGCCAGAGGTCGTCTTCACCAAGGCCCACCTTCAATTTTTGAACCGGCAGTTGCAATTCCTTGAGCCTCAAGGTATGTTTGCTTTTTCGCTTTGCGGGGTATCATTGTGATTTGGGGCCACTGACTCGTTCTCAGATGTCTTGAGATGGTGCATTACCACTCTTCCCAACCTTTACCAGACCACTGCCTTCGGTCTTACTGGATTAGCCATCACCGACATGCTCTCAAAGCTCAATGTGCCCCGTCCACAAGTAGTCGACCTCATCTTCTTGGATACTCTTCATCATTTCAAAGAGACTCTTGCTCTTGTTGACCGTGTCCGCCAACGCTACCCCAACCTCAATGTTCACGTCTATAAGCCATTGGGCGCAGAGACGGAAGAAGAATTCGCCCAAAAGTACGGTGAACGCCTCTGGGAGGCCAACGATGAGCGGTACGACTGGCTCGCCAAGGTGGAGCCTGCTCAACGTGCATACCGCGAACTCAAGGTCGATGCAGTCTTGACCGGTCGCCGACGAAGCCAGGGAGGCAAACGCGGCGACTTGGATGTCCTCGAGATTGACGAAGCCGGCCTTATCAAAGTGAACCCTCTCGCCAACTGGAGCTTTGACCAGGTCCGTCAATATATCAAGGACAACAACGTTCCGTACAACGAACTCCTTGACAAAGGCTACAAAAGCGTGGGCGATTACCACTCCACCAAACCCGTCAAGGAAGGCGAAGACGAGCGTTCCGGTCGCTGGCAAGGTCAAGCCAAGACTGAGTGTGGTATTCACAATCCACGATCCAAGTATGCCCAATTCTTGGCAGAAATGGAGCGCAAGCGACAAGAAGAGGCTCTCGCTCAAGCCCTGGAGAACGTTCAAGTGACCGCGGCTGATGCTTGAAACGGGGCTTCCCTTACCACATAATGTAATCCTGACATGACTTTAAAAAGCACTGGCGTTAGAGCATATGATGCGGCGTTATTGGGTTTATTTTGAGCGATACCTGGCATGATCTGATTATAGATCTCTTTTCTTGTTTTAATGTACATAGTTGATCGACTGCCACCATGATGAATGTCAAAAACAAAGTTTATCTTCCAAGACTTCGATTAGTAATAGTATGCGGCCCAACGTATGATGTCAGGTGACGATCGCCTTCAGCCTAGCCCTAGCCCTAACCCTACTTTATACGTCTCAACTTTCAAGTTGTTGATTTAGTAAGAATATTTTGAGTTGTGATTAAGTTAGTTATAGCATGTTTAGTTAGGTGAGATTATTGATACAAATATTTTCCGACTCCTAATAGCAGAGCCTGGTGCCTTCTACACTTCCATAATTCACTTACCTGTCTTTCCTTTCCGTCCTCTTCTCATAATCTTCGATACTCTGCTTCACCATCAATCTCCAATCATACCCATAAAGCTTGGAAATTCTTTCCTGTGTATCTCTAACAAAATCCTCCTTATTACGAATCTCTGGAACTCCCCATTTCACCAATTGGCCCTGTCGACGACTACTAGCAACAAGCCACTGCGATCTTTCTCGACGAATGGAGTCGAATGTCTCAAATGCACGAGACAGAGCAATCTTCTTACTCGTAGCAGCAGGATCTGCTGAAAGTTTCTGCTTTGCCCTTTCCAAGACCGTTCTTAGAACAAGCGCATCCTCAATACCCATCCCAGCACCCATTCCATGATGCGGTGTCGATCCATGCGCCGCATCACCTGCAACCGCAACACAGCCATACGCATAACTCTCCAACGGATAATCCAACGTATCAAAAATCCCCCATCTATTCTGCTCGTCGGGTAATTCTTCAAACAGACGACGAATCCTTGGATTGAAATCGGCAAAGGCATGCATGATTTCGGCTTTACTTGCTTGAACTGTGTGTTTGTGGTAGTCTGGCCATCCGTCTTTATTGTTGTCTTGCACGAATGCAGCTACGTTGAGATATTTGTTGTTGGAGAGGGGAAATGTAACGATGCTGGCTCCGTGGCCGATCCAGAGAGTTAGAACGGAGGAATAAGAGCCCAGGATTGAGGATGCTTTGGACATCGAGATGAGGCTGCGGTAGGCACTTTCTTTGGCGTAATGCGGTTTGCTGGCGGGATTTTCGTCTCCGAGGAGGAGATTTCGGACGCGAGATTTTATACCATCACAGCCGATGACTTGCAGAAACAGGATCGATGAGTATCTCACACCATGAGTTTAAGAGGAGGGAAACATACCAGCATCCGCCTCCACCTTCGTACCATCTGTAAAACTCATCACAACCTTGGCATTCTCCGACCCCTGCTCAAACCCATCCAACCTCTTTCCAAGCCTCAAACATCCCTCCGGCAAGAGCTTCACCAACTCATTACACAGCTCCGCCCGATGACACAAATAAAACCCCTCCCCCATCGGCAACCTCATATCAAACAATTTCCCTTCTCCTCTCAACCCAAAATCTTCTGTCGTACTAGAAGCATCAACCCACTGCAGCGTATCAGGACCTAGAACTGCAATACGAGGCAGCATTTCAGGAATCCGTGGATCAAGCTCTCTCATGCATTCTTGTATTCCGAATGAGATTCCGATTCCGGCGCCGATTTCTTTGATTTCGTGTGCTTGTTCGTAGATTGTGACTGAGATGTTGCGGTTGAGGAGGCCTAGGGCGAGGTTTAGGCCGATTATGCCGCCGCCGATGATGGATATGTGGAATGGAGGGTCCATGTTGTCCTTAGTCTTGGTTGGGTCTGTAGTTGTTGTAGTCATTTTTCGGTTTTTGTTGGCGAGGCTACGTTCTTCTCTCCTTCTCTGTTCCTGGCTGCAAGGGGCCTTTTGGTAGCTAGTATTGATGTTGAAATCTACGAGGAGAAATGACGCACAGAACATATAATTACTGCAAGTCGAGATCACCGGCAATTCAGGCTCCGGTCACCTGTCGGTCACATAAGTTACCGTATACCTGCATGATCTATTGGTGGCAAACAGGGATGCTGCATATGAGACGTCTCAACCACTCCCCCGCTTGAGACTTATAACTGGAAACCGCCACGAAGGATATCTCTCAGAATACTCTTGTTCTTTGATGTGAGACCCTGAGGACTGCCCTGCGGGCTGCGTTACACGAAATCAAACCATGTCGTCTGTGCCGATGATCCCTTTGTGTGTATGTGTCACGCATTTTTGCTGCCCGGATTTTGGCTGATTAGTGCTGTTGTAGATGTGGGCGGATATAACTTTTAATGTTCATATGCTCCAGGGCGACAGAAGTCAAATAGATGTCACGGATTCGCGGCTAAATACAAGTGATATCGACATCACAGAACTTACTCAAGACGGTGATATAGTATAGCCATAAAGTATCAGGAAGCGAGGGCGAATTCAATTTACAACCAGAAGCCACATAACCAACACTGCATAGAATTGTTTTCTTCGTTATATTTGTTCTATCCAAGATTGGCCAGTATTTTCGGAATAAGAGTCTCATCAAACTCCCACAGAGTTGTCTGGAAGTTACATGAAAACGCCCCTCCAGTCCACCAAGTCGACCTCTGCCCCTGTAGTGCGTTGAGATCTTGAAATAAACCAGCCTGAACATCCTCCACGGACACACGAGCATGCATTGGCCCATGATTCGAAAACGAAACCCACTCGATCTGCTGGCCATTGTATGGTTCGGCCAGTCTACCGGCTTTGAGCAGTGTCTCAAAGTTCTTTTGCATCAATGTCTTGGCGCTGGCCTCGTCGAGTGTATCATCTCCGGCGATAATGACACGAAAAAGATTATCGCCACCTATGTAGCTAACCTCATTTGTGAAGGGGAAGTTGGGTAGGATGAGGTACTTGTCCGGAGCAGCACCGGCGGCCATGTTAGTGTACGACATGCCGGGGGCGAATGCTGAATTGTTGACAATGCCGGAGTACTCTTTGGTATATGTGAATTTTGAGAGCACAGTCCGCTCGTTGTCATCCAGGTCAAATGGAGCCAGATTCTGATCAGTTGGCTCGATAGCAATAAGGAGTTGGCGGGCAGTAATCAGGGTAGCGTGACCGGTGGCGTGGTTCTGGACAGTTAGGAGAACTCCCCATTTGGTGCGTAAACTCCGAATGACGGTGCTATTGTACAGAACGTCATCACCGAGATCTTTCTGGATCGCGTTGTATAGCGCTTGGTTGCCTCCACTGGAAGGATGATAGGAGTTAAGCTGACCGGTCATAGCCTGTGCCATGTACGTACCGAATGCCTGCAGCTCAAACATGGTCGTTGCCTGGGTCATATTCCCAAGCCCCAATCCTGTCGTCTCATAAATCAGAGGAATAGCATCCTCGAGGCCGTATTTGGTAATGAAGTCACCGAATGGGATCAGAAAGTCCTCGGGAATATCAGCCGGTTGAGGAAAATTCCAGTACCCTGGTTGTAAGTAGTCCGTCCAAGGCTTCACCACATCAAGAAATTTCTGAAGAGCGGTTACCTGATCGGGAAATGATGGTAGAGTGAGGTTGACGACTGCACCGGTATTGAAATCGATGTGCTCAGTGGTGACGTTTGTTTGGCTTAAAGGAGCTGTTTCGATACCAAAGCGTTCGAAGAACCCCGTTGCATTACCAAGATCCAAGAAAGACTGTACACCGTAGTCATACGGGGTACCTGTCGCAGGGTCAATGTACGTGTTGACCATACCGCCCTGTAAGGCAAACCATTTGTGTCAGTTCAAATCTATCCGGAGATACATGAAATCTCGGTTGATATATAACTTACCAGTCTATCCTGCATCTCCACGATTGCAATGCTCTTGTTAAAGTCATCCCGGAGACGGACGCCGGCGTAGGCACCAGAAGCACCGCCGCCAATGATAACAACATCTTTGGTGAGAAAGTTGGGCAGCTCGAGTGCTATGGCTCCTCCTGTCGCAGCGGCTATCATGAGCCATAGACTTGCCGTTCTTAGCGATAACATTGTAGCTAGTAATGAAACAACGCTAGATATAGGAGAACTCAAATCACACAAGGACAGCTCAGTTTGAGGGTGGCTACCTAGATGCTCAACACATGTTCTTTTGATTTGATACGGTCCCAAGATTCATGTTGGCATGAACAGGATAACCTGGAAACGAAACACAAATTGGGAGGTTAGCCATCAGCGCCGGATGAATGCTTAATTAATGAGCCAATTCATCATACGGCAACTGTGAATTGTGAAAAGTCAATGCGGGGTACAAGGAAATACCAATACGAGAGCAGTTTAGCTGTGTGCTTAGCATCTTCATATTAAGAGAGTAATATTTCTCTTTAGCCGATTAGCGTGCATGATTCCGTCATGTATGTTCAAGCCCGACGTCCTCGATATAGGGTTAGACTCGGTCCTCTACTGTGGCTGCCACTGGCTGGCTGATCTGACTGTGGCCTTCCTGCAGGCATGTTCCCGGTACGAAGTACAAAGCTACTACCTAACGGATGGTGAACGCGGCATATGCATGTATTAGAGGTTGTTAAAATACGTACTAAGAATACAGCTCAGCATGGGTGTTCTCACATGCTTCTAGGGTTTGTCTATTAGATACAAATGTTTCCCCCGAATATGAACAGACGTCTTAGTAAATCAAAATGACCCAAACTTCCTGCAATCTCCATACCATGCGAAACATACAACTATCCCCTAGTAGTGTGCCCGATCCGAGGCGACTGGGTAGGTAGTATGCAGTGCGTAGATAGAATCACCTGTTAGGATCATTTTGTCAGAAAGTCTGAAATTTCAATTTGGATTCCTTTCAAATCTCCATAACTCACAATATTTTCTAGTCATTCTTTGCATTTCCACCATTTTCCTTGTGAATGTGATATCGAGGCGCGTCGATTTTCGTCTCAGATTCGCAATGACCATCTCGCTGATCGAAGAATCTGGAAGCAAGCCCTAAAAGAAAGGAATGCGGGATGCTCGCTGAGTTTCCATAGTCATGGAGCCAATATCTATGCCCACGGTGTACATACATATCCAGAAGTAGTTTGCGGATTGGGGAAGACTCATTTGTATTGCTGTATGCATACTCAATTGGACTTCCGACAGGGAACCATATTCGTCCATCACGTGCTTTCGATTGGCTTTTCTCGACAATAGCATCAATTACTGCATTCTGAAATCTGCTGTCCAGTAGTTTATCACCCAGTGTGTAAGCCTTCACGAGTTCGAGGTATTCGGCATTTCCGCAGAGGCCCGGTTCGTCGCAAAGCACAGGAAGTGTACCATAATAGAGCCAGTGAACATACAACTGGAATATCTTTGGCTCATTATCTGGCAACTTTATGGTGCGTTCCAAAGATTCCTTCCACTTACGCGACATAGCCTTGTCGAAAAAGGGCGAAGAGGCACGTATCAGTCTCTCATGGATACTGAAGATTTCGTTCTGGTCTCCTCCCACCACTACGTCTAATATTTTCCCCGAAAGCCTTCAACATAGTTTAGTACCTATCTGCAGTGTTCGGTGAAAACGTCAAAAATCATGTAAGACTTACTTATCTCTCTCGATTTGCGAGACCCGGACTGGTTTGGTTGACATCACGGCTTACAATGACATTTGATCGCGATGCTAGACCGATTGTTTGAGGCGGAGGAGGACCGGTAGAACGGTGGAAGGCCGTAATGAGTGAGTTCCAAGGTTCTGTGGGAGATACACCTATATTTATACATGTACCTGGGGACATAACAACAATAAAATGACAACACCGGTATCCCAATGGGGTACCGATGTGTAACCATGATACACCTACTCCCGGTTGATAAGCCTCAAAGAAAAATAATACGGAGACTCCCGGTTTTTCTGAACTTCGTGTGAGTGTCAAGTACTATGGAAGTGTCCGTATCAGCACCCCTCCCCCTCTTCCAAACCACTCATACAAAGAATCTTAAGCAGCGGATCAAATAGTCATAATTAATGTTCTATTTACCTCCAGGCTGAATGTATAATAACAAAAGCTCAATCTTATTTGATATAGCACGATATTTCTCATAACTAAACCGCTGCATGTCTATTGCCGTAGATAAACCCAGTAAACCCAGTAAGTTTATACCATTGCAGCCTTAGCCAAGGCTAAACTGATACTGACTATAGCTGACAATGATTTCCAGCAAGATATCATGGATAGTTCATGTAGAAATGATGCTAGAGTGTCAATATAGAAAAAAGTGTGCACTCAATGAGAGCCCCTTTTACTCTAGGTTCTTCTGGTGGCTTCGAGAAAGAGATAACAATGAAGCGACTGCGAGATCTTTTAAATACCCCATCTCACACCAGAAGCGGTATCTAGATACCAGAACTTCGACATACTGAATCGGATCTCCAGATACTTCGCCTTGAGCCGCCATACCTCCTCCGCCAGTTGCTCCTTGAACCGTTCCTCTGCTTTTTGTTTCTCCTGAGCATCGGGTATAATCATGTCTAAATTTTCTTGTATTCTACGGAAGGGTTTATATAGCGAGTCTTGCACATTCTTACAGAAACTCTCGAATTTATCTTCCATGTCAGAAGTTAAGTGGTCTGAAATGCTTTCAAAAAGTGTGCCGTCTTTGATCTTGCGTTGGATCATAGTACATTGTTGACGAGCTCAGCTTTTGAACCTTACGCTTATCGCATATCCACAATGGACTCAGAATTGGAGACCATAATAGCTTACGTGTGCCATATATCTAACGGAGCTTTCGCGTCTTATAGAGATTGATATACATAACGAAGTCCAGCTTGCGAAGCTGCTTCGCTCAAATACTGAATTTCACACGGTAAGCTTGCAACGAGTCTTAGCTTTATACTCGAAGACACTAGTGCCTGCTTCGAGGCATCGTGGGTATACTTGAGTGTGTCGATTGGCCGAGATGACCTTGGTCCGAAATTGGCTTCCAACCATTACTATTCTGTCTCAGACTCTTCAACTTTCCCCAATAACTATAGAACAAATTATTTATATGAAGCTTATTCTTAACTATTTTCCATCTTTCAGTGGACTTCCACGACGGAAACTTTACTCAACAGCAGCAAAATTGAGCTCGTCCTGCCGGGCCTGCGTGAGGATCGCCTGAGTATCCATGACCAAATTGATAGGGTTTCCTTCGAAGCCTGAAGGCATATTGCTTGCTCTTATCCAATCCATTTGCGCGTCTGCAGCCCCTGAAGTCCAGAATCCGTAACCAACCTATATCACAACAACCATACAGTTAACTTGGCCAGCTCTAGAAACTAGAACCAGTGTTCTATAGAAAGCAGGAGATCATACCTGAGAATTTCCATATCTCCAACCTGTATCCCCTGCCGCAAGTTCGGCGGCACCAGCTGATCCCAATCTTGCCATGGTATTTATTTGCGCATTAGCTTTTAGCCTGGCCTGTGTTAATCTATGAGCATCAGCGAGCTTTTCCTTCTGTAGCTGTACTTCAATGATGGGATTCCATGAGTGTTTCTTTCTGCGGAGTTCTTCACGCATGTTCCACCACCGAGCAAATGAGACCAGGTCACCGGTCTCGGCACATTGGCGTACCACCCCTCTAGCACGGTTTGTGTATGTACTGCAGTAGATCAAGCCATCGGATCCGGTATTGATGCATGCGAATTTTGTCATATCCTGACTGAAGAGGTTGGCGTGAGGTTTACCGTTCACTGAACGCATGTAACATTCTTCGCAGATGATGATTGTGCAGTCATTCTGGTTGCCGTAGGCTTGATTGACGCGGCCGTACCAACGCCTATTGCTTCCTCGAGAGAATCCTCGTATATTACCACCACACGGCGGAGCGTTGGTAGCAAGCATTCGGCCAGCTGAGGTCAAAGGGCTCCAGTCTCCAGCTTCGTAGCCGGGTCGTAAAGCATCAAAGAGAATTCTTCCACGCCACGCAACACTATCTTCGAAATTATCCGGGCTATTTGTTGCTGTTGTCTCAGAAGTATCTGACCCCATCATAGAACAAATATGCACATGCCCCTGAGGTAGTTGTCGTGATACCGGAGAGAACATATGCGCAGCACCAAGCATATGGGCCTTTGTCCAGTAACAGAATGGACATATTTCAACTGTCGGTGAGCTATTCAGCTGGTGCCATTGAACCACATCGCCTTTCATTCTTCGAGCTTGAAAAACTTCTACCTCATCCATACCCCTTTTCCCAGCACAGTGCTCTGCTTTGCTTCCCATCTTTACCGCATCCCGCCATATCTGCTCATTCCGCTGACTCACGGCGTATGACATGGCCATCTGAGAATAGTCATGTGCCAAATCGCAAGTCACTTTTCCGAGTTGATCAGAAGCTAGCCTGGCAGCAACGAATGCCGTTGTCTCCAACGGTGTATCGCTCAAGAAACCAGAGAAACATGATAAGCAAATATTACCGGCCTTTCCATTCGCGCCGGTCATTACAACATTAGGCAGCTTAGGCGAGAACTCGACTATTGGTTTATTCGGTCCGGGACATGGAGGTATAGAGTTTCTAGCATTTGCCTCATCTGCAAATTCCGAGAACTTCGGGCGTGGTTTGCCGAGTTGAACTATTGTGAGGCGCTTGAAATATGGTTTAGCCATGTCGCATGTCCATTGCTGGATCCCACCAAGGGTCCCATCAGCGACTTTTTCGAATTCGTGTTCAAAGGGTGTATGCTTAAAGTAAAGCTCAAAACACGACTCGCACGACATGAAGTCCTTTATCTTCTTCCTTCGAACTTGATAGTAGGGCTTTCCGCGTATAGAAATAGCTGAGCCGTCGCAAGGTGTGAGTGTCTCACATAGTCTTGAAAAATCTATGAGAGGCATGACTGTCCTCGCGGGGATACATTGCTGGAAGAAAATTGACTTGGCGGCTGGAATGACGAAGTCACATGCAAAGACCTCTTCGGGTTTATTGTTGTTATGGTAGGGCTGGAACTCGTACACAAGGTCGCGATTTGGTTGGATGTGTGTCTGATAGCAACTATGACAAATAGAAAAGACTGGCGCTGCCTTGAGGCTGAAGAATTGATGGTATCTCGTCAATAAGGGCTGCAGGCCGATGCATTCAGGCCAGCTAGTTGGTGCATTATGTCCTTGATATATAGTTTGTTGAGTACCAGTCCTCAAATGAGGGGTGCTGAGCTGATGATTCGGCTGCGGTGTCGTCTGATACTGGGTTCCCTGTGGACGTTGGGTATTACGTCTGTCATCGACTTCTGCGATCGCATCCGCAACAGCAGAAACAAACTTCCTGAACATATTTATGAGGCTACATAAGCATTGAACGCCTTGAGCCAAAAAGCTTGATAGTATAATACCTGCTCTTGTTGGAAGATTTCCCGCTCGGATACTGGGAAATTGGCCCATTTAAAGATGACTCTATTTTACTCGGAGTATGTGTCAGCCCAAACTCTGCCCTACAATTCAGATACAAAGGAACACTGAGCTGCACACTCCCAGAGTCCCATTTCATATAGTAGATCCAATCTTTATGCATATAAGAATGCGAGTACAGATCGTATTGGGCTTGCTACTATAGCAAACGCGCGGAAATCATAAGGCAGCCTTTATCTTCAACTAATGATATTACAAATTCTGTGGACATGAGACATATGTTTTCGGAGACAAGAAGCGAAGACCAAAAGCCATTTCACTAACTTCCCAGATATGTACTCAGCTGGAGAATTTTCAGCCTGGACTCCGATTAAGACGGCACTCCGATTAGTAGGCAAATATACTTTGCTTCATAAATTTAATGAACACGGAATAGTTAGACAAAGATGCTAGGTAACAAACAAACTGATATGAATCGAGAAGCAGAAACCTAAAACTGACTACTCGCTTCTACCTACATATGTAGGTAGCAAAGAAATGGACGGTTACGCATTTGGGACTAATAGGTGGTGAGTCGCGAGCAGTATTTTCAAGCTCCTATGGCTATTCTCATAATTAATGTAGTTTTCAAGAAACATAAGGAGCATTCAGGAATCTCCCAACTCGTACAGCCATTCGTGTCTATGTCAACGTCAGCAGTCTGACCCCCAGTAACATGTGGGAGTTTGAAGCCACTAATCTTGGCTTTCGCTTTGGTACTTGCCAATCAGACTAGTAAATACGGCTTCCTTCTTGTTCCAATGTTGCATTTCCATGACACCTTAGATCCTCCTTCGCGTTGAATGCATGAAGGCGTACAAAGTTAGGGCTAGGGCTAGTTAGTTAAGTTAGGGCTTCCCTTCTATTACCTAATCAGGAGATATTCCAGGGACCCCACAGTATCAGCCAATCAGAATGAGGATCGACAGTCAAAATCACGCAAGCCGTCAAGACGATGTCGTGATTGCTTTCATGACTAAAACTGGAAACAGCTAAACCACAATTAGAAGGCGGGGATTGACGATTAAAACTGATCTGGCTTAGCGTCTGATCCCATCCATAAAAATTTCACAATGTATTTCAAATGTAGTCGATGTACTGTCATTGTAAACAATACAACGCAGTCAGTTGTAACAATTACACCGATTAATTACATAGAGATAGAAAAAATACTATAGACGATGGAATTTTGCTGGGCATATCTAGCAGATTTCTCTATTTGAGCGGGCATGCGCTTATGCGGTTGTCATCATAGGGTAATTTCCTGTAATACCTGTCCCCAGATTAAGCAGGTCAATGCGTATTCAGCCAATGATATGTAAGTATTTTACACGGTTACTTGATTCTCTTATCGATAACAGAGGGGAATATCCGTAATTTCAGGGTAACCGTACGGGTGTGATACAGTGACCATCTTCCCCAATCCCAGCTCCAAATCTTTCTTCTTCAGTTCCTCTTCTCCCTCTCCGTCTACGCTCTTCGTTGTTCTCTTCTTATTCAGATCCTCCTTTAATACCATAAAAATGGCAAACCCTCCCCACGGTGGTGTCCTCAAGGACTTGATTGCCCGCGATGCTCCCCGCCATGCTGAGCTCGAGGCCGAAGCTGCCACATTGCCCGCTATTGTCCTCACAGAACGCCAATTATGTGATCTGGAATTAATCATGAACGGTGGTTTCAGCCCTCTTGAAGGTTAGTTTCTGCCACATCGCGCTGACGAAGATTCGATTTTCTGAAATTGCTTTCTTATAGGTTTCATGAACGAGAAGGATTACGATGGGTACACAGCATCTATATATCTCTAACGAAATAAGGACTTTGTCTGACTGATATCAGAGTTGTTGCAGAGTCTCGTCTTGCCGACGGCAACCTCTTTTCCATGCCCATTACGCTCGATGCCTCCGATGAAACTGTCAAAGAGCTTGGATTGAAGCCTGGATCGCGCATCACATTGCGAGACTTTCGGGACGACCGTAACTTGGCTATTTTGACCATTGATGATATCTACCGTCCTGATAAGTAATTTTCCCTTATAAGAAACGACCTGCGTTAGGTGATGATCGTTAACATTTCCTAGGACGAAAGAAGCCAAGCTCGTTTTCGGCGGAGATGAAGAACACCCTGCAGTCATATATCTCAACACCAAGGTCCAAGAATTCTACATCGGAGGAAAAGTGGAAGCTGTAAACAAACTTAACCATTACGACTATGTCGCTCTCCGATGTGAGTTACTACAGACTCGGTATACATGGCTGTAGACTGACCATACAGATACCCCCGCTGAATTGCGCACTCACTTTGACAAGCTCGGCTGGACCCGAGTTGTCGCTTTCCAGACAAGGTATGCATCAAAACCAAGAAATCAATTGCCTTGTTTATTGACTGTTATCAGAAACCCCATGCACCGAGCTCACCGTGAATTGACCGTCCGCGCTGCCCGTGCCCGTCAAGCAAATGTCCTCATCCACCCCGTCGTCGGTCTCACCAAGCCTGGTGACATTGACCACTTCACCCGTGTCCGAGTTTACCAAGCTCTTCTTCCTCGTTACCCCAATGGTATGGCTGTCCTCGGTCTTTTGCCTCTGGCTATGCGTATGGGTGGTCCTCGTGAGGCTATCTGGCACGCCATTATCCGCAAGAACCACGGTGCAACTCATTTCATTGTTGGACGTGACCACGCCGGTCCCGGAAAGAACTCCAAGGGTGTTGAGTTCTATGGTCCTTACGACGCTCAGCATGCGGTTGAGAAATACAGGGCTGAATTGGGTATTGAGGTGGTTGAGTTCCAGCAGGTTACCTACCTTCCCGATACCGACGAGTACAAGCCTGTGAATGAGGTGCCCGAAGGCGTAAAGACTCTTGATATTTCTGGTACTGAGCTGCGAAGACGCCTCCGCTCAGGTGCCCATATCCCAGAGTGGTTCTCTTACCCTGAGGTTATCAAGGTGCTTCGCGAGTCCAACCCACCTCGGAATGCTCAAGGCTTCACCATCTTCCTCACTGGATACCAGAACTCGGGCAAGGACGCGATTGCCCGTGCTCTTCAAGTGACTCTCAATCAGCAAGGTGGACGCTCCGTTTCGCTCTTGTTGGGAGAGACAGTCCGTCACGAACTTTCATCAGAACTGGGTTTCAGCCGCGAAGACCGCGACAAGAATATTCAACGCATTGCCTTCGTTGCTGCCGAGCTCACCAAGGCTGGTGCCGCCGTTATCGCTGCACCCATTGCTCCTTACGAGTCATCCCGCAAGGCTGCTCGTGACACCATCTCAGCAGTGGGTACATTCATCCTTGTCCATGTAGCCACACCACTTGAATACTGTGAGAAGACCGATAAGCGAGGTATCTATGCCAAGGCTCGCCAGGGTGAAATCAAGGGCTTCACTGGTGTCGATGATCCCTATGAGGCTCCTACCAAGGCCGATCTCGTTGTTGACGTTGAGAAGCAGAGTGTCCGCAGTATTGTGCATGAGATTATCTTGATTCTTGAGAGTCAGGGCTTCCTTGACCGTTCGTAATTGGGCATATTAGTTGGACTAAAAAGAAATGAGATTATGCTTGGATAAGGTTATGAAATGTGCTTGGAATATGGAAGCTTAATGTGCATACAGGAGCTACATAGAGGCGTTTATATAGTCATTTTCTTTAAGATCAAGATCTCTGTAATGCGGAGCAGATTTCAAGGCTTGTTTGGCAGATCAGCCAACTACTACACCCACTATTTTGATAAACGCGGGGTCCGTTTGATAATGAGCAAGTCTCGGAGATATATCCGATATGCCGATAATCGCAATTCAACTAAGGACTCTCGTCATTCAAAAAAGACAGTATAACAATCTGTATATATTAAGTGCCACGTTCCCTTCTCACCCATCGAAATACCATCCCATCCATATAGACAGAACAATGAGCCAATCAATCCACCACATAGCCCAAACCGGCTTCTCAGACGCCTCATCCTACAACAAACACCGGCCAACGTACACGGCTCACGAAACAGATCTGATCCTCAAGCGCACCAGCCTCGCAGGTCGACAAAACCTAAAACTAGTTGACCTCGCAGCAGGCACGGGTCTATTTACCGAAGCTCTTGCAGCAAGACCGGAGGGATATGAAATCATTGCGGTTGAGCCGCATGATGAGATGAGACGGGAATTAGAAGGGAAGGAGTTGAAAGGTGTAAAAGTTGTGAAAGGGTTTGCGCAGGAATTACCGATTGAGAGTGGGAGTGTGGACGGGGTTTTTGCTACGCAGGTTTGTTTTTAATGTTCCTTGCATGAGGATTGTGATTGATGAGACTTGGGTTGGATAGGCGTTTCATTGGTATATCTGCCTCAGTCACACAAGCAATAGGTGGTGATGCTAAATAGCTGACTGGAATAGGTTTGCTACTCTGGACTCACTGAAGGAAATCAGACGCATACTCAAACCAGACGGTTATTTGGGTCTGATATGGCATGTCGATGACTGTTGGTACCACCTCCCATAAATAACTGCTGAACTCTAACACTTCCAATAAAGGGAACGCATACAAGTCTGACCCAGTAAGAAGCAACTGGGAAGAAATGATCAAATCACACATTTGGTCCCATGATGACAACGTCCCACGTTTCCGGCACGGAATCTGGCGAAACGTCTTTGACGAAGAAAGGCAGACGTACTTTGAGACTCCGATTCATGAAGAGCGTGAGGAGCATACGCAGTGGCGGTGTGTGGAAGCGATTTGGGATAGGTTGCAGACGTATAGTATATTTTCTACGGCTGAGGAGGGTGTGCTGAGGGTTTGTAACCTATCTTCCTCCTCCCGTTGTGTTCTGAGGGGTATGGCTAATGGGCGTGTAGGATTTCAAGGAGAAGTTTGATGGGACTCTCAGAGAAGTGCCGAAAAATGAGGCTGGAGAGGTGGTTGTTCATGGGAGAACGCAGTATGCATGGACGAAAGCACTGTGATTTTATAGAGGGTATGTCTTTATAGATGCTTGACCTTTTGGAGAGCACCTTACATATCTGCTCCAATACTTTGTATACATCCTGATATTGGTCTGGCGGCGTTCATAAACGTTGTATTTCATTATCTACCTATACAACCTCCTTAATTTCCTCCCTTACACGCCGGTGTATATTTGAGGATTTACAATTGAGACACCTCGGGCTGTCCCCTCGATTGACTCGAAGACAAAATAGGATAATCCACTAGCTAAACTGCAGCGTCCCCTTGAGTTCCGGAGTCTTATCACCAATGCGACTCATCTCAGCCCAATTGAAGTCCTTATCCCAATCATTACCGAACCCCACTGGTGAAACAGTCTCGGCCTCTGGCGGAGCGGAATCCGTCAGCGGCAAGCTAAGGTGCCGACTCAAGGGGGCTAACATTGACGGGAGAGTTTGCCCGATCTTCGCTAGTAAGAGTGGAAGAAACTTTGTATCTCCACCCGGTAGACCGTGGATCAGTGTACAGAGATGTTTGAGATAGTCCTGAGGACCGAGGTCGAATCCTGATGCGCGCAGTCTGGAGTGTGATAGACACGCCATTACGTCTGCGAATGTACAGGTTATTTCGAATATTTTCTCGACCTTGTGTTTGTCAGCTTGTGTGATGAGGATTTTCTGCGAATGGAGGAACGTACCAGACCTACACCGTGCGTCTCCATACTCTCCCGAGATAGCTTCCATGTCGCCAGGGACAGTTCTTGGGCGATCTGCAGCGGATAGCGGAAGTCCAGGCACGGGTGTGACGGAGTACTTGAGAGAAACCCAGCAGTTGTGGCAAGTTGCCAGATCATGGTCCGGAGCCATTGCTGCGACACGCGGAGATCTGCCAGAAGGATATCAGGGAGCTCAATATCGGTAGGGACTGCTTGCCGCAGGCGCTCCTCCAATTGAATAAGCAGCTCCCTTGAAAAGGAGGTTTCGGTGCCGTTCCAGTGACTGAGAAACGACTGGTTGAAGGGCCGATAAAGGTCCGCGAGACAGCGAAATCCGACACTGAATGCATCGGAGTGTGTGTCGTCCAGAACTGGACTATCCGGGGTAATCTCCAAGGTGATAGGGCGGTGTCTTCGAATAGCGTGCGCTCTTTGAATTACGCTTAGAAATCGGTAGGTTCAAGATATTGCATAGATCTCACCTTTCCGAAATTAAGAGGAGCCAAAAAAGGCTACCAGGGTCCTCGTCTACTTCTGTACCAGGTTGATCCAGAATCCCCGCTGTGTAGAGAGTGGTGGCCTCTCGTAGAAAATAATAAGCCTGCCGTTGGTTGCCCATTCCAATCTGACAGCCGTAAAGCAGGAAAGAGATCGTGATACCAAGGCGACTAGGCGCAGTAAATGGATCAAGGTGCCGGCGAGCGGTCATGGCTTCCTCTAGTAAGGATCGTCCAAGTGCCGATGATGGATTTGTCGGGTTATGCCAGGACGCGTACCCCGTTTGCGTGAATACAAACGCGCAAAAGGCACAGACAAGACAGTATGAATGTAAGCTTTCAACCATGCGATCAACATGCGTTTGAAATAAGGCAGGAAGAAGAATGGGTACTGTGCCGAGCATGCGCGCGAAGAAGTACTCCGCACAGCTCTGAATAACTGTTGGGGTCAGGAGTCCCGGGCTTCTAATAAAGCAACCACCTAACCCATATTCCCGGGGCGACGGTGTCGATAGAGCTTCAGTTTGCGCTGGGGACTTGCGCAGCTCTTGAAGGACAGTCGCCGTTGCCCCTTGGCGACCTTTCTTGCGTGGAACGGATGTCGTACGACATACGAGACCGGCACTTTGGCATCTCGTACAAGGTTGCTGAGTGTCGCACTTGACTTTGCGACGACGACATGCATCGCAGGCCGTTGTGACAATGTTCTGACGGGGCATCCAGGTTGTTGAGGCTTAAGACATGAGTGATGGATAGGATGAAGAAATGACATGAATCATTGCTCGGAGATGCCAAGACCTCGGCTATTAAACTCCGAGAATATGGGACCATCCGCCTTAATTGTGGTTGCTAAGCCAGAAATCTATCCTTTGGGAATCATTAACATACTCTGATATGCAAGTGACGCAAATGGCTGATCCTATGCTGTTATGTAAACTATTTACGATTTATCTGACACATAAATTCGGCCCTCATAAGGTCGCAGCCTCTGCGAAGAGGAGCACTCAGAATAATTGCTGGCCAACAGTTTCATGCCTGCCGCCATTTCAGCTTGCGAACAGGGCTGCTCTATCCCCGTGAAATTTAACACAACGAGCGCCCTTTTCTCTCCCCTAGATTTAACGAAACAAAAAGTTTCTAGGTTCTCAAAGTCCAGTACTTCAAACTTGCCGTGGATGAACAACTGGCGATAGTCTTTCCGCAGACGCAGCACCTTCTTCCAAAAAGACAGCACGCTGTCGGGATCTGCCTCTTGCTTCTTGACGTTGATGTCTCGGTATAGATCATGCGTTCGCATCCAGGGTTTTCCCGTAGTGAATCCTGCCTCAGGAGAATCGTCCCATTGCATTGGGAGTCGTGCGTGGTCACGGGCCAGGATTCGTAACCCATCCATAATGCGTTTCTCGCGGGTTGGATCCACGCCACTGGCAACCTGGTTCTGAGCTTCACGGTAATATCCTAATCCCTCGATATCCTTGTACTCATCAATCGACCATTCACGGGGAGCATTGATCATGCCAATTTCCTGACCCTGGTAGATGGACAGCGTCCCGGTCATGGCGACCATCATCAGTGCAAGCATTTTGGCAGATACCTCGCGGAATTCGGGAGCATCCGACGCAAACCGCGACACGGACCGGCCGTTGTCGTGATTTTCGCAGAATGCTGTTGTCCAGCCGTCAGTTCCTTCTATAAAGGTCTGCCACTTGTTGACTATGGATTTCATCTCTGTCAATTCCCAAGGTTGGAGGATATACTTGTCCTCCAGACTATGGCCCATACCGATATGGCCGATGTCTAGATGGAAGACCATACTAAGCTGCTTCTCTGCCGCACTGACGTATTTCAAGACATGCGCCGGGTCTGGAGTGTTGGCTAGCTCACCGACCGTCACTACATCGCCATACGGCTCTAGTGCCTCATCGTACATCTCGCGGAGAAATTCGTGGATCCGTGGGCCGTTACACCACATGCCAATCGCTGGCTGGATGAAACTCTTGGGATCGGTGATTGGCGCGTCTGGAAAATCCGTGTGTTTGCTATATTTATTAACGGTATCAACCCGGAACCCGTCAACGCCTTTGTCCAGCCAAAAGCGGATCGCGCTATCGTATATGGCCTTGCGGGTCACTTCATTATCCCAATTCAGGTCTGGCTGCTCTTTGGCGTAAAGATGGAGGTAGTACTCTTGTGTATGCTCATCCCATGTCCCTGTAAATGTCAGCATCTTATCGTCAACAAAGGGTAGGCAGTAACGAACAGGTACTCCCCGCGAAATAACCCCGGTAATTTGTAGGCGGCATCCGATTCCCATAAGCATCGTAGCGAGGCGGCCGCCAGAAATACCAATCGCGTTTGGGATTACCTTTGCTGCTGCGGCTCTCCTGGAACCATTTGTGTTGGTCACTGGTGTGATTCACGACGAGGTCTAGGATGAGTCTCATTCCGTGCTTGTGGCACTCGTCTATCAGCTTCTCGATGTCTGCGACCGTGCCGTATGCCGGTAGGACGTTTTCATAATCTGAGATATCGTAGCCCATGTCGTGCATGGGGGAGTCGTACATGGGCGACAGCCACACGACGTCCACCCCGAGAGAGTGCAGGTAGGGCACTTTCTCAATGACGCCGAGAATATCACCCCAGCCATCGCCGTTGGAGTCTTTGAAGGATGCTGGGTAGACCTGTATTCGTCAATATTTATCGTATGTGTTTACGACTGAAGCTCGAATACCTGGTAGATGGTGGCTTCCTTCCACCAGTTATTGGTCCCCGTCGGGACAGTCTCGATGGCACTTGGGGACATGATGCTAGCCGGAGTAGGGTTTATTCCTCCGTAAAAGATAGCCGAGAGAAAAGCCTACTTTATACTTTATATCCATCTTAATTGTTTATAAACTTGATTTTGGCAGCGGTCAAACCTCCGCATAGGTGCCGTATTGATACCGCATTGCCTCCGACTAACTACCGGCTTGGTGCCACTGCACCAATCAGCATGCACGTTTCATGCAGTGTCAACGCTTTCTCCACGCGGGGATCGAGCTACACCTGCAAAATCTCTGGGGACTCAGTGGGGACACCCCAGATTCTCTTCAAGAGCATCAGGTGCTCTATCAGTATCCCTGCATAGAACAGAGGGTATATATATGCCATGACTGATCACCTTTCTCATCCAACTCATGGCATGAAATTGTCTTCTCCATATCCCTCAAGTTTTTTCTTTTCAGAGTCGTAATGTCGCATACCGAGGACCCTCAGCCCAAAGAGCCCTTGGGCAATGGCAAACATGCTGCTCGACAAGAGCAGGCTATGACTCTTTGGCAGGGCCTGCGTCTCTATCCAAAGGCCGTTGCATGGTCGGTTCTCCTGTCGTCGACCCTTATCATGGAGGGCTACGATCTGGCGTTGCTGGGATCGCTATATGCATCACCGGCGTTTAACAAGAAATACGGCGTTCAGTCCGCCAATGGATCCTGGACTGTGCCGGCACCCTGGCAATCTGCTTTGTCAAATGGAGCCCGCGCAGGCGAGGTCATTGGCTTGATCATCAGTGGCCTGATCTCAGAACGTCTTGGTTACCGGTGGACAATGATCTGTGCACTGGTCGCTATCAATGCCATCATCTTTCTCTTCTTCTTCGCCGTCAACGTCAAAATGCTTCTGTCCGCTGAAATCCTAGCCGGTATTCCCTGGGGAATCTTCCAGACATTGCCGGCCGCGTACGCCTCGGAGGTCTGTCCTGTCGTTTTACGTCCCTACCTGACCACGTACATCAATATGTGCTGGGTGTTTGGTCAATTCATCGCTGCAGGCGTCAACCGTGGCTCCGTCCAGCGTGGAGATGAGTGGTCATACCGTATCCCCTTTGCGGTCCAATGGGCCTGGCCTCTTCCTATTCTCATCGGAATCCTCTTTGCCCCGGAATCGCCCTGGTGGCATGTCCGTCGTGGCGATATTGCCGGCGCTCGTCGTGCTTTGAAGCGATTAACCTCGTCCAAAGACCGCGACTTCGACCTCGATGGTACAATCGCCATGATCCAGCATACCAATGAGCTCGAAAAATCTATAACCGCCGGTACTAGCTATGTTGATTGCTTCAAGGGGGTCAATCTCCGCCGAACAGAGATAGTCTGCGGCACCTGGATCGTGCAAACGCTAAGTGGACAGAATTTAATGGGCTATTTCGCCTATTTCTGTGTACAAGCAGGTTTACCACGAATCTACTCCTTCAACCTGTCCCTGGGCCAGTACGCACTGGGAGTCCTCGGCACGATGGGTTCATGGTTCCTCATGTCCAAAATGGGTCGTCGCAAAATCCATCTTTTTGGTCTATCGACTCTTTTCATCCTTCTCATCATAACGGGCAGTCTCTCCTTTGCGCCGTCGTCCAATAAGTCTGCGAAATGGGCCATCGGTGTGATGCTCATGATATTCACGTTTGTCTACGATATCAGCGTCGGCCCTGTGACATACTCCCTAGTTTCTGAGCTGTCGTCCACCCGGCTGAAGGCAAAGACAATCAACCTTGCGCGAGCGGGTTATAATATCAGCAATATTGTCGTCAATGTCCTGACGAACTATCAGCTGAATCAGTCAGCATGGAACTGGAGTGCGCGATCCGCGTATTTCTGGGCTGGGACATGCCTTGTGTGTCTGATTTGGGCGTTTTTCCGTGTCCCAGAGCCCAAGGGACGCACTTACGAAGAGCTGGATCTGTTGTTTGAGAGGAGAATCTCGGCTCGCAAGTTTCATAAGACTGAAGTTGATGCGTTTGAGGAAGTGGAGGTGCGTGAGGACATTGTTAAGGAGTAGACATGACTAGCACGTCTCTATCATGTATACCTTGAATAAACACTTTTTTTTTTCAAGCTCCATGGTTAATGTAGTAATAAGCGTAGCTGAAACGCTTGCTAGGAATTAGAGAGAAAAGTAGAGAACACGTTTTGAATTACGGGTATAGTCACACAATGGGGCTGCCAAATAAATATCTGTATAATAGGGAAGAGTGATCTGGAATTTTTAAGTCGCTCTTGACATAGTTCGAAGAAAGTGTTGAACAAGATGCAGTTGTTCATCTCAACGAGGCATTTCTTGGCAACTCAAACAAACAGTGCAAACACCCCATCTTTCCATCCGAACAATCACAAGAATTCGAAATCTCAACAACCGACATACTCGGTGCATCCATCAACATGATGTCGCATCAAATAATAGCCAGGCGCACGCCTCGCTATTGCCTTACATGTCTGTACCGTCCCATAATACCACCGCGACCGCGACAACCACGACAATTCACAACCCAACCCCGACAATCCTTCATCTCCCCCTCCCCATTCCGACCTCAACTACCATTCCTCTCCCAAACACAAGGCCGACTACCACTCGCCCTCCATCTGCGCCAACACTTTACCCGCTTAATATCCACATCACGAACCTCGCGCTACAAACGCGGCGTATACCGCGGTCTCAAAATCTCCGTTACTCTCTACGCGATTCTGTGGATGTTACATTTCATTAAGACGGGGATATATCAGGAAGAGATTGAACATAAATGGCCCACACCACAGGAATGGAGTTGGAGGAGTCGATGGGCATTACGGTCGGCCATTGCGTTGCAACATCCCGAGGAGATTGGACAGGTTAAGACGCCGTGGCAGAATGTCTATGGATTTTATAAGCAATTACTCGAACGATTGGAAGATCCTAATATCGATGGACAGGGTATATTTGAGCAAGGCGAAGGTGGGATATTGGTCGAAGGAGTTGGAAAACTGGGATACGATATATCTATGAAAAGCGAACCGTGGAGAAGAGGCTATTTCCAATGTTTGATAAACTCAGCCAAAGCAGCGGAATATTTGGATGGGTTTATGACGGATCGGAAACAACGCATTACTGCTCCGGCGGAATATGTGCATGGACCGTCGAACCCGGGTGCGAAGACGTTACCTGGTCGAACGGAAATTGTGATGCATGAGGAGGATTGTGAGCCTTCTGCGCCTGCTCCTGAGGTGTTTTATATGAAGATTTTGACAACAAATGGGTTTACGGCGCGACAGAAGATCGATGCCGCGTTGGCTTATGCGGATTGGTTGAATTATAAGGGGTTGACTGATACGGCCAGGGATATGTATACCTGGGCGATGGATATTGCGTCATCGGGATTAGCGTATGATGCTTCGACTGTGGTGGATACGAAGACTGGTATTCTGAAGAATAACGGGAGGAATATTGCATCGGATAATATCATGCGAGTGTCGACTGCTTTGGGTGTTCAAAGCGTTAAATCTGGCGATCTCGCCACTGCATTATCAATATTCACATCCGTCCTTAAAGCACGTCGAGACCTACCACAAGAACCATCAACGTACCACACAAAACCCTATCCTACACCAGCGTTGGATGAATACGTTACCAAAATTAAAAACATGTTTGTCCCATCCGTCTATCCGGAGCCACCATCCGACGGAAACGAAGCACCAATACGCGATCCATGCTCAGAGGCAGGATTAATGACATACATCGGCGAGATTCTATTCGCATCATCATCAAAAGAAACCGGTCTAGCCTGGACGCGTGACGCAGTCGACGTCACAGAGTCTGTTTTACTCGACCTACCCAGCGCCAGCAACACGGGAAAAGGGGGGACATATAACGAAGAAATACGAGAAACGCGTAATCGATGCTCTCAATGTCTCAAAGTGGGGTTATCAAATTGGCGAACGATGGTGGATAATCTCATCAGTGAAGCTTCTAACGCTGAACAAGCTGCCGTTGCAAATATTGGCAAGGGCTGGTTTGGCAACTCGAAAAAGAAGGCTGAACAAAAGACATTAGAGCGGAAACGGTGGCAGGCTGAGAAGATGATTATTGATGATCGGGCGAATGGGTTGTTGAGATTGACGAATGAGTATACTTTGTACAAGCCATCGGGATTCGGGACGAGTTTGTTTTGATTACTTGTACGTATATAATATTTAGCGTGGTGTTTTGGGTTGTACAATATATATTCATCCAATTCATTGTCACCAGTGGGTCCAAGACGATAAGATTAGATCAGATAACCTTTTCCCCAAACCTTCCCCGAACGACCACCTTCACCACCTTCACCAAACAAGATCTCTTCAAGAGAATACTAGAAGTCAATGCCCCTCCGACCCTACAAACCAACAGACTCTCTATCCCTAGCAACCATAAAAGCACAATGCGATCTGACAGATCCCTTGGCGCTATATTGTCGCAATCTGGACGCAAACCAAGTCCAACTCTCCCAATCAGGAGGCGATGACGATAAACAATGGAAAGCGCATATAAAATCATTACAGAGATCGTTTGAATTAGAGATTTTGTTTCCTGGGAGTGTTTGTTGGGTTATTCTCCAACATTCTGACCAGCATGATGAAGATGGAAGCGAGAAGATAGTCGGATTCGCAATCTGGAATCGGCATGGTCATTCATCAGCAGCACAGAAATGGAAGGCTAATGGGCAAAGATTTTCCAACCGTACTCCCCCTTCCCCTGGACCTATCTTATTGCTATATACTAACTGACAACAGGCCTGAAAGGTATCCTCTCCTACACAACAATGACACTATCCTACCCCTTCGACCGAAGCATAAACCACACAAACATGACAAAATTCCACCACCGAATCCATTCCTGCCCCTCCCCATTACCAGCAAACCACAAACTACCGCGCGAAAGATGGGAATTAGAAGCGTTATACATTGCGCCGTCTCACCAACGACAGGGATACGGAATAGAAGCATTATCATGGGGAATCAACGTCGCAAAAGAGGAAAGAGTGGAAATTTGGGTTTGGAGTTCGGATAGCGGCAGGAGATTGTACGAGAAAGGTGGATTTGAGGTTTTGGGAAGGATTGGGTTTGGAGATTTACTCGATAATAGTATTACTCAAGATAGTGAGGTGGGGGTTTGGGTTATGGTTTGGAGGGACAGAAAATGAATAATAAGTTGGATATGGATTGAATCTTAATGTACGTATATGCTATGATATTCATAATCACCAATCGTAAGGTAAAAAGTTAAACATGCTCCGCCTGCGTCGTCTCAGGCTTCCCATACTCCACACCCCTCGAAACAGAAGACTGAAACTCATTCTCCGGGAAAACATACTTTGACGATTCCCACGGCTTGACGTGTTGCACGTACATGGTATCAATCTCTTCCAGCGTCCGATCTTTCCCTTCAATAACACCAAAATAAACCACAAACATAGCCGCAAACATGCACGATGCAAAGACGTAGCCAAATCGGAAATCAATGGCCCCCGTAATGAAGGGGGTGAAAAATGCGAGCAAGAAATTCCAAAGCCAGTTTGATGCTGTTGATAGCGACATGGCGCGAGCACGGAATTCGGAAGGATATAATTCGGCGCAAATAGCCCAGACCATGGGTGCCCATGTTGATGCATATCCGAGAATAAAGAAACAGGCGAAACAGACCATTGCCTTGCCGGCTCCCGGGGTGTTTTCGGGTGTTTGGCGATCGAGTGAGAAGTGACCGATAGAAGCAAAGATCATGAAGCATACAAACATCCACAATGCGCCTGCAATCAGGGACTTGCGTCGACCGAAATGTTGAATGTTATACAATCCCAAGAAAGTGGTTCCAAAATTGACACCGCCCAAAATCATTTGTGTGACGTATGAATTCTGGATCCCGGCACCTTGGAAGATGGTTGTACCGTAGTAGAAGAAGTAGTTTGCGCCGGTGAGTTGTTGCAAGGCTTGGAGGAGCATTCCAATAGCGATACGGTATTTCATGCGCGGTGCATTCAGCATCATCCACCAGGTGATTTCGCCGTGAGATTTTTCTTCTTCGTATTTTTGCTTGATTTCTTCAAACTCCTGGGCCAAGGCACGATGGTTTTCGGGGATGCCGTAAATCTTGGCCAGGTTGGTAACGGCCTTGTCGACTTTACCGTGTCGGTAGTCGTACCGTGGCGACTCCGGGAAGAAAGCAATTCCACCGCCGAGAATAATTGTCCAGAGGTATGTAATTCCCATCGTAATGCGCCACGAGGCGGAGTTATTCATCGACTCGGTGCCGTAGTTGATGCAGTACGCAATAAAGATGCCGAGGGTGATGAACAGTTGATACAAACTAATCAAAGCACCACGAATGTGTCGAGGACCGCTTTCACCTTGATACATGGGCACAATCAAGGATAGCGCACCGACACCGAAACCGGCAATCAAACGGCCAACCATGACTTGGTACCATTTGCCGTGAGGCGAAGAAATTTGTACGGTTAGACCGACGCAGAGGACGATACACCAGAGAGAAATGGACCATTTGCGTCCAATGCGGTCAGCGACGGGGGCGCCGACGAGAGCGCCGATCAATGTGCCGATTGACAACTACAACCAGTTAGTCTCCTCCCACTTACAACATATACACCGAGAAAGAGAGGAACATACCAATGCAGTAATCAGCCCACTTCGCACATTACTAAACACATACTTCTCCCCATTCCACTGGCCAAACGAGCGCAGGAAATCCTCCATTTCCAAAAACCCAGAAATCTGACCGGTGTCGTAACCAAAGATGAAGCCTCCCATGGAGACGAAGATGCCCATGACCACGGATCGCCAGGTTAGTAAGGGGACATGGCTGTCGACGAGCTCGGGGCCTTTTTCGACGATGGCGCGGGGGAGGTCGGCCATGGTGATGTCGTCGTCTGTGTTGTTGTTGTTGAAGACGCCGTTGCCGACGCCGTTGCCGTTGCCGTTGCCGTTGGTATGGCCATTGCTGGCGCCGGCTTGTTCGGTGTGTTCTTGGTGCTCTTTGTCAGGCTCCATGTTGACTTAAAGACTGTATATGTACGACGATGTATGTACACTATATATGTATAGACATGAACATCTAAGCCAGCCTGAATAGAAGAAGAAGAGTGTGACGAGAGGAAAGAAGAGAAAAACAGGACGATCCCTCACATATATAAGATTTTCCGCCGACGTTCAGCCGGAACCCCCGGCCCTGGATGGCAGTCCCCATTTGGGTGAGGATTTTTACGTGGAGAAGCTTTCGTCATTCATGGCCGATGACGTGGGGAAGTTTGCAGCCCTCAACAAATGACGAGCCAGAACGGTCAGGCATTAACCATGTTCCGGTCATGCCTCTGACATCTTCTCTTCTTCTTCTTCTACCTCCTCCTCTTCCTCTTCTTCTTCTTCCTCCTGGTAGAGGGAACTCATGCATTACTAACACACTACTCATACTAAGCACTACACTAACGCTCTTACCCAATCACCTTCCCCACAATTTTAGGGGCATTATGTACGTACATCTGCCAACTGACTCAGTGTGATCACGGGAGTCAACTCGGATGTAACCACTTCCACGATGCCGATATACTCGGGACGATGCAACATTCCACCCCTCGGGGCCCCGATTCTTCGTTCTGCCTACTCCAGACGGAGAACGCCGAATCTGATTGGTCTATTCATACGCACGTATTTCCGTGCGGACTTACTGTGCTGGCTCACCGAGATCGTCGTCCCGGAAGGGTCGGGTGTTGATTGATAATATTGATAATACTGTGAGATCAGTAGTTCTCCAGTCCTGCGACTGTTGATTTCTTATGACATTACTTCTCTTCTTCTTCTCTTGCTCTCTATTTCATAATTCTACTAACAGGTCATCTCAGCAAGAAATCAGCAAGAAAAAGAGTATGGCGTAATAAGCACACAAAAGTTGGACCCGAAAAACTCTTTTCTTTTTTACCGAAAACTTGCCGTGTTAGTGCCGTGCTTCCGATTGGCTGGTTTGGGCTATGTGGGGCTGATGAGGTCATCGAGGCTTGTCAAGGTTTGTTTTAGTCTTTTTATATTACGTCTGCAAACAGTTACCTTATTCAGGAAGAGAGTATTCAGTAGAATCAATATAAGAGAAATGGTGTCAACAGTATGGTATAACAGCATGGTATAACAGCATGGTATAACAGTAAACATATTAACGTAGCAAAAGAAAGTCAAGTGGTCTTGCCAACAACCGTCCCGTTCGACAAGGTAATCGTAAAATCGGTAAAACTGATAATAAACGATTGCGGCTTAGTCAGGCTCATTTTCATATTAGTGTCCGTCCCGATGTTTTTGGACAGCAGATACAGATCAATCTCGTTCTGTGCCGTCGACGCCGCGTCGATATCTTGGGTTTGTTCAAAAATGAACAAAATCGCGACACGCGCAAATTCGTAAACCCGTGCTGCCGCTGCGCTGAGTGTTGCTGACGCCGATGGCGACGCGGATGCTGTTGTGGTTGTCGCGGTTGCTGTTTTCATGGCTCCTGCATATTGTGTTGCTGAACTCGCAGTGGCAGCGGGAATGCTCAGGATTGGTGGCACGTATGTGGCGTCCAGTACCTGAGGCCCTGAGCTGGCAATCGGTGCCGTCGGTTCTACCTCTCGGTTGTCAACAGGCGATCCACGGCGCCGCCGAACTTTGGATGAAGGCAGTCCGGCAAATTCAACCAGCGCATTCTGTACCGTGCATGACACGTTATTAGCATTAAACAGACTAAGGATTTCGGTCTCGTTGAGCGGAATGTTAAAATCGGCCTCGGATTCGGCGAACAGGTTAGGTAGTGAACTTCCAATAGTGGTATTGCCGCTCATCGCCGTCTTCGTGGTTGTACAGCTGCCGTCGCTGGCAGTGCCGCATTGAGTACCCGAAAACCCATTAACACAAACACACGAGCAGGTGCCGCCAGTTCGAACGCTCACGCCACCGTTCAGACACGGCAATTTCTGTTCGCATGTTGGTGGTAGCGTGGTGTTAGTTGCGGCGGACGCCGGATGCTGGCGATTCCGGGGAAGAACCACAAGGACGATAGGAATTACGACGGCCGCTGCAATGATGCACAACACAACAAGCAACACAAAGATAAACACTGGCATCGACATGCCACAGCACCGTCGACGGTTTCCGGTTTGAGACTCGTCTGCTGAATTCCGTTGCATCTCACGCAATCGAGACTTTTCCGCTGCATTGGTTGGTGCATACGGCCATGACGTTCGGACGCTATCGTCTGGGGTTCTGGTACGCGGTGGCGGGAACGAAGCCAGGATATCTGACAACGAAGCAGAGGAACGATGCTGCGAAGCTCTTGGTTGTTTCTTCTGAGTTCCAAAATCAAACATATTAAACATACTGAGCCGGCTCGCTGTCCTGCCATGCTCCAAATTCGAAGCCACCTTTGTAGCGCGTCGAATCAGATCCGGCAGACTGGTCAGACTTCCTTGCGCTTCAGCGGAGCGCACTGCGTTCAGATCGAGCTCAGGAGGTCGGTGAGAGTTGGGCTTTCTACTACTCATTCCAGCACCAGGCCGTCCGAGTCCGAATCCCATGCCAATGCTTCGTGCCTTTTGCTCGTTTTCAATCTCTATCCTCTCTTTTTCCAAGTCTACCGAGTCCGAGTCCGAGTCGCTGGAAACGGAATCTACCGACGCGCGTCGTTGCTGACTGTTAGTTGAATATCCCAAGCTACTGTCGCTAGACTTGTCCTCCTTTAATGAGGGCTGTCTGTTAGGAGGCCTGCTGATAGAGCGCAAAGAAGGCTTTCCACGCTTTCCCAAACTAGCTTGTCGCAAAATCGTCAACGAATCACGTTTACCGCGTTTCACTTCCTGTTTAGGTTCGTTCTTGGGCTCGTTTCTGCCCTCGTTTGTAGGCTCTTGTTCCGACACATAAGACTCGGCAGCATCCGATTGAGGTGTTCCCGGTCCCCAACTCGATGGAAGGACTGTACTGGATGCATAAGACTCTTTCTTGTTCCGTGTTTGTTTAAAGTTCTCTTCCGGGATAGGAGATACGGCAGTGCCAGTTATTAAACGAGAATATACTGATGACGGACCCCTTCTTGACGTCGGCGGGGGACCGCTGTGTCTGGGGACTTGCAATCCTTGGATTGGCATAATTGGCACGGGCCCTCTGGGGTCATCTTCGAACTCATATCCAATCTCAATCTCTGCATCACGCGAACTGGAACGACTGTGTGTTGGTTGTGGTGGCGGCATTCGACGTTCCTGATCCTGTGCGCGTACCCCGGCATTCAGCATCTCCCTAGCACGTTTGACAGACCCTCCACCTTGGTTTCGCCCCAACCCATATGATTGCTGATTCTGACTCATTGGAAGCTGATTTGAATTCGATATTCGCCGAACGACATAAAACAATAAAGGTGACAATAGGTTGCAGTGAACGGTTCGTGGTAGTGTTGCGAATATGAAAGTAGTCGGCAGTTTATCTCCGAAGATTAAAAAAAAACAAAAAACAGAAGCGAAAAGCAATAATCAATGGGCAGGCTGTGCTGCAAAGAATGACAGAAACGAACGGTGGCACTCAATGCCTACCCTGCATTCGTCAGTCATCATTCGGGTCCAAAAGTAGGAGTCTTACCTTAATTGATTCAGAGAGGAAATCTCATGTCAAGACGATCAATCTCTTTGTCAGTGAACTCAGCACCGAAATTAATCAACAACAAAAACAGCATCAACAAATATCCGCGTCCAGCAGGATACCGCTCCCAGCTCGAGAATAGGAGAAGGAATCCCAAGTTGAGTCTGTGGAAGAAGAAAGAAATCGTGACCAGCCACATCCGGACTCTAGTGCCGTCGTCGTATTAACCATGCCATGGAGGTAAGACACACTATATTGGCTGGTGCCGTTAGTGTTTAGGTTGTATTATGTAGATGGAACAATGGACACCCTTGCCCCATGTTCGATATCTCCCGAGTGCGACTGGTCTGTGGTCACTAGGTGTTACAGGTTGGCAAGGATATTGTCTGGAGCACCTGGTGGCCCGTACATGATTCTAGCATCGAGTCCAAATTCCATTCATCCCTTATTTGCCCGGCAGTTCAGTTGATGTCCACAAATCAGCAATTGTATTTTCATCTTTGCCATCGCCTTGTTATCATAAACATACTTACCACTGAATAGCTGAGCGGTATCAAATCACTCCCGTATATATCTCAGGTTTCATGATTAACTTTCTCTTTAGAGTTTTGTTATCAAATCAAAACACAGCGTCGCATCTTGCCGCAGTAAGTTCTCGTGTGGCGTCGCCGTTTCTTGCCGGTCGTTGGCTAATGAAGGGGACCATTGAGGGGAGGAGAATAGACGGCGTCACTTGGCGTCGTTTCACGTTCGGCCATTTTTCTCTCTCTTTGCTCATTCCGCCTAACAGGAGGTTTTAGCGAGGAAACTATCACCGATGCAGTTAGCTAGGCTACTAGAGCGCATCCCATTAAACCCTTATTATATGATATAATTTGGGTGGTGATTCTCTCCGTACTCCATGCTCCAGCTCGATCGTGTTGTCGAAACAATCGATCGGAAGGATCGCGTCCATGAGCGAAATGTATATCATCAATTTTATCCGTCGAGGGTGCCGGGAGGCTGCAGATGAGGTTGCACATCTTGTCATCGCTGACGGGCCAGTCGGTCTCCGGTATATACTCGAGGATGGCTGAAACACAACTTGAGGGGTCGGATCATTTAGCAAAACTTTCATCACATTCAACTTCAATCAAGGTTGGGAGCATTTATTTAGCCTGAATGACATTGCACGATAAGACCAGGACAGTGAATGAGCGAGTGATGGACTAATAGTTAAGAGAACGTCGCTAGGACTAACTAATGAATCAAATTTGAGATGATTGCGGTGTTGATCACGTGTTGTTCGTGCCCTGAGGAAGGACCTCCTTGAGGACTACAGGGCGTACCTATCGTACCTGCCTCAGATGCCATATGCCATGAGAGTCCTTGCCTTCACGCGCAAAATGATCTGTCTACATCTCCTGTTCTTCCTCTTCTCTCACGTAGAACATATACACAGGCCTGCATACACTTGATCAATGTCGGTATTTTAGGCTACTCCTGCATCTCGGATTTGCATTACAGTATATTTGTCGACTGTATCTTACAGACATGACCTCAAGACCACCAGGTGCGAATGATCAGTCCACTGACATATACAACGATATCTATCCAATGTATCTTTATCTAATATCTACGTATATTATGAACATCCCGAAAGGAGGCATGCTTCATATCTGTTCCACTACTGAACTAGCGTCTCCTAGTCCCAACAGACACAACCCACCGGCCAGGTAGCAACGACCTCGATACTTCTGAAACCTCGACATGTCGTGCGCTTCCTCTAACTGCCGCAAATGTCTCGATCCGCCGAAAAGGCTTAGAAGAAGGGCCTCCGCATGATTTGCATGATTCTGGAGCCTTAACGAACGAGAACCCGGTCATATCAACGTCTAGGCCGACGATTCGGTTGGAAGATCACACTCAAGCCTCCAGAGCCTACGAATTCCAGAGCAACGCGTCATACGACAGACAGGCGGATCCTGGCCAGAGTCCAGCAGAAACTGCCCTACACGAAGAAGGATTGACGTCATTCGATAAACTGACTGTGGATATTGGTGAACGACCACCGTTGGCACGTTCAAGCTCTCTAGAGGTTCACGCTCCATCCCCAACTCCCGAGGAGGAATTGGAGTCACCAACCATCCTGGCCAGTACCGGTCTTGATGGGCCCTTGATCACAGAAGACAGCTCTTTTCCAATACAGAATTCAACTGCCAGACATAGTTTCTCCGACACCACGAGCGAGACGAGCAGTTTTATTATATTGACACCACAAGTATCAAGTACCGATTCCAAGACTTCAAGCGCTCCAGCTCCGCCATCTTCGCCATGGCAACACATCAGAAATCCAGCTGGATTTATGCCCAGCCCTCGTCTTGTAACGATTGAGGAGGCTCTTGATGACCAGTTACAACAACCATGTCCACCACTTGATCATATAACGCGTCACGGCATTACCTCGAACTACGGTGGTATCGTCAGAAGTTGCGGGCCACCTTCGTTACCTGCATCAACCTGCGGAAGCCATACTGGTGAACGACCACGGCCACCACGTATCGATGCTCCAAAGTACCCGCCGTGCTGGACCACCGCCGAAGGGTTACTCATTGTGCCCAGCGTGCCAGGTGAGCTGGTAATGGACAGAATGGAGCAGATCAGATCCGGCAACGATGAATTTCTTGAAACCACTTTGTCAGCACATACCCAGCATGGAAACTCCTCCAGTGAAAGCGATATGACAGACGATTTCGAGACTGTCGCTGCTCTTAGCCCTAACGTTACGGCATTCCGGAAAGGAAGATGTCCGCGGAGGAAGAGGAGTCCTAGCTACTACGATCTTGATATACTCCCTCGTCAAAGAATCAATCACGTCGACTAAACCGACACTTGGTTCATGTCACATACCTATTTAGCCATGGATCAACCTGGCAGACTTATTATTAGCTATTACACTTTCCTTATAGAGATAGAAACGTCTGGAATAGAAGTATAATTATACACAATCAATACACTATTCACATACCTCTTCTTGACGGGTATCAATTCGATTCTTCTTCTCTATCTCCCCCCTCAACTCATACACCATATCTTCCACACAACGCATCTCACTAATTACGCTGACAAGCTCCAGAATCCCACCATCGACGGCTCCAATAAACGATTTCTGTGCACTTCTCAGTGACGCCGGAACCAAGATCCCATACCACGAGATGGGGTCATCGGATCGGAAGATTTTTTTCTTTTTCTTATTAGATTCTTCCACTTTCTCGGGGTAGTGTGTCGTAGAATCAGTATCTTCCTCTTTGTCGCTGTTGGTGGTCTCCTCTGATTGTGCTGGTGGTGTTACAATTTCTGATGCTGGATCGGGTTGTTGCTCGTTATCGGAGTTGGAGTGCTGTGTTTCATCGGCCACTGGTTCTTTAGCAGTTTGCTCTGCTTCTTCTTCTTCTTCTTCTTCTTTACTGTTCACTTCTCCATCCTCATTCTTCTGATCCAGGACCGACTTGTATTTAACTTCAAATCGAACCTTTTCCAACCGGGTACTCATCCAGCTAGACTCTAACTCTTTGCCAGCCGGCAAGGACGTAATATTCCTTCCAAAGTCAATACACATACTTTAGTCAAGAGAGGAGAGCAGCTTACAATCGCCGAGTCGCTTTCATCCGCTCATCATAAAAATCCTCCCCGAATCTTCGACCGGATGAGACATAGTTTGCATGTGCAAGTTGGAAGAATCCCTTGATTATCACGATCAGTTTTCAGGATTTTGCGTACGGCGAGCTGGAATGAATGATGGGCTTACGGATGAGAGTTGCTTTCCCACTGATTCCTGCAGCTTTTGATGAGTATCTAATAGATGAAGGTACCGCTCTAGTAGGTTGTCGAGTTGTCGGATTTTGTTATTAGTGGATTCGCATTTCTCATCCTTGGGTTCGATAGAGGTTTCGGGAGATAATGGAGGGGTTGATATTCGCGACATTTTGGTCATTGGCTTGTTGAAGACGAATTGTCGTTGTCGTTATCTCCGTGTTGTTACCAACAAGGCATCCAAAGCCGGAGCCACATAAGTCCGACCATCCAAAGTCGGACTCGGAGATTGCGGGAGACGCTCCGTCATCGCAGGGAAAAAGTTGAGGCAACTTCATTGCTCTTGTTTAATAACTTTGCAACAACAACTTTTCTGGTGAATATCTGGTATGTACTGACAACTTCTAGTCTTAACTGCATTTTTTCTCCTCGATAATACTGACTGTTTTCATTTTCGTATAGCATCGGATGAAATAATCCTCCCGAGTTATCTCTCCATGCGTCATCCTGGATTCTGCTGTTATTTCAGGTATACCACGCAGTAGGACTTGAGGAATATCTAGCTGGGCATCAATTGTGTCTTCTACTTATACCAGCGACTTCAACGGAATCTCCGCGGAGTTCCAGCCGATCTCGTTGAACGACGTGACTTGAATTCACGAAACTCGAAACCCCATCACCAAATTAGCTTCTGTCGCAATCAATCCCCTATCTAACCCTCTCCATATCCAGCGAACATGTCGTCAGTCACTACACTTCAACGCGATACAGCCTTCCAGGTGCGGTCATTGGTACGTTTTCCTTCGTCCTCTTCTTAATACTTATCCCATGTGGACAATTACCAATACCTTTTTTTCCCCACGACAACAGTTCAGATCCCTCATGCGCCAATCCGCTCAATTCTCAAACTATAATTTCCGGGAATACGCTCGACGACGAACGAGGGACGCCTTCCGGGAACACAAGAATGAGACCGAAGATCGCAAGATACAAGAATACATTCAGGATGGGTTGAAGAATTTGAGGATGATGAAGGTAATATCCCTTTACCTCTTGCGTGGCGCTGAAGTGGCCAAATGCTAAAGGAGATATAGAGACAAACTGTGATCAGTCAATTTTATCAATTAGATCGATTGGTTGTGGAGGGGCAGAAGACGGTAAGTCGATAAATGAAGCTCCTCGCCATGCATACAGAACCTGATAATCGCCAGGGTAAACAAGTCGGTGATAAAGGCGATATTGTTCGCCAAAAGGATGTTGGGTGAGTTTCTTCTTCCTACTGTGTTTGACTGAGCATTGCTAACGAGTTGATAGCTGGGATTGATTGCGGTTCTGGGATCTGACATGAATATTTCCATCTGAAATACGCCACTTTTGCATCTACTAACCCGGATTGTTTCCATGACGGCGTTTTCGCTGATTGAAAGGACATAACATGTATACATACTACTACTGTTTTAATATTGACGGGTTGCGCTGTTTAAAGGTCTGGTGTTGTATGTGAATTATCTACTCCCAACTCTGCATTCGACTTGTTCGTATAATGATCTCAATATCGAATACATCATTTTCGCCATACCATTCTCATTCAAATTATGTTTGTTAGTAGGCAACATAGTACATAGTGAGAACTGTAGAGTGAAAACACGCTAAGACAAAAGCGGTTAATCACGTGTGTCAATCGCAAGTCTCTCCGCAAACGCCTCCGCGCTTCACGGTGCAGAGCTCACAGCAACAAGCAAATCACGATCGTTTTCAACCAGAAAACACATTACACAATTAATCTCAACAACTCTAATATAAAACACGATCTTTTCGAGATATTCAGGGTATTCTACGGAGAGCCGCATCGATTATCGTTCGATAACTTCCGAGCGCGAGTTCTCTCCGCTCCTCGAACATGGCGCCGACAGTGAGTTTCCATCGCTTCCCATCAGGTCTCATATTTTCTCTTTTCTTTTCTATGACGGACTGCTGGACACACGCGACCGTTTTGGGGTCACCGATATAATTAAGACACTTTGTGGTGGTTACTATCATCGCATATCATACCCTGGAATAAGACTTGGAACTCACCAAATTCAATATAGTTCAGATCCTCCCGATCAGGCCGACAATTCGTTGAAACCGCAAACCGCAGTCGCACAAGCGCAGCAGACCACGACATATTCGAGGGCCTACCCATCCGCCGCTGGTCACGTCAAAGCCATACAATTTCCCAAGAAGCCAAAACAGAAATCCCAGCTGACAATGCCGGCACCACCAGCAGCACTATCACTGGTAAAACCGACCATCATCATCCTTTTCCCGAATTACCTATGCCCAAGGATAGTCATTTACTAGCTCCGCAAAGCCGGGCATTACTTCGCGCCGCGAGGGCGGGGTATATTTATCTTCTTCCAGCTACAAAGGATACGCAACCGGTCGATGAGAGGGAGGGACATGATATGGAAGATGCGACTACGCCAGCTGCGAAGATGGAGAGGAGTTATACGACTCGAAAATGGAGTCAGGTCCCCCGTCATGTTGAGCTTCCGGAAGTCGAGTTTTTGGCAAAGAGAAGACCTGGTTTACCGTCTCTTTATGGCGCTTCTGGTGCGGTTACTGCTGCTGTTCCTAATGCTTCACAACCTATGCGGAAAGCCAAGATTCGAAAGATCAACCCAGATACTGGGAATATTACTATATACGATGCTTGGATTCCAGAAGGCCAGAAAGTGGAAGGAGAGATTAAAGATGAGTCTCAAGCTGCGAATGGGCAGCAGGATGTTACTGTTATCAAAGCGACTCCGGCACCGGGAACTGTGGTGGAAGGTGTAGGTGTTGCGAATGCTGAGGGTATTGTGGTTGCGTCAACAGCCGTGGAGTCCCCCGCGAAACGAAAGGGACCGCCACCACCAAAACGAAAAGGTAGAGGACTCAGAGGCAGAGGTCGGAAGAAAGTCATGTTTGCTCCTGGTGAAGGTGCCGAAGTTGGCGGAGAAGATAGACCTGCGGATGGCGAACAAGAGGAAGACGATGAAGACGAAGAGGGTGAGGAAGGTGAAGATGCCGAAGATGCTGAAGATGCCGAAGAAACAACCAAACATGGAGAAACCCCTCAAGTCGACACACCGGTAGCCCCTGCTACAGCGCCGAAATTAGATCCGGAAGCGATGCCAAGTTTGACACCCCAACCTGTTGCTGCTGAGAATAATGTTGTTTCGAGTGCGGTAGAGCATTTAATTCCACAGCCACAATCCCCTGTGCGGCCGGAATCTGAGCAATTGACTCCTCCGGCTGGTCCTGGTTTGGCAATTGAATCCTCGAATGTTGAAGAGGTGTCTGAAGTGAAACCAGAACCTACACCCAGTGCAGACATGATGGAAGACGTCCAACAGACTCAACCTAATCCAGCGGGCACTGTCACTGAACGCGTTGAAGTTACGGAAACCGTTCAACCTGCACCGGATGAAAAGGTGGCAGTTCAGAGTGAAACGAAAGTTGCGCAAACTGTGCCATCAGATGTGCCCGTTCCATCTGAAACGGTTGAAGGATCTGGGAGAGCGTCAATTACTCCTGAAATACAGCCTAACCAGATGAACACTCTGGTCAAAGAGCCTGCGCGACCTACTGAGACGTACCACATAAAGACTGAACAATCACCAGTTGTTGGAGCTCCTGATACCGAAGTCAAGACCGAGAACGAACCTGAATCCACAGACATACCAACCATGCAGCATCCGCCAATAGAAGATACAAAGACAGCTACAGAAATGACGATTGAGAACAAGGCAGGAGAGTCCTAGAACATTCACGTTCTCGTTATTCCGAGTGTATTCTATTGATTGCTCACATAGTTTTCGTGTTTTTGCCGGGAGCTCTGTTTTGTATGGTAAAGGCGTAAAATAGGGCGTTTCGAACATGAAATTGTAACACATATCAAATGATTATTCTTTATATCTATGAATATCCTTCTATTATACCTCCCTACGCGACCTATGCTTTTGATAATATACCTATATACAACCTTAATCATCTTCTATGACACGTTCAAACCGATCTCAACTCAACATCATCCTCATCATCCCCAACCGCAAACGTATTACTATTATTAACACGCTCATAATCCGCCGAAACTCTAGACTTCTTTCTCCGAGCCGTCGCATCATCACTTCGGGATATCGTAAGTAACGCAACGCTCACAAACTCCAACAAAAATCCACAAATCAGAGAAATGATTTCCATGGGGTCGTGGGTGTTTAGTCCCTGGTATAGAATCATGGATGCTGAGATGGTACATGTCGCAAAGCCGACGTAGTACATTGCATTCACCCTATACCACAAGTCAGTCCATCAAACCTACACCACCGAGATAAAATGCTAGGATAAGAGGAAACAAACAAATAAGCTGAGAAACAACTCATAGCCTTATTCAAATAATGCGTTTGAGTCAACGTCGTAACCACCAGAACCACCAAAAACACATACGTCGACGCATGCGTGAATTGATTGTTCCCCTCAAAAGTGAGTTTGACTGCGATCCCAAATGCTTTTACGCTCATGACAGATACGGAGCCCACGAGGGAGCAGATACTCATGTACACGACGGGGTTTGTGCGGCCGCTTTTGGGAGCGATGCGGTTGATTGTGTAGAGGGTGTAGATTATGACGAAGAGGAGGTATGTTAGGAATACTTTGGAGGTTAGTATACACTTTCCCCTTTTTCTGGATGATGGGGGAGAGGGACGGGCGTACGAGGTTGAGTAGCCAAGTTTAATACTTCGTCGATTGTATGGATTTCTCGATCAGCCGGGGCATGTAGAACGAGCAGGATGGAGCCTAAAAGACAGTTTGCGCAGCCTACGCGGCCGACGGTGTTGAGTTCTTCTCCGAGAAAGTATGCACCCAGAACAGCTCTAAATCTCGACTGTCAGCACTGTCTCGTCACAGAGGTGATTTATAGGGGGAACTTACCCAATCAATACACTCAATGCCCCCAAAGGTGTAACCAAAACAGCAGGCGCAAACGCATAGGCCGCGGTATTCATTAATTCCCCAATAACGACTATCCAGTCTATGAGCAAGACAACTTCATCAGGTTGGAGAGAACATACGAGTAATAGTTCCGCACCACCAGAGCGGATTCCGGATATATTTGAATCCGTCACCGTCGTATCCTAGACGGTCTGATGATTGTATAAGACTCTAGACTATAGATTAGTTGGATGATTCTCTACCTTTGACGGAGTGTGTGACGGACCCTTTTTGTGATTACATAACTCGATCCTGTATTCACCAAATCAGCTTCTTTCCAAACAAGCTGTACCATGCATATACATCATGACGCAAATCTCCTTGGCAATATGAAGGATAGGCATACCAATAGCCACAGAAGCCAACACTGCCAATGTAAGGCCAATAAATCTGCAAATGACCTATCAGCCACATCCCAAGAGACATCCATTGGAGATAAACTTACTTATCATGCGCCGTCGCCATTATATTCAAGTACTTAAAGAAACTTTTTCGTATATAGATGTGTAGATACCATGTGTGTATAATCACGATATATTTTCAAACCTGCGAATGACGTTCTTTAACTCGAACACAAATTTTCGATATCTGGTGTGGATAGAGTAGTCAGACATACCTCCAGAATACCGTACAATATCTTAACATGAATTCGTCCGAACACTGAAAAGGAGATGCATAAAAACAGAAAGAAGACGAAAGATTTGTCTCTCCTTGAAGTAATAATCAGGAGGACACTCTAAAACGGGAGGTATGAACCAATCATATTCCGTGGATATACATTAGGATGACCGCCGCTAGTCTGGTTTTGGAAATAGCGCAACAGACCACTTTCTGCCTGTTTTGTGAGGCTGAAAAGAGAGATCTAAGTAAGCAAGTAATGTATTAACGCTCGACTGATTGAATTAGAATACTCCTTGGTAATGATCCTGCCGATACATGAACTCATAACAATCACCGATGAGAACCCAAATAACAAGCCCTAACTCGAAGCAAGAAACCCCTATGCTGATTATGAACTCTCCTCAATAAAGCCAATTCAAAAAATAGAATGGGATAGTAAATCAGTAGATGAAGTCGAGAATAGAGTTGAATACAACGAGGAGATAGAAGGTAGATTAACCCAACCAGCCAGATCAACAACCAGATTCGCCCGCAATTAGAATAACCGTAAAGCAACACCAACGCCAGATATGAAGTAAGTCCGATACCAGGTGCCAAAGATAGAGAAAATAGTCGAGGATTAGAGATCATTTGCCCACCTTCGTCAAAGCCGCTCTGCTTTTAACACTCCCGCTTGGAGTCTTGATAGGAGTCTTTTTGCTAGGCGTTTTCTTCAACGGGGTCTTCTTTGCAGGACTTTTCGCTTTCAAAGTTTGTGTTCCCTTCTTAAAGCTAGTCGATCGACGAGCCGTCGCTTTGAATCGGATCCGAACTTTCTCTGACGCCGACAGTGGTTTCGATACGGCGTTTGTCTCTTTGGTAGGCTGTTTGGAAGCCGACTTCGTAGTGTGCTTCTTCGTCACTTGTTGATTCTTCACTTTGGATGTTGCTTTGGTTGCCTTTGCTGCGGTGGCCACCTTCGTGACTCTCGACTTGCTAATAGTCTTTGTTTTCGTCGTAGATTTTGCCGAGGGTTTTGTTGTTTTCGTGACAGTGACGTTCTTCTTCACTTGAACTGGAGCCTTCTTGCTGTTCAATGCTGACTTGGCTTTGGACACTACCTTGGAAATTGTCCTAACCGACGTGCCTGCTAAGGTTTTTCTCTTTTTATTAAGAGCAGTGGTCGATTCATCCAGCACATTCCCTAGCTTGCGCTTTGTCCCCACAAGAGTACTCTTGGCTTTCTTCTGCAGAGCTACCTTCTTCTGTTCCGCTTTGGACTCCCTGATTTCGCGTCCCTTTGGGCGAGGGCCGAGAACACCACGGCAGGTTGGAGCGCCACAGCGGCATTGTTGAACGTTCTTCTGAGAGTATGGACTTTTTCAGGTTAGTATATTCTCTACGTTGCACTTGGAGTCAACGTACTCAAAGTTATAGTCATAAGTGAGCTCTTCTCCAGTCATGATACCTCTGTCACCTGCAAATAGAGCCATGCGTGGCTTCCCACCAACTGTCCATTTCTCCATTCGGCAGTTGGGAGCGCATGAATGATTGACGAAACGCGCAATAGACCCGCGTGTTGCATCGATGATCATATTTTGGTCAAAGTACATCAGGTAATAGCACTGCATGTGTGTTAGATTGTATTCCATGGTACGTTTGTAGGGTCAGATTTCACCTCATTGTTCTTGTAAACCGTCCGCATGCGCCGTTCACATTCGCTCTGCGTGATAATCTCGCCTGTGTACTCCACAATAACCTGATTCGGTTCAAAGGTACGGTTGCTGCGTACACCATACCCTCGATCGGCTGTCTTAATAACCTCCACGCCGACGTTATATTTCCCGCCAGCCTTTGTACGCTGCTTCAACTCCTCAAAGCTTCGATTGCCGCAGTTAGGTCCAACGCGGCAGTTGCTCGAATCACATTCGTAGAACATGAACCGATTCTGACAGTCTTCATCACATCCAGTCTCTTCACTGCAAAGGCAAGTTGAAAGCTCGATCTTTTTATTCTCTCGCCAGAAACTAGCAGCATCGCCTACAAACACGTCTAGAAGTAATTAGCATACTGTCATCAATGGACAAGATTTGAACTTACTTCGGTTTACCTTCTTCCACTCATCTGGCTTTGGCTGACCTGGAGGGAGAGGCGAGAATATATCAAAAGGAAGCTTAAAATCACGGCCAACTTTGAGCAATCTCTCCCCAGCAAACATTGGTAAAGGCAGAAGTTTTCGTTGTGGCTCGGGCGCAGCTCTGCGTTTGGCGGCCCTGATTTTATTATTCGCCTCGTTCAACCGGGGATCGTAGTCGCGTTCTTGACCAGTATACATTCCTTGATCCAGCCATCGCTTGGGTTTGAACTGTGGTGCAACTGGTGCTATTTTGTCAGTATCAGGTTTTTCTGCAGAATCCAACTCTGTCTTCTTTGCTTGAAGATCACTATCGGACACTCGGCGCTTCTTGTGATCAGGCAGCTCAGAATTCGCTAGACTGTCCTTTGCAGGAAGCGAATGTCGAGGGCGTAGACTTGCGCGACGCTGCATGACAGCTTTTTCCATTGCATCTCGAGACCGTTTGCCCAAGACACTGGCAGCTCTATCGAGCACTTCTGCAGCTCGGGTGACCATACTAAGTCGAGACGACCGGCGCGGTGGTGTAGCTTTTTCTCGCTTGTTGATTGATATATTAACTTCCATATTATCCTCCTTGTTTTCCTTAGCATTAGGATCATCCTCCTTGGCTGGGCGAGCTCGTAGTGATCGTCTTCTTGGTACCTCCTCTTCTTCGGACCGCTTTGAGACGGGTGTTGCAAGGTGCGCATGTTCGTTAGTATCCGGTCCGTCTCGCAAGAGGGTTGTCTGGCTCCATGAATGGTCGTGGTTGGTATCATTCTTTGGTGACGAGGGAGAAGCGCGGCTGTCGGCAATGCTGTTTATAAGTGTCTCTCCTGAAACAGTACGATCTTTGGGACGAGTTGGCGATCTCCCCGCCTGTTTCGATTTATTCTCCTCCTCTAAGTCTCGTAGATTCTCTAGTGCGCGGAGTGACAAACGCGTCACACGCGCAGATCTTCGTCGTGGTTGGGGTTTCTCATCGCCGGCGACAAGATCATGGTTGCTCGACGTTTCGGAACGACTAGCTTCTGGAGTGAGTAAAGGACCGGAGAAGTCAACCCCGACGGGGCCGTTGTTATTAAAAGCGTCATGTTCCATCGTGTCTGTTGTAATCGTAGTCGCGGTGGCAGCAACGACAGCCGCTGCTGACTCTAGGGAGGAATGGGCACGGCGCGTCATCATCTTGGAAGAATCCGGGGCAGCAGCAACTGCCTCTCGAAGGATGGAATTGGACAGTGCCGCGGGTGATAGGAAGTTGACAATCGATTCGAACATGAAGATAACGTGTCAAGAGGAAATTAAAGTTGGGAAGAGGGAAAAAGTGTCCAGGTGGACGGGGGACCCAACGGGGGATTTTAATTGAATGCGCGGGAGACCGGGGACTGCAGAAGACAGAAACAGGGTGGAGTAAAGAACGGGTTTGGCTAGTCAGGTCCAGCACTCAGAACTCTGATAGCTGAGTTCAGCAGACCGATCCTGCTGTCAGGATGAGTGATTTTAGTCAAACGGAGGCCAATCTCACGCGTCGTGGAGGATATCTCCAATCTTAGGTGGTGATATCTGTTGGCGTGTAAACATTGACCATCAGCCTGAACCACGACAACAGAATAAAGATCAGGCGATAACTGGCTCAAATAAAGAGTGCAACAGTGAGTGATGACAAAGTCTTCAACAATGGAATCGTTGAATAGGGCGTGGTGGGATGAAGTTGGTGTCGAGCGGACAATGGAAGCGAGGTGAGGGAGTTGGCAGAAAGGGAACTCAGTCAGCAACCTTTGCCTGGAATGCTCCTACCTGCCTAGCCTGTAGTACGTACATACCCCGGTCAGCTTGCTATGGAATATATCAGTCTTACACGAACTGCTCAGTGTGAATATTCAGCTTCTCTTATTCTCACGGCCTACCCTAATCGCTCCAATTTCAGTTTTCACCTTCTTCAATAGAGTTTCCATAATTGGTCCTACAACGAGCCCTTCCGGTCTATGTATGGCTCTGTTCAGACAGCTTCTATAAGATCAATGCTACGAACATATACTGCATAAGTATCGTCTGCAATGACCCCTCCGCCTAGATGTACCATGCCAGAACTAGACGTATCAACGACCATCCACTTGAGTCATCAGCTGAAATCTTCCCCGATGTAGCTATTCATAAATCTTCTGGACGCCGAGGGACATGAATAGGGACTACGTATGCAACAAACCTGTAAAATCAGATGCCACCACAAATATTTGATCATTCAGCCATTCCCGGTTGACTATAACCATCCACTCAGGGCCTTCCCTTCGACTTCCCATCCGCTTTCACCGTTCAGCCTCGCGTTCCAAAGTTGATAAAGGGAGATCAAAAAGGGTAACACGTAGGACAGCGTGACGGTATACTTGCTGCAATCTACGCGGCCCTTTCTTATACATCCGAGTATACCAGTTGTATATATGCCCACTCTCTTGGCTTGTAGTGTCCTGCCGATGACGCTACCACAACCTCCATCCTCTCACCACTAGAGCCAGCCATAAAGTTACCGCCCAGTAGCTCCAGAACTGATCTCGTGAGACACATCCTCCCTGAGCTGTAAGTCTGATGTTGCTACCGAAGAGGCTTGCCCGCTACATATTGACATATTAAATTGTCTAGACACGTCCGAGTCTGTCTTAATCCGGATAAGACGTACCTTGTAGATCTCGTTACAGCTAATATTGGAGATCAACGCCACCGATTCGTAGTACTTAACTACACTTTAATATAGAAAGTTCGTTGTGCAGGTGGCTGAGGCCATTCTCTTACATCTGCCTGGGTATCATATAGATTAGGCTGTTCACCAGGGCATTGCTAAATAACGCACCCGCTACCAAAGAGGGTTTGACTTTGACGTATGATATATGCCAAAAATATAAACTCGTATTCAAAAAGACTAGTACTCTAGCAAGTGTATACTGTCCGTAAACGAGAGAACGTAAGCATAGTTGTACAATGCAAAAAAGAGGGGAATCATTAAACAAAGAATAGAAAATAGTCAGGTCGTATGAATGATAGTAAGTCATTAATGCCAGCAGCACCAAAAATGAATAAGCAAACGGATGAATCAAAAGACAGATGCTATGGACGGTTGTATCGAAGAATAACAAGAAGGAAAAAGAATGGAAGAAGCTGGAGGACTATAGTAGTACAATAGTGAGGTAATAAGAAGAGAAAGGGACGAGGACCATTCATGGTCTATTATTGCCTTCCTGCATGTCAGGCTGATACGAAGAGCCAGTATTCGTGTTTCGTCCAACAACAGCTTGCATTTCCATCCCAGCTTGGGCCTCAATATCATTAGCTGTCAGATACTTGCGCTTCTGCGTTGCAAAGCGCTGATCGCCTTGTTGATATGGCTTCTTGAATTGAAGATATGTCGGTGGACGAGGCCTTGCGAGCACTGAAATCCAATTCCGTAATACATTGCCCTGAGTAAAAGGCCGAAGACGATCTGCTTTGGCGAATTTGTGGGAGTTGAGATATTCGCGTGTGGTTTCACCACGACCCACGAGCCAGAGGTGATAGATCCAGAGTGCTGCTGGGTAAGGTGCACCAAGCGCGCCGTAGATCACCATTGCGAATGGAACTCGCCATGTGCTGATAGACGCGCCAAATGAGATGTGTTCCCGTTGTTGATAGAGCAGCACATGTGCCAGAGATGCTCCAAGAAGGAATAGGGCCAGGATTGTGGCAGAGCTGACAAAAGTAAAGAAATACCGGTAATTGCGACGGCCAACACAGTTATTGAGCCAGACACAGTGGTGATCTAAGGTCTCAACACAGTTGTCGCACACTCGACAATGATAGCATCGTGGTGGTCGCCAGATATTGCAGGTTTTGCAGTATTTGACCGGGACCACCATGGCATCAACTTCAGAGGTAGCCAATTTGGTCATGACCCAGTCAGTGGTTGGTGGGCCTAAAGTCAAGGGATCAGCAGCCGGATCAGTCGTGGGCAATGGATGCAAGTTTCGTGGGATGATCTTCAATTGATAGTCAGTACTCAACTCATCTGTGATACTCAATTTCAGTACTCACCCCAGGATCTACGACAGAGGCGTGTACAAAAGATGAGAAACAAACGTAAAAGAGGTATGCAAAAATGATAGGGATTGCCGGAGACACATTATGCCATAACCAAGGGGCTCTAATGCAAAGTCAGCTGAATCCATAAGAATACGAAGACATAACATACGAATATCCAAGAAACAATCCCACAGGAAGAACTATCAAAATACCCGTCGCAATGTTGACCGGCTTGTCACGAGAGTTCTGAAACCTGCCACTGCCCCAGAAGGCAGTATTACCTGTAAAATATTCATAATTCTTGCCGAGCTTTGCGGGTGGCTCGGGCATCTTATGTTCTTTCATTGAACGTGGAGAGGATGATGTTACAGACGATAACCTTTCACGACCTGTATTATCGGTTGGACGCTGGGAATCCTCGTTTTTGTTTTGCAGAGATAGAAAGCCGGATCGGAATGATAGTGGTGATCTCTGCGGTGGATCGTGCAAAGAACCTGTCCTGACAGTCTTATTTATATTAAGTCGCTCCGGGGCGGACTTCTTTTCACGTTCATGGAGTAGCTTGACGCTTTCTCCCAGACTCCTAATAGTCGTGTTCCCCGTTGGGCTTGCGTTCGAGGTGTTCCGGTCAGAGATGATGGGATCTGTGAATTCCGTGCCTCGAGAAGGAGGGATTTCCAAATCAGCAGCTTGAGCGCCCAGACGCAACGTACTGCTCGATATCAAACTTCTTCGGTTAAGTGCGCTTTCGTCCTCGACAGCTTCCGGTGGCTCGGAATATGCCTCTGAGGGCACCTGACTTGGACGACGATGTGCTTGTAGTCTCTGAGAGCTCATAGGTCGAAAGAAAGCCTGGGGAGTGAACGAAGGAACATGCGTTCTGCTAATTCGACTCATTCGACTGGATGAGCTACCCGGACGAAGCGCATTCGAATTCCCTGTGGATAATCGCCCTGCTGGCGGGGGCCCTCGTCGAGACTGTGGTGGCTGGACCGAGGTCGGGGCGCGCGAAGAGACAGAATGATCTCCATCTTCAGAAGCAATATCCGTCATACGTGAGGAGATACCCCCAACCGAAGGGGGGCGTGGCATGTCCAATCCAGGTGTTGGAAAGGCGGGACTGATAGGAGTCGAAGCTGTGCTGGAGTCTGGCATAGCTTGATACCCGAAGACCCAACGTATTATATGTCAAGACTATAAGAATGCAGAGCGAACGTTCATATTGCGATTATAGGGTAGTCAGGCGTATCTGGACAATGGAATTGTGTGCCTGATCAATGATATGTCCAGCGGGAGATTGTGGGCCAAAGGTAAGGAGCGAGGATGAGGAATCCGAAGAGGGTACACGTCGACAGAGGAAGGTTGGATATAGAGTATAAGGATGAGTGCAGAGAATTATACGCAGATAAAAGAATGGACGGGTTTCAAATGAGAGACTGAGGATGGGTTGTGGTCGTGATGGATTAATTCTTCAGTGTTGTTTCTCCTTAACGACCAAGACTCCGACGGCTGATCTGTCACTGGGTCCCTTGCGCTAACCAAATACGTTCTAGAGGGCTGAGCTTATTATCAGTCTGATAAACTCTCTCTGTGTCTTCTACATAATTGTGCTGATATTTTGGTGAGACTTCATGGTCAGTCCATCAACCAACTCTTTGCTGATCTTTCCCTCCGATCGAGAACTTACTAGAGTACCCCTCATCTGTAGGCTGCATTTGCGTAGAGTGAAAAAAGATCCTAGATGGCTTGGGCGTATGAGCGATGATGAAGCCGAGATTACTTTGACCAGAATATTACCTTCTGGCTGCGACCAAGGGCTTCTCAGGACAGATATATTGGTGGTTTACTTATATGTTTCCGTCGTGGGAGAACGAAGACGCTTGTTGGATCAATTTACCCCAGATTAATGCCAATGAGATCCTGCATCCTCCGCCACTCTGGCGATCCCCATTGTTGCATCCATTTGCTTGCGACAGCTTCATCGATAGTAGCTCTTTTCTTCGGCTCAAGGACTAGCATCAACTCCATCATGTCATGGAAAACCTCCTCCTCTTCCACCGAAAGCATGTCAAGGCCATTTCGCCCCCGTGGTTGCTGTACGTATTTGTCAAACCGCGTATTCCAGTGTCTAGATGTATTCCTATACCACTGACGAAGATCTCCTTTCACATTCTTGCGGCCATCTTCTTCAAACGAATTGCTTCTTTCCTTTCACTCATACCACCACCGATCTGGAAATTTTCTAAGCATCTCAACATGCTGTATCGTAACCTCGTCTAGTGAGACTGGAAATTATTCAAAAGGAGGTCTACATTCAAAGATATCCTAGATAGCACATGCCATTGTCCAGACATCACCAGGGAAAGAAAGAGGCTCATCTAAGTCCCCTGCGTCGGTAAAGCGGGATTCGGGCGTGTAAGTAAGAATGGTGTATGAGCAGTGTATTGTTTTGTTTCTCGAGGGTCGAATGCTTCTCCAAAGTCTGCGATCATAATAGGGGCATCTTTTAGGGTAACCTTATCACTATCAATACCTAGCCATATGGGAATGACAAGCTCTGAGGGAACTCCAGAGTCAAGAAGGTGACCATCCTCCCGTACAACGAGCTCTTTCACTGGTTCACCAGTTCTGGCTAGTAGGTGATCCCGAGTTATGTTTTTCATCTTGGGAGGCAATCGAAGAAGGATATTTGAAAGATGAAGATCTGTAGATATATCAGTCTTGTCAAGGGAAGTGCATTTGATTTATAAACGTGCCCCCGTGAACAATCCCTCGGGAGTGAGTGAATTGCACTCCAAGGACAAGTTGTGTGACAATTGCCCTGGCTGTAGGAAGATGGAGAAGCCGATGATACGGATACTCTTTTCACCTCGTTGATGTTGACTCTTGCAGCATCAGTGACTAAACAGCGATGAGTGCCATTTGGTCTAGATATTGTGAACGAATCGAGGACTCTCTGGATTACAGCTTTTCCGGACAGGCTGGACTCAGCGTTTGCCAGTCGCGAGAGAATTTCAATTTCATGAGTTCGATCTGCTTCATTCAGCTGTAAGATTTTGAGGGCAATTAGGTGGTGCCTTTCTGTATCTTCCGCCAGTCAGGTCGTGGCGGAACGAGCGAATCCAAGTTCGTGAGCAATTATATATCGGCCAGAGCAGAATTCATCACCTAGCATGACTGGGTGATAACCTTCTGGGACATAATAGTCTAAGCGTTCGACATCTTCTGTGAGCTTGTAATTCGCTTTGCTGGGTTCCATGCAAGTTGTCAAACTTCTCCGGCGAGTACATACGTGAAACTGCGCTGTCCATCTTTGTGCATGGAACAGCATAGGTACAAATGGACTAATTCTTGGGTATTTGAATGGCCGTTGCCGGCACGGTTGGGCATTCGGAAGAGTGAAACTCATTTAATTGTTCAGCCGGAGCGAGCACCGATGACGCTATTGCTGCAGGTGGAAACAAGAATTTCATAATGCCACTTTAATTGGTCCCGAGAAGTATCCCATCGTCGTCTTTTGATTTCGATTACGAGCTCCTTTCCTCAGTGATGGGCTGTTGCTGCGTTTCATGTGCACGTATCTTGTCATTGGATATCTCACGAAGCTGTCTTATAGTTTGAATACATGTTAAGACCATCACCGATGCCCTTGAGAGCAAATAGTAGATTGGTGTAAGTATATGTTGTAGTTGAGGCTTAAATATCCGACGGAACAGTTATCCGCCTCATAATTCAGGCACCAACAACATCCGCAGTTCCGCCTCCGGAAAGCTCCAATGATAGCAAAGCCAAAGGTAAAAATCACCTGATCCGCGGGCCGAGATATCATCGTGTGAGAACGACATCACATCACCAACCTCAACCTCAACCACCAACTCTCCCCTCCGCTGTGTCCACAACCACTATAATAAAAATGTCTTCGATTGCTTCTTTCACAGCTCGTCGGGCTTTCGCTGCCCGTCCAGCTCTTATTTCTCGCACCCCCGTCCGCCGATTCGCCAGTTCCGCGAAAGAGGAAGCTAACCTCGACAAAGCTGGCAAGCGTGACCCCGAGCTTTACGTATGTTCTATTTAATACACGAAAGGATGGTCAATTGAGGGATATGGGATCTGATTGTGGTTATTCTTATAGGTTCTTCTCGGTGTCATGTCCGGTGCTTTCATGCTCGCTGGATGGTAAATTCGCCCCATGCGTCTTACGATGCGTCATCTGCCACTACCTCAATTGCACATCTACAACCTCAATTCGCGATAGCAACATAAGTTTATCAAATTACGAAAAGCTAACGGAGTACCGGTACAGGTTCTTCGGTCGCAAGCCCACCTCAGTAACCTCCGAGAGCAACGTCCGCATCGGCGAATCCGCCATGCCCTGGGAGGGTGAGAGCGATGGCAAGGTATTCAAATACCAGTACCACCCTCACGGCGACAAGAGCCAGCCTCTCCGCAACGCTCCTAGTGCCCTTAACACCGTCATTGTCCCCAACGTGACTTTGCCCGCGGTATATACTATACACAAATCCACACCATATTCTTTGCACAGATGATACTGATATTGTTTGGCAGGATCTCCACGAGAAATTCAACAAGTACGGCAAGGAGGAATATGACTACTAAATCTCTCTCCTTTTTTTGTGATTGCGGAAACTGGACAATGATTTCATCATCGACCGGATTCATGTTCCGATTGATTCCATCCTCTCTCTTATAGAATCCCCCGAGTTTTACGATAAAGGAGTCATTATACCTTGCTTGTACTCTAGAAGACAACGATGACCCTCTCAAGAAATCAGTCATCTTCCACTAGATAGAAAAAGAGAAAAAAACAGCATCACCCAGACAGAGACTTATTTGTTTGTTCTTTGTATAGCTTTGAGCAATCTGTGTCTTCGAATTTGAATATTATTTCTTTTGTCCGCTGCACTATCCCGTCTCTTCCAAGGCCACATAATAAATAAATACTGGAAATAGTTGAGAGATGTATAAATCATCAGATTTTCTCCTTTGGTAACTCATTATAGATAGGAAAAAAAGAAGAGAGAGAAATGTATGGTACACAGAGACATGTCACGCACCGATGTCGTATACATTAGTACGAAATTGAAGAGAAAAAAGGTAACATAGACCAAAACTGAACTACAAACATGCTATGCACGACAATCATTTCGTCGCTCCTTGACCTTCACTTGCAGGCTTAGGCGTACTGGCAACCTTTTCATCATAAACAGACTTCTCCGAGCCTGCGGCCGATGCTGGTTCATTTCGAGGGGCAGTACTGTCCTCACCATTTCGGTTGGTCTCTGGATTCTGACCTTCGACGTCTGGGTGTGGAGGAGCATGTTCGGCATTTTTGATGATTTGGTTGCCGTTTGCATCAATGACTCGGGTTTGAGTTTGGTATTTGGTTTGCAAGGAGACTTTCCCCTCTGCTTGTAGTCGGGCAACTTCCTTCGGGTCTAAGATGTTGCCGGCTTCATCGCGGTATTCGACGCGCTCTTCACGGCCAATGATTCGGTTTGAGCTCGCTGGTTGGGCGGTCACGAACTGTTTGTTGCTGTCTGGATTTTTGCCAATGGGCTGCTGTTGCTGGTTCTGAATCGGGTTCTGATTAGGAGGAACTGCGGGAGCCTGAGACTTCACTGGCTCGTTCACACTTGAAAATGGTGTTATATAATCGTTCAACTGTTTTTTTCCCACATAAGTCGTTAATCATCATCACGAGATCGGTGTCTGCCGCGACGAGGCGGCTGCCATGCTGGAACACTTACGTCAGTATGAAAGATTGGACAATCGAAGTCCCAAGTGTCTAGTAACTTAACACTTTGACAGGTATCTCTTGTCCAAGGATTTGCATAGGCGAGGGGAGAGTAAATAACGAAGACGCAGATGCTCAACGCGAGGAAAATTGCAATAAGTCCATGGCCAACGATCGATTTCTTGCCGATAACAGGGAGCTGCACACGGTTCAAGATAAAGTCAAAAGTCTGGCACAAGGCCATAATAGCGAAGTACAGCGCTGGGAGATAATGGTGCAAAAACAACTGACGAGCCATGAGGAAAAAAGGGAAGTAGTGGAAACCCCATCCAAGCACTGTAGTGCCGACCTCATAGTCGAACCGCTTGAAGTTGATGTTCTTGTAGTCAGTATAGCCTCGTTGCCAGCGCAGAACTGCAAGACCCTTGAAAAGAACATAAATTGCAATCGCAGCGGTCGATGACCACCAAATGAGAGGGTTTCCGAGCAAATAGACCTGACGGTGGTCTTTACCCCAGAAGTTGATACCACGAAGGAGAGTTGGCCATGAAGGGGGGCGAGAGTCCCAGGCATGCGACTCGGTCAAACCGGCGTTAGTTGTCCACATGACTCTCTGAAGCTCCCAGAACTTTCCTAGGAAACCGGGATTTCGGTAGTTGACTTTCTCTGCATCCTCTTTCAACGCGGGATGAGCGTTCGATTCAATATACCAAAGACTGTTAGGGAGAGTGCCTTGTTTGGCGCAAGTGACTTCCTGTTGATCAAAACCCCAGTCAGGTAGCTTTACCTTGTGCGAGAACAAAGCACATCCGGTCATGATGTGGATAAGTCTAAATTTCGTTTGGATAGTACGCAGGCGCTTCTTGGCTTCTTCGCCATCTGAAGCAGACTTGACGATCTCAACACGGAAGAGGTCATTGGCATCACCAGGAAATCCTTCATAACCATAAGCAGACACTTCGTTTTGCCAGTCAGCATCAGTGATGGGAGCACGCTCATCGTGAGAGTGAATGCGGCGATGAGTGAGCAAGTGGTACAGCCTAATGACACCACCATCGTAAATGTATTCGGCAGTTCCGTTATCCCACGCTAATGGTCCTTCGATTTCTGTTCCATCAGGTCCAAGGGGTTGAGTCTGGTTTTCGAGCAGGAAGACGTTATTCTCATCCTTATGGGGATAGAGCGTGACCTGTTGCTGTTGGCTTCCAGTGGGATACATGTGTGCATGCGAGTGGAGATAACCACCCTGGGTATTAACATGACGAATAGTGACTCGAGAACCGTAAGCGACATCTGCTGGAACATCTTGCATGCCCTTGGAGTTCAGAGTAGCCTGGAATTCAGAAGACATGAAGCCATCACCTTCTCCGGGGTTTACCAAGCAGAGAAAATGAATACCAAACATTGCGACATAGAAGCCGAGGGGGATGACGATGAGACAGAAGAATCGCGCAAAGAAGTGTTTGAACCACAGACGCTAGATATAATTAGATATAACCTTAGAAAAGGCTGTTGCATGACTTAAACTTACTGGTGTGACATTGCTCGCATCGCCCAACAAAACCCAAAGCTGAAGGATGGTCAAGGATCCCACCCACGCTGTGGTAAAGAGCCCTACCCATTTCACGCTTAGTGTAGCACCCAAGGAAAGTCCTGAAAAGGCCAACCAGAACCACCAAGGCCCTTTGAATGCTTTGCTGGGGCCTTGTTCATGCTGATTGGTGAAGCACGCAAATGATAAGGCAGTCAAAGCCGTGAAGAAAATCAGGGGCGAATCGAGCAGAATGAAACGAGATTGAGTGGTAAGAGCATTATCTATGCATCTAAGTAAGTTCCCGTCCACTTGCGAGTTCACTTCATGTCACTTACCAAAGGTAACCAATACTGCGCCCATGATCGCAGTAGACGTTCTGCAGCCAGTCGCTTTCAATGTCAGGAACATTAGGGGTACAGTCAAGACACCCAGAATAGCGGGCAGCAGACGCATAGCGACATATGGAACGCCGGGTTCAAGGTAGTCCATTCCGATATCCTTGAAATCAAAGTCGCCTTGAAAGCCAGCGAGCCAACCGGCCAATGTGATGAGCAATTTGGCAAGTGGAGGGTGGACATCCATAAAAAATCTGCCCTTGATGTATTTGGTCGCGAAACCACCGAAACTAACAGCACCCAAAGCACATTAGTAAAAATTACATGACCGCCTCGAAATATGAGCGTAACGTACTGGACCTCATCAAAGACGACGCTTGAAGGTTGGTAGATGCGAAACAATCGGACTGCGGCGGCCGCCAGGGTCAAACCAGCAAGCCATAGATAGTCTGAAGCTGGGAGCTTGAAAATATCATTATTCGTGACGCCTTCTGATGAATAATCCTTTTTGTTCTTAGGCGCAGACTTTTTCGACTTTGGATTGGGGGATCGACTGCGACTACGACTGCGACTGCGCGAACGGTTGCCTCGAGAGACCGGCCGCACATTGAGCGTATCCTTAGATTTTGGAGACATATTTGCAATTGAGTTGCATCGGCGGAGGTTTTCTAGGGATGAAGATCAATTGCGGTTGCCCAGTATCTGTATGTAATCGAGGATATTGCGATTGTATCGGAGAATTATTTGAGGCCAGCGACGAGTACGGAACTATTAGTGGTTATAGAAACAAGTGATGATATAAACGAAAGTCAGGAAGCGAAAGAACAATTAGATATAAAATAAGAGTCCCATGAGAAAGTAAATGGCTGCAAACGATGCCCGAGAACAAAAAAGATCTCTTGATGGAAAATGAATCAAAGGGGAGTTGACGCTGCTGGGGTCCGTCGACAGCTGGCCAGATCTCAAGTTGCTAGACCACGGAAGGTGGAGAAACTTAGCCAGTGACCGCGCGGCTTCTTACTGGCTGGCTGTTTTGACTATTATGAGGGATGAAACGAGACAGGGGAGATAGAACGAAAGTGATAAAAACTATAAAAATTGAATAGTCCTTGGAAAACATGTTCGAGGAGAGAGTATGAGCTTGCAGTGTAACTTGTAGTACTGTGTACAGAGTGGACACTACCGCCGAGCCGCGCGGCAAATAAGCGCGCAAAATGTACTAGGCTAGAAATATCAAATGCGACGACCATCTTCGCCGAGAGAACTCTAGACTCTATCCGAGCAACTGACAGCGACGTTGACTTTTCCATCACGCTATAGGGAAACGAAATGGCTGCAGCTGTAGCCAACGGGAATGGGGTCTCAACGCCTACAACCATAGACGATATCAGCAAACCCCCAGAGGGCATAGTCGTGCCACCGAAGGATATTAGAGGTACATCCATCCATTCAAGCAGCTGTTTCTAAGCTTTCTTGCTAACACCTTTCTTTTACAGCTATTGTTGAGAAAACAGCTGGATATGCTGCTCGAAACGGCCCAGTTTTCGAACGTAAGCGTTTCTCAACACTCTTCTTACTGTGCCTATGCTTATCAATCTTTGTTTATAGAGCGGATTCGCGAGAAAGAACAGAACAACCCGAAATTTTCCTTCTTAAGCCCCGGCGACGCTTACGCAGCATACTATCAATGGCGACTCGACGAAATCAAAGAAGGACGCGGCACTGACGTGTCGGCTGGACGACCGGGCGAGGCAGCAGCTACTCCAGTACCCGAAAAGCCCAAGGGACCAGCTGCACCACCAGAGTTCCATTTCTCGGCGCGAATGCCCATTATCAATGCACAGGATTTAGAAGTTGTGAAGTTGACGGCATTATTCGTCGCGAAAAGAGGAAAGTCGTTCATGACGTCGTTGTCGCAAAGGGAGGCGCGAAATTTCCAGTTCGATTTTCTACGGCCACAGCACAGTTTATACCAGTTCTTCACTCGACTAGTCGATCAATATACGATATTATTGAACAAGGAGGGTATCGATGCAGAGACGACAGAGAAGCGCCGGCTTGAAGAATTGGAACGAAACACAAAAAATAAACACCATATTTTGGACCGAGCCAAACAACGAGCGGAATGGGTCAAATATCAAGAGCAACAGAAGCAGAAGAAAGAGGAAGAAGAAGAGAGGGAACGTATCGAATACGCACAGATTGACTGGCATGACTTTGCGGTCGTAGAGACTGTTCTTTTCACTGAAGCGGACGATCAAATCGAATTGCCACCACCCGCTTCTCTTGGTGATCTTCAGTCGGCATCTCTTGAGCAGAAGGCGATGATGTCGCTGAATCCGCTACGTATCGAGGAGGCGATGCCTACAGACGAAGCAGAGCCTGTATATTACAATGCCTATCCGATGGAACAAGTCGGGCCTGCACAACCCACTCCTATTCCCACAGAATATCAGCCTATGCAACCAACCTTCCAGCCGTCTACCGTACCAATGCCCGTCTCTGCAGCCAACGAAGAGGAAGAGCAACGTATTCGCGAACGTAACGAAGCCCGGGAGCAGGCTTACGCTGCCCAGGCAGCCGCGAAGGGTCAACCACCTTCAATGCGCATTCGATCCGACTACGTCCCACGCGCACAATCACGACGTCAACAACAGTCCGCCGTCACAGCACTCTGTCCAAATTGTCACCAGCAAATCCCCGTCGCAGAACTGGATCAACACATGCGCATCGAAATGCTGGATCCACGCTGGAAAGAGCAACGGGAAAAAGCCGAATCTCGCGCCGCGCATACGAACCTAATCACAACAGACGTTGCGAATAATCTAAAGCGTCTCGCCAGTCAGCGGACAGACGTATTTGATTACGCAAATGCGCCTACTCCTACCACTTCAGCTGGTGGTGGTACGCATCCATACGAAGAATCAGAAGAAGAAGCACGTCGCAAACGTATTGCTATGATGGCACCACCGGGCACTGGACCAACACCCTACTCAGTACACGCACCCGGTTACGAAAGCGCGCCTGGTGCACCATCACACTTTTCGCATATGCAAATGCCAACTGTCGGTCCACCAGCTACTGGTGCTCCCGCCATTGGGGCAGGGAGACCGGCAGCAGGCGGACCTAGTCCGCCGACGATGGATATTAATGAGCAAATCAGGAATTTGCATGAGAAGTATGGACAGCATCAACAACAACAGCCACCGCCGCCGCCGGGAGGGTATCAGCAGGGGCAATATCAGCAGGGATACCCGGAGGGTCATTAATCGTCGATAATATCACGACTACTATAAGTTTTTCTCAGGACACTTCTTCATACGGTCTATCCGCGGAGAGAAGGCGAATTACAGTCTGATTTACAAAATGGAGTTTACCACAGCTACTTTTATGTATCATTTCATCCATTCCTGACTTCTTTTCTATTTGGTTAGCATTTGGGTGAGCGTTTAGGATTGGGTGGGCTTTGTACGAAATAATATACTGATTGATCCCGCAAAATATTAAATTCTAAAGCACCATGATCAAATCTCATTCAAAACCAAAGCGTATCTGCATATCTGAAGCATCTTCCCAGAGACACGATTGACAGATCATTGGATAAGTCAGATGAAGAAATCATAAACATACACTCAGAACTACCCTGGAAAGCTCGCAAAATTCAGGAACAAGGCGGAAAAGCCCGATGACAGACAGGAACAATGAAAAAAAAAAGAACAAACATGGCATCAGATAAACCTCTAAGATGTCAGTCATCCAAAAAATTTCAAAAGCATATAAGTAAAGAATAGGAAGAAATGCGATAACGTTCAAATGAATCAGAAGTAATAAGTTTATAAATAAATGTATGCAAAACTGGAAATAAAGGGGACGAAGAGAAGTATGTAATAAGTAAAGTAAACCAAAAGACGAGGAACAGGGTATGTATAAGAAATAATAGCTATTACATTAATGATACAGTTAAAAGTACGTAGAGTACGTACTTGATATGATGATGATGTTGACGAGGGTGAACGTGTATAAAAATCGTCTCCAAATGCTATGCAATGCCCGAACCAGCGGTAATTGAAGGGGGTGGAGGATGCAATGTGATAGGGATATAGAATATCAGGAAGGGGATAAACCACAAGCTAGGGAGGACTCGGGTAAAATAGCATGTAGTCGTAGGGATATAAATTAGTTAAAAGCACCCGGCATGGCTTTTGCATCCCCAGATGGAATATTTTCTAAGTCGTGATTGTTGGTATGCGGAGTCGTGGACTCAGTCTTCGGCGAGAGAGGCTCGGAATTCTCAGTGGAATGCGATGCGTCGGGAGGGGTTGTCTCCAAGTCGGTACGTAGTTGTTCTCCAGCTTCGTTATCGTCAGTATCATTTGAGATATCCTCGACGTTTTCGACCTTTTCATCAGCTTGAACCACTGTATCAACGGTTAAGGTCTCCTTGACGTCAGATTCTAGCGAGTCCGCTACATGTTCGCCATTTCTTGGTGGTAAGGCAGGGGGTGTTTTCTCGAGTCCTTCATCAGCCATATCTGCTGTAGAGTCCAGCGGGCTCTTTGCTTCTGATGCAGATTCGTCGATTTTAGCCTCTATCTCGGCAGCTGGGACCGGTACAAGCAATGCCTTCTCTGAATATTCGGTAGGAGCAAAGGACGGAACAACACCGCCACCGAATCGCGACCAGAAAATCCTTTCTCGTAACCGAATAGTCTCTTCCCATGCTTCTTTTTCTTCCTCAACATCCGCAACATGCACATGACCATCAAGAATCATTCTGAGATATCCGGCAAACTCGCAGCAAGCGCGAACCTTTTCAAGACAAAGAACACATAAAGAGTATCGTTGGGCACTTTCGCTCTCAGATGTCCGGAAGCGATGAGTACGTTCGTTGACGTCGCCTAATCGACGCTCGCCACAGAGACCACAGGGAAACTGATACTTGCGATGGCTTGCAGGCATGGGCTCCACGATCAATGTTCCATCACAGAGACTGCTGAACACTGATCTACGTGTCAACCAAGAAATAGACGGAGCAGAGTCTAAGCGAAGCGTGGGTTCAAAATCTTCAACAAGAACTCGTTTATAGAACCGTGTGTCCTTCAAAGGAGTATGAGGAACGGCTGTTTGGGGACTCCCAGCGGGAGTGTGAGATTGGTTATTACCCGGAGAGCCAGACGTCGAGTTCGAACTACTGCTGGAAGTCAAGCCAGCGAGTCCCATGACGTTCAAGCCGCCATACGAGCCACTAGGAACTCGACTAGGTGGTTTGGAGGCATTTGCGAAATCTAAAAGCTCACGAAAATCTTCATATGCAACCATATCGGTCCGATAGACCGGTTTGATTAAATGGGTGAAGGATGTCGAAGGTGCAGGTATGATTTCAGGAAGCACAGGGGTGCCGGGAGCTGTATTCGAGGCATCCAGAAAGCGGCCTACAGTTTGCATCGCTACTGCCGGTGATGTCGGGGCTGTTGATGGATTGGGCGTGGTATCGTTTTCGTCACGGGTAGATTGCATCTCTTGCATGACGGTCTTCAATTCCGCGAGTTGTTCCTCTTGAGAAGCGACTAGAGCTTCAGTATCCTTGATCTGAGCACGAAGTTGCTCATTTTTCTTCTCGACGGCTTCCCGTTCTTGCTTTGCAGCAGCAACCATCTATTGACATGTTAGCGAACCAGTCGATAGTGCATCGAGGGATGATTCCTCACCTTGTTGGCTTCTTCAAAAAGAGCGGCTGTCAAAGTCTCCAATTCCTGCTCCATTTCTCTCTTCTCCTTTTCAGCCACCGATCGCTTTGCACGTTCTTCATCAAGGGCGTTTTTCATGGATAAGATTTCCGCTTCGATGTCACTTCGTTTAACCATGACTCCGCTGGCAATGTCTGTTCGGTATTTCTCATTCTCAGATTCCAACTCCAACAACCTCTCCTGTGCCGCCTCCAATTCTTGTCGGGTAGCTGATAATGAGTCATCCAGGCTCGTCTGATTATTGATCGCTTGAACTAGTTTCGCACTTAGGGTAGCCACCTCGCTACTCAGATCGGGGTGATGGGACGAGTCAGACGTGCCAGTCAGATCGGATGTACTTGCCATTCGCGGGTCTCTCAAGGTGTTAAAATCACTTTCTTGCAGATCTTCCAACCCAGCTGGTGAAAGTCTCCGGCCGCTTCTATTAAAGTCTGAGAGGGCATTGGCAGACCTCATCTTCGTGAGAAATCTCGCGGGCGATCGTGAACGCTTCCCAGCCGAATGGGACCGCTGGTGATTACTTGGTCGAGATAACATATTGGATGCTGATAGAAAGGTACTGTGTCCGTATGTATGGAGCGAAATAAGGCTGCTAATCGATTGAGTTAGATGGTGAAAATTTCTGCAATTCCAAGTCAAACTTGTTTGAAGACTTACTCGGCCATGATGAGATGTGGTAATGAATACGATCGAGACACGGCGGGTCGACGAAGCGCCGAAAAGGAATGGATCTGAACTAATCAATGCAGCAGCTGGATCGGCGAATGAAAGACGTTGTCATCTAAATAGATAGTAGATAGGTATATGACGAGAATGGCCGATTATCTTCCTACTTGACGTTGCCGCGACGAGTTCGTTAAACCAGAAACATGTTAAATGAGGACCCACAGAGGACTAAGGCGTGTCGATATCTAGCGGAAGCAGGATATCCGTCTCGTCCTCGAAGGTCAAAGGAACGGAAGATGCTGCAGACAGTCAAGCAGCCTGAATAATAATTGAGACGAGGGAGAAGAGAGTAGGAAGGACTTGGGTGTGGGACGGAGAGATGGAGTGGTTGGTCAAGGCATCAGGTAAGAAAGGCGAGCGGAGATAAGTTCGTCGTCTGAGATGGCTTAGCGGGACGGAGCGTCACGTGGCAGAACTAGCCTATTGTTCTTCAACCAGAACCGTCAACTATTCGACAAGAACAAGTTATTCTGAAAATCAAAGATGATACACATCTGCATATTCTGTCTGCTTATTAGATTCTCAACAACTATGATAGTTGACAAGTACGCCTTGCCACTACGGCTATCCCCGGTTTGAAGTTCATTCCGAGGTTGTGTTGAATAAAGAATAGAGACAGCAGAGCACAAGATAAGTACTTGTCTACATTCAATTGAGATCGGACTCCGGCTTCTGTAAGATGTCACAAGATCTACTATTCGTCAATAACTAGTTAACGTAACGCTTGATCTTGACTGCTTAGATAAGAGTGTAGTTCCGATGATCCCCACTACGTATATATATATGTACCTATAAGGCCTCAGGCAACCAAAGTGGGGTGGTCTAGGAATGGCAACAGTGATTGCAACATTTCTTTCCAGCAAAACAATCTACGTCTTATTGTCGATAATACTACATTTCCAGATTCCGAACTGTGTCTGACAGAATACGGGCTTTTTCCTATCAAGCTCCCGATAGAGTTGATTTGTGATATTGTGTAGTGTCGGACAAAATCTGGGGAAAAAGGGCAAATCGTCATGGCTGACGCTGAGTTGGAGGAGGTCGGTCATAGCTGCTGAGACAAGCTCTTTGACTATCAATCGAACGATCTAACACAGACATAGATTCGAAGAGCTCGTCTCGCTCAGTTGCAACAACAGGGGGGTGGCCGAGGCGCCGCTCCCAGTATTGGCGGTGGTGAGGGACAAGAAGATCAAAGAAGGTCTGCACCGACGTTCGTATGCACATTACGATTACTGACAATATTGCACATTACAGACAAGCAGAAGGTACATACAACTTCCCAACCAACGAGAACCCTCGAATCAACTAACATAAGTATCCCAAAACAACAGCTGAACGACGCGCCGCAATACTCAACCAAATCCTAGACCCCGCTGCAGCAGACCGACTCGGACGAATACGACTCGTCAAGGAATCCCGCGCCACAGATATCGAGAACAGACTCATCATGCTTGCGCAAACGGGGCAATTACGCCAGAAAGTGACAGAAGATCAATTGAAAGATCTACTGAATGCTGTTGCGGAGAACTCTCGCAAGGAGGAAGAGGAGCATAAAGTGGTTTTTAGTCGTCGCAAGGGTGGTTGGGATGACGATGATGATTTGTTGGATTTATAAAGGGCACATGATGGTGGTTGGACTGTTTTAAAGAGCCCGAGACGAGATTATGAAAAATGAAGCATGACTTGTTAATGGGTAGGTCGCTTATCGAGCTGGCACGCATATGCCATGAAGCTCCGAAAATGACCAAGGAGAATCAAATATACACAAACCAAGAACGCTCCAATGCAAATGTATGATATGCACGACATCTAATATACAAAGGCAGTAAACAGTGTTGTTCAAGACATAAAGCGGACACGTTTTATAAGCCAGAAGCTTTCATTTGCTGTTCTTTTGCCCTCTTCTCCTGTTGCCGCATCATACGTCGTATCTCTCTCAGATCCGGTGGCGCCTCAATTCCCAACTCAGCCCTTAACTCATCCACGTTCCGTTCCAGCTGCTCTTCCCAATAAACATTAATCAACTCCTCACTCGACAACCCACTGCGCACTGCCCACGGAAGATGAAGTTTGAAGAATCGCTCTCGTTCCGCAGGCTTCAGTCGAATCGCAGCTGCAAGACTCAACCCGGTCATGGGAATAACCGTATTCAAGAATTCAAACGCCTTGAGCGCTAATTCGCCTTCAACCATTGTCGGTAGCCCGGTTACGGCGTGATAGAAATCGTGACACTCGCGATATCGTTGCATCACATATGCGCATTCCTCGTCGTCGATGTATTGCACGCTATCTCTGGTGTCGGGTGACACTCCTTCTCTATCTAGCCATTTTGCGTATGTTCGGCCAACTGAGTTTTCGGGTAATGAGCGTAGGTAGGGTAGTTTGAGGGTTTCGGATGTGAGACGAGGACGGTCTCGTAGGATACGACGACCCGTGGGGCTTGAGAGCATGGCATCACGAAGACGGTATATGAAGTAAGGCGTTGCTGTGGCTTCGCCTAATGCTGCGATGAGGTCTTTGGAAGCCAAGCTTGTCAACAATCACACCAATTTTACGTTGTGGGTGAGGAATATTAGAGCATACCATGTCTCCTGGGATTAAGGAGAGAGCCAAATGCAGAACCTATCGCGAGCACGCCGCGCTCGATTCTGGTAAGAGGGACATGTCCCGGATAGCTTGGAGGCGGACGATTGAGTGCGGAGAAGCTCCGGAATGAATATTTTAGGCCAATTTCATGACATTGTAAACATCGATTTGACACGGTTAGGAGCGCAGTTCTCGGCGTTGGGGGCATTGTTATTTTGTTGATTGCTTATAATCGATGGCGTGGAGTAGAAGTTAAGCTTGAAGCACAATCATCATGTGATGCATGTTGATGTGGAATTGTGGATCTGCAACGCCCGCCAGGCGGAACAGATGAACAGACAGACAATGTTGCACCATTGAGACAGCGCATTTTCACTGGCAGAACCTACGTCAGTCGGATTTTGTATTTAAACTGTGCATGCGAAGAAGTCGTGTGAAGAAGCCGTTTCCACCCTGTTTGCTGGAGAAAATGGACATCAGAGGAGCTCAGGCAGGCAAAACTCAGAAACTGGAGATTCGGCAGGTACCTGAGGTGCAAAGGCATAGGCGCTAGGCTCGACAATCCCATCTCAATTGCCATCACTTGAAATGCTCTACGCGTACGCCTCGCGGGGAAAAGAACTTGTGAGGCGCAGTGGAGATTTGGTCGTCCTGCTGCCTCTGTCATGCCTCGAGCCAATCTAAAGCGACAATTTAAATTATCCAACCTTGCATCTGGCTTTTACCTGTCGGAAAACTAAATCCGATTCAATTCCCTAAGCTATTAGTGCTTGACTACATGGCTTCATTAATCTTCACCTTAGGATGGCTGCTTCCCCCGTCATCATTCGAATAGTTACTGAATCCAGCTATGGCACAAGAAAGTTTGGTAACATTTCACTGGCATGACGAGAGTGTGAGCTTGTCTGAAGCCTGTATACTCGACCAAAACGACTTCGAAGGAATCCATATCGCAACGTCGCGTCTCTCAAAGGACTTTGGTGCTGTCACTGGATCCGAACTGAAAACAGTTTATTGCAATGAAAGTACTGTATTCCCCGACCGGTCGTCATGTATTATCGTTGGCAGCTTATTGTGTTCGAGCTTGATTCAAAATCTAGTCCATGATGGAAAACTAGCCGTAGATGACATCGAGGAGAAATGGGAGTCCTTTGCCATGACGGTGGTAGATCTACCCTTACCCGGTGTGAGAAAGGCTCTAGTAATCGCAGGGAGCGATAAGAGAAGCACAATATATGGTATTTACTCCCTTTCAGAACATATCGGTGTCTCACCGTAAGTGAATTATCTGAAAAGCACCGGATCTAAACATACAGCAGTAATCTGTGGCTAATGCTTTGGCAGATGGTACTGGTGGGCAGACGTCGTGCCTGAGAAAAAATCCGAGATTTTCATCAGGCGAGGTAGACTACAATACGGCGAACCTAGTGTGAAGTACCGTGGAATCTTTATCAATGACGAAGCCCCGTCCTTGACTGGCTGGGTCTTGGAAAAGTTCGGTCCAAAGTATAATGTCAAATTCTATGAGAAGCTGTTTGAATTACTATTACGGCTCAAAGCGAACTTCCTCTGGCCAGCTATGTGGCCGGGATATCCTAACTCCGGTAACAGTTTCTTTGTGGATGATGAATTGAATCAAAAAACTGCACATGCATGGGGTATTGCTGTTTCTACCTCCCATCATGAGCCTATGCAGCGCGCAATGGCGGAATGGTTTGCGGAGAACCCCGAAGGAAGTTGGACTTGGACAAAGAACAAGGAGAAGATCCAAAGATATTTCCGAGACGGTGCTGCGAGAGCTAAGGATTACGAATCCTACATTACTCTAGGAATGAGGGGAGATGGTGATCGTGCGATGACAGTAGATGACCCTCCTGCGGTCCTTCGGGAGATTCTTACATACCAGAGATCGGTTATTAATGATGTGTACGGTGCACCAGATAAACCAAAACGTGAGGACAAGGATGCCCTAAAACAAGGATGCGATTCAAGCTAATTAAGCCTTGGCATGGAGTTACTTGCGTTGTATAAGGAGGTCCAGGAATACTTCGAGAATGGTTTGTCCGTTCCGGATGATGTTACACTCCTATTTGCAGACGATAACTTCGGAAATATTCGGCGGCTGCCAGTCGGTGTGGAGGCAGATCGAGCAGGTCGAGCAGGGGTCAGTATTAAGAAGTCTATACCAGGCTTGCCATATGGTATGCTGACATAACTACCAGGTATATTATCACCTAGAGTACGTCGGCGAGCCGCGGAGCTATAAATGGATAAATAGCAATTCTTGTGTGAGTCCTACCTAAAGCAACGATCCATCAGTGCACTGCAAATACTAATCTGGCCGTTGACATGCAGGGTAGAATATGGCACCAGCTGAACTTAGCCCACAGTCGAGGCGCAGACCAAATATGGGTTTTCAACGTCGGTGATATCAAACCGCTGGAACTACCAATACTCTCTGCTTGAATTTAGCCTGGGATATCAACTCTGTCCCTGCCAACAATTTTATGTCTTTCTTCCAAGGCTTCGCTGATCAAACCATTTCATCTTCCGTGTCGGACGAAACCGCTCGTCTTCTCTATGAAGCTGATAGGCTAATATCTCTTCGAAAACACGAGCACATCGAGGCTAATACCTTCTCCATTCTGAATTATGGCGAAGCAGAAGGGATCGTTAATACATGGGAGTCTCTCTTGGATAAGGCTACGGAACTCAATTCGAAATTAACCCCGGAGCAACAACCTGCCTTCTTTCAGCTGGTCCTACATCACATCAAAGCCTCGTACATCTATACTAAACTTCGCGTAACCCAAGCGAAAAATTGTCTATTCGGACTCCAACGTCGTAATGAAACAAATAAAATGGCACAACAGGTTCTCGAACTCTTCGACGCTGATTTTGACCTTGCTCAAGAGTATCATTCCTTGCTGGACGGGAAATGGAATCACATGTTGCGCCAGCCACACTACGGTTATAGAGATACATGGCATGCGCCGTCTCGAGACATGATTGACGGTCTAGGCTATATCCAGGTTAAGCAGGGTTCAAATCCAATCGTTAGACATATGGGCCTTTCAGTTAAAGGAACGCAAGGGATCAGACCGGGTTTGACGAATGAGGAATCTGATAGAACGCATCCATCTCGGGGTGACCTGGTACCGGGTCTGACGCTCCCTCCGTTGGAACCGTATGGAACACAGGTTCGCTTTTTTGAGATCTATCGTCGTGGTACGGCCTCCTTTACCTGGTGCGTCAGCTCGCCACATGACTGGGTCAAGGTTGCTCCATCCTCGGGGAGACTAGACAACGACACTAATGATGCCCGGGTACATGTTGGCATCGATTGGCCAAACGTCCCTGCACATTTCAATCAAGTAATTCAGATTACAATTTCCTCGTCTGCTGGAGATTATGAGCACGTACATCTTCCTGTCATTCACAGAGATGTACCAGACAAATCATTTTGTGGGTTTGTTGAAAGCGATAATTGTGTCTCAATACCAGCAACTGAATTCTCCCATATGCAAAACACCAACAGGAGCCGTGGGTTGGTGTCAGTCAGGAGATTCTGACACTCGATACCTTGAATATGATGTTTACAACTTCTCAGACAGACCACACCCGCTGTCTCTGATACTGTTTTTTACCATGGCCCTTGATATAAATCCTAAAGAGCCATTAGTATATGAAGCCATGATTGATGATATCTCTTTTGGCACCTTACGCTTAATCGAAGATCCGGCCAAGGTTGGTGATCTCCCACCTCGATGGGATGAAGCTGTGCAAGATTATGTGTGGAAGAGAACACTACTGGTGCCAGATAGCCTTTACCGTGGCCGACATGTGATCAAAGTACGGTTTTCTCAGCAGAATGTACTACTGGAGAAGATTGTTTTGGATCTGGGCGGTGTTAGAGAGAGCTATTTGGGCCCATTGAAGAGTACACTTGTCGGAAAAACAGGTAATTTCTCCATCGAGGTTTCCACATGTACGTTAGGTTTTCCCTGAAGATAATCAAAATGAAAGACGTCTTGTTATTAGCTAATTAAAGCTACAGTAACTACGCTAAGCAAATTCTATATGTAGCAACCTGAAAAGCTCCCAAATCGACCTTGAAATTTCCGTTTTCGCAAACTACAGCCTCCTCATCATCTTCCAGCAAATTAGTCTTACAAACTTTACTGACCGGCCACGAAGTTTCTACTCTCCCCCTTGCACGTCCGCCGAGAGACTCATAGATGCGAATAATGACACTTCTTCCCTTATGAGAAGGTAAATCTCCACGACTGACATCCTCATCGATCTCGCCGCGTTTGATGGTATCGAGAATGAGACTTTGATCACCAGTCAAGCGTATTGGGGATTGTGTAAGTGTGCAGTCCTTCAGTCTTGAGCAACTCAGAAACTTGAGCGGGCTATTGAAAGCGTACGCAGCACGCACTGTTTCTGCACTCAGCCCCCCGCGATGAGGCATGATCGCCCAGCGGATCTGATGTCGTCCCATGTCAGCAGTGTCATCAGGTGCCTTTGGGGAGCGTAAAAGTGAGAGCCTCATCACATTTCCAACCGTTGAAAAGCCGTACTTGCTATCGTTGAGGATTGATACACCGTAGCCGTGCTCTGAGAGATCGGCGAATTTGTGGCAGCACACTTCAAATTTGGCCATATCCCATCTGATTTAAATTGTTAGCATAGTTTTAGTTGCGTGAAGTTTCCAGGACAAGCTGGAAGAAGAAAGGCACATACGAAGTATTATAATGGGTAGGTCTCTTGATAACACCATATTGCGCTTCATATGATGCCTCTGTGTTGCGAATGTTAACGGGGAATTCCACCTTGAGAAACCTCATCGTCTCATGCCAGTCGACCTCTGCACTGCATTCAACAACTGATTGCTGACCTTCAAGTGCTGCAGTCAGTGATATAATTGACTTTATTGAACTGATTTCGTCGATCTTGATCTCCGTCACAACACTGACATGGTGAGCCTTGCCCTCATAAGTAGAAGTTGTTAATCCTGGAAGCTCCTCGCGTGTATCTAAGTGATATACTTCGACGTCCCAGGCTTGTCAGTAAACTGGTTTGTCATCGAAAATAACAAACTGGTTTGCTTTGCTTCCCTCGGGTATTATTTCGCGGTCTGCTATCCGGTCGTACAGGGAAATAATGCATCCATTCTGGACGGTAACAGAAAGTTGACTGTTCTGCATCTTATAGACACCTTTCGAGGTCTCCTTTATTGTTACTCTGGCTTCGACTTCGGCGCCAGTGAATTGCTCGAGAGCCAAAATAATGCCTTCCCCCGAGGCTACTGCTGTTTCTGTATCAGATAATTCAACGATCTCCATGCGTGGCCATGGTAAAGTGTTAAGAGCTATCATGTTTTGCTTCTTAAGATCTCCCTTTTCTGCAACTTCGACAATATCTAGAGACCTGTAGACTGCGTTCAGCAGTGCAGTCCCAGTCGCAAAAACATTCTCGTAAACCTATTCCGGGGATGTTAGTCAGATTGAAGAGCTCATTGAGCGGAAATAGAATCATTACCTACCTTATCAGAATCATCGTAGCACATCCGAATCGAAGTTCCAGGTAAACAATCATGGAACTGACACAAAAGAACAGCTTCCCACATGCCGTCAATCTCTCTCTTCGGATACTTGTAGGATCTGTCCGAGATCGAAGCCACAGTAGCAAGTAACTCAATATCGCGCAACAGAAATTCAGCGCGGCGATTATTTCGCTTTGTATTTGCCTGGGTCGTGTATGTGCCACGATGGAGCTCAAAATATAGCTCGCCGAACCACGTCACAAGACTACCAGCCTTTTTCTCGAGGCCATCGAAGAAATCATCAACTGACTTCCCGACGTGGACTCGTGGAAGTATGCCTACTTCGTCAGCAATCCTGCGACATCGTCTCAATCGCTCCATATGCTGCCACGTTGGCCCACCACCGCCGTCTCCCTTGCCAAATGCCATGAGCGCTGTGTGATCCTGATCAAGCGATAGATGTTTGGCAATACTTCGCTTGACGTCGGCAACCGTTCCTTCCGCTGTATATGTCCTGACTGGTGGCATGTGACTGATTACTTGACTCCCATCTAGGGCGATCCAGTTAAATGTTGTATGATGGAACTCGTTGATGTTATTAAAACAGATCTTCTGAGTAAGAAAACGATTCATGCCAGCCTGTCTAGAAAGCTGTGGCAACTGAGCAGCAAATCCAAAAGTGTCAGGTAGCCACAGAGTCTTGCTTCGATATCCAAAATTACTCTCGAAAAATCTCTGTCCATACAAAAATTGTCGGACCAAGGACTCGCCGCTGGGCATATTGGTGTAATGTTCCACCCAGCACCCTCCAATGGGGTGAAACTGCCCTTCCTTAACTTTTTCTTTGACTCGTTTCCAGGCAATGGGGTATTCCTCCTTGAGCCATTTGAATTGCTGCGCCTGGGAACAAGCAAACTTGAGCTCGGGATAGCGATCCATCAAGTCGCATTGGTTTAGCCATGAACGTACAACTTTTCTTTTTGTTTCTGCCCACGGCCAGAGCCAACAAGTATCTATATGGCAGTGGCCAATGGCAAATATATCCACTTCGGTGGCATTGTGATAAATCTCGTATGAGCCAACGTCGGGTCCGAGAAAGTCGGCTGCAATTGTGCGGCATTTCGTAATGGAGTCTTTGTTGCCAGGTCTGAATGTGTTGATGATTTTCATGGCTATATTCAAAGCTTTATGTTGCTGCCAGGAGTCATCGGGCAACTCGAGTGCCGAATCGTGTATAGCCACAATGTCCATATATAGCATGCGTGCTTCCCAATTGACAACCACAATCTCCGCTTTCGAGAGCTGAAAGTATTTCTTTGGATCCGGCGGCTGGATAGAATCACCGCCTGCGTTGTTTTTGAAAATTGGCCGACCAGGCCCATTTCCGAACATACCATTGCACGCCATCTCGATATAAATCAGATGTTCCTTTCCATCTTTGAAGGCTTCTGGAATAATCCACTCAACTCGCTCTCCTCAACCTGTCAATCCTTGCAGTGGCGTTCCGTCCTCCATCCAAACTGTAGCTTCGTTGTTACAGTCCCAATTCAATTCAATGTGTTTTTCGTGCTTAATTTCGTTTGGGATGGTAATGTAGACCTTGAACCACTGCGTCGACCACGACGGCCCGAATTGTTGGCCGACTTGTGTTATCTCATAGGAATTGGACTCGTCCGTCGCCTCCTGGAAACTAGGCTGTGTCAAGCCTGGAGCATTCCAGACAAAAAGCTTTATGAGGTGGACCCGAGAATATAGCATGATTGACCATACTACACATACCCCGAGGATTGGCTTAGCTCTCGTATGGGCATTCACCGTCATCTAACTAGAGCAAGCTCACCTCAGTAAATTGACTTTCTCCCATTGCCCTGGTGAGTACAATTGACCAACGCGATTTCTATCCAGACGCATGATGCGTTTCCCGACAGGTCCAGAAGTGCGCAATGGGTACTGGGAGTTTCCATCGTTTTCGGTGTGACCTGTGCACATGATGCAAACGATGACTCAGAGACTGTGCTGGATATCTTCAATTTTTCCACTTCTTTTCCCTTTGTTGCACTTGGCCTTAAAAAGTGAATCCGGTTCTAAAGTAGTCAATCGGGCGAGGAGACTCCCTCCAATGCTCCGGTGCTTTTTACTCCGCATAACTAATTCGGCGGGGTATTTCAACCCGAGATGATGGGGTCAGCTATTGAAAATTGACACGCGTGGCTCAATAATAGCAGAGAACGGAAAGCAAATTCCGGAGAAGGCGAGGAGGCAGAAGCTTAGCACCCCCAAGTCAATATATACTAAGTTACTGGCCAATCAACAGCTGTTGTCGTCGGAGTAAACTAATTTAGCATGGGCCTTTATATTGTGCTGGTCAAGCCAATCATCACTGTAGCTATCTCCGTTATGCGGCACCATCCTTTGGTTTTCCAATGATAGTTGACTATTTGACCCACTAGCTCCGGTAATCGCCGGGATGTGCCGAAGTCGCCTCCACTTCCCCGGACTCCCAGAGTCCCCACAGACAATGCGGGGTTGGACAAGCAACAAACCTTACTTCTTCGTCATTCATACAGAAGAGAGGCTATCCTTGGATCGCGGCAGTTAAGCTAGGTAGTTAACCTGAAGCCATGAGTGTCTTCCTCTGTAAATAAGAGGACGGCCAGTCCCTCCTCGTTAGCCACCTTCTTGCTCTCACCACCACAACTCCTCCCATTTCTTAACATATTGTCTACTGTATTCCCTTTATTATGGCCAAGACGGACGATATAAATTTGGAGGTCCCACAAACGGCGGAGGTTGAAGTCGTAAAAGATCATATGAACTACGATCTTGTCGACAAGGAGGTCGTTGAAGTCGACAAACCTACGAGTCGCCGGCTGAGAAGGCTCATCGACAAGCGTGTGATGGTGGTCATGACAATAACGTATCTGATTCAGACCTTGGATAAGGGAACTATGTCTTATGCGTCCATCATGGGCATTGTCTCTGATGCACATTTGGTTGGTCAGCAGGTGAGATTCTAGTTCAAATTCACTATTTCACGCGCGCGAATAAGAATGGCATTGAACAAAGCAAAGAAAAAATAGTATTCCTGGATGACCACGATCTTGTATCTCATCATTCTGTGTGTTGAGTATCCGGTATGTATTCCCCTGGACCTAGCATCGGAGTATCTCAGCTGAGATCGAGCTGTAATAGGAAAATTACATCATCCAGCGAGTTCCCATCGCCAAATGGCTTTTTCTAAACGTGATTTTGTGGGGAATCGTCCTTGCTCTACAGGCTGCTACGAAGAATTTCGCAGGTTTGATCACTCTCCGTGCTTTCCTCGGCGTGTTTGAAGCCGCGACTCAACCAACATTTACCCTTTTGTCATCTATCTGGTACACCCGGGAAGAGCAGGCGGGGGCTGTCACTTTTTGGTAAATAGACCTGCAACATGTTTTTGGAGCTGAGCTTTTCTGATATGGGCCTTTAATAGGTTCATGATGAATGGCTTGAATCAAATCCTGGGCGGCCTCCTGGCTTTCTGTTTTTCATTTGTACCCTCCACCGGGCCTGTAAAGTCCTGGCAAGCCTTGTTCATGTCTTACGGTATCTTGACCGTCCTTTGGGGACTTTTTATCGCGTGGTGGATGCCCGACTCGCCCATGAAGGTGCACTGTTTTAGTGAAGAGGACAAAAAACTCATGGTTGAGCGTGTCCGCAAGAACCGGACCGGACTTCAGAACCGCCAATTTCGTAAGGAGCAACTATGTGATGCTTTAACTGACCCTCAATGTGAGTTTTTCTTTACTTCATCTGACTCCCATAATGGTTATTAATTGGGAAAAATTATTCGAATAGTTTATGCAATCATTCTCATCCAACTCACCCTGACTATTCCCTCTGGAGGCCTCGGTGCCTTTAACAATATCATTGTGAAATCCTTCGGCTTCACAACTTGGCAAACCTAACTGCTCCAAATGGTCGCGGGTGCTGTCCAACTTATTGCAATGCTTTCATCTGTGTGGATCTACCGTCGATTCAAACAGACTATTTTTACCATGATGGCTTCAGTTGTCCCAACTATTGCCGGTGTCATTGTACTCTTGACCGTTCCCTTTGCTCCTAGCAAGCGCGTTGGCCTGCTGTTGGCTTATTACATTATAATCGCTTACTGGGGATGCGCAGGCCTAGCCCTGTCACTTGTGACTCGAAATGTCGCCGGTCAAACCAAGAAGAGCGTGGTTATCGCGAGCAATTTCATCTTATTGGGCAGTTGGAAATGCGATAGGGTCACAGACTTATCAGGCCAAAGATGCCCCTCGCTACTTTCCAGCTCTTGCCACTGTATTAGTATGCTTTGTGTTACTGGAAGTCGTGCTGTTTGCTCTCCGCACGTATTATATTGCACAGAACAAGAAGCGTGATTGTATGATTGAGCGCGGAGAGGCTACGGAGGATAGGAATTTTACCCACTCATTCGAAGATATCACAGATCGAGTAAGTTATTTGAATGTTCCATCTTGAGGATTCCGATGCTAACACAATTGCTAACAGCAAAATGTCAATTTTGATCGTGATTGACAACGACTACAAAGACGTATATACCTAGTATGACACAAGGTTGGACATGGAAGACAAAGGCAACCGTCTGGAATATAGTCGATAATTCTTTAATTCGTAACCCACAAATCGAGATGCGTTCAAACAAGAAGGAGAGCGAGAAGGCAACGTAGTCTAGAATAATATGAAATCATCATGCTGCACTATAGCAGGAAGTGACTACCTGACTAATATTGCAATATATGATGCTAGAAAAAAGCCGAGTCCTGCACCACATTAGGCTGTTGGAATTCTAAAAGATAAATCGGATATGATCGCCAGCTTTACGGCTTAGTTAGACGAGGCCGAGCATAACTCCGAGCTCTTTCGCATTTCGAGGTAGGAAGGGCGTACTTAGGTTATGTGCCGACTAGATATTACTGATCCCTGTATTCAGATTGACGATTTCAAAGTGTGAAAACATATAGGCGAGGGTAACATAGATTTCGGTCAGAACAAGACTAAGCAGTTTATCAGATTGAACCAACGAGAGAATAAGTCTCCGCAAGGATGCTGGAGCCATCGCTCGCCTTCTCTACCCAAATCATTTCAGGTGTGTTCCAGCTGGACTCATTGACTGTGAGATATTTGGCACCAAGTCGATCCTTTCATCAACCTTACAGCCCATCACAATTCTGACCCAAGGTAGGCTGGATAGATCTTTTAGGATCAAAAGCATCATGGAATATTGAGGCTCAACATTCTGTCACTTGTTAGGACCTCCTAGGTTTATATAAGCAATGGTACTTAAAAAGATAAACATTCCAACTCACCCATTTGTCACTCCATTTACTTTGATACCATGTATCACATAGATAACTGAGCGCCTTTAAAATATCTGGGACATGTTTGAGTGGGGCCTCTGATCCAAGGAGCGCAATAAGCACAGTGCAATTGGTACCCCTGACTCCTTCGTCTCTAGATTGTAAGTTTTGAAATGCTTTCAACATAGCTACACAGTTGGTTGGGCGGTAAAAAGGCTGAGCGAGTAGATTGATTTTGCAGTGTCATCCGCATCTACAAGCATTCCAGGAGCTACTTACATTTATTAACAATGATGCCCGGTTCAAAACGATGGAAAGGAAATAGAACCTACCAAACCCTGTAATTCCTTTGTTTTCGTCTAGTTGAAGTTGGAGATAATCTGCTAGCTTGAAAACATTTATCTGCTCCAAGAGCCTCTGTCACGGATGGTGTTACGGAAGTGCTGGCTTTGGGACACCAACTCCTTGCCCATACCAGGATATTGTGCCCCCTGGCCGGTAAACACAAAAGCGAAGAGTAAGGGATCAACTGTTCCTTTGGAGGGTGCATCATCCTCCGTCACTGTGTGCTTCCCTAAACGCCGTATAATGCTAGTAGAAAAGTACAATATCGCAGATAATCACGGCATTTAAAGAGAGTATGAGCTATGCTCTGTAGGGTCCCAATGTCACCGGATTGCAAGACTGTATTGGATATTTGTTGAACGAGCAATTTCAGTGAGTTGGTCGACGCTGCTGACATGGGCATCAGGAGAAATTTCTGTTGATCTTCGGTACCGTTCTCCTGGACGCCAATTATAGGGGTAGCATTCGTCTTGAAACCATTTGTATCACCATTCATAGCACCATTTACAGGGACACCATTTGTAGACACGGTGAGCAAATGTTCTGGACCAAGTTAGCTCTCGACAGACTCGAGAATAACGTGTCCGTTTGCACCATCATAGCCGAATGAGTTGATACTGCCACGACGCAGCGCTCGAGGCCATTTTTTGACTTTAGTAGCGCTTTCAAATTGTATTCCTCCGAGCGTACTAACACCAGGTTAGTTCTGATCATACGAGATGGCCTATCTGTCCAGAGCCATGACTTGGAAATGACAGATTAGATTTTGGATTCAGCTTGGCTATCCCATATGAAGGGGGTGTTTGGCCATTCTCAAATGCCTTGGTGACCTTCAAGATGGATGTAAGGTCGCTGGCTGCCTCGCTGTGGCCAACGTTTGTTTTCACCTGAGCAGCACGCAGGATCGGTTAGCATTATTTTTTTCTCCAATAAAGACTGATTGTGAGTAGGAACATAAAGGGTGGGAAGGCAGATCCAATTATTGATCCGATCAGAAGCTGAAGCCCTTCATACCGCGAGAAGAATTTCCCAACAGCATGACCTTTCTATGGGGTCTCCAACGGGGTGCCGGTGCCTATGCGATTCTCACTGTCAGTATTGATTTAACAGGCAACAAACAGATAATTAAACATGTCTTAGGATACAACTCTGCTAAAAGGACGAACAGCGTTAAAAAGACATCACTTACCATGGCACTCAACATAGTCGGTCCCGGAGGCATCTAGGCTGGCATTTTTGTATGCTTTCCTCATGACAATATCTTGCATCTCACCGCTCGGTAAAGAGATTCCAAGCATTCTCCCGCTCCTGCAATCACATTACGGTTAGTCATTTATGTGTGTGGCTGTATCGACAGTGCATATGCTCTTTGTATTTCTGTTTCTTGAAGTATGCAACCAGCTGCTGCTCAACTTACACGTTCACAGCACCTCCGCAAATGACTGCCCTGATGGGGTCGCCAAGCTCGCGGGACATCTGTCACAATCGCCCATCTTCATGGTGTTCAAGGCTTGGTGGAAGTGTCTATTGTGCAGCTACAGATCGGAATTGCTTGTTTGTGAGAGATTTTCTTTTTCCCCTTTTCAGTATGGATGATCAATTCTTGGGGATAATGAAGGGTTCGGTTGCAGCACAGCACCTAGTGAAAACATGGCTTATCCTGTTGGACGTCACAGTCGCACCAGAGCCTGTGGCGGTGTATCTGTGCAAATAGTCTGGATCCCGCGTTTAGCCAGGCGGTAGTCCACCGAGGAATTTTTCATGAAATGTCGATATATCATATTGTAGATCACGGAAATGTACCAGGAATTGAGCTCATTCCCGTGCCGGAGCACATATAAGAAAGCTATTTTGTGGTATGGAAGACAGAAGACCTCAGAGAACTCAATACATACAATCTTGCTAGTCGCTTCTTCTTTGACCGTCGTTGTAAGATACTATTCAGGATTGGCCTGGAGTAAACTCAACAATCCGGCAAATGCCGCCCTTTTGACAACAACAAGAGTCAAAGATTCTATATGTTTTGCATACATAATTTGATACGTTGAGATATACCGCTAAAGGTTGTTACGTACAATCCAACAGTACCATCACCTACCATATACCGAATCATCACCTACTGCAGGTTTTGCCTATGGTATTCTCAAAAGCCGTGCATAAGCGTTATATCGGGCCGGACTATCGCGTTGGTGCAGAAAAAGCTGTCGCGGCCATCCTCGGTACCGTGGACGAAAAGGGGGAGTTGCGAAATACAAGCTTTGGAACGCCCTTGGGAATGATCTTGAATTCTCTAAATTCCTCTCACGTCAATGCCGTACGGACAAGTTATGGCCATTATGGCTCTTGGGGAATGTCTACGGACATACATCTGAAAACGGCCTATCGGTGGCAAAGACTGTTTTATCTCGTTTATGATCGCCCTTTTCCACTCCTCTAAGATAGCATATACTCGCAGAATTTTCAATTGAAAGGATTTAATCAGTATCATCCTCCTATATTTACCTAGGTAGGTAATCTTTGTAAGAAACAAAAGAAGACAGCCATTACGGAGTATATCATGTCAACCTGATCGTTCTCCAACAGAAGCATAACAGACATAAACCGTTCTCAATGTCATGCTTTGTATGAGATTTTTAACACCCAGCAATACTTTTCCCCTTCCCATGCAGTCTCTGGTATATGAAATCTGAAGCCACTTCCAGGTGCCGAAGACGAGCCTCCTTTCTGATTATGTTTTCGTAAGTTTTCCCAAGTGATATGTGGCTCTGATTTGTTTTCTCCTACGACGGAGACGACGTCCCCATTTAACAAGGGTAATGGAGCGTCGATATAGATATCCGGGCATGTTGGCTTTGTCAAAAACAGAATGTAAAAAGCATCATTCGTTTGAGTGAACCTGATCCCCTGGTCTGCGATCTTGGACATCACGAACCAGTAGGTGGTATTGAATATAGCCTCAGCATGGCTATGAATCCACTCCCCTGCCATTCGCAAGTTATTTGCTTCAGCCTCGACAATACTTCCGTCTGCACGGGGTCCAATATCCAGCAAGAAATTTCCATTTTTGCTAACCATGTCCACTAAATCTTGCACAATAGTGGTTGCATTCATATAAGAAGAGTTGGGGGTTGCACGATTGTATCCATAACTGTAAGGATCCATACCCTCATTGGACTCCCACTTTCGTCGCTGCGCGGAAGAAAAGGTCATGTACTCTGGAGTATCGAAATCAGCGGCTTCAGCTAATCCGCAGCGTGAGTTGATGGTGACCTGTCTATTCTGTGCACGGGCATGATTCCACCACGCCGCTGCAAAGGGAGCTGTTCCGTTGGCGGCGCCGCAGTCGCACCACAGGATGTCAGTCGAGTAGTTGTAGGCTAGTATCTCCATCTGAGGTACCATCAAGTCGGTGATAAAATCGTTGATTGGCAGTCGCCCTGTGTATGGTTCGTCGCGACCTGTGTATGGATTTCGTGCGATGATCCCTGGCCAGCTCGTGGATGTATTCCCAGGTAGTTGAGCGAACCCATACGGACCAAAGTCCGGGTTGAACCACTCCGGAAGAGAAAAATAAGTTCCTCGCCTAAGATCTGGTTGGTATGCCTCCGCAGCACTGAAAAGCTCTTGCACAATGTCGCGATGGGGACCGTAAAGCAATGAGTTGCGGTCTGTAGTACTTGAAGTGTTGAATAAGGCAAATCCGTCGTGGTGCTTGGTGGTAAGTACAAAGTACTTTGCGCCTGACGCGTAGATCAGGTCAACCCAGGCCTTAGGATCCCAGTTCGAAGCAGTGAAGTTGGCGAAAGAATCGTCGTAATTCCAGTCAGGGCCGAAAGTGCGCAATCTATAATTGTAAAAGTCCGACTTGTCGGCCTCTCTATGTGTGGTATACCACCTGCTTACTGTCAGTCCTTATGTGCCTTGCGTACTCTACTTAATCCGTAAGGGAGGCTAACCAAAACCACTCGGCATAACTCTCATAAGGAGTCGAATTCCCCCACCCAGGTACCGAATACGGGCCCCAGTGAATAAATAAACCGAATTTAGCGTCGTCATACCATTGAGGACTTTCATGCCGGGCAAGGTTGGACAGGTCTGAGGTCCACTTTGTTAAGCCGATAGAGACATTGGTAAATTCTTGTTGCACTGAGAACCGGCTGTGACTGAGCAGAATATCCACCTTGCCGTTTCCTGTACCATTCACGCCGACATCCACGCGCTTTTGGTCGCCTGGGCAAAGTCTCCTTATATTTCCTGGCTCCAGAGTCTGGACACCAGGCATTGAAATGGAGATGTTCAAGCCGTCTCCAGAAATGCAATCGAGGCCTGAATTATTTATAGTGACTTCAACTACCTGATTACCCTCCGCTGTCCACTTTTGGGTTGGCCGTACATTTTGAACTTGCGCCGACGCGGACGCCGCATTCCATAAGGACACGGCAAAGATGTGCAGTCTACCTGTTGTGGCATTGTTTGTGTTTGGCAGCGTGATTGAGCTGAGAGTTTTGCTTGGATCTAAAGCCGCAGTATATTCAAAGATATGCGTCGTATTGAAATTCTTGCCATTTGCAGTATATCGGAATGGGAAGATAATCTCACCGCGATTGATGGTCAAAAATGCGAACCAGGGTAAGCTACGCAATTCCGATACCATTGTTGAATTATCAGAATAAGTATAGGTCACATTTCCGGAGACGGTGGACAGTTCCACATCTGACGAGACCAGTATTGATGCAGAGAAGTATCGGGAGTTGGGGACCGTGATGATTTGACCCTCGCAAATAACGTTGTCTGGAACACCAGCAGGACGGACACTGGGAAACTCATAGGTGATTCCTGTCACTTTTGACGTATATGATCCCTTGATACCAATAATGCTGGGGTCTGGATATGATTCATTCAATGTATCAAATGCAGCAAACCCAGGATGAGATCCAAACGCCTTGTTATTGAAATATGGTGCCAGAGAAATGGATGTCAACTACAGTGGCTTGTCAGCAAATCGATCCATAGATATCAATAGAGCTTTATGTGTTGCCCTGACCTGGCTGGATAGCGTCTGTTGAACATTTTGATCAGCCTGGGCTACTGTTAGCAAGGTCAGTCCGAGGACTGAAAAGGCTGCACTATCTAGTTTCATTTTGCAAAGTATCGCAATATATTACAAGGATATCGGATCATGCAGACCTGTGAACTTTTGCATCGTTAAAGATGGTTTCATTTCCAATCGAACATGATACCTTCCAAGGTTATTTCTTGCCTTCTGCTGTACACATCATATCTATATTATCCCCACCTAGAATGGCACAGTGACATTGTCGAAATCGGGAAGTGTACGTAAAAGCTTTGAGCGGTTAAAGCCGTTGCTTCTTATCATGATTTGTGGGGAATTCGAAACAACTTGGTGTGATAAGCTTAAATGGCCCTGTTTTCTGCGGAGTTTCAGCCGAGTATGCCGGTATCTAAGTTCATTTTGTTCATATCAAGAGAAGATCTGCACCGCCAACGATTCTCGTGGCAGCGGGTCTACTTCTCAGCATCTGCCTATGATACCGGCAGTAAGATTTGAGAGCTCTCACGGTTACATTCTTCAGGATCGCGAGGCTATCAGAGCGACGTAACGTAACTGATAGATACATATAGTGCGGGGGGAGATGAGCGTGATTGCCAGACCTAAATTACCGGTGGGAATTGTAGAAATGCGATTGATAAGAACTGGATCTTTCTCCCGGATATCTAAATTACTTAGTTTGACTTTGAGGTATCGAGTCAGGAATTTCAATGTGGGCAAGACAGTACTTCGGTGCGTTGGCATTGCTGGCCTCTATGCCACTTGTGTTGTCATTTAACAACCCGCCTGGTGTGGACATTTGGTGTGGGAAAGCATATAGAGCAAGGTAAGACGGTTCCAAATCTCATTCTAGGAAGGAAAAGGGAAAAATGGTTATATATTAACTTTCTCCATTTGTCGTAAAGCAACGCTTCATTCAAACCCGGTGGATGGTTTGAGGGACCACCCCGATCATCAACACCACTTTTAAATCTTAAAGTCAGACCTCGGATGAACATCTATCTTGAGAGTGATGTTGATGGGAGCCTTCTCGTCGATGCTACCGTTTCTTATCTCACGGGGGAACCTTTGGCAGGCACAGCTGACTTTATTTCCGGTCGAGGAAAATCCAATGTGACCCTTGACATCACGTCTGATGGAATCTCAATTGTCTCGAAGCAATACTCCGTTACGTTAGATTCCCATGATAATGAGATACCCATCAACTTTACCAAATTCTCTCCGCGCTTGACGCCATACAATATTACTGTAGTGGCAACCGTGTCTCACGGGAACACCGAATCAAAAATGAAAGCGAATACAGAATTGTATAGACTGCCTCAGCGAACAGATGGCGGAAGTGCTACTCGTCTTGATCATCTTTATGGCGGTCTCGCCGTAATGAAGGGAAAGGACACCGAATGGACACCTATCTTCCCTTACACGTATTACGGTGAGCATACTGAACATACCTGCTCGTGCTTTAATCAACAATGAGAAAAAGTTCTGAACTGATATATCGTCTCAGTGCAATGGTCCCTCTACTGGGACGCCAACATATCAACACTCGATGAATTTGCGTCGAGAGGGTATAATGTGATTCATATTGTTCCAACAGGTGCTTTGGGTAATTCCCCTTTTCCTTGGGATGAATTCGAGCCTTATCTTCAGCGAGCAGACGAACTAGGTTTATATTTCCAGTACGACGTGCGCTGGGACTATACCAACTTGACTACAATGATTGACCAGGTGACCCACCTAAGATCACATCCATCAATTCTGTTATGGTATACAGGCGACGAACCTGATGGGAAAAGTAACCCCATCAACTCCACCGCAATCGCGTACGAGACCATCAGACAACTAGATCTTTACCATCCAGTGTCATTAGCTCTAAATTGCTACAATTTTTACTACGAGGATTACGCATCTGGTGCTGATATCATTCTCTCTGACGTCTACCCTATCTCCACCAACACCAGCTGGTCTACTGTATACGACACTCCGTGTAATACAACGTATGGATGCTGTGGTTGCGACGACTGTCATGGAAGCTTCGAGGACATTTCTGACCGCTTGGACAATTTTGCCTACTTTGATGAGATTATCGGCTGGTCTAAGACTCACTGGGGAGCTCCGCAAGCATTTGGCAATGAAACATTTTGGACTCGATATCCTACAGCTGACGAAGAAGTGACCATGACAATGCTAAGTATCAATCACGCCGCGAAAGGGATTGTGATGTGGGATTTCCCGACGTCGGCGGAGATCCTCAATGTCACTGATTCGTTGGCTTCGGTGTTGACGAGTGAGGAAATGACGGGCTTCTTAGTCGGGGCTCCAATCAATCAACAACTTGATGTGTATGGGGGTAATAGAATCGATGTTGCTGCATGGGCCAAGGGTGATCAGTTGTTAATGAGTATATTAAACTTGAATTATGTGGATCTTGCTGGGGAAGTGATTATCCGCCTACCAAAGGGAGTCTCGCCTTGGTCTGCAGTTAGCACGCTTTGGGGGGTTCCGGAGTGGAAAGTTAAGGACGGTGCTCTGACAACCAATGGCCTAGGTGGACTCGCTGTATCCATCCTTGTGATAGATCTCCAGTAGAAAAAGCTGTCAATAATCCATCTGTCGATTTTCAATTTTTTATGCTATTTGTAATACTTCGGATCAGCTTCTTCTTTGCAGGTTTTGCTGCAACAGTTAGAGAAAATTTGATGCAAGGCAAATACCTCAGTGTCTAAACAGTAATTTTCAAAGATCGTTCATGATATAAACGATGTGAAAAGAGGATATAAAGTACTTCCTAGTCTGGAAGTTTTTCAAAGCAGCCGAATCGGGAATAGTCGATATCAAACAGTTTTGATTGGTCAAATTAAAGAAGGCCTATATGATTGGCTATTGTTAGGGCAAGCCCCACTATCTTTTTTGTTGACCTTCATTCTTGACTGTCTCTCCATCATGAGTATTTCATCAACGACAGGACTCATTTATCATCGGCTGTATTATGCTCATTTTGACTGCAACGATGAAATTATAGCCATCTGAGCCCCGGGGAATTGGAGTATATCGGAATACTGTTCTGATATCAGCAAGCTTATTTCCCACGGATATAACATCTAGATTCGCATAGAAAGATGTCAGCACATAGTTCACCTGGCAGGCAGCATACTGCATTTATGCAATGGGCCATTGATGAGGGTGTCAAAGTAAACGGGGTAGAGCCCGCCAGAATTACTGGGAGGGGTTTGGGGATGATAGCGACTCGGGACATACAAGTAAGGTTTTTCTCCTGGTTTCCTATTCCCTTTCGTGGCACTTACATAAGAATAGGAACATGAAATGTTGATTGACGTGCCATTATCAGCTATGTTGAGTGTTGATAGCGTACCGTCTGATTTTGTCAACCTGTTTAGTGGGATATCCATACAAGGGCTTCTCGCAGCATATCTCACACATGGTGATCCGCGTTGCTTGAAGAAATACGATTTGTGGAAAGCTACGTGGCCAACATACTCTGATTTTGAAGAGGGAATGCCTATTCTCTGGCCAAAAGAACTGGGAGGTTCAGGGTTGAAACATCCAATTTCTCCTACGGCAACTACTCATCACCCTCCTGATGGCAAGCTACCACCATCAATATCAGGGTCATGGACCACAATACGCAAAAAGGCACTTGTGGAAGAATATGAGACAAAACATCAGAACATTCTCTTTCAACAAGAAAAGCGATTACAGGATGCATGGCGAGATGTTCTTGCTGTCTTTCCAGATACGGACTGGGAGACGTTCTCATATCATTGGCTAGTTCTTAATACGAGGTGTTTTTATTATGTGATGCCCGGAACAGAACCACCGGAGGATACAAACGATGCTATTGCCATGGTACCGTTTGCTGATTATTTCAATCACACTGATGAAACGGTAGGTTTCGTCCATTGTAATATCCCAATTTGCATACTGACAATTGGCCAAAAGGAATGCGATGTGAAATTTGATGGGAAGAATTATACATTCCGAGCTATGAGAGCTTACAGTGAGTCTCAATGTGGCGTATACAATTGCGCTCTATTGTTTACTGAAATCATCTAGAAAAGGGGGAGGAGATATACATGAGTTACGGCCCACATCCAAATGACTTTCTCTTCGTTGAATGTGCGTGTAACATCTTTTTCTGAGACAACAATTGCTGATAAAACCGTATAATTAAGATGGATTCTACCTCGATCATAACAAATCTGATTCGTTATTCCTGGACGATATCATTTTTAAAGACTTCACAGTTGCCGAAAAGGAGGAATTGATTCATCATAGATATTATGGGTAAGGCTTTCCTCAACTCCGGTTAACGCGCTTGTGTATCACTGATGAAAGCTTCGTACAAAGAAACTATCAAATCACACTCGAATCTGGCCCCTGTTTCCGCACCGAAGTCGCAGCAAGTATGAAATGCATGTCTCGACGAAGTTGGAGGAACTACATCCAGGGCCATGGCATTCCACCAAATTCTGCAAAAGTCAATGCAATAATTAGAGATTGGATTGATATTTATCTCAAAGAGGCCAATGTGACACTGGAGAAAATGGAAGAGATATTCTTAAAGGAGAAAGATGCCTCGAAACAGTCAAAGATTAAGGTGTTGATAGGAAGGTGGGAGCAGATAAAACAGCTATGTGAGGGAGTGAGCTCGAAGACCGATTGATAATACAATTCAAAGACTACACCGGGGATGTAAATATACATGGGGATAACCGAAATGAAGAGAATAATTCATAATCATCGTCATAGATCCTCTTCGCCCTCCATCTCTTCGGCTTCCAAAGGACTAAGCGGCACCGCACCGGCGTCTCGAAGCCGGAGAATATGATTCTTGCCAAGCACCAACTGCATAATCATATAATTCAGAGCACACCTGATGCCCAACTCATCTCCTCGACGAACAATGTATCCATTAATGTATTCGATTTCTGTTCTTTTCATGACCTGCACATCCTGAAGCATGGAGCTCGTATTTGCAGCTGTCGCATTGGCCAGTCTGACTGCTAACGTCTTTAGACGTTCAGGAGAGAACCGTGCCTTGACACCGGGGACACCGTCTAATTCTGGTAATGCGCAGATGACAGTTGAAATTTCGGCTAGTAAGAGTCGCATTGAGCGAGTTATGTGGTAATTGTAGAGGAGTTCACCATTTTTCGCATCCAACAGTACTGTAAATGGGTTTATGACACAGTTCATGGCTAACTTTTCAAGTTGGTATTGGAGAACGCCGATGGGGCTTTCGGCGACGGCCACTAATGGCGCTGTCAAGGTCAAAGTGCGCAAAAGGTATTTTATGGATGGAGCCCAGTCCTTTGTTTGAATATTTGCGTCGGTCGACGACGGCAACGGGCCCATGATAGTGGTTCCGACACCGGTGTACTCAATGTGAAATGGTCGTAGATTTTTGACACCATGTGAAATGACGCCTTGCAGGTAGTGAGGGCGGATACTCGGATCGGGGAATACAGCTTCATTCACCTCGTCGATGATACCCATACCATTCTGAAGGAAAAGTATAGTCGAGTCTGGAGTTAATCGGTGACTGACGGAGGATACTGCCTGGACAGCATGTGTTGCCTTGGTGGTCACTATCAAACACTCGATTTTCTCGTCATCTGTATATGATGTATCAAGTTCTTCTCTCTCGGAGGATGGAGCATCGTTCAAGTCCTGCTCAAGTCGTAGAGGATACTCTTCCTCCTCGTCGCTGGTCTCCGTCGTTGCACGTTCTTTCCAGTAAGGTATAGAATGCCAAGTTTTATTATCCAAGACATTCACATCGAACCCCGTCTTATTATCGTCCAATCCATTCGTCTTCATGCGTATTGTTTGCTTTCGCTGCAGCCACAAGTCATACATATTCCGATTATGTAGGAGCAATGTTAACGGTGGGCGGGTCTTCCGCGATGCTAACGAATGTGCAACAAAACATCCAATATTCCCTAATCCTAGAATATGTATACGACCGGACAAGCTGCCGTTATCCTCATTCTCCGCTTCATTTTCGGAAACGTCCAACGGTTGCTGCCTTGTTGCGTAAGTTCGAGGTGCAGAGCAGCGGCCCCAAGGCAATATGAAGGACTGACATCTTGCAAATCCATTTGTACTGATTATACCAATCCGCATCAGCGGATGGTTAACGATTCGAGCATGCACTTTGGCGGATTTTGAGGTGATCCGTCAATGGGTAAAGCAATTGCGACGAATTGTCGTAAGGGGCATTTATAGGCGATGACAGAACGGCTCAGCTCTTCATGTTGGAGCTGATAGAACAGAAATCTGAGGTTTATAACACTTCAGATCGAATATAAAAATGATCGGGCTGGACAAGGTGACTTCTTGAGCTTCAGGTGTCACAATAATCGGATGCTTGCCGATAGACCGCCTTGCCTCACCGCCTTCACATGCCACGGAAAAAGATATCGAGAGATTTCGTAATTTTATCTCTTTCGCTTGATACAACATTGGGGTTATTCAGCATAGCAAGATGGAGGTCGCAAATTTATTGCCGGTAGTTGATCGCCTCGAGGATAATATTGATGACCTAGAGGAGACGCTTGAACCCCTTCTTGCGCGGTCGTTGGACGAGACCTCCAAGAAGCTGCCGCTATTGGAAAGAGCCAAGCTCCATACTTTGCTCACATATACACTGGAGTCACTGATATTTTGTATGCTTTGCAAGCCATTTGCTCATGAATGTCTGCTAACCAAAATAGCTTATTTGAAACTCCACGGCACTGAAGCCCAAGAACACCCCGTCTACAAAGAATTAACCCGAGTGAAACAGTACTTTGACAAAATAAAAGCGTTGGAAAATCCACCGGAGGAAGAGGCAAAGCCAACCATGAAGTTGGATCAACAAGCCGCTCGTCGCTTTATATCTCATGGTCTTGTATGTTCTCCAAGTATTTTCTAATTTTACGTCTACTGACTGAATTAGGCTGGAAATGACCAATACGACATCGAGCGAGCAGAAAAATTAGCAAAAGAAAAAGCACGAGCACAACTCAAAGCAGCCCTGCTAGCCAAAAGAGCTAAAGAAGAATCAGTAGCCTCTACTCCTGTTCAAGAAGCAAACAAACCTCCTACCTCTGCCGAAAGCTCAGAATCAGAAGCAGAATCATCGTCAGAGTCAGAAGAAGAATCCGAAGACGAATCTTCGACAGATAATGTCGATAACAAGGTGTCAGCCACACCGGAGGAGTTTATAAAGCTCCCATCAGACCCAATGGAAGAGCCAAAGAATTCTAAGAAGAAAACCGCAAAGGCAAAAGCGAAGAAGAGGAAGGAAGATGCCATGAAAGCTAAAAAGGCCGAGCGACAGGCAAAGAGAGAGGCAAAGGGTATTCCAGAGCCAAATTCCAAACAATCACGAAGTGCTAGGCGGAAAGAAAGACGGCGTAAGAAGGAGGCCAAGAGAAAGGACCAGACCAAGGATAAGAAGAAGTAATAGGCGATGCGATGATACTTATTTCAGTAGACTTCTAGCATATGCATTCGGCTGGGTATAGACTGAATGGCAGGCGTTGGGGTTTTTGGTTGCAGTGTACATATAGTATATGACATAGGCTCTGGCATACGCTTTTATATGATTATTATAAAACATCATCAATATAAGTCAATCATGTAGTGTAAGTTGTAATGATGCTAAACCCGCGGCTATCCTAACCCCGACAAACTCTGAGCCAATCAGACGAGAGAGAGCCGACACCCGGCCGGCCGATTTTGCCTCACAACTCCGACCTTCGAACTTCTTCTACAAAAACATTCTCCAAACACATACATAACCACCTCTCTCTTGAATCCCTTCCATATCTTACCTTTCCATCAATACTACATAAAATCTTAAGCAAAATGCCTCGTCAAAGCCGTGGTCGTGGTCCTGCCGCCCCTGCGCGCAGCGCCCCAACTCGTCCTACCGCAGCTCCTGCCAGACCAGCTGCTCCTCAACAACACCAGAGCCAGCCTCACTCAACTGCTGCTCATCCTCCTGCTCCTCAGCAGGCTCCTCCCATGCCCGTTCAGAGCCAGGGACCCGGTCTCTTCGGTCAAATGGCTTCTACAGCCGCGTAAGTCATCAACCATCAAATCTCCGATTGAGAATCTTTCTTCAGTCAAAAACCAGGATTAACATTTTTCTATGTAGTGGTGTCGCAATCGGTTCATCCATCGGCCATGCTATCGGCGGCCTCTTCTCAGGCGGCTCCAGCGCTGCCCCCGCTGAACAAGCTGCACCCGCCGCACCAGCTCAACCCATGGACAACGGCCTCTACTCTAGTGCCAACAATACCTCCTCATGGGAGAACCCGGCTTGCGCCACTGATGCACAAAACTTCCGGAAATGCATGGATGATAACAAGGGTGATTTGACGATTTGTGGATGGTATTTGGATCAGTTGAAGGCTTGCCAGGCTGCTGCTAAGCCTTACTAGTCTGTTTATCGACTTGGTTGTTTTTTTTCTGTTACGTGGATATTTATATGGATTATGGCATAGCATGGAAACAATATCGTCTCTAGACTCACAGTGAGTTTGTCTATGAGCAGATTTGAGTTGCTACTTTATTTTGTATACTAGTAGTCATATACGGCCTGATGATGGCCAGTTCAGGCCTCTTCTATTGACACGAGAGAAGACTAAAGTGAATAAAAAGAAAATACTCCACTCAGATTCGCTGCGTCTCTAGTAGGGGAGTACATACGCTATCCATTCCTATTCATGGGCGCTTCAGACTACATGGTTCCCTGATAGAACATGGCATATATTCTCGTGGTGGCCGTTGGCGCTTATTTCGCTGCGAGCTGCCATCAAATCATTGTCCTATGCTATATATAATCACTTGTCTTTCAAATCATCACCTCTCCTCGGTTCAAAGTTCAACTGGCGAGCGAGATTACATTAGTAAAAGTAGACGTTGGTAGCTGGATGTGAATGAAAGCTTACAGTATTGCCATTATAAAACTCCCTCTCATCCCTATCATTCCTTTGGTCATGTATTGTTCGGATATTAATGCCCTGACCGCTTCTTGTCCTTGTATTCGATGCTGTCGTCGGAGCTGCGTTCTGCTGATCATTCGAATGTGATGTGGCAGTTGCTTGATTAGAAGTGCCGCCGTATCCAAACAGTCCCCCAACCATACCAGCCACACCACCTACTACTCCAGAGATGAGTCCATACCCAGACGATACAACTTTACCTGGGATGCTGTTCACTATTCCGGACGGAGCATAGGCTTCAATATACGAAGGGACAGGAACCATGACCAGACTGGCCGTCGGTCCCAAATCCAATTCTTCTAATGTCCGTTCTTCTTCTGCAACAGAGATGGTGCGATTCGGAAGAGGTGTCAAAATATGCTTGAGATTATACGGCGCCGAACCATCTGATCGCTGACTCTCTAACCAGGGACGGACATCTTTCCGGATCGTCGCTGAAGGTGGGAAACTATTGCGAACGGAACTTCCGTCAAAGAGGCGTATTTGAAGGCGGTATTGTGATGATTGTTTATTTGTCTTACAAGTTCCTGATGGGGTAGATGTGGTGGGAATGGAGCTGTGTTGTTCTTCGGCTGCACGCTGTCTTCGTGCTTCTTGGTCTTTCTTGATTTGTTCTCGGATTCGTTCTCTTTCTTCTCGTTGTTCTCTCTGTTCTCGTTGAATCTTGGTTTGTAGTGCATGACGCTCTTCCTTTTCTTGCGTGGCTTTCTTTTCTTCGGGAGTCTCGTGGGTTTCGGGTCGTTTACCGGCACGTATGCTTTCCCTTAGTCGTTCTGCTGTTCCTTGGACTGGTTGCTGCGGTTGTATTTGTGTCTGCAGTTGAGGAGCTGCGGGTACAATAGGTGCTTGCGGCTGCAAATTCGTTGTAGCGTTCTGTAATGGTGGCTGTAATTCTGTGGTATGTGTACTACCTGAAGTAATAACAGCCGGGTTCGGTTCAGACTCTCGAGCAATCGGATGCGAAGATGCAGCAATAGCCGTTTTCAATCTCGTCTGAAAAGCATCCTTAGAAGTCCCCGCAACAAGGTATTCCTGCAGCATCCCATTCCTTATCACTATAACTGCCGGGAAAGTCTGGATAGGGCATATCGAAGTGAGGAATCCAGCTTCTTGGGTACCAGCTATGAGACGTAGAGTGACCGAGCTATCTGAGACTAATCCACGTAGCTAACGTTCAACGATAAGCTAATGATCTAGGCTATCACAATTCAGAAATGCATTACCTCATCATTATCAAAATATTCATTCTCCCAAGTCGTGCTTTCTTCATGATCATCTAGAGAGTCATCCTGTCAGTATGGAGCTTAGAGGACAAACTTGAAGTTAATCACATGACATACCACGGACGAAACAAACGACAGGCTTCGCTTCGCGCATAGCAGTGGCAATGCCACTCTGTAAATCGCCTTGATAAAACATCGTCGACTACCACATTATTTATTTGCAGCTTTGTGGCTTGTCTCGTGCGAGTGAATGGTTGTATTGATAATAAGAAAGTGGACGTACGGAGTAGTTGCATGTGATGATGTCGGGTGTGGAGTAGCGAAGTTAAGCAATCTGTCCTGACATAATCCGGGGTTGAGCATTGACACCTGAGGCAACACCATAACATCACAGGCCATTGATGCCAGTGCAGCTTACCAGACGTCTATAGATGATGCTTTCAGATTGAGTATGTTTGGTTCTTTTTGCTCGTAGTGATTGCTGCAATGATTCAATGTATTCGTCCAAAGACATTATGATTGGTCATAGAGCTTCTGACCACGCTAAGCTATTTACGAACACAGGACTGCAATTTGTGTCTACGAATAGCTTGGATATGGATTGTAGATATGTTCCCTGTAGTAACATTAAGCCTATACATTAATCCATTAAATTATTAGCAGATATACTGAGTGACCAGTTCAACTGGTGAAATTGCGATTTGATCACGTGTATATTTAAGCGGCGACCAGCGGAAGACACCCTCGCCGCATTTCTCCATTCCAGAACAACATCTGAGTTCTCCGATCTATTTAAGTCACCAGTCTCAGTCACAATTGAGACCGACTTGAAAATGAGGCCCTTATTTAGTAGCCTATCAAGGGCTACAGCTTATTCGAGCAAATCGTTACAAAGAGGGGCACAACAGCAATCGCAAAATTCATCAATATTCGACTCCGTATGTCTACGTTGCCGACGTCAACAGCTACAATTCCTACAATTTCGGCAGCGCCAGCAGCGACATTTTAATACAGGAAACGGCAGACATCTGTATCAACAACCCGCCGATGATCCCCAATGGGTATCTCCCATTGACCGACCCTCGCAGATTGTGCGAGTTGGTCGTCGACATGGTCCAGGATTGATTCTTTTAGGTATTTCCCCGCTACCTCCCCCTCTCTGTAATTAGAAAACTAATCCTCTTTGTTGTAATAGCACTCATCCCCATAACAGCCTTCGTCCTCGGAACCTGGCAAGTCCAAAGACTTGACTGGAAAACCAAACTAATCGCAAAATTCGAAGATCGACTCGTCAAACCACCCCTCCCGTTACCACCACGCATCGATCCCGACGTAATCCCCGAATTTGATTACAGACGTATCGTGGCCACAGGCGAATTCCGACATGATCAAGAAATGCTCATCGGGCCCCGAATGCACGAAGGTGAAGAAGGGTACATCGTTATCACACCCTTACAACGTACCAACACCGAAGAATCCACCAAACCCGGAAATGAGACCCAAAATACAGTTCTAATCAACCGAGGATGGATATCGAAAAAACTCAAAGATCAGAAAGATCGACCTCAGGGTCTACCGCAGGGTGAAGTCGTGGTTGAAGGGTTATTACGAGAACCAGTGAAAAAGAATTATTTCACGCCAGATAATCGACCGGATAAAGGGGAGTTTTATTTTCCGGATGTTGAGCAAATGGCGGAGTTGACGGGGAGTCAGCCTGTGTTGATTGAGGAGACTATGGGTGAGTTTCCACTGCCTTTTGAGGGTCTAGAGAAGTTGACTGATGTTGGTGGTAGTACCGGATTTGATTGAATCGTTTGATCGGACGGCAAAGGGTATACCGATTGGGCGTCCGGCGCAGGTGAATTTGAGGAATAATCATCTTCAGTATATATTCACATGGTAGGCTGTTTTACTGGCAATTCTGGCAATGACACTATCTAATGAATTATAGGTACGGTCTGTCCTTATCAACGGCGATCATGCTTTGGATGGTTGTTCGCAAACGTCCGAATGAAGCACTGCGTCGAGTTCGCCAAAGTAGAAATATGTAGATCATCTCTGCCCAGGTGGCGTTTGTATGATATTTATGTATAATACATTTGTTTCTCAGTGGACTTCTCCTATGTCGATAAACCTCTGTAGGGCGGGTCTTGGTCTGCATGTCCCGTCGCATATGAGATGCGCTATACACCCTGTCGAATTCGTCGCAGCATGTACAGTTCACTTGCACTGTGCATTATTAATGGTCAAGGGTCGTTTAGATAGTCTAAGGTTCGGAGTGTATTCGAAGTGAAACTGGTTGATTGTGGATGTACACTGAAGATCTTGGATACTGGTCGTCTGAATTCAAATGCTCAAGGAGGCAATGACAGCCGAATATCCTGCAAAAGTTCCTTCGGTAAATGTCTCTGCGCCAGCGAAAATATTGTATTCGTACTGTTAACAAGTCGTTGTCTACATACCAAAGTGTTAGCAAGCATCATGCAGGAAGAACAGTAGAGGACATACCGGCGCATCAAAGCCACTACATCACTCTCATCAATAGTCTTACGACCTGCATGTTTTGAATACGCTGCAAGATCTTCACTGGCCTGCTCAAAGAACCACTCCGAGGCTTGTTCAATTGCAGCGAGTGTCTCCTTGTTGATTTTGGCTTTTGTGCCTGCTCCAGTACGCGCGAAACGGGCTGCTAATCTCTTCACAACACCAGTAGGTAATAATGGTACAGGGATACCGTGTCGTGATAGCTTCTTCTGCTTCCGGGTTCTCATTGACGGTTCATCTCGAAGTCCACCGCCGACAACTCCTGCACCAGCTCCAGTGGTGCCTGTGGTGCCAGCATCGGATACTTGATCTGGAATGTTGACTTCAAATCCGGTGAAACCATCTGCTGCGGCATCATCATCATCTGACGATGGATACGGGATCTCTGCTTGATCAGTTTGAAGCATAAAATCATCTTCATCATTTGGTAGAGGATCATCGAGTTCTGCTGCAGGAGCAGCAGGGCTGGGGAAATTAAACTCCAAGTTGAATCGACCCAAGTCCGCAGTTTCACCACTGTTTACACGTTAGCTTATCTAGGAAATACGTCTCGGGTTGAACGACTTACCCCGCATCAAATGCTCCTTCGTCCAGCTGCGATTGCTCAATATCGTCATCGTCATTCTGCGCAAGCGTCGTAATATCACCAGCTTCGGAAAACGCGTCCAATCGAGTAAGATCGCCAAAATTCTCGCTCATTCGGACATCTCCAAAGCTCATTCTCTCCAGTCGCTGGCGATCCTTGTCACTAATTGCCCTTCGTGGGTATTCCACGGAACGTTGTGTGATGTCGTCTTCAACAAATTGTAAGGATAGTCGTGGCGGAGGCATATCAGGACTGCCATCGCTACTTGATCCGCTATCAGCTCGGAGTGGGAGTGAAAGGCGTGGACGTTCTGGTAATGGTTCCTGGTCAAGATAGATTGTTTCATCTTCTATCTCTGACGAACTTTCCGGTGTTGGACTTCGCTCATCCTGGGGAGATGATTGAATTGGCTTGGAAATCGGAGCAAGTGCTATAGACGTGACAGTCAGTAACATATCCTCCTTAAGAGGTAGGTGAAGTATAGAGCTTACTTCTACCAAGATTTCGCAAAATATCAAAAGCTGTTTCTCGTTGAGGGCCGCGTGTACTTCTTCTCCGATCCCGGCCAGGAGTATTCGCGGTGCGGCGCTGAATCGCACGAAGGGCAAAAGGTGTCAATGGCGCGCCGCGAGGTGTTCGCCGGCTTGCTGAACGGAGGAGGGCAGAAGGTGTCAGCGTCGTATACCGAGGCGTCGTAGGTTGTGCATCTAACGTCGTCGGTATCTAGAAATATATAACTTAGTCGCATGATTTATTGAATATGTTCTTGGGCTCTGACTTACCGTTTGGGTCATGGAATCATCGTTGATGTTTGTTGATGCCCGCTTTGGACGACCGCGGGGTCTTGGAGTCGACATGAGGAACAAAGTGACCTCTGTTTATCAAACTTCTTTCAATTGACCGAGTCAATCAGGCACAGATGACACTCTTATTTCCCCTAATGAAAGATGAAATAGATGTAGGACGGCTGCTCAAAGTTCAACGCGCGTTAAAAGTCGAGTAGAGCTTCCGTCGTCCGATGTATGCGCTTATCTTAAAACGGCTAGTCTTAAGTATCGATAAGATAGGTGACTAAGCATGCGACAAAATAAAATTTCCTGAGCTTTGCTTTGCTTCAGAACAACACATATAACGGTTTTAGTCTGAATTCCAGGTCCAATATATCAGCAGCATGGCAGATACTCAATCCTCAAAAGGTCCCTCGTCGACAAAAGGTCAAGACAAAAAGCGAAAGCGAGAAGACGGCCACAGAACAGCTCAGAATAGCAAGATGCAGAAAAGATGGAGCAAGGACAAGAAGTTCAACAAGAACAACAACAAAGAAAAAGACAAGAAGGGAAATGGCAATAAAGATGACAATAAACAATTAAATCAAACAGCTCAACAACCGGAGCGAGAAGAGGCCATTGACGAGTCAATCAGCAAGATGAATGAGCAGATCCTGGCAGATCATTTCATGCAAAAGGCCAAGGCACACAACAAGGATTTGACAGCAGTGGAACTTAATGATATGAGCGTGCCAGGTTTGCGTCCCTCAGAAATTTCAAAGATTTTATGGGATTTTAGCTAATCAGAATAGTGCATGCATTCCAAGATACATCCTCATTTGAACAAGAGCGCAAATTGACTCAATTGCCGGACTTTCTAAAAACATACAGTCCCGAGAAAGGCGCCAGATTAGGATCCGCATCAGAAGAAAAAGGAAGCCCTCATACACTTGTGATAGCTCCAGCCGGACTTCGAGCAGCTGATCTAGTTCGGTGAGTGGTTCCCTCCTGTGTCTACCTCTGAATGGCTAATGAGTTGATGTTACAGTGCGCTACGATCTTTCCAAACCAAGGATGCCGCGGTAGCCAAGCTATTCGCGAAACATATCAAAATAGAAGAAGCGAAACAATTCCTGGAACGATCGCGAGTCAGTATTGGTGTTGGTACTCCTCAGCGAATAATTGATCTGTTAGAGTCTGGTATGTATTCTCGTAACCCGTAGTCTAGCTCAGGTAAATGGCTAACTGTGATTAAGGAACGCTGAAAACCGCAAATCTCGAACGTATCGTCATTGATGGCTCGCATATTGATCAGAAGAAACGTAGCATATTCGATATGAAGGAAGTGTATGCTCCGTTGTTGAAGCTTTTGGCGAGGGAAGAGTTGAAGGAGCGTTATGGAGCCAAGGATAAGGATTTGAAAATACTTGTATACTGAGCGATACGATAATTATCAACTATGCATATTCCATATCCATGGATGTATACACATGTGAATTAACCACCCGGACCGAATCAGAATCCCTGCTCGCCTAGATAATCAACAGAATATTCTAGTGGCAAACCCACCCGGAAATAATCTCTTAATCAGTAGCTCCGTGAACAATTTAAACGATTCATAAAGCCAGCCCACAGGGATCACTAGTTACACAAAAGCCGCTTGCACAGCCTTGCAGAGAGTCGGGATGGGAATTCGAGTCCCAGGGCCCAGACTGTCGGGCACAGCTATATGTCCGAAGGAGAAAAGTTGACCAGTCTCATTTACCTCTCCACTGAGCTGGTCACCATTCGAATAGTACGTCTTCCTTGAGCAGGTAATTGGTGATTAGATATCCTATTTCCGGATAGATCTCTTCATTGTCCATGCTGTAACATGGCATGGCCAGGGTTGCAACCACACGTTAAGCCCGGGGAACAGGGCGGGAAATCCAAATACCGCGACAATATTCATGCTCTTAATAGCCTATCTTAAGGCTTTAAGGTTTGGCCAATAGTAATCCCTGAAAAGGAACGAAGAGGAAATCCAAGCTATGAGACTGGTGAAGAAGTGGACATGAATCATGCGTTGAATAATATGCACGGATACACGGAGTACCCTAGCAGAACCCGAATTTTGGGAGATGGTGACGGTTGCATCGGCAGACTGATACATGTGAGCTGAGTCTTTTATAAAAGTTCCGTAGGATACGAAGTCAATCGCGTTGCATACGAACTGGAGACAGAATGAATAGAATAATAGCGGTCAGTTGGGATGCAGAAACTGATCAATCTCAAGAAGAAAGATTACAGTCCAGTATCGAAACTTCGTAATATTACAGGGATGCCCCTCTCAGAAAGACTACCGCCCTAAAATGGACTAGAGCGCATAATAATGCCTTAGATTATTGGTTGTCTGATTCCGCAGTGGGACGGCCGGCCCTTTCTCTCGGGACCAACTACCAGCGATACGGGGCCGTTACATACCAATAGTGACCGTGCCTTGGAGCTCCGTCATACTATTATTCTCTCTACACTTTTCCAGTTTCCACCCTCGACAACACATCTAATGTGCCGTGTTTGTTCTCTTGGGTAGCTGCAGTTCCGACTGCTTGGCTCATCCGTCAAGGCTATTTTATATAGTGCGCCCGTGCTGCATCGTATCTTTCTAGGGTGAGAGCCATTGTTGATGGAATTGATTTCGTCCCCGCAGTTCGATAGATGTGCCCTCCAACAACGCTCAACTAGTTCCTGATTCTCACACTGCTTCGAGCGATTACGGAAAAGGGGTGCGCCAATAACATATCTATCTATAGAGATATATGTGTCACATTGCTAAAGAGGGCAATCAACGTCATTCTGAGCACGAAATGGCGGACGATGGAGATGGAACCATAGGTCGGACGACAAACATAGAAAACGAACTCCAAATTGATGTACATTCTCCTATCCTTCATGGCAATTAAAAATAATCTGACATAACCAGAGCGACAACAGCGACTTTGTCGACGCAGCCTCTTCATTCGACGACCGCACGACAATAGTATCCTCCATCAAAAACTACAAATACGAAAATGGCCGTCGATACCACTCCTTCCGAGACGGCGAATATTTGCTTCCTAACGACGAGCGAGAACAAGAACGTCTCGATCTACTCCATCACACATTTCGACTTGTCCTTAGCGGGGACTTGTATCGAGCACCCATACATAACCCCGTCCGAGTTTTGGATTTTGGTACGGGTACTGGGGTATGGGCCATTGATTTTGCGGAAGAGAATCCCAGTACGGAGGTATTAGGCACGGATCTGAGTCCTATTCAACCTTCGTGGTTCCCCTCGAATTGTCGGTTTGAGGTTGATGATGTTGAGAGTGAATGGTTGTATGGGTATCAGCCCTTTGACTACATCCACGGCCGGGGCATGACGGGTTCGATACGTGATTGGAAGAAACTATTTAATCAGGCATACGACAATCTCAAACCAGGGGGATGGCTAGAGTTGCAAGAATACGAAATCGAGTTCTCGTCGGACGACGGCTCGCACCACAAAGCCAAAAATTTCATTCTGTGGAAAAACAAATTGAATGAAGCCAGTGAGATATTTGGGAAACCGTATAGTGATTACTCGTTACATAAACAACGCATGGAGGAAGCTGGGTTTGTCGATGTTGGCCAGGATTCATACAAGGTAAATCCTTCCCATTCATAACTAAATATGCAAAAATGGCTAACAATAAGAGTAGGTCCCAATGGGCCCCTGGCCCAAAGACAAACGCATGAAGGAAATAGGCAAATTCCAACTATACCAAATGCTCGAAGCAGTCGAACCTTACTCCCTGGCTGTATTCGCACGCGTACTGAAATGGAGCAATGAGGATACACGCGATTTGATTGAGAAAGTGAAGGCGGAAATCTGCAATCCGCAGTTTCATATGTATTCTCTGTTTAGTTCTATATATGGACGGAAACCGGAGGTTTGATCTGTCTGAGAACTTTGCGCATATATATAGCCTTCCTAGGTTGTGGGAGGGAATTTGCTTGCATATATTAATGGAGTTCGTGCACATTCTGGATTCCCTTCTTGTCTAGGCAGTCCAGACATACAAATGATCGATCGTTATATTACTTCTCAATGGGTGGTAGGAACATTTGTATATAAAGAACTCCACAAAAATTATGTACACCGCCTATGCCGCGGAGATAATCACAACCTCCTATTGGCCGCGGCTCCTCACCGCTCGGACCGCTTGACGGCAGAAAAAAATAATCAACAACTTTTCTTATCGCGATAAATGTTCCACTCTTTGCTTACCCCTAACAACTTCACCTCCTCGCTACAGGAGAGCCATTAATCTATTCTGATCAATACTCCATAATTATACAAAAGAAAGTCAAACAAAAAGAAGCCTCCACCAAAAAAGAATGGGCGACAGAAAACGCAAGCGCGAAGAAGCCACTGGCGGCGGTGCTGAACAACAAAAACCGAAACGAGTCAAGAACAAGGTCAAATATTTACCAAAGGGTAACAAAGGGCGAAAGCGAGCTACTCATCTTGCCAATCAACCTGGGAACGGCGCAAATGCGATTCCGGTGCAGGAGAGGGTTAGAGATGTTCCTGAAGATGCTGCTGTACCGGCAGAAGAAACAAAGGCCGTGGAGGAAGGAAGCAAACTTGCTGGAGAAGATTTTTTCGTGATTGACACTACGCCCATGAACGTCGAGGAAGTCGAACAGAAGAAGAAATCAAAGGGACAACTCAAACGCGAGCATCAAGCGGCCAAGGAAGCTGAGCATCACTCTGCCGAATGGTTAGCAGAAAAGGAAAAGGAGAAGAAGAGGCGCGAAGCGAGGGAGCGTAGGGGAAGAAACGATAAGAGGAAGGAGACGAAGCAAAAGGAAGAGAGTAAGAAGAGGAAGGAGAGGAAGGAAAGGGAGCTGAAAGCTGAAGAAGAGGAAAAAGAAGATGATAAGACTACGTCGTCTTCTTCTTCAGAGTCGGATTCGGATTCGGATTCTGATAGTAGTTCTAGTTCTGGATCGGAGTCGGGGACTAAGAAGGCTACTACGCCCAAAGTCGTTGAGAAGAAGGCCGAGAGAAAGAAGGATGCTCCCAAAGAAACGAAGCAGGAGGACCAAGCCAATAAACCACGCTTCATCGTCTTTGTTGGTACGTCTACCCCCTCTATAATAAATAATGTAACGGCCAGAACTAACAAGATGTATAAGGAAACCTTCCCTACACCGCAACAATCGAGTCCGTAAAAGCGCACTTTTCCAAAATCCAACCCATCTCCGTGCGCGTCGCAACCGACAAAAAGAACAGCGACAAATGCCGCGGTTTCGGCTTCGTCGAATTCGAACAATTCGATCGTATGCAGACCTGTCTCAAGCTCTATCATCATTCCTCCTTTGATGATGGGAAGAGTCCTGCTAGGAAGATCAATGTTGAACTTACGTCCGTCCCCCCTCTCTCCTTTGCTTGTATAAAAAAGTGTGTCAATACTGATTAATGAAACAGAGCCGGCGGAGGCGGAAAATCAGAAACGCGACGCACAAAGCTGAAAGAAAAGAATCAGAAATTAGCCGAAGAACGGGCAAAGAATGCGCAGGAAGAGAAGAAGAAGAAACAGCAAAACAAAGGAGGGGAAGAGAAGAAAGAAGAGGGAGGGGAGTATTCGGGTATTCATCCTAGTCGATTGAATATGATGCGGTAGTAGTTATCGATTCGTGGGTTCAAGATTCGGGGGATTTCTTCGGGATTGGTTCTTACTATGTTTTCCTTTTGTCTGATTGATTATGAGTTGAGCGAGAATAAAATTCATGTCTTAAATCAAATAGCCCAATTTTAAGAGTACAATCGAAATGCAAACAAAAGTCTCAAGATATTCGGGATAAGGAAAAAGGTGACTATCTATCCAATCTAAGACAACTGATTCATTATCAATCAACAGCAGAATAGAACAGAACAGAACGCCTCGCGCAATACAAACAATCAGTCAGTTAGTTACATAGATCAGATCAATCATTCAGTTAGGACATAAACGGTATATGTATTCACAGGTGTTGACAAAAATAATTCAAAATAAAAAACGATGGGGATATAATTAGCATATACGTAGTAGAAGAACATCAGGGAAGTTCGGACAAATATGATCAGTATGAAAGGAGGAAAGGATTACAGAATGACGCATCGTTTTGCCTTGTTCTTGGGTTGGGGGCGAGGATTGAGGACGGCACTATACAGGTTAGTCAAGATTTTTTTTTGATAGAAAGGAAAAAGAAGACAAACCGGATAGCTTCATCAAACACACTCTTCAAATTCCTCTGCGTCAACGCCGAGCATTCTAGGTATTTATGCGCCCTAATCTCTTTGGCCACCGCAAGCGCCTGCTCATACGAGACGGGCTCCATCTTCTTCGCCCTCAACGCCTCGGCAGTCGCTCTGTCTTCCCTCAAATCAAGCTTTGTGCCGACCAAAATAATGGGGACGCCGGGGGCGTGGTGTTCGATTTCGGGATACCATTTGGCTTTTACGTTGTCAAAAGAGGGTGGCGAAACGATGGAAAAGCAGATTAGAAAAACGTCGGTTTGAGGGTAGGATAAAGGGCGGAGACGGTCGTAGTCTTCTTGGCCGGCGGTATCCCAGAGTCCGAGGCTGATGGGTCGACCGTCGACCATGACGCTGGCGGAGTAGTTGTCGAAGCTGTTTTTGGTTAGTTGTAGGTCGCAAGCTAATGGAGAGAAAGACTGACACGGTGGGAATGTATTCGCCGGGAAAGGCATTGGTCGTGTATGATATCAGGAGACATGTCTGCGCCGTTGTCAACTTCGTATTCCAGGATTTTGTGCCGGACTCAATCGACGAACCTTGCCGACAGCACCGTCACCGGTCACCACACACTGTATCCCGATTAGCGATTGTTCGTAGTTGTATGCTAAGCTAACGTTCTAAATACCTTTAAGGATTGAGTCGCAGGCCCAGATGCCATTCTTATGATTCAACTATTCAATCCCTTATCTGGACGCGTAGAAGACGAGCGGAGAGTTGTGTACGCGGAGGGGGGAAAGGGGGAGGGGTCTCTAGTATAAATGTCAGATTATTTGCTTCTCGTCTCTCATCTCACTGACTCGATATCTAAATAATTAAAAGTTCCGAATGCTTGAATAGAAAGAATGTCTCACCTCGATCGAATACCCAGCAACTTATGACTAGCGAACAACAAACAGGCGGGGAAACCAGCAAAATCGGTCTGGATTGAATTGACCGACAAGCAGAGAAATGCGACTCAATAGATGAGAGAACCAGATCAAACAGAATGAACAATCCTGAACAGAGCGATAGATAATGGGAATGAGCGGTCGAGTGAGGCGATTGAAGTAAGTAAAGGGTTAGGTTGTTTGGGCTTGGGCTAAGTTCGGAGTGGATTAGTGCAGAAGGCGGGGGGTACCCTATCTTCTACTTCTTGAACTTCTACTCTTCTACACTTTTATGGATATATTTTATCTTGGACAAGAATTCACATACGATTTATACGATTATACGATTATGACAGACGATCAATCAACGTTGGTATCGACATTCGCTCTCAACAGAACCATACAGACAGACGAGTCAGACCAGACTGTATACTATACAACTGCCAACTATAACCACCAGCCTGCCTCAGATTCTGAGGGGTTCGTCTGATCGTGTCATCCTGCCGTATCAGATACCACCTCTTCAAGAACTAGAGATAAAGTGTGTGATATATTTATCCAATTTCCAAGAATAAAACCCCTTGTCGCTGCTACGATTGGAGAAGATGTGTCAGCCTGTCACAGTGCAGAATGCAGAGACTGCGTCTTGACTGGATGGGAGTTATGCACGAGTCAATTAGTTTACTTTGAGAGTTGACTTGTCTTTTCTTCTCTGTCTAAGGCGTGTATCTCTCAGCATTCTATTCCGTACAATTTACTGTGATTTCGGTGAGTACTCATTACACTGTTACAGATTGCTCGAAGATAGTTTGATGTAATGTATCATGTTCCTGTTAGATTCTTGCATGTGAGCCGTCGTTTATGTATCTATTGCAATGTATTTGTCTGGGCCTAGAACTATTGTATCAGTTACTTCCAAGGTTCTGAAACTGTACTGATACTTACATAAGTGATGCTAATCCCGAGGTCCTCAATCTGCCGATACTCTATGCTAGATCCTCTACCAGCATTTAAATTATTCAATGCTACCAACTAGCAACCGGAAAGATTCCTTCGACAACGAAACAGCTCAAATATTTGGGTTACTTGACCTTGGCCGCAGCCAGAACATACAATGTCATAGCGATGGTAACTTACCACATGGGTCGGGAGAAAGACCGGAAAGAACGTATTGGATGCATAGAAAGTGAGATAGGTTTTGCCTAAGTAGTCTTTGCCAGAAATTCCTTGTCTTGCCGAATATGGTCGTCCACCAACGACTTATTCTCGAAGAAAGGAACGTTGAACTTGCCCTTGGACAAAGTATTAGTGTTTGGCAACGTACTTCAGATAAAATGTTCCAGAGTAGGGATATCCTTCGCAGCGTTGATCATGTTGGTTGCCTGGGCGAATTCAACCTTCTTTCCTTCCTCAACTCCAAGTTGCATGGCAGATTCGAAGAAGTTGGTGACTGCAAAGATCACAATAGCGCCCTGAAAGGCTTTGACAAGACTGTCCTTGTCGTTGAGATTTGCGGCAGTGATTTCTGCTCCTTTATCTGTCAGGACCCTCTGCGGTATCACTTTCTGGATTGCGTGTTAAACCGTGTACTCGGTAGGTAGGGTCCTGGAGGAGGACATCCTTGATTTTCTATTTCACATAATCACTTCATCTTTCTTGATTACGCCATCATTTATAAGCCTGCATTGTAAACAGACCTGAAGAGTCTACATTTGAAAGTTGAGTTGGTAAGACGTGTGTACGAGGACCAACCAGGGCCACATCGTGGTCACCGGAATCGTATACGTAAGTGATTTAGCAAAGAAAACCTTGGAACTCTTTTCTTGTAACCTAACCATAATTCTGTGTACAGACACATAAATTCATATGGATACCGCCAGCCGTCATGACTGCATGTTCTTACCAGTGTTACCACCAATCTTGATACTCCAAGAACTCCAATACACTGCCATTGGAACCAATAGAGACCGGAAGTCATTAAACCTGCAACTACACATCAAGAACTTACAGGTACAATATTCCTTATAACAGGTGTCCAGAAGCCGGCTGATTTTCAATCAACTCTAACAGTTATCTTATAACATTCCCCGAAATAACCACCATCGGCTACGTCCGGTCAGTCATGCTCAAGCCTCATGTCGACTTCTATTTATTTTAGGATTTCGATCATTTGGATTTTATCATATCTTAGCGCAATAGAAAAAGGAAATAAGAGCAAGATTGTTGGTAAAGCCAGGAGGCTCTTTTAGTTAACTGAATTGGTAGTAAAAGAATGATAAATGATTGGCCATTCGACATCCATTGTCCTGAGCACCAGCCACAGTTTCATTTGACGTGAATAACTTCAATGAGTTAGAGCCAAAGCCGCCTTATAGAAGGCTACTTTCTAGTTTGGTATCAGGATTGAGTTGAGCATTTCCTCTGGATCACTGTGCCTTACGTACAACCGCAGCTCAAGATCGAATTTGCCATGCTCGCTGACCCTGGCTCTCAGATCTTCACGACCAACTAAATTTTCGGTTTATTGTTTCTTCGGCACTCGGCTTTAGTGAACGGCCATGGGCGTTTTAGCTATGAATCCCAGATCAAAGCTCATAGACAACGCAACACCCCCTGATCCGTCAGTCGTTACGATTATGCAGGTCTTACGTTGAGAAAACTACTGGGACCTTTACTCCTAGCACCATGGTATGGGAAGTCAATACGATTATGTTTGACTCATACAATATACTCTTTGACAGCTTTGCTTTCTACGACCAAAGCCATAGAGCTTCGGCTTGCAACGCATTTCCATACCTCCAGGAAGTGGATATAAGATGTATAAAGCACCAATGGAGAAGGGATAGACACAGAGACGCCTCTATAATACCGATGAAACTTAGTCCTAGTGCAGTATGTGAATACCTAAGTAGTGCATAGACCAGGTACCTACTGGCTGATGGAGCTTGTAAGTTAGTGTCTATGTGGAGATCAAGGTCTTCGATGCTGTATGACAAATACTTTCTATTGTCACACTCTTGCGGAGAATATGTCTCTCACTTATGACAGCATTTACCTACGTACTCGGCTCTGTGTCTGGATTCTGGAGAGCGGGGAGAGGAAACATATTTGTCAGTCCTGATATCAGTGGAGAGTAATACGGTATTGGTAATAAAAGACTTTCTTCCCAATCTGGTATTCTATGTATTCCCCTTAAAGGAAGTCTTGTTCTAACAGACGATTCGCGGATCAAATAGAACCAACAAATACTGGTCAGCACCAACAGGTACATGTACCTGTATCCACGATACTGATATCATACATCTCAACAGCTAAAGTGGGAGCTACACATTAGGTAATGATGATAAATCCATGGATATTTGGTTATTGTTGCTATTGTATGTAGCTACTACCTCTTTTGTTGCCTCTAACCAATTTTTCCTTATGAAAAGACTGTGCAGGTACTGCCGTAGCGGGAAAAGTTCTCTCTTGTCCACTATCATGATCCAAATAACCAAGGAAACGGTCCATAATAAGCAAAGAGTTAATGCTAAACTAACCTTGGAAAACAAAGAATTTGTAAAGCTACAGCTCTTATACTTGAGCATTACGTAGATACTCGAAGCGCTCCTGGTCAGCTTTTTACGTGGTACTAGGTAATATAAAAGCGCCTTAGTCCAGCAGTGTAGAATTAGTAGATTTCATTAATTGCCCCATATCCTTGCTCATTTTAATCAACATGATCCTTAAACTGACTCTATTAATCTCTATGTTACCAACGGTCTTCGCTGGCAAACCCTGTTGTTTCGATTTCGGGCTCCCATTTCATGTCTCCTTGCCCGTTCCTCAATTGAATGTGACCGAGTTCGGTAGTAGCTACGACTCGACTGTCTTTCTCACTGCCTCAGTCACACGAAACGCCAATCTCAGCCTATTAGCCTTGGGACAGACTGAGATCAATCGAGACTTTGATATCCACTTCCGGTACTGTGAGCCAGAGAATGTTGATCACAAAAACGGTGTTCTGCAGATTTTATCACAAGGCGTGGGCTTTGATAAATCGTACGAGAGCTTTCTCTGAACCCAATCGTTTGCCACTTGACCTGGAGCTTACTTTTATGGTCATTTGTAGTTATTGGAGCTTTGGAAGTGAAGAATACAACTACATTGCCTCCGCGACCAAGGCTGGATACGCCACCCTCTCCGATGATCGTCTAGGTGTCGGCTACTCCGAGAAAGCAGATCCATCTTCTGAGATTCAAGTGTCTATCCAAGTTGCAATTCTCTTCCAAGTATCTTGGTTCGTAAAGGCCAACTTTTAGACCGAATTCCCGTCCCTAAGAAATTGGTGCACATTGGCCACAGTTTCGGCTCCTTGATCACGAATGGTCTGGCCGCGACGCAACCTTCGCTGTCTGCTGGTATTGTTCTCATTGGTTTTACTCACAATACCTCTTGGGTAACTCTGTTTGAGCTATTCCTAGGGTTTGAAGTGGCAAGGCCAAGCAACCCAGCTCGGTTCCATGGCTATAACAGTGGTTATCTGACCTGGGGTAACGAGTATGATAATCGGTGTGCCTTTTTCACTCTTCCGTTTTTCGATCCTGCTATTCTCCTACATGCGGAGGCTCTTAAGGCCCCATTTGCAATTTCCGAGCTATTGTCTTTTACAAGCGTGCCTTTGGCTGCTGGCAATTTCACTGGCCCTGTACATGTTCGGAAGGGAATGGACGAATGCTTATATTGTCAATAAACCAGATGATTTCCGGCACATCTGATTTACCCTTCTGTGGCGGTAATTGCGAAGGGGTGCTTGATGGGCCAGCTTTCGTTTCCCCCTTTGTCTTTCCGAAGGCGAGCCCGTTTGCTTCGTATATACATCCAAACGCCGGACATGCTTTAAACCTACATCACGATTCTTCAGCTGCATATGGTGTAATTTCCGTATTTCTTCGAAAACAAGGACTCTAGTTGTCAACTCCATCGCGCGAAAAGGGGCTGGGATAGAGCTAATCTGAGGAAACCTGTGTGCCGGGTTTTTTGTAGTCTTAATCCGTGAATAGTCGAATCATGAAAGAAAAGGATTAACAGGAAATTTTTCTATTACTTGGCATCCATTAATAGACGTTCATTTGTGTACCACTACAGGCCCGTCTCGACGGCCTCTGTTCGATTACATATGTACGTTATAAGGAACGAGTGGAACAAAAGCTGGTCTATATATAGTCCATTTAATAAAGTTGATTTAATGCTTCATAGCCATCTAAATAATCCACACAGCACACTATACAGTCAAATGAAGTCGTGACCATTCCTCCGCAGTCTGAGCATGGATCCCAACCTTCCTGTTCCACGTCTCGGACAATTCCCAAGCAACGCCACGCCCTTCACCAAAGATAATTTGATACTTGAATAAGATGTTATTAGGGTCCCTTGCAAGATCAGCTCGAGCAGCCTCCACGGTTCTCACGTGCGTCGTAAATTTGCGGCCCGTGATCCTCTCCAATAACTGTGCCAGCTGTGCATACGTCAAAGTATCTCCAGCAATAAAGATTGGCTTGTTACTGAAGACCTCATCAAATCTAGAGCCAAGTACAGATTCCGCCGTGATTTTACCAATATTTTCCGGCGATGTTACTGTTACCTTGGTATCCAAGCTTCCAAGTGCAAGTACAGTATCATCCTTGAAGTTGACCACGCCAAAGGAAGGCTCAAACAAGAAACTGGTGAACATGCCGGTGGATATAATCGCCCATTTTGTCTGGCTCTGTGCGCGGAGGAGATCTCTCACATCAAGCTGCTCGTCAAATAAGTCCTGCGCAGATCCCCTTCCGATGATATCGTAGTCTGCTCCGAATTGCCACGGTACCTAGCGAGGAACTTGAGCTGCTAGTACAGCACGGGCAAGTGTGAGTTGGGTTCCAGAGCCGGCTGTAAGGCCGGTGCAGCCGATTATTGTGTCATATCCTCTGAAGATGTGGGAGAGATGCTCTTCGGGGTCCTTGACAATGTCACCAGGGATAAGTTGCACGTTTAAGTTGCGCAGTACATCAAGCTGTTCGACTTTTTCGGGGTGAGTGGAAGTGATACTCGCCGGTCGTATGAGAACGGCAATAGTTGCACCATTTCGCTGAGGATGCCGAGCAAGAGCGAGTAAGACTTGGCTGCCCAGCTCTCCTGCGCCGATGACAAGGATTTTCGTATTGGTAGACATTTTTCACTAGAGAACAAGATTCCTCGGTTTTGAATACTAAGCGTCACCCTCAGAGAGGCGGAGAAAGTTCTGATATTTATACCTTACGTATACTTGAGTCAGCCACGGACTTAAGCCATCCCTGAATCCGGGGTTCTCTACTTACTGCCTATTTAGGAAGAACACAATAAGTTGAGATTGGTAAGCAAAACCCTTTCGGCAAGTTTACTAAATGTTTCTCTATCTTCGGATAGAACTTCCCGACTACATGGAATTGTCCAGAGACATGTAAGTTTGTATTCACTCTACACCTTCGAATACTTTGCCGCGCCTTTACCTCGTATCTTTCGTTACCAGAGTATACCTAGTTAAAACTGGAACGATGATAACCTGTCAATAAATGGCCCTTTAGATAGATAGGTTTTAGTTAGGTTAGGCTCAATGTGGAAGAGTCCACTGAATACTCGAGTGAATCTATTCTATACCGCCGAGAAGTTAGGGTTAACTTGGGTTACCTGTATATAAAATGCATTAGGAATCTCCAGCTCTGACACATTTGGATTTCTTCAATGGACATTCATGGCCCAATACTAGATCACCTGGGCAGTCCGTCAAATATATGTACAGTCTAAACAACACAGAAAAATACTGCAACTTTCTCAAGAGCCAGTAACCAAAGTGTGATCTAAGTTGATCTTCTGTTTTGCTATATTTTCTTAGGTACCTAAAGGTCGAACCTATGTAGTTCCTCATATCATGAATAGTAACAATCTATATCTTGTGAAAAAACATCGCATTTTAAACGATGAGCAGCAATATCTCACTTTTTGACATGTCTACATACATGATTTATTCAGTGTTTGGACCACTCCAGAGGATTAAGTATGCAAAACAGCATTACCTGTACTGAATGATCAGTTCTCTCAGCTGCTCGTCGTCGTCGTATTCAGCCAGAGTCTTCTCTCTCCAAGCATCCCACTCCAAGTCTCCGTCAACATTCAGCGACTGCCGCAGGCCTCTATTCTGAAATATGGGCGAAATCCAGCCCTTGCTCTCCCAGTTGATTGCTTCCATTGTGTAAATCAGCAACAGGAAGAAGCATCACCGGAGAATTGAACGCGGAGGATTTTACATCCGGATGGGCCCATTCCCAATCCAAAACCCCGGTGATGTAGAATTCATCATCAACGAGAATGTGGTCTCCTTTGTTATCTGCATGTCTTAAGTAGAATCGTCCGTCGTCGAAACGGCTGGGACGATAGAATAATTTCTTTGAAACAGAGTCCAAGGAGAAAGCGATGGATTAAGTAGGCATCAATTGTTCGGAGAGTAAAACACTCTCCGCTCACAACCAGATGCAAGGTCAATCGCAGGCTCTCAAGAAGATACCCTTTGGAGGAAATAAATGGACCGAGTGGTAGCGTGTGAAAGTTTCTGTAGTCTGTTCAGGATTCCCGCGCGAAACATTCAACATGGTTAGTGCCTGGTTGGTCCAAAGAACCCATCAAATCGAACGAAACCACTGCAATTCAATATATATCTGCTAGCTGAGCCATGATTTTCGTCTTCTGCTCCGGAGAGAGGAGACCAGGGAAGTGACTGGCCAGCCAATTTTTCCATAAGAATAAGCCCAACACCAATAGGGTTTCCTTCATTAAGGCAATAGTCGAATACTTTGGCAAAAGGGACTTCTGTCTTGCTCAGGAACTGCAACATAGCGACCTCACTCCGTATAATGTGAGTTCGTAGATCTGGCGGTGGCGAAGTGGCATTCACTCTTCAAATTCGAGTGAGCCAACTACTTCCATCCTCAAACAGAAACTCGATGCGGTAGTTCATATCGCCCATTACCGTGGATCGTGTTGATCGATCATACTGAGCCGTCAGACCAAAGAGCACAGGATGCCATGGCGCAAAGTGCGGAGACATTTATTTTGCTGATGAGAGTGGTGTTTCCCTTCGCTCAGCTTCTCGAGCCGCAGGGTTGTACGATTTCTCGTCCTTTCTCAGCTTCAAATTCAATTAACATCTCAGGAGCAATAATTCCCAAAATAATGCGAATGCTGTCCGCTCACCTCCCATATTGAGCATTTGTGGTATTCTGACCCAAGGCGTCTTGCGCAGAGACGGTGAGGATACATTTTCCGTACGTGCGTACAGAAGGATTCTCACGGTGTTCAAAATCACAACTGCACGTTGCCATCTCCGCAGTCATTAGGTGTAGGTAATGGTACGTTGTAACCTTGAATCTGGAGGCAAGGATCGGTCTTCATTTGCAGCTGATCATGTGATCCATTTCCTGAGAACTTATATGCATAGAATAAGATCTAAGATTCCAGCTTTTATCGGGTATGAACCATTACGTTTGATTAGTGTGACTCTTTCTGAAACTGGCTTTGAATGGTAATCGACAGCCAGGATAGTAATTTCGCTTTACTATGGGAGGAGAAATGTCTGGCTCCATCCAAATTAACTATCTGGAATTTATCTGGCCAGTCATCGATCATATATACAATCTGAAACAACTCAGAAGAAAATTTGGGTATCTTTGCTACAAAACAGAAAAAGAAAAACAATCACAAAACAGGCGGCGCAATGATAGAATCAGGTACACCGTCAAAAACCCAGTTCAGTGAATCAAAGAAATCCGAGAAACTGGCCTCATTCATGAACGTGCTGTCCTCGAAGTTGGCTGGTAGTATCCATGAAGCATTGTTCAAGGCATTTTCGGATTGAGGGCCTGTGACTCCAGCTGCGGTTGCGGTTTGAGCTACGCTTCCTACTTTTGCGAATTAGACTCTAAATATGCAGTAATGAACCGTGGAAAGAAATACCTTGTGCTTCGTCAGAGGCTTTCTGTTGCTTGAAGCGTCGTCGCCATCGCCACACTGTATCGTATACATGGCTCATACTCATGCGGCTTCGAATCCCGAGATGTAAAGCATCATCGCCAGAACTACCAGCGTTCCACATCTGGGAAATGACATTCGCCAATCGAACGGGTCGGTCGTTATCGACGACGCTGATCCTGCGGATGGATGAGATTGCGCCGTTGAACAAAAATTTGCCGTGATCAATGTCGATTTGTCGTGCAAATGAACTTTTGAGGAGTTTCATCAAAGCGAATGCAGCAGAAACGATCATTTGGAGGATGTAGTTGGTGGCATGGATGAGCAAATTCCCAGGTGATGTCTCGAGCTCGAGTACACGACCTAGGAAAGATGTTGTTGCAAGAAAGAGGTTTGTTAGATCTTCGCTCCGGGCGTTTTGACTCAAAAACACAAAGTATCGAAGATGCAAGTTTGCCGCTCGCAAGTGTATCAAGTTGATTTCTGATGACTTTTGTCAATCATCTCCAAGTCCGAAAGTAGAAGCAAACTTACGTGAAAGATCATCGCCAAAATCCAATTCCATTTCCTTTAGCTCATTCTCCAATATTCCCACAAGAAGCAACTTGTCCATGCTTAGGAATTCTGACGGCTCTGGTCGTCCATTGTACAGACTTCTTGTCACTCGGTCGCAGAACTTCTCAATTCGCAGTCTTACTTTAAGTTCTTCCGGCAACTTGTAGTCAGCCGCTCTGAGGGAAGCTGGCTCCAAAGCCCAGTCATAAATAGTGCTTGGCGGTTGACCATATCCGGTAGCAACACTAAGGAAGTTAGCAATCTAAGCAAGTTTTCAGTATATAAAAACTCACTTTTGTGCAACGAGGTTACAAAGAACCCACGTCTGCAGACGATCCTTCAGTTCCTCTCCTCGAACCTCCATTCGAAACGTCGTAAATTCCTCTGGTTGCACTGGGCGATGCAGACCCAGCTGCATAGCCAAATTCATCATCAACCCACTCAGCATGAAAGTCTGGTCGCTTTTTTGACTCGTCGTCGGGAGAGGCCATGTACATAACAAACATAGCGCCTTGACGACATGATAATTCTGCGGGACACTGCTGATACTTGCCCATAATAATCTACTAAAAGGACCGGAGAGGGAGACGAGCAGTCCAGACTCGTATGGACAGCGCCGGCTAGATACACAGATAACGGTCCATGCAAGAATGTCGGAGCAGCTGCGAATTTCTTCGGGATCTTTGGAAGGATCCAACAGGGGAAGAAATGGATGATAGAATTTAAAGTATCTATAAGTGTTAAATGCCGATCTCTAACACCTGTGAGGTAAACTTACTGGTCAAAAAGTCGGTCCACACGCTTCTTTGATAGCGATATGTCCTCGAGAACCCACGCATTGGCGCTGGGCGGAATAGGACTCTCTGTAGGTACCAATGAGCGTCTCAACGGCGATGGCTGGTGTTCAACCGAAACCGACAGCGACTGTGCTCGAGATGAGGAAGGCGGAGACTGAGCATCGTAATACACTTCTCCAGAGGAATGATTGACCTCGCGACCATCGCCTGCATCAACCTGACCTTCGGGACGTTCGCCGGCGGCTAGTCGTCGACGAAGGTCAGCAATCTCTCTCTCCATTTCCGCATTGCGCCTATTTCCATCATTAGAACAGGTTGAAACAATAGGTGTCTTAGTGCTTACCGTCGTTTAGATATACGTTTAAAAGACTGCTCTACCTTGCAATCAATATTCAGCCTCTTACAGCGTGAACAGGGTGAGCGGCCGGACGCCGGAGCTTGAACAATATCACATCGCAACTAATAATGCATGTCAGTTGATATGTACCATGTACGCACGATGCGAGTCTACCTTTTGCTGTTTGCATTCATTACAGGCCCTCCGGTTCCCACCTCTTCGCTTCTTTATTGGCTGCGACTTGTCTCCCTCCAACCCCTGTATAGCGCCGGTACCAGGGCCAGGGCCAGGAGCAGATAAGATAGATCCTAATACCGGGCCGTTAGATCTGGCCGCAGTGGTTCGCAGGGCAGAGGCATCGGGAACTGGTGGAGTAACCATCGGTATAGCGCCGACACCGACGCCAACACCACTCAGAGTCCGTCTGAAATCAGGGTTGAGTATAGACGGGCCCCCATAGCTGGTCATCGTGATCTTTGGTGAGCTTGGATTTAACAATCGGCTGTTTCGCAGGGACAGAGCGATGGTGCAACTCCGGCAATCGGCAAAAAACTTTTCGACGAAGCCGGCAGTTTCCATGCTGACTCAGCGGACGACCGTGATTGGTCCCTGAATCCGGGACAAGCGCGGCTGTGGCTGTGCCACCGAGGAAGGTACGACTTGTGGAGCCATTCAACGACGTCAACGTTTCTTTTCTTCTCTCTTGCTCTTGCTCTTACTCCTAAGAATGCGACAAACATCCTAAGACTGCATCACCATGGCTGAATCGATATCGCCCTCTACCTCGTTTGCCGTGCGCCCTTCGTCGCAGGATGGCGCCGTTTCTTCAGCATCCAACTTTGGCTTGACTGACTTCAATGCTGCCAGCGAGTCAGTCCCAGATGATCACACGAATGAGCGCATTGAGACTATTCTGCAGTCAGAGGTGTGACAGATATCTTCAATATGCTTGGAAAATAGCTGATTAGTTGGAATATCATAGATCGGTGTTACGACGCTCCTCGCTCGCTTGAAACAGAGCATTGCTTCTGCGCGGGTTCGTATCTCAGCCCGTTCTGACAAATTGTTCTAATATACTATACAATATAGGACTTCTCTTCTTTCTTAAAAAAACGATCAGTCTTGGAAGATGAGCATGCCCAAGGCTTGAAGAAACTTGCCCGCCATACGAATGAAGCGGCGCATAGACCCGAGACGCGCCAGGGAACATACAGTCGCGCCCAAGATGAGATTACCAGAATCCACGAACAAATGGCCGACCATGGCTTGCAATTCGCTGTATCGCTATACCAAATGTCCGTCGACCTCGCCGAACTATCTGACAACATTGAAAAAAGCCGCAAACAATGGAAGGCAAGCGGGCTTGCCGCGGAAAAGAAAGTAACAGATGCGGAGGCTCTAGTGGAAAAGGCAAAGGCAAAATACGATTCTCTGGCTGAACAGTACGATCGCGTCAAGACGGGCGATAAGCAGGGAGGAAAGTTTGGTTTAAAAGGACACAAGTCCTCTGCTCAGCAAGAAGAAGAGCTGAGTCGCAAAGTGCAAAATGCGGATGCCGATTATCAGGCCAAGGTCCAGGCGGCACAGGCAGCGCGCAAGGAATTGTTGTCCTCACATCGTCCTCAAACTATTCACCAGCTGCGACAGCTCATCTTCGAGTGTGATTCAGGAGTTACTCTTCAGCTCCAGAAATATGGTATGTTCCGAAACACCACATTTGGCTTTATGGGTACTAATGATATGTTACAGCTGCGTTCAATGAGAGACATCTTCTCGGAAAGGGTCTCTGCGTGACCCCATTGAAGAATGGGCCATCTGACGGACCTAAGAGTTTGCGCGAGGTCGTCCACGAGATTGATAGTACCAAAGACTTCAACCAGCACATCCTGACTTTTGAAGGTAGTTCTGGGGCGGTAAAGGCTCCAGAAGTTCAGTATCATCGGCATCCTGTAAGTCACTATTTTGCAATCATGATAATACTGCAAACTGACTTCAAAGACTCTTGGCGGTTCTTTACCTGGGACTTCGTCCGTGCCGTCATCTCAGCCAAGCAGCTTCAATACTCGACAAACCACACAGCCTTCAGCGCCTGCGCCTTCTCAGCCACCTTTGGGAGCACCGCCGTCTACTTCACAGACAGCTGCGCCTAAAATAGATGCAACCACACAAATATTACCACATCTACACATCATGAATCCTGATGGCCCCGAACCCCCATCTCAATACCCAGCTTATCCTGGTTCTCCACCGGCAACTCAACCCCCCGCTCAACAACCCCTGGCAGCAACTTCTGCGCCAACTCCATACCCTTCTAGTCCGTCAAAGCCGTTCCACCAGACTTCTTCCAACGCTCCGATGATGCAACCGCCAAATGGCTTTATGAACAATCTTCCTCCAGTCAGACCTGTATTTGGTCTGACTCTTGAAGATTTATTCCGCAGAGACGGAACCGCCGTCCCGGTGATTGTTTATCAATGTATCCAGGCAGTGGAGATGTTTGGTCTAGATATGGAGGGTATCTACCGACAGTCAGGAAGTGCCAACCATATCAACCACATGAAAGCAGCTTTTGATAACGGTAGGATCCATAATACCGGGTGGTATGATTGAAACTAATTTGCCTCTCCAGACTCTTCCAAAGTCGACTTTACCAACCCGGAGGACTTCTTCCACGACGTAAATAGTGTCGCCGGCCTGTTGAAGCAATTTTTCCGAGAGCTTCCAGATCCCTTGTTCACTCGACAATTCTATAACGATTTTATTAATGCTGCTCGTAAGTGGACCTGCGTTTATAATGAGAAAATCCGCTAATCCGCTCGAATAAAGGTATTGAGAATGATACCCAACGACGTGATTCCTTACATGCTATTATCAATGGTCTCCCTGATCCAAACTATGCCACTTTACGCGCTTTGGTTTTGGTAAGTAGACATCTTTCGTATGTGATCCACAGGTCTGACCTCTCGGTAGCATTTGAACAGGGTCCAAGAACATGCAAGCAATAACCGCATGACGGCAGGCAATCTTGCCATTTGCTTTGGGTGAGTAGTCTTCCTTCGCATGCGACTGGCTGAATACTGACCCATCTACTTCAGACCAACTCTCATGGGCGCGTCAGGCGCCAGTCTCATTGACTCTGGCTGGCAGAACCGTGTCATTGAAACCATTCTTCTGAACACTTTCCAAATTTTTGACGACGACTGATTCTTCTCCACAGTACATTCGAGATTTTACATTCCCCTGATTCGAGTTGTAGTATGCTGTCGCCTTTTCATTCTGCATGTGTATATCCTTTATATCACTTAGTTATTTGCTTCAATTTGTTTGCATTTGTCTGTTTTGGTGCACCAAAAATTGAAACAGGCGCATGGTTTTTCACTGTCTATTTATTTGTCTGCTTCTTCATTCATATTATCCGCATTCTCTGTTATTTATTCCACTACCTACTTGAATTTAATCAGCATGATTGATGCTCAGATTTCGCAATGTTATGTAAGTTTAATGTGGCGGCTCAAATGCTTCAAGTCTATCTTGGGCCTAGGCTCTTCTATAATTAACCAACTTAAGCTTTTTCTGCCCCTGTACTTTTCGGAGACCTTACCCCGATTCCCCGACAAGATCCATTTTTCTCCTCGTTCCCTCATTCATGCACGAACGGCGATAATAAAGTACATATTCAAAAATGAGGATCAACAAAAACTGGCAAACAGTCTGTTTTCTAGCAACTGCTTTCCTCGCCAGGCCAGCATACATGGGTCGCCTATCGCAAATGAAAAAGGTCATGGGATCTATTCCCATTCCCGTGGCTGATAATCCGGTATGTAGTTGTCATTGTCGACATGTCTATAGATAGCTACAATTACCTAGCTACCTATGGGTAAACAATTTTCTAACAATAGTTGGATGTGTATCGATACAGTGGGCAGCCATGCTCATCGATCCACTAACAGTCGAGTTTAGAGCAAACATGACCGAGGTCCCTAGATACAGTCTTGATAGTAAACCTGAATGGGCACCAGCGGGATGGGATATGGAAAAAGTGATGGATATGACGGTCGAGGAATGGGAGAGTTTGACTGAAAGGGTACATATTCTCTCCCTTTTTCCCCCTTTGGTAGTATAATATTGGTCTAACCTGCGGTACGACAGCAACGAGATGTTTTGCGTGCGGGAATGGAAGCGCATTGCGGGACGGAGTTTAAGAACGAAGTCATCGATGATATGATGGCGAGATCTGAGCCAAAGGCTCGTAAGTTCTGTTTACCGTACCTTGAAAAAACGTTCAAAGGACTAATAATTGAATTGTAGCTGCTGACCCACCTACCCAACCGCCAAATTTCATGTCAGTTATGCAACGCTATCACAGTACTGGAGATTTGGGGTTCGTCTTTTATCGTACCACCTACGACCAAGACGACGAGCAGTGGTCCCTCATCAAACAGAAACTAAACACCATAGTTGAATCCACCTTTGACTACTACAGCAACATCGACGGCGTGAACGAAGCAAAACAGCGCTGGAAATTGCTCTGGGTCGAAGATCCTGAGAAATTCAAGGATATGACTCCAAAAGATCTAGGCGCTCATTACCGCGATTCGATGGGAAAGTTACCGATGAATTACAAGCATTCCATGTTCTTTGCCGTTGATCAAGCATCTGCGCGCTCGCTTTTACTCGCAGATACAAGCTCAGACAGGTTACAGGAACGCCCTAGACTAGGTGATGTGATCCCTTTCGTTATTGCCATGGACAATAATCTCGGTCTGGATACAGAGCCAGAACCAGAACCAGAGCAACAAACCGAATATTCACCTGCGGACGATGATGAAGATCACGAAGATCTCGAAACTTGGTACGGCCCTTTCCGTGCGCAACCTTCTTCTATAGTGGATGGGATTTATACTATTGTCGCCAGCGAAATAATGGAGATGCATGAGTTTGCGTATGCGGCTCACGGGACTGATGATGTTTGGTGGGATTCGTATGCGGGTGTATGGACGATTGATGATGAAGGGCGGTATGTAGAGAGACCATTTGAGGATGCGGCTCTGTTGAGAGTAGAGTATAGGGAAAAGAAGGAGAAGAAGAAGACGTCGACCACGACACATGACTCGCGAGAGTTATGATATAATAAATGATATAGGGTTAGGGTAGTTTATACAGTTATCTCGGAATTTCGGAAAAGGAAAGGATGGGCTAAACCTCATTGGGGCAATAATCGGAGAAATCTTAATCTCTTAACAATCTTTTAGTATGCCAACACCGCGTTTCCTCGCATTAGACGTCTTGTCATCAATCGACATGGAGACAGAGTACGATTCTTCATAATCTGATTCACTACAAATCTGTCTATATCATCCTGATGATGAGATCGATATAACAGACTTACAGATACGATGAAAATAAGACTCCCACTCCTCACCGCAACCCGGACATGGGGCGTGAAATGGCGAGCGAGTAACTGGTTTACAGTATTCGTGGTTACATTTGCCGTATTTACAGATGTATGATTCTTTTCTTTTTTCTGCCTTTGCTTCTGTGGTATTACATTACATTACGCAAAGACGGATGGGAAGCTAATCTAGTATGTATCGTAGATCTTTTTATATGGCGTTATTGTGCCTGTCATTCCATTTGCGTTGGAGTATAGGGCTGATATAGAGGTTGATCGGGGTGAGTTGTTTCCTTGATGATGGTTAACACTAGATGCTGATTAGATGGATAGTTCAATATTGGGTCTCGGTCCTGCTAGCCGTGTACGGTGCAGGATTGTTGGTATTTTCTCGTACGTCCAGAACAATAATCTCCGATAACAAACTTGGATACTAACGGCGGACAGCAATATGTGGCTGGTTCTCGGACACAGTCTCCATGCGCCGTCTCCCCCTTCTACTAGGCCTAGCAGCTCTCCTCGGCGCAACCGTCATGCTCAACGTCGCTACCAGTGTAGCTGTCTTTGTCGTCGGGCGTCTGTTGCAAGGTATCAGCGCTGCAGTAGTCTGGGTTGTGGGGCTTGCATTGTTAGCTGATACCGTGCCCCGGGAGATGTTGGCTCAATATATGGGGTATGTCAGTCTGGGGATGACTTCCGGATTCATGCTTGGTCCCTTGCTTGGTGGGGTTTTGTATGAGAGGACCGGGTATAATGGTGTTTGGGCATTGTGTTATGCATTCATTGGAATGGATTTTGTGCTACGGATTGTCCTCGTGGAGAAGAAGGATCTTAGTCAGGATCTCCCCGTAGAACCTGAGCATGAACCTGAGACGAAAGAGCCAACTCGAATCGAGGACAATAGCCCCCCAGCTGACGAATCAGTACAAAGTTCAACACCAAGGCGGCCCGCACGAAAGACATTCACACAAAAACTCCCCGCAGTCTTTACTCTCCTCGCATCCCGGCGTCTTCTCGCAGCTCTCTTCGCCAGCATCGTCCAAGCCACCCTGGTAGCCTCCTTCGACTCGGTTCTCCCCTTATTCGTCAACGAAGTCTTTTCCTGGGGCTCCCTTCAATCCGGCATTCTCTATCTCACCATCGTCATCCCCACCCTCATATCCCCCTTAGTCGGATTTCTAGGCGACAAATACGGCGGACGCTGGTTCGCAGGTGCCGGTTTTCTACTCGCATGTCCCATGTTCATCCTCCTCCGACTCATAACCCACAACACCATTGGCCAAAAAGTATCCCTCGTCGTATTACTCGTCTTCATCGGCTTAGCAATGACGTTAAGTTTCCCAGTCATCATGGCCGAAATCACACATATAGTAGCCGCAAAGGAACAATCGCGACCTCTGGGGTCATTCGGAAAGGGCGGAGCATATGCGCAGGCTTATGGATTATTTAATATGGCTTTTGCGGCGGGCACGCTTATAGGACCTGTTTGGGCAGGGATGATTAAGCAGAATTATGGATGGGGGACGGCGACGTGGACGCTGGGGTTGTTGAGTGGTGTGACTGTTGTGCCGTGTGTGATTTGGGTTGATGGGAGTATTAGGAAGAGGAGGATTAAGAGGGCTGATTTGAGAGGAAGAGAAGAGGTCTCGTGATGTGTACATATATTTCCGTTGGTGTATATAAGTTTTTGATGTATATAGGTATTCCACTCAATAGATCTCATCTCATCATTTCGGCGAACAGATTTGTTATTTTACAATTCTATAATTCCAGGGAGAAGTTGTATAATATACATGATTTAAAAAGGTAGTAAAGCACATAATCAGAACGGAATGTTTCCCAACCTACCACCCAGAGAGGAAAAGGTTACGACCTCAGCCTATCCTGCATAGCCTGCAACCTATCCTTGAGCGACATTCCTGACGCGAAGAACGGACTGTCCAACTCTTCCAGCGTCGTCGGTTTCGTAAACCCCCAAATCTCCCACTCCTTCTCCTTCCCCATAATCCTCACTTTCTGTATCACGACGTACTCTGTACAATCCTGAATTTTGGGAAGTGCGTCAATGGCTTGACCATTTTCTTCTATTACGGTTAACTTTTGGGAGCGTTGTTGGCTGGTGATTCGGAGGATGATTTGGCGGATGCCGGAATCTGCTAATTCGGGGATTGCAGTTGCGCGGTCAGATAGGACGCGGACGCCTGTGAAGAATGTGGATGGGGTGCGGTTGTATTTTTCTATATTCCAGGAGAGGGTTTCTTTGGGGTTTCGTTTGCGGATGCGTCTGATGAGGTCTTTTGCTAGGCCTGGAGAGCATCTTGCTCGGAGGAACCTTTCATTGCCGCTGTCTCTCGTTAGTGGATACGAAGAATAGGACGGGATCAGAGTCTCTTACCGAGCGAATTCGGTGTACATGAGCTCATGTAGCCCCTTGCCGATCTTCTTACGCTCCCCTAAATTAAGTGGTTGTCGAGGATTGGAATACCATTTATGATAGAGAATCGTTCTATACAATTAGCATTTATCCGCAGTCGATTCACAATCAGGAGTAGAACTCACTGAAAAACCGACGTGAACCAAGTCTTTATCCAAACCCATTCCATCATTAATCGATCTTTAGGCTCCGAAAACAACGAAGGCATATCCTTCCCTTCCGGCTTTATAAAGGTACCCGGCAAAACTCCAAAATCGGTAGGTATACTCTCAGGATCCATATCCTTCAATCTGCTCCTGAGACTTCTCTCGGGGGGCAATTTGGGCATGATCGTTTCGGCGGACATCATTCCAGATCTTGCCCTAGCGGGTTGGGAATGGGAGAATGGACGACGACATGGCGGTAATTGAGATTGTTGTCTTCCGGAAAAGACTGTCGAAGGGTTGTAGATGGAGAGTGCACGAGGTGTGTTTCGAGGGAGTATGCTTGATCTAATTCCAAAAGAGGCCGCCATTACGTGTGTGAGTCGATCGTTACAGTCCCTCAGAGAGGCTGTCACGATGTCAGATGAGCATTCATTCAGTGCTGTTCCCAGGCCGAAATTGTTGTTCCTGGTTTGCGGACTTTGTTTCTGTCGGGGCAGAATAAAGGCACGTGACTTACCGCCTTACACAATATGCCAATCATATTTGCGTATTCATCAAATCTCGAAACTTTTTCGAGGAGCAGCAATTGTCATACGAAAATACTTGTTGATTCATAGGCAAAATGTTCAGAATGTTCTATGCTAATGTTTTACTTAGTTGCCAAGGATACCTGTGAGTCGATTGTTGGCGTTGACTTCGTCATCGCCCAGGTAGAACAAACATGCCGAGGCCTGTATCCGTTAACATTCAATCAGATGTCACTATAAACCGGAGCATGACTCGTCGAATAATTAGATTGTCCCTCAATTGTAAAGACAAGAATCTCATAAATATTTCAGCGCAAACATTTGCTCCGTCTCTCGTGGAAAGTGACACACACAATCAATTCTCCTAATTAACCCCCTTATCTGCCCGCATTCCATCAAAATAAAGTGCCACCTCCTTATCGTAGCTCCAATTGTTTACACAGTTTACATCCAAAGTCACACCGTGTACAACGTGTCTCTCCAAACAATCCGAGCGCAACAAGGCGAATATTCCTGTTTTTGAAGCCTGCTATCTCCGCAACACAACCTACGGCAGCATATGCCGTAGGCAAAAGTGCAAAGAATCTGGCTTCCACCGGCCGCGATGCCGCAAAGCTCCGTCTCAACTCGCCACTTCCGTCGACACAGGTAGAAGAGAGTTTCGAAAAAAAACACCACCAACAAAAACGAGGATCACGAGAATTATTGTTGCCACCGTCTTCTTCCCTTGCGGCGACCAATGTTTTACTGCATGGTTATTTAACTGCGTCAGTACTAATGAAGAGCTTGGGCGGGTCGTTATTTCCTGCGCTACCTGCAGCAGCAACGACAGCAGCAGCGATTGAAGAAGCTATTGAGTACGACGACGACGAGGAGGATTCGCCTGCGTCGACGATTGTGCCTTCTTCACCTGTGCGTTCTCGTCGGAATTCACCGACACGCAATGGAGGAAACACAGAAGACCACGATAGTGGAAGTAGAGGAAATCTCAGCTACCACAACGACAACGACAGAAACAGAGACGGAGACAACGAAAGAAACACGATTCCTCCTCCCCGAACGACAATCCCTCACCCGAGCACGCATAAAGCTCTTCCAAACCATCCAGGAACAAATGAAACTTCTGGGCCGACCACCCCTGGAAATCTTACCACCATTGAACCTACAAGAATTCCACAACGAACACCTAGCAATCACCAAACACCTCGAACAACTCGCGTCGAAGAAGGACTCTCTGGACCCGAGAGAAATCCCAATTCATTACTTAATTGCGAGAAAAAGACGACTCCTAGTCCTCCTCATGCACCTCGAATGGAAGATCGAACGCCGCCGAGTCCGACGACAGAAACGTCTGCGTCAACGCCAACGGTATCTTCATCAAAATTACATCCGCGAGTTGCGGTCATACTTGGGGTAGATCGGAAATGGTATTTACCGTTGGTCGTGTGCAGGGCGCTTAGTGTTGGGCCTGCGTTGTGGTGGGGATTGAGGTGCGCGTTTACTTTTTTGGCGGAGTTGTTGAGGATTAGACCGGGGAATATGTGGAGGGAAGGTTGGGTTGCGATTGTGGTGAGTAGTGCGGCGGCCGATTGGGATGTGGAGAGGAGGTTTAGGGTTACTGAGGTTGCGTTGGCGATTATGTGGGTGTGTATTTTCTCTCCACCGAGATCTATAGATGTGATGACTGACTGGTGTAGTGCTGCGCATCGGCATATCTATCGTATTTTTTCATGGACTGCATGATGTCTCGATGGTACGTAGCACTTTCAACCCTATCGAAGACATGCTAACATTCGCAGGCTCCTCAACTACAGTCCCCCAGCAGTCCTGATCCGACTCCTAGCCACAAACGGCCTTATAGCATACCTCACCTCCTCCGTCCTCTGGCTCTCAGGCGCCTCATCTGATCCACGCTTACTCCTCCCAGCGTGGATCTCAATCACAACCGTACAGTTTCTCCCCTATCACACACCTCAACACATATAGCTTCTAACCCATGACCTGGTGGTGTAGACATTAACATTCCTCTACCACGCAACCCAAAACCACGCCATGATCAAACGCGAAACCACCGCATCTATTTCCGTACTCTCCGTAGCCAGCTACGTGAGCATGTCCCTGATATTGTTGCAATTGCATTTGACGCGCGATAATGAGCCTGAGGTACCGGCCTTTGTTATGGGGCAGAAGGTTTTTGATTGGCTTGGTGGGCTTACTTCTTGGTGTGCTTCTTCTTAAAAGATCTGGTTAGAGGGCCTGTTTACTTTATATTTGTTCTTTATCAGAGGCAGGCGTCTTATACTCGGATTTATATTACATATTTAGTTACGATTGTTTTGTATGTTTCGCTTTATTTATATTGATACCTGAGTGTGCTCCAATCATGTTTATCAGACTACTATAGACTACAGGTCTTTACAAAATCTGCAAGCCAGATGATAAGAATTCTTCCAATTGTAATCAAGAGCATCCACGATGCTAAGACATACACGCAGAAAGAAAAGAAACAATAACGAAAGTCAAGCAACGTCATCTATGGGTATCTTCAACGCCATGTTCCAGTACTTCCTTCCCTGAAAGCAGAATCATCAAATCATGAGAAAAAAAGAAACAAACGGTTTCAGTCCGAAGATCACCAGGAAGGTGACCTCGGATGAGTCGCCATTTGAGAAAAAGCTTTTCCCATGTTCGATAAGTCAAAGAGCAGATCATGAACCCATCCGTTGGGAATCGCTAGTCGAATATGAATTAACTTGACAGAAACATCGTGCCTGTCTCCGAAAAAGGATACTCGTCAAGCGAAACACTAAGAATGAGGATTGAATCATCGACAAGCGACGCGACGAAGCAGTTCCATCGTATCCTCAAGGGGTAGATCTGTCGAGAAGGACCGAAACAGCACGGCGCGTGATTCTAGAACCCATGGACCTGAGGAAGTTAGCACGAACGTAAATTACTCGCCAGAAGCAGAAAAACATACCTTGATGGTCTTGGCGTCGAGTTCTAAGCCCTCTTTCTTATCGACCAAAAATTCCTGAACATCTTTGCGCTGATCACCCTGCAGCTGGATCACCTCCCCCATCTCACTGTCATTGACAATGGTGCCATTGCAAGCTGCACTATTAGCCCGATGAAAATTACGTGTATTAAATGGATAGGCATACCGAATTTCTTCTTGATGACCTTGAGAATCTTCTTCTGATCAAACTTCTTTGGAAGACCCTGAACGGTGGTCAATGTCTTACGACCATTGCGCTCTGTCAACTATTAGTTGGATATCCAATAAATCAACAGCGAATAAAAAAAGGCAAAAACAAAAAAACATACGTTGAATTCGTATATGAATGTAATTTTGAGACTGTTTAGTCTCACCGGTATCTTCGTCGGCTTCGGCGAAGGGGTCTGTGATGACGGATGGTTAGTTATTCGTCTCAGGCCAGTGTGTCGCACGAACTAAAAACTACCCCGCTCTTCCCATCACGAGAGCGGCTGTTATTTAAACATGATGAATAACGCGCTATCCGCCTGTTGCGATATAGAAAGAACGAGAGTAGACTCTAACGTAGAGCGTAGTTCCGACACAAAGATCTAACACAGAGCCCGGAGCACAACTTACCGAAGGTCTTGAGGTTTTCGATGGACATAAACTCTGCCTTTGCTGAAAACTTCCTTGAAAAAGGGGGTATAGATAAAATGAAGCTGGGTGAAAAAGAGAACTCGGTAGGGTGTCTCTTGTCGATGCAGATGGTATTTGTTGCTGAGCTGAGGAGTATGGAAGAGGGGAGATGTTGATGGAAGAGTTGGTTTGGCAAGAGGAGGAATTGGTTTCTTTTTAAAGCGACCGCAAGGAAGGAGCGAGGGGCGAGCCCTTCCTGCCAGACGCAGAAATGCCAAGACCTGCCCGCAGTGACTGCCGAAACGAGGAAAGCGCGGGTGACTCAGCAGGTGGCCAACGCGCTGATTGGCTGTACCTCTTAGTCATACCGATCCCTTGTTTGAGCTGGATCAGACGCAGTCAACATGATGGTGGTCAAGGCTCGCCAGACGCCTTTATGCGCGTTGTCTCAAGACTCAACGATGTTGAACGATTCGACATGACTTCAGTAACTACGCTAATCACTTAGCTGAGTTCTCGTTGTGTTGTCACAGCCAGTCGAGGGACCACTGCCTAGTCAGGTGGCAATGCCAGTCACCAGGCTGGGCCAGAGCCGTTGCATCATACAAGCGGCTCACGGATGGTGTTGCAGTACTGCTGCTATGCGCAAGAGAGCGAACCGTCTATTCCTTGACATGGTGAAGAATGACTCATTATTAATTGCATTATTAGAACATTTATGTATATTACATAGGTCACGAGACCTCGCACGCTCGATCAGTCATGGTTTCATTCCGCCTATCTTGTTGCGATTTACTCATCCATGGTTTGCTCGATTATGGGGTCGGTGATGGCGCTGGAGCAGCGGCTGTGCTGCTGCCGCCGCGAGCGCCTGGCGTCGGGAAGAAGAGAGGCATATATGTCTATCAGTTGGGTTAATATCGGCCGTGACTGCAATCAGGAATAAGCGTAAACGTACAACACCGAGAGACATCACTATACAGATATCGGAATTAGTATATAAATCATAGATACTTCAGTTCCTCCCCGGGATAAAAACTTACACGACATAAAGACGGACATATAGCTAGGCGTAGCAGCATTCCTGCTCTGCTCCGGAGTTTCTGATAACCAGTTCTGAATGGAGATAATTACGGCGACCCTATATCACGAATCCTAATCAGTGGGGCCCCTCCGAACAGCATCGAGAGACAGAATCACGTACCATCCGATCATGCTAATAGAGAGTCCACGTGTCAATTGAACTGTCCCAGTATTATCTGTTCCGTATCCATTGCGCTTGGACGACATACCGGTTTCGTGTAAACATCTAGACATTGAATCGATTAGAACAAAGCGATAGCCCTGCGACAGGGGATGGGTCAATCTTACAGCAGCCATTGGTAGAGTCGTGCTCATAGCACCTGCAACCACATCAACATCGATCCAATCCTTCACCAGACCATGCCATTCTTTTTCTAGAGCAATTGTGCATACCTGAAATATCCGTATCGCTCTTCGCAGCTGGTGGCTCGACATATGGAATCACTAGGCAATTGGCCACGGTCAGCTCCGTTGGCACCATCATTGCGAAGCTCGACACAACAGAATACGACTTACCCAGGTCCACCCGTCGCATATCCTTCTTGGTCGACATGATGAATACTTTGGCCGAGACGACGTATACTTGCTGATGGACTGGGACTGAATGTCTGGCTGGTTCCCCAGACTGTCAAGTTGTGTCAACGAGCAGGGAGCTAAGCATCTATGGACACGTGCCGCACTAGCCTGATCAAGCTAGACCACACGGAATTCCCTGGATGATAGTTAGCCAATCAGTGTGCATGTCATATCCTGATAACATGATTGGCTGGGAGGTACCATGCCCTTCGTATCCCTCCTTCACTGACATTCACCAAGGCCAATTTCGCCAATACTGGTCTGCTCATTACTAATGTCATGTGGTGTCCCTGGATAGACAGAATCATGATATCCATTGCTTTGACGTCCCAAGACAACCTGGAAGAAAATGCCGCAAGAAAAAAAGACAGCAGTACCGTATGATAGCATGCGAATCACACTTGACCTAGGTAAAACCGTAAAAGCAATGCAATCCAATGAACTCTGTTCTAGGTATATTTTATGGACCAAAAGTTCGACGAGTCCAAACAGTAGATCAGAAGACGATCAACGTGTCCGGCATAATGAGTAGATCTGCATTCGCTGACAATAATTGATCCACAGATCCTAAAAAGCGGGATAGGGATGGCAGAACGACCCCGGCATACGACGGTGTCGTACATATCAATACATAATGCAAGAAGCAGAAGAAAAGAATGGCTGAAACAGGAGGGTATGATATCTATATCTACCGAACGTACCTATCCGGTCCAAAGTAATTGGACGGTAGAAGTGCAGAAAGAGGTAAATGCAGGTTGCACGGATCGTCTTGACCTAGGCAAGATTTCAAGATTGGTTACTCTTCCGGAGTGATGCATTGCCAGTTTCTTAGAGAGCCGACATCCAACGGCCCAGTGAAACCCTAAGACGTAATACGAAGACTGCCCCCATATTCTACTTAAAATCCATAGGTATGTGCCCAGGTGCTCCGGAACCGCAGGCTTCATATTTCATAAAGTAATATGCGATTATCTCCGTTTATCAGCGAGTCAGCATCGCAGAGTGGATCGGTTGGAGACTGGACAGTGGAACCAACGTGTTCGTTACCATAGTGCTTATCATTAAGGTGTAGTTAAATGCATTTATCATTGAGCTGTTAGGATGAATCGTGCCGGGCCCCGAAGAATAATATCTCAATTCCTCAAGCATTGGCACAGAATACCCTCAGTCCTCCCTTTCCGGGAACAATACCAACCAGTCTTGTGCTTGGTAATTAATGCTTGGGGGTCAATAATAATCGATCAATACTCACCCAATGAATAGGACAATTACTATTCAGAAAGTTTGTTTGTCGTCAACGTTGTCTGATTGTACGTGACATGTCAGCTCTCGGCTGAATTATTGACATGGTTCGGCATTTTTACAGCGATACGCAACAGTAACCCTAGGTCGTGCATTCGCCTCGGTGATTTTATTTCCAACTGTCCTGATCCCCTACTGAGACTTAGATAAATATGTAGCACCTCAGCCTGATTATACTCTTTCTTAGAATGGAAAATCTAGCGAGGTGAAAATGGCAGATTGCCGGGAAGTGGAGGAGTATTTGTAAGGTATCGCCACGGGTCCGGAGTTTGTTTGTCCGCTGAACTCAATAGCTTTAGTGCTTAGTAGTTATATCCGCAGACAAATAACTAGACAACAACCTGACAAAAGATGACAAACGCATGTTTCCTTTTTTTTTTTTTTTTTTTTCTTTCTTTTTTAAGAAAGAAAAACAAACCTGCCGTTTTCCGGTCGTCCTATTATGACCGCTAAGCCCGGAATAGGAACATCTCTGGCGTCTCGGCATAATTGTACCGTAATTGCATTACCCCGTATCTTTGCATTTCGGGGTTCAGATACACAGAGATCACGTTATTGTACGTATGATACGGCGCGTATTTTATACGGCTGATTACCGCCGGTTTCCCCGAAGGCTTTGGGAGGTTATCAACATAGCCGCGCCGCTTGCCATCGTGCACTTTGTTCGCCCTTTCCGTAATGCCGCTACCACTATCAGCCAGACTAATCCATACCTTTCTGACCTCAGCTTCACTTCTTCTCCTTCTTATTCAGCTGTTTACCATCTTAAATTGCTGTGATTTTAGTCTTTTGCTCGCTCACCGGTAATACACCCCAACTTCCCATAGCTTATCCATGTCTATGCTGCGGGAACTAAGACAACTGACGTTAGTTAGAAGTCGGCTCGAATAGGTGATACGAATCATACGATTGACGGCCACCACTTGACATTTGCATCATTTCCTGGCCCTACGCAACGTCTGATTCATCCGATCTGAGTCTTTGTTTCGATCGTTATCGTGTCCGCCTGGTTTGCAGAGTCGAGACGAAGTCGGAATCTGGTTCTCGACTCCGCATAGAGTGGAGAGAGCTTTAGCGCATACTCTCCATACATATAAAATATCGATGACCTGAATTATTTGCATTTGCCGAAAAGAGACAATCATGTCTCCCGTTTACATGCGATGATCCCGCATCCCTCTTCGACGGGCTTTCAAACCTGGACAAACCACACTCACGCTTCTGACAGGTCGTCCATGGCCGTGGCTCCTGCACCTTCCTCCGCGCAACAGATAATCGATCTGTCCGCCTCCGACGGCGGGCCTTCTGAGACCGAGCATCTTCACAAGAGACCCAGGTTAGATACTACTGTGTCGGGCCTGGCGAGCGATGGCCGTACCCCTTCCAGAAGCGCAGACGCTCGAAGCGCGACAACTCTCGCCAGCGGCGGCAGCAATCCTACAAGACCTGCTGTGGTATCAGGTCGCGGCCGTCCAGCCTACTCTTTTCAGGATTTAGTCGCCGATACCTATGGAGCAAGTGTCTTTGGAAATACGACCCCAGGCTCGCAACCCGCCAAACCTCCGTCCCCGCCGCCGTTCCCTGTGCGACCATGGACCCATACCCCTGCGCGTCAGTCGCATATTGAAAATGAGGGATTGTCGGACAATTTGCGCTCGCGCGAAGTTCAGACGATTCCATACCATCCAGAGACACCGGAGGTCGCTCCTATTTTGACCCGCGAGAGTAAGTGCTACAGTGGTGCATCGTGACTTCTTAGCAAAGTAATTGACTAACGGTTATATAGAAGTTGCTGACTACTCGCCCTGGTCTCGGCTAGGAAATCACCCCGAGGATCGGTTATCAGATCTCAATGTCAGGGCAGGCAACTTTGAGAGAGCCCCCGGTGTGAACACTAATTCAGATATTCAATCGCACGCGTCCAAACTTTCTGGCCAGCTGAAAAGCCACTCCAGTTTACAGCTGCTATCATCCGTCTTCGCCGCCGCTTTGGAGAAACGTCAGATCAACGAAAAGATATCCTCATCATCAACCTTCAAACCACCACCACGAGTGACTCTCACGGATAATAAACGAGAAGCCTGGCTCCGAGATCTTGCAAATTCATCGGTGCCCTTACGCCGATTGAGTCGGACGATACCACACGGAATTCGTGGGAAAGTCCTACTCGACCAATGCTTGGGCAAGGGAGTCCCTATCGGCAGAGCCGTATGGCTGGCCAAATGTGTTGGAGCCAATGAAATCCGCGCATTCAAGAGGAAAGGGACCAGCGGGTCGCTTTCGCAAGGGCTCGAGACGAAATGGGTTCGTGAGTGGACACTGAGTGTACAACAGTTTACTGCCGGAGTGATAAGTGCATGTGGAAAGCCAGATTGGCGAAATAAGATGACCTACGCGTAAGAAAGTTATCTTCCTCCGTGTTTGAGCGCAATGATTGACTGGTGGTGCAGAGTGAGACTCGCTGCTCGACTATTCTACGAGCATTTACTCGATCAAGATTACTATCTCGACTGGTATTTGTCGTCCATGGAGAATTCCTCGTTAGACGCTTTCCCAATATGGCTTGCGATGCTCAATATATACTGGGGTAGCCTCGTACGGTTCAGAAAACGAGGAAGACGCCTTGCGGAAGCCTTGTTGGAGAAGCTTAGGGACGCTACATTTTCCGATTTCAAAGTGCACTTGCAGCCCTTGGTTGATAGAGTTTCTCTTCTTGTTCGCCGACTCTGCCGAGAACACTCCCCATGTCTCATTCTTCCACGATCATGGGACCGTTATCAAGATGTCGTCGCAGCTTCACTATCTTCTGGCGATACTAAGGAAAAGGCAATCTTACAATCGCTTGTTCTTCGAAATGCCCGTGTTCAAAGGCCCGGAACATACTGTCCGGTACGTCAACGTTCACCACAAGAGCAAGTAATCAAGCTTCTGGACGCATCTCGTGATACATGCGATATGTGTGCTCTATCAGGTAGATGCCTCGCCCTTGTCCCCGATCGGCAAGACCTTGTTTCGGTGCTTTTGAGATGGGCTGCGAGTCCGTTTCGTCAAGGACTGGTTCGCGTATATATTGCTGTGCGACTCTTTCGAAAATGGAAACGTTCAGGCATGGATATAGACGCTTGCATTTTTCCATTTCTTACCCAGACTTCTACTGAACAGTCTGCATCAATGGCCAACGTATATCACATTATAGTTGAGTTGATTCGGTCTCAGACATTCTCGGTTGGCCGGTATCTGCAGTGGTTGGTCGCAAGAGGCGCTGTTGAACAGTATCGCCAGCACAACCCTGCAGAGGAGTCTCCATCTTCAGTGCCAGTCGATATAGCATTGTTATCACACATACCGGTTGCTCGCCTTCCACGACATCTTCGCAATCTTCGAGACACACTTCTAGCTCGTGCAGGCCTTTCTTCCTCCGAGAACGAGGTACTGCGCAGTATCAAGGCCGATCTGAAGCAGAGACTCCCTGGTTTGTTCGGAAAGGATGATTCGCACATGAGTCTCAACTACGATAAAGACAACCTATCGTGGTCAGTTAAAGCGGACATCAGCCAGTGGGTTCGAGCAGCCGTGTCAGAACATTATGAGAGCGGCTCTGCCTATTCCCAAAAGATGTATGAAAGCTCCGTTGAAGCGTCTTCTTTAACCCAAGAGGAGTTTCTTGTCGTTCGTTCCATACTTGAGCAGTACGGCGATCTTTCTATGCTCGCAGACATTCTCATCGATGCGTCAAACTCGGATGATGTTCGTTTGCTCACATGTGCTGTCGATACATTAAACCGTCACTTTGAGTGTTTTACTATTATTGGTGCATTGGGCGACATGTTCCGAAGTTTCTATGAAGCTTTCCTCCGTGTCAAGAATAGCGGACAACCTCTCTATGATTTGGCATATTCAATGGCGGAAGTCGGACACCGCCTCCCCAATGAAGTGAACTCGCTGATCTTGCTTCGTCAAGAACTTTCCCGAGCGGACCGTAACCTTGCTCTTGCAGCTTGCTCTCCGGTGTCAGATATGGCAGAGACATTGAACGACGCTAGTCCTTCATTCAACGAGGATATGGACCAGTTTTTATCATCCGGCAACAGTATGGACGAAATGACGATGATCCTTGTTTTCCAAAAACTAATTCAACAACTTGCGTTCTACGACGAGAAGGATCCGTCCATGCCAGGTACGGTTTGTCGCCATCTGGTACAGCTGCGATCATTCAACTCGAAGCACTTTGATCTCCTGCTTGTCCAATGGCTTGAAAAGACTTTAAAGTCCACCTCTCGGCCTAATCTGTCTCGTCTTCTGTATCCGCTTGTTGGCATTGGATGTGTGACTTTACCGGCATTTGCTACTTTGACGAAAAAAGTCCTGCATTCCGGATCGCTTCAGACCGACGCTTTCGCACTCCCGGACTGGCTGGTCGACTTCTTGAACCTTCTTGTGCCTAAATACAGTGCTGAACCCCTGTATGACTTCTTAGCGTACCGCTTTCGCATTGCCCAAGAAGAGTTCCTACACGGACACTCAAATGAAGTTCTTGCACTCCTTAAAGATGCCGTGCCATATATGACTGTGAACACTGCTCAAGAAATAGCACCTTTGGCTCCATGTGTGGTTCCCTTATTGAGTGAGATCATTGTCCGCCATCCAGAAGATACCACGATGGACAGTCTCCGAGGCCTCATCAAGACTTGTCCAAGGTTCCTTCCAGTCGTCCGCCAATCTCTCGATCTTCTTTTGAATGATAACGAACAGAGCAACTCAGATTTTTTGCTGAAAACAGCAGCGACAATCACGCAGACAAATCATCTTTCACTGCCTTTGTGTCAGATGAAGCTTCAAATCCTTTTTGACGAGAAGAATGACGAGAGCATGAGGAACAGCATTGTTGATTTAATGTACAAGTCGGCAGTGGCGGATGTTCGTACCGGGAATACTTATTGGCTCGATCTGGTATCCACAATGGGCCAGGAGGCTGCAGAACATGTATGTAATCATTGAACCAGCAGATTTATAGCTTTGATGTTCAAGCTGACGAATGAATAGTTACGCCAGAGAGCCGAGAAGGACTTCTTTTCCATTACGCAATCTGACATCGCTTTAGAGAAAGATTCCGAGAACGAACGACTTGCCCTTCAGGAAGACGCACGTGTATATTTGTCTATTGTCGACGGACTCGCATACAGTATACCCGAGGAAGGAGTTTCATCTATCGCGCCTATTCTTGTCGAAAAGATGAACGCGCTTCTCCAAAGGCTCTTCACCATGCATATGAATGTGCGGAACTGGAGCGAACATCGTAGTCGCTCGTCACAAGAAGCAATTACGCGTCAATTGTCTGGCTGCGAAGAGAACTTTGTATTCTGGTTGACCGCGATGCTACAAATGATCCGAATCCATCGTGCAGCATTCGACGTACCGGCAATGTCTGGCAACCAACGGCTAGGTGCTTATGTTGACTTGTCGCGGTTGCTCATCATAATCTGCTGTCTGGCATTATCACGGACGCCCTTGGGGCTTACAGTTCAGCCACGGTTAGATCTCTCTGCGTCGTCATATTTCCTCGCGTCAGCAAAAGAGGTCCGAGCCGGAAACACTATTCAAACATATGCCTTAGATATCGCATCTTCTTTGGTCGACAGTCTCCCCGACGAAGCTCGGCAAAATTGTGCCAATTTCATCAAAGACCGTTTTCCACCAGCACTCAACGTCCAGAACGATCCTCGTTTACAGTATCTTTTTGGTCCTGTGGCCGAAAATTCCGGTAATCCAGGCGGACCTCTTCCGTCTTCCGGTCCTGTCTCATCCCCTGCCGCAACAACGTTGACTCCGTCAACCAATCCTGTCAACAACACAGCTGGAACAGCAGGAGGAAATACCATCGAGGACCCCATGGCAATCCACAATCGCTTACGCGTTCAAAGTCATGGCCGCGTGATCGGATCATACCCGCTTCGGCCGTGGGAGATGCTGGAGGAAGCTGCTCCGGTGGTTGGTGCCAACGACACTGCGATCGATTTGAACCTTTTTGGTGCACGCAAAGTGCGAGAGTACTGAGCGGAAACAACAACTCAACTCAACAACTATCTCATATTTCTCATGATGCCCTCATTTCTTTTGTTTTACTTTCAGCCCCTACTTCTTGAAGTCCCCCAACCCATCTGTTTTTAACATTGTAATATCCCATTTCTCAAGCCGGAGTCTCACGCACCATTTTTGGAACCATATTTCATTATTTACATGCATGCATTTCACGAGACAAATCACATACACCCCTCACACATAAGGCGTTCTGGCATCTTTGGATCTTCGATTATATCTGGAGTCATTATCTGTGTACATATTTCTATCATTATTTCTTCTTGATCTATTATAAAGCATGGCGGAGTGCTGGGTAGAATGGTATCGGACTGGATGAGTCGATTTTCACTTCCTCTTGATGTTTCTTTCAAGGACATATCATAGTTGGTTGTATGGATTTGTTTGTGGCATAGTTTGATACCAACCTGTTTTTATTTTTGGTTAGGATGTATTTGGAATAGGGAGAGTGAATGATGACGATTGGATGCACTTTACTATATAAGAATCAAGTACGATCCGAGTCCATCATGATATATTTTGGGATCGACAGAGATCGATAGACAGGTTGGCAATGTGCATGCAGTACAAGGCTGTGCTAGTGCCGAACCCGGCTGATGATGCTTGCCTGCTTCTAGCCTGATTGTGCTGTATTTTGATTTGGGCTGGAGTAGGCTGTGTAAGATCTCACTTCGAGAGATATTTCTCCAATTTGACCACGCTATGAAGACGGAATAGAATTGATTCTGTGGTAGGCTCACTTGAGGCAAGACTCGTCGGAATCTCCTCTAAGGCCGGCTGCTCTGAGGAGTGCCTTCTCATTGTTTGCGACTCTCTCATGCATGCCTATTGAGGTGCAGATTGACAGGGGCATCTCCCCCCTTCTTCAACTACGAGTTTCATCCTTTCAATATACCCCTATATCCGCCATTCCTCTTTTCAAGATAGTTCCTTGTCGCTCTCATCCCACTAGGTCGGAAAAAGGACACAACTCCCCATTATGGCAGAAGCATTCGGATCATCACAGATGCTTTCAGTGTCTGTTCCCTAGTCCTCGAACTGCTGGAAGTCGCTCAATCCGCGCAGCGTTAATGGAGACGTATTTAAAATCTCCCATCGACTTCATCCGAAATCTCAAAGAGCCTACAACATATCGAGCAACTATTAACAGTAATCGGGACTTTGACTATTGATGGACCCGGCGGTCAGAATTTACTTTTATGTTTGGCACATTGCAGAGGTCCCTTGAATGGATGATACTATACAAGACATTGAAGCGAGTCAGTCGATCCGAAAGTTGAAGAATATGAAGGGCACAATAAAGAATCTTTCTTTTGATGAGAAAGTATCGGATGCGAGATCATCTTTGAGAGACACGATAAGTGATTTGTCTCTTGCGTTGCTTGTTTCACAGCTTCAGCGTACTTGTCGGCATTCTTCTAGTATGGAAAGAAACCTTGAAACGATAAGGTTGGTGTATACATCGAATGAAAGTGGCTCACCCGTCGAGTCTAGGGTCATTCAAGATAAACGAGCCGATGAGGATGGGACTGAAACAGAAAGAACTCAAGATCGTTCCAACCAATTACAACTTATGGGTCAGAGTTTTTATCACTCAAATGTACCACTCATGAGGTTTACCATATATATAGCCAACGATTCCAGCTATTTCTGGGGACTTTTTCTGTCTCGGCTTTGAGAAAGGAAACGAAGATTAATAACGCTGATAGAGAACAGAGGGCCTCATACATACCATGAGGTGAAAGTCAAAATTTCCCCTTCATTTTCTAGAAAAAAATTTCAGCCGAAGCTCTGTGCAAGTAGGATTGCAGGATTTAACTTATTTAACTTGTCGCAGAGCTTGCAAACTATTCATCGATTACCGATAGGCAAAGGGACATTTTATGATATTGCCCAGGATGATTCTACCAGCGTGAGAAAACTCCAAGACGGAATTGTATCCCCCAATAGCACCGACATATAGGGTCGTTCCTAGCTTGCTATGGTGAGAAGCGCTCAGCAATCTATGACTCCTCGTTTTTATGCTAATCTGACTATGTATAATAAGGCGTCTCGCCGTGGTAATCTCGGTCTACTGTGCCGGCTGCTTGATCTAGGCAGGAATACTCAGATCGTCGATGATGATGGAAGGTAGGTGTCTCCCAGGGATTTGAGATTTCGTTTCGAGAATGGCAATAACATGAAATAAACAGAAGGCCTTTGCAATCCTCGATCCGCTGTCCATGGGGTGCAAAATGGGAGATATTCGATCTTCTGGTCACTAAAGGTCAAATTGATCCACTGATACGTGAATCTCTTGTTCAGAATTACTGGCACATATTCTGTGAAATCCACTAAATAACCATGAAATTCCCACGGAAGTTGATTGCGAGAGAGTTCAAACTAATATTGAATGATCCAGCTCTCTTTGGCTGCACGTACCTCTTTTATCTGAGCTCAAGTCCTAAGGCCAGCACTGATGTCTTGCAATGGCACATAGGAAACGGGGCTGACTTGTCTATTGCTGCCAATAGAAAGCTCACACGATTAAAGGGACTTACTTGTCTTCATGCTCCGATAGCCAGTCTTCAGCAACGTCGTCGACGGCGCATATTGGGGAGCTTTGACGTCGAATTTCCAGACTTTAATGTCCGAATGCTGGAACGACTCTGGTCAAAAATAGATCGGTGTCATTTCTACTGTGATAAGAATGATTGGATCAATCAAAAATTGCGGAACATGCTATTGGTTCAAAATGATGGTGATCTGTTCGCGGTTTCAGAGTCATATTCCACGCTAACTGATGTTGCACGTTTTACTGGAAACTTTGATCTTTGGTTAGAAGCCTTGGCAGAATGTGGTTTGGATGTTAAACAAGTCCTGGCCGCGGACAAGAAGATACAACGTAGCAAGCTTTTTGCTGTTACCGAAGACCTAGTGCACGAGCGAAGGACTCAAAGGGGTGAACTCCAACGACACTTTGATGACATTTCCAACTTAGGTGGCCAGTTATCCTTATTGAAGGAGACAGAAACAATTCCTCCTTCATTATACGGAAACCAACCGGTATCGTACAGCTACAAGACCTCAATGGTAACCAATTAATCGACATTGGGTTTGAAGGTAATACGGCCACCTATCTTTCTGCATCGTTTTGCAGTCGTGAGACCTTCAGGTTTTATTATGCAACGGGTCTGGACTCGAAAAAGACGCACGAACACCTCAGAGATTTAGCTGCCCGTACAACTGGGGATTTTGATGCCAAGGGTGTTGAGTGGAATCTTGATCACGAATACATCATTCTTATTAAAGCAATTGTGGCATTATATTTGGACAAAGAATTTCTATTTCCTCCAAGGGGCCTACACAGTATACGGTAATCAGCACAGGGGGGCTCTTATATCATTACAATAGGATTCGGGTATAGGCTGTTTCTTTTGTCTTATTTATCCTTTATTTACGAGTTCTCTGTTCATAGTTTTTGACTACTGCTAATGCTAAACGCTATGATTAGGGCTATGATTTAGGGCTAGGGCTCCGACGATCGAAAGTTCCCGAATAAGTAGCTTCCGATTTTGTACTAGCTCCGTTTTGGGTTGCGATGATGTCGGATTAGTAATCAGGTCATATGTCTGTTGGTTTCGTCTTGGCTGTGTTGGAAGACAAAGATCTTCCTGATCTAATAATCGAGCATTGCGGTGACAAATGAATTATAGCATTTAAAAATACCTGAATTGAAAGGCTGAGATCGGGCGGTACGAAGCAACTAAGAACTCATCAGTATCCCCGGGTCAAATCGACAAACCCGCTACGCATCCAACATGACCACAAAATCAGAACAACAGCAACGGAAAACGCGGCAAAAAGCCTGTAATGCGTGCATAAAATCCAAGAGACGATGCGATTTGCAGCATCCTTCCTGTCGGCGATGTGTCATCAAGGGCATTGCATGTGTCTATTCTTCGACAAGGCTTCATGATCACGTCAGTGCTGCGAGTCCTGATAGTAGTCCTGATAGTAGTACTGGAAGTAGTAGCAATACTACTACGAGCATAGTCGGTGGTCAGCAACATGCTATCCCAGTATACAACGAAAATCAGCAGCCGCCGTTGCTTTTCCATTACCAAGATGATGGACTACGACAAACCCTTTTCCAGTCTGACCATTATTTCTTGAACAACAGCAATTATATTACTCAGCCGATGCAGTTCTTCTTGTCACCCGGCACATGGATTGTGGCAGACAGTACTGCTTCTGACAGAGACCGCACTCATCGATCGGTGCATCAACTTAATAGTTCCGTGCATCAGGTGCGGTGTTGGCTAAAGCAATGGGTCGAAGAGGGGAGTAATATGTTTGTGCATAAGAGACTTTATTATGCTCATGATAACAACTTCGGCAGCGATGGAAGAGGAAGGTTGCAAATGTCGAGATGCATACAAGATGCCTATACGACCTGCGCGGCTTATTTTACGTGTACGTCGAGGAATAAGCAGATGGTGTTGGGATTGGTAGAAGAAAGAGTTGCGACGTTGTTAGAAGAAAAGTGTGATGAAGAAGACCGCGATGTTTTTGGCAACACCAACGAAGTGTTTGACTTCTCATCACCGTCACCGAGATTAAGAATAATGAACAATTCACGCTCGGAAGAAAATCCAGCTAAACCCCGAAGTGTCCTCGACCATCTTGCCCGCGTGCAGGCACTACTAATATATCAGATCATTCGACTTTTTGACGGCGATCCCCGATCCAGAATGATGGCCGAGTCCTTAATCCCGGTATTAAGCCGATGGTGTAAAAACATGATTGACAGCGCATTACTTTCCAGCGAATACGTACATTCAGCTGCAACAATCTCCAATACAGCAAGTCAAGCCAACATCGAAAAGAGAATTACCTCAGACTGGAACGCGTGGATTCTCGCTGAAAGTGTGCGTCGTACCTGGCTTGTTGCGGGGCACATGCAATGTTTCTATCGACTACTGAGTTATGGTATCACCGTCTGTCCCGGTGGAGTAATGTTCACGACTCGCGCAGGACTGTGGCAGGCTGATTCGGCGTACGAATGGTGGGCGAAATGTAGGGAGAAGGATGTTCTGTTCTGTCCTAGTTTAGAATCGGGCAGGTATCTGTTGCGGCCGGGGGTGGCAAGTCCGGAGGATATAGATGATTTTGGAAGGTTTGTGCTGCAGATCATCGAGGGAGAAGAGAGGGTTAATAAATGGCTATCTGTTTCTTGACTAGATGAAGTAAATAGTCAAAGTGAAAATAATTGTCGGTTCATGAGGATATCTTAAGACGTATATGGCCCCCCTCGGAGGCCTGGCATAGCCGCACTTGACTGTGAAACAGAGACTTGTATCATTTTATTCAAACATGAATAACGGCTGTTGCCTGGGTAGGTACATTATGCTTTCACTGAGCCAACATACAAATTATAATTATACGTCTCACAAGTATCCACAATGCTCAGCTCCCCGGTTCCGTTAAGAACCGTCTGTCCACCGCGACTGACCACAAAACTCTGCTTACCCACTCCCATCGTCACATTTGATGTCGTGATACCAGCAGGAACATCAATACTAACCGCCTCATTACCACCACTAGTAACAATCAATGTAGCCGCTTCTTTCAACATAGTTGCCACAAACACACTATCAGAAAGTAAGTCAATGCCATTCGGGGCTGGTAGAGTATCGTTGGTACATGTTACCCCCTTTGGTGTAATGCGGTACCAGTATACTATTTCCTCCGTATCGATGGTTGGTGACGAAGCCCCGGCCTTGTAGGCTTGGATGTAGGGTTTGTAGAGATCGCGCCAGGCGTCGTGTGAAAATCCAGAGGCCCATTCGGAGGAGCCGTCTTCACTGTGAGCGGCTGAATAGGGTCTGATGTAGTGAGATTCGCCATAGTCTTCGGTTTTGGGATTAGTTTCTAGTTTCTTTTTCCTTTAAAAATCGGAGTGCTCCAGACTCACCATTCTATGTTATAATCTCGACGAGATCTGGCTGCATAGACAGTATCTCATCCCAGCGACGAGTAGGAAGATCCTCGCAGATAAAGACTCAATTCTTACTATTGAAATGTGTAAAGAACCATGGCGAGACAGCTGATAACAGTTAGCAGAGCGATATTCGCAAGGCCTTCAATGTTATACATACGAGCCATATAAGTAGCATTTCCTAAGTCCGAGATGAATCTATCATCCCAAATTTTAGTCATGGGCCCCGAGATAATGCTATTCCCTCCGTCAGTCGGCCACGCATACCACGAGAATGCTCCATCCGCACTTCGCTGACTATTGCTCGTTGCCTCCGCCGGATCCTGCAAATTCGGCAACGCCCATATAGAATGGTTCGTTCCCGCTTTTACGGGAGCCCAATCAAAACTATCCCCGACAAAAGTGCTTACAACCGCTGCATCGTTGTATTGTATCTGAGCCGGATGGCCTGCATAAGTTTGCATATAGTGGGTGATGTTTGCAGTATCCCCGTTTGTCCAATAGGCAAAGTCAAAGGAGATAAAGACTTCGAAACCAACATCTTCGGCAGCTTGATAGGCTAGAGCTAGCTGGGTGTGTAGCTGTCGACGCTGGCGCAGTTGAGTGCAAATGCGTCAATGCCAATGTCCATTGCTGTGGTCATGTCGGTCTTCCAGTCGTCCAGGGTGTAGTGTTCGACGATGCCGATCTTTTAGTTGTGTGAGTCTGGCTGACTGTAGTGATGAAGGTTATCACGATACTGACCATGAAATGCGCAAATACATATTTCGACGTCATTGACTGCCGCTTTGCTATTGTCGATGCATTGCATAGAGTAAATCCAGATGCCAGAATGGCAGCTACCTGAACAATACGTTTGAGATGCATGTTCTCTATACACACATCAGATGTATCACATCGGCCGCAGATGGCTATCGTCAACAGATGCATTCTATAGATCCAAGTCTTATATGCTCTCGAGTAAGGTAGCTTTTTCGACCATGGAGAACTTCCATCTCTACCCTGATCTGACATATTATCCAATCTCAACTGCAACCTCACCCCAGGGAAAAAGCAATTCTATCGAAACCAACACTTAATGATTTGATTGCAACCGTGTGTTTATAGTTATATTCAGACTATCCAACATAACATTTACCGCGTGATTGATACGTTTGCGGCCACATGCCAACATATCCGTCTTAGGTTGCATCAGTCGAAGACATGAGCCTGTAGATCGCGCTGTCAGCATTGAAATTGTTGCAGTTATTATATCACAAGAAATTATTAATGACAAGGATCCTCGACTTCTGTTCGCTCAGTCACAAAGAATGGGTTTGGTTATCGTGTCCAGAAAACTGCCCCTGGGAAGTTAGGGCTTGCGTTGGAAGATAATCAACCAAAGTATGAAGACAAGTGATATTCGATTATGTTAACCATTTGCTCACAAACATCTTATACGAGTAAATACTACTGAGTTTAATAAACATGTCATTTGACATGTTCATATATTGAAATGTAGCGCAACCACGGCTTTAAGAGTTCCAAGGTCGTTTTGACAGTGTTTTTGATATGCAAATCTGTCGGATTGCTGGGTTAACTTCAGGCCAAACCTGAATAGCAGTTGTCGGAACGTGAATATCAAACCCTACACGTTTTGGCACCGGATATAGTTAGTCTGACGCGGCACGTGCGTGCCGCGTATATCTAGCTAGCTATCCCCGTCCCCCTCGTTCTTGGGGACAAGTCACAATATTAGGAATCAAGATATCTTCATATTGTCAGGCTCATTAGGCCGCTTCGTGTTCGCGCCTTACTACCGTCTATGCTTCGTGATACGGACCGTAGTTAAACCAACACTGATCAGTGAGGCCCACAGATCAGACCTTACCCCTATTCTCACTTATTCGAATCCCCCTTCGACCTCGCGTCGATTACCACCCTGCTGCGCCGATATACGCACCAAATCTCTTGCTCGTGAGCTCTTAGCTGAGTCTCATAAACCTTACGAATCCACCCGTACGAACCTACGTACGAAACCACCTTCGACCCCGAGTCGAATACCCCTCTCAGTGCGCCGATATACGCACCGAATAACCGACAATATGGCACCCACGGATTATACAGATTTTGATCCGAATGGCAAGGACCGCAAGACAATCGAACCATGCGTAATAACACGAACAAAGATCTACACCGATCTGTACGACGACGACCTATGGTTTACCTTCAAAGATGATTTTGGAGACTGGACTACAGATAACCTTTGCAAAGCGACCGTACCAGTCCTTGGAAAACTACGTGACGTACTGCGAACCAATGGTATATATGTACCAAAGGGTGGACACGCAGGAAGAGTATTAGCGAACACACTGACTCTTCCAGAACCACACGAATGGACTGAAAGTGAAGTTGTTGAACACATACAGCTTAAAGGGACCTTCAATTCCCCATTTATCCAGTTGAAGTTCGCTGCCACAATCAAAAGAATCAACGACGCCGCAAATGTGACAATACAAAATAATGCTCAATTCGTGCAAGAAGATACCCCCTCTCCACCGTCAACAAACCTACACGGCATGGTAACAAGAGCGAAAGCATCTACAGGTGGCCCACAAGATATGACACCACCCGCTGAGACGGCGCCGCAGGCACCACTAGTACAAGTAGCGACACCTACCCAAACGGCAACATGGCAAGGAACGGGATATGTTCCAGCAATCCGCGACCAAGAAAGAACGTATTCGCAGGTGGGACAATCTGCACTGTTGTATGTTAACAGTATTGCACAACTTCGGAAGGTGTACACTACAGACAGCACCAAGTACGGCGATAATGAAGACTCATTCGACCTGGCTCACAATATCTTCTTAGATCTCTGCCGCCAGATGGGTCTACATACCGCAGAAGCACGGAACCAGGCAGTTTCAGTTATGCTCAAAGGACTCGCACTCGACTATTACTATACGTGGAAAGATCAATGGGAGCGCATGGGAATCGACCCCGCTGTGGCAGTCAAAAACCACTTCGAAAACGACGAGCACCTACGAAAAGTGCAGACTGACTGGGATGCGATAAATCTTTATACGCTCTACCACAAACTGCGACCAGAACTACGAAACGAGGTTATTTGGCATGCAAAGCTTATTTCTGCTACTCGAACACACCCAGCATGTCACGCAGCAACTGGAAATCCCGCATCTACGATCCCTGGTCTCATGCAGAGCCTTCGAGGAAGTGTCAGCCAATTTGAAGACACTAAGCGAGCAGCGCAACAGCACTTCGCAGGCACATACAATACTGATCCGTATGACGTTCCACGAACGAACATGACAGAACGTCGCTTCTTCAACAATAATCTACGATACCAACCTCAAAACCGCAGCCGCTTTACTCGGAAACCATCTCGTCACTTCAGAGGTCCCAGAAACGACAAAAAGACATGTTATATCTGCAAGAAACCAGGACACTTATCATATAACCACTCGGACGAGGAGCGCGAGGCACACAAGCGTGAATGGAATAAAAACAGATCTGGGAGTTATCAACAATTTATGGCTGAAATTGAGGGCTGGGAATATGACCCTGAATCAATTGAAGAACTAGCATCAAGTGGCGCTTATTTCGAGGATGACAGCAGTGATGACGAACCTCCAAGGACCAAGGATTCAATTACTTCCAAAGATTCAGCCAATAAGAATGCACCACTCCAGACTACCTCAACCCATTTTGCCAGCGCTTTCTTCACTACTGATGAGAAGCCAAAGGGAGAATTAGGAAAGTTAATCACTACAGAGTTAGCAAATCGAGCGACTATGCACTGTGTCAAAGCCCTGGCAACAAAGGAAGCACAAGATGGCGACAATATAGAGAATAACGTTGAAGAAACGATTGATACAAGCACCTACGTTTCGGCAAGCCGATACTCCGAAGACACATGGCAAGGTATTCTCATTGACACCGGCGCTGCAGACTTCTCTACAGCCGGATACAGTCAATTCCTCGCATATCAGAAAGCTGTCAAGGGAGCTGTAATAGACACGTCAACCGCAAATTCAGTAGGGATCAAATTTGGCTCAGGCGATCCTGTACGCTCAAAAGGCTCAGTCGATGTTGACACACCAATTGGCCGAGTCCGATTCCATATCCTCGAAACAATGACACCGTTCCTGCTCTCTATCAAAGACCTGGACAGACTGAACGTGTATTACGACAACACCAAAGATCTTCTCATTGGCCCAAAAGAGAATATGACTACCCAGGTTATACGAAGATTTGGCCATCCATTCCTTATATGGCAGGAGACCTACGAATCATGTCTCCTGGAATCACTTGATGAGAATCCCTGCTTCCTCACAGAAGCAGAATTACGGCGCCTACACCGTCGATTCGGTCATCCCTCAACTGACAGATTCTACCGCGTTATCGAGCGCGCAGGCCACGACGCTGACCGTGAAGCAATCGAGCATATTCGCAAATTCTGTCATCACTGCCAAATCCATGGTAAATCTCCTGGCCGTTTCCGCTTTACGTTGCAAGACGATATACATTTCAACCATTCAATTATTGTTGATATTATGTATATTGATGGTAAACCTGTACTTCATATTATCGACGAAGCAACACGTTTTAACGCCGCACGTTGGCTCCCTAATATATCTTCAAGTGCAACATGGGATGCCCTACGTGTTGCCTGGATTGATACGTACCTAGGACCACCAGATCTCATTGCAACTGACGCTGGAAAGAACTTTGTGAGTAAGGAATTCTCACAGCTCGCGACATCTATTGGCACCACTGTCAAGAGCGTTCCTATTGAAGCTCATTGGTCAATTGGCATGGTTGAACGCTACCACGCCGTACTACGTCGCGCCTATACCATCATCTCCGACGAATTGCCAGATCTACACCCCGATATGGCACTACAAATGGCCGTAAAATCTGTCAACGATACTGCCGGCCCCAACGGCCTCGTACCCACGCTTCTCGTATTTGGTGCCTACCCACGACTTACGCAAAACGACGCACCAGCAATATCAGTTGAACAACGTGCTACTGCACTCAAGAAAGCAACTGCTGAGGTACGAAAATTGTACGCACAACGACAAGTAAGAGATGCACTCAATACCCGTAACGGCCCGTCAACTACAGTGATCCATTCGCTACCACTCAACTCGAACGTCCTTGTATTCAGAGAAGGAAATACTGGCTATGCTGGAAAATGGGAAGGCCCATACAAACTAGTAGAAGTCAATAACGAGACCTGCACAGTCGCACTTCCAAGTGGCCCAACTCAATTCCGCTCAACCGTTGTAAAGCCATACTATGCCGAGGACATGCCACCTAAGGATATTGCCACTACTCTAGACCATGATAACGCACCTGAACCCCCAACACAAGGAAATGCACTCCTACCGCCATCGACTGTCAAAATCCCCTCTCAACGACCGCAGCGCAACCGTCAACCATCCGCTCGATACCGAGATGACGATTTCGAAGCATATATCAACAATAAGGAGATTACTCAACCTCGAGCTAACTTTGACGAGGTATTGGAACAAACAAGATTTACTGACTCACGCAAGCAAGAGGTGGATGGCCTATTGGAGAGAGGTGTCTTCCACTTCGTGCATGAGAATGAAGTTCCCAAAGGTGAACGTATTTTCAACTCACGATTTGTGGATGAGATGAAGAATTCTGGCACCGACAAGGCCTTTGAAAAATCGCGACTTGTTGTGCAGGCTTACAATGACGAAGGGAAGGACTTCATATTGACTGAATCACCAACTATACAACGCTGCAGTCAGCGCCTGATTCTATGCCTGACTGCCTGTATGGTTACTCACTCCCTATGGCTACGAGACGTTGTTCAAGCGTATATTCAATCGCAAACGTATCTTAACCGTGATATCTTCGTACGACCGCCACTAGAACTCGCCATCCTCCTTTCACCAGGCACACTGTTAAAAGTCGTCAAGCCTCTATATGGGATCCCTGAATCAGGCAATCATTGGTTCAACACCTACCATAGCCATCATACAGAGAAACTACAAATGGAGACGTCAACCTACGACCCGTGTCTCCTACATTGTATTGACCCTAGCAATGGCTTTGGCATCGTTGGCATGCAGACTGATGATACTCTTATCCTCGCCGACAACGCCTTCGCTAACCGCGAAGAGAAGGAAATTAAGGCTGCCAAGATACAGTGCAAACCTCGCGAACGACTCTCGCCTACAAACCCGCTGAAATTCAACGGTGGCCTCATCTCGGAGACGGCCCAGGGTATTATGCTTAGCCAAGAACGAACCTGCAAGCTTATACAAATCGTGCAAGAGCAACACGCCGATATGACAAGCTCCCGGGGAAAGATCCGCAAGAACGCATCACCAAAAGAACAATACGTATCTCAACGAGCGCTTGGTGCCTATATTGCTTCCTTAACGCAACCGGAAGCCGCATTTGATTATGCCTTCGCAGCACAGAGCACTAATCCGCAGAAAGAGGATATCAAATACCTCAACAAGCGCCTGCAATGGCAAATTGACAACCCATACCGCGGCTTGAAGTTTGTCAAACTTAACATCAACACCATCAAACTATACGCCTTTGTTGACGCGGCATTCGCTAATAATAAAGACCTCTCGTCACAAATCGGATTCGTTATTGTACTTGCCGACGCCTCGAACAACGCGAATATTGTACACTGGTCCTCGGTCAAGTGCAAGCGGATAACACGTAGCGTACTAGCCTCGGAGCTATACGCCATGGTCAACGGCTTTGATTTCGCTGCCTCTATCAAAGCAACAGTTACGCAGATTCTACACCTCGAGAATCCGCTCCCGCTAGTGATCTGCACCGATTCAAAGAGCTTATATGACTGCCTTGTGAAACTTGGTACGACACAAGAAAAACGACTCATGATCGATCTCATGTGTCTCCGCCAGTCATACGAACGTCAAGAGATTACGGAAGTCAAATGGATAGATGGCAATAGCAACCCTGCCGACGCCATGACAAAGAACAAAGCATGCAACGCTTTGCAGATCCTTGTTGATACGAATAAGCTACATATCACTGTCGACGGCTGGGTAGAAAGGTCTACCACGACACCGCAAAATCGCGCGATCAAAGCAAATTCGGTGGCATTCGCAAATCCCCAATAATGTCCCGAATCCTCGTGTCTAACCACATTTTCTTTTGCTTCATTCTTCCCGCATGTACAGAAAGCATTTATGTATTGTTTACTGCACCATTCCCTACACCAATCCGTTTGTTTTATCAACCCGGTGCTGCTCGTTATTTTTCCTATTTTTAGAGAGTTGCCAGTGTCGGAACGTGAATATCAAACCCTACACGTTTTGGCACCGGATATAGTTAGTCTGACGCGGCACGTGCGTGCCGCGTATATCTAGCTAGCTATCCCCGTCCCCCTCGTTCTTGGGGACAAGTCACAATATTAGGAATCAAGATATCTTCATATTGTCAGGCTCATTAGGCCGCTTCGTGTTCGCGCCTTACTACCGTCTATGCTTCGTGATACGGACCGTAGTTAAACCAACAGCAGTTTTACAAGGATGGGGAAAGAAGTGACTAGCAAGATTGTATTTCCTCCGTCCTCCCTCTGTCTATCCATCAGATTTCAAAGCTGGGTTTCTGTAAACATCTTTGGCGGGGTCATTTGTCAGCTAGTTTCCCCAACTTATCTCAGGCACTACATACAAATCCTTACACAAAGCCCCCTACAATTTTTGGCGTTAACATAGTGTTTGAATAGCGATCTTACGAATCACTATACGGCGCTGTAGCACGCCGTCGATTCGTACGCGAACTGGTCGGGATTACTATTCTCCGTGCGCTAGAGCGACCAACACCATATAATGTATCTAGGCACCCCGGCCCCCCCCTAGTTTCGGGGGTCAGTCTTTTATAATATTACTGTCGGAACGTGAATATCAAACCTAGCGCGTTTCGGCACTGGATATCAGTTAGTCTAACGCGGCACGTGCGTGCCGCGTATATATGTAGTTAGCCACTCCCCGTCCCCCTTACTCTTGGGGGGCAGTCATCAATATCAGGAATTCTATACCATGTTGATCAGGCTCGTCAGCTCGTCGGAATAGCTGTTCTACGTGACTAGTGCTAGCGACCTAGACGTAGATAAACCGACAATTACATTTCGTGCTATATAGCAAGGCTCACCACGTAGGGCAGTTGGATCTCCCTAGCTTACGATATCCTACGCTTCGTGATACGGGACGTAGCTAAACCAACACATAGCTTTAGGCTGCCATAACTCGTGAATTGAAAATAAACCATGGCAACGGAGAATATTAGCCGCAGCTGCTGTGTGACAGTATTATTGCTCAGGTCTTAATGACAATCTGAACACCCTTAGTATCTTGCTTCACCACTGGGACTAGCACCTCCCCGATCATTTTGATATCACTTTCATCCGTCTCGAACAACTCCAATTGTCCCAGATCATGCGCTCTCCTCACATCGCCTGAGCCAAACCACCGCAACAAGCTCGATAGAGTGAGATGCATTTCCGACATAGCCAGATTCATCCCCAAGCACTGTCTGCTCCCCTTACCAAACGAGACGAGATACCTATGGAGTGTTGCATTGTGAAGCCACCGTTCCGGTCTGAACTGGTACGAGTTCGTGAAGATAGCCTCGTCATAATGCAAGTCGTACGTTGACATACTTACCGGTGTACCCTTGGGAATAACCCATTTGTGAAAATGCAAGTCTTCATCCGGAAAGATGCGTTGGAGTCGACCACCCCGTATGAGAGGCGCAAAGACTCCTTGATGACGGCAGTGAGGTATGGTAGCCGCTGGACTTGTTCGAGGGGCACGCTGTCCGTGAAGTCAGTTGCTGGAATTGCACCTTCAAGTTCCGTTTTGAGAGTCGTAAGGACATCCGGCGAGGTTAAGAGATAGTAGCAGGCATGGGTCAGCGCCCTGGCAGTTGTTTCGCTACCAGCACTAACCAGAACCTGTGCTTCGGTAGCTAAGCGTGTTGGCGCTTTCTCTTCAGACGGCAGCTTGCTACTCAACAGTTCTCGAAATATTGTCCGATGGGTTGACTCTACGCTAATGGTGGAGGATTCCAATTTCAAGGCTTCTATTTGGGCCAAGCGCCGCTGCGAGAGAAATCACTTCATTAGTTCTCTGTCGTTTCTGATGTCATAATCTTCTCGAATGGAAGGGTGGATTTTTTCCAGTCTGTGATATGACCGAGCGAAACAGTATTCCATAATAACATCTTTAGAGAGCCCATGATTAGCGTCTCGTCATCCACTGAATCACACGCATCATTACCGTACCATTTGTCAGAGCGGAGAAAGCATGCGATATATCAATGGCCTCTGTGTTTCCCTTTCTCTCTAAGATTCGCCGCCTCAAGATATCCACCTTCGCCTGAATAATCGGCTGCAGTTTCTTCACATTCTGCATAGAAAAGAACGGGGCAATGGCCGCTCTTCTCATACGGTGGAGGTCATGATTCATCGTTGAAAGTGCTGAGTCTGCCACTCCAGCTGCCCCGACTGTATCCCAGGTCCATTTATCGCGTTTCCGGTTGAGCCCTCCTGAGGCATAGAGGGTTTCGTAAAAGTCGGATTCGCAGATATGGACCTCACAAGGGTTAATTCGCACTATGGGTCCGTATTTCTCATGCATCGATCGCACAACCCAGCTGTATTGCCCTTTGTTAACGACATCATAATGGAACTGGTACCTGAGAAGGCATGTCAGAAGCCCTGAAAGCCTTTCCTTATTCTGCTTGACATAGTAATGTGCAGGATTCCCTGCGTGAAATGGCAATGATACTGGATTCACCACCAGGTTATAGCAGCAAGTTTCGGGCCCGGAATCTTGGACAGAGGACTGAAGTAGAGCCGATAAATAGCAAGACAGACACTGTAGGCGAAGAATAGACCTGTCAAGTGAAAGAATAGCAACAACGTGAACATGATATTTGGATGTGTGTCTTTTTTCCTTTTCTATATAGGTGTCTGGAGATCACAATTATCTATCCTAAGGGGCCTCAATAATGTGTGACGCTGGCCTTGTAATAATCTCCTTTAGGTTTATAGTGGGAAGCTCAGCTTGCTTATGAAACGTTGCTGACTTTTCTGGTTCCCTTGAAGGTCATTTGTTCTTCTATGGGACATCTCCTGCCAATTTACTTTTCGGGATATTTGAGAATCACAGTTCCTAGAATAAATTGTGTCATACCCCACCCTGAATACTGTATAGTTAAGCAAGTCCCTTGGGGTTACTAAATGCAGGCCTTTGATCCCGACTTTCCTGTTGCTGAGCTGGAGCGAATTTATCATGGATGGGCCAATACCTAATCCTTGTCTTAGCTTAGAGGAAGAAAAATGGTCTTGAATACTGAATGTGCCGTGCCACATGGCGGGCATCATCATCATAAATATCAACAATTGAATCCGTGGGCATTTTATTGGAGTACATCGCTCAGATTTGCCAGATACATCATCATCACCAGCACCATGGCAACCGCCCCCACCGCCAGTACAGAAGAGGTTTACCTGTTCAACCGCAATGACTTTGAGAGGAAAAGGTTAGGGGCCTCCTTTCTAAAACCTGATTGAACCTTTCTTCATTAATTGTCAAATTTCAAGGTTGAATAAGCAACATGAATTGCTTGTGAGCCTCTGCAACGGGAACTTGCTCCATCCTCATATCCCAAAAGCTGCCATCGGTAGACTCGCAGACATCGGAACGGGATCAGGGTAAGCGAACAACCTCATCAAGAAAAGTACCCACACTTTGGATTGGAATGGATTTTGTCCTGATTAGAACACAACCAGGATCTGGTTAGACGACGTCGCTGAGAAACTCGAACCCGACCTCGAAGCAACTTCCTCTCTCACAGAACGGGAATATGCCGGGTTTGACATATCTGCTGCGCATTTTCCAGCGAATCCAAGACCTGATACGTGCTATATTGTCCACGACATTTTAGAGCCGTTCCCAAATCAGTTCCATAATTTCTACGATGTGGTCAATGTCAGATTGATGGTGTTGGCGCTCAAGAAATATGATATTCGGGTGGCGGCTATGAATGTTGCTGCATTGTTGAGTAAGTTTTACGCAATCAAGCCCCGCCCCTATTCTCCCTCCTCTCTTTGGGATAGAAGAGTTGCTGGTGCTTTAATCTATCCATCTGATTCGATCTTCTTGGAAGAACCTGGTGGTTTCTTCCAATGGGAAGAGATCGAGACGCGAGATCTCTCTTTCAACCCTCCTTCGGAAACCACGACGAAAGTCAGAGAGATCATGCGTGCTTCCTCTACAGCGTCCGGACTCACAAATACTCCGTCCATATGCAATTGAGCAGGCCTTCAAAGAGCTGGGGCTGGTAGACGTCATTGTGGAGGATTATAACTCTATCAACAGACTGGACCTCATCAATCATGTGCGGGAGTGGACAAAGGCAGGCGCAAAGGCTGCATTATATTATGCTTTACTAAGAGGCCACACTGTCAAAAATGAGGAAGAAGCATGGAGCGCGTCTGCTGGACTTTGGGAAGCGTATGCTGCGGGGATTGATGGGGGGATTGTGCCCAGCTTACCGCTAAAGATGATCTTAGGCAGGAAGGTCTCTGTTGGCAGTGCTTCTTAGGGTTTAGGATTGGAGAGGCTACTATAGGGACCTAGGTTAGGTACCTAGTAACTACTATATAGATAAACTGTCGAACTGCAGCTAGCGCAGCATATCCAATGAACATGCTTGATCCATGGTTGCGCCAGATTCTTTACAATTATTCTCGGAAGATAGTGAATGCCTGTAATTAATCCATCTATACCTTATTCTTTCTGAGATAGACATGACTGAAGATATAGGTTCATGAGAGGAGAGTGGTCTTGGGGCTTTCAGATAGGTGATGAAAAAGGAGAGAACTAGCCAGTCGTATTATATGTTTGGAGAAAATGAGCAATGCCACTATCACTACTTACTCTGGGCATGATCTGAAACAGCTGGAGGCATTTCTTTGTGCTCCTCTACGCCAATTTTCTTCCAAGAGAAGCCAAAGCTCAGCAAGGCAGCCACAGCAGCAGTGGCTGTGGGGAGAAACTATGGCGGTAGGTCAGTCAGCTTTGAATACTTCAGAGTACAGGTAACCTAGAAACAATAGCACTCACAAAGACCTTGACCAATGCTTCATTATACGCGAATCGAACTCTGGGGAGCTGGTCAGCAGGTAAAACATCGGCATATCCTGTAGCGCCAGCATCCAGGATGATTGTTGGATCAACATTGGGCGCGTACTTTTCCAGAGCTGGCGTCAAGCCATTCTGGAAGATAGCCTGCGCCACGGAGATGGCAATGGACCCAGTCAGATATTGACATAGAGCAATAGCAGAACTCGCAATAGCAATGGAGTCGCGGCTTAGATATTCTTGGCTTGCGACGATGGGCTAGAAAATGCTGTCAGGCCTTGCATTATGTTAGGTTTCATCCAGGCACCAACTACTAACCATGTTCAACGCTGCACCCCGTCCGAACCCCGCGATGATCTGATAACCAATCCACTTTTCCTTGCTCGTATCTGCTGTGAATGTGGTAATGAGTCCGGATCCGACTGCTGTCATCACACTACCAATGATTGCCCAAGGGGAACGTAATGGCTTAACTTGGACCGGGACCTTGGATTTGGAGTGCCAATCGACGAGGCCGTTGGGTGGATTCGCGAGCGCCTAACATAGATCCGTCAAATTTTTCACAAAGATGAGGAAGGCAGGCAGCGATTCTGCTGTCCAACGTTTCTGTACCTTGCAACGTTGACCAGTCATCAGACAGGTCGAGGTACATCGATACATCTTTGGGCAGCGCTGCTCGCAGTTGGCGATCAGGAGTGCGTGGATGCAGCAGCAGCCAGTTCCTCTTGAGCAACTGCGAGTTTGAGGTGGTAAAAACGACACGCGAACCCAAATTGGACAGGTGACGAGAAAGCATGGACACAAGTCCTGGATCCGGTTCATGGACTACAAGAGTACTCCCAGCAGGCACAAGTGCAGCGATATTGTGACTGGACAGATAGCCTAAGAGGAATGAGAGATACTGAACATCGATGCTTCTCCTGACATGCACCGGGACAGACCATCGCTCGGAGACTAGGATGGCGGATGCATTTTTTGAGGATACAGAGAGGACTCGGCCGCCATTATCGAGGTCTCTTCCTAGAGTGACGAAGAGCCGTCCAGCAGGCGTGGGAATTGAAGATAGTATCGATGTATCGACCAGAACTCGTCGGTAGCCTGGGAGAGACGGCAAACTTGGGTTTTCTTCCTCTCGCAGATTGTATTCGTCGTTGCTCCAACCAAGAGTCACAATAGCCTGTTTGAGATTGACCTCCTTCACAATCTTGCGCTTTGCAGAATTGTACCGATCGTTTTGAGCCATTTCTGGCATCACACGTGGAACCAGGATCTCTCCCTGCTCTACCTTATATTCGGGTTCGATAGACCACAGTTTACCATTCTCAGACGGAGTCCGCTGCCATCCCGTGGTCACTTCTAAGCGAAGAAATCTCTCAGCAATCAAAGAGGCTGTGCCAGAATCTGGGGTAGGGCTTTCTAGGGAGAGAATTGTAACTGCGACTCTGGCAGTTCATAGAACAAGGAGCGGAAAAAGCCTACGGTCATGGCACCATCACCATTGTCTTGGTTGGAGCCCCAGGTAACCCATAATACACTCATAGATACCATGAGAAGGGCTTTGAAATTTTCAAAACGATCCGTTGTAATATCCGTCCAGAAGGGACCGTCAAAGCCACTGATGTTCAAGACACAGCACTTTGCCGGAATTGATGTCTCATCAGGCTCTTCCCATGTGTCGATTTGGATGACGCTTCTGTAGCGAGGCTTCAGATGGCTTACCACTCCATCGACAAGAGCCATCGTCGTGTTCTTCTTGCCGCCGAGAATGATGAGTTCAGTGCGTTGTGCTGAGGGAAGGCTGCTCTCGGGAATCGAAAGGGGGCTTTTCAAGATGGTGATCTCATCATCAATAGCCCGAGCTGTGATAATCGACGCTGGCATAATCACAGGATCATAAACAGGCGTATGGGTATCAATGTCACCAAATCCGGACTTCAGCAGAAGCTCGTGCCATTGTTCCAAGGACACATTTGGAGAACATCTGCGTCCAGTGTCCCGTCCAACCCACCAACCAGGCAGACCTCCGATAATAACACCAAGTCGCATTACACTCTCATTGATAAACTCCATCATGACCAGATAACCGCCGGGCTTCAGGAGGCGGCGGGTGTTGCGCAAAGTCTCTTCGAGGTCAGGAGTAACGTGAAGCACATTAGCCATTACCACAAGATCATACGCGCCTTCGACAAAGCCCTGCTTAACTGGACTCGACGTAATATCGAGAGTCTTGTAAGTAATTCGGTCACCGTACGGCGCAAATTTCTCCTGGGCTTTTTCGAAGAAACCGACCGAGATGTCAGTGTAAGTGTAGGATGCGTAGGCTGTGCCAAGCTTCCCAAAAATTGCCCAGGAAGAACCGCCAGTACCAGCACCGATTTCGCAGATATTGATGTTTGGATAGCGGTGAGCAATCTGAGCAGCTGTGGTAGAGATCAGCTCGTTAAGCTTGTGGAATCCCAGTGCGTCCCGGTAATAGTTGTTGAGCTTGTCACCCTTCGTCATATGCTCCAGAATTGTTGTTTGGCCGCGGACAACAGCAGGTAAGTTCTCGCCAGATGCGGCGATTAACAAAAAGTCAGGGTCCTTCGGGTCATATCTAGAAGATCGGTCAACATTTGCTGCGCCTCAGTATTTTATCAATTTCTGCTTACCTTTCCGTGATGGCACACATCTCCTCGTAGGTGTCATTCATCCACTCCCGTTTCACGTACGCATGCTCATCTCGCTGCACAATGTCGTAGATATACTGAGAATAGTCGAAAAGCGTCTCATGATGTGACGGAAGTTGAAATGAAGTCCGTTCATCCTGCGTTACTGTCTCATGCAGCATCCTCAGGTAGTAAAAGGCGACTCTCTCCTTAATAACCTCAAGGTCGCCATCCAACTTCTCTCCTTATCCACTGGCTCCTCCCAAGCTATCTTTAAGTCATTCAACACACTCGCCGCTACCTGGCTATTAAGGAGGAGACTTCCCTAAATTGAGAGTGAGATTATCTAAATCTGCTAGGTTCCTAGACATACAGATATCCCTAGAAATAAAGCAGCAGATCTCGCCACTAAAGAGGGCGCAGAGAGAACCATCCCTACCTCTCAACCATGGTCATATACAGCACTCAAGCGACATACCAGATCACAAACTATATCAAGAGCACAGGTATATTGGCAGTCAGCCGCTCTGCAGGTCTATCAAGACCTTGAAATCACTGACTTCTCAAGACATCTAGCAGAGCTCTAGCTTCCCCACCATGTCTTAGGACGAATCCTTGCAGCACGCACAAAGCATAGAGACTTCACAGACTATCATAAATAGTTTAATCATATAGATGCCTACCTCTTATACTAATGTGGCATAAGAAAGTCCCTAATCTACTTCATTTTCTACCCAATCGCAAAAAGAAAAGCTCCCA